GATTCGAGAGTACACTGCGTAGTTAACGGCTCCTCCGTATTCCTCGTTAAGATCATGTCTTACCACGTATTTCTCAATCTGTGGGGAAATAGGTAGTACACATAACTGGTCGTGATTCTGACTAAAATCTCCGATCCCCAAAGGTCAGTGCATTAAACATTTTCTTTTCTTAATCTATTTGACATTTTTGCAGGAGAACCCCTGTTGCTTATCTCAGTACGTACGTACTAGCAGTATATACGGACTAATGGAGTACTCGGGAGTCGGTACAGTTAGGATACGAGGGATAGACGATCAATTTGATTAAGCGAGGCTGAGGGTCCGTGGCTGGTGATTCTGTTCCCAAAATGCGAAAATCAGTGTTAGCTTTCATACTAGGGATTTGATGGGCCGTATTGGCGTTTTCTGCATAGGTACGTAGTCGTGATTTAACTGCCAGATTATTCTCCCGCTCTTTCTAGAAAACCCAAACCGGAGAATTCTTACTCTACATAGTATGGCTCTTAACTTGCTAACGCCCACGCCTTTCAGGCCAAGACCGAGGGCAAAATGCGCAATCCTGCAGATTGCCAATTTTTGAGTCTGTTTGCCTGTTCCCGTTAGGCTAAGGCCTGGTGGCTTGCGAGGAAATACGTACGTGGCTGTCAGGGATTTCCCCGCGGACAGTCGCTTGACAAGTTCACGTACAGTATGTATATGGACGTACAGATGTATGGATTGCTGGAGCAAGTGCCTCGTACATCCCATACATCCGTATTTGATCGTACATACATACTTCGTACACAATCGGTACGTCCTTTTGTATGCATACAATAATCAACCACTGACACATCAGAACAGCCACCGTGGGGTTATCCAAGTTCTCTAATTTGAGTCGATCGAGAGCCGATTAGAAGAAATGCCACCAATCAGCTCGCAAAGGATTCAGGTCTTCGATGCGCGAGATCCAATACAGGATGCACCGTTGAGGTTTAGTTGTGTGCACTGTGCCCACTAGACCTAACTGTGATTAGTGCTAAGGGTCCCCCTCCACTCCAGCCAAGTTTTACGAGTCACGATGGTTTACTCAGCGTAGTCCGTTCTAGGATTAGTCGTGTGCTATTAGAGATCGTGCGTTTGTGTAACCGTGGAATTGAGGCCGAGCCATTATTGCTTTGCTTTGCTTTACGAAGCACGTAATCCTATGGATATGGGTCAGGCCTGCTATGCCATATGCACATTACGTGGTGGCACTGCTTATCGAGATCAAGATCTGAATGACATGCCGTATACGGCGTGTCGTACATACAGTCTCTAGTAGAGGCGATAAGAGACGCCTATCTGATATCGGCAATCCGAGTCTTCCGTGCTGGGGCTGCTACCCATGCTGGAGATCTACGTATGTACTATCGCATCCTTCAGGATGTAGACGGTGCTTACCACTATCACACGGTCCAAAGCAGATTCTCATGCGTGTAATTTTGCTTTCTCAGATTGTCCGTTGACATCGCATCCATAGCGTTGCTTGATTTTGGGGGCTTGAGCCAAGGTTCAAAAGTGAACCTTTTCCGATGGCTCAACTCCACGCATAAATATGAAGGAAGCATGAAAAATTACAATATAGAGAAAAATGAGAAAAAGAAATGAAAGAGGCACTACTGAAAGCGCCACTCATGCAACAAGACTTGATATTGAGATGACCGACGATCAAAGGAACTAGAACCATGTAGATACATACATAGACAGATAGATGATGGTGGTCGATCATAGAGTATACCAGATACGGTCAAGTGCCGGTGTCTGACACTTTGACTTTGACTCCCACGACGGATTCCAACCACCTACGTATAAACTGATGAGTAATATACGAGTCTGATCACTGGTCATCACGCCATATGACCTGATGCCAAAAGAGAGCAAGATTCATTCCGTTGTGCATCTATACGCGGGTACGTACAATTAACATACAGAGGGCCGCGCTTGCATAATACGTATTCAAGAAAAGAACAGCTCAACAGGTTCCTGCATCAGCATGGCCCTAAGTCTTGGCCCCTGAGGCTAAAGTCATCATCGTCTTGTTCTGAGGGGCATATTCGCCACTTCGTGTGTGCTCGCGATTTCATGCATCGGAGTACTCCGTTCTTTGTACTGTCTTTTTTTTCTGTACTCAAAGCACTTACTATGGTGTGTGTTCAAATGATAACGAGGCATAGTTAGCATTTTACATGCATACTGTCGTAAAGTACGCCGTATAGTAGACTCTTCGGGCGTTCCTGATCGACAAAACTTACTTCTTCTACTACTAGTTAAAACCTAGAATTAGTGAGGGCAAGTTTAGTCGGTGACTTCTTTACCTGATGGAGAACGGGACCCGAGTGAAATACAGAGATACATACACTGGAACGATCCTCTCACCAGACTCAATAACTCAGTCAGCAATTCTGATGCTGAGTGGAAAGGATTTACGCAGTCATACATCCCCCATGGCAATTCACATTGCCTGCAAGAACTGGGAGTGGGTGGACCCACGGATTGGTGTGTATCGCCCACTCCGGCCGTGCGGATATCAACAACAAGAAAACTCATCATACGATTAAAGACGGTGATATTAATCGTGTTTCAAGGAACAGACCCAGCTCTGACGCTGCTCTATGTACTATGTAATCCAGAATTAAGCGCGATGAGCGACATGCTAGTGAACAGACAACGACTAATATTTCCTAATCTGGTATAAGTCACCCTTTCGTTCGGCTGTCCAGTTCAACGGCGAAAACCGAGATAGAAGTTTAGAGGTGGCACTAGAGAATCCTTCCATCAATAGTACTGTGCAGTGTCCACTGTTTTAAGTGTTTGAGGTCCAGCGTACTGCCCAACTACGTACTTGCTCCGAGATTTGATTAATATTTTTTTTTTCCTTTTTGTTCTCTGCCGCCATTATCGAAGCGGGTTTCCATGTCGTGATGAAGATTTTCACATGTCAGATAGGAAAAGGGTCCACGCACGGCTTAAGACGATAAAAACCTTGCATTCATCCTTGTCAATTAGCCCAGGACCATAATCAAACCACCGCGTGCTATTTTTGAACCGGGATATAAAGCTAGACATTTTATATCCATGGATATCACTGACAGGGACAGAACCTTGTTACTGGCAACGACTCTCGATGATTGGTCGGGATGGCAGAAATTTGATGGAGATGTTTAAATTACCAGTACCAAGATATTCACGGCTGTTTGACCAGTGGTGACTCCATACGGGGGGATAGCTGGCAAGGCGGGGAGCAAATTGCCAGACGGCGCAAAATTACGCCGAAAGATCATACCGATACAGTACACTCTATGTGGTATGGCGACTTATCAAGAGTAATTGCAGGAGCGACCGTTTGAGCGAAGGAAGCCTTAGGAAGGAGCGGTCTCCCAGACCACGGCAGGAGCAGCCTGAGGATCCACCGCCGGTCGCTCTCTCCGGATCAGCGAATGGGCTTACTACGTACATAGTAAAGCCTCCATTATTCTTTCACACCACCACTTTCTGTTTTCAATTGCTCCCAACCTGCCTAAAGCATCTGACCTAATCCCTTGACACAGTCTCCCATAGCCCAAACAGATCGTCCCATACTATTGCTTCCTATGTAGTCAATGCACAGACTCTGTAATCTGTGTGTATGGACAGACTCCGTGTGCTGCTATCTTATCCTGTCCCGCTGACCCAGAACAAGCTCATGTACGATATCCACTTAGGGCATGAATCCACCCGAGTCCAGCCGCTAGAACCTCTCGTGTACTGCATAGTAGTACAAGAGTGATCTTGTCGACTTGCGTGAACATGGCAGGCAGAAAAAAGAAATAAGCATAATAATAAGCGGCATCATTCAGGCAGAATGACCCCTGTCATCTGTTGTCCATCAGAGGGAAGTACTCTGGAAAGCTAAGCCAAGTCTGGGCGCGTCCGGGCAGCTGCCACCGGACTTGACCCGATTAGGACATAGCCAAGGTCCTTCTCCGTCCGTCGCGCGCTAGCCCAGACTAACCCTAGCCTCCCGCGCCGCTCGCTGCACGCAAACACACTAAAACAACTTCAGCTTCGCTCGAGACTTAGTACTGCTATCTTAGCATCTCCCTATCCCATCCTCGTCGCAAATCATCAAACTACTACGTAGCAAACTAACCCCTCTTTTGGCTCTGGTCTAACTGACCTGCCCCGTGCTGCCTCCGTCGGAATCGGATTTTGCATGGGTGCTGATTTGCCCGCCTTGCTGGATCGGGCTAGTCGACCCTGTATCGTGCCGTACCATACCATACCACGCATTACCCATACTCCCGCCTATCCGTATTATCATACCAGACCATACATACGCTACTTTGATACGGAAACAGCAGCCAGCCCGTCTTTATCACAAGATTCATCAACGCTCCTCCGTCTGCAGCTCGCCCGCCCTGCTTGGATTTGATTAATTATAGCTTCTTCTCCCCCTCCTCTCCTGCCTCGATATTTCCTCTACTTTTCTTCACCTCACTTCAGCTTCCACCTTCCATCCACCAACCATTCCCATCTGCCACTGTCCCTCCTGCCCGCGCTTGAATGTTCACGCTGTCCATGTCTATGTTCATGTCTCTACGTGCAACCTCCTAACAACCAACGCCACCCACGTACCATTGCTGATTCGCGCAAATAATGCTTCGACTGCATTAAGCCGATGATCCCTTGCGCCATTCAGAACTACTCTCGTCTACTTTAAAATCCACGTTTCGCGCCGTTTTTGGCAGATCGATAGTTGCTGCTTCCGTCTTCCCATTCCGGCCTGACCAAATAGAACTTGCGTTTGCGGAGAACGACTTCCACCACCATCACCGCGACCCCCAAACAAAGAAACAAAGTTCTTCACAAGTTCCTAACAATCGCAAAATATTTTAACATTGAACACAAATTTCTTTCGACCTGGCTTACCTTCTCCCACCTCTATTTTCTTGTTCGAACTTATCCCGCGGCTGTAGATCAGCCCGCGTTCGCTGTCATTCAATATGGAACCCTCCTTCGACACAATGACCATGCCCTACCTTGCGAGTCCCCTCTCGCTGGGCCACATGCAGGGCACCGACTATCTCAATTCCTTGCCCGGTCTGGATCTTCCAGATCAGCGCTCGAATTTCGACGCCGAAACATTTATCAGGTGCGTTCCCACGTCGATTCATCACCGCTCGCTTTTTGCGACAAGCGCATAACAATGAAGGCCTTGGAGAATCGCTGTGATATTTTCTGAGCTGACATTTTAATTTTCATAGTGGCGACGACATGAGTTTCTCACAGGCCAACATGCCCCAATTACGACGCTTCAGTTCATACGAAGATGCCTTTCCCGCTCCTCCCGAGTTGCTTCCTCCTTTCGAAAGCGGACCCCCAGAGCAACAGAATAGCGACTCCATTGATGGAAACCACAAATTGCTCTCTTTCTCCCTACCCGTCTACGGCTTCACTCTGCTCGACTACTCCCTCCGCCGTACGTCGTTGAATGTCTCCGCTCAGTTGCACGGAATGTTCTTCCTCGCCGAGTCCCCGTGGACCAACTCCCCCAACGAGGTACCACCTCCGCACGTCGCAGAACTTACCTGCTACCGACGAAATCTGTTTCAGATCACGGGTTCTGTGACTCTCCCCCGAAGTCTCCGCTATATCATGACTGAACAGGGAGACCGCATTCCTATCCTCGCACAAGAGTTGACCGTTTCTGCTACCGAGTCTGTGGAGGGAAATCCCGTGAAGATAATTTCCGTTCCCTGGAAGACACCAGCGGCCGCCGCTGCAAACGGCAGTGCTGTGGCCGCTCCATCCGCAGCCGAAGAAAAGGCTGAAAAGGAGCCTCCATCGATACCTTTAGATACCATGGCTGCTGGACAGGACATGGACTCTGATTACGCGACCTTCCCCATCGCCTGGAAGCGCCTCCAATTCCGAATAGCTACCGCCAACAATGGCCGCCGCAAGGAGCTCCAGCAGCACTTTGTCGTTCGTCTCAAGGTTGTTGCAACACTCTCGACTGGGGCCAAGATTCCCATCTGCGAGGTACACTCAGGACCAGTCATTGTACGTGGCCGCAGCCCACGCAACTTCCAATCTCGCAAGGATTTGCCCCTTAGCGGCAGTGCAGCATCCTCCAGAAAGAACCAACAAGCAGCGGCACGAAACAGTGCTATGGCCGCCGAAGCTCAGGCGAAAGCCACCGCTGCATCCACCAGCAAGAACACAGCCTCCCCATCTGAAATGTCTCAAATCTTCTCCTTCGACGCGGGCATGGCACAACCTCGAACGACTTCCTCTCCTCCATTTGGAGACTGGACGCAGATCCCTCCTCCAGTCACTACGACGGGCGCTTTGGCGACACCTACTTTTGCTCCTTCGCATGGACTCCCTGCGTACCCTCAGTCGAGTCCAAGTGTGACTCGCGGTGGTGAACATTCCTCAAACGTTGCAGGAACACCGCCAATCAATCTATCACTCATGGAAGATGACTTCAAAACACCCAATAAACCTACAGAGTCTCAGCGTGGAATCATCTCCCGTGAAAACAGCTCCGCCAGCGTTCCGATTTCATTGGCTGGACAGAAGCGTTCCAGCCCCGAATCCTCTGGGGCACCCCCAGCAAAGATCCAGAAGATGGTTCCGATTTCTAGCATGTCGAGACCGCGACCGACCAGATCAATCTCAGCATCTCTGCCCGTTTTGCATMCCTCGAATGCCCTGCCGCCATATCATGCGGCGCCTTCATCATACCCCACTGCGATGCCTTACTCTGGGGAAACAGCTGATTTGCTGTACGAGTATTTCCCATTGAGTATGGATGACTGGCAGGCACCAGTGGATGCTGTATACCGGCCGCATGTGGTACATCACACACACATGCCCATGGACTACAAGTTCATGGCATCCCGAAATCGTAGCAAACGATATTTTGCTGCCGAAGACGTTTGCTAGATGAGCGGTCTTCTGACTTACCGGGGCCCTTTCCTTCAAATTCAAATACATGTTCAGGTACATAAAATTTACTCTGCTTCTTTCCCACCCGACCCCGAATACAATATTTCAACATGATGTATGGGAAGAAATGATATCACGAACGGTCTTTCAAAAATCCACACAAAAAGCTCCGACTATCTTAACGTCATACCATCTGCATATGGAGTTATGGCGTGAGATTTATATTATCCTTCTTACATTCGTTCTATAACTATTTGTCCACTGAAGCGTTCTTTGCCACCCCACAACAAGGTGTAATGGAGCAAACACCCTTGTTCTTTATATACTCATTGACACGGCGTTTATACTGTTGATATCAAAGTCTGGGCGGATGGGGTTTATTGGTTGTTTTGCAATATATGATTCACTGTTTTTGGTCGGCTGCATGTGTGATTTGTCCCTATTGCGAAAGGGAAAAATGGGAGGAAAGCCGTGGAAGATGGATGTACGATATGCCTTTTTTTGATTCGTTGTTGACTTCTTGAGCTTATTAAGCTCATGCGAAAATATGAGTGATACCGTTTGAGTGAGATGAATTACTTCATCCTATCTGTCTACCAGTAATTTAGAGTCTTAGACATGCGTCTGATTGTCGTGGAACGACCCGCATGCACTTATCATTGTTTAGGGTCGATGTAAATAAAAGGAATTTTAGTGATTGGCTCTGCAGCGCTACGGAAGGCATCGTTGGCGGGGCTTTACACGTCTCTTATATCCGAACAAAAACATTGGCCGTTGTACATATTTAGATTGGCAACATGAGATGATTCTCTTTTTCTCAGTAGAGACATCCTGAGAACGATACCAGAAGACAGCCTTGTCTATAAGGTGGGGATAAATAGACCTTAACACAAAATGCCACGGCAAAAGTCCGGCATGACATGGTTCGAAGATGAGGAATGGATTGGTCTCACAATTTCGTTTGACCAGCCTCACCCAACGACTTGGAGTCTCGTACAAAAAATCCGTGAAAGAGAGTTGTGGGCGTCTGAAATTAGTTGGAAAGAAGACCAAGATCCCAGCGAAGCACGTGGTATCTTCATATGTGAAGAAGAAGGCTCAGCTCATCGACAAGCTGTGGTAAAGATCTACATGCAGTACGATACCTTCTCGAACAATTCACCGCCACTTTCACCAAGGGAATAAAAAAGCTGACGTACTCTAGGATCCCTTACTATGGTACAATATCTAAGCCTCGCAGAATAAGGGCGATGCAAGCGCGAACAGAGATGGAGTATAGAGCAGAGCAAGAAATCGCCGCTTTACAAGGGCTTACAGACGCGAACTGCTCTGCAACCCCTTCTCTTCTCGCCTGGAAACATACCGTTCAAGACGACGAGAGATATGTCCCTGGTGGATATATCACATATATTTTGATGGAGAAATGTCCCGGCATTGATCTACGGTGTTTCTTCCAATTACCTAGAGAAGAACGCGATCAAATCCGTGAGGCTTTCAAGAAAGCCTGGCAGTAAGTTTCAAACCCTTCAAGATTGGATAATGAGCAGACAATACTGACCACGAAAATTGGTGGTAGAGAATGTATGAGCTGTGGCTTCCGTCATTTCGACTGCGCAAACCGAAATTTGATATGGGACAAAGAACAGCAGAAATGGTAGGCTTTATCTCATCATTATTATTGATCAAATGTGCGATTGCTAATATCGTATCCTAGTTACCTCATTGACTGGGAAGATTGGTTTGAGCCTAGAGTCAAAGATCACCGGTGGACAAATAACTTGTACATCTTTTGGAATCTTGCAGCACCGCGACAGGACGATACATCTGATATGTCGACGTGGGAGTTGTGAAAGGAATAATGGCATTTTGATTTGCAACAAGACATTACTCCTTGCCAGTGAGTATCAAAAGATGTCAAAAACAGATGGATTCCAGTGACAGAATGGAAGTTTCTAGAGCCTCAGTATGCCATTTCGCAGTATTTGGCATATATTTATCTCTTAGAAAAATGATCACACTCCGATCTGTATAATGCAGTACCAAAACATATATGAAGCCAGCAGACTTCAGTGTTTGCAAACAGGTTAGGGTTACGCGGGCTACTGTTTTGGTGGATCTCTCCCTGTTTGATTATTAATCCTTGATTGATAGAAAACTATCTCAAACTATCCAACAACAACTGGAAATTAGAGATACAACAACTCAAGCATCCCTCGACAGGAAGGCCTGACGCGCCACCGCAGAGCTCATCCGAGTCTTCTGTCTTATGAGAAATTGACCCATGTTTTCCACATTCTCCGCCAACAGTGGGAACAGCACCACGACGACTACAACTGGCCCACGACCAAGACGACGCCAACAAGTCACTCGAGCCTGCGATTGGTGTCGCGTTAACCGGATTAAATGTGACGATCAGCAGCCTTGCCAGAATTGTCAAACTCGGGGTGGGCATTGTAGTAATTCGAGGCTGTTAGAGGCGACGTCTTTACCAGCTGCGAATAGGTACGTATCGCATATTAATGAGAAGTATCCTACTAATTTCTCAATAGAGACATCCAACGATTAAGAAGCAAAGTAAAGGATCTCCAAGAGCAACTTAGAACAGCTAAACAAGAAGCTGCCGAAGCACGGGTACAGCAAGCTCAGGTTCAAACTCCGGCTCAGACTAATTTCTCAACTCCATCATTGCATTCCTTGCCGGATGCAGTTAATGATCCAACTGGAAATTTAGAAGAGAATTCAGATCTAGCACTGAATGAAGGCTGGCAAGGGTTACGAGATATAGGCACTCGTACCGGAGAATTGTATTATGGACCCATGTCCTCGTCCTACTTCGTGGCTCGAGTCAATCGCTATGTATTATCGGACATACTCTATCAMCCTCTTGGAGATTTCAGACTCAAGCCGTACCTAGCTGATTTTGATTATGAATCTGCCCAACAACAGCAGCCACATTATGATACGCCAGATTACGCAGAGGATTTGACACGCATCCAGGAAGAATACTACCTCAATCTGCTATGGCAGACTTTCCACTGTCTTTATCCTATCCTCTCTGAGTCGGACTTTGGTCAATACTATGAGTCTTTGTGGTCGTCTGCTGATGGAAACTCTACTCGCAAACCTTCGCCGTTGGTTGACATCCTGCTTGCCGCGTGCATGCAGTTTGGCAATGTTTTTCTCTTCAGCGAACATAACCTTGACCAAGCTCCCGGAGATAATCCTAGAAGAAAGAAGAACGTACACATGGCTGGTCACAAACATTATCAAAGAGCGCAAAGCCTTTTGCACAATGAGCTGGAGAATCCTTCCATCATGACACTACAAGCTCATGTATACTCGGTCATCTACTTATACAACATCTCCCAATTTAATGCTGCACATACCAACTTGGGCACGACGGTGCGGATTGCCCAATCCTTGAGACTACATCTTCGGCCTGTAGAGGGTACCTTACCGGAGGATCAGGGGCTGTATCATCGAATATGGAACACAATCTACCGCCTGGACAGCCAGCTCTCGATGAATCTAGGACGATCTCCGCTGGTTCAACTTCTTGCGTTCGATGAAGACCACGCTGAAAAAGCACTTTTATCCGGCACATCGCTTATATCTAGCCATGACGATATCAGTTGGCTAAGCTTCCACACTCAGTGCGCGAAACTACTTTCTACTGTGCACAAAGCTCAAGCTGCGTTTGAGCATAAATGTTCCCAGCTGCTCAGCGGCAATACAACTGGTGATATCTACGATAACCCACGAAAAACCGAGGCGCTGGCCGAGTTCTTCGGACGTGAAATGACTCCAGTTCGGGAATGGAGTCAAAATGTCCCCAAATCACTCAAATGCGCTCGCAGAGCTGACGGGGAAGCATTCTCCATAGACCGGACACCCTTGAACCTGGATACGTTCAGTCCCTTGTGGCTTCAACGCCAACGACTTCTCCTCGAGCTTCTGTACCACCACCTCCACATCTCTATGCTACGTCAATTCCTCCGCTTTCCTCCCGTAGCTGTATCCCTCACCCCACTCGCAGACTTCTTGGGCATCTCATGCGTCTACCATGCCATAACCCTCACCAATATGATCCACCAAGTTCTATCGGAAACAGACCTTATACAAGGCTGGTTCCACGTTTATCAATACCAATGGGACGCCGTATTGTGTACATTGGGATTTGTGCTCGCTAACCCCGTTTGTCCGCCGACGCCACCAGCACGAAAGTCTCTGCAGACGGCTGTACGGAATCTGGAGATTATTGGAGAGCATTTCCCTGCTGCTGCGAGCGCGGCGAGCTTGGTGCGTGATACGAATGGGAGGTTGGATCGAGTTATTGACGACTTTCGGCGGAGTATGATGGGTCAGCAGCGACGTCCTCCTAACACCTCATCGTCAGCGCAGTCAATCGCTGCAGCTCCAAGTGAAGCAGCTGGGCAGACACCATCTAGGCAAAATTTATCAGAGACTTCTGCGGTATCGTGGCCCGGTCAATCTATGATAACACTGGACATGGTGCCAACACCGCTTTTGACGACAACAAATACTGGCCCCCCTGCCGTATCAATGCCGATGGATGCGATTAGTGGCAATGACTTGCAATGGATGCAAGGTAGTCTTGAGTCCTGGATCGACTTTGCGGATCCAAGGTTCGTTTCATGATTGGACTTGGGATTTATTTGTGGATCTGCCTATGGCTATCATGATGACTTACTTTTATTCCTGTAATTCTAGTATGGCTCATTATCACAATGTTAGATAAAGAAGAGAGTGAAAGTAATGCTATTACTACCTCTAGTAGGGCTTGTATTCTAGTAGGACCTTGATCACTTGACGGCAAACGCTACAGCAATCTATGAATCTACTTCCGTCCCACCAGAGAATCCTTGCTTGTGTGCATCTCGTGCAAGACCGTGTTATGCGTGAGCTGGGCCAACCAGCTGAAGGTGGAAGGCGGTGCCCCAATAATTGTTGGTGCAAACATCACCCGAAATGAGCCAGGAGTTGTACATCCTCTCCTCGAAATATGTGCGGTTCAATTGAATTCTCCAGTTTCCGGATACAGAGCCTGTCGGATCTTGCATCAACCCTTTATTGTTTCGTGCCATTACTGTCCATATAATATAATAGCATTCTACTAACTGTTCGTTCAACTTATTCTCTTCGTTTTAGGGCGGCTGAAGGTTGCCAAAAGATGCTTCGTGTCTTGGTTAAAAGCTCTTCCCTCGCGCTGTTCATCATCTACGATATGACTCATCCCGCGTCTGACTCATTAACTACTTAACGACACTCTGTTGACATCCGAAAATTGAATACCTGCCATCTCCTGCGATCTGAGACTGCGCTATTTAAAAAATTTAGATCAGGATCTAGGTTGGAACTGTCTTCGGCACCGTTAAAGGAGCATATCTTTAGATCATCGAAGTAAGTAGCTCTAGTGAGGAGTCTGGTATGAATACTAAGTTTCAAGACCACCATTATGGCAGATAATACCCACTTAACCGGTACAAATCTCCGCGACCTTAATGTCCTTGACGGACAATTCCCTGAAGCTGGCTTCGATAATCTTCCTGACACGCCCCATGAAGCCTTCCAAAGTTGGTTAAACGATGCTATTACGGCCAAAATCAAGGAGCCACATAGCTGTACCCTTTCAACGGTTGATAGCGAAGGGCGTCCAGATGCCCGCATTGTCGGTGTTAAGAGGCTTGATGAGCGTGGCTGGCACTTTACAATGAGGGGAGATGGGCCCAAGGCTCACCAGATAGCCGGAAATGAAAACGTCGCGCTAACATTCTACTGGCCTGAGCTAGGTCGGCAAATCCGGTTACGGGGAAAAGCAAGTCCACTGTCAGAGGAGGAATGTACCCGGGATTTTCTTGGACATCCTCTAAATTCAAGGATTGCTGCGGTGGCTTCAAAGCAAAGCCAGGTGCTCGAGAGTCGTAGCGAACTTCTCCGTCGCGTAGCCGACGTTAAATCGGCCATAGCAGAAGAGAAAGACCTAGACCTTCCTGAATGGAGGGTGTATGTTGTTACTCCTAGCTCTGTTGAGTTTTGGCAACGGTCGAACGATCGCCTCCACCAGAGGCTAAGATTGACTGCTGCATCAGACAGAAATGTCTGGGTGAAGGAGTTACTGTGGCCATAGAGTTCCATTTCTTTAGCACATACTTCACCAACCAGTGGGATTTCCTTATCATGACAAATCTAATCCTTCCCTTGTCTTCGTTTCAGGGCATACAGCGTGCTGCAGCGCGCGTCACCAGTCTACAGATGCACCATGGCTTCCGACATCCAAAACCAAAGGGCATACTATGTGCCCTGAAACGAGGAGGGGTTGCAAAGACCGGATTGAATGATGGTTCGAATTGATGCACCCCAAACAGACATCCGAAGTGCTTATGAGAGATTGCAATCAGATGCTATTTCCTCTGCAAGTAATCTGCCGTCTGTAATGTGATCATATTTTGAAGAATAACTACTTAGCGTCGCGGCTAAGTGTTCACCTACGGAAAGGCCCAAATACAATAGTTTGATCGTGTGGATGATACGTTGCAGTGTAGAGGAACGTGTTCTTTCGAGAAAAGTGGCTTCCTGAATCTTTCTTGTCTGGTCAACATTGTCCTCGCCAGTTGGAGCGAACCAATTACGAAGCTCAGGATCAAGCAGGGTCGATGCCATCATCGGGTGGAATGTAACTCCATAATATGTTATATAGTAAATCGATAAAAACTGATAGAAATTTACTTCCAGTTGAGCATATAATTCTCAATTTAGCACAGAGAGATATGAAATCCAGACTTTTTTATCTTAATCACGGAAGAAACGTGTTTAAGTGGCTCCCGCACTCAAAGGCACATTTATCTTGCAATCTAGTTATTGGTGCAAGAGCTACTGGAACAAGTATCTCAAGATCGTACGGATCTTAGGACCATGTTCCTGGGAACATACTCTACTCAGGAACCAGATCATGAGAATGACCCCATCGCAGGAACTAATACGCAGGACACGTATCATGTTATACTTAAGATATAAGGAGCTGTATCCTGGATATGACCTCGTCATACCTAGGTATAGAAAGCGATAACGCCACCGAAATATGTAGATGAAATACACAGAAATGGACATGGATATATATATGATTATATCCTTCATGATTGACCTTGACCCCGCTGAGGAAACAAGCAGCAACTAATTCAAACACTAATTTCGTACAGGCCGATAACCCCCCATATGTGATGTGTAATTGCGCACGTTCGTAATGGCTTATGATGGCTGCATCAACTTCCACGTCGTCGCGTCACAGGTAACTTCTTCAAAGGTGTGAAGTACGGTGAATCCCATTGCCGTTAGACTGTCAAAGTTTCCGTCGCCGTCGACCTATATTTCCGTCAGTATTCATTGAGCCAACATCCAAATGGAATTAGAAACGTACACAGTCGAGCATAACTGCATCTGCCCCAGACTTCCGAACTTGTTTAATCCCTAAAAGAATCAAACCCTGCATCAACGTCGCATATTCACCGACCGATGGCGAGATGACTGGTGACGAAACTCCTCCGCCTCCTGCAGTAACGCCGTTGCTGCTTCCATTCGCGCTAGAATTGCTGCCATTTACCTTCTCCTTTTCCTTATCTTTCTTATGCAAGGCCGGGATATATTCCGCTATCGCCGATTGACTGTTGTATATTACCACACTGCCCAATATAGMACCATCTTCGGGTCGCTTTGCGCGAATAACACCCGAGTGTGGTGCGCCGTTGAGTGCCATTTTGTAGATTTCCATTACACCCTGACGAGAATTTGTCTTGATGTGGTCGAATATGGACTCTGCGTATTCCCAGCCATGAACAAGGTCGTAGTCTACCTCATTCGTGTGTAGGCTTTTTGCAAGACCCTCGGGGGCAGTCCACGATGACAGTGGACGGAGCAAGACGCTACATACAGGTCGTGACAATGCCGTGTTCCATCCTAATTGAGCGAACCACTGCCGTAGTCTTTTGCGTTCAACAGGGTTAGCTGCGGGGATGCCCAGGTATATGCTTGGTAAGCGAGATCCTAATTGGAATCGCTTCACTCCTTTGCGTTGCAGTAAGCTTCGGATTGCGCGATTGTGAAGCGAGTGTCCTATCGAAAGCTTTCGTCTCGTGGGGTCCACGATGATCGAACCGATAACTCCGGTCCCAGTCGACCGGAAGAAATATGTCGAACAAAAGCCATATAAAGCCTGCGTCGTACTATTCCGCACAACGAAATGTGCTTCATCAACGTCGTCGTTTCGGAGAAGGAAGCTATGAGACGAGACATGCGTCAATTCAGCGTGCGAGCCGCTTTCTCGGACAGCGTCGAGTAGCGCATCAAGAGCTTCACTGTCGCGCTCTTCGTTCCACGTTTCGACAAGCCAGTGCTGGCGTGACTGGTGGATCTTCTGGCTGCGACTGATCGTGCCGGGTAAGGAGCCTGTAGGTGAGAGTTCACCATAAAGAACTTTGACGAGCGCCTGTAACGCCGTCTCGGTGAAGTCATATGTACATATATACGTGCCTATAGACGGGTCTATGGCGAAGTCATATGGCGAGCTTACTGCAACCACAATTACTGGTTTTTCGCGTCGTTCCCCAGTCTGGGAATACTGCGACTTGCATATCATCGACACGTGTTTGGTAAATCCGTGCTGGTACAGATTCCGGTTGGAGTCTGCTGTGAGTATGACGACGGCACTAGCTCGATCAATCAGACTCTCGTGTATCGGACGTACTCCAGTAGATGTGTAGGAGGTGTGGAGCACTCGACCAGACCTTTGGCGAGCAAGTGAGCGCCCAAACTCTCTAAAGACACTCTCGCCGCTGGTTATTGACGAGCCCTTCTCTGACGAGGCTGAAGGATCGGGTGAAGTGGTCATCATATCTAACATTGACCGCGAAACGGCCGATGCAGGTAAGGGCTTCACCAATGGTGTCAGTAAGAGGAGTTCCTCATCTGGCTCCAGAATTTGCGGTAAGGGAAGTAAGTCGTTGTTGTCACGAACGAGAGTAATCGAGCTGTCGTACGCGCGAGTAGAAAGGCTAGTGTGAGATGGTTGCAGTTGGGTTAAAGAATTGATACCTCCAGGATTCAAGGCTTGTTCCCATGTCGTGCAACGAGCCTTCATAGCGAGAACTCTTTGCAGGGATTGTCTGATTCGCGAGCGACTGATCATGCCATTCTCAACTCCGAGCTTCAGTCCGTTCAACGCTTCTAGTTGATAGGGGTAAGAACGACATAGAAGGATCAGGTCACAGCCAGCCTTCATTGCCATAACTGTCCCGCCGCCCACGCCAATATTATGTGTAAGCGCTTCCATTTCCAGACATTCAGAAACCACGACTCCATCGAATTTCAAGTCTTTGCGCAACAGACCATCCACAACTTGTTCCGACAGACAAGCGTGCATTACGTTCACTCCAGCAGAAGACATGGCAACGCCACCCACCATTACCGCATCAAGGCCGTTTGCTATGGCATTGCGGAAGGGAACCAAAGCACTCAGACTTAATTGCTCCAGTGACTCGGTGATGACGGGAACGTCGGTTTGTGAACCGACAAACTCTATATTGCCGTAGGAAGGGAAGTGTTTACCGCAGGTGACTAATCCTGCCTCTTGATAACCTTTCATGGTTTCAACGCCGTATTGCGAGACTTCTTGGGGATCATCGCCGCTTGTCCGAACGCCGATCGGCTGACTGCGCACGTTGGTCAAAACATCCAAGACCGGACCCAGGATCCAATTAACACCGACGGCTCTCAACTCCTGAGCAGTAGCCGACGCAACTTCATGCGCGAGTCGCTTGGAACCCGTCGCAGCGATACCCATGGCACTTGGGAATTGTCGTATAAATATCTCATCATACAGACTATTGACTCCTCCATTCTCCTGGTCTAAAGCAATCATTAGTGGAACTGGATGGCCCGCATCCCGCGCTATGGTTTGTAACTCCAGAATGAGTTTCGTAGTTTCCTCAGCAGCTATCAATACACATAAATCAGCCCTGATCCTGCTTAGTAGCGCGATATACATACACTTAAGGTTCTTCGCTGTCAATATGATACTACCAACATGATAATTCTCTATGAGCGATCGAATTTGGCCGTCAATCGTTGTACCGTCAAAGCCCATCATAAAAAGCTGGCCCATTTGCCTAATCGCTTTGTTAGTCCAACGCTTTTGCCGAAAATTCCAAAATGCGGTTATTACCAGTCCAAGTCGTCCCATATGGGGGGCAATGCCCCGTCCTTTGGGGCCATGACGGCCCGGCGCGAGGGCTTGCCAGCTCCCAGCGATAGCAGGCCACACTGGCTTCAAATATGTGATCGGATCGGGTCGTAGGTATGTGGATGATGCGATGGATGGCTCGGTGGTACTTTAGGTGGAAGGAACGTCGTCGGCGCAAGCTATAGATCGGGATCGGAGGCTGGTCGCAAAGCACAGAAGCTCATGAACTTTCGGTAGTTGAGTCACCGGTTACTACACACAGTGTACGCAGGCTTGATATGACAGTTGTAGTATCGAGCTATGATAGGCGCAACGGAGGCATATACGTATGCGTCGACGAGTCAAGGCGCGAATGGCTAGCTGTAGAAAGGGAGATGTTGGTTGGGATGAAGCCGAGCCGGAGCCCGGACAGAGCTCCGCGGGAAGGCGGTATGCTAAACAAAGCAAGGATCTAGATAGCCTTATCTTACTCGTGACCTTCAACTGAAGAGGACTTATGACAGCAGCAGGTAAAGTAAAACAATGCGACGGGCAGCTAGCTGTGCTCGAATCAAGAGGGGCTGGAGGACTCGCGAACAATGAGAATAGACAGAACCATGGACTAGTGATTACACTACGGAGCAGCTCACGTGCTGGCCTCGACGATAAGCTGACCAACAGATAAGGGCAATTGAGCGACGATGATTGGTCAGATTAGTTAGCATATCACCTGACTGGACGCTAATTCGGGACAACCCCGGACCTGCCCATAACAGGACTAGCGCCCTTCTGCCATCTGTTTCTGTGGAGACTCGACAGAGTCTGGAGATCTTTACAACCACATGTACCAGGAACAAGCAAGCCATTGAGCATGCATAATCATGTCCAGCATCTGACATAAAATCAATACGTGCGGGAAGGCTTGAGCCCCTACTGAAGGGAAGCTTGGTGTTCATGTTCAAGCAAATCCCGACTCCTACATGGTAGGGGTTTTCCATACGTATGAAGTGACCCTACATAGTAGTTGGATCAAATCATACCTTCATGTTCGGAGAAATGGATCACAATATACATTACGTTCATTAACTACCGTGGCAGCGACAAGAGCAAATATATATGAACAGGCGAATACTCTAAGCAAACCTTCTAGAACGAACGCCAGCAAAAAAGGCGTTAGTGCTGCTAAAACAATAAAGGACAAGAAACAAATCTGTAACCAGCATAGCTTAGGTAACATGTTTGGTGCCATCCAGAAGGGTCGCCCCAGGAGTGTGTAGAAAAGAGAGATGAATACCACCGTTGCAGCAAATGTCACGTTGCTCTGGCCGAATGCAACCATCCAGAATTGCTGGGTAGGGCTTGGCGTGGCTGAATGCGGTTAGATGATTTTATATTGAAGTACACTAATCTTTGTATCGTATGAACAACAACTACTACATATTACATGATTCTGCTCGGTATGAGCAGCAGAGCAAACAGAGGAGAGAAGGAATACATCTTTAAGTTATATTTATAATTTTGAAACACATTGAAAATGAACTCTCGGAGTCTTCTCTACTGATAAACTTGGATTGATCGGACTGTTCGGCATATGCGGAGTATCTTATCTGCTATCGTAGATCATACAGACACATACAGTACGGGTATGTAATGATCAATACAGATAACGTATTGTAATAAATGATTACCGAGTAGGCTACTCCGTAGACAGCCCAATATGTATGCAACCAACCTCATATTCAAGTTTGACTATTGAAGTAGTTCCATTCCAAGCAGCTTTTAGGTGAGAGCTGATGCATAAAGGGGCTAAAAATAGATGCCTTGAAATTGGCCCTTCGTATGTGATCGAAATGTCGAACCGCCATCGTATTTCATAACATACGCCATCTTAAACGCAACATGACCATACGATGGAGCCGTTGCACCACAATCTCCCAGACTCAAAGCAACCGTCGCCATTCCAGCCGGAGACGGGCAATGGTGTTGTTCCTCGCGTAGTAGTGTCATGTAGATACACACCTGGAAACATCGACTAATGAATAACATGTCCACGTCGTAAGTGTGACTGATACAAGGAACGTAAGTGGCTGCTCAGGTTGGCGGACTTGCGTAAGTATGAGCTGCGAAGTGTACGTTACGTGTAATTTATTCTCTCCCCATAGTCGGCGTAATCGCATAATACGTACACTGGATGTATGTATCTTACCCGATAAGTCAAGTAGAGTTCTATGGTTCCATCCTCTATCACCTGCCTTGGGTCCATGTAACTTACCTTCCTACGACTTTTTATTTCTTCTATTCTATTCATCTCAAAGCTACAGCTTTTGTTTCTATATTTCATTTTCCATATACGCAATCTTGGTTTTATACAAACACGAATCCAGCAAAATCGACGAACCAGCAGCTCGGCCTTGCACTGCACATACTTTTTCTTATCGGAAGCTTAAGTGAGGTGACGTAGTTCGCCTTCATCTGCACAATGTAAGGGATACAATCGGTGAAATACAGCGAGAAAGTTACTGACTAGATCAAACAGGAGAGTTATTATCCGTGAAGACCCTCGGGGTGTCTCCGAGTACATCGCTGAATATATAGTTAGTATGTATTCCATCAATTCCACTTTTGGCAATCAATCCGGGGAAGCGCATAGAGCTAATTTCAAACCAGGCCGAATCAATTCGTTTAACCCTACGGCTGAGAAGCCATTTGTTCTCGGTCTTCCAACCGGTAGCAGTCCAGAGATCATCTATCGCATTCTCGTGCAAAGGCACAAGGCCGGCGAGATCTCGTTTCGCAATGTCGTTACTTTCAACATGGTGAGCATTTTGCGATACAGGGAATATGATCAAGAGCTAATCTTCGACAGGACGAATATGTCGGCATCCCGCGCGACCACCCCGAATCATACCACAGCTTCATGTACAAACACTTCTTCTCACATGTCGATATACTCCCCGCCAACATAAACATCTTGAATGGCAATGCGCCCGATCTCGCCGCCGAGGCAACATCCTACGAAGCCAAAATCGCGCGCATGGGCGGCATTGAGCTTTTCTTGGGTGGTGTCGGACCAGACGGCCACATCGCCTTCAACGAACCAGGCTCCTCGCTCGCAAGTCGCACACGAGTGAAGACCCTTGCTTACGACACCATCGTCGCCAACTCCCGCTTTTTCGACAATGATGTCAGCAAGGTCCCCAAGAAGGCGCTCACAGTCGGTATCCAGACGATCATGGATGCGCGCGAAGTCGTAATTGTTTGCACGGGATCGCACAAGGCGCTTGCCCTTCACCACGGTCTCGAGGGGGGCGTAAATCACATGTGGACTTTATCCGCACTGCAATTGCATCCTCACCCGCTTATTGTCGCGGACCGAGATGCCACGATGGAACTCAAGGTCAAGACAGTGAAATACTTCGAGTCCATTGAAGAGTCGGGCACAGATGCGCGTACTCAGGGCCCCCCATTGGTCTACAGACCGCGAACCTACGTGCCCGCTCCTCTACTCACAACCGGAACCGCAGCAGCACAATTATCCAACAACACCAACAACAACATCACATCCGCACCTCTGGTCGACGCTGGAGCGCGCGTCCTCGTCCCCAAAGATCTCAAGATCAACACTGATATGCGCCGCTCGGCAGATGAGGATGGCGAACTCACGCCGGACAGTATGTCATCACGGATATTGGATTCGGGGATTTCGGGATTGGATGCCGCGCTCAAGGGGGAGTTGTTGCCTGATCCGATGGCGGCGAGGATGACTCCTGTTTAGTTCGCGTATCATCTGGTTTTTGGATATTTTGTTCGTACTCGATTTTTAAAAAGATTGCAATGAGCATGGTTTGAGCAGGTTAGGGTTTGATTTTTTGTTGATTCCGTTGGCTAGATTGAACATTTGAAAAATATGTACTGGAGTTTTTTGTTCCTATCGCTCACGCTACTCAGATATCATATGATGTACATTCTATATACAATTCTAGCCTCAAAATAACCCATAATTTAGAGCTTCGCAAAAGCAGTAGCCACCACATTACTCATATCGACCAAGGTACTCTTATTCCGTACCCAAGCCTCTATTCCCCTCCTCCCATTCTCAACACCCACACCACTCTGTTTCCATCCCCCGACACTCATTTCGGCGGGTGACTCGCCCCATGAATTCACCCACGTGATACCGGCCTGCAACTGATCAATTATGCGATGCGCAAGATTCAGATTGGTTGTAAACACGCCTGCTGCAAGACCCAATTCAGTCGCGTTGGCGCGACGGACGGCTTCTTCAATTGTGTCGTAGGTGAGAATAGAAAGCACCGGGCCGAAGATTTCTTCCGTGACGATCTTCATGGAATCCGTGCAGTCGGTGAAGACGGTTGGTTGGACCCAGAATCCCTTTTGGAGCTCTGCGGGCAGGTCTTTGGGTTGGCCGGGCCCACCGTACAGCAAGGTTGCTTTATCCGTCTCTATGCCGTGTCGGATGTAGTCTGTAACTTTTTGATGATGGACTCGCGAAACGAGTGGACCAAAATTGGTGGAAGGATCCATGACGGGACCGGCACGGATATATTGCATTTTTGCTAGTAGACGTTTTTCAAAGGCCGATTTCATGCTTCTGGGTACAAAGACTCGTGTACCGTTTGTGCAGACTTGGCCTGTGCTATAAAAATTGGCCATCATGGCCCCGTCAACGGCAATCTCGAGATCGGCGTCAGGTAGGATAAGAAGTGGCGATTTCCCGCCGAGTTCCATCGTGACATATTTCATGTTTCCGGCTGCTGCTCCGGCTACCTTTTTGCCTGTTGCGACTTGGCCGGTGAATGATACCTTGGCGACTGAAGGATGAGCGGTCAGGTATGCGCCCACATCGCCGGCGCCGTGGACAACATTGAAGACGCCTGGGGGGAGACCGGCTTCAGTGTAGACTTTGGCGAGGGTTTCGCCGTGGAGAGATGTGAATTCACTGGGTTTGTAGACCATTGTGTTACCGGCTGCGAGACAGGGTGCGGATTTCCAGAGAGCTCTAAAAGTGCGTTAGGCTATCTATCTCCTCAACTTCGAGAGAAATTTCTGAAGTTCGAGGGAGCTTACATCTGAATAGGATAGTTCCAAGCTCCAATACCCACACATACACCCAGAGGCGCCTTCTTAGTATACACCCACGCATCCTCCCTCAATTGAGTCGTCTCCCCATTCAACCCACCACCACCTACCAAATTCGCAAAATATTCAAGCACATCCGCACCCGTCGCGACATCTACAACACTAGTTTCCGTGAACGCTTTCCCTGTATCGTGTGTTTCGGCCGTGGCGATCTCGTCGTTTTGTTCGCGCAACAGCTGGGCCGCTTTCTGTAGGATGCGGGCGCGCTGAACGGGCGGCGTAGCGGACCATGATGGGAAAGCGCGTTCGGCAGACTGAATGGCCTTGTCGACGTCGGCGCGTGAGGCTTCGTGGATGTCTGCGATGTGTGCGCCGGTTGCAGGATCAATTGTTTGAAAGGTTTTGGAGGAGGTGGCGGGTTGGGTGTTGCCGTCGTAGTAGAGCTGCCGCGCGGAGTAGTGAACCATGTTGTCGATGAGTAGAACAATTCAGCGGGAGGACATAGAAGGAGATTCAACAAGTCAACTGTAATGTCATGGAAGTCCACAGGTGCTAGTTGGAAGAAAGAAGCTAAGGCAAGGAAGATTTTACCTCATTCCTCCTGAGGGGCCGCGGCGAGTCGTTAGCTTCTCCGGCACGTCATTGGCCACCACTGCACCCTACGTACAAATACTACTCCGTAGCCACCAGTATTGTCACAATTAGACGACCATATACTACGTAGTCAATTTAATTACTCGTCTAATCGAACATCAAACACTGTCTCACCGCCATACATCGCTACACTGTATGCGCGTACTATGCTAGCGGTTGCCTCGAATAGGAATGCCCMCCCCGACTCGCCGATAAGCGGCGCTAAGCCTCTAGCGGCATCCTTAATCGTTATCTTTTTTTGGCGATTCTCTGGCCAGAGACGTTATGTGATAAGTGAAGTCAGGAAAGAGAGATCAATGCATATCAAGCTTTTCAATCATCCAAGTGAGTGCAATTTTTGTATACTCTATGCGCTTCTCTGTATATCCACACAAGTATACCATATACATCGTAGTATGTAGATAACAATTGGCCCCATTCTCTCTATCTACTACGGAGTAGTCGCAAAATTTTTCCCCTCGGGATCCTCTTCGGTGGCTGCCGTTGACTGTGGGGGATCCTCACCGACGTCATGTCTCTGCGAATACGAACTCGGACATTTAACTCATCCCTAGGTGCGAGAAAAATTGCATGACCAGGATAGTGGCAAGGAGTTGTAGTGAGTTAAAAATTTTATATCCTCTTCAAAGGCATGCGCATTGTAGTGAGTAGTGCATCCTGAGTGGCGGCTTATCGGCTTATCGGAGCCAGTAGGAAAACATGGCGACCGGGATCCGACAGCCACAGCACACGACACTTGCATAGCGACTTACTAGTAGCACATAATACTACTGAGGGCAACGTTCGTTGTGAGACTCCGTGTAGACACTAGACAAATCCAGTTAAAATACGAGAACAGCCGGTCTGGTGGCTGAAATGAAATGAAGGACTTGAAGCTCAGTGCAGCCCCACTTGGGATCCACTGATTGCTCGAGAAATTGAGAAAAAGAGAAGGCACCAAGGAATTAAAAACCCTCTTTCTTCCTTTCCTTCTACACACTCTGTACAGCCATCTTGCTTTCTCTTTGAATCAATCATTACCATGGCGACCACTGTCCTCCTACCCCCGAGCGAGCTCGACAGCTATGACTATGTCATCGTCGGAGGAGGTACTGCTGGTTGCGTGATCGCCTCGCGCCTCGCCGAGTACCTTCCTAACAAGCGCATCCTGTTGATCGAGGCTGGTCCGAGTGATTATATGGACGACCGAGTCTTGAATCTGAAGGAATGGCTCAGCCTGTTGGGCGGCGAGCTGGACTACGACTACCCAACGACCGAGCAACCAATGGGTATGTACAGCCCTTTGAAATAAAGCAAAGCTCCGAGAACACTAACACTTCCCAGGAAATAGCCATATCAGACACTCCCGAGCCAAGGTTCTTGGCGGCTGCTCATCACACAACACTCTGATCTCCTTCCGGCCCTTTGAATATGATTTGCGTCTTTGGCAGGAATCCGGATGCACAGGCTGGACCTTTGACATGTTCACGCGCGTACTCGACAACTTGCGCAATACCGTTCAGCCAGTTCACGCTCGCCATCGTAACCAGCTCTGCAAGGACTGGGTGCAGTCTTGCTCGACCGCATTGAACATTCCCGTTATTGAAGATTTCAATAAGGAGATTCGGTCCAAGGGCCAGCTAGAGCAGGGAGTTGGCTTTTTCTCCGTCTCGTATAACCCAGATGATGGTCGTCGCAGCAGCGCTAGTGTGGCCTATATTCACCCTATTCTTCGTGGAGAGGAAAAGAGACCCAACTTGACTATCTTGACCAATGCATGGGTGTCACGTGTTAATGTGGATGGGGACACAGTCACCGGCGTGGATGTGACGGTGGAGTCCGGTAAAAAGTATTCTATACACCCCAAAATTGAGACTGTCATTTGCGCTGGTGCGGTCGACACACCACGATTGTTATTACTGTCTGGACTCGGTCCCAAAGACCAGCTATCATCTCTTGGAATTCCGGTCGTCAAGAACATTCCCGGAGTTGGCGAGAACTTGCTCGACCATCCGGAAACCATTATAATCTGGGAACTCAACCAACCTGTGCCACCTAACCAAACAACCATGGACTCGGATGCCGGAATCTTTTTGCGACGAGAGGCACCGAACGCTGCGGGAAGTGACGGAACAGCTGCCGATTTGATGATGCACTGTTATCAGATCCCTTTCTGTCTAAACACCACCCGTCTCGGCTACGATGAACCCGTAGACGCTTTTTGCATGACACCAAACATCCCGCGTCCACGGTCTCGCGGTCGTCTGTATTTGACCTCATCAGACCCCAATGTCAAGCCCGCTTTGGATTTCCGATACTTTACAGATCCAGAGGGTTATGATGCCGCAACAATAGTGGCTGGTTTCAAGGCTGCTCGTGAAGTAGCGAAACAGGCACCATTCAAGGACTGGATCAAGCGAGAAGTCGCTCCTGGACCCGACATTGATTCTGATGAAGCGCTCTCCGAGTACGGCCGTCGCGTTGCGCATACCGTGTACCACCCGGCCGGCACAACCAAGATGGGCAACATTGAGCAAGATCCACTCGCCGTCGTTGACCCTCAATTGCGAGTCCGAGGACTCAAGAAGATCCGTATTGCGGACGCCGGTGTCTTTCCTCACATGCCTACTATCAACCCTATGCTTACTGTGTTGGGTATCGGAGAGCGAGCAGCTGAGCTTATTGCTGAGGAGGCAGGCTGGAAGAGGAACCAGCCTAGGTTGTAAGCCCCCAATTAAAAGAATAAAATAATAAATGTCGCCTGCTGGTGACGGAAAATAGAGGTGGAGAGCAATGGTAGGCTCGACAGCACTACTGTTTGATACCCTTGGAGCGTTACATAGATGTTGATAACCAAGCAGTTGGAGTGTATAGGCACATATCCACCATACGAAATATAAACGAAACAAAAAACCTCAAAAGTACTAAAAAGCATTAATCTATCACTCTATTGAATGGTATCAACGATGCTATGTAAAGTAATTCCCAAACACGATAATAAACGTAAAGTAACCTGACAGCAAACATCATAAATCCGTTAATATTTACAAGAATACACCTTAGAACCCACACCAGAAAACAACCTTGGAAAGAGACAGACTACAACTCCTTCGAGTCAAACACCTTGATACCAAACTTCCACACCTGATCCACCGTCAAACTCGGCCCACTATACGAATCAACCGTCTCCCCCAAAACCACCAAATCTGCATCCGCGCCGTGATCCAGCGTACCCTTCACCTTCTCCAAACCTAACATCTTCGCCGGCGTAAACGTAACCGCATTGAGGGCCTCGGCGGTAGTCGCATTCGTCCAGCGTCGGAAATTGTTCACGCACTCAATCAACGTCGCCGAACTACCTGCAATCTTATCCGATCCTTCGAGCGTGAGCCGAACACCCTTCTTGATGATCCGGTCCCCGTTCGTCCAGTCATACACACCATCCGGCAACCCGCACAGCCGCATCGCGTCAGTGACCAGAATGAGTCCCTCGCTATGCGCGTTGTACGCAATCTTGATAGATGTAGGATGCAAATGAATCCCATCCGCAATGACTCCGAAATACGGCTTCGGTAAATCGCTTTGTCCCAACAAACCAAACACGCCGGGGTTGCGGTGGTAGAAGGGCCGCATGGCGTTGAATAAGTGTGTGATCATCATTGCGCCTTGCCCGACGGCACTCATGGCTTGTTCGTAGGTTGCGTCAGAGTGGCCGATTGAGTAGATGATGCCGCGCGAGACGAGGTCGGGGATGTGCTGGATCATGGTGCCGACTTCGGGGGCAGCGGTGATCATTTTGATTGCTGGTCTGGTGGTAGTTGTGGAGACATTATGATGGCGGTGGCCGTTGACGAGGCCGTTTGCGCGGATGCCTTTTTGCAAGGATTTGGCGATAGGAGTTGCGGGTGTGGGTGTCACGGCGTCTTCGTCTGCGATCTCATCCGCAGTGTTTTGGGCAATGTCGGGAATGTTTTCAAGTCCGTAGCAATTGATTATGTCCTGAAAGCCCTGAGTCGAAGCAAGTAGAACCTCAGGCTTGTGGATCCCGTTTCGCGAGGGATTAATAAAGGGACCCTCGACATGCGCGCCCAAAGACTCAGCGCCATCTTCTGGATTCCGTTTCCCCGTCGGCGCAAGCGATGGGAGAACCTGCTTATAATTTTCTGCTGTCGTACTCACCGTAGTCGGCAGGAAAGACGTTACACCAGTCTTGATCAAACCTCTATTCGACTCGATGAACCCTGCATCGTATTCCTCTTTTGTAGCTTGAGGAACGGAGTAATCGAATCCCTGGGCACCGTTGAGTTGTACATCGATGAAACCCGGTGCCAGAATGCGGCCCTTGAGATCAATGACTTGATCAGGCGAAAGTTGGAGTTCGTAAAAGGCTTCTTGGTCCTTGAGGATTTTGCCGGTTAACGAATCGATCCATAGGTCTTGTTCGATGAGATGGTTGGATTTGAGGATGCGGCAGTTCGTGAATTTGGTGATGCGCGGAGGCGAGCTTGGTTGGCGCGAGGGCATGATGTCACTTCTTGACTTTCGATATATACTCGAAAATTTCGGGATAAGTATATTTTGTCGTGTAGTTAATATTCGATCCAGCTATGCGCACTGGATAGAAAAGAAAAAGAAAGAGGAAACGAAAAATTGCCGAAGGCAAGTAACGATATAGATATGAACGATTCCGGACCAGGACAGGCACCGTACCGTATCTACGTACCTATCTAGTCCGAAGTAACTATGTAAACGCAAAAACAAATAGCTACTCCGCACGATGGGACATGGAAAGACTCCGGAACACGGTTGGCTGGATCTTTAGTCATATTCTAGTAGAATCCGTAAGGTAGTCGTTATCGTACATAGCCGTCCATTCATATTTGCTGGGCTGAGGCTGTTACCGTGCTACGTCGACATTTGCCAGATACTACCGTCCAATTTCGATATTGTAAGTACGCGTATGACGATACTGTAAGATTGCCACGAGGTGGTGTGACCGCTGACGGCGGCGTACGGAATGTCGGCGTCTCGCCGTTTACGCCGGATACGCCGTGAAGGATGCTCTCGGCAAGCCGTGATCAATTACCCATCAGCCATTTCTATCAGAATCAGGCTTTGTCGAACTGAGTATTTATTTAAACATGCAATGGGAAAATCCAATGCGGTCAGTTTGGTGTGGAATACCTGAAGGATGATGATAAGGATTCTCGTATTGGTAATACCAATACAGAACCTGTATGTATGTGTAATACGTCTCGGTAATCAACTTCCTACATCTCTCCGTCGGAGTCACCCCATACAAAAAATCTATCCCTCTCAAAATATATCAGACATAAATATTCTCACGTAATATCAGATTGCGATCGCCAATAAAGTCAGCACAAAAATTCATCAAGCAAATGCACCATTACTCCATAATGTCGAGAGTCAATCACACATACAAATTTCCAACATGGATGCGATAGCGACTGCGGCGGGGCAGAATGCAACCGTATCTTTTATCGTGGTTTTGTGCCATGTAACGCTTCCAGGTGGCTGGTCCTGGGCAGTGGTTACGTACTCAACGAAAATCAATGTCAATTATCGCTAATGAATTGGTATTTTGAATTCTTTGTATATTCATGCGTCTGATAAGTTGGACAAATATTTCTAGAAATATAACAAAAGATGATATCGGGCCTATTACATAGTACACCGAAATGTCGGGGTGCTCATTTGGCTTCTTTGTATGTACGTGATATCGGATCACCGGCGTAATGGGTCAACGTTAACTGTAACCCGCTCCACCACTACCACAAACCATTAATCAAACGTGACGAATAGAATTTTAAAAAAATGGGTATCTGATGGAAATGAGAGGCAGCTTGACAGCCCTATTGACGCATTATATCAAAAAGGCTACGCTAACCCACTTGCGGACCCAGCCTAGCCGTTTGCGTGTATGATTGCCGCTTTCGGTAATTTTGTAGATTGACTTTTGACGACGAATTCCAGATCGTATGATATCTCGCTGTAATTCAGTATTCAGAGTGTAGTTCAGCCTCAAAATTAGAAATGTGAATGCACCCGGTCGACACGTGTTGCTCAGCAAGAACTTCTAGAGTCTGGACGTGTCAAGCATTCCTGAGACACCAAGAATGCAGGATCGAGCGCAATCACAAGGCAGATCATCTCACTGCATGCTGGGAAAAACAATAATTGCTTTTTCGCTCGTTGCACAAGTTTCAAAAAATTACAAAACAGTTACCCAATCATTTGTCGTCCTTGGCTCGTGGAACTCGACGTTTTGATCGTTTTGATAATCCCCGCAATTAAATCTATCGAACGATCTGCATTTCCACCTTCGATTTCCGTCCATTGCTTCCATCCATGCCAATTCTACACAGCCTTTGTCTTACTTTAAACCCACCTCGTCATACATATCGTACCCATGCAATACGAAGTACACTTGGCACAGGAAGCTGAAGAATGGATGCAGGAGCCAAGTACCCTGGCTGTAATTACTTGTTTTACTTCCAGACCTCCTAACTAATCCGGCCTGATTTTAATTCGGGTTGTTCGGATCAATTGCATTGTCGACTAGTGCTCGTGACTGAGCTATATGCAGGTCTTTTGTCTCGGTCCACTGCATTTCGATCCCTTTTGTACTCTCTGCGCACCACCTGTGTCGTGCGGCGCTGAAATTTTATTTTAATTTTTTTCTCGCTTGCATGTTGATATTCCTTCACGGCCGATTACCTTGAACATAACTTGTATTGTCCCATATCATCATAGAAGAACTTATTGATAGAGCTACTCCCACGAAAATTGCTGCACAATATCCCCGACCAGCTAATCCAGTCATAATGACTTCCGAGGATGAAAAGGAGTACTCCAAGCCCATCCACGACAATGGCGACAAAAACATCACCGCCAAAGAACCCGAATCTCAACAACTAGCACAGACCCAACAACGTCAACCAGCCGGCGAAGATGTCGTGCCCTCCGTCGAAGGCAAACCATGGATGTACAAACCCCTCAAACTCGGGCGATGGACATTCCCCTGGTATGCTTCACCCGAAACCCAACTACTCATGGTCTCCCTTGTCTGCTTCCTATGCCCTGGGATGTTCAACGCCGTCAGCGGCCTCGGCGGTGGCGGACAAGTCAATTTCCGTGATGTGAATAACGCAAACACCGCGTTATACAGTACCTTTTCTGTGGTTGGCTTTTTCGCGGGGTCAATCGCAAACAAAATCGGACTCAAATTGACCCTCTCCTTCGGCGGGKTTGGGTATTTCCTGTACGTGGCGTCGTTGCTGTCGTATAATCATAACCAGAATGTTGGGTTCTTGGTCTTTGCGGGTGCGTTGTTGGGTGCTTGTGCGGGTTTGTTGTGGTGTGCCCAAGGAGCGATTATGATGAGTTATCCGTTGGAGAGCCAGAAGGGTTCATTTATTGCTTTCTTCTGGATTGTTTTTAACCTCGGTGGAGTTATTGGAAGTTTGGTATGTGCCTAGTCATTTGACATATGGGAAGCCACCGCTGACGATAGAAAGGTTCCCCTGGGCCAAAACATACACTCAACAGCCGGCGAAGTCAACGATGGCACATACATTGCCTTCATGATCCTCATGGCCATCGGCTTCGTGCTCGCCTGGGGCCTGTCAGACTCCAAATACATCAAACGCAAAGACGGCTCTAGAGTCATCGCCATCAAACAACCTACCTGGAAGACCGAGATCATGGGTCTGTTCGAGACTCTTCGCCACGACCACTACATCATTCTGCTGTTCCCTATGTTTCTGGCCAGTAACTGGTTCACCGCATATCAGTTCAACGCCGTGAATGGCTCTTACTTTAATATCCGCACTCGCTCTTTGAACAGTTTGCTTTACTGGCTCAGTCAGATGATCGGCGCCTTTGTGTTTGGGCAATTGCTCGACCTCAAGTTCTTGTCGCGCACAATGCGCGCAAAGTTGAATCTGGGATTGTTGTTTGCGCTTACGATGGGTATTTGGGGTGGAGGGTATGCTTTTCAGAGAACGTATGATCGGCAGTCTGTCAAGCCAGATATGGACTGGAGTTCGCCGGGTTACGTTGGTCCTATGTTTTTGTATATGTTTTACGGGTTTTATGATGCCTCGTTTCAGACGTGCACATACTGGTATGTCTCACCAGTCCTTGGATGGGTATAGCGTTAACTTTGATCAGGTTCATGGGCTCCTTGAGTAACAACAGTCGCAAACTTGCCAACTTCGCAGGGTTCTACAAGGGCATCCAATCCGTCGGACAGGCAGTTACTTGGCGGTAAGTCTCAAATACCCTTGATATGTTTGCCTTTGCTGATCATTTATCAGCATGGATGCGTTGGACACATCCTTCATGCGCGAATTCGCCGCGTGCTGGGGCATTCTCGCTGGATCTCTCGTGATCGCGTCCCCCGTGGTCTTTTTCCGAATCAAGGATCATACAGATGTTGAGGAAGATCTCAAATTCTCAGACGAGACCCTTAACGAAGTTGCTCCTGATCACGTTGTGGAAGAGAAGTAATCTCCTTCACCAGACTGGTTGGTACCAGTTTGATTGACGCGAGAATCTTCCGGTGTTGTTTTTGATATACATTTTTTGTCATGGCATGCTATCATTCGTTGATGCCATATCTCATGTTTGATTATTTTTAGCATTGCTCTGCATTGTGATCCGTTCGCTACCTTTGTGTTTGATGGGAGATTTTTGATTTTTATGTTTTTATACCCTCATAGTGTATCTAGGAACACAACAACCATCCCTTGGATATATCCGAATCAAATGCTGAACATATACGCACCAATCTTGCAGTCTCTAAATTACAGCGATGCCTTGATTATTCCTTGCTCTGACTGCACCTCCTTCTGCGCACGCTCTCTCAAAAACCGTCTCAATATCTTCCCACTGGGATTCTTTGGCAACGCCTCGGCAAACACCAAACCACCAGTTATCCTCTTGTGCTGGGAGAGTTTCGCATTCACTTCTTCGACTATCCGGTCCGCCGTCGATTTGGTTGCTGCAACCCCCTCTTTGAGTACAATATACGCTCGAGGATGTTCTTGTCCATTGATTGTAACGCCCACAACAGCTGCGTCGGCGACTCCCTCACTCTCGAGACAGACACCATCTAGTTCTGCAGGTGCTACTTGCATGCCCTTCACTTTGATGAGTTCTTTCAACCGCCCACTAATGAAGAATTTGTTCTCCTCGTCGTAATAACCAATATCACCCGTTCGTAGCCATCCGTCTGGTGTCAAAGTCTCGGCAGTTGCTTTGGGGTTTCTCCAGTATCCTTTCATTACTTGTGGTCCTCGCACCCAGAGCTCACCGTCTTGGTTTGGTCCCAACTCTTTGGCCTCAGATGTATTAGAAGATGGTCCACTTGAAAACTCGTCCGGTAAGGACATAATTTTCGCTTCAGAGTTGGCATTGGGCCAGCCTACGCTGTGGCTTTTGCTGATTTTGCCTGGCTCCCAGGCTAGGCATGCGCATGTGCATCTTCCATTGTCAGTTTTTCGCAATTCACAGAACGCACAAAGTTACATACTCGGTCATCCCCCATCCCTGCTTAATATTGACTACACCCTTCGGCCACAGATTCTCAACTTCTTCCGATACCTCTCGACTCAACGGCGCAGCTCCGGATCCAATAAATCGCACAGAAGAAAGATCGTACTTCTTGGTCTCCGGTCGCTTAGCAAGCATGACCACAACCGGCGGTACGAGAATCAAATGCGAGATGCGATACTTTTCAACATTCCGCAAAACCGTCTCGAAATCGAATTTCTCCATGATATAAACGGGCGTGCGACGGTATTGTGCCACCCCCAACATTAACATTTGACCCATTGCGTGATATAAGGGCAGGAAACAGAGCCATTGCTCTTTACTTCGGTGTTTTAGCTCGTAATCCACATCTTGGCTCATGTGGTTGTGGTACTGTAAGACGTTTGCGACGTAGTTGCCGTGTGTGATTTCGACACCTTTGCTGAGACCGGTGGTGCCTGAGGAGTAGTTTAATGCCATGGTAGTATCTCGAGCTTCGTTGGGGCCCATCAAGGGATCCCATACAAATTTTCCACCTTCTGCTTCTGATACGATCAATGAACTCCAATGACGACAGCCAAGGTCTCCATCTTGTGGCTGAACCTTTGTGAAATCATTAAGATCGAAGTGGCGATCGTCAAGTACGAACGTTCGCTTCTCATGACCCCTTCCCACTTTCCTCGCGGCCTCTAGACATGTCTTCATCGCATCACCGTCTTGACTTATGACAAACCTCGGATCTGAATCTCTGATTTGATGTGCCAATTCCAGCGCCGAATATGTTGGATTGCAGCCACTGAATATACCACCAGCCATTATCACGCCCATGAATACCACTGGGTAGAAAAGATTGTTTGTGCCGAAGACAACCACCCTATCGCCTTTGTTCAGGCCGGCTCTTTGCAAACCGGCAGCGAATCGTTGACTCCATAGTCGAAATGTGTGGCGAGTGAGATTTCGCGTTTCGGGATTGGCATGATCGAGGAGATATGGCTTGTCGTCTGGGAGAACGTCTGCTGGATCCCCGAAAATCAGGGTGGGAAAGCTGTGTTGCGGAATGTCGATTGTGTATAGCGATTTGATTACCATTTTGCTGCTGCAAACTGCAAGAATGAGTCCAAGAGAGACTAAATCTTTATGTAGTCTAGAATGAGACGTGATTGTAACAGAGAAGAATTCTGAGGAGAAATTGATCAAAGAAAGCCAAAGAAAGAAGTCCGATCGGTAAAGATTAGTCTAACTACTAAAAGCAAAGCAAACAGCCACGAATAGATTTCTTTTTCCGCGCCGATAGTCTGGCCAATATTTTCTTTTTCTCGATCATTATTGCTTAAATTCTTTGTGTTATTGCCGGGCATCCAGTAGTAACCCCGATAAGGTGATCTGCGGTGCGGAGAATGAATGCGGGGGAGCTCCCAGGGACCGCCAACTATTACTTTTGGCGTCAATAGTTACTCTTTCGTCCAATAATATCTGTATTAGAAAGGCAAATTCCATGATTCAAGGCGGGGTGAATGCAATAGTGTCGGGTATGCCGTATGGTTACCGAGGACGTCGGTTATTAGAGCATACAATTCAATGGGGGTAATAGAGTCATATTCATCTAATATACTGAGCACTGAACAGAAGTTCTTGGTTTGGTGTATTGTAATATCCATGGACGTCACTTCTTGCATGGATGTCGGTACAAAGCCAATTCTGAATATTGTCCTGTCAGGGCTTTTGGCGATTTGCCCTGACCTACGTGTATGTTGCAGTCGCCAATTTCTCAGGGCTATGGTTCTTGGATATCTGTTTGAGGATTAATATAGGACCTTGAATATTTACCCCACTAAATTCGTGCTACTTGAGCATCTTACCTGGTTATAACTATCCTTATTCCCAGATCATCCAAAATGTGTATACGTATGGTTAGCACTAGGAGTCATAATAGCCCCGATTGATGTAACAGCCGTAGCTGAGAGTTTGAGCGCGGAAATATATGTAGAGTATCCGATTTTCCCAATCGCCCACGTTTTGAACAATCATTCTTTGCCTGAACAGAAGAATTCTTCTGACCCCAGGCTCTGGCTAATCAGGTAGGCCGTCTACTTAATCACTATCTCTCGTTTTTTGCATGCCTATCGAACCTATCTACCATTCAGAACTGGCCATAAACAGCAAATCAAGTCTAACAATATAATACCTCCTAATTCACTAACGATTACCGCAACAGAGGTTCGACAACTTTACAGCAATCCAACACTGACTGCAGTTCTTTTCGTGCAGTCAATACTGACTTTGATCGAAAAGGACAACTAAGCTGGTATGAAGCTGAGGGTTCTATCTCAGTTGCACCGCATGCAGATGTCTTAGAGACAGCTCAGAGACTGGATGATGAATTATCCCAGGGCAGGACTCGAGGTCCGCTTCACGGGATCCTTTTGATTTTCAAGGTACGACATTATTGGTACATGTATTCATGGGTGACTATACAGACGATATCAGTGTATGTTACGGGTGGAATCAGGCAAGGTGACCGGCCTGTGAGCTATTCAGTAAGCAATCCGTCACAGCACTCAAGTATTCAGTACATTGACTAATGCTGGTTCAGAAACCTGGGGGGGGGGCTCATCCGGTAGCTAAGCAATTGGTGTCTCTACGGGCTTTGCCATTGTAACACGTGGCATCGAGACAGTTAGCTCGCTTGTTACGCCTCCAGCTCGAGCAGCTTTGTACGCTATGAAGCCCACTATTGGATTATTCCAGTGGATGGCATTGTTCCGGTCGCCACAAGTCTTGACTCTGTGGGTGATATGGCGCGTTTGCTGCAAGACCTTGCATTGGTATCGCGCTTATCACAAAGTCTTCTGATCGTCCACCTTGTGAATATTCAGATTTCATACCCGGAAAATGGGACGACATCCGCCTTGGATTTTTGGATGAGTATCTCTAGAGATTAAGAGACTCTCTATGTGAGCCCAAAAATGAAGCTTGGCAGTCAGGTGGTAAATTGAGTCGAAGCCAGCCGTTCCCCTTCCATGTTGCTGGTACTTACTTTATCTAGACCGTAGAGTAACACGACACCATGAGAACACTTCGAGAATCTGGTGCTCACATTGAATACCAGGTGAATATTCCTCGGGGTGAAATGTTGGCCCAGTTTAGCTAAGGTCATGCGTGTAAGTGTTCTGCTTTTTCAGATTGATTGTGAGTGAAGGCATGGCTGACTATTAAACGAACACGAATTCCMCCCCGCCATTAACGAATATCTTTTAACAGAGTTCGTAGCCTCGAGGCATTAGTGCGATGGAATAAAGAACATGCGAGCCTTGAAGTCTCCGAAGGTAAGACATCTGCCTTTTTTCTCTTCCTCCTCCATTCATCTCAATTGGCATAACGGAGGCATATCTAACGGCCAGTATAGAGTTCCCATCACAAAGAAATCTAGAGAACTCCTTGAATGGCACTTCTACGTCTGCGGAAAACGAGCAGATTCTTGGAGACACGCGAGGAGTCGCCGGGACTAACGGCATCGACAGAGTCCTTTACCAGCACATTCTTGACGCCATTGGATCCTGACTGACAACCCATTCACCAGCTTGGCGTCTGCTGGTGGTCAGCCCTGTTCTATGTTCTTTTCAATAAGCATTGTGTAGCTTCTAATCGCATAAAATGTAAGGTACCCAATAGGCACGATGCCTTTAGGGATCTTGGGACTCAACGGACGGGCGTTCGGCATGAGCTTCGTTGCCAAAGCTCATCAAGAAGCTAAGCTCTCCTGTATCATAAGCGCATGACATGGCACTTTCCAGCGTCAGGCATCATCGGAGCTGAGCGAAGATACAAAGCTGTCAATCTCGGCGTAGACATACGTCATGAACTATATAGAGATTGCTCTGCCCTAGAAACTACCAATTTTAGGAGATCTTGTAAATTGAATTCTCCAAGCACTTTGGGGTCTTTTCAACGTCATGACAACTAATATCCAATTTCAGGAACTATCAACATATCAAGCACAACATGTCACTAACAACTTAGTACCTTATCTAATATTGCAAAAAATCAAGAAGAGAAATACGACATGATAATCGTCAGCCTAGTAAATTACAAACCTAATCTACAAACACCTTCCTCCGATGATCGCTGCTATCCACTATATTGAAGTTCACTCAAACGATAATTGATCCTAGTCCACATAGCACTAAGCTAACCATGCTCGTTGTACGAACACGGGGAGAAACTTGATAATGAGAATAGTATGCCAAAGTATGTATTCACATGTGAAAATTGACGTCATACATAAACCGGGTTCGTAGCTTAATGTTGGTCGCTATAACTATCCCAAAGTAGTAAGAGAAACTTAGGCTGGATTTAGGGGGGTTGACATGTGAAAGTGACAACTAACGTCGAATGTCACGAGTCATCTCCATAGCGTACGTACGTACATGTATGTAGTTACATAAGTAGCTCAAATGATGTTCCAGTCCTTAACCCCACAGAATTAAAAAAAAAAAAAAAGCCTTCTACTTAGTACGTACGTGCTTACTTCATACCAAGACATGATCAGCATGTGAAAAAGTCTACCTTTTTTTCTTCCAAAAGCCTCATATAAACTAAAACCGAGCCCCGACCCACCAATATCTGGAATCGTGGATCCATATTATAAATAGGAATGCATACAGCATTCAATGTTACCTCGTATCAGCTAATAAGACTGCGTACGTACGTAACATAGATAGTATCATATCGGCATGCCGATCTACCTAGGTATCTATGCCGAGGTTTCTGGCTTTCTCCTTAGACTATGGATTTGATGCATGCCAGGGGATCCATAAATGAAAATCAAGCGTAGCAGCTGAGTTTCTGATGTTGTAAGTAATACAAAGGCCATACCGGTACGTCTGCACTCTTGTATGGTTGGAATGTTCATGATCCGGGTCTTGACTCAGATCCATAAACATAACCAAGTACGAAATCCGTTTCGGCAGTCCCTGATCCCCTTTCAGGACATCTCCCGCACATTCCTCATCTCGGTCATCGGGCTTCGGTCTTCACGGGATGGATGACCGACCCCTTTTAACTCGCCGGATCGCACCAGTAGAATCATGGAGACGGACTTAGTCTTACGTGCGTATGATAAAGGTACGCTCTCCACAACTTGACTACTTACGTGGTAAGTTTAATTGTTTGTGGGGTTTGAGTTTCATGCTTCTAGATTTAGCTGATCAGGTGAAGGTGAAGAAGCATGTGATTCCTCCGACTTTGTGGGGATGCTACGCCCGTACGTAGGATGTACGGATCAAGTTAGTTTGCTCCGGGCACACAGATCAGGAAGATCAACAATCAAAATTCATTAAATTGTGGGTTGAAAAAATCGGATCATCACAATGGTAAGAAGCAATATGTACAATGAAAGAAAATATCAAGTCCATCATATCCTTTGCGCCAAAACTTGCCGGATTTTTGTAACGTGCCTGTCCCATGTCCTGTATCAACCCAAACGAAATCAAAAAAAAACGAAATCAAAAAAAAAAGTTTAATACATTCTCGTAATAGAATGTGAAAGTAGGAAAAATGCATATTCAAATAAGCACGTATGTAATTCATAACTCATGCATATAGTCATTTCAAGATCCGTCTCATAATTTCAAGGATAGACCCATGTCAGGATCGACATCCCCGGAGAAGCCGTCGTTCCGCTTGGTGTAATCGTAATTAAACAAATTATTAATGTTGCCATCATGAGTGAAATCAGGGAGGTAGTCAAAATCGGGCTTGGCTTGAGGCTGTTTCTCGAGCTGGGTATGGTTGTTGGTGTTGACGTTACTGTTGAAGGTGAATGCCATTATGCCGTCTTCGGCGCCGAATAGGTCGGCGCCGCCATCTTCGAAATTGAGGAGAGCATCGAAGTCGTTTTGAGTGACTTCGGCGTCGTTGGCCAGGTCAATGAAGTCGTTGAGACTCATGTCGGGCTGAGCTTTGAACAGGTTCGGGTTGAGGTTTTGGGTACTTCCGTTTTCGCTGCTGTTGGAGTGTGGCGGCGTCGCGACATCGAACGGATTCAAGGTTGTGCTGTGCGTCGTTTCAGCTGGGATAAAGCCAACGGATGGTGCGTTGAAGCTCGAAGAATAAGTAAGATCGGGCACTTTCTGGGTCGCCAAAGACTCTGGGGGTGGCGTCAACGCTGCTGGACGGATAGTCTCGGTAGGAGCAGCTGGTTCATGCTCATCTAGATCGGAAAGATTAAGCGAGATGCCAGCCTTTCGGATAGCGGCTTCCAAGAATGAAGTGGCAAAGTCGGCAGATGCGTAGATCTCACGCAGCCGCTGCAAAATTCGCATACATCGGTAGAACCGCTGTAGACTAACCATACGCACGTTGGCATCGTTGGATTTGACGTCCAGTAAATGAATAATGACCGCAGGCAAAAGCACAGTAACCCCGGCAGTTGGAAGGTAACGCGTAAGATCGAGCTGGTGAAGGCGCTGTGCGGTGTTGGTAATCTCGATTGCTGCGTAACGCACTTTGCTGCGAGAAACTTCTTGTAAAGCAGCCTCGACAGCTGGTGAAGGCATTGCGGGAAGCACTTGTGGTCGGTGCAGAGCACTAGATGTCGTGAGGTAAATCATCCGGAGTAAAGAGCGATGCACTTGCAACGATGATTCGGCAGATGAAAGAGAGCTAACGCCTTCAAGCGGTGTGTATTGAATCTCAGAAGGCAAATTTGCTTGCCATTGTTCCAGCTCCTCGTCGCACTTTTGGACTTGAATGGTGCCGGCTTCCGACTTCTTCGGCACAAGCATCATCGTGGTTTCAGTCGTACCTCCGAACCGGTGGCTGAGAACGGAGTACTGGGCGGATAGAACGTGGCTCACGCAAAGACAAAGCTTGGCCTTTTCAACGAACATCATGGCCAAATGTCGTTGATATTCGGTATTCGTGAGGAGTTCGCACTCGCCAAGCATATTCAAGACCTCGGGAGGAAACTTCTTGAACTCAAAGTCGTCCAGCGTCAACATGGGCACGTCGCAGTCGTCGTCCTTGACCCTCATCGGCCGGCGCATACCCAACGCAATAAGTCGATCTCGCGTATACGTGCTCCACCAAATTCGTTTCCATAGCTGTTTTCGTCGTGGTCCCATGCCCGAGTTGCTGGGGTCCCGGTGAAGACCTATCGTATGGGCAAGAGACAAACTCACACCCATCCAGTGCCAAGTGTCCTTTTGATCGTCTGGTGTTTCGTACCAATAGGTCATGAGCAGGAGGGATTGAACTAAAGAGATGCGATCCACTTCATAGTCAAAGTCATACAATAACTAGCCCAGTCAGTATCTGAATTACAATCACGGCATGCAATCAACCTACTCTTGCTCTTTGAAAGAATACTTTCCGGGCTGACTTTCGATTATTATACCCAGCATTGCGCAGGGCTCCCATGTCCACAAAAGCGGTACCAGCAAACATCACGGCCTGGAACAAAAGCAAGCTTACGTGATGGGTTCCGTCGTTGCGGGCGAGAATTTGAAGAAATTCTTCCAAATCGAGCAGAGGCATGTATGGGTGAACATAGTGGATATAAGCTTTGAGTAATTCATCTCGCAGAGCTCTGTCCGGAATGGTCAAGGCACCCTTTGCCTGCAAGTAATTAAGATCTTCGGCCTGTAAACGCTGTGGAAGGCGTCTAATGTAGTTTGGCAGTTGATTTGTTTGTCCTGAAGGAGTGAGTAAATGTTGGATGGCATCGGCAACATTCGGCCCTATATTAGCTGCAATCGACATTGACTGAGAATAGCTCGAATGCCTTTCTGGGATTTCGTTATCAAGGTGCGAACCTTGTGATTGATCTGTAAGCGTGTTAGTGGATTACCACAGAAGATTGGAGGAAAGTACTAACAAATGAAATGTGGCATGTGCTGCCCTTGATCCAATTCAATGGATTCTTGGAATGGCGATAAGGAATCGTCCTGCGTTGTAAGACCATCTAGACCTAGCTGGTCGAACGCATCTGTGCCATGACTTGAAGTTCGTCGTTTCGCCACATCTTCAGACAGCTCAGTGGGGGAGTCTGGTGTTGTCTTACTGACTTCGGCATCGACACGAAATTTCCTGATTGGTCAGTAAAGGGCATGATCTGGTCAATTCAAAAGGCGACTCACTTTCTCCTGCGACTTTCCGTGACAACGCATTCCATTTGATCCAAACGGCAGTTGGTACARGGCGAGCCGTTTTCAACGACATCACAACGGACTTTGCGTGCACGACAGCAACAGCAAGCACGGGACGCTCTTCGCTTAATCGGTCGATTGGCTGCAGACAGACCGGCGGCTGAGGCCTTTCGCTTGTTCTGCGACGACGCCGTCTCCGGAGGCGGAGAGGAAGTGGTAGAAGCCATATTGAGCGAGCACTGGGAAGGTGTGACGACAGAGCGGAGAGTGATTGGAGGGTTTCAACAGCGTTCACATCAATGCAAACCAATTCCACTCGCACAATGACTGACACAAGCTGGGGTAAGGAAGGGCTTCAGAAGAAGAAGAGAAGAGTGGAAAAGAAATGAAAACCGGGGGCGGGGCCAGCGACTTTTTAGTACTTTTGATCCCGAGTCTCATCCAGAAACGAAGAGGATCCCTCCCCCCATGTGCCTTCTCCAGCATGAGCCATAAGCTGACTAGCGCAATGCTATGTCAAAACGTCCCACCCCAAGCCACAGGGAATGACCCAAAGCGAATTGGCAAGGGCTCGCGCATGATTGCACGAATCTGGTGGTGTTTTTGCCTCCCCCGGACCACAAGTGGGCTTTGACACGACGGACGGATGGGTAGTTGGGACAAGTTGCCAATTTGGTCAAGGTGTCTCGGGGGTGGGGAGGAAGCGATTACGTCGATTACGTCGTGCGTTTGGTACTTGGTACTCAGTACTTGGTATTACCTGCGGACGGCAAGCACGGCGCTGACTACGGACAAGATCCGCCGACCCAATCCGGTCTAGTCGCCTACTACATGCAAATACAGAGCGTTAAATTCCGCACTTCGCGCTTGGCCTGCTGTTTGTGGACTAGTGTGTATGCCTGTATTACTGGTATCCTAGTACCTATCCTATGCAGTGGTAAATACTGGTCTGCGATCGAGGTGTGGTTTCAACTTGTATATGCCAGTTGCATTTCAGATTGTTGGGGAGACGTTCACATGCGGCATATGTACGCCAATCAATCATTGCCATACTACGTATATGCTCCGGTCTGGCTATGATTGGTCCATATATTCTCATCAGCTCGTACGTATGGAGATGATACACACTCCAACGGAGAACGGAGTGCGCACACACTAACAACTCTAGCAGAATTGGGATGCGAGGTCTAGAGGAATCTGATCTCCGTAGCCCCAACGATCGTTTCTTTCTTTGAACACCGGCCAATTTTGCGAACTCCAGTGGGAGCCACTTGGACAGACAAAGCCGACCACTTGATTCGATGTTCATTGTCTTTACGCTCCACAGTTGCAGTTCAACACAATACTATGTCGGCCCCAGGGTCACAGATCCTATCGCTGTCAGGTCGCTGTCGTGTGCTGCAGATGCAACGCCGAGAATTAGAAGCCGTTTAGAACGGTTCTAGAGGAAGGCGTTCTGTCGCATCGATCGATCCTTCGAAAATCGTTGTACCGTGATAGTAATCCTTTCCCGCGGCTTCTGACGGTATTACTCACAGTATTGCTACCCCGGGCACGGATGCTCAAGTCGGCACGAAAGCCGGGCTAGCCCCACTCTGGCCACGCCGATAAAGGTCAAGGCAAAACGGGACGATTTACCGGATTAGGATTAGTCTACACTTTTTTCACTTCGACAATCCTGCTCCGCACGACTCTTAGGCAGATGACAGTCTACGTATTTTGACAAGGAGTTCGACGTCTTTGTTCGTCTTGCTCACCTATCGACTGAGTAGCAGACGTGTCCAGAGGAAGTGAAACTGGCGAGCGCTGCTGTGTGCACATACAGTTTTGTCTCTCGCAAAAATACTCGCACCAAACAGATCTTCCCCACCAAGACCTGATCACCATGTCCAATCACGACAGCATATTTGCAATCAATTACTATGTAATGCCCTCAAAGCTATACGTAATTGAGTTACGGACTACGTACGTATAATTATGGGGTAACCCGCCAAAAAAAACTGAAGCATAAACCCCCTTCAAATTTCAAGTACATACTACATAGTAATACCAACCAATTAAACTTCAAGTGTGATCATCCGAATATCGGATATATGTCGAAACAGGGATAGTGGGATACTCAAAAAAACATGAACAACGTTCTGGGTCCCAGGGGAAAAGCCCTCGTGACCGATTAAGACTTTTTCTAACTCAAGCGGTCTCTTTGATTTCGTCATTTGCGTAAATTTTTGGGGAAAGCAAGATTGATTCATATCACGCGCGCATCTCAACATCCTCAGATCTCTGAACGTACCTGTGTAACGGCGTTTTAACCTTGATATGTAGTAGATTTGGATCTCAATCCTGTGTGTTGAAACACGTGGGGAATAGTGTGCATTTTCATAGCGGGGCGAGTCATACAGCTTGTAATTTGTACTATCGGATGGCTGTAATTTGACACATGTCCATTGGTCAATACCGCTTCCGGTAATGTAAATACCAGGCATCGTATCCGAGGGATCCCGGACCGAGTCGCGGCCTGTATTTTTCAGTCTACTCCAAGCTTGATGCAACAGGCAATGTTCTTTGTACTCTAGCTTTGCCATAAATTCCGGGGAAGCAACACACGTATGGAGTAAATGCTTTCACACAAATTCGTTTTTAACTCGGTAATTGGCTCCTATAGCCCTCCCAAGCAGTGTACGGAAATATAAGCTTGGTCAAAATTCCCCGGTTTTTCCCTTAACCCTGTCCGCAAACCTTGTACCTATCTCCGTATCACTGTAGGAGTCTAGACACTCGGAAACATATCCGTGCATAATGCTAGTACATTTAATCAATAGAGCTAGACTTCTAGATGTAGTTAAATGGCTCACTCATTATCAATCACATTGTTAATGCATCTAGACGATCATATACTTCCACCGGAATCGGCATCAATATAAGCCTATTTCTCGAAAACGAAAAGTAAATCGTCGAATCGATGATCACTGATCCAACAATGAATACTGAAAACTCAACAAGTTAATTTCATTCCTCGAAGCCCAGCGTCTAGATTGTAATCATACCACGGAGCTCCGGAGCAGACCATTGCTCTAAACCAGCCTTCTTTCCGAGTCCCGGACTTGGTTTCGTACGTACCATGAACTACCTTCAAGCCATGCAATATTCCTAGGAGCCACAGCTTAGTGCAAAACTGATCGCTAACATCTCTCCACAGTGGGATCCTCCAGACTCCAGATTGTTGGGTATGTAGCGCCATCTATAGTGTATATGCGGAAATCCCCGGCTTGGATGCTCAGCTTTCGACGCTATAAAATTCTAACATCAAAGGAGATGGCTTTTATTTTAGAGTTTGCATGATACGAGTTTTTTCTGCGGTTCTTTCATAATGGCCACGATTGATGGCGTGCAAGGCTGAGCGGGACGATTCAGCTTCTAGATAAGTATAGATCCATGGATGGATGCATCACGATGTCGGAATATCTCCCAACGTATTCAGGTACCATACAGTTGAATTATTTCTTCTGGTGAACAATTGGGTTATTTAGTTGGCAGAACGGACCGACTAGTCGACCATATCGATCGTCAAAGGTATACTCATGTAAGGCTTAATTGTCAAAGACGTTGTCATCAAATTAGTAAACATCACGGACCGTTGTATATACTGGGCATATCCAGGCTAGTCTAAACCATTTTCGATTTCAAAATAGTTCTCATTCTCGACCTTTAATTGGAAGTTCTGCTTATCTGAATCGTTATTTGATGTTAATCACTCACTTAAAGCACTAGAGAGCGTTATGCGTCTACACTGCCCGAGACTTCGGGAACATACGGGACAATGTTCATTGAATCAGAGTCAATGTTGACACAGAGATGCAGAGAATATATCGAGATCGACATAGAGCCAAACTTGATTTTTAATTGTGCGTTTTGACTGGTCAGTGTACGAAGAGCTGATTGAAGAATTCTGTTGAGAGCCACGGGTTAGGGTGATTTGGTAGCGCATTAGGGCTTCAACCCATCACGCGCGCTGCAATTGACGGTTCAATCGAGCATATACAAGCTCTTACTTTAGTATATCGCTCATTATTAAGACAGGTCAATATTGAAATGTATTGAATCAATGTCATGATTTTTCAATATACTCTCGTGTCTGCTGTGAGGGAAAACGACATTCAATGCCAGGCAGTTATTTGGATGCCTAGGAGGAAATTTCCGTTTTTGGAGATCATGGGCTTGACCACGTGCCGTGAACCAGTAGAAGAAAAGCACCCCGCATCATTCTTCGTATTCAGGCAATGATGATTTTAATCCATCGCGCGAAGAAAATGTTGGCTTTTGATATAATGAAAAGTTTGGGTTCAGTTCATCCAATTCAGAGTATCGATTCACAGCTACAGCGGACAACAGCGAGAAGCCCCTCGACCACAAATACCTCTAAGGTCAATTACATACAAAAGGGGAAAAAGAGGCTACAATGAAGATAGTCATAATAGGCGCAGGCATATCAGGCCTGACATCTTACCTCTCCCTAAAAAAACATCTACCTCGACCTTCCGCCCCAGCCTCAGACCATGTCTACACCATATACGAAGCCTATGACACAGACAAGGACAGCACGTTTGAGCAGCGCTTATCATCTTCCGAAGCTGGAGAAGACAGTCTTCACTCTTCAACTCTGGTCGTTGGCGGCGGCTTAGGCATTGGTCCCAATGGCGTGAATGTACTTCGGCGGCTTGATTCCAAGTTGCTCAAAGAAATTGTTGCGGGTGGTTATGTGGTGTCCAAATATAACATGAAGTCCAAACATGGAATACTTCTTATGAGTATGGACTCTCAGGTTCCTATTTCTGAGAATGATCACTACGTCAATGGTCATGAGAGTGGGAAAAAGATGATCAATTCAGTGGCTATCAGCCGTCATTCATTATGGCGTTGTCTGCGCACCCGAGTTCCTGATGGAATCATTATCAAAAAGCGAATCTCGCAAGTAGTAGCAGGCTCATATGATGAACCAGTTATTGTCAGATTTGAAGACGGCAGTAAGCCAGTTGAAGCCGATCTGGTAATTGGAGCAGATGGGCTTCGGAGTATCACCAAAAACGCATTATTCCCGGATATCAAAGGGGATATCTATCCACCTCAATACGAGTGAGTTTATCCATGTGAATAAGACAAGAAATTCACTAATACTATGGGTAGAGGCCTTGTGGGCATTGGCGGCTTCATAACTCTGACGCCAGACCTTCGCCAAAATGTTGGCAAAGGGACAATGACTTTTGTATCTGGCGGCAACGGGTTTTTTGGCTATTTTCCAGCTACCAGTTCTCCTTCTTCTCCTCATAGTGACTCGATTAGCCACATTTCCGAACCAAGTGACCAGCTAGGATGGTGGTCAACTTACGCAATGAAGAAGTGTCCCACAGATCTGCGCAACGTCAATAGCGGAGAAATTATCAAAGAGTTGCGGACCAGGCACAAACACTGGGGCGATCCAGTCGTACAAAGAATAATTAGCGATGAAGCGTTAGAGATCAAGCACATTTATCCAACCTGGACCGCTCCCGAGATTCCAACTTGGCAACGAAATGGTGTGGTATTGATCGGTGACGCAGCGCATGCATTACCCTCGACTTCAGGACAAGGATCATCACAGGCTCTCGAGGATGTGGAAGCTTTCAGCTTGTTTCTCGCCAACGAACTACGCAATGCCTACACAAATCCACTCGCGTCACAAGTTGCTACTGAGAGGGTAGCAATCACAACAGCAGCCAAACGATATGTCGAACTGCGGAAGCCGCATGTAAAGAAGATTCTCGAACATGCCAAACAGATGCAGGACAACAAGCGAGACAAGTCTCTCTTTGAGGAGTATCTCATGTACTGTGTCATGTGGATTATGGGTTGGTTTCCTTCTGTCGTGTCGAAACCGTTGATGGAGGTGGCTACGTATAATGTCAAGGATGAAGTTGACAGGGTGCTTGGAAAAAGTCGGTCCAGGTAATCTGGTACGTTCTTATTCCTTTCATCAACTGAGATAATCAGTACTGATTCAACAGTCATACTGTTCTCATGATGTTCTAAAGTAACACGAGTTCATTATCTTATTCCTTTAGTGGATAGGGTATATTCGAAACAGAAATCCGGTCATCCTTCCTAGGTAACTATCTCTTTCTCATTTTTATGCGTTCCAGTTCAATGGGAAACCACAATCTGTGGGGATTCCAATCAATAATATCCTTTTACCTAGGAATGGTTTTCATTCGGCGTGTGATTGGCTACTTGTGCATTAGTCTATGTTTCTAGATTAGGATACAAAACCACTTCTCCAATTCTTTTATCATCTCACAAAGTACTGCGAGTAATGACTCTTATAAAATAAACACTGGATGTAGATGTTGCAGAGTTGAAATTCAACATTGGATTGAAACTGCCTTCTTTGCTCCACTTTTCTGTTTATACATTGCTTAAGAGTGTCAACAAGCCATACTTCTACCCACCATCGATAACCCCTGTACTCGATTGGGCAAAATCTAGTTTCAAAGACAGTTCGAATGTTTGATTACCACAATGAATGAGCTACTAAAACCAAGAAACATGCTTTGATATTAAAGATTGCTCCTGCAGCTCGAGTATCTTCGCCAATCTGTCCAACTTACAAAGATTGATTCAATATCTATATAATGTCAAACGTTCATCCAGTGAAATCTCAATTGCCAAAAACATGGAGACCGGGGTACAGATTCAAATCGAACGTATTTTCAGCGGGGTCGGCTCATTAGAAGACCTTACTGCTAATCACATCGCTGAGCTGAGATGAGTCTCTCGACAGTCTCTTGTCATCGACAACCTAAGTTTGAGGTCTTTCCTATACCGTACTGGGACTGGGTGGGAAAAGTCGGCGATAGTGGTGTGGAATTCAATGCTCAGGATAAATGCATTATTCTAACAGAATACCCGGGATGGATACATGAGACTACTACCCATATGCGCAGTGGGCTTTTTATTAGTCTAGAAGACAGATTGGGTGCTCGTACTGGTTCATACTATGACTTGACGGGTAGTACTATTATGTATATTATTAGATGAGTCCTGTCATGAATAGTCATCCAGCCTTTTATCTCTTTATAGGCTATGAGCTGAGCGGCAGATCCATAGGGTCAGTAAAAGAAGCAGATATATCTCTAATGAATTTCCAGATGAATGGCCAATTGTGGTTCTGGAGGTCGGCATCTGTGAAACCACCCGGAAGCTTTATGCCGCGATAGTTGGAGAGTCTCATCGACAACAAACTATTCCTGATTTGGGCTAGCTCGGTTTACCCGGCAACCGCAACGGACCCAAACAACATCATCACATCAACACTGCACTCAAAATCTGCCAGAGTTTTATGTACAAACACCTTCCCGCTCTTTTTCCCCTCCATCACATAGCACAGACAAGAGACATGGCGCAGCCTTTGTCCCCCTTATCGCCATCTTTTGGCAACTCTCGCGCACAATCACCTGCATATGCTCCGCCGTCCGCCGTCCGCCGTCGACGAGGAATTGACGAGATAATGTCGGCGACCGATCAATACGATAAGGAAAATGCCTCGCCGAAACCTGCAAAACGTGCTTTCTACTCATATGACGGCAGTGCCGACGATGAATTAATTGACGATAACAATGAAAATTACAACAATCTGAAAATTTCTACTACACCTGCTCGAAGCAATCAAGTCAACAACATGGATGACATTGGCGATGATATGAGCGCTGATTTTAATGGTCCTCCGAGCTCACCATTTCAGTACGAAGCGCGTGATGATACTGTGGATATGCAGAGATTACAAGCCATGACCAGGTCGACGGCGCGAAGCGCGACCACGTCGCCGCAGAAGAAGCAGGGTCCAGAAATCTATATTGATGAGGAAGATTGCGTTGATGAGATCGATACCACTGAGCAATATGATGCTGGCTACCGATCTAACGAGTATGATGATACAACCACAATGAGTGACAACGACAACAAGAATGATCAGAACGACGGTAGCGTACTTCGCGTGGAGTCAAAACAAGTCGAGCACTCGACCATCGGAAATAGCTATATCGAAGAGAGACATAACGAAGAAATGAGCACAGTTGCCCACCACCATGAAGAGAGTGCTCATCCTGATGCAGCACAAGACAATGACACAATGGATGATACATGCTTCAGCACCTTTTCGGCCGTACCAAACGTTGATATGACCATGTTCGCCAAGCTTGGACAATCTCCCACCAAAAATTTTGGCGATACCATGGAATCACCTGCTGTTAACCGAACTCCAGGATACTATCGACGGTCAAAAGCAACAACGCCAGCTACAGCTCATAGGCGGGGGCTTATGGACGAAACTGATATCTCTCCAACCCCAAGAAGGAGAAATCGTCCTGGTAGCGACGAAAGTGTAAATCTGCTTGACTTTAACGACTCTTTCAACTACTTCCACAGAGTTTCTCAGCGATTTTCGATGTCGAGCAATCGTGCGTCTATGTCTCCTCGACGTCGATCACCGTTGAAACCTCGAGACCCAATGCGATCTCCAGCAAAATACAACTTGATAGACTTTGACATGCCACCACCTGCTACGCCGATGTCAATTCCATCCATCACTCCTCGAGAACTAGAATCTCTGAAGTCCGGCTTTCTGTCTGAAATTTCTTCGCTCAAGGCCACCCTCAGTGGCAAAGAAGCCGAAGTGGCAAGTCTTAAACAAGCTGTTGCTGACGCCGAGCGTCGCGTAGGAGAAGCACTTGAAGAAGTCCGCAATGAGGCGATTCGCAAGGAAGCCCTCGAAGTTGAACAGGCCGAGTGGGAGAGACGAGGCAAGGAAATGGAGACAGTGCTACGTGAAGTTCGAGCTGAGATCATTGACGGCGAACGAGAACGCGAACGCTTGACTAAGAAGAACGATGAAGCGGAGCGACTCAAAGAGCAGCTCGAAGGAAGAATCGTCGAGCTTGAAAGTCAACTGGATTCTGCAAAGAAAGCCGCTGCTGCCAACCCCAGTGCGACCACGACGAACGAAGACGGTGACAAGTCAGGCATGCTTACGCCCGAACAATCTGCGAAGGATGTTCAGGAAGCTGTGGAACGGGTTGCACGAGAATTACACACACTATACAAGGGCAAGCATGAGACCAAGGTCGCCGCTTTGAAGAAGAGCTACGAATCGAGATGGGAGAAACGTGTTCGCGAAGCCGAAAATAAATTCCGCGAAGCCAACGAGGAAGTTGAGCGTCTCAAGACTGAGCGCGACACAACCATGTCCGGACCCGTGAACCCGAGTATGAGCATGATGAGCGTTATGGGCCGGGACAACGAAGAACTCGAGACTGAAAATAAGGTCCTCGGAGCTCAAATCAAGGGTCTCGAAGAGCAATTATCCACCATCAAGCGAGATAATGAGCAGCTACACGCCGAGCTCAAAATGGAGCGTACCGAAAAGGGCGAACTGGTTGCCGCTGTCGATGAATGGCTCAATATGCAACAAGCTAATACCAGCCAACAACCCGCACCTCCATCTTCCCGCGAAGTCTCAAATTCATCAGCCTACTACTCCGCCAGCGAACAAGAGGCGCCCCTAACGTCCTCGGCCTCATCATCCTTCGAAACCAGCCCACGCAAGAAATCAATTGATGAAGGAGCCGCTGAACCCCCTTACCAGCCAACATTCAAACGCAGCATAAGCCGCACCGTACCTCCCTCAAACACTCTAAGTAGCGGTCTCCGCCCCCCATCATCCGGCACAACAGCAACAGCAGCAGGAGGAAGCAGCGGTATCGAGAAACGAAGCCGTCTAGGCATGTATGCCGGTGGCGGACACAGCACTGGTGGAGGCCATCATTCGCGACACAACAGCGGCGGAAATGGAGGTCGTTCAATTGCCATGCCGGCTACGACGCCGGGACGAAGTGGGATTATGAATTCGATTGAGCGTATGGGCGCTGGTGGACGATAAGACACGTATTGTTTCTCTTTCTTTCTTTCTTCTTAATGATTTCTTATTGATGATTGATGATGAGTGGAGTTGCGAGATTCGGATCGGAAAAGGAGTCATTGAGTTGATACCGATTATATCTTATTCTTCAAATCTTTCTAGTCGCAGTTTCAGTTCTTGGGTTTGTTTGTGATACCATACTGATTACTATTAGTGCAGTGAGTTAATGAGTTATGGATTTCTTGACTGTCTTTCATTCTTTGTGTATTTTGTTTAATAATCCAAGCTATGAAGAATATGTACATTGAACATTAGGTGGTATGATCGAAAACAATGCCTTTTACGTATCTCCAAAACTCGCTGAGGGAATCTCGAAATCAGAAAACAACGACGCAAACGCTTGGAACGTAGGGACTCTAGTCGAACCGACAAAACCAGATGATACTAGGAGAAGAACGAGATGTATGTGCACTTGAGATGGAATATGTTGCAACCACAAGGGATCGCCTTCCAGCTCAAGCCTGATAATCCTCCTCACTAACTATTACATGAATCACTTCACGTGGATGACTATCAGAAGCAGGAGGCCCGGCAGCAGCCAAACACGGCGCTACAGATCGCACTGTGACTGTGTCCTTGCGACGCCTGATGAACCACAGCTGAGAAGTACCGATCAACGCGATGAAGGTGCTACTCCACCACGCTATAGAGGTACAGCCACTGGCTGTCCCGGCGCTATACAGATAGCCAGCTACCGGAGGAGCGATTGTACGGCATGCCGCTCCGGCTGAAGCGGCTAGGCCGTTGATCTTACCCATGACGGAACAAGAAGGGCTGGATTGTTTGATCAAGATGAGAAGGACCGGGTAAGCGACTATCGAGAGAATGTTGCGGATCGCTAGGCAGGTATATATACCAGCGTAGACGAGGTTTGATGGGAGCAAAACGAGGAATGGAATGATAAAGTATGTGATAGGGTGTAGAGCCGTGACAAGCACGAACAGTCTCCAAACACCTAGCCAATCCGTCAAAGGGGCAAATATAACGGCTTGAATGAAGAGCGCCATTAGTCCGTCAACGGACATGATAAACCCGACAGTTCGTGTAGATAAACCCAGGCCACCGGAAATGCGTAGGAATGAATGAGGAATGAAATCGACCTGGTGCTTATCTTGGAGGAAGATAGGGAGGAGATGATCAAAGGTCATCGAGTGGTATGTGAAAATGCCAAGCGCAATGATGAACATCAGAACTTGAGATGTGAACGCTACTTCGTGTCGCGGGGAAGATGATCTTTCTTTGGAGGCCTCGCCATCGATACGCCAGCTTTTAGTTGAATGCCTATTGACTTCGTTGAACGTGCCGTACGATTCAGCGCGAAGGTCAACACCAGGGTTAGCTGTAGCACCAGCGGTAGCCATTAATGGTGTTTCAACATTCACTTTATAATCCAACTCTGATGATCGTGGCTGAAACTCGGGATGAGTCTCCTGCAGAAGTATGGCGCCTCCAACGATACTAATCAAGAGAAGACCAGCACAAAAGAGGTTAGGCAAGAGGAATGGGTACTTCGCGAATATACCATATGGGGAGAAGACCGACGGGAACCCTTCAACGGGTTTAGCAAGTAATCCTCCAACGGCTAGATGCTGTTAGTATGATACAGTAGAATAATTAGAAGATGCTTACCAGGTCCAATAATAGTACCGATCGACCAGACAAATGGCATTACAGCATAAGCCCGAGCTAGAAGGACGTTAGCACAGTATATTATATCAAAGTTCGATATGACTTACGTTCATGTTCCGGACGCTTCACAAGCTCACCAACCATGGTCTGAATCACGCCAATGTTCCCATTAAGCACGCCACCAATGATTCTACCAAGGAGAGCTACCCAGAAAGTCGACGCAAACCCGACAATCAATAGCGAAAGCATCGTGCCAGCGCAACCGAGTAGCAAAACGGGTTTGCGACCAATGCGATCCGAAAGGGCACCCCAGAACATTCCAGTCAGGGCTTCTGCGAGCGAAAAGGCGGCAACTAGGATTCCGGCGTAGAAGGAGGCGTCATTGGGGTTGCCGACGTGGAAGTCTTGGACCATTACCCATGAGTATGGGAAGATCGAGGTGAGGGCGATGGGTTCCGCCACACGGCAGATGCCTACATTGTTAGTCATCAGTTGTGAAATGAAAGTGCAAAAGAGAGGACTCACCCAAAAGAAAAAGCTGTAGCGAAGGAAATGCATCGTCCTTCGAAATCGGTCTTGTCTGTGGCGTTGATACCATGATTCTTTTGACTCTTGAACAGTTCTTACCACTTCCTTGCAACCACGCAACCACGCAAGTAGTCCTCGTTAATCTTGTTTTCTTCCTTGACGACTGAAACTACGAGGTGAAAGTAAGATGTGGTCTTCTCTGCGTAGATTGCCTTCCTTGATTGCTTGTGTTAATCGATTGAGTTTGCAAATTCTTTTGTTATTTTCTTGCTCTTTTCCTCACAGGATATTGTCGGGCAATCTGTTCTTGAATTGTGTCTGCTGAGCTGGTTAGAATGGCAGTAATGAATTGACTGTGGAAGTGTATCACAAGGCAAAAGGAAATACCGAGGGAAGATCGAAACAGGAAGAAGAGGGGAAGATGTAGAAAGTAAAAAACTGTTCTGTGGTACAGCCGTTCCTTGGGTCTCGCCAGGAACTACGGGCAGCAAGACCGGCAGCTCATAATAAAGATGGCAACCAGGAAACAAAGCCTGGACTCGGCTATCGTTACGGTAATACAGTACTTTACGCTGTTTCTGTTCTACTTTTGGTTGGTTGAATGTAATTACATGTAATATAACGTACTGGTAGTGAAAAAAGAATCCATTTTGATAACATTAGCGCCCGTTTAGCCTTGCATTGGCGCCATTCCCCGCCGGAGGGGCAACGCTGATTGGTGTTGCTCGTGTTGTATAAACAGTAAATCAACCCCATGTGTCGAACATCTAATCGATTTCTTTCCTGTTGAATACATAAGAATTAAATGATTTTTCGAATGTCATTACGATACCTGCTTTCAATTTGTGAAGGAAGCGCGCTGGTGGGAGTATGGGGATATCGAAGTTCTAGCCATCATGAACTTGCGGCCCGGTGACCGCTCTTTTCGAAATGTGCTAGATCAAAGGATCCCTCGTATCAAGGCCTCGTACGTAATTGCAACCTCGAATGTTGGCTTTGTGTTGGTCTTGGTCGCGCAGAGCACGCTCCCCAGCGTACGCATTGTATGTGGTCCATTTTCATCCTGGGATAGAGTTTGCTTTGCTGCTGGGAAGCTTTGATACGATGTATCATGCACGTAACATCAACACAAGAAGGTCGAGATTGTACTATACAAGGACAAAGCATTTATGTTACTGCTGATCAGTCCCCCCACCACCATGCGAAACTGGAATATAGCTTCTTCGCTCTCTCGCAGCCTGTAAAACGAAGTGTCAACCGACAGGTTCCCACTTTCTTGATTCTCTTTCTAGAGTCAAACTCACCTCCACCCACCCTTGAACCCAAGGCCTGAGAACCGCCCACGCAAGCAGACCACTGGTCGCAAGTATAAACATTATGACCACGGCCTCATCTTTCCTCGAATCTCGCTCTATCATCCATCGTAATAGTCAGTCACAAATACCACCTCCAAAACTATCCACATATACAAGCCGAAGGAGAAGACGCACGAAAACAAGTCGCAATAACATCCTCCTCCTTCGCACCCTTACACTTCGGCAAATTATAATCTAAGCAAAATGCGCGATTGCAATCATTACAAGTCAACGCTCTATTGCGGCTCGGTGTCTGTTTTTGTTGTTTATTATCATCTCCGTTGTCCTTCGAGTCCTCGCGCACGTCAATTTCGGGTATAGCGTAGTCGTCGTCGAGATTCCATCCCCATGGTTCCGGTGATGCGGTCGTTCGCTTCAGTAGTCCATCTGACAGGTCCTTGTCTGTGTCTATAGGTCGGAGTTCGATAATTGTGCTATTTGAGAAGCAGGTGCACTTGCAGAACGATGAGGGCTCTGTGATTGCCAATTATCAGTATAAATCTGACGTGTGCTGAGGACGGGGGCGCGCTGACTTACTCGCAGCTAACACTCCTGTGATGTTTGAGAAGATACTCAAACAGAGTAGATAATGTAGAATTTGTAATAGGTTCTTCATTTTGATATGTGGGCTTGGAGTAACGACATTGAAGTGCACCCCGATCAATTTAGATGACGAACCAAGCTGCGACCGAAGCCGGGCGGACCATCGAAGCTACTCCGATAAGATATGGTCACGTGATCGTATATGAATATACGAGACAACGTAATGCTTCAAAAGTTTTGTTTCTTCTATAAGACGTAAATGTCTAGCTTTGAAAACTAGCTAACCACGACCCTTCAGCCCCTTGCGCCGATTCTCGCGTTGTCTCTTTTCCTTTGCAGCCTCACGTCTCCTCCGTTTCCAAGCTCTATTGTTGTCTCCACGGTTCTCCCAGAACCATTTCACAAAGTCACTTTCCTCTGGTTGTCTTTGGGGAGTTGCCTCTGTTCTTTGTTTCGAAGGAGTTTCTTGTGCTAATGATCGAGTGTGGTCATAATCATCATCTGTGTTCATATCCTCATCTTCATCGTTATCGATATCACCTTCTGATAGTAGAAGCTTGCGTCGATTGAACACTGCAGTATCCGGTGTGGGCGCACCACTTCTCAAATTTCTGATTTGGCGGTCTTGCTTGGAAAATGGAGTCAATGGCTCCAGAGGTACAGGTGCGGCTCCTTCCTCTTCCTCCTCCTCTTCTTCTCCTTCAATATCGTCGTCGTTTTCGGTAAAGAAAGAAAATGTCGGTTTCGGCGATTCTGGAATATTCTTCTCTGTTTGTGTACGCTTGAAAAGGGCTTCTAGAGGATGGACCTCTTTATTCTCTGTTGTCGTCTCAATGTCTGACGACTTGGTCCCGTTGTCAACCTGGGAGTTGTCTTCCTGGTCACTGTTGCTTTCGCTGGTAGAGTCGTCTTCATCTTGCTTCAAGTTTTGATTGGCTTTGTCTTTAATTGTCGCTTGTGTAGTACTTGTGGCCTCCTCCATTTCATCACTGATTGAGGAGGCGTCGCTGCTTGGTGAGTCTTCGAACTTGCTGTCAGACTCATTGTCAGACGCGCTATTTTCACTCTCTGATGACCCACTAGACGAGGTCCAGTCCAGTTCCTCGTCTTCCTCTTCAGACGAAGTCATTACATCAGAAGAAGACTTCTTTTTCTCTTTGACGGCTACTTTTCGCAACTTTGCCTTCAAAAGAGGACGTTCCTTAGCGCCGTCTTTCTTGCCTGGGAAATAGTCGGCAGTCTTAGACTTTTTGCTACCTGTCTCCTCAAGCAAATTGCCCGCTTCATCCATCCAACCTTTCCCTTCTTCGAATTTTGCAGTGATCGTCTTCCCACTGACGCTGGATTTCAGGAAAGTAGGATGCGTGTGCGTCTTCGCGAATTCATGGACTACCACTTCGTTTGGCGCACTGGACTTTTTAGACTTGGCCTTTTTCGAAGCTGCCTCAGACATCTTGTTCGGCGGCACCTTCGTCTTGAACAAACATTCTGCTTTCTCTGTGTATTTGGACTTGGGTTGTAACTTGGTCTCGGAGGCGTCTTTGTCGGCCTTTTTCTGTTTCTTCAACCTCTTGGCGCTCGCGGGCTCGGTCCATCCACGTTTCACACGTCGGTCGGCTGGTAGCTCATACCCATCGAGTACACTGTTCTCTGCGTCCTCCGCCTTTCTTTTTGATGATGTCTTTGTCGGCTTGGAAGACGCATCCTTCTCGATTTTCGTCGCCTTTTTCTTTTTTGGATCTTCTCGAGCCGCTTCAACTTTGAATTTTTTGCCTTTTAGGATAGACCCATTGAGCTTTCTCTTGAGCTTATCTGCTTCCATGGTAGGTAGGGTGACGAAGCCGTAATCGTTTTCTGGGAAGGTAGCTATATTGTGGAAGGAAATCTCGGTCGCTAGAGAGCGGATTGATGGATTGAGAACAGAATCCAGCAAGGCTGGCGTGAGAGGCGAGATATGAAGACGGGTCAGAGATTCTGTCATTGCAGCATACTGAGGTTAATGAATCTTAGTCGCCGTTTTCTTTCGTATCGTCTGCCGATTGATTGTTCTTGAAAACAAAGGAAGTAAGTTTGAGGCTCAACGAATCGACAGAGAAGCGCTCTTTGGAATTCAATAGCCGTATTTCAGGCCAAGAAATCTTGGGAAGAATTATGCAAAAGACCGTCGAATAAATTAGACATTAAGTCGAGCTTGAGTGAGCACGAGGCAGGTGCATGCAAAACCTATAATTTGGAGACAGAAATTATTTTGGCACTAGCCACAGCTCCGTTCCAGGCGGTGAGGCATTTATCAGCCACACCCAGCCGTTGTCTACAAGACGTGTGCCTGAATGTTAAGGCTACGCCGGTGTCGGTCGGCAGTTTATCGGGGGTTTCTCCCCCAGCCGGATTTCTCTCCTGCACAGCGCCCGCCTGACGTCAATCACTCCACACCTACGAAATGTCCAGGCAGATCGCGTCTAGGCCCGAGGTTGTCTGGAGGTATTCTTCATATGGACCATTTGAAAGTCCTCTACTGGCTATTCATGATTCTCATGCCTCAATTGTCTCACTTCTGAACTTGCTGGTAGGGTGTTGGTGATGGACCGAGTCAGATGAACGCTATCCGAATCCATCCAACATGTCAGGTATATTTCAACATGGAGATCGTTTCGTGACCTCTCGCCATCGTCATATCCAGCACTCAATCATTAGATAGATGAATTCGCCGATCAAATTGACCATATCATCACGAGCCTCTACCCATGTTCGTTGACTATTCAAGTGCAATGTTGTTATGGTCACCGGCCACTTTATCAGTCTCCCCACTCGCAATCTCGCAATCGCAATCGCAATCGGTGTTGGGCTCAGCACCCCAGCCTCAGCTGATAGCAACAGCCCTACCTGAGATGATAAGCGGGACAACAGTAGAACTCTCCTGCCCAAACCAGGCATTGGGAGTTGCTCTCTTTTCAAGATTATTCGGGTTCATTATTCTAGAGTCGCGTAGCAAGTATTTTCGACTTAATTAAATCCCGACCATTAATTGCAGCTGCTGGGAGTGGCCGCATCCGGCCATTCCGCCCACGCCACCGTTCCCGCTCAGCCTGAATTACGTTGTTTCTAGCGCTGCAGTGGAGGCCACCTTAGTGCCCCTAGTCACCCTCCCGCCTGCCTTCCCCGGCCATCACTTTGACACTCACGCTCTCCTCTGTTTGTTTCTCGCTCACATGGCCACACTTGCTGAATGAAGCTGCTCGTGCTGCTTGACTGTCCCACCTTAACATTCTTATCAACTTCGTCACGACCTCTCTCCTCTGTCTAAAATCATCGAAAGCTCGTCTCGACAAGGACCTCCACTCTCAATGTGACCGGACCTATGTGAACCGGTCTGTCTCGCATTAGAGCTGTGTTTTGAGAATTCTATCATCTCCCAACTCAAACCCCGTCCAACCACCTTCGAATGAACACAGACAAATAGAAGTCGCGATGGGAAACTCTCAGACAAAGGAGGCGCGCTCTCCTCTGTCGGCGTCGAACAGAAATCGCTCACTATCCGACCAGAGCCGCTCCCCGTATCACGCTTCTCGATCACACCGCTCTAGTCGACATGATCTTTCCTTTCTCGGCATTGGGAGTGGATCAGGCGATCGAGAGAACATTGTTCACGAAACACGACGAGAAACAAAACAAGATCGAGAGGCACGGCGCCAGGAAAAGGAACGAGCAGTGCGGCTGAAGGAAAGGGAGCGGAGTATGAAGGAGGAGCATGTCGATGGCGGGTATTTGGTCACTCAAGGTGTCTACGTTGGGACGGAAGACTTCAATAAGGATGTCGTTCGTCAGCTTATGGTATGTTGTCGCGACGCGAATTTCATATAGGCGCAAAGCCGCTAACGCTATGTAGATTGAGAGACGTCTAGCACCATTCTGGCGTGGGCTGAATGATTTCTCAGAGTCATGGACTGAACATCAATTGATGGCTGCAGCCCGAGGTCTTCCTATTCCTCCACCCGATGAGATACCGCCCGAGTTGCAACTCACACCACCCGCAGAAAACACAGATAGTGGCCCGTCTACAGGCAGGGGCGCACAGTTTCTGGCAGTTCCATCATCAGCTGGACGACCACTATCTTCACATTCAGAGACTTCAAGCCTTCCAACACTGAGTCCTGCACAGTCTCTTCCATCACCTACATCACCAATCGCATCTGGCACATCTACTTCGCCACTTTTTCGAAGTCGCGCAAAGACTTTGGCTGCTTTGACAGGCAGCAAGAATAACCAACCTGTAGAGGTCGGTCCTCGTGAGATTATGCTAACCCATGACCCATTTGTGAATGGTCAGCCTCTGGAAGCTCATCTCTACAAAGATGCTAGCGAATGCCCGATTTGCTTCCTTTACTATCCGCCATATCTCAATCGTACCAGATGCTGCGATCAACCAATCTGCTCAGAATGTTTTGTACAGATCAAGCGACCAGACCCGCATCCTCCGGAACATGGTGAGCCACAAAATCAGAACGCCAGCGCCGAAAATGGGTCGAGCGAAGAGCGCAGCGGTTCGGATCAAGAGAGTCAGCTTGTGTCTGAACCCTCTGCGTGTCCCTTTTGTGTACAGCCTGAATTCGGAGTCACCTACGCTCCTCCCCCATTTCGTCGTGGTTTAGCTTATGCGGGCTCGAATGGTCTCGCAGCGGCTTCAGCTACTTCTCCTTTATCATCCAGCTCTTCTCTTGGTTCGATGGCTTCACCGCCACTCACAGGACGTCGCAGAGCAACATCCCTCTCTGCCAGCGACCCGACTGTCATTACAACTGACAAAGTCCGACCCGATTGGGCGACAAAATTAGCCAATGCAAGAGCACATGCAGCTCGTCGATCGGCAGCTGCTACTGCTCTCCACACTGCCGCATATTTGATGAATGCGCCGGGCTCAGAGTCACGAAGCTTTGGACGCCGTGGGGTTTTAGGACGAGCTCGAGGCACTAGCTCCGGCACTCAGACCCCGTCAACTCGACCTACCGGATCGCCCGCCCTTCATGCACTCGCATTCCTTTCAGAACGGCGAGCCGTTGCCGGTGAACAGCCGTCAAATCCAACAGTCGCTACCGTAAATACCGAAGGCGGTGCATTGGCACCCCCAAGGGATAGCTCGAGACGCAGTCGGATCGACGACTTGGAAGAGATGATGATGATGGAAGCAATTAGAATGAGTCTAGCGAGTGAAGAGGAACGGAGGCGAAAGGAAGAGAAGGAGATACGCAAAGAAGCCAAGAAGAGAGAAAAAGAAGCAAAGAAAGCGGAGAAGAGCATGCGGAAAAATGCTGCTTATAGCAACAGCCAGGCAAGCCTAGCACTTCGAAGCAGTGGGACCTCGAGTCGTGTGGACAGTAGCTCTTCATCGATAATGGGGGAGGATGGGCCAAACTCGGATAAGGGAAAGAAAGTTGACCGGTCAGCTTCAGCCCCTGCAGTGACTGCATCGAATGATCTAGAGTCAGGAGATACTAGTGCGACGACGGCGACATCTACCAGACAGCTTCTCAGTCGCAATGACTCAGACTCCTTCACGCAACCCTCGCCTACTGAACCATCACGGCCGTCGCATTTACGCCATATGTCTACCGCTTCATCGACATCATCCTCATTTGAAACGGGGACAGCCGAAAATCCGGATACAGGTGCAGGTTCATCCAACCCGGCCCTTGAACCATTATTCAACTTTCGAAGTCTCGCAGCTGTGATTGGTGATGAGGAAAAGTCCAATGGCGTTGCAGAGCATGCGGAACACGTCGAAGACGCTGCCCAACAGCAGTCGTCTACAATGAGTATTCCCACAATCTCGAAAACACCTCCAATTGAGGATACTACTCATCAGAATAATGCACCGCTGGCCGATATCCAGTCATCTCTCCCTTCGCAAGATTCTGTTCATAGCATCGCCCCCAAAGAACTCAACGCTCACTCAGTGGAAGTCTCGCGAGAGACGACCGTCTGATGGAGCCTCAATTCCATATTTATTTACTCCATCACTTCAGCTGGCCTGTACCATTCTCATCTTCCTGAGCATCAGATTGATCCAATTTTTTGCCTTCATTTCATCCTAAACCTCAACGTTTCCTTTCTCATCATCTGGCCATGATACATACATACATTGAACCTACCCAACAGCATCCCCACATACATATCCATGTACTTTTCCTATCTTCCCTCCCCTTTTTCTACTTTTTTTTTTCACATCTTCTTGGGCGGCCCTACCTCGATCGATCCCTTCGGTTCTTTCCATTGAGAATGAATGAACGAACGAATTGATACGAAGATCCATATTGCATTTTGTAGCCGGGTTTCTTGTCTTTCTTTCCATATTTCTCTATGTTGTGAGTCTTTTCTCATTTTTGGGTATTTAAGTCTTTCATTGGTGAAGGGATCGGTTTAACTAGGTGATTAGTTATTATTGATCGGTTTTAGAGGTTATTTGCATTTGCATTTGCATTTGAATGAATGGAAAAGATGTTTGAAAAGTAAAAACAAAACGGGCTATAAACGCTCCAAGTATATGGGGCCCTATACCACAATGTCCCAAAAAGATATATAATGTTTAGGGTATGGTAGTCTAAATAGATCCGAGCAAAGGACCCTGTCCCTCACTGGCTGATTGCACCCATTTCTGTACTTCGCATCACATCCCTCGGTTAGTCCCGTAAGTATAATATAATAAGTCGTTGGAAAGAGACGGAGGAAGAAACTTACTCGAAAGCCACGTCTGCACAAATTCATGCTCATACTTTTGCGTATCCGCTACTGGTTTCGGGGGCAGAGAAGATGTCGTCTCGTTCGGGAATAGGCCGTTCTCATCCCCTAAACATAATCAGCAACCCAAAATAGCAATCTTGAGGAATAGGGTAACAGGGTGGGTAGTTTACAATGATGGACACCGCCCTCAATCTCCACAAATGGTCGATTTAATGTATTCCGTCTCCTCGGGCCAGGCGCATCATCCGCGAAGGGCGTCGCTTCTCTCCATGGATCCGCTTTCCCGCCTATATATGCAAGCCTTGAATATGAGAGGTTGAAGCCGCCATATCGCTGGTTTATGCGTGCATCCACGTCGGGAAGAGTGCTGATGTTGAAGGCGTATTTGCAAGGAAGACTCAGGTAGTCGACTGTGATGGAGCGGGATATCATTGCTGGTTTGGAAGGGGGTGTGCCGCTGCCGGTTTGGAAGTAGCCCCATCTAATATTGGTTCGCAGAGTGGTTAGATCAAGATATGGAAAGTGATATGTAGGATGATGGCTTACTCGGTGCAGACTTGGTATTCCCAAAGTCTCCAATCTTGGGTTAGGTCATCCTGTTTGTAGAAGGTTACGTTGTGGGATGAGAAGCATGAATCTGCACTTTGGCCTTGGCCGATACAGGGCCAGACTACAGTCTGGTTCAGCCAGCCCACAAAGTTCAGTAGTTGAGTCGTCAGTTGGCTACCCCCTTGACTAGCATCCCACCCTGCGGCAGCGACGAGCTCGGTTGCTTTTTCGATCTTATCGCTTGAGGTAGTGTCGTTGTAGAGCAGAGCGTCTGTAACAGATATATTGCCGCAATATTCAAAGAAAGTTGGATCGTTAACAGCGGGATCCCAATTTCTTCCCTGCCAAGTTGACAACGGATAGCTTAGAACGTTTGCAAAGTCGTCAACGTAGCTGAGATCTTCAAGACCGAATAGTGTTTCCAGATCTTTGATCGCAGTGGTATTGGACGCAAGATTGTCGAGAACACCGGTCAGGTTTTCAACGGTGCGAACACAATCTTGAGGTGCATTTCGCCGTATGGGCTCCCAGTACTGCCAATAGTCCACGATAGCCTCTGTGACTGCTGAAGATGCAAGAGCGCCAAAGAAGACTTCTGGATATATCAGGCGCAGAAAAGCAACCATTGCACCGGCATATGAACCTCCATAAGCAATATAAGGGACATATTCTGAGGTAAGACTTTTATCTTCGAGGCCAGGATATACGATATTTCGCGCAAAATATGCCACGTCGGCGAGGGCTTGTTCTGTTGTCAAGAAGCGCAGGCTCTCTGTCGAAAAGTCCTCTGTAGGAATACTTGCGCCGTAGTAACGATGCTCAAGAACGACAGCAATACCATTTGTCAATTGTGCCAGCTGGGCGATTAGTCCTTTTTCTAGGTAGGGCAATCGATCTTCGAGTATCAGTACCTAGCGGTGTAGAGAAGGGTATTCGGGGCTTACCTTCGCCGGAGGTCTCTCCGCTTTCTAGCAGAAACACGGGCCCTCCTTCTTTGTAATGGCTAGCATCAAACCAGTAGCGAAGGGGAAAGGTGTCACTGCTATGAGGTTCGTATCTCGATTCATTGTGGAAGTGGTCTACAGGAACAGACAAGTTGTAGGAATGAAAAATGGTTGTCGAGCTGTCGGCTTCTGCGCTTAAATATTGCCCGTCAACTCCAAGAGTACTTAAATATCCCTGTGTAATTGCATTATGTGTGAGTCATGTTCACGATACCAGTGGTGGTTATCTACCTTTTGCCCGAATCCACGATGCACAGTGGCGAGACTCGCGCTTGCTACTTGCACCAGAGCAAGAAGAAACAGCATCCTGACTGTCCTACGTATTCTTACTCGAGGATATCAGCAATTTCGGTCGGACATGTATCGCGGTAATTCGTGGGATTAGAGGCTCCGTTATATGTAAGTAGCAGCAGAGATAGCGAGAGATGGAGAGCTAGTAAACAAGCACCGGCGATCACGGCTGATGCCAAGCCTGCACCCAGTCCTTAGTCACATTTTGTAGCGCGGGGTGTTTGGCACTGTTTGCTGGTGAGAAGAGTCAATCGGCATATTGGATCTGATAAAAGGCAGAACTAGACGTGTCTCCTGTGCAAAATAAGAGTCAGGGAGAAATGAACGAAGAGGGTTTTCTCGAGTGCTCAGCTCACGAACAGACAAAGTTAACTATGATTGAAGGTGCCTAAGCAGCCCAAAACAGAAGAAAAGATAAGTGGGTCCCTCCCGCATCATACGTTCGCAGCAGCCAATCGAAATCCCGCAAGCCACAACCAGGGTTGTTGTCGTGGTCCAACGCGACAACCTCCCTTCTTTCATCTCTCTTCGTCCTATTTCTTCCCTCATAGTGTCGTCTCGTTAGAACTTCCGCCTCTCTAATCCATGTCCAGGACAACAAATGCACCAGAACAAGGGTGTGTTCGTTTAATGACGTTTCCCCCGCCTGGCATTTGAACGCCAGCAAACCAGAGAATCTCCCCAGGTCCACCTGCCAATCCAGAGCGTTTCATGATCATTTTCCAGTCCAATAACATTGGCTACAATGCTACATACAGTGGTCTGAAATTACTACAACTCGGTCTGAGCACATCGATCAACCAGCAATCTGGTCGTTTGTTTACATGATCTTCTGTTAAACAAAAATAGCCCTTGCTTATCTCTAATCATCGGCATTTTCTTGATATCATCGTGGCTCAGTTGTCAAAACATCGAGTCATTGATCTTTTCCCGTTCCTGGAATTTCGAAGAAAAAGAGTTTCTCAGCCGAGACCCAGCCATGGCTCCTCCTGATTTAAACTCGGTTCCTCCGTCTCCCCTTCTTCGTCATACTTCCCAACCGCCAGACCCTGAGCTCAATTCAACTTCTTCCATCACACAGCGAGCATCTCATGTTATGGGACCTCCACCCATGCCAGCGAACGCCATGTCGTCTGCTATTGCTAGCGATCCTGCAAGCGCAGGTTTTGGACCAGGTAAGTTTGTATATAATAAGGTCTGCGCATAGCGAAAGTATATACTTACAGTGATAGGCCCTCTGCGTCACCCCCGTCCTATGACCGCCGCTGATTTGCATCTGGTGTTGGAAAAAGAACAAGAGGCAGTGGTTTGTGTCTCCTACGATATCGATCTGGAAAAATGCTAATACAAACCCCACATCAGGTCAACCGCCTTACAAGGGAGTTAAGCCAACTCAGACAACAAACGGCGTCCGTTGCATCGACGGCATCTTCTACATCAACAGGGTTGACTGATACTGTGGAGGCATCGATATATCCTACGTCATCCCGTCAACATCGTTCGTCCTCCAACCTCAGTTCCCACATTCCTCCCGGATCGGCAGCATTAGCAGCAAGCGTTTCGAGCATTGCCCCTTCTCGCGACACTGCCCTACCTCCGTCACGTCCTTCAGGAGAGTTCACTCGTGCTGGACGCAGTCGGGAGCCATCTGTCACCTCACCGCGTCAGCCCGTGTCGCCCTACGGTGACGTTGGCTTTCAACTCCAATCTCAGGGCCAGCAGAGCCATCGCAGCTCCGTATCACATTCCCACTCTGCCCATCCGCCAGAGGCCCGACGTTCGACCTCGATCTCGTCGACAGCGGGAACTCGATTTGAAGAGACAGCACAACACCGAGCAGAGCTTGAATCTGTCAGAAGAGAGAATGAGATGCTTCGGCGACGGGTACGTGAATTAGAGCAGAACCTCAGAGCTTATCGCGACTCGCATCCACAGTCTCCGGATGAGTCATCTACCCATGGCATAGTGACTGGCATGCGGGATACCTCATTGTCAGAGTCGTGATACGTTACGAACATTGGAATTTCTCTTTTGTCTGCTTGGGTAGAAGATTGCAAAACTGATTGGTGTTTACAAGGATGGACGCAATCATTTCTTTCTCTTTTTTTTTTCTTCTCCTCTCTTCCTTTCTTGATTTGAAGTCTAATAATAGCTACAATTAATAGCTGCCTAGACTTGAAGCTTAAATTAAACAGGCTGGCCTAGTTGATCCCAACGATTTCTGTTTTCCTATGTATACTGTGTATTTTCACGTGTCAAAAGTGTGGCTGGAGCGTAGGCAACTGCGAAAAATGACAACATCGGGTAAGCCCCTCTTCCTACGTCATGCATTTGTGGCGCATGCAGCTCCCCGCCAACAAGAACAGCGACCACCACGTCGATGACATCGTACGTTCTTCCCCTTAAATAACTCCTAAACCTCTGCTCGCTACATTCGTACCATCAATTCGATTAAAATCTCACAAAGCCACACCAAAATTACCTGATATTTACCAATCAAACGAATAACATGTCTGGAAGCAACGTTGTTTACGTCAAGGGCATCGCCCCTGCGACTACTGAGAAGGAAGTCCGCGATTTCTTCAGTTTCTGGTATGTTGATCCTGATCATCGACGATTATATTCTTACCATTCATCATCAAAGACTAACGAATGAATAGCGGAAAAATCTCCAACCTGAGCCTTACAGCTGAGTCTGGTGCAGCTGATGCTCCCAAGTCTGCTACTGTAACCTTTGAGAAAGAGACGTATGTAGTACCTTGGAGACGAGAGATCTTAATACTAATTATTCGACAGAGCCGCCAAGACTGCTCTCCTCCTTGACAACACTCAACTTGGCCCTGCCGCCGTGCACGTCGAGGCCGCTCACACCATCGACGAAATTGCCGGTAGCCACGCAGCCAGTGCCCATGAGGCCAAGGACGAGAACCAACACGACATTGAACAAGAAGATAAGCCCCGCTCTCGCATTATCGCAGAGTACCTTGCCCACGGCTACACCATCAGCGACCAAGCCATCCAAAAGGCTATTGCCCTCGACCAAAAGCATGGCTTCTCTAACAGATTCACTGCCGCCCTTTCCACCTTTGACGACAAGACCAAGGCCACCGATCGAGCCAAGGGTCTTGACGAGAAGTACAAGATCACCGACCAGGCTCAGAGCTCTTGGCGTGGATTGACCTCGTACTTTGAGAAGGCACTCGGTACGCCCACTGGCCAGAAGGTGCGCGATTTTTATGTGCAGACCGACAAGCAGGTCCGCGACATTCACAACGAGGCTCGCCGTCTTGCCGATCTCAAGTCTGGAAAGACTAGCGAGCAGTCTACTTCTGAGGGTGTGACTGCTCCGGATGTTGCCCCTAGTGCTACCAATACCAGCATTCCCGCGACTGAGGGCAAGCCTCTTTAAATCAGCTAGAACCTGGTGTTTCTGATGAGTAATGGTTGCTTCTTTCTTCTGAACTGCAAGCCTGTTTGTATTCTTTTGACAAGGCGTGTTCTTATTATTAGTCAGTAAATAGTTATAGTACTAAATGAAATATCTTTTTCAAGAACGACGAATTCAACTACTTAGTTTTAACTACCGGAAAGTGTCTGTATGATTAAGCATTCTTACTAATCACCTTTATACCCAGATAGGAAATGTCTCTATGCCAAGACTTGATATCATACTCGTACAAACGTCATCATGATGAAGCACGACAACCTGTAATGGATCGAGTAGTTGAGAATTATATAAATAAGCTAACTTTTGCATTCCACTCAGACTCACTGACAACAAACCCCTCCTAAATCTACCCAGAAACATCTACATATCTCCAGTCCTCAAACAATCTACAAAGGTATCCATCATATCTCTTAACAACAACAACGAATTACACAGACATGCTAACAGCAATCAGAACCTCCAACAAACCTTCAAAACTCCAAAAATAAAAAAGAAAGAAGTCGAAAAAAATGTCCGCCCCAAATCCAGGCCGCCAATCGCCCGACGAAGAACGCCAACCTGGAGCTCAACAACAAGAAGCCACGGGCAGCGGAAAAGCGGAGCCCAACGCCGCGCCTAGCGATGAATACTCAAAGACGAAATCGGATGAGAATAAGGAGTCGCTGGGAAGTAATCCGGTGCATCCACTTGACAAGCATGCGAAGGAGAAGGCTACTTAGTCCTCCCTCTTCCCCTTTCATAATTCATGATATGAAGAGATGATAAATGGAAAGAGTGGAAGTGATGTCTTAGAATGTATTTAATTTATGATTATGGTAGACCTTGATGGACTCCATAAGCAATGGATGTCAACTTTTAAAAGGGCACAATCGCACGAGTAGAAATGTAGGCAATTTGCTGAGTAGCATTCGATCTAATCATGACAAAACATTTTGGCACTAATTTAGTACGCGGACGTGACTTGAAGTAGAGCAGAATAGTATTGGGGAATCTGTAAGCTGGTAGGTGAATGGGCTCACAACTATCGAGGGATGGATACCGTATGTCCTATGACGCGGGGCAAGTATATATTTAGATGCGGAGGGGAAGGTCGTGATGGACGGGGGGATAGGGGAATAAGTGGCATAAGGGGGCATTTTGATCTTGATTTCCAATCTCTGCTCTCCCTAGCAAGAGACCAGAAAATAAATCCAAGATTGAAGACAAACTTTCCGACAATCGACATACAGAAACGCCAAAAACGAAGGGGTAAATTGAAACAATCGTATCTCATTCAAGGCCGTCTATTCAATTACCGCCATTCGCTAAACTCGCAGCGATAGCAGCGTCGACTTTATCGGCTTCTTGGAATACGGATTGGATAATTTGCTGTTCTTCTGGGGTCAAGATCTTGGTTAGGTTTTCGTATAGTTGTGGTTGTCCTTGTTGTAGGCCTGTTAAAGTCAGTAATCGATCTCTCTTTTGAGAAGCGGGCAACGTACCAAGCAACACATTCTTGAACAGACCATATGGTTCGACTTTATCGAGAGGGGTCTCGAGAAGACTTTCTTCATCCAGGTCATCGTCATCATCGTCTGCGAAAGAACCGAACTTCTGAGCCTGTCATAGAGTTAGTATCAAGTACGTGACGAATGCATAAGAAAACTCACCTCTTGACTCAAGAAATCCAAGTATGCCGCATTCTCATCAGCGACATCATCGTCACCACCACCCTCAGCCTCATCCTGATCATTCCATTCAACCTCGCCATCCCACTCGGTATCCTCATCAACGAGGTCATCCTCCTCGTCGTCATAGGTATAATCCGACTCTCGGGTAGCAGCTTCACGGTGCTGAAGAGCTGCAGGCAACGTCTGGAAAAGCCTCGTCACTCCCTGCAACAATCTGGGCCAGCCTTGCTGAACGCTAGCGGGAACATCTTCTGGCTTCAATGTCAAAAGAGCGCTGATGGCTGCAATGGACAATTTCTTATCGTGAACGCGTCGGAAGCTGTCAATATTCGAGAACCAGGCACTGAAGAATTTGTTTGTCCATCCCTTGGCCTCGAGTATCTGCAGAGCCAATGCTGGGTTGTAATAGATGGCATTGATGACCATTTCCATCAAATGAACCCTGTATGACTTGGTCTTGGCGTCCCCGCTGTTGAGCACATTGATTGCAAGCTCGACAAAAATAGGGACATATTGGTCGACGTATCCGCGAAGGTTCAGCATCAATGCCTCGGCGAGCTTGCAGCCGCATATCCTGTCGACACCTCCGACTTTTTCATCGTGAAAAATATCCTCTACCATACTGACAAGAGCGCCGAGGTAAGCGGGGTTCTGTACGAGCATTTCCGATCCGTATGAGACAAAATTATCCAAAGCAGGTAGCATATCTATTTACGTTAGCATTTCAGAAAATAATGAAGAATCATGATTATACACACCCTCTAAATAAAGCTCTGCACCGGCTTTGAATGTCTTGTGAATCAGCTCGAATGCCTGCCACATGGTTGGTGAGATGCTCTTAGCTGAGAATGTGCAGCTGTCGATAATTTCAAAAATCTCATTGTACAAGTCTACAAGCAAGTCAGCATTTCGCGTTCGTGACAGCAAGAGTGGGAACGAACCGTAGAGTTTGTTCTCTAGGGTAATGGTGATGACAGGCATCAAGATAGTTTCCAAATGCAAGAGAACATCTGGAGTGCTTTCCAAAGTAAGAATGAGTGTTCCAATAGTCTGCAAAACACCCAAAGCGGTAATGCTCTTGTCATCAAGGAAGTCTCCGTATGAGTCTTCATCGCTCTTGGAAGCTTGGCGTTCAAGGAGTTCGCCGACAATTCGCATATACGTGTCACGTAGCTGTTCACTCAAAGCGACTGCGAAAGGAGTTAGCTCCGCAGAGAATACCTCGACAAAGTCTTCCATGACATTGGACAAGGCATCAACGTCGACTTCGTTGGCAAGTTTGAGAAGCTGCTGCATGATCTGAGGAATATTGTGTTGCATCGATGTACGAATGGCGTCATGGCGAATAAGAGGCTGCAATGCAAGAGCAGCCTCGACCCGCACAGGCAATTCGGGGTCAGCCATGGATTCCAAGATATTGCGATAAATGGTCATCAGATTTGCCGGGTCCTTGAAGTCCAGCTGCTCAAACTTCTCCAATGTATCGCAAGCACGAGCTCTGAGGAAACCGTGCGGGCTACGGAACTCAGGGAAAACGTGGCGGACGAAGAAATATTCGACCTGGTCAGCAATGGGGCTTTTCTTGCCCAGAATAACTGAAGATAACGATCCAATCATACGCAAAGCTCCTTCTTTCTCTCTGGGAATCTTCTCTGCATCCGGTGCGTTTTCGTACTTGCTGACCACACCGTTGACAAACTGCAGAATGTTAAAGGTCTGCTTCTTTCGGCTTTTTGTAAGTGAAATCAAGAAGTTCGTGGCGGCAACATCGGGAGCGGAGATTTCCTCATAGTAGTTGAGCTTCCTGTGGAGGTACTCGGGAGGATCCGTCTGGAAAAGCTCGAGATCTTCATCGGTCTGGCAAAGCAGAGGGAAAACGAGGTGTGCAATCAGAGTATCCATGTGCGGTTTCAAGTGATCCCATGTTGTTTTCGGCTTCACGCATTCCTCGAGGAAAATCAGGGTATATGAAAGGACGGGCTTGCTGAGCCATTGACCTTTAATCCATTTCTCCACCTCTTGCAAGTATCCTTTCAGAATCTCGGGGGCGAACGTGGTAATGAACGACTTGGCGTAGGTAGTAACATCGGACGATGTGCTTTTGGTGATTGACGTGGGGTTTCCATATCTGAATACATCACTGAGTTAGTAAATCATTTCTACAAACAAAATAGGTTTACAAACCGAACAAATAGGCGATTCAAGTTCCCATATGCCCACTTTTTGCACTTCCACCAGTGATTTTGCTCTCGGTCCTCGGGGTCTTCGAGCATCGAGTTGGCTGGAGGCGACTTGGCCGCTATTCTCAAGAACAAAGTACACCAGTCAACAGTGGCCTGGTGAGTTTTGAGGTGCGGCGGAAGTTCAAACTGTGCGCAAGTCAGTCGACCATTACCATAAAACACAAAAGAGGCAAAGAACGCACATAAATAGCATGTTTATAAGCCTTGACAACCGTATGCAACATCTCCGCCGCCTCCAAACTCTCCTCATCCACCAATTTATTACCAATATTCAAAAGCTGAGGAAAACAATGTTCCACAATCTTATCAAAATCACCCCGCTTCTCATTCGCCTTGAACCTGTACACCTTGCAAATCGCCAACAGACACTGCAGTCCCGAAAACACGGAATTCACATCGTGGGCATTCAACAGCTGCAGCGTGATGTCCATGTAACCAGGCCATTTCTCGGGGAAGTCATATGAGAGGATCTTGGTAATGAGCGGTATGAACTGCGCACGAACGTTGGGCGGGGATGCGGCGAGGATAGGGATCAATCGATCTCGGAGTGCTGGACGCTCTTCTTCGGGGATTTTTTTGTAGTTGCTGGTGTCTTCGGAGGGGGCCCATCCTCGGTTGATGCGGTTTTTCAGGTACACAACGGCTATGAAAGCAATCAGCACACACATGTAAAAATTGCGACTAGCAGCGAATCGCAAACATCGTCTCTCGATTTATCCTAATTGTTGCAAATGTATTGAATGTGATTGTGTAGACAAACGATTCGAGCATAATCATGGCGGGGKTTCTCCMTACCAGAAAGTTGAACAGCATTGTTTTGTTCGCCCTGCAAAATATCCAGCAAAGCGCCTGTGAATCCGGGTTGCGTCTCGGCCTATACCAGGAAATATAGTTAGTTAAAGATACATACGCATAAAAATGATCAAACACAAACACACATATTTGAGATCCAACTCAGCCTGTCGTCGAGTGTCCGCATTCGCGTCGAGCGTCGACTGTATACGGTCCCGAAGAGCGTTCACATCCATTTTGCTCCGTGTGCCCTCGAGCACCAACACGAATATCGCGAGCGCGAGATAAATAAATAGGAAATATCAAATTGAAATTAATGTGAGGCTGCGGGGTGATTAAAACGAAAGTCCCACACTCGCAAAGCCTCAAAGGGAAGAAAATATGTACGTTCCCAGCAGGCCCAAAGGTGGAGGAAAATGAAGGTATTGTAAGTAGTACGGCGGTACTATGCAAGAGCCACAGAAAAGAGGGGTGGGTGTGTGGAATTTAGCCTCTTTTGGCTTTTTTTTTTTGCTCGGTTTGATCGGTTTGATAAACGATAAAAGAAAAAAAAAAAAAGAAACTGTTTGGTAGGAGCGTAGTACTGGAGTGGCTGAGTGGATTCGTTTCGCGGAGAGTGGGTTGCTTGCACAGAATTGAGTTGGGAAATTTTTCTGCCGAGAAGGAGAGAGAGAGCTTAGGGGTGACTCCCCGCCAAGACTACCCTCGATGTTTGTCGACTGTAAGACAAGGGTCACAGAATTACCATCTGAATATTATTTCTATATTATTACTCCATTCTTATATGTCATCTGGTCGAGCAATGATGTACAAAGAATAGTCAAATCTATAGTATATGGCTGTAATTGAAAGGTACAGTAGCTAGCTATACAATACAGACAGCTCATGCTAAGCGCCATCTCCATGTGGCTGCTTAGACCCCGACACCAGCTGTCTTGCCCTTAAGCCTCCCCAGCGAGTGGTAATAACCTCATTGGCCAATCTATATAACAAGACGACCACCTCGTATGCACTCTGACAGCTGTACAACTAGTACATACACAGCCCATTCGCCAATCACATATACAAAGAGGCTGCAAAGATGACATCGCGCTTGATCAACTCTTGCGCTTGCTGCATCTTGAGATAAAGAGTCGGATCGCCCACCAGTTTTGCCGCATTCTTGACTTCTCTGCATGTCTCATCCAGTCGAGTGATGCATCGCACAATTGTGCCTTCCATGACGTCTGTGAGGTCTGTGATTCGGTTGAATGACATGCCCCTTGCCCATTCGTATACGACCTCCGTGAGACCGAATCGGGGTTTGCTGGTGAAGTCGTTGGAATCCTCGCTCGAAAGAATGACTTGATGCAGGATCTGGAAATCATTCACTTTGTCGGCGATACGGATGATGGCTTCTTTGCCTTTCTCCAGACGGGGCGTCAGTGTCGGTTCGTTCTCCGTTTTCTCTTGGAACACGAATGCCGAGAGAAGAGCCACGATTTCCTCTGGCTCGTACTCGGCCAGCACATTTTCAAGAACAAGTTCGGTTAGAACCAGCTCATCAGCAGAATGTATCTGGAATGAGTCAATACAAGTTTGCTTTGAATTTAGATTGTTCGTCTAACTCACCTCACAAGCAACTTTGCCCTTTAGCATTACCCTTGACTCCGCATCCACGAATCCAAGCTCCTTGAGGACTTCAACCCTCTGTTCATAGTCAGGCAGCAACTGCAGATTCTGATCTGACATGAGTTGACGAAGTTGTGAAATGTTCTCTTTGACCTGCCACTCGTCATGCTGCATTTCAAACTGAAATGGAAAGTCAGTCAATGAAGATATAGGTAATAAATGGATGAGGAGGCAAACATGTTTGAGAAAATCCGGGCACGAGAGACAATGGCAGCTCTGTGCAATGGCGGCCTGCTCTTGTCGCTTGATCAATATCTCCCGAATTTGAAGCTCCTTTACGCGATCCCAGTCGAGTTCATCCCAGCAAGGACTTTCCCATGATGCGCAGTACTTTGACAACTCTTTGTCACCAAACTTGAGCGATTCTGCGCAGCAAAAATATCAATAAGTGTGTCCAAGCCTGTTCGAAATGGTTGTTACTTACCTTTCTTGATATTGAGGTACCATATCGGCCCCGTCACTTTGACGAAAGTGTTGGTCACGCATTCTACATCAGCTAACCCAACCCGGGTGACTTTCAGATTCATATCGGCGGAGCTTGTAGGCAAATTCCTGAAGAATCGACGGAAGCTTGGTAGGAACGGCAGAATGTCGCTTGGATGTCGCTTGTCGCTCACGGCGCCAATTTCCAATACTTGAATACTTGGCTCGCCACCACTGATACCTTCGCGAACAATGAGACCGGCGGTACGGATTCCGTCCTGGGTAATCTGTGAGTATGAAGCACAATCCGCCGAATCTCCAGTTTCCAGCTTACCTTCCTATATACCACAAGTCTTTTGATCATGAAAAGTCTCTTTCCAACTGGGGACGCCATCAAGCCCAAATGAAGCTCCTGTGTAAGTTTTTCGTATTCGACAGATGCTTGATGGCAGGCTTCAAGATCAATATCGCAGTAGGTACAAGGCTCACGTTTGATCTTCGAAAGACTAGCTTCAGACAATTGCACCTGCTTCTCATGTTCCGGCAAAAGAGCTTGGGTTGCATTCTCACTGAAACTTCGCTTAATCATTTCTTCAATCTTAAGAGCTTCGACACGAAGAAGATTAAGAATCATGTTGTATGTTAGACGGAATTGTGACCTTAGTTTGGTAGGATCACCCAGCATCATGCGACGCAAGGCACCAGCAGGCGGTGCTTCATCCCTACCACTGGTGACGATTATCACATATCCTACAGTATCCAGACCTCTTCGACCAGCTCGGCCCGCCATTTGAGTATACTCGCCTGGCAGAAGATCTCTGAAGCTCTTGCCGTCGTGTTTGCGGAAACCCGAAAATACCACTGTTCGAGTGGGCAAATTCAAGCCCATGGCAAATGTTTCTGTAGCAAAGAGCACCTTGACGAGAGTCCTTGCAAAGAGAATCTCGACAATTTCTTTCATAATAGGCAGAAGACCTCCGTGATGCACAGCGACGCCTCGACCTAGTAACTCTCGAAGGCGCAAGATCTGTGGTAAGACTCTATCTTCTGGCTTTAATCGAGCTAAGGACTTCTCAATTATCATATGAATAGCGCTCTTCTCCGTTGCTGTACAGAAGTCCTGGTTTGAGAGAGAGTTTGCGTTTTCTTCACATCGCTTCTTAGAGAAGACAAAAACACAAGCAGGCAGTAGATTCTCCTTGCGCAGATGTTGCACTAGATGAACCCACACGTTTCGGTCCTGTGCAGCTGTAGTCCTTCCTCCTCCTCGTCCTGTTCGAGCAATGTTTCCGGTTCCCCGGTTAGCAGGCTGGCCTCTTCCTCGTCCTCCGGGTCCACCTTGAGGACCTCCGCGTCCTTGGCCACCACCGCGCGGGCCTCCTCGAGCATTGGCCTGGCCCCGACCTCTGCCTTGCTGACCACCTCGTGCAGCTTGAGATTGAGCTTGTGCCTCGGCAGCCTTTTGTGCTTTCTGCTTGTCGCGTCCAGAAAGAATATCGTCGGCTTCCTTCCAGCCTTTTTCAATGAAACGCTTGTTGGAGTCAACGATCTTGTGCATGCTCTTGCCGGACCATAAATAGTGCTCTAGCGGCACTGGACGCTTTGGAGTAGAAATCACATATATATCCTTCTTCTTTGTGCGTCCAACCCACGAGGCAAATTCATAAGTGTTCGGTACGGTAGCTGACAGTAAAATCAAAGTAACATGTTCCGGAAGCATAATGATAACCTCCTCCCATACAACACCCCTTTCCATGTCGTTGACATAATGAACCTCGTCGAAAATGACAAACTCAACGTCGCGAATCAGATCTGCTCCTCGGTAAAGCATGCTTCGCAGAATTTCTGTAGTCATGATGAGACAACTCGACTCCGGCGATATTTGAACGTCACCTGTCAATATACCGACATCATCGAATGTATTTCGAAAGTCTCGGAATTTTTGATTACTGAGAGCTTTGATTGGTGACGTGTAAATCGCTTTGGTCATGTGTTTGGCAGCAAGGGCTATGGCATATTCTGCTACAACAGTTTTACCGGCAGAGGTGTGCGCGGCGACGAAAACCGAGTCCCCATTCTCCAAATGATAGACTGCTTCCTTTTGGAAAGTATCGAGCTCAAAGGGCCACTCCCTTGCCATATCGGGTACCAGGTCATGGAAGTTTGAGATTTCCTTGTTGACATCAACAACATGTGCCCATTCACGACCACCTTTTTGTGCTGTAGCTGCGAGCAAGTGACTTCTAGGCTCGAAAGCAGGAAATTCGACCGGTAATAAGGAATCAATATCTTCTTCTTCCTCTTCTTCCTCGCTCACCACTTCCTCTTCACCATCTTTGTATTCCTGCGCGTTTCCATCGATTTCAGGACGCTCAACCTGTATGGCCTCTTCCTGGTCCAGAGTCTTTTCCACTTCTTCATCATCTTCTTTTGCAGTCTTTGATTCCACCTGTTTCAAATTAAGACCTCGCGTGAACCCCGGTGGGATTTCTAGTAATCCACCTTCAGTTCCAAAATTGATAATACGGTCAAGACTTTGCTTTCCTATCCCTCGCTGTTGTTCATTAGCTTGCATATCGGATTCCATCTCAGCAATAGCCTCTACTCCATCTAGACCTCCTGGTGCAAAGGGAAAGAACCCAGCGGCACCGCGGACGAAATCTGCTCGGGCTGCTGGTCGTCTCAGTAGCGATGTCGAGTTCTTTGCTGTAGCGCTACTTGCAGGTATCGTCACTTCATGGTATCCCGTCACTCGGCCCTCAAGGCCTTCGCGATTGAAGCGAATGATAGTGCGGGTCTGAGTGTGTGCTACTTCGAAAATGTCTTGATAGTCGATAGACACGTCCCATCTCCTAATTGAATGATCAGTCTCGTACACGTATTACACGGTATACTAAATATTGAAAGACCTACTTTTGTAGTCGGTTCAACCAGTCCGGACTAAACCGCGGCGAAGGAGTGAGAAACTCATCCTCCAATTCCTTTTTCAGATCTTCCTCATTGTGGCGACGAATTTTCTTTCGAGACCGAGAGCTGTCTATGATCCCATCTTCTTCTTCAATGAGTCGCGCATCAAAGGTTGCTGCATCCAGTTTATCGGAGCTCAGACGAAGCTGGCTCAGTTGTGAGGATAGATAATCCACCATGGCGGAATAGCGGACTTGGGATGATATTGATCAGTGATGAAGAATATGCACACCGTCTTTGGGAGAAATCTGAATAATTGTAATACTCGAGATAATACTGTGGTAATTCAACAACAAGTATTCTTTCAAGTTCTTGGTGTCGAGTGAAGCTTGATGGTGTAAAATAAACGGCCTTGTCCACGCCGCCGATGAAAGGCGCCTCGAGCGATTCAGCTTTTTAGTTTCTGCTCATACGCTTATCATATGCTGCAAATAAGCTCAGTATTCCTGACTAAGGAACAAACAGTTATGGCTGAGAAGGTAAGCATTCGAGGCTGTCTCTGTGCACACACAAGTTGAAGCTGACAGTGACATAACCAACATTGAAGTGCTAGTTTGATATTTGTGGAGCGACCAAAAACAACCCCACGACAGTTGGGAAGGTCCCCACCGGGTGAAGCCTTCTTTCCTATTTATACTCTTACATTTTTTCATGTTTGTTTTCTTTGTTAATATAATTATATATATCAAAGGATTGGATAAAGCAACGCACTCCTTGTAGTAAGATAAGTATTATTCACTAAGTACATTATGGACTGAATATTTTGTTTCATCAAGAAGAATATACCGCCAACAAATACGAGAAAGCGTAAATAGAAATGCATATCATGTAGAAAGATCCAAGGTCATTGCATATTCATCAGTCCAGGCACTTGAAAAAGGCAGCAGGATCATAAGGATAAAACATGTGTTGAACGCCAGCTCAATAATACAAATTGGAGACCAAAAACCCTTGTCTCGACAAAACACTTTCACTCTTATCGACAAGTAAAGACTGGAAAACTTTTGCGATCCTGCACGTTGATTTGAAATTCGAATATTCCTTCTACCGTTCCAATATACCTATGTCCAGGACATTAGTTGTCCATAGTGGAACGGTGTACTCAGATCACTTACAGGCTTCTGCCATCCGCGCCCCAGCCGACCCCTGCAGTGTCTGCTGGATCTTGGTCCTGGGGCATGTAACCAAAATGTCTCTCTGTCTGATCGTTGCTCAGAATATGCCTAATCCATCTCGGGGAACGAATCTAAGAGCCAACAGTCAGTCGATCCCAACAAGCCCAATGACAGAATACGAATGATAAAAAAGGAAAAAAAGCATMCCTCGTTAGCCGCAAGCCGTTGCCGTCGCAGTCGTTCTGCTGCTACACTGGCCCGCATTTCTGCTGCTGAGGCGCGCTGTGCATCATACCGACTTTCTGTTGTAGTACCAGGACGCGGAATCCGACGAGGAATGGATCTTGACCGTTGTGACGTTTGCCACGCTTCCGTTGGTAGTTCTTCATCAGGATAAGCTATATTCCAAACCTCTGCTCCAGCACTCGAAATCGTCTGACCGTTGTCAGCGCTCGATCCATTGTTTTCCAACTCATGTTCAAGACTAGCACCGTTATTATGTGAAGTGCCATCTGATGACTGCAATCTTGTGGGCGATGTCGTCCATCTGAGTCGCAACTGAAAGTCAGATATGGCATTGTTATTGCCCTCGTCGCCGCTTTGAGCGTGGGGCGCCGGGCCTGTACCTTGACTGGGTTGCGAGATCACAATGGACGCACGACGTCTTTGGCCAAAGCTTCGCTCTGTGGCACCAACCCGTCCAGGGTAATGCTCGCGAAAGAGCTCCTGAAGCGCGGCATCCGTAGAGCGGAACGGCGAGGTAGTACGAGAAGGGTGATCAGCGTTGTCAGTAGCACCTCCTAGGGATGATGCGGTGGCGTGTTGCCGTGAATGACTGTCGGTACTTGGTGCCCGATCATCTGCATCACTTTCTTGTCTAGATGACGATCGGGCCGTGTTGAGAAACTCAATAATCTGTCGTTCCCTTTCAGTGAGCGATTGAACACTTTCGCGCAAGGAGGTGACTCTATCTGAGGTGCTGGTATTCAATCCTGTTAACGACGTTCCGTTTAGCAAATCTAAGACCGCTTGGTGGACATTGCCCATCTCGTCTCTCGTACCGAGTTCATTTTCTTCACTTTCTGAGCGTATCAGGTATGGTGAATTATATATAGGTCGCACTTTCTGCGTCTCGGGATCATCTCTATCCAAATTCACGATTTGCCGACGAAAGAAGCCTGAGCGAATATCAACTATGCCAAACTTTCCGGTATCTTCGACCCACACTAGAAGATCCCACGGCTCTGGTGAAAATGCCATACTGCGTACTGCGCCAGCGGAGTCAGTCCGGGATGACCGAAACAAAGCTACACGGGCGTCGCAGCCCTGTGCCCCCGAGACACATTCAAGAAGCACATTTACGTCGTAAATGCTGATAATACCAGACTGTGAACCAATGGCACATAAGCGGCTCGAAGGCGAAAAGGCTATGGTAAAGCAGCTACCGTCATCGAAATTCGGGCTCATGTTCAAGTCGGTGCTCAGAGGTAACTCTATCCGACAGCAGAGATCCCACGCCCAACCCGATAATCGCTCMCCTCCCCAGCCGTAATCGATACTGTTTGTGTCTCGAACGATTCGATAGAAGTAGGCAAAGTTCACATCACCCACGGCCGCCAGGAGACTAGAGTCTGGAGAAATCACGGCATAGTTCATGCATTTGGGATGATGTTTTGTTTCGAGGAGTTGGCGCCGCGTCAAAGAGAAGATCTTGATCGTCTTGTCATTATTACTACTCAAATTTGTTAGATCGAGTGCTTAACATGCAGCAACGTATGCATACCTGAACACAGCAATGTCCTCATGGGAAAACCCGAGTCTTTCGTCGGCTGGAAGGCGATGAACTGTGACGGAGTTCACGATACTGCCGGTCAACGTTTTGGTGAAAATTTCCGGCAATTCAATGCCATTCTCTAGAGCCCCAGTATATGCTCGTTGTTCTGCCGAAGTATTTGCCGCCGCTGCCGACAGTCTTGTATCTGCGTCCAGCTCGATTGGCAGTGCGGTATCTACGTCTGCTGTTCTGGGTCCGGGTCTTGTGTCACTTGCGGTGCGCGGATCCCGGCCAGGAAGACTGATGAAAGCACATTCTCCATTATCGGAACCTCCGACGACAATCCATCCATACGCAGCAGCAAGGCATTTGGGTTCAAAGGGGATTCGTTCAATTGTATCCCATCTCTGCGACTTGACGTGGATCGAGTGGACCACCTTGTGGGCGACGAAATAGACACGATCGGGATCTGCGGTGCTTATGTAGTGGCGGAGCTGATGATGGCTAAGACCAAACCCTCGGCATCAGTAGAGTGGCTGGGKTGGAAACGAGGGATCACTGACAAGTTTGGGATTTTGAAAGGAAAGTAACGGCGTTTCGTGGGCAGGATGAGCGAATCGGTGGGGAAGCTTCCGAAAGACATGAGTTAGTCTTTAGTCAACTGAAAAGTCCATGATGTCTTAATTCCAAGTGAGCACCAACAGTAGAGAATAATCTAGTGTCATGATTGACCGGGGGAGGGAGGCATCAGTGACGCCGCATGGTCGGATGGAATGGTAGCGTCTAGTCACTAGTGACTCATTGATAGAGCTCCAGACAGTGGCCGAGTGAAGAGCTTATGTACAAGGCAAGTTAGTCGAGTAGCGCGATCAACGTCTCCGAATTGCAAAGGGAGCTCTATCCAGGGTTCTTCAAAGCGGTTGTATCGACAAGTTCGATTCGATCACACTGGGTGCTGATGCTCTATCATACTAGGTAGTAGAGGTGGAGTCAGCTGTGGGCGAGGCCGAGCAGGAAGGTATGACGGCACAACACGGTAGCCTTTGGGTTAGCGCTGTTAGCAGCGGTTAGCTCTTTCCGGCCGCATTTAGGGTTAGGGTCACATCTCGGCTGTCCGGCTTTCGGAGAGCTCTTTGGTGCTCAGAGTGCCGGAGTGGGTGGCCTCTACGGTTCTACCGACTTCGATCAGTGCTCCAGCACGTGACCTGTCCTAGCTTTTCGCCGGGCGCTAAGCATCAATTAGGAAAAGCTAAGGGATTATTAGGGACTGGAAATTTTGGCTTCAATTTCTTCTCCCTTTCTCTTCCTTCCTTCCATCCATCTCAATTCCTATCACAAAACCCCTTCTTTCTATTTTCATACATCCCTTTTCATCTCCTGCTGGTGCTTCTTCAGCTTGCATCTCAGTGATTCAGGGCCTCTTTGTACTTTTATACTTTTAGTTTAATTCCTGGTTTGTACTTCTAGCACAATGCTCTCTTCCCGTCTCTCTCGCGCGGTAAGTTATCATCATCACTTGATCTGCTCTCCCCAGAACAGAAACTGATTCTCATGTGTGTTATAGCTCCCGCGCACTCCCTACATCGCCCGCGCCTCTGCGATCAGAACTCCCGGTGCATCATTCCGGAGATGGAACTCGACAGAAGGTGGTGAGGAGAAGGTTAAAGGCTCAGTCATTGGTATTGATTTGGGTATGTCTCTGGCAATTCATTGCATTTCAAGAAATATAACTAACAATATTGTCTAGGCACAACCAACTCTGCTGTTGCTGTGATGGAGGGCAAGACTCCTAAGATCATTGAGAACTCAGAAGGTAAGCAAAAATTTTTCTCCTTTCGCAACTAAGGTGGTCATGGCTTCCGAGGCGCCTTCGAAGTCTCTCTGCCTTGCATTTCCAAAATATCCAAGTTCGATATATGCTAACGTGTTAATTGACAGGTGCTCGCACAACTCCTTCCGTCGTTGCTTTCGCACAAGATGGTGAACGATTGGTCGGTATCGCCGCTAAGCGTCAGGCCGTCGTTAACCCCGAAAACACCCTCTTTGCCACCAAGCGTCTCATCGGACGTAAGTTCACTGATGGTGAGGTGCAGCGCGATATCAAGGAGGTTCCCTACAAGATCGTCCAGCACACCAACGGTGATGCTTGGGTTGAGGCCCGTGGCCAGAAGTACTCTCCCTCTCAGATTGGTGGTTTCGTCCTCCAAAAGATGAAGGAAACTGCCGAGGCTTACCTTAGCAAGCCTGTTAAGAACGGTGTCGTCACTGTTCCTGCTTACTTCAACGACTCTCAACGTCAGGCTACCAAGGATGCTGGTCAGATTGCCGGTTTGAACGTCTTGCGTGTTGTTAACGAGCCCACTGCTGCTGCTCTTGCCTACGGTTTGGAGAAGGAAAGCGACCGCGTTATTGCCGTCTACGATCTTGGTGGTGGTACCTTCGATATCTCTGTCCTCGAGATCCAGAAGGGTGTCTTCGAGGTCAAGTCTACCAACGGTGACACTCACTTGGGTGGTGAGGATTTCGATATCTCCCTCGTCCGTCACATTGTCCAGCAATTCAAGAAGGAGTCTGGTCTTGACCTTACCGGTGACCGTATGGCCATCCAGCGTATCCGTGAAGCTGCTGAGAAGGCCAAGATTGAGTTGTCCTCATCCCTCCAGACTGAAATCAACCTTCCTTTCATTACTGCCGATGCTTCCGGTGCTAAGCACATCAATCTCAAGATGACCCGTTCTCAGCTTGAGAGCCTCGTCGACCCTTTGATCAACCGCACGTACGAGCCCGTCAAGAAGGCCTTGAAGGACGCCAACTTGCAGGCCAAGGACATCCAGGATGTTATTCTCGTCGGTGGTATGACCCGTATGCCCAAGGTTACCGAATCTGTCAAGAGCATTTTCGGACGTGACCCTGCCAAGTCTGTTAACCCCGATGAGGCTGTCGCTATTGGTGCTGCCATTCAGGGTGCTGTGCTTGCTGGTGAGGTCACTGATGTGCTCTTGCTCGATGTTACCCCCTTGTCTCTCGGTATTGAGACCCTCGGCGGTGTCTTCACCCGCTTGATCAACCGCAACACCACCATTCCTACCAAGAAGTCCCAGACCTTCTCCACTGCCGCTGACTTCCAGACTGCTGTCGAGATCAAGGTTTACCAGGGTGAGCGTGAGCTCGTTCGCGACAACAAGATGCTCGGAAACTTCCAGCTCGTTGGCATTCCTCCTGCTCATCGTGGTGTTCCTCAAATTGAGGTCACCTTCGATATTGACGCCGATTCCATTGTCCACGTTCACGCCAAGGATAAATCTACCAACAAGGACCAGTCCATCACCATTGCCTCTGGCTCCGGTCTCAGTGACGCTGAGATCCAGAACATGGTTGAGGATGCTGAGAAGTACGGTGCTCAGGACAAGGAGCGCAAGGCTGCTATCGAGGCTGCTAACCGCGCCGACTCTGTCTTGAACGACACCGACAAGGCCCTCAAGGAGTTCGAGGATCGCCTTGACAAGGCTGAGGCTGATCAGATCCGTGAGAAGATTGCTAGCCTCCGTGAATTCGTCGCCAAGACCCAGTCTGGCGAGGAGGCCACCACTGCCGAGGAGCTCAAGCAGAAGACCGATGAGCTCCAGACTGCCAGCTTGACCTTGTTCGACAAGATGCACAAGGCTCGCCAGGAGGAGTCCAACAACCAGCAGCAACAACAGTCTGGTGAGCAAGGTGGTGAGCCTAAGCAGTAAAGCTGCGCTCCTTCCTGCACAAAACCTCTTTTCTTCTCTCCCACATTGTTTGATTTAGATCCCTTCTCCTCTTGATCTAGTCCCTCCTCCACCTCCTTGATCTCATGTTCGCATATAACTGTACAGATATTGATGGCTGTCATGTTTCTTTCTCGATTGTTTTCTACTATATTTCCTCATCCGGGTACTCTGTGCTTTTGGTGCGACGGTGTTTCTCTTCATTACTGCTTTCTTCACAACATGTTTTTATATCTTAACTTTGCACCGGTTGTCGATTTCTGATTCCCTGGACTGCAAAAACAATACACGGCGGGCGGGCGGAACGGAAGGTTTACTTTTTTTTCGATTTACAAAAAGTGTATCTACTAATGACCCTCATACGGCCTCATCCATACGCTTGATTGTTGGGATGGTGGGTGCATGGAGCATATGATTATAGAATCGAAATCTCCTCTCATAATACATTTCTTTTACAGAATTCTATTTCTTCTATCAATACCTTTATATTTTCTATTTTCAAACAGAGATATCGCCATTTAGCTGTTGTTACAGGTGTGCCTAAATAGCTGACCATGGTAGTATTCATCTGCAATGTGGATGAATGGTCTATGCTAGGCTATTCACCACCAGCTACATGAGGAGGCCGCTACAATGAGCTATCTACATGTACTATTTCGCCTCCTGGCGGCTTATAAGAATAGTGCTACACGAGCTTGTATCCGACTTTCCGGCCATCTTTGGTATGAAAGTTGATACTAGCACCGCTCAGAAGCAAAAGATCCACTGTTGCGTCATGTCCCTTCGCCAGGGCCCATAACAGGGGTGTCTTCCCATCGCGACACTGATTTTCAGTATTCGCGCCTGCTTCAAGGAGTATCATTGCAGTGGCCACCCTCCCATGCATTGCAGCCCAGGCCAGCGGTGTCTGGCCGCTGCTGCTTTGAGTTTCAATATTTGCACCGTGGTCGAGTAATAATCTGACCGCGGAAACTTGTCCATATGCTGCAGCCCAGGATAATGCCGTCTGGCCGTTATTGCTCCTCGCCTCGAGGTCAGGGGTTTTGTCAAGCAGCATTTTTATTATGGGGTCTCTGCCTCGCTCAGCTGCCCAGGCAAGCGGAGTCTGTCCGAGAGCATTTCGCTCATTGATGTTGAAATTCCTGTCGAGTAATGATTGCAGTGCCTCAGTTTGACCGGACTCGAGGGCCCGAAATAGTGATGCCCAACCATAAATCGATGGATCTTGAATACTAGCCCCCTTTGCAAGCAATAAGTCTGCGGTAGCTTCATGACCCTTCTCCAGAGCCCATAACAGCGATGACTTCCCGTTGTTGCTCCGAGTATCAAGATCTGCCCCTTTCTCTAGGAGTAGCCCAACCGTGTCCCTCTGACCGTACATCGCCGCCCAAGACAGCGGTGTCTGACCGCTGATACTTCGACTTTCTATATCAGCTCCCTTCTCGAGAAGTAGTTCCACCGTAGAGACTTGTCCGCACATCGCGGCCCATGACAGCGGCGTTTGACCATTTTTACTGCGTCTTTCGATGCAAGATCCTCGAGCAAGCAACAGCCTCACTGTGGAATCTCTTCCGTAACCAGCGGCCCACGATAATGGCGTTTGCCCGTCGTAACTCGGAAACTCGCAGTCTATTCCGCGATCGAGAAGCAATTCCACCATGGCATTGCTTCCATGCTCAGCTGCCCAGCACAATACGGTCTGACCCACTGTGTTTGGCGCTTGGATATTTGGGCTTTCGTCTAGTATACCATTTGCTGTCAGGCTGTCTCCGAGTGCAATGGCTCTCCATAGCACAGAAAGTTTATCGTAGTCCTCTTTCCTTCCTCTCATTACCATGACTTGCACGTATCCTTGTCCAATACTCAATGGGGTTCCAGATCTTGTCTCTTGGCTCATTGGGACTGCATTGACACCTCGGACCGATAGGTCAACATTATCCTTCCCATACAGTTTCTGGATCCTGCTCATCCCGTGTAGGCTAATCTCAGTATTTGGCGCTACTAATGTTTCTCCAGAAGCATCTGCAGTGGTGTCATTCGCAGCGTGTTGAAGTAAAAGCTCCACTACAGCCTGATGACCCCTTTTAAAAGCCCATGAGAGTGCCGTACGTCCCGTGTCATCCACTGTCTGAAACTTAGCCCCCTTCTGTAGGAGAAGCTCTACCACTGCCAGGCGACCATGCTGGGCAGCCCAAGAAAGTCCTGTATGTCCATCCTCATCCTTCCCTTCAATTTCCGCGCCCTCCTGCAGAAGGAGTTCCACCACTGCCCTAGAGCCACTCTGAGCAGCCCATGAGAGTACTGTACGTCCAGTCTTATCCATGTCTTGGATCTTGGCACCGTTTTCGAGAAGAAGCTCAACTACCGATTCATGACCGTTCCCAGCGGCCCAAGATAACGCTGTACGGCCGGTACTATCCGTGCCTAGTGCCATTGCACCGTTGTTCAGAAGAAGCTGTGTCACTTCCTGGTAACCTCTTTCTGCAGCCCATGACAGTGCTGTACGGCCATATATATCCGTTTCTTCAAGGTCTGCCCCATTTTCAATGAGAAACTTTACCACATTTTCCATTCCACTGCTAGCTGCGCATGAAAGCAATGTTGTACCGGTTACGGTGTCCTTCAGATTGACATTAAACCCTCTCTGCAACATAATTCGCACAACGTACTCATATCCTCTGCTACACGCGCTCATCAGAACGTCACTTGCATCCTTTGCTGCCAGTTCAATGTTCGCATGACAACCGCAGTGCGCGGCAGGAACAACTCGAAAGGGTTGATAAGCCCAACACACCTTCAAATCCTCCACGCGCGGACGCTCTTCAGGAAATATTTGCAACATACTCCGACAAACAAGAAGCATTGTCGAATACCACTCAACATCCGGCAAAGGTAAGCTGCCAAGTTCCGATAGCCACCTATCCGAATGGTCTCGGTATACAAGATGTCTACCGTCAATATCACACACTGCACTAAGCGTCTGACCAGAATAGACCAGTAGCATATCCAAAAACACAGCTCCCAGAGAGAATACATCTCCGGATCTTCCTGGACGTGTCCAGACACCAGGACGTATCTGCTTCCATTCCGGAGGTCTATATAAATCAGTTCCGCCAGCAGTAGTACTCCCCGAAACAGTCATCGTTTGGTTGTCAGTCGCAATGCCAAAATCTGCTAATAGGACACGGTCGCCGTGAATCAGGATATTCTGAGGCTTGATATCTCGATGGCGAATGAGTAATTCATGCAGATACGCTAAGCCACTAATCAAACATCCGAACCAGGAGAGGATCTGATTCTGCTGTCTTTGGCGTCTGACAGGTTCCTGAGCTATAGTATTATATAGGTAATTCTCAAGATTTTGGTCTGCAAGAGGTTCCATGATGATATAGACCTTGTTGTTGAATATGTATGTAGTAACTAGTGAGATTGTATGCTCATGCCTTGCCTTGAGAATCAAATCGGCCTCATGTTGGATTTTGGCCCTTTGGAGCTCCCGGTGTTTGTGGTTTGGTGGTAGATAGAATACTTTTGCGGCGAAGATGTACTCGGTTGTTTTCGTCTTGCTTCTTCTTCTTGCTTCATAGACTGTAGCGGATGCACCGTTTCCTCGGTCATCGCCAGTCTCGAAGGGGACTTCGCTCCTTGTGGAGTATTCCACGAGTTCAAATGTGGCTATGGTCATGATCTAGCTGGTGTCACCTTTCGGTGATACCCATCTATAGGTAGCTAAGAAGATAGTCTAGGATTAGCGGGGGACGTAACGCCGTCCATATGGAAGACACTCGCTGTTAACAGGTCTGTATAATATCACAATTCTGTGACACTATGGTCGATTCGTACAAACGATATCGTGAAGAAGGAAGCATGAGAGTGAAAAACGCCTGTTTGCATTAGGCTTTACAGAGTACGACAAAGATCTGCATAATGAGCACCAATAGGTCGGACAGCCAGAGACAGGGGTCACGGGGTCAGAGTACGAGTACGTGCTACAGATTTGGACTCGGCTCCAGCTAAGCCATTTCAATCGCATGGGCATGCAGCCAATCAGTAGTATTCACCGAATCGCATCGCCATGTCCGCATTGATTTTACTCGTTTTAGTGGTATAGTTGCTGCTCGATGTACTGATATTATTGGTGGCCTCGCACTTGTCACTTACATCTATATGCGCTTTAGATGTCACCCAGGGACATGATCCGCTAAGATCGTTAACCCCAAAATAAATCATTAATAATCAAGGATATTACAGTCCGATTCCCTTCGCGACTACTTTCACCACATTCTCTCTATATGCAAGAATCAACGAACTTCTTCGATCCTCGTCCTCCTCCTCCGTCCCAACTTCGAATCCGGTCAAACATTTTATCACCGCCGTCATATACGCCTCACCCATTTCTTTTGATAGCTTCGCATATGCCTTCTGAATATACGCCGTCCGCAACCCTTCGGCCTCGGGCAATTGGTTGCAAGCCGTCGCCTGATCGATCTCGGTTCCAAACATCACGCTGATTGTTTCCCATACGCCAATCTCGAGTAACACCAGGCCAAGCGCATACAAGTCATGTTCAATGTCGAAGTTATCTTCCGGCTTACCCTGACGCTTCGGATGTCGATAAAAGTTGGGTTCAATCTCGTTGTCCGCAGCTAGTTCAGTCCCGTCCGTGACCGCGCGTGCTACGCCCCAACCGGTGAGGTAGGGTTTTAGCCCTTGCGATACAGCTGAAGAGGGAAGCATAATGACTCCTCGGCTCCAAATGTTTTTGTGGACCCAGCCGAAGCTATGTATATTCAGGACGGTGGAGGCGAGAGCATGAGCCATGAAGAAGCGATTTCCTAGAGCTGGTTTGTTGCGGATATTGCCACTGATCAAACCGTGCAAGGTCAATGGTTGGAAGGTCACCAAAGAGGTCAAATTCGATGGAAGTCTATAAACAAAGAGGAACCGATGCGTCTCACGTTGATCAATGTATCCCATGCACGGCAGTGTCAGGAAGCCAGAAGTCTCATTCTCTTCTGTGTCAGTCTCAGAAGCCGCAGGGAATGCGTTGTGAAGGAGCCACGCCAGGTCCCTTGTAGACGCTTTCAGGTCCTTTTCAAGCGGCGATCCAAACTTGGTCGCTTGAATAAGCTCATTACCGTACTTGCGGTACTCCACCACGACTCTTTCATTAAGCTGCCGCTTTTCGTCCATGTATATTGCCAACTTCACGTCTGTATCCGATGTGTTATCCGTATCTTCAAGGATGATTCGTCCCTGAAGAGCAGAGAAGTCTGTCGGAGTCTTGGTTTTCGCAAGCAACTGCCGTTTGGCCACACTTTGAATGCCTAGGTTGCGAGCATTTTTGTCAGTCGCGAATCTAGCGAGAGAGTCCTTGTCGAATGCAGCCAAAGTAAGCAACATCAAGGACATGGTTTGTCGAAGTCTCTCGGTCCATCCACTGTATGCCGCCAGGGTTTGTGTTAATTTCTTCTTGTCGAATAGTGCCCAGTCAATGGTTTTGTTTTTGAGATCTTTCACCTTCAGCTGAATACGCTGAATCCGTCCGGAGAGGGGTTTTAGGGCATCATCTTCCTGATCCAGATCTAGCAATCCGTGCTTTGCAGCTAACATTCCATATTCCGCCAGCGTCCCTTTGAGAGCAAATAATAAAATCTCAACATCCCGCTTCAAGCTTTCTGGAAGCCTGCTATCGTAGTTGAATTTTCCAACATTGTCATAAAACAAGCATTTGAATGACTCTAGAAATAAGAGTTCGTGGTCCAACTTGTCTCTAATTTCTTGCTTGTCAGCGTCTCGATTCTGAATATCCGTAACGACACCTTTGATGAAAATCGTGATCCTGTAGATTTCGGTGATGGCAGTAACTGTTGTTCCGAAAATGTCCATGTTGACGGCAAGGCGAGTACTGGTAGTTAGAAATATGGCCAGACTGAGGGACGTCGGTGAGAAGGTTCACAGGAATAGAAGGCTGAATGACAAAGGTACTTGTAGTCGGTTATGGCTAGCGCATTTGATGTCGGTTTCAGTCATGCAGGGATGTTTTATCGTCGGGKAATATTGCATTTATTTCTCAGCCTTGTCAAGTGAATTGGTCGAGTCGATTGATCAGCACAGTTCAAAGCAAGTAGTCATCATTCTAGAGGCGCATGTATAAAGCTTGTTATTACAGCCACCAGTAAAAGTGAATTGTTGACACGCATCCTGACTGAGTTCCAATGACCTTCTATTTCATTACATGGTCATGGAGAGCACACCATCTGAATTAGTAGAATACTACAACCGGAAAGAACTCCCCTTCCAAACTGGCGAAGATATCGGAAGAGGCACATTTGCTACAGTCTACGAAGCAAGAAAGCCAGCAGGAGATTACGTTTATGCAGCCAAAGTTTTTTTCTTGCCTATCAATGAGACGGACCAAAAACTCCAAAAGGACAGGATCAAACATGAAGCGCACGTCATATCCAAAGCGCGGCATCAACACGTCGTATCGCTGATTGGGACATACATCTTCAATCACAAAATCTACATAATTATGAAGCCTCTGGCTGATCAGAATCTTGAAAAGTATCTTTATGAGACTATTGGCGAATCGAGTGCTCAAGAGCGCCAGAGCCGTCAGCTTCAACTTCTGTCTTGGTATGGGTGTCTGACCAGCGGCCTGGCCTATCTTCACAGCCAATTCATCCGACATCGAGACATCAAACCGCAGAATATATTGATACAAGGTGATCGCATTCTCTTGACAGATTTTGGTATCTCTAAGGATGACCCGGGCAATACAATCCAAACAGCAACCTCCACAATCGGGACCAGGGTTTACAAGGCGCCTGAATGGAAAGAGATGGCCATTGGCTGGGCACGGCCCGGCCGAGCTGGCGATGTCTACTCCTTGGGGGCTGTATTTCTGGATATGTTGCTCGTTCATGCTGGACAGGACCTGGCGGTCGTCTGTGACCAGAAGGGGAGACATTTACCATATCGAGATTGTGCAGATGAATGGATAGCCCGGCTACAAAGTAGCCAAGAGCTACACGGAAATGTCTGCTGGTTTTCGACGATACTTTTTCTTTGTCGAAAAATGTTACGAGTAGATCCTGACACACGTCCCCATATCGATGAAGTGAAGCTATGTTGGTCTTACGGGCCTTTTGAGGTTGTGCCAGCTGCACGGTGCGATTGCCATACCTTGACTCAGATTTGTAGAGTCATGGAGGCAAGTGAGGTACTAGAGCAAGCGGGGAAAAATGGGCATAACCTTGTACTGGAACTTATGACTCAGAAGATTCATGATGGGTTAGGTATTCACTGCGAAGGGTTGTCATAGAAAGCCGGTCAATATGAAAGTATATGATATGCAACGTCAAAAATTCAACTTGGTGGAAACAATTTTATTCATCGTCCATAGTGCCCCGCATGTACAACTGATCAAGGAAGGCTATGGTGAGGCGTTGGTGGCTTTGTGATCTGTGTATTAGGGGTGGTCTTCTAGGGTTACCTCGGGGCTTGTTTTTGAGAGAATCACTTTCCCCAACCGAAGAGCCTAGGAACGTTCAAAGCAGCAATTGATAAAACAGACCAAATCACCAAACTAAAACCGTTGTTTCTGCGTGTAGTTGAGATTGCCACTACCAAGGTCAATCGGCATACTTCCTGCATATATGTCCAAGGCCGATTGAGGAGTATGTATCAAGACGAGCTGATTTTATGTTACCCAGTGCTACGTAAGAGAGGGTGAGTGAACCGTTACTTAGGTAGTAATCTAGAGATGAGGCACGGATAGATCAGCTCAAAGCCTATGTACCCGGCTGATTGGACGCTTCATTTCTGACCTGTTGCCATGGATGCCTATACGAGCTCTCAGGCCCGGAACTGTCGATCGACACACCCATGCTTAGAATGCTTGCTTGTCTCATGTATTCATTGTTGAGTCAGTTCATATCCACGATCTTAACTTATCAAGTTGCAGTCTGACCTACCACGGTACATGTGACAACGAGGCGATATAGACGCACCTGCAGATGATACAACCCACCACACAGAGAAGCGACTGTCTTCTTTCAGCATGTCGCATATGCAGCCACCGTTATCCGGCAACAGACGGCGATCGACGAATGAAAACCATCGCGGACAGTCCAGTTTGCAAGACCGAAACGATGCAATCCGACCGGTTGGGTAGGTGGGCCCAGCACACTAACGCCATCGGGTTAGTCCGCAGCCGATTCATTTGATTTATTTGATTGATTTGATTTACCATGTATCTTTTTTATCAGATGTATCTCAGATTATGATGTATCAACTGTCAAGCCCACTCCCCGACAATGACCATGCGAAGTACGTAGCTACAGACATTATTGACGTACGGCCTCCTCGCAGCCCAGCAGGAACTGTGTGATATTCGCGAGTGGGCACTGGACGAATTCTTGATTCTGTGTGTACAGCCCCTGATTGGCCCGTGCAATAAAAACTATTGACAGCAAAGACAAAAAGGATAGTCGGCTATTGGCTGTTCGCCCGCCAATAAGACAAAACTGTTGAAACGTGAGATCTAGGCCTGTACTAGAAGACAAGAAAATACTCGTACATACATTCGTACGTACGTACATATCGTACCATGTTCCTCAGTTCTTGTTATTCACCGTCTTCAGCTTGGTGATCGGCCAATAGTGAAGATTCAAGAGAACAACTACGTCAAAGTCTAGACTTCCCCTGTCCGCTAGTTAACTTTAAGTTAGTTGCTAGTCGCCTTGACTCAGCTGTCTCTCCTCGCATGCGCAGCCAATAGTCGGCCCTGACATCGCCTGCGATGACTCGATCTCTCCTGTGCTGATCCAGATGGAAAATAGTAGAAATTAGTGAAATTAGCAAAGTTAGTCTGTCTTGCTAAGCCTCCAGGCACCCGAAGCGGCTAGGGGCATCTATTTCAAGAAAAAAATAGAAAAAAAGCTGGGCTCCACTCTGTTAGCCTTTTCCTGCCAGCCAATGTCAGGCTGCTGGCCTATGATTCTTTTCTGCAACGCTTCACTTTTCTTCTTTTCTTCTCTCGCTCTCTGTTCTTTAGATTTCCGCTTTTCTCGCATCCGTATTCTTGGTTGCAATCTTCACAGCGATTGGATGGGTTGGGAAATCAGCCCTGACTGTTCCTGACTGCTTTGATTGGATCCATCCTCACGTAATCCTATTGTGGATTTGTTTGTTTGTTCCTTTCCTGGGTTGAATCGTCGTTCTTCTCCTTGGGTCTCCCTACGCCAGGATCATAGGGGTTCTCTTGAATGCTTCCTTCATTCATAGGAGTTGTATCTCGTGACAGCATTCTCCTCGACGAGGACAGACGCAAGTGTTGAAATCCCGAGACTTGTATTGACTTAATCCATCTTGACTGCACATACGGGTTGAAGGTAATTGATTAATTCGAAGATATACTCTGCGTTCGATTTTTACTGACCAAACAGTCACCATGTCTGCTGCTCCTCCAGCAGCTCCTCCGCCTGCTGGAGACCCAAGTCTTAATGGCCATGCTCCCGGTCACAACTTGAATCTACCTCGATTCCACCCCATAGCCATCAATCCAAACGGACCTGGCTCGACACCAGGACCACCTCCATACCACCGTCCATATGGATCTCCGTATCAAGATCATTTACCTCATCAACATTCTACCGGTCCTCTTCCACCTCCTTTACCACCGGCTCCTGCGCCACATCAATACCAGCAGCACCAGCACCAACATCTTCAGCCGCAGTCAGCACCGCCATCGCAGCAACATCAGCAACAATCTTCACAACAACATCCACAATCAGGACCACCTTCTCGCCCGCCGTCTCATCCACCTATTCTCCCTGTACCAATGACATCTCAGCTAGACCAGATCGAGGCCCGGTTACGGCAAATTGAACAAGAAGAGGCTAGCCGTGCGGCAGCCCGTGCACATATGCTTGCGTTAAGGAGACGGGAAGACGAGGAATTCCGCATGGTGACTGAGAGGGCGGAGGCTGAAGAAGAGGTTTGTTAGTCGTTTCTTTTATGGGTGACAATTGTTAATGGCAAATAGGACTTACGGCGACGGAGGAAAAGACTAAAGCGAGAGTCTATGGGTTTGCTGGACGGCCAGATGGAATCACCGCCTGCACCAGCACCACGACGTTTGTCGGAAACAAGTGCTGCCACAACATTAGCATTTTTCAAACAACAGACYCCCCCCGAGCCACGACCATCAGAGCTGAGAGCTCCACCACAACATCAACACCAACAACAACAACCTCATATTCCATCACCACCTACAATCCTGCAACAGCCAACGCCAATGGCACCAGCTCCAAGCGCCTCAATAATGTCAGCCCCTCACGGCAACACATTCCGAAAGAAGCAAAAATACACCATCAAGAACGCAGAGGCTTGGGGTGAGCGACACGGTCGACCGGCAACATACGATGCGGAAGGTCGAGCATTATGGAAACGCCCCTCGGACGGCCGACTTGTATATCTCGACTGTCCGGCCCCCGACTGCGGAAAATCCGATTTTGTCACCTTGCATGGATTCATGTGTCATTTAACCAAAAAGCACAAGGATCGCACACTGGGTAGTCAGTCTCGCGCATTGGAGGTCTGCGGAACTGTCTTCGACCCCAATGCGCCGCGGCCACAGCGACCTAGTCTGAAGAGGGATTCGTCGGGAAATAGTCGTGGAGGCTCGGTGCATACGGAACCAGACATGGACGAAGAGGAGGATACATACTCGACGTCTGCATCTGATATTCACGACGATCATAATACTAATCATCTTAATAATGGCCCTTCGCCGCAGCAGGAGGATATTGTGAAAAAGGAAGGAACGACTAGTCCGGTCACATCTGCGTCTGCCGTTGCTGAACAACCGTCTTCAAACAAGGCCAGCATTGCGTCCATGATTGACGGCACTGCCACAAACGACCAATGGCCGAAAAAGTCTCTTTCACCTGGGCATCATGCCGATACAACGGCGCCGGCATTAGCAGAGAACGAATTAGCAATAGCAACCACCACCGCCGAAGACGCTGCAGCAGCGGCAGTTTTGGCCGGACAGACGATCCAAGTCTAATCTTCGAAGTACACATAGAGCTTTTGAGAAAAAATCTGCATTGATCATACACGTTTTTCTTGTTAGATTCCCCATATGTTTCATAACATATCGTCTGTCTAATTATCAACCAATAAAAAGTAATAACTCTATTCATCTATTTTGACTTCGTAATTAAGTACAAGGAGTGAAAGGTAAATCATCCCTGAGCACAAGGACATGAACCACATACCCACTCCCTTCGTCCAATCCACTACTTCCCCCTGCCTCATCAGAACCCGTCCTCGGGCCGGATTCAAATTTCTCAACTCTCCAAACCCGGAAATAGCGCAACGACTCTTTGAGCCATGCTTCGAATACATCCGGCGACCGCTGTTGCTGCGCTATCATCGCTATCGTCGGGTTTCTTTCCCCTTCACCTTTTGCGTTGTGATTGGAGGTGTTGGCAGCTGACCGTAATAGACAAACATCGGCACATGTGCGCACAAAAGATGGGATGAGGGCTTCATTGTATATGCAGTCGCAGGAAATCACCAGATCGAATCCTGCTTCGGTGGTCGTGTCGTCAGCATGAAGAGTCTCGTTACGCGGGACATCCAGTTCCCAATCCAGCGGGATGAATTCTATATTGCTGTTGCTGTCGCTATTGGCGTTGGTGCTATCCTTTCCCCGTTTTGTGCCCCCTCCTGCTGCTCGCCCCTTCTTCGATGGCCCCTTTTTGGTAGAGATAGGCCGATTCTCATCAACATTCTGCCGAAAGAAGCGCCTCACATACTCCTGATCCGTAGCGACATACTTTCTCACCAACGGCGCAAGCGTGAGCGCCACCAGCCCCGAGATTCCGCACCCGAGTTCAAGCACCGCCGCATCCTTCCCCAAAGCCTGCGACTGTGATGACCAAAACGGGTTTGTGGAGGTGGACGAAATCCAGGATGCGAATAAAGGCGTGATTTTCCACAGTACGGCGCCCGTGGTACCCCCGTCTCGAGTTGAGGAGAGTAGAGTGGGCGATTGGTGGATTGTATAGTCGTGGGAGTGTATGGTGAGGTCTATTGTTGTCGCGCGCGAGTTGAGGAAGCCTAGGTTGTTGGAGGGAATTGTGCGGGAGAAGAGAAGAAATGATTCTGGATTCTATCAGCCTTTCGTAACTAATCTGGTGGATGCGTGTGTGTCTGTTGTGGTGGGTGCATAGTGAAGATTGGGGATAGGGCTAGAAAGTCACATGTTTGTCTTCGTGCTTCTTCCGAAAAGGGGTAATGTACATGCAACCGCCTCCATACTCCGTGTAACGACAACATGCATAATTACATGCAGACCCCAGATAGCAGAAGCCAATATCATCTGCATTATTATACCTCGGCGCAATAACGATACCTATTACCTAGGCAAAATGCGCCTAGATTGATAACTACTTTTGTGGGACTAGTCGACTGACTACGCATGTAGCCCTGGCAGAAAAAAAAATCACATACCTTCCTCGGCATCAACGACTTCCTCGCCAATGGACGAGAGAAAGTCCAAAAGGGCGTCTGACATTGATTATCGGCTGACTAGTATCGGAACTGTTGGGTCAGTTGCGTAGCCTTATGGATTCGCGCGTGATAGATCGTAGAATAATCGACGACGCTGGATGAACCGGTGGATGAAGCGAATCGTATGAAAGAGAAAATGTTACCCCGCATCATTTACTGGATGGGTAATTTTGAGGTAATTGTTTTACGCGCTGCATACACCTCATGCTGAACGCTTCAAAGAATGTGCCGTACTATCATGCACTTATATTGCTAGGCAATGTGCTACACTAGCAATCTTGGATGAGAATTTGTATTTAGTCGAGAACCAGATATGCAAGAGCCTCCTGATTAAACCCAAGCATCGACCTGGTCACTCCTATACAATACTATCCACGTATGATACCTACATAGTACATATCATATTAGCCCGTAATTAAAGAGCTGTTGGGACGCTAACCCCAACAAACAGGCCGGCCAATCAGCGCTTTGTCGCCAGGGCTGGAAGCTATTGGCCCTAGCAACCAATCAGAGCGCTGTGTCTCGTTCTGGCCTGGGGCGACAACAGAAGGACGTCATCGTACACACTATACACGATACACAGTTATGCACTTGCCTGTCCAGTGCCCACATCAACGAGATAGAGAGAAGGGCCCAATATCCAAGGATATGGCTGGCTATGCGCGATAGGCTAAAGATATGCTATCGATGGTAAGGCCTCCATGTTTACTTTTTATGTGGAAACCTACAATTCCAGGGACGCACAGACGGCAGACGGTCTGCGACCATCAAATAGGTGCGTAGTAAGGCACTCGCTTGCTCAGGCATAATCGCTTCAAACTCTAGTCTCGTAGAACCAGTAACAGCTTGTGATGAAAGGCAGTGCTGGACTCGGTGCTTAAAAGCAACGGAGTAGAGGCAAAACTTACATACTATTTGGTACTATGTAGTAAAAGAAAGAAAACGCCAAGACATATTAATTGACCAGCTATTAAGTATTGTTAGCGCGGAAAAGAAGAGGAGCAAAGCTCTAAGCAAGCCACCCGAATTAAGTCATCCTACGTCGCTATTAACTTAGTTAGCTAGCCCAAGTCAAGTCTGCTCCTCCCTTTCCTCTCCGCAAAACGCCGCGTGAGGCTTCTTTAGTTCTCTCATTCTGTTGCAAGAAATTATTCTCTGTTTTCCTTTACTCATTTTCTTTCAAGCATTTATTGTCGTCGGGCAAGCCCAGAGTCCAAGACATAGACGTAAGTAAACTCTAGCGGCGCAGCGAGACTTTTACCCCTACCCGAAAAGGCTCTGACGTATCGCATCACTAGTCAAATCACTGACCTGCTCCTTCCAAAGCGGCTTGAAGGCTAAACGACACTTTCTCATATATTTCTCTCTTCTCTCCCGACTCGAACTCGATCTTCCTCAAATTCCTTTCGACTTTTATCCTCCCATCACTCAAAATGGCGAGCCGCGATATCATCCAGCCTCGTATGTCCAAACGAGCGCCCTTCACAGTCGAAGCATCCGGCTACGAACCCGTCGAAGGCGAAACCATCCCCCGCCGAAACCCAGCCGCAAAGGACAAACTCATCTCTCGTCCCGCCGACGATGTCGCGACTATCCACGACATCCTCCGAAGGGGCGCCAAAACCTTTGGCAACGCCAAGTGCGTCGGATCCCGGCGTATCGTCAAGACGCACGTGGAGAACAAGAAGGTGAAGAAGCTTGTCGATGGCGTTGAGCAGGAAGTTGAAAAGAAATGGACTTATTTCGAGCTCACTGGCTATGAATATCTGTCGTTTGTGGAGTTTGAGAAGCTGGTCTTGAAGCTGGGTTCGGGGTTGCGCAAGTTGGGTCTCGAAAAGGGTAACAGAGTGCATATTTATGCTGCTACTAGGTGAGCTCGACAGCGACTCCTGCAAGACATCTGCTGACGTTCATAGTGCGCACTGGTTAGCTATGGCTCATGGTAAGTGTTTATTCTGTTCCATCGGTCCTATTTCATCAGGATAAAAACTCACAAATCAGGGGCTGCATCCCAATCCATAACCTTCGTCACCGCATACGACACCCTGGGAGAAGAAGGTCTAAGCCATTCTCTCAAACAAACAAAGACCGACGCCATCTTCCTCGACCCCGGACTCATTCCCTCTCTCATCAACGTCCTCAAGGACATCCCCAACATCAAACATGTCATCTACAACACCGGAGGCGCTGAAGTGAAGCAAGCAGATCTCGACAAACTCAAGTCGGAGTTCAGCCATCTCAACGTTATCAGTATTGATGATCTGGCCAAGGCAGGCGAGGAAACCCCGGTTGACCCTGTCCCTCCTAAGCCTGAGGACCTTTGCTGTATCATGTACACCTCCGGATCGACTGGCGCACCAAAGGGTGTGTCGTTGTCGCATGGAAATGTAGTTGCTGCCGGTATGTATCGTCCTTTCCTATGAATGTCAAAAGCTAATAGAAATAGTTGCCGGTGTCACCGTCATTGTCGGCCCATACATCGGACCCGGCGATTCTTTGTTGACCTATCTTCCTCTTGCCCACATTCTCGAGTTTGTGTTTGAAAATGCCTGCATGTTCTGGGGCGGCACCATGGGTTACGGAAACCCTAGAACACTATCCGATAGCTCCGTGCGAAACTGCAAAGGCGACATTCGTGAATTCAAACCGACTATCCTAGTTGGAGTGCCCGCCGTTTTCGAGACCGTCAAGAAGGGTATTTTGGCCCAATTGAACAAGGCCAGCTTTGTGGTCAAGAACATGTTCTGGGGTGCCTTGTCCGCCAAGCAGTTTTTGTTGCAAAGCGGCTTGCCCGGTTCTGGTGTGCTGGACGCTGTCGTTTTCAAAAAGTTGCGTGAGGCCACGGGAGGTCGTCTTCGTATCTTGATGAATGGTGGTGGTCCCATTGCAAAGGATACATTGAAGTTCATCTCGTATGCCATTGCGCCAATGATCAGTGGCTACGGCTTGACTGAAACCACCGCCATGGGTGCGCTCCAGGACCCATTGGCCTGGAACCCAGAAGCACTCGGTGACATTCCTGCATCTATTGAGATCAAACTGGTCGACTATTTGGATGCAGGCTACTCTGTCAAGAACAAACCCCCACAGGGCGAAATTCTCATCCGCGGTGCCAGTGTTACGTCGGGCTACTACGAGAACGAAGAAGAGACCAAAAACTCAATCACTGAAGATGGTTGGTTCCGCACCGGTGATATTGGTGAATTCGATCAGTACGGCCACCTGCGCATTATTGACCGGAAGAAGAACTTGGTCAAGACCTTGAACGGAGAGTACATTGCATTGGAGAAGTTGGAGTCTGTGTACCGTGCACACCCGGTCGTGGCAAACATCTGCATCTATGCTGCAGAGAGCCAAAGCACACCCGTTGCCATCATCGTACCGGTTGAGGCCGAGCTGCAGAAGATTGCCAAGGCGCAGGGTATTGAGGGACAGACGTTAGAGTCTTTGGTACACAACGAGAAGCTCAAGTCGGCTGTCCTGAAGGAATTACAGAACGCTGGCAAGTCTGGTAACCTTCGGGGTATTGAGATTATCAGTGGAGTCGTCTTGTCCGACGAGGAATGGAACCCACAAAACGTTAGTCACCTACTGAATATTGCTGAAATATATATACTAATTGAAATAGGGATACACAACTGCAGCTCAAAAGCTCCAGCGCAAGAAGATTGTTGATCACTTCAAAGCCGATATCAACAAAGCGTACGGGTCATAGACGAGAGAGCCAGCGACGTAAACACAAAGAGTGAAGAAAGGTCTTGACGTGTCAGGAGCATGTCTTATGTGTACCTCACCGGTCTACCTGCAGTATGGGTATAAATTATCTCTTCATCTTGCAATCTAGTTATACCTCTATCAGCGACTGCATCAGAGAAGATGAATCCTGGGGATGAGAAAAGAAACAAAACAGGACAGAGCTATCCATCTGTATTATGAACGTGATTACGACTGTTGTTGCTTGATTAAAGCTGTGACTGGACAGCTTTTGTGTTTTTTGGTGCTTTTTATCTAGTTTAAATAGCTTGTTTATTTTATTTCATCTATTCCCGGTCTGACATTGTTTAATACATGCTTACTACCTCGATGCAGCTTCTAGCAAATGTCAGCTTTGTCTTCAAGATTCGAGTCTATAGAAGACAGCAGAGTCTAATGAAATTATCGCCTGTATATTCTCTATAACCTTAATATTGTTTTTTCAATTTCTTCCAAACAGGGAGAAATTGAAATAGAATGCTTACATAATGGGATATTTTGCGGAGCTGGATGCTTATAGCTGCGGACGAATTAGCGTATTGTTCCGTCATACGTGCTGTTGATTTCTCCGTGTCTACCCTCACATTTCACTTCAACTCAATCTCAATCGCAGGAACTTCGACCATATTTAAGTCGGTACTGATCAAACCCAAGTTAACAACAATGTCGTTCTGGAGGTATTGCAATCCCTCCCGCCACCCCAATCGAACACCTCACCTGCCTGGCACAAACTAACAACCACCCTTTCCAATAGTTCATACAAAAACCTCTCCCCGCGAACCCGCCTCCTCTTCGGTGTCGGTCTCATGGCCTGGGCAGGAATCGGAATGACGGCTTCGCCACAGATTGAGTCTGCGCTGGGGCTTGTGCCGACGGAGCAGCAAAAAGAAGAGTTGGAGAGGAAGATGAACGTGAATGTTGTTAGTGTTGAGAGGGAGAAATGAGACTGGAGAATCAACGGGGAATTCTCTAAAGATAAGATTGGGATATGAGGCTCGTGGGTCAAAGGAGAGCATGTTGGCCGTGCCGTCCAGAGTTACCAGGTCGCTGGTCGCTGAGTGACTCCCCTTCGAGAGCAACGAGAATATGTGAAGCACCAGGGTTGTACCAGCGTCAACTCGTCAGATCGATTCGGGTGCACTCGAGCGATAGAAATACAGCTCAAGCACCGCAGCGACACGCTACCGATCTAGGCAGGGATACATATTATCGAGACAGAATCCCACGATATGTTGCAGTTGGTGGAATGCAACTCATTGAGGTCATTGATTCTTTAGTGTCTAAGCACAAACTACATATAGACGCAGAAGATAGTTACAAGATCAGAATTTGCAGTCTGTCCTTGCGCCGTATGGAATCTCCATCATTTGGCCTTCCACGCCATCACACCTCGTAAATGATGACTCAGCCTTCCTGATTTCACCACAGCCACGGCTGAAGTATCAAGCTCAAATGCTCTTCAAGTATGTGTATCGATTATCCAACGCACGCTTCGTCTTCTGCCCATCTCTAGAAACCTTGTCAAAAGTATGACAACAACCCGGGTAAACATGCAACTCAACGTTCACGCCTCCCTTGGACAGATTGCGCGCATAGTCGATGGTGTCGTACAGAAACACATCGAGTTGTCCGACTTCGAGGTATGTATCTGGCAGACCTGAGAGGTCGGTTGCTCTTGCCGGAGAGCCGTAGTAATCCACATCGTTGGTACCGGCTTTGTCGCCTAGGAGGGCGCCCCAGCCGGTTTTGTTGTCTTCAGCAGCGTTAGCTCGATCTTTAATTACACACAATGAGCACAATGTAGTGCATCAACGTACCTTCATAAGTCCAGAATGCGAATGGTGCAATACGCTCATCCGCAACGGTATTGCGATCATCAAGCATTGGCTGCCAGAGCATCTGCTTCGCGATCGGAGGACTGAGCTTCTTGTCTCTTGCCATCAACACAGCACCAGCCGCGAACCCGCCACCAGACGACTCGCCCAAAATACCAATTCTCGCGGGATCAACAGACAGCTCGGCGGCATGTTCTTGCAGCCATACCAAACCCGCATAGACGTCGTTTACGGGGATTGGATGAGGGTTTTCCGGTGCCAATCGATAGTCGACCGTGAGAACAGGTACAGCAGTTGCATTGACCTGCGCAATCATTGAAGGCGTTGAAAGCGCGACGCTGCCAAGAATCATTCCGCCGCCATGGACATGATACACCACTGGTCCTGGTTTTTGCTCCTCGCCCTCGGTTTTCTTCAAAGAGATCCATCGCAAAGGAACCTCAAACCCGTCCGGCGCCGTTGCAGTGAAATCCTTGACTTCGATATTTTCTGGCATAGACAACCCAGACGCCGGCATCATTGACATCATTTTCTTGAACTGCGCTCGTCGACCCTCGACATCACCGACTGGAATTCCTTCGAAAGTCAAGGGCACGCCCATCTTGGTCGAGAAAGCTTTCATCATCTCCAGTGCACCACCAACATCTTTGTCGTACGAAAAGGGCATTTTCTGTGTTACGCTGGCTTTTCGAGGTCGTATGCACGTGGTATTTGGCGATAGATGGCTTCAAAAAAGGCTACTGTACGAAGGTCAACGTATCTTCCCTCTCAGTTGTAGCAGTTGTAGTCTCAAAGAAAGTGACCTAGAGGCCATGTTGAATTTATAAGCTTCTAGCTCAAACAAAGAGATCGATGTACCCCTCACTAGTACTTGCCCAGCTACTAGTTACTTGACAAACAATCTGATACTTGAGTATCAAAGCTACATCTTCTCAACTTCTAATTGGCCAGAGAGCTATGGATACACGTGATTTAGCAGGATGTCGGAGTCCGATATGTACAGTCGTTGATTTATTCAGCATTAGCGTGGAGCGACTAGAGTTACTTTCGGTTTGGGGTCTCAAGGCTTGCCGTGTTTGGACTAGTGATTCTGAATTTGTGCATGAATATGCATGAAATGGATTAAATTGGAATAAGTTGGAATTTATGCAGAAGGAGTTCTCGTGATTGATCTGCCCTAAGCGATTAGCCCTAGCCCTACTTGTTTTCGTAGAAACTTCTTCTTTTGTCCAAATGTTATTTAGGAAGACTACGTCCTGCTATATAAGAAGAAAAATATCTGCAGGTTGATATCACGTGGAAGTTTCTAGGATCATTAGTGATGTGATCACTTAGCTCATGGTAATCATCAAGGATAAGCCAACAAGCAGCCATAAAGAGGGCTGTCTAAAGGGTCATTCTCATGACAGATGAGAGTTACTGTCTGATGAATATGCTTGTTCAAACATACATGTGTAGCAGATTACTCAAAGCCGTCTGTCGGAGGTTGTAGAGTATTGTCTCATCATAAATCTAGAGATAGCTCATATGGCTTTAAATCCTTACACAAGCAGAAAAACACATCAAGCTCTTTTAGGCATATGATGCAATCCAACATGCCAAAGACTAGGTACTTTATGCTTATGGTAAGCTCAAAACTTCTTATACAACATTATATGAGGGTGCCGCTGGAGAAGATATGCCTATCTGCGGGGACGATCAGAGCTCAACCTCAAGATTGAGCTACTTATGACGCGGCCTCCTGGTTCCTTCATTTAGCACAGAACTACATATGAGAGGCTACCTACACACGTCACAAATACGGTAGTGGCGTAGATAGCTTTCCCACATAGGTAACTTTCTCCAAATAAACCGATACCCGGGCTGACTTTCATGGTGTACCTAACCTAAGTCGAATGATCAAGGTGAGAATGAGGATTAAGCTGGTTGTAAGAAGCTCCAACACGGTGACAGAGCGATGGCTATCCTAGACTGTTCAAAAGTATCCTCATTGCAGCAACATCAACTCTCTCAACTCAGTGCATCCATATGAAGTTACATCCTTCCGACCAATCTATCTATCTTAGGAAAGAACAAAAGACGAAACTCTGTCGGCTAAATCCGCACATTCAAATACGACACAAGGCTTATCCCAATCCAGATTACTGGGTTTTGGTGAATGTAGTATTCTGTTGCCGCTGCTGTGCTACATACCGAAATTGGAGATGACGGTCCTCGGTATTTAGGTCTATACCGCTCGGACTATTACCTAGACTGAATACGAATGGGCCTATACCATGTAGCAATCGTGCCAAGAATTGAACATGCATTCGTGATGATTAATCGAACCATGGGTGAGCTCAGAGTCCATTAGAGTTAAACATAGCATACAGAGGATCTGTCATGCATCTAAGAATGTCATCAACAATCAACCCAGGAAATGGGTCGAGCAAATAGAGCTTGAGCTTGGGGAACAGGCCGTGGCTCAGTCCTTCGACGTTGCACGCCTAACAGGGTGATCTGAGCCCATATACTTGAATCAGGCAGGTGGAGACGCTCGAACATGTACTGCACAAAAGTGGCGTATAACGAGGTAAGGTAGATACGATTATCACGCATGTTCCTTCCGCACCACTTCCTCAGTGTGTCAGGATCCCCGTATTGAACCCCCCGGCCTCCAGGGCATGGCATCGTGGCGTTTCGAGAATACGGATCCGGTATTGAAATGGGTTGCACAAGAAACGTAAAGCCCTCTAAGTCCTTTTACTCCTCGTCTGACCCCCTCCCTTCCGCAGCTTTGAGAAATGCTGTGCAACCTTGAGTAGATGCTAGTTGACGGATCTGGACGTGATACGCTTCGTGCATGGAACGGTTTTGGGTCGTGGTTACTAGGACAAGTCTATTTCCACGACTAGTCGATTTGTGGATTACTCCCTACTTTGGAAAGATTATAAATGACTTTATTACTGGGAGTCATTGCTGACAATACAGTTTCTGATACGGGAAAGAGGCGGCGGACCATCATAGGCCTTTACTAATACTACCTAGGTACCGGATTTGCCCTGATGCGCCGGGGCTTCCCCTTTCCTTTTTAGTGCTCACACCCTCGCCGCTACTGCTCAGTAAGTAGAACCGAGGGACAGCTATTCAGTGATGAGTTTATTCTGATCTGAGTTCCTCGACAAGTATCGGTTTGCGACAACCAGCGTTCGAGAGTTTCGGGATTCTGAAAATTGAACAAGACATCAGCATTGGACTATCTGTCTATTTACCCCAATGTCTACTCTACCATTAATTATTTCCATTGCAAAAGATGTAACGTTTTAGCACCCAAAGTGGAGGGAGTTTATAATCTGTGATCAAGAGATCCAATTTGTACACCATGAGTACATGGTGTGTTATAGGGTAATTCGGATATGTAACCCTAGTCCAACCCTCTCATCGACAGAATCTGTGGAGAATTTCCTAAGCAATAAGTAGTATTATTTTAGATCACAAATGAAACGGCCATTTCTAGTCGGGTTTCCATCTTGCTATCATATAAACATACTACGGATGCTTGTGGAACGGAATAAAGAGAGTTCGTCGGCCTTGTTCATGAGACTCATATGCGCTGTAACTTGAAGGTTGGTTACTGCTGCTTATATAGAAGAGCATTTCATATAGCTAAGACCTTATTTCAAAAAAAAGGGCCACTTTCTCATCCCAATCGGCTTTTATTTTTTCCATATGAGTCAATATCTCATCCATATCGGCTCTTGTTTTTTTCAGATGAGTCAATTTCTTCTCCAAATCGGCTCTTGTTTTTTCCGGATGAGTCAATTGCTCATGAAAATCAGCTATTTTCTTTTCCATATGAGTCGATTGCTCATAAAAATTGACTGCTATCTTGTCCATACAGATCAATATCTCATCCAAATCAGCCCCTCCATCTTCCCTATAGATCAATTCGTCACCCAACTCCTCTCCCTTCTTCTCCATGTAGATCGATTTCTTATCCAAACCAGATACATTCTTTTCCACACTGATTAATCTCTTTCTCAGACAGACGGTCGTTCGTAATGAAGTAATAAGTAAATGAACGATTGAGCCAATGATGAAATCGGGGCAATTTTGACGGTACTCATCAAGATGCATCAATGCTTCTTCTGCCTTGTCGAACCTTTGCCATTTTATATATAAGAAGGCCAGGGACATAAAACACATAATGATATCTGAAGTTTTGGGTCCTCGTACCCTTTGCTTGGATTCAATTACTTGAATCATGATCTCTTCTGCTTTCTTATATCGTTTCTGATCGACATATATTGATCCGAGGTTGAATTGGTAATTCAGCTTGTGACAACATGATGGGTGAAGTGACGTTTTGCTTGTCTCCATAACGCGTAAATAGACATTTTCAGCCTCGGTATATTGCCCTGATTTGCGGTATAACATCGCGAGGCCTTCTTGATATCGCAGGGTAAAGAAATGAGTCGGTCCCAGTATCGATTTCGCGGTCTCGATTACTTGCAAAAAAGTTTGTTCAGAGTCTACATACCGCTTTAGATTCTGGTATGTAACTGCGATGGAGGCTTGGAACTCCATGGTAGCAGGATGCTCTGGCCCGAGACCCTCTATCACTGCCAAAATAGCCTTCTTGGCCTCATCATCTTGTTGTAAGTTCAAGTATGATATTGCCCGAAGCTTTGCACACGAAAGATTTTGTAATGCTATCGTCTTTGTTGAGTCAAGAAATTGAGTTGCTACTCGTCTACCTGTCTCAGAAAATCTTCGCAAGCGACATATTGAGGTCAAAGTCGTCACAGTACGCCAAACGCCCTCATCATCAAAGTTTGGAGTATCAATATTTTGTATGAAGCGTGTGCATAAGTCCTCTGCCTCTCTGTATCTCCAATCTTGATACAAGGTTTCGGACATCGCGCCAATCAGCGTGCTGTGGTCAATCTGCTTTCCTCGAACAGACTCTTCTTTTAAGACCTTTAGAACATGAGGTACATAAATTCTCCATGTCTCAGGAATGAGGGATTGGGGATGAGGCAGGGTTTTATCTAGTATACCCAAAGCCTTAATCATTTGGCTGTCAATAATTCCTTGTCTTCGCATCCAATTTCGTGTTGCAATATGAACAAGTCTGTGAATGCTCAGTAGCCCGTATTGACCGGCTCCACAGTCACTAACGAACGCATAGGACTTAAGAAGACCGATTGCTTTGATCTTTTCATTTTCCGAACTGCTTGGAGGAAGCATACACAGTGGAATGTTGCGAGGATTGATGCAAGCCATGAAAGTTAAATACTCTGCCGCCAGTTGGTTGGATTGCTGAATCTGTCGAAATGAGATCCACCAAGTGGTAGCCACAGGGTTCTGGATATCCTTATAGCGCCACTTATCCTTGAAGTCCTCACTAAGGACCTCGATGATGTCCGATTCCTGCCTCTCAAGCAGCCCAATATATGTAGATAAACTGATTTGATTTTTATTGATATATGCCACTGCTTGTGTGATGGCCAATGGAAGGAGCATTAACTGCTCGAGAAATTGTACAGCCGTATCATGGTGTTTAAGGGGATCATTCTTCTGCAGTGACTGCTGTAGAAATTCCAACCCAGTATGGATATCATATTCTGGGAGCGGTAACACATTAGAATCCGTCAAGTCAAGAGCGAGTTGTTGATTGCGAGATGTAAAAAGAGTACGACCATTTTCATTCTCCGCAATGAAAGTGTGTAACGCATTGTCGTTCCCGAACCATATATTCTTGTCATCCACATTATCAAAAATAATAAGCCAATTTACGGAAGTTGATTGGCTCAAATAAGTCTGTACTTCCTTCTTCGCATTTCCTCCTGAAAGCTCAAGTCTCTGTGCTATCTCCGTGTAAGCCTGCTCGACACTCTCCAAGGAGGTGCACGGTATCCAGAAGATTGAGCAATCTGGATCGTCATCGCGTATCTGGTAGGCGACCTCAAGAGCAACTTGAGTCTTTCCAACACCCCCGAGCCCAGTTATCGCAAGTTCTCGTGGACCATTTGGGTCAGAAATCAAAGCCCTTAAATGCTCGATCTCCTTTTGACGACCAACAAACTTTGGGTTTCTGCGAAAGGGTACCATCCATTCACTCGATCTCACTATCATAAAGCTTTCAGCAGGTGTAGAAACTTGACTATAATTTGTTGATCACCTACCTTTCTGAGCAACAGGATCCAAGTATTTCAAAAGTGTTTTTGCAGCCGCAGCCGCATTTACAGCAGCATATGATTGCCATTTGCTGTCCTTGTGGCTATCTGCATAATCGGATACACCCTTAATAACAATGCAGGGAAAGTTGTCGCAGGCCCCAGCACTCTCCATTTCAAACGCAATAACCTCCTCTGCCTCCGCTAGCTTGTCCCGGTGCGATGCCGACTTCATAACTCTATCTGCAGATGCGAATTTTCCTATATGAACGGCTGCATTATTTAGCTCCGTCTGCTGTCTACGACGAATGATCCGGTCCTGCTCGCAGCCAAGACTGGCACAATCATTCCTTGTTGCTTCATCACAAATTTGGTCAGAGGAATTCACCGCAAAACACGCACAGTAGGTAGAGTCTGACTTTGTGTGATGTTTGTGTTGGTATTGCGAGTCAAACAGAACGTCATCGGATTCTGGACGGTGCCACCTAGAATCAGCTTGCTGGATTCTTTGGTGGTGTTTAGTCATTTGATCTTGAAAATCCCTACGAGCTTGACCGACACTTAAACCCGTAAGAAGTGTCCTAAGCTTATGGGATGATCCGCCTAGGATGTTTTTGACATCACGCTTCTGTCTAAAACCATCGGGGTATTGTTTGCCATAATCATACAGTATCACGGAATCGCCAATGATAACGTCCCCGAGGAAGATCGGCTGACCGTTTGGCGATTTTGGTACACCTCCACATATACCAAGAACGAGAGCAATTTCTATGTTGGGGTAGCTGTGTCGAAGGTCCGAGGCTACCATCGCAGCGCTTCCTTTTCCCATTCCTGGCATATAGCACATAACAATCTCATGTTTCCCAATTCTTCCATTCAGATAGCAGTTTCGATCTGCTTTGGATTTGCCATATACCGTACCGAATCGATCGTACACTTCGTCGAAATATGCTTCAGCGGCTTCACTTTCTAGTGCAAGAGCACAAATGATGGCGATAGTAAACTTTTCTCGGTTCCTTGGACGCATCCTGCGCAATTACGCTGACTGTGGAAATCGTCCTGCGAGGTAGTGACATTTAGAGAGGGGAAATGATCAAGTAAAATCCAGAAAGGGGAGACAGGAAAACCATTTCTGACCGCTCAACAATCATCTAAGCCTCACGCAAGACAGGGGTATGGCTGGCCGTTCACGAATCCGAGGCCTCGTATCTTTACGCTAATCGATTCCCATCAAAAGCTCTTGTTCTATTGGCCACTTTTTCAGACTAGATAATTGTTTTCGAAGTGTGTGAGTCTGCCTTGAGATGTTAGAACTCGCAGCCTTGTTCGATGGGTATTCAATATTTGCTTTTCTTGTAAATTCTCCCTTATTCGCTGCACTGCACCATATAATCATGCCAAGCCGCCTTCCATCCAACACTGCTTCCGGATATTACAGTGGTCCACAAGACCACAGCCCAATGCTCGCTATCAGTTATTGCACGATTTAGCTTCAAAACGCGAAAAGTACACGAGAATGAACTCGATTGAGCTCACTCTTGCAGAGCTGAGCAGCTTGAAAACAGGAGAGAAGAAAAACTATACTCAGACTGCATTTCTTAATCCTGATCGATATACGCTCTCAAGAAGATTTCGCCTAGTTACAGACTCAAAAAAATTGAAATTGACAACAGACAATCACTCAACTCTCAGCAGTCCAAAAACTTTTCCAATGAATCAATATGCGCACAGAGCACCAGCTTCTTCCTATACCGTCAAATTTAGCAAATTTAGCTTATGAGATATCCGATAAAGAGCTTAGATAGAATTGGGCTTCTCGCTGGCTCAAAAAGAACTCGGATAAGGTGATTTCTCGGTTTTACAGGCCTTGATTGTGACGAAAGAGAGGAGGTTCGGTGTATCGATATGCTATTTATTTTGAGCTTATTGGCCAGAGAATTGATCATTATAAGCTTACGCCAGCCCGGATTTATAATATGGATGAAAAAGGCTTTATGCTTGGAGTTGGCTCACAAGAGAAAATAGTTCTATCGGCAAAATTATTAACAAGGAAGCTATAAGTAGCTTCTCTAAGACGGGAACCAAGAATAGATTACTGTAAATGCTTTAATTTGTGCTGATGGAACGACTTTACTGTCTTCCTTGATGTATATGGCCAAATCGGGTAATTTATAGAATTCGTGACTCCAAGATTTTGGCGCTTCAAAAATGTGCTATTTTGTAACTTTAGAGTCAGGATGGACTAAGAACGAGTTCGGATTTCAATGGCTCAAGGATACATTTGACAAGGAATCAAGAGCTCAAGCAAGCCAGGGTTGGCGCCTTTTAATCCTTGACGGTCGTGGCTCCCATGTGAATATGAGATTCATCAATTATTACCAAAAAAAAACCCCAATCTTATTATATATAGTTCCCTCATGTAACGCATACTTTGCAGCCTTTCGCGTCTCATTATTCTCGCCTTTTGTCAGGGCTTATACCATGAAATTGCGTAAGTTCATGAATGTGGTTTCCTGAGGCTGAGCTGTCTCMCTAAACGTGACTTTTTTCCGGCTTTTTTTTTTTTTTTGGCTAGCTGAGATGCCACTTTGTAAGCGAGAATATCTAATCATGCAGTGAGCATGAGTTAGGGCTGAAATCTACTCAATGAGCCAGACCGTGAGCGCCCTAAAATTCCGACGGCAGCTGAAAAAGGAAATCCCACGTAGCAGAGAAAATATGGCTCGTATAGCTACCTAGGAACAACTTGATTATATCCAGATTCATGTCTCTAGACTCCATTAGGCCGATCAATACCATCTACTCAGAATTCGCACCTTCCTAAACGGGATCAACTTTCTATTGGTATACAACATCTGAGACACTGGACAGAATCAGAAGGTTTATTTGCTGGCCATGATTACGTACCTATGAAGCTCATACCACCATAGCAGTCAGTCATAACCATGAATCTGGTACCCTGTTTTCAGAACTATCTTTGAGCTATAGCACCCTGTAGACATGGAGGCCGGGTACTTGCTTGTATGTCATACTCTTGGTGCTAAGTTGGGCTATATAGGAAAGAGAATGGTTACTGTCTTGTATGTTTATATCTGATGAATACATCTATGAAGTTTTGATTACATGTCTGAACTGGTGTCTCGGGCATGTAAGTTAGATCTAAGAGTCCGTCATTAGCAGTATTTCTCCTGAATGTTTATAATGAGAGCTCAGTAAAGATCATTCAGCAAGCATCAAGGCCTTTGGCCCATGATTTTTGTAGCTCCCCAAAGTAGATGGAAGTAAACAAACTCCGAATAGCCATTTATCTACCTCGGTAGGTACTACCATCAATGGTAAAAGAACTGGATCTATACATTGTTTATCAAAATATATGCTAGTAGAATATCTCTAATGCTATTCGCTAATTGATCGCTCAATATACATTCCATGCACTTCAATTTCCGTCACGAAAAAAATGTTTAATATAGGTACCAGGAAGAAGGATCAACACCTGATTATGAATTACTCAGCAGGACATCCGTCATCCTCGTCGTCATCAGGCGCAGGAATGTCAGTCGTGGTGGGCACAGTTTCGGAGCTGATGATTGTGCTGCTGGGTGTTGGGGTTGTGGATGGTGAGACCATGGAGATGGCTCCTGATGTGACGGCAGCATTCGGCGGTATAGCAGCGCTTGATGAAACCACGGCACTAGACGAGGCCAGACTTGGAGTAGGTGTGCTGACAGGTGCAGTAGTTACAACCGCAGAACTGGATGAAGCAATAACGACAGCCTGCGAAGAAGAAGAAGAAGAAGAAGAAGAAGAAGAAGAAGAAGAAGAAGAAGAAGAAGAAGAAGAAGAAGGAGAAGGAGTCGGAGTCGAAGCAGCCACTGTAGAATACGAAGTCGAGCAAGCCGTCGTCGCGGGTGCTAGGAACTGGATATTATCAAAGCCAACATAATATTCAGTCGAATCACACTCTAGCGCGAACAAAATGAGATGACTAGTAGCCGTAGGCGTAAAATCCAGTGAATATTGTGTCCACGGCAGCCCGTTCGCACCCATAGTAGTTACATTCTCGACCAGCAGATTGGCATTGGTTTGACCGTCCTTGAAAATGTACACATAACAATCCTGGGAGCTGAGACCGTTAGGTATCCCGGCGATAGAGTAAGTAATGGTGTAGATCGTGCTAGTATCGAGCCCATCCACCGTCTGAGACATAAAAAGCTCATCTCCACCGCGAATAGCAGAATCGTATGTCTTGATGTAATACTGGCCGTCCGCGGCGGTCGAAAAGGGTGAACTCAAAGAGTCTGCATCGACAACAGCGGCATTGGCGCCATTGAAGTTTATTGTCCAGCCGGCGAAGCTGCCTTCTTCGAAGCTGGGGTTTGTGAAGAGTTGTGGCTGATTGACGCTACACGAGACGATGGGAATGGTTGCTGCTACAGCAATTCGAAGCACAGAGCTGGCAGCGACGAACACAGAAATGGAGAGTGGATACATGATGATCGATGGTCGATCTGAAGTTGGTGTTTTGATCGTAGGAAAACACGTAGTGATTCAAGTCCTGTACATCTCGGAAGTAGCTACGACAAGCCTTAAGAATATCAATTTTAGCAAAACTCTAGGTCGCAGCATAGACTTTTTCTTCATATCACGCAGCTTTCGGACTATCATCGAAGGGTTATTTTTGCCGACTAGGATAGCTAGTGACTGATATTCCGTTAATTTCTATTGGTCAGGCTTTCGAGTATTTTGTCAACTTTAATACTTGCCCCTGGGGCTAGTACCGATACGAAAAAAAACTTTACGCTCGATAATAAACGCCTTCCGAGCTTGTTAGTTCTAGGCTTTTGTGGAGTACCGGAGACTCCGAGAGGTTAGTGTGGTGCTTGAAATGAGTGCTGCTGGCAACTGTGTTTGTGCTCTATCTTGTGCTAATATATAACTGAGCGTGGTTTATATCATCAAGAATGACCTTTTTACGGTACACATGAATATATGCTTGTCTTAAAAAGCGTTAGTGATCAAAGACGACGTCGTCTCGGTTCTCTGGAGGATAATCGCGCTAGTCCGCTTTGGGCTCATTTTAGGGCTTTTTTCTCATTCTGACATCTCGACTAAGCAGAACAATAACAGAATCTCACAATAATATTTGTAATAGATGAAAGGTGAAGTGGAAGGATCATAACTCATAATAAAATCTGGTATACGCTACGTGAAAACGTACCTATACTTATCGCTTTCGAATCCATCGACTGAAAGGGAGTAGGTACAATCTGGCTAAACTCCGCAATCACGTACACAGACACGAACACAAACACAGACACAGACACAGACAAGGATTAAAAACCACCATTGAGCTGGAAAGTCCATCAATAACCATGCTTCGTTTGCGTTTCGCTCTCGACAAATTCCCGTCGCTCGCTTGAAAGAGGATAGAATAGCAATCAAACAAATAAGTCAATGATAGCTAAAGGTGGAGAAAGAGAAAAAGATAAGAACTACAAGAATCGAAGTAGAGGAAAGTGAAATGATGAAAAAAAGAAAAAAAATAAGACAAACAAACAGACCAGACAGCCACCTTTCCCGCTTTTTAATCCAACAACAATCTCGTTTATAGTCGTATCCGTCCAGTCCGTCCTAGTATCGGGTTTGTATTTCTCGTTGCTGTCGAGATTGGATTGCAACATCCCCTCAATGAATATCGTGCTGCCGTAAGTAATAACTTTTCCCATTGCCTTTGATAACTCCCATTCACCGAATCGCCCAGCAATAAATGACAAGAAAACAGGATCATCCTTCTAAATGCACATTCGTACGCTCGGCAATCTTCGCAATTCTTGAATTCGATAATTCAAAGAAGTCAATCAAGCACATAGACTTTCCTGGATAGGATCTATAAATCTCGAGAACGAGGTCCCGCCGCTACTACCCCGGCTGCATTGACTGCTATCATTCACGATCGATGAGAGCGGCAGTCTTTCCGAGATTGATTGTTTCGAGTATTGATTGGAGCCATCCTCTTGCTCGTCACTGTGATAGCTCGCTATCATCGGGTCGAATGCGTCGTCTAGCGTGGGGGAGTTTGAGCTCAGATCGAGACTGGGGACTTGGCTCTGACTGCTGCTAGAACTGCCAGAGTCTCTTCGGAAGGACGAGTCGTCGTCATCATTTTGGTGACTATGGTGGTATCGATTACTGAGCGATAGACCACCATCCGTAGATTCATGGCCGCCGAGTGAATTGGGAAAGATGAACTCCAAGGAGCCATCGGAAGTCGAAACGAGAGGGCTGATTGCTTCCGCAGAATGATTAATCTGCCCAAACTGCGGCTGGTAACTATGACGCGGCATATCGCGGCCTTGGCTATAGTGAGAGTCACCTCGCTGGGAGCCATCATACAGGAACTGCACCTGAGAGTATTGCTGATGATCAATCGACGAAGGTAGCATCCCACGACTAGTGGTCTCTCCAGAATTCCCCCGTCCTCCGTCACCCATACTGGCAGAACTGTGTCGTCTCTCATCCTTGTAGTGTCCTGGAGACCGTCCACGTACCACCATGGGGTCCGAGATTCTTCTGGCTATCTTCTCCCAATGTTGCCCATATGGCCGATTGACCATGGCATGCAGCTCCACGACTAAGTTGTAGTACTGTTGTTGTGCTCGTCGTTTCCCGTTATTTGCAGTCGCCTTTTGAAACTGGATCCGTTCGAATGTGTGTTGAGTCGGTGGCTGTGCCGGTGCCATGCCATACGGGGGGAATTCCATCTGCTGCGGCATTCCATACATCGGCGAGTGCGATCCGGAACCAGTCATGTTCGAAGCCAAAAAGTATGGCGGCTGGGGKCGAAGACGGATCTTATCTGGCTTTCGCTCGGATTGTTTGTCTCGCTTGGGAGTGTGTTGAACAAGTTCTCGAGTCTCATTATCCGATGCATTCACGACCGCCGAAATGGACATGGCCCAGTCGATGATGGGTTCCATACGCTGATCCTGCGTTTGCAAGTAAAAGTTGCTAGTGGTCAAAAATGGCTGCAAAGTAAACGAACATGAAACAGAAAAGTAGTTTCGACGGTAACATGTCCACTTGTCGTCTGCTTGGAAAAAGCCCTTGTGGATCTTGGCATGGATGACCGGAAGAAGTTTCTGGTTGTTGCTCCCAAGGATGTTGCCAATGATTTCAGTTTCGCAGAACGGTGGCGCTTCTAGCAGCGACTGTGCTGATCGTTGTGACTGCACGTAGGAATAAGTGTCTAGCTGGTTGGAGACTCCTTGTGGCAGACTCGAGCTGTAAGAGTATCGCGGGAAGTCGTTCAAAGATGCGGATGGAGACGGAAATGCATTTCTGCTCAATGCGTATCCGCTGGGATAGGCGTCTCTGGCCATGATGGGGTTGTTTGAAAGCGAAGATCCACTTCCCTGTAACGAGTTCGTTGGGTTTACCGCTGGATGTCTGTAGACAGAAACGAATTAGTACAGACAATTCGGTTTAGTAGAATGAGAGAAAATGCAAGTTTGACCCACAGAACTGGAATTCTGACTGCGGGTGAAGCAAAACCGGTCATTCTCTGTGACCAGGAACTCTGTTGTGGGTAGAGTGATGTATGGTTGGCAGCAAGACTATCCGCCGTTGTCCCATCAGTTGGACTTATAAGAAGTCCCCCTGGGCCTGACGCAAATCTGATTCAAACAAGAATAGTTAGCATTATTAAAATGGAGAGCAAGAGAAAAGAAACAACCGTGGCGACAGCCTCGTTGCGGATTCTCGCCGGTACGTCCACGAGCCTTCTGTGTAGATGTCCATCCAACCACACTGCAAAGATGGGTTATATGTGTCTCAACCCGATCAACGCTGCAGCGCAGAGTCGGTTACACAACAGGCCAAACGTCATGACATGAATCGACGGGAACGGAAGCAAGGGAATCAAAACAACGACAAATGACTCAATCGGGCCGTTGCAAGAAACGAAAAGGAAGGATGAGGCTTAAATGTTTCATCAGCGCTTGTAGATCAATACTTACTGAGCATCCTGTCGCGGACTATAAGGTAAGCCGTTCGTGGAAGTTGTCAGCGTGCTCGACTCCGTCAGCGTATGTCCGATGGACCCGATACGCCGACTGTGATTTTCCTCGTCGCCGGTCGTAAAGGCGGCTGACGGTGAGAAGAATCGCTGTGTTTGGGACCCAATACAGTCGCTGGCCGAGGACGAGGGTGGGTAGCCTAATGAGAAAGGCTGGCTGTGTAATACAGCTGTTTAGTAGTGTTAGTCTAGGCAAGTCACATTCAATCTGCGGTCTGAAAAGAGGAACAAGAAAAATGAAAAAAGTTTAATGAAAAAAATAATAAGAAATTGAATGTCCAGGAAGCAGGATATTCCCTTTTTTGAAAACAGCAAGAGCTTCGGCCGGCGGTGATTGAAAACAGAAAATGGAAAATATATCGGTCATGACGGGCATTAGTAGACTGATAAAGAGAGTCGAGGCTAGAAAAGGCGGCAAAAAAGACAAAGACAAGCATGGCGACAGGAGGGTCGGTCCAGATTGGAGTCGGAGCTCTTTGTGTGTGACAAGGATGTACGCCGGGCCACTGAGGGACATACAGGGGTCCAGCTATGCAAGTGTCTATGTACTTGCATACATAGTACCTGCTAGCCCAGTGCAATGCTGCCAGCTAGTAACGACCAGGATGACCTTCCAATTAAAGCTGTGCGATTCGCTTGGCAAATATTTGCTGGGCTCTAGGCGCTTGATAATTCGAAGAAGAAATAAGCTTACCAGTAGAATGCATGTGGGCGAGTCGGCTGTGTTATGCTTGGAATTGATTGAAGAATTGTTTCCGATTATGAACTGACAATGTGATATGCAGCGCCCGAGTAGGAGAAAACCGGCCCGTATTGAATACTTGAGCTGATGATGTCAAGAAGAGCTTTTACTCGGGGCAAAAAAGCGATTGTAATTAGTTGATGAAGTCTCAATTCCTTGGTGCCCCGTGACTGGGTTAGTCTTCATCCAGTCTCTGAAAAGTCTTTGAAGCGGTCGACTCTGTCTATTTCGTTCAGGAAAAAGCCGCCTGTAGACAATTTAGTCTTACCTGTCCCTCAAAACGGTATTCAGCAAAGATGTAAATCAAGTAAGCAGATAGTAGGGGTGGTAAAAGTATGAAAAAGGGTAGGCATTCGAGAAAAGAAAGCACCATTCCTGTGACTTTGAACGCAACATGCTTCCTCCACGTCTGGTAGGATAAAACATATAGCAAAATACACTGGAGAGCTCATGGCGGAGACTGAGATGACCTTTCGAAGGGACAAGTCGGAGGTAGGCAACGGCAGTAGGGTTTAAAAAGAAATGGAGGCAACGTGAGCGAGAAAGTGCGTAGATATACTGCCTTTCACGCCGGTAATATCGAATGAAGAGTATCGTCAATATCCCAGATAGCAGATCAGTAGTAGAGAGAAAGACATGAGTTGAGTCCACAGGGGGAAAGCTAGTATGAGCTTCAACATCCTGATAGTCATACTAAAGAGAAGGCATCGCTGAAGATTCAAATGAACACATAGGTCGAGGTAAAGCATATATAAGTAAACAGACAAGTAAAGAAAAAAAAAAACAACATCCAGGACAATGGAAAAGACTCGACGGTAACAATCTTACTTACCGAACTATCTGTAGATGAGGTTGAGCAAATGTAACAACTTGTCTACCGCCGGAGATTTTTCGAACAAATAGTCGTACCCCGTCGAACTCAACAGCTGATGTTTATAGGACCTCACGATGTTACCTATGTTGATCTTGTTTCACAAAACGAAATAGAAGGTCGAGGGAGACGAGAAATCAGAATCAGGTTATTTGTGTGAGGAGTTGTCAGCAAAAGCTGAAATCGTCCGTAACGTTGGCGGATAAATAAGAGAGAAGGAAAGGTATCACCAAAGATACAAAAGCTCACAATCGGAGATTTTGAGGAGGAAAAAGTAAACTGGACTGAAGGATCGAGTCGAAAAGATTTTAAATCCCGATAGAGGAGTGTCAGGGCACGAGTGAAGAGGGAAAGGAAAAGGAGGGATTGTGAGGCTTTGATATCTGTTTCACTCGATACTTGTGGTGGTAGATGAAAGCCTAGCTAGCTAGCCCTCTCTCGATCTCTCTTTTTTTGTCTCTGTTTTCCGTCAAGCCCATATCCTGGAGAGGAGCATGCTGATGGACTGTGACCTTCTCGCCAGATCGTCCAACCCTACGGAGCTACCCTTGGCCGCAGAGCATTGCCAAAAATTTATCCTGCACGTCAGAAGAGCTAATCCCAAGGCGCTACTTTGGATGCACGCGCCACCATGCTCAGATCATTTACATCAACGGGCATGTTATACGTATAGAAAAGTGAGGTCCAATTATATTGTTTGATGAGCTTACCCATCACGGACTGAGGGACGACCTTTTCCGCCTAGTACTATTTTGATCGCGCACTACTATCCTCAAGTAGGGTCCGCACATCATCTGCCGGGAGAAAGAGTAAGGTACCCTCCCAGGCAACATCTGTGAAGACCCGCTAGCGTTAACTCAAGAAGGAAATGTCGTGGACATTCGAGAATCCGGTTGTAACAAAAGATGTCCCCGCTCTGGCCAAGAGAATACCATAAAAATTAGGTATCATCCAACGGCTAGACTGCATTTTCCCAGCTGGGTACGTAGCCGTGAATCCGGCAGTCACGCATGTACAGTAGCATTCCGTACTTTTTGGTTGTAGGTTATGGCTGGTCTGCTGCAGGAACATGGCGTACTGAGCAGATAGTCCTCGAATTGGCTGGCCAATGGGGCACTGGATCTGCAGGAAAATTACCGCGTACAGGGCAACGACCAGATCTACTTGTATTGTGTTGTGTAATTTAAAGCTCCAATGGTATTGCCATGTTCACGTATCAGAGATTGCCCGTGGCAGCGCTAGCCAGTGGTCAATCACAGCGAGTCAACTCATTTTCCATAAGCACACTAAGGCAGTCACCCGAAAAACCGGACCCCAGTTGACCCGTCGCGTGATCTTGAGGAATGCCGAGTCTGCATGTTGCACGCACTGTTTGAAATTGGAATAAGGTGAAAAAAAAAAAAAAAAAAAAAAATTGGGACAGGCTGGCGGAATATGGACTGTCAAAAACCAGAAACGATTAATCAACCATCCCGCCCCGAACAATGAATGATGAGATGCTGTCTGCTGTATGAAAATCCAAACCAGAAAACGGCCATACTTCCCCAAAGGGGGTCGAAACCTGGGCATCCGGATCTCCAGCAAATCTCCATGGAGCGATCAGGGAGATCATCGGTAGACCGGGCCCGATGGAGAGGCTTGTCTGTCGATTCCGGGGTGGTTGTCGGCGCCCGCTCATCCAGTGTATACCAGAATAGGCAAGTATACATATCTGCCAATCTGGTGGCGCTTTTTTTCACCGATACGCAAAAACCCGTTTTGTTACAGTCAGCTAGGATCTCACGGAGTAGCTTGCCGATGACTAAACCTACGCTCATATCCACACGCACCACTTTCACTGGGCCACGATCTGTCACTGGACCCTAGTGCGTATGTATAGCAGATTCGGCCAGATCGATATGGTTCTGTGCTTGATGCTTAATAGGTGAATTAAGCCAGCCTCATGGAAGGTATCCGGATCCTCGTTCTGACATCCTCGTAACGCGCCCGCTTCGTATCATCTAATTTGCCAACCCTTTCCTTCGACTTTTGTGGACCTGGTCACAACGACAAAAGCCTTGTAGAGGAGCGATTTGGACCATGGGTGGGTCTCCCGGGGGTTCGTTCCAAGTAAGTATCTCGATGGCGACTTTAGTTGCAGCTCGTACACAGCTATGAATCTAGTGCGTGCGGCTACAAGCTCTTGGTGGCATGGGGGTCCGGAAATGCCAGAAATTGGGCAACTCGTAAGCGCGGAGTTTCACCACTTACGAGGCTTGAAAGGAAGCTTTTAGATGGCTCAACAACTCTACCCAAACACTACGTACTACGTGGTCGGCTCGTACGGAGGCAGACGAGGACGGACTTTGTTCATGGAGCGACGGCCGATGGATCCGCTTTGAATAAAATAATACAGTGCAAATAAAAAAGCCCAAAGTTGCTATTTGTAGCAGGGTGACAGGGTCCAGCATGTGCGATTAGATGGGACCGGTTCTGGGGGGCAATGGGCGAGGGCGCTTCTAGACCCCGCCCAGTCAGCACGCGCCGGAAATTGCAGGTCAGCCACTCCCGGCAGGGCAACGTAAACATACGTACCATCGCAATGCTTAATGGATGTTCCATGTTCCGCTTTGAGCAAAGTGGGAGTCATGAGCTTTTTTTACGCTGCTGACACGAGAAGAATGGCCATGGTATTGACGAGATGACAAATATGGTCGGACCAGGCTAGTTGGTGGGCAGGCATACTCTGGTAGTCTGATTACTAGCTTAGCAGGACAGGTCTCAAGTCAGTTCGTTCAGAGAGATTAGGTCGGTTTAAGTGGGGATCGTAGTCCCAGGGAACGGAATTGGAGGTACTGCATACTAACAGGATGTGTCTTGTGCAGACACAAGACTTGGCGAGTAGCAAAGGATATACTGAGGGTCGTTGTGCTGTGGCTTTGGCGAAAAGGATCTTACTGGGGAGGAAGGAAGCTAAGTGCGCTGGTCGAGATTAATTCATGTTTGTGTCCTCGTTCTCTCTATTGCAGCGCGCCTGCCCGTCACTACTTTTGGCTTAAATTGGCCCAGGCGCCTTCCTTCCCGCCCGCTGCATTAACCACCTTCCTGTTTGGCTCCCGATTACTTACGGCAGAGTACGGACTGACTTATACATAGTGATACACTGACAGATCCAAGCAAGACTTCCGCTGCGTCTTGTCTGTGACCGTATTGACAATGAAGGACATACCCATTTGGAAGTAGCGGTTAGTATGGTACACTAACCGTACGTCATTTCACTAGCGGCCCGCTGTCCGAAGAAAAAGGTGGGCCCGGTAGCAGTGTGGGCTGATGATCGTCGATGCTAGTGCGGGCTGATACGTACCATACGGTAAGGACGTGTATCAGGGTCTTGCCTTGTGCAGCGTGCTACAGTAGTTACACCATCACGTGCCCGTCCGGGGCCATCGCAGACGCCTCTCTGCTACCCCCCGGCAACTCTGCGATGCCCTGACCTCAGCTTCACTTTTAAGTTTTGAATTGTCCTATTCTTGATGGTTCCAGCCATGACTCACTACTTACAAAACCATTCATTTTCCGTTTTTTACAACGATCGTTGGTGAAGACTGGCTTTGTCTTCATCGCCGGAATGGGCCTGCTTGGTTCATTGCCGTTAAATCCGTGCAATGTCCATCGGCGCGCCGGCCTTTTTCTTTTCCCGAAGCAGACGTCCTCTCCTTCAGACCGCACTTCTTGGCACAAACAGCTCTCTGCCTCGTCTCGATTTCTGCTTCCACAGCGATCGATGTCAAAGCGTCGAGGATCTGGTCATTCCTTTTGCCTCATAGCCTGCAGCGTGGTGCACTGCACCTGGATGATTGACAGCGATGGCCTTTATAGATAGTAAGCCCCTTTTCAGGCTAGCACCGCGCCCTGATCATTTTCGACTGTCGAGTGCATACTATTTGACATCGCCAGACTATCTACAAAAGAGAAGAGATAATGATATCGACATGGGATCCTAGATTCGAAAAATGTACTATTGACGGCTAGCACTCATTTTTTTTATCACGTCTATTCGAGCTACGTCTGGAACCGCCGATGTACGTAGCACCAAAGCCACCGGGCAATGCAACCTTCATTTCCCTAGCGTGCCGCAGTGATCAAGACGGTGTTGCAAAAGCGTCTAACCTTCTTTTTCAGCGAGAATTCCATGGTTCGAAACGCCCTCCTTACTTGACTTGTCCTATCAGAAGCCGATGAGTACGGCTCTACCTTCTTAGTCGAACGGGTAGCTGCCGAAGAATTCGAAGAAAGCTTTGTCCGGCTTTCGACATAGCATGAGCATGACAAACAATATCCGCTAGGCTGTTCCTTTATTTTTTTTTGATCTCTTTGTTGAACCACAATGTTGAACTATCCTGGGAGCTTTTGAAAGCTTGCCTCTTCCGTCCCACTTGGTCACGTCAACTTGCACGCGGATCTGGCTGGTTCCTTCTTGTGTAAGAAGAGCCATGCTCAGCATGCTCAAAACAGATCGATTGATCTGTGAGTCGCTGAACCGTCACCGTTCTTAGCAGTTATTCGTTGGTCAACCGGTTGATATCAAAATACCGAACCTCCTTGAGCATAGACCAGATGCCCATTGACGTGCTACAACCTGGTTGGATGATTCCTTGCAGCTGCAGACAAGATTACAAAACATCCTATAGGATTAGGAATTCAGGTTTGATCATGTCTTGAAATTGGGTGCGGTACGAGTGGCGGTGAATAGGGTTTGAGAAATCTTTGACGAATAAGACAGATACTGACGGCTTTTTCCGACATCTAATGCAACAGATAAAAATTCCATCTAATCAAGTTCCGTCTTCCGCTTGCCTCCTAATTCGACGTCACAGCTTGGAATCACGGGGATCAGCCTGAATGACCAAAGATCCAATTAACAGAGAATCAGATAAGACTCCAACAGACTAAACAAAGTGACACGGATGGAAATATCCGGACCCAAAAACCGCTCCAGAAGACCGGTAATGTACCCGCACTTTCTGCAGAGGACGGCATGGATGTGTAACGCGACCAAGGCGGTTTTTGGGACTTTCAATGTAAATGGGCACCGTTGAAGCTAGGACGATCATAAATCATGTCTTGTTCTTCAGAAAGCGACCAATCTATTCTCGAGAAAAGGTCTAAACGGCGACCTTCTGCGAGTCATACGACTAAACGCCGGCAGAACAGAACAAAGGAACTTCGACGTACGTACGTAACGCAAAAATCGGAACTATGTATGGATCTGCGCTATGCCATTGGAAGCCTGAAGTTGAGTCTATTTAACGCTTGACACGAGTTGTAATCACGATTCCAATTGCCCCTGATTTACCTCCGTCGTCTGAGACCTGCATCCAGCAAGATGACACTCAATCACTACCTAGATACGTACTAAGGGACGTACTGTGTTGAACATTAGCCTAGTTATGTACTACCCAGCTGGATACTTTAAGATTGTATCAATATCAGCCACCTGTCTTTGTGTGACGGTGTTCTTCTTCACCTATCGCTGTTTTTGTATATCTAGGTAGGTACGAGACGGATGGCAGCCCATGTGCTTCTCAAGATTAAGGTAGGTAGTAGCGGTAGCGTAGCATTCAGCCTCGATCGATAGACCGGCTTCCAGGATCCATGGTGCATAGACCTAGCAATAAATAAATCAATCAATCAATCGACCAAGCCAGCCATACAGGATTAAGCAACAAAGCACTTCCTCAGAGTAATAGGAATATGTCCAAATCAAACAACCCCATCACAATCCGGGAAAAGCCTCGCCTCGTGCTCGCGTCCAACCAAATCTCAAACCTACTTTATACACTTTACGACACCTGGATCAATATGTTTAGGTAGTTTGAGTAGTATCGGATTCTTTGGTTTTCATCTTGCATAAAATCCGTCCTGGAATCCTAATGCTGCCCAGGTAGTATGTACATGGTAAGTACGGAGTTCCTGAACAGGCTAGTTGACATCCTATGTATTAGCTTTTTCTCAGTGCTGAAACTGTCCATGCACGTTTGGGCACTGATAGTGGGCTGGACAGTGCGAGGCATCATGATCTAGATTGATGCCAGATAGACTATAGACACCTTGATAGTTCGAAAGTTTCAAAAGAGGCAGGTGAGTAAGTGAAGTCTCCGAAACAATCTTGAAAAGCAACAGTAATGAACCAATGCGCTTTCTCCTATTCAGGGGTCCGCGATGAATCAATCAGTTCTGGATACAACATAGTCACATGCTACGCCCACCTCGGGTTCTGCTTCTCAAGCTGATTGTGTGAAGCTAAATTTCTTTTTTTCTTATCCAGGTGTTATCCATGCATCACCCTACATAACGCAGGAAACCCCACTGATATATATATAGAAAAGTATAAAAAAATTCTGAAGGTCCAGCCGTAGAAAGTAAGTTTTTACCTAGATGAGTAATTTTTCGACGGAACGACGCATTTGTGCGCCGGCGCAGGCACAGGGGGGGCCAGGACAGTTTGACAAGGTTCAGGCATGGAACGTTGGACGAGGTTGTGTAATGATTTGAATGAACTGTGGACTGCATAACTCTACATCAGCAACGACAAAGCTTTGGGCATGGGATGGGTGGTTGACGGTAAAATCCGCTCCGCCTTCTCATTTCGCACCTTCCTCTTCGAGTATTATCAGATTATCTAAGAGACAGACGGATGAGTCGATTCTCCTTTTCATGTCTTATTTTCTTTTTTCTTTCAATATTACAAACTCATTTTTTGGGTCTTGAGGTCTGTGTGTGATTACATCCGCCTTGTACTTGGACTTGGTTAATGACAGCCGCATTTGCTTCTTCTTGTGAATGCAGAAATGAGGACCCCTTATTTTCCAAGGTTTGATGTAGTCCGAGACAGGCATATGCAGCTTTCCGAGGATTCTTTCTAGCTAGATAGCTAGACTGCAAGGCTGACTCGGCTGGTTGTTGGTCGAGGGGCTGGGTATGTCTGGCGTGGCGAGGTGAGGCGTACTTCCGTTGTCCTCTTGAGCTTGATATTCTTATATACAAAGTTGTGAAACAACAAGGAGACACCTGGTAGGTGGCCGGCCAGTAGTTTGGTAGGCGAGTCATCTATTCTTTGAATCACAAGTCCAACTTTGTAGAAGCGAAACACACAAGTCATGACACAGGTAAACAGTACTTCTTCAAACCTAAGTTTATCTACAAAAAAAGATGCCATTGCATTCGAAGCTAGTATGACGAAAAGAAATATTCATTGAGCATTACCTAGGTACATAAAACTTCTTCAAGTAAAGAAATCTAGAAGAAAAAAAGGCCGTCCGTTCACATGCTAGTCCTTCTACTCTTTCAAAAGAGGCCAGTCTCACAGGCATATGATCGAACGTCGAAGAAGAAAAAACTTTTTATGAAGTCCTCTTGGCGAATTCCACCCGCAGAATGAGATGGCGATAACCGACTGGTAAAATGTTAGTAAATAGCAAGAGGAGTAGTCGTGAAAGAAACACTTACATCCGTCCATCTTCTCGCAGGCGCGCGCTGCATCGCTTCGGTCTGCAAAACTGATAAATGCGAATCCCTTGGCTCTCTGTGTATCTCTGTCGCGGGCAAGGAAGACTCTGGTGACGCGGCCGAATCGTTCGAAGAGATCGCGGAGTTCCTGCTCCTCGGCCAATTCAGATACCTACATCGTTTGTGTTAGTCGAAGCTCATACCATCATAGCACCATATAAAGGGGGAAGAAAAAAACTCACGTTCGTAACTCTGAGAGTAGCAAGATCGTCTCGCTCGTACTTGCCACCGCCGCCGCCGCCCGCGGCAGCAGCAGCAGCCGCAGCAGTACCTTTGCGCAGATGAGGAGGAACATAGCTTCCACCAGCAGTATTCATACCACCAGCAGCAGGCTCCTCGTCATCCAGACCCGCACCAGCACCACCAGCGCCCTCGTCGACAGGTGCCATAGTATCCTTGAACGGACAACGAGCCGTGAAATGCTCTCCCTGACAGATACGACATTTGACCTTCTTATCCTTGAGCTGCTCCTTCACACTACCCTTCTCGCCTTCCTTCTCAGCCTCCTTGGCATGCACTTTCCAGTTAACGCTAGGCCTGAAAATAATATTCTCGCCAACAGAAGTGGTATCAAACGAAGGACCGGGTGGGTGGCCCTTTTCGAGGCCGAATTTGCTCCACGCCCTTCGCTCGGCGACCTGTGGGTTTACGTGTTCCTTGACGATGGTTGTGCGGATTCGGCGTGTCACTTTGACTTTTTTGCCGTCATCGTTGAAGCGGTACGATACGATCGTCTTGGTGCCATCCTTGTTGGTTGTGATTTGTTGTGCGGGGAGCGCGGAGGGGTCGTCAAACTCCTCGTCGTCGGCCCAGTCGGCGCGGCTGTAAATAGGAAGATGTTAGCATTTGCTCTCAATAATATTTTCAAGAACAGAACTCACTTCTCGAGTTTCGACATGGTTGCTGTGGTTTGTGAAGCGTGTGAATCTTGTATCAAATTTCTTGATAACGGAGCGGAGCGTTGTGGATTTGATTTTCTACCGTTGCGCCTCGGTGGCGCGCCGCTGTGGCTAGAGCTAGCGAGTATGTCACGTGATACTTGCAAACACATCAAACAATTCCCGGCGACATTATCTAGACTCAAACTGAGTTTCTGGTTCCCTTGCTTTTCTCGAAGATAAATCAAGTATCAGAAGGGGAGACATAATTTTTTATTTTCATCTATCAGGATGCGGTGACCATACATCTAGTTGAATGATTTCTTCAGTTGAAAGGAATACATCAGTTCATTGAGCACCTCCATCCAATTAGTGCCTGTGGGCGAGAATGTATATATATATTGATCGAGAACGATCATAAATTTGATCAGAGCCAACATTGAATTGATGGCAACTCCTTGGGGCCAAATATCTTACCCTATGTCAATCCAGCCGAAATTGGAATATATGCTATGAAAGATACAATTTCATTTTGAAACTTTGCTGAGATACTCTTCAAATTGACTGCAAGCCGCTCATAACATTCGGAACCTCGACAAGAGCCAACGTTCATCTAAGCTTACTTGTGCGCAGTAACCGGGCCATGTCTACGTAGGTATTCTTTACAGCTTACAACATACTCAAGCTCCTTGAGCGAATTTGCTTCCATAAAAAAATTAATTGATCGAAGAAAGCTGAAATCTCTTTTCAACCACAATGCTTCCTCTCTATAAAATCTTCCCGCCTTGTGCGGTGAAGTAGACGTTTGATTCTCGAAGCTACATCTTACCAAATAGGGCACTTTCTAGAGTACGAGTCGACTCAAGTCGTTGTTTACATGTATCTTTGTAGCAGCTGGCAAACGCGGGTTTGTTATCTACGTTTACAGCGCCATTTGGGAAAGGGGCAGTAGACGAAATTATTCTAAACCTCACGGAATAGACACAGGGGCCATGTGATGGTCAGAAGACGACCAAAAATGGGTTGAGCCCGACTTGTGTATCCTCATCGCGCCATTGAAGACCGACACCAATACATGCTGCTTCACGGCGTTGAGCGACGTGACCAAGACCATCGAGGTTGGACAGTACGACGTCTCAGTCCATGGCAAAAGTTATGGCTACCCCGGTTCCTCTGTACTTGCCGGGCTTGCCTGCCGCCTCGCTTACCCACACTGGCCTTAGGAAGTTGGATCCACGCTTTAGCATGCGTGATGGAAAGAAAGAGCTATTCTAGCTCCCCGAGCCCTGTCCCAATGCGGTGATTGATCAAGACAGCTTCCTTGTTTCGCATCTCCAAATTCTTTCGACCAAATGACGTTATCTTGACGGAAACAGGGACGGCTTCGTCTGGAGGTCAAAATTTGTTGCCAAAGTACACGCGAATGATCAATTCCGCTGCCTGGCTTTCGATTGGATATGCGCTTGGTGCATGTTTTGGAGCGACCCTAGGTCGAATGGAATGGGAGAAATGGCGTTCAGGACATCCAGGGCCCTTTTTTCAAGGACGCACAGTCCTCTTTGAAGGTGATAGCAGCTTTCAGATGACGGCTCAGGCAGTCAGTGACATAATTCGCAATCGACTCGATGTGATTATCTTCCTGATCAACAACGACGGATACACCATAGAGCGAGTCGTCAACGGTATGGACGCCGATTACAACGACGTGCAGCCTTGGAAGTATATATCGGCATGTTTTCTTGGTGTGCCAAAGGATGACCCATCCTATCTGGTCTTTGCGAAACGCACGAACAATTGGAGGGAGCTGTTTGAGATCATCGACTATCCGCAACTCAAAGCAGGCAAGGGGTTCAGTATGGTTGAGGTGATGATGCGCAAGGATGATGCGGTTGCTTCGTTGAAGGAATTATTAGAGTCGGGAAAATAACAGAACCGTGTAGGTTGATTGGTAATTGTTGATTTGTATCTCGATCTCAAGCCGTCAGGGACTTTCTTACCACCCTATGATGTCTTTCGGGGACCTCCCCATTCCTTGATGAGCGATAGCAATCATTAGACACAACCAGGCATGTATGACCACGACAGACAATCAATCAATATTCTTTTAAAATGGTCCTTCTCGTATATGCAGCACATGTTTTAGAATCGTGGACAACTCGTAGTCTGATATTACGTAGTCCTATCACAAAGATCATACCCACGCTTCATCATCGCATGCGGAGCCGGCCGGTGTCGGAGATTTTATGGAGTCAGCTCTGGAGTCTAGAAGATCTGATATCGGCGGATCTCGCTTCGAATATTAGGGTCCATGTCGTGGTCGAGAGGTGGGTTTGTTTGATCGACGCAAGTAAGCTGTGGGTTGTACGCATTGTGAAACAGCCTGCAGAGGGTGAACTTGCTTTTCGTAGGCACGTGGATGGGCATGCACCTGCCTAGAGTGTTGGATGCAGGTGGCTCCCTCCAAGATTGCCGACGAGAAGCCCTACTCGATAGCCCTAAGCAGAATACATTAATAAAACCGGATACCTAATAAATAGTATATTACCCATGCGACGATAAATCTGTGGATAATGCATCTCGGTGGGGTGAGCGAGGCGATCTCCCTTTCTGTTTAATACATGGTGGTGATCAGCTTGTTAGTATCTACCCCAGACTAACAGGGTGTCCTCCGTACACTATGCATAATACTAGGGTTAGTCTTAGGGAGGCTCCGCCAGGACAAGGGATCGGGGAGTTCCGTCACTGTTTCGATGCGTCGCCGGGGTTGATGCAATGCGAGCTGAACTCATCTGATATGTTGAGCCGGAAACAGAGACTGTCGATCGTCAAGAGAGTTAATGAGATGAATATCTACAATGTGTCGAGAATGGATCAGACCCCTTGTATAAGGAATAGTACTGTGTTTATTTGTTTGATAGAAAAACCTAAAGGAACATGATTGGACGAGGCTTCTATCACTTACGTACAATAGAGTTAGCATCTTAGTAGCCGCCTATTAACATCGTCGTTTCCCCGATGTAACCTGCACTCCGTACAAAGCCCTGTCAGCGTGCTATGTACTCCATAGTAAACCGATCAGTCGGAAACGCCGTGTTACGTAAAAAGGTTAACGGGTGGATGGTGGTCACGATGAAATCATCTGTGCTTCGCGATGCCTTGATTTGAGGTGAGATTCGATTCGAGTAGTTACCCAATGATGCACAAACCAGTTCATTTCCGGTGCGATTCCATGCGATCCATGCATGCAAGCACATCGCATACACTGTACCTATAACAGCATGGGGGCGGGAGCGGCCGAAGTGTCGCGAGCATGGTAGATAGGCACAGAGCTGGCGTTGAGCTAGGAGCGATAGCTTGAGCGTTATCTCTAACAGCAAGGAAGCTGCGCAGTCATTAACGTGATTAATTGAAGTAGGCTCCGATTGGCTGCAATGCTTATCAGGCCAAGACAGACGCCACCGTCGGTACACGAACTTTACTAAGCCAGCCAATCAGCATTAGTGCAGATCGGCTCCTTGTCTCAACCGGGCCTAGTGCGGTCAAAGCCCACGCGACTGACGCTCCACTCCTAACCCTAGATTGGCCATTCCACAACGCTGATTGGTGCATAGGGGACTATCAACTGATAATGGTCCGCTCCTTCCTTCTAGATGTAGAATACCACCTTCCCGATGCTGGCTCCACTCGAGATAATCTCGGGAACCAGACGGATACTGGCACGCTGAGAAAAAAATTGTTCAGGTCCGCACACGCGACTCGACCATTAATATATAATATCTACTCGTCCTTCCTGCTTCTTCCGTTCTTGCTCTTTTTTCTCGTGTCGTTGAGTTGATCATCGCCAATCCGATTCACCTCGGCCTGTGTGCCTCTGTTGTTACACGTTCATATTGACGCGGTCGTACTACTCAGTCTCGTGGCTTTATAGACGAACATATACACTACAAAATGTCCGGAAGCGATTTGGCCGCGGATGTTGAGAAACATCCCGTCAACAGATACTATGAGGATAACTCCGGCGCCGTCCCCGGGGAGACTTTCGAATATGGCGATTCTTGGTACGCCAGAATGCAGCGTTTCGCTGGAAAGCTCAACGTCGAACAGCGAGGTATCGAGCGAGTGCCGGACAATGAGCGCACAGATAACTCGTATCTGAACGTGGGAAGCATGGTGCGTTGTCTTGAAATAGCATAGCGCATTAACATACTGAGACTTTTCAAGTGGCTCGCCGCCAACATGGTTGTCACATCCTTTGCGATCGGAGTGCTCGGACAATCGGTCTTTTACTGCGGTTTCGTCGACGGTATCTTGACCGTGTTGTTCTTCAACTTGCTCGGTGTCTTGACTGTCTGCTTTTTCTCCATCTTCGGTGCTGAATTCGGCTTGCGTCAAATGGTGGTTTCCCGTTTCTGGTTCGGTTGGTGGGGTGTCAAACTCAGTATGGCCGATCTTTCCGCATGAAAATATGACATTGTGCTGATACAAACTCAAACAGTCGCCTTCTTCAACGTGCTCGCTTGTATCGGCTGGKCGGCTGCAAACTCGATTGTCGGCGCCCAATTGATCGTTGCTGTGAACCCTAATGTGCCTGGTGCTGTTGGTATTGTCATCATTGCCATCTGCACTCTGTTCATCACCTTTTTCGGCTACAAGGTTGTTCACGCGTACGAATTCTGGAGTTGGATCCCTACTTTCATCATTTTCTTGATCGTCTTGGGAGTTTTTGCTCATTCTGGAGACTTCTACAACGTCCCTTGGGAAGTCGGCAAGGCCGAACTGGGTTCCGTTCTCTCTTTCGGTGCAACGGTCTACGGTTTTGCTACCGGATGGACTAGCTATGCTGCTGACTACACGGTCTACCAGCCATCTAACCGCAGCCGATTCTGGATCTTCTTCTCGACCGCCATTGGACTACTTTTCCCTCTGTTGTTCGTCGAGATGCTCGGTGTTGCTGTCATGACTGCCACTAACATCAACGGCGGTGACAACAAGTATGCCGCCGGTTATGCCGAGTCTGGCACTGGTGGTCTTTTGGGAGCCGTTCTCTTTGATCCCTTGGGTGGATTCGGCAAGTTTTGTGTTGTCATCCTTGCCTTATCCATTATCGCCAACAACTGCCCCAACATCTACTCCGTCAGTCTCACTCTCATGGTGTTGGCCCGCTGGACTCGCAAAGTCCCTCGCTTCATCTACACCGTCATCGCTACCGGTGTCTATATTGCCATCGCCATCCCTGGTTACTCCCACTACGAAACTGTGTTGTCGAACTTCATGGACTTTATCGGATACTGGCTGGCTATCTACGAGGGTATTGCCATCACTGATCATTTCGTCTTCAAACGTGGTTTCGGCGGATACAGCCCTGAACTCTACGATCAGCCAGACAAGCTTCCCCCTGGTATCGCTGCCGTCTTTTCTTTTTGCTGCGGTGTTGCCGGTATGGTCACCGGTATGAGCCAGACTTGGTGGGTTGKGCCTATTGCTCTTTTTGCCGGTGACGCTCCTTATGGCGGAGATGTTGGCTTCGAGTTGGGTTTCGCTTTCGCGGCGGTTGGTTATTTGATTACTCGTCCTATTGAGATGAGAATATTTGGACGATAGATTTAGTATATAGAATATTTGATAGTAATACATCTTGGATTTTCATCAGACTCAAAGTATTCATTTAACTTACTAAATTAGTGTCATACTGCTGCGCATACTGTATATGCCTGCACTACGGGCAAGTCTTGAGGTATATTAGAGCAAGGAAAAGTCAATTGGATGTACATTGTAAAAGACTAAAATTAGATTGATATCCATTCAGCATCAATGAATGTCCGTTGAACCAAATGTAAAGCTTACAGCCATCACTGACATGTGACAATGCAACAAAGACAACTCCCAATCCAGTCCCAACCTAGGGCTGATACCCTACCCACCCTTTCCGCATCTCATCACGTGACACATAGCCCACAACGCCCGTTCGCTTACATCCAATTATTCCCGACGCGGATAGCGCCAAGCCTCTTGCACCAAACCGGGTTTAAGGGCACACAAAACTACTCCCGCCTTACCGAGCGTTTCGCCTACACTGCTACTTCGTGAACGTCGACAACCCTCCATCGCCAATCCCACGCAGCCAGCAAACCCGAATCTCTCTTCCGACGAGATCAATTCTTCGAAAAGACAAAATGGCGCACGAGAACGTTTGGTACAGTCGCCCTCGCACATACGGCAAGGGCAGCCGTGAATGGTAAGGATTCCTTGCCCTTGTCCCTGTTTCGCTTTGGTTTGGGCTTGATGGTTGGAGGAAAATGATGGAGAACTATTGGAAGAGCCGGAATTGAAGATCTCGAAGATGAGAAAATGAGCAGGAAAAAAGATGGATTGGAAGGGAGTGGACGAAGTCGAAATATCGGTCAAGGCCACACGGTACATGCAACAACGAAGCGAGACATCTGGAAGAACCATCAAGCGCCAGGAACAACGCGAATTTCATGACTATGTACTAACATATTGTTCTTTTCCAGCCGTGTCTGCGCTCACAAGGCCGGTCTCATCCGCAAGTACGGATTGTTGGTTTGCCGTCAGGTTAGTCTTTAACCACCCTTCGCCAGCTTACAACATGTTCGCTGACTTTGTTTTGTAAATAGTGCTTCCGCGAAAAGTCCACAGACATCGGCTTCGTCAAGTACCGATAAACGCCTCGCCTCTTTATCTTGTTTCCGCCTTCACCTCAAAAAATTGAAAATACAAATCTGATTTGGAAAAAGCGCGCATGGCATGGCATGGACGAATAGCTCTTTATCATACGCCCTCTTTCTCAAAAAGAACTCTCGTGTGTGCTCGAAGCTAGGGTTGTTCTCCTCGAATGATTGATTGATGGATGGACGAAAAAGGGAAGGATCGAAGGGTTTGATTGTGATGAGAAGACAATTTATTTTTTTTGCCTGTTCACACAGATTTATTGAGATTATGTGAATCCAGAATGGCATGGTTCTTTACCTTTTTCTCTTTTTAGACTACGTATCGTTAATGGGATTGTGGGTATTGAATGACGAAGGAATTTGGTTGCTCAGTCTTGCAATTTGCGTATAATGAGATGGAATTATTTGGAGGACTGCTATGGACTACTGCCTTGGTGTTTTTATACATTAGGGGAAAGGATCATACGACTGCATGGGTATTTAGATATGACCCTATGTAGTTCAGTTTGTACAATTTCAAACTAGTTGAGACAACAATCACCCATGCAATAAGAATATGCTAAACACAAAAAGGAATCATAGTAATATAGTATTTACAACTTAGCAATCATCTTATTACCCTTCTGTAACCATGCAGAAGCATCAGTCACGAGCTCATCAACGATAGCTTTGGCAGTCTTTTTCTCCGTGACGACAGCGGCAACCTTGCCCATGAGGAAGGGGCGGGCATTGTCCAGAGTCTCATCATCAACGTCATCGGACAGGTTCTCAAAGTCGTGCTCGACGGGGATAATGCCCTTGGAAGTCAATTCCTTGATCTCTTGTGCGCGGTTTTCTTCCCAGTTGGTGATGTATGCGTTGTTGCGGACGCGGAGGGGACGACCCTAGTATTCATTAGTGATCTGTAGCAAGTGCAACATGAGGGGGGGACGTACAGTGAAAATGATGGTTCGGATATTGTCGTCAAATCCAGCAGTGCGGACGGCCTCCTTGTGGGCCTCGGAAGCACCAGCCTCCTCAGAGAGAATGAATCGAGTACCAATCCAGACAGCAGAAGCACCAAGCATCAAAGCAGCAGCAACGGACTGGCCGTTAAACAAACCACCAGCAGCAACAACCTGCACAGGGGCGCCGGTCAGGGGACTCTTGTGTCCCTGTACGAGCTTGGCAACGGTTGGGATGAGCACGGTAGTAGGAACATCACCAGTGTGACCACCGCCCTCACCACCCTGAGCGCAGATGATGTCGGCGCCGAGTTCGAGGCACTTCTTGACGTGTTTGGGGTGTCCGATCATGTTCATGTAGAGAACACCGGCCTTGTGGAGCTTCTCAACAACGTGCTTGGGTGGCACACCGACGGCACAGACGAAAAGTTTGGCGCCGCTCTCGATGATGATATCAATAAGCTCGTTGAGCTTTCCCTTGGTGTAGTCATGGCTAGATCGAAATTAGCGCGAGAGAATTTGCATGTGATCCGAGAAAAAACTCACTTGGTCTTTCGCGCGTTACCGCCGACCTGGGGCAAAAGCAAATCAACGCCGAATGGCGCATTCTTATCGGTGAGGTATCCCTTTAATTCGTTGAGTTGCTCACGGAGCATCTCTGGGGTGTATCCGATACCGCCGATGACACCAAGACCACCGGCATTTGTGACGGCGGCAGCCAGCTTTGGGCCGGCGGCCACGTTCATACCAGCCAGGAGGACTGGGTGGTTGATCTTGAGAAGATCGGTGATGGGAGTACGGAGGACCTCTATTCAAGAATAATCGTCAGCTTTTGTTCCCATTTGCGCTCGTTGAGGCGACGTTAGTGGTGGGAATGAGATAACCTACGTGGAGATGCCATGGTGTCAATCTGTCGACGTCTGTCGTTGATAGAGGAGTATGAAGAAAGGGAAAGTTGACAAAAAGGTTGAAAATGTAGAGCAAGGATTAAGAAGATGAAGATGGAGAAGATAAAGTAACGTGGAGTCCGGCTAACAGTTGGAGGTGAATAAGCGTGAGGAAGTACGACGGCCGAGGCACTTTGTGACGACGGATCAGCTTATGAAGGGCGCCTGTCGGGTGGGTCCCACGAAGAAAATGCCTCGGCTCCCCGAAAGCTGGGGAAGCCGCCTGTGATTGGTTGGTTGTTGTATTCCTTTCATAGAGGATTCTACTATGCTGTTAATAAGAGGATTAGGGGATCAGTAATCATATAGCATTTACGTACAAAATGGCAGGGTCTTGCTTCTGGAATTGAGAAGTGCTTGGGTGTTGCTCATCGTACTCCGACTGTCCGAATACTAACCATATTGGATTATAGCTCAACAGTCATTTGATTCAAAATGAACTATATGTGATTACGTGAGACGGAGATTTCGACCCGGCAGATTATAAAAATGTCGGAGGGGCTGGGAGACGGCTTTTTAGGGCTAATAATAACACGTTTCCTAATTCGGAAGGTCTATTTTCGATCAAGGTCAGGCTCATCATAAACGCAGACAACGATGATTGAGTGTTGGTAAATCGATAGGCTTTTCGAAGGCCAAAATAAAAAAAAGAATGCCACTATTTACTTGAGATGATTTATCGACAGTGACTCGAAGAATACAGATAAGGTTCTCACAATCGATGAACATCCTCCGTACTCCCACCTGCTAGTAAAATCCGTGACAGAAGCGCATATAGCCTACGAGAAGTAGTTGGATTTGCAAAGAGCGTGCATCTTGGCCGTGTTGTTCTCGCGTCTTAAATATCTGTGCATTCTCATAATTTGATAAAGTTTGTCATGGGTAATGATACGGTCCCAACTACTTATGGTGCATTGAACAATGATCCTGAGTACACAAAGATGGATTCATACTATAATCTGAAATGGAATACATGACTTCCAGTACTGACATAATGAGCGATCAGCTTCAGGTAGTTGCGAGGCCGGATTTCATCATTGTCAACGAATGTGTTCATCTGAATTCCTTAAACTTAGCCAAAGCATACAGAAGTAGTCAATGGGATTTTACATGACAAATAGTGGCGATTTCGGGAAATAAAAAGCACTTTCGGCTAATTGTTTTGAATTCCTACTTTTCTGCAGCCCTTTAAATGAGAGTACATATGTCTTGTCCTCCTCGATTGAATTCACAGCACTTGAGAAATTACCTACGTACCCACATGTAGTCATTTTCAGGAATAAGGTGCTGCTCAACTTTAACAGTAAAAGTTAGACAGACAGTATGGAAGTGGTGTGGTTAGACGCACCTGTCTTACATCTTCTTGCTTATGCTAAGTTGGTGCTGTTCAAGCCCGAAATCGCGGTTCTGAGAACATAGGGATCCTCGTCAATTCTCTTCCTAAGCTCCCCAGTAGCGAGCTCCTCAACATCCCAGGACGCCCAAGCAAATCGTCCATGTAAGAACTTGGCCTCGTCAGTCGCGGCCCAGACGGCAAAGGCACCACAAAGATCGTCTATACATTTTGTTAACACCCACAAAGATCATCTGGAACTAATCTTTTCGCCTTTTAAGCGGGGATGAGGACTTACTACTGTCAAATGACTCCCTAGGAATTTTGAGCCCTACTGCTTCCCAGCCGGTACTGTAGATGGAACCAGGATGAAAGCTGATCACCTGCATCTTCTCAGGGGACACATTTTGAGCAGTAAGCTGAAAGAACATTGTGCCTGCCATTTTGGTCAAGACATACGCAGGTCGGTCGCCAACTCCTGGATATCCTGCCATGTGAATGACCGAAGATGACACATTGATCAGATACTAGCAAGCGTTAGTACGTGGCTGTAGTATTATGTGGTGGTTACAGACCTTTTTCTTGTCTCCAACCTGATTGTGGAACTTCTCCGTCCAGAACAGCGGCGATTTGACATTGATCTCAAAATCCTCCCAAACCCGGGCTGCACCAAGCTGGATCAACGATTTAGGCACCGAGCTCTTGCCCACATTGGCGACGAATACGTCGACAGTAATGCCCTGAGTAGCAAGGTAATCCCAAAATCTATCGGTCTGCACGGAGTCAAGAACGTCAACAGAGCGGTCAATGATCTTGGTACTTGTGCCGACGGATATAGCTTCCTGTCTGAGATTCGAGGCAGCCTTCGCAAGAACATCTGCACGACGGCCGATGATAATCACCGTGTCGGCTGATGCGTGAACAAATGCTTTTGCGATGTTGAAGCCTACTCCAGTCCCTCCGCCGGTGACCAGAACGATCTTTCCTGCTTGGCTAAGTTCAGGCCGAGATGGTGAGATCGCTGGATATGGCTTTGTATGAACTGTCTTGGTGACATTTGTGGCAGACAGCCCCTTGAAGAGCTGCATCAAAACTTCCGGATCCATTTTGATTGGTGTAAGGAAGTTCTAGCTATGAAGAGACAGAAACGAACATTTGTCGGCGGTAGAAGAGTAGGACGAGGGCGAAGAATGTGAGGCGAAGAAACCATATTTATAATATCATCCCCCAAATGTAATGAAGGTCTCATAAACAGCTTACTAATTTCAGTCCATCGATTGACCTGCTCAGCAAAGTACAGAATCCATCCATGTACAGAGTAGTGAAGTTAGGGCTTGACTATCCCGCGAGGGCATCGGACCCACCAGTTGACTATACAGTAATATTATTGGCTGATTCAAGATTTCGATTGCGGAAGCTAATCCAGAGTGGATAGCGCCCGCAGACTGGCAGACGCTTTCCCGCTGCTTAACGCCCATCTTCCTGACCATCACTTGTATGTGAGTCAATTATTGTCATTCATTCTCGATACGATAGCATCTTATGAATATTACATGACACTAGCAAATGGAGAACGCGTGTACGCCTTGCGCCCGGGCAAAGCGGAAGTGCGAAAGACAAGCTCCACAGTGTGCGCGATGCCGCAGACAAGGCATCGAATGCATCTACCCCCCTGCAAAGCAGACTCCATTCGTCTTATGCAAAGACGATAATGCGTCAGTTCATGGCTACGGCAATATGCCGAATATGACATATAGCCGACCCCTAAATAATACATGTGGCTCTGAACTTTCGCCCTATCCCTACGTCAAGTTGTCAGAAGTGGAAGAAGTAGATGGCTTGTATGATTGTATCATTGGTCCCGAGACACCGCTACCACCGAACTGGACCTACACATTTCCACTAGCATCTGGGCTCAATCTTACGGGAGTCTCTGCAGGTCTACCTGTCCTCAATGAGCAACTATTGTCTTACATTGCCATGTTCCACAGATGGCTCGTGCAGTGGGTGGATCAAGGCAGCAATCCATTTATCCATACAATTCTTTACAAAGCACGAATGCCTTTATGTGTGCAGGATGCGTATACAACTTTATCGTCTTATCTTCACAAGAAAGCCACCAATGAGCAAATAATCTTTCGAATCCTTGAAGAACGAGTGCGGCGGCTGGTAGCCACTCATGGTCTCGAGGATTCACCTGGAAAAGACTATTCTGTCTTACACTCAATGGATCATCTAGCTAGAGTCCAATCCCTGCTAATATACCTCATCATGGGACTATTTGATGGAGACATCCGTCTCCGTCATTTCACGGAGAGCCAGATGCCAATTCTTGAACAATGGGTGGACGCAATGATTGACCATTCCAACCAGATTATGTCCACCACCACAGAGGGCCAGCTCTACAGCCGGTTGAATGTCCCGAATGTCAACGACCGTGAAAACCTTAATTGGCATTGTTGGATAGTCGCGGAAAGCACCCAACGAACGTGGATGATGGCCGCTGGGATTCAGGCAGTTTACTCAGTGATGCAGCTGGGTAGAGTACCGCAATGTACCGGATCCATGGTGATCACTACAGGGCTAGGGATCTGGGAGGCTTCATCGGCTGAGACCTGGAGCAGACTATGTCTGGAGACAAGGCTGGGCATTTTGCGAATGTCTGAAGCTGAGCGGTTGTTCGTGGAAGCTGCGCCGGAGGAAGTTGATGATTATATGAAGGTGTTCTTAGAAGCGACTTTTGGTAAGGATCGGATGGAAAGATGGGTCCAGACCGGAAAGATGATTATATCTTGATACCGAGAATAAATCCAGAAGGTTACCTTCCCCATGCACACTGAAGAAGACTTCTAGTATATATCTATATCTTAATTGGTACACTCACATAACAATAATATATGAAAAAACCTGACATAGATCGACTATTGCTCCCTTATCTTTGCCAGGGAACTAGCCAACGCCGCGATGGGATGCTTGTCCGGTGGATTTGGAACTTTCCCACGCCACTGCTCCTGTCCATCTTTATAAATTACAAAAGTCGGCCACCATGTAACCTCGGCAGCTTTTTGCACTTCGGCCCCTTCGTCATCCAGGCCATCGACCTGTAAGCTTTCAGCTAGTGTAACATACGTGAAAAGACTATATATCTCCAACCTTAAAAAACCTAATATTAGTATTCACCACCTCAGAGGCCAACTCATTGAAAAGAGGCGCCACCACCTGGTTTTCGGCAAACACAAGTCAGACTATAGTCAAATAATTGCCATTATGAGTAGCTGCTCTACTCACCTTGCAAGGCCCACATGTGGGTGAATAGAAATCAATCACCACAATGCCAGGCTTTTGAAGTTCCTCATGGTAAGCTGCTAGGGAACTGAGCTCATTCACCATTTTGAAAGGAGTTGTAGTGAATATCTGCTGACACTATAGGCAAGTCTTGAATTTGGATGGTAGCATGGTGTACCTAAAAACTTTCCTTTGCTGGTAATGCTCTAGTTATATGGCGCCTGGAGAGCTCTGGGTTGGATGTGGAGCATGCAGGAATACCGATGGCGTGAGAACCCATAATAATAGCGTGATCTAACAGTATTACATGGCGCAAACCTTAGTTTTGCATTTTTCAAGATATGCTTGTTTTGGGGCTGATTTTGTTGGGCGCTGTGTCAACTGATGTGTATAGAATGGCCAGCAGAGATACACAGATCTTACATGACGGAGCTACTTCTTTTTCGGTGATACACCCTATTCGGTATGACGAACGTGAGAGCTCTACGAATACTTCAACAGCACTAGACAACTTTTTCATACAGTCAATTAAACGATATCTCCCCTAAGTCCTCTCGAAGGCAAAACTAGTGTACTTTATGCCACCGACTTATTAGGAATTACAGTATCAGTTTCATATAATACTTCACTGGCTCCCAGGGTGCGTATACCCAGTTTTTCTGCTTCTTCATCGCTAAATGTGCCGAACTGTGATAATGCAGTCTGTGTCAGCTTCATATTCAATAAAACACAAGGATAAGGGAGCATACCGTATCGACCTCATCATAACTTCTCAGACCAGGGGGCGGCAAGATCTTGTTGAGCAGATAATGCAAAGTGAACGAGATGACATAGCCGCATAAAAACCCAGCATACGATGCTTTGATCAAACCAGCAGGAACACCTCCCGCAGTGCTGGGATCTAGACTCGCCAGTCCTGGAAGGAAAGGTGCGGCACCAACAACCCAGGAAACGTAACCACGCCAATTCACACCGTGCCAAAACCAGTAGATGCTCTGAGATGATGGCTGGTACAAGTCTGTCAACTTGACTTTTTGGTGACGAACGAAGAAGTAGTCGCAGGTAAAGACTGCGATCAAGGGACCAAGTATCACTGGAAACAAGGATAGCAACGGATTAGGACTTTCCCATAGTTAAAAGGCAGGAAGAACATGAAAGCTTACCTCCGAAGCTATTCAAAACAGTAGTGAAAGTGGATGCTTTTGCAATGATCTGCCATGGTTGGATGAGGACGGAGATAACCATTATCAGATAGGAACCACGTCGAATGTTGATATACTTTGGGAGCAATCCGGCAGCGTCCATACCACCTGATATTCCGTTTTCAACAGTATTGATAGCCACCATTGAACAAATCAAGCCTAGTGAGACAAAGAATGTTGCAGCACGAATCTTAGGGTCATCGTAGCCGCGATCCAGCCACACTTGAATGATATTTGGTGGGTTCCACAAGCCTAGATCAGTCACATCCCCGTACAACTGGGAGGCAGCCGAAGTACCGAGCAGCCCAAATACGGGAATGACATTACCGAAGAAGAGTAAAGCAAAAATTTGTCCCTTGAACTGGTTGCCAGGTCGACGAGCAAAACGAGAAAAGTCGCATTGGCTTGTTGATCCAACCACAGTGCCGCCAATGACGGTGGTGATACCATCAATCCAAGCCCAACCAAGCTTAGAACTTCCTTGAACAGTAACTCCAGTGTGCACCAATGGACCGGCGCCCCCTGCGGCTGCCATCAGACCGATCGACATGGCAATCAGTGTGATTGCACTGATGGTCAGAGTGAATCGAAACGGAATTCGCAGCTTTTCAGGCGGTATATAGAGGAACGGGATACAAACTACGGCTTCATGGTTAACAGGGGGCAAGTTATGAGGGTACCAGTGAAACGTACTGATATTGAAAATGAAGAAACCGACAAACTCCTTGGTTGTCATGCTGGCCGATGCCGGTAGCGTATTTGGCATATGCTGGTATCCGGAAAAGATAGTTGACAGTAAGGTCGATACCAGCTGTCCACCTGTGAATGCTTGTACACCGAACCATACTAGATATTCGTTGATCATCAGCGAACCGCATATTGCTTCTCGAAGTGGATGAAGGGCTGTATCTACCGCAGCATAAACAGACTCGCATAAGCAAGGGGAAGTAGGAACCCCATAGTCCAAACGATTGGCGTGCATTGACTGTGAACCCGATGTGCCATACTGCGCCGATCCTGGTGTCAAATTGTGTTAGGTCTTGTTTAAACGATAAGGAAACGATAAACTAACCATCCCAAGCTGATAACAATGGCAATCTGGATCAACTTGGCCACAAAATTACAAACAATAGCCTGCCATACACTGAGGCCCATGGACAGCAGCGAGGACACACCCTGCCAGCCAAAAATTGTCACGAACGCGGTACTCCATAGACCGATAAAGTCCAAATCTCTCCATGTTCGGCGTGCTAAAGGCCCATTCCATCAGACTCGTCACTCGGATCGGCCAAAGGACGCTCAGTACATACCGACAGGCAAGGGAACTAAATCGGGATTCTTCCAGTGATTAGCTGTGTCGCTCCCGCCGACTCGCAGTGCAGCAAAAATGGTGTTCCAGGCAGGCATCTTAGCGGGATAGCTACTATGTCGTAGTCCTAGCGAACATGAAGCTCGTGACTCTCGAGCCATGCGTCTCGATGCCAGCCATGGATATTTATCACCGGCTGGAGACGCCGCCACCGTCCACGTGGACTAAAGACCTTACAACGATTTTTCACCTAATCAAGCACGTCTTATTCCGGCGACATTGCGCTGGTGGAGTGTTTCTTCAAATTCCACGTGTGTCTGCTTGGCTTTATCGGCACAGGCTTCCTCTTTGTTGGATTAGCTTTGCTAATGAGGAGAGAAAGCCCACTTAAATCAAGTTAGATAACATCTCCCTTCCACATTAAAACCACGCTAAAGGACGCTTTTCAGAGTTGGTTGGCACCAGGTCGGCACATGTACCGACAGACCAGACTGCTGGGTAGTCTAAGCAGACTTAGTGTCTATCACGCCATTCTCACGGCCCGACAAGAATTACTTGAATGAGCAATTAGCAACGCATACGATTATTGGCGATAGTACATAAGTTCAAGTAGGTAACAGGAAGTGCCATTATAGTTATACGATGAAGGCAGTTGCGTACTAACTTTGCCGGAGTCTCGAAAAATTACTCGCTTCCGTCACAGATGTCACGCGATAATACAAGGGCGCACTTGCGTACCGTAATTGGTATCGACGTGGGTGAGTGAACGTCCACCAGAGTGCCACTTCTCCAAACAAGGACGTTGTTCTGAGAGGTAAATAGGAGGCACAAACACAGATGCCGTCTTGATAGATGCGGAAGCAGCTCGTGCAGATCCTGAGTCGAGTGTACTAGCCAGCTGCAAGACGCCTACAACACGCCATGTTGGTGAGGGCATTGCTATTGCTCTACAGAAGGTTTTGGAGCAGCAGATTGGAGACGCTCGCCAGGCAATTGTCGATAGTCTGGTCAGGATTAACATTGGCACTACGGTATGCAGTGTGAAACTTGATGCAATCATTGATCGTGATTTGAAATTGGAAAAGAAAGAAAGATATGCTGACAGCGAATCCGATAGCAATTCCTAAACGCTGTCATCGAACGGGACTCAGAAAAGCTGTCGCGTGTTGCGCTTCTACGTCTCTGTGGGCCGTACACTCGCGAATTGCCAGGCTTTGCTGGGATTCCGCGCGAACTGCGAGGCATCATCGAGGGGCTTACGGTGTACCTCTCTGGTGGTCTGGAATGTAACTACTCTAACACAACTTTCAAAACCTACAGTATACTTATTTGACTAATTTGTCCCACAGACAACGGTAGGCTAATTGCACCGATTGATGAAGACGAAATCCGGCAGGTAGCAACCGACTTGCGAGCCCGGAAGCTGTTTAACATTGCCGTTGTTGGCGTCCATACGTCAATTGACTTTGTAAATCGACAAGAAGAAACGGTGCAGCGAATCCTCAGAGAAGAACTGGGCGACTCTGCAGTTATAACGCTGTCTCGCGACATCGCAGGTCTCGGGTTACTAGAGAGGGAAAATGCTACCGTTATCAACGCAGCCTTGAGACCATTGGCAGAGACTACCGTCACTGATCTGAGACAATCACTCTCCTCACTTGGCATTCGAGCACCTGTGTAAGAAGTCTTTAAAGGAACACTACCTATTTTTGTACTCACCTGGTGGCAATTAGGTTTTTCACCCAGAACAACGGCACCCTCATTTCGGCTTCTGAAGCTAAGCGACTCCCTATACTAACCTACTTATCCGGGCCGATCAATTCATTGACGGGAGCAGCTTTTCTGTCTCAAAAGGAAGGTCCATTTGACAAGGATGTTATTGTTGTTGACGTTGGGGGCACGACCACCGATACCTGTGTTCTTCAACCCACAGGTCTACCACGACCCGCTGCTGCTTTTTCTTCGCTCTCTGGAGCACGCACCAATTTCTCAGTTCCGGATCTTCGAAGTATTGGTCTAGGAGGCGGATCTCTGGTTCATGTTGATCAAGAAACGGGGAATGTCACTGTTGGTCCGGACTCTGTGGGCTATGAACTCGAATCGAGATCGCAAATATTTGGTGGCCCTGATTTGACCGTCACTGACGTGGTTTCTACCACTGAGAGGGGGTCTTCGATCTTGGAACACTTGACAAAGGAATCCTCAGAAGGATCCATCGAAGTTGTTTCAGATGTATTAGACAAGGTTGAAGAGGAAATCGCCAGGTTACTAGCAACAGTGATTGATGAAGTGAAAACAGAAGCAGGACTAGTTGATATAATCCTCGTCGGTGGAGGAATATATCTCGTTCCAGAAAACATCCGTGGCGTGTCAAAAATTCTTAGACCCAGATATGGACATGTTGCAAATGCGGTCGGTGCTGCCATGGCACGAGTATCGCACAAAATTGACCGAATAGTCTCCATTCCACAAACATCATCAGAGGCACAGGAACTATCACGGCAATGTCAGCGCACCTTGGAAGAGGCATCATACAAGGGTATTGTAAACGCGCGAATAGTGGAAAAAAGAACCCTTGCTCTGTCATACTCAACGACTCCAGAAATAAGAATCATCACTACCGCAGTAGGGGATGCACCGTTAGACACCTTAGTCGAACAAGACACTCCAATCGAACAAAGCAGACATAACGACAAAGGTGAAATCTCTGCACAGAGCCAAGACGATAAATGGAATCAAGATTTGAATGCCAGTCCAAGGGATTCTTCAGTTATACCCGATATTGCCAAAAATGTCAAAGACTATCGCCCATCGGTTTCTTCGGGCAAATGGCAGCTTTCCGAAACGGATATAGTTTTCATCTCAGAAGGATGTGGTATTCTTGGATGCGGAGGAGGAGGTGACCCATATCTTAGCTTCCTTGCAGCACTATCTTTGGTTCAAGCAGGACAATCGATAATCGTTGTTGACCCGGCGAGCGTCCCTCCCAGTGCGGCTGTACCGGCAGTGGGCTTTATGGGATCACCAGATATATTATCTGAGCGTTTACCGTCTGGAGAAGAGTAAGTAAACCAACTACTTGGTCATCCAGCAATCTGCCAGAGTCACCTAACTCACATATCCGATAACTAGACTTAAACATTCAGTACAAGCAGTTGCGCCATTGCAAACCCTTTCTGGTGTCATTTCTCTTGAAGTTGGCGGATCAAACGGACGTAAGTTACACTCCTCTAACCACCACCTACGTGCAAAAAATGTATACCTAGGTATGCTAATCAATTCCTTATGGAATGTGACATAGTCCGGGGCATTCAGGCCGCAGCGTGGACACAGACACCAGTCATCGACGCAGATCTTATGGGACGAGCTTACCCTAATTTGTGGCAAACGACTCTTACACGTGCACGTATTCCAGAAACACCCTGTGCTGTATCTGATGCGAAGGGTAATACGCTTATCCATCATCGGGCAGCCAGTCATGAAGATGTCGAGAACTTCCTCCGACCATTATGCTCCGAAATGGGGTAAGACACTCTTCAAAGTCAATGAAGCAATAGGAAAAAAAATCGTGACTAATGGACAAATGAATAGCAATGCGGCAGGGATTTCATTTTCTGTACTGAATGGAGACCAAATACGAAATAGCACTGTGCATCATACATTGTCCCTCGCATGGCGATTGGGCCGAGCCGTATACATTGCTCGCCACGACAAAATCAGCGTTCCCGATTCTATTCTCGAAGTTTATCCCGGACGATGCATTTACTCTGGAAAAATTGTGGAAGTAAAGCGGCATATGAGTGGTGGGTTTAGCCGGGGTTACATAGACATAGTACGATCCGGTCTCGGCATAGAAAAACAAGAGGGCAAGGCTCCAGATTCAGTGCGAATCGAGTTCCAGAATGAGAACCTTCGTGTCACCGGCCAAGAAAAGACTCTGGCTGTTGTCCCTGATCTCATCACGGTCCTAGATAGCGAGACTGGCAGTGCAGTAGGCACACAGGATTACCGTTATGGACTGCATGTTTCGGTGATTGTTCTCGTAGCGTCGCCCCAGTGGTCTGAAGAAGAAGGCCTCAAAATTGGTGGTCCAGCCGCGTTCCAGTGAGTGTCCTCTTATCGTGTAGTTCGAGAGCTGTCGCTAACACTTGTTCCAAGGCTGAATGACGACTACATCGCAGTTGCTCAGTACAAACCTGTTCAGTCTGTTATATTTGAGTATGGGCAGTAGATCAATTGACCGAATGTTATACCAGTGAGAACTGCTAGTGTAGCACTAAATGGGGTGGAAAGAATAAATTAAACTAGTGAAAGAACTGATTATAGAATCATATAATCCTCTTTTGCAGTAAAGTTAGGGTTAAATAAATTTATGCATGCCGATTGTGGGTCCCGCGCCGGCTACCGACCAGATCGGCCAGACCAAATCCGCCTTTTCTAGAAAGCCCCCAGAAACTCTCCCCAACAAACGATCTGATAAAACGTTGCAACCTCATTGATCTTTCCTTTGCCCGGCACGAGCCATGGCAACCAGGGCCGTATATAGATGCCAGCATATCACCAAACAGTTACATTTAAAAAATATTGGCTGTCTTTCATTCCATTCGGCAGATAGGGTTCGACAATTCTCAGCGACGAGAGCTAAAGGGTAAGTAGGATATTTGATCATTCTTCTTATGCTGTAGCGTCTTTCTGAACAGTTTGCAGATATCCATTTGTTATGAATGGCTCAAGTAAGCCTCCCCTTACATCCTTCATGGACTAGTGACATGCATAAATGGCGTACGCCACGTGTGGCAATCCCAATTCCTTGACACGCGTCGCATGAATTGGCCAGCTAAGAACTATCTCCAGGTTCGCTGAAAAGCGGAATTCGCGCACAATCTCTATATGCATCAGGGAATATCGGTTCTTTTTTTGATCCAATGACCTCACAGTCCAGGACGATGGCAACACAAGCTAGTAACAGCAACGGCAATGGCGGCAACGTCCACAAAGCATACATTGCTCTGGGTAGCAATATAGGTGACCGTATAGCAATGATAGAGCGAGCATGCACCGAAATGAATAGGGCAGGTATCAAAGTCAAAAGAACAAGTTCGCTATTTGAGACGGCGCCGATGTATGTTCTTGATCAAGAGCCGTTCTTGAATGCGGCTTGTGAGGTATGCTTTCGGATTTGTTACTTGCCCAAAACTTCTGTCATGACAATAAACTGATCATTTGAAAGGTCGAAACAAACCTCGGCCCTATAGAGCTGCTGGATGCCCTGCAAGCGATTGAAAACGGTCTTGGAAGACAGAAGCTCATTGACAAGGGTCCACGAAATATTGATCTTGATATTTTGCTATATAACGACGAGAAAGTGTCTCATCCTCGATTGAATATACCGCACAAATTGATGCTGGAAAGGGAGTTTGTCCTACGGCCGCTCTGCCAGTGAGTTTCCCTCCTCGAACATTGGAACAACTAGCTGACGTGCAATTACAGATTGATACCGCATGAGCGAGTCCCCTTGCCAGGCACAAACCTCACATACATCTCCGCCCTCCGCTCCCTTCCCCCCTCCGAAACAGTCCCCATCGTCACAAGCCCCTTATCACCACACATTCCACCCCTGACCCCATCCAACCCAGCAAAAAACACCCACGTCATGGCCATCCTCAACGTGACCCCGGACTCCTTTTCAGATGGCGGGAAACATTTCCATTCCGCCCAAAACTTCAACGCCGAGCAACTGACCTCCACAATTCGCGAATTCCTCGCAAGTGGCGCAACAATCATTGACGTCGGTGGCGAAAGCACCCGTCCTAATGCGACCCAACTCACCCCGGAAGAAGAACTATCCCGTGTGATCCCTGTAATTCGACATATTCGTTCCCTTCCCGAGGCAGCGAATGTCGCCATCAGCATCGACACATATCGCGCGCGCGTCGCGGCAGAGGCATGCGCGGCGGGCGCGGATATTATCAACGATGTATCCGCGGGCACGCTGGACGCGAATATGTTATCCACCATGGCTGCCACAGGCAAATCAGTGATATTGATGCACATGCGCGGCACGCCAGCGACAATGAACAAACTGACCGCATACCCGAACGGCGTTATTAGAGACGTCGGCACAGAGCTTCTCACTCAAATCCGTGCTGCTGAAGAAGCAGGGATCCCGCGCTGGCGCATGATTCTCGATCCAGGACTGGGGTTCGCGAAACTCAAGGATCAGAATGTCGAGTTGTTACGCAATCTGACCGATCTGACGCACGGAATTGAAGGGCTGGAGAATTTCCCCTGGCTGATTGGCACAAGTCGCAAGGCGTATATTGGACACATTACGGGGGTTGAGAAGGCGAGTGAGAGGGTTTGGGGTACGGCGGCGGCTGTGACGGCGAGTGTGCAGCAGGGGGCAGATATTGTGAGGGTGCATGATGTTAGGGAGATGGGGCAGGTGGTTAAGATGGCTGATGCTATTTACCGTTACTGAGTGTTGGCTCCAATGAGCTGCACAGAGGTGATGTTTGTACCAATCCAAAATAGAATTAATGGAGTATGTTTGTATATAAAATGCGTTCCGTGTATCTATATTTCAACTTGAACTCATTACTAAGACAATATTGTATATAAAGATGAACGGGGATAGCCAGCGGTATACTTTTTGACATGCTAGCACTGGAAACAAAGAACCCAATATCAATATCGATTTTCTGAGCGAGCAACATGATTAATGCAAAAGTGGGCCGAAGAAATGGAAGCTGAATGACAAATTTGGTATCTGCAAGAACATGTCGTGAATCATTTAACTGTTAAGATAGCTACGGATGGCGCCTATAAATTCATCAGTATAATTGACACATAGAATTGGAGAGAAACCGACCTTGTAATTTCGTAGCACCCTCGCCCAAAACTTGCGTCAAGTTCTCCAAGTCATCACCGGCAGTAATTCCAAATCGGCGGACGAAATCCTTAGCTGCGTTCTCGAGATCGCCGTATCCATCGTCAATGGCAGGGAAATCCTCCTCAGGTCGGCCAAAGTATGCGTTGCTGGAAATGGATGTGGCGCCTTCAAAGTTGTTGAGACGAGTCTTGGCTTCTGCCTGTGCTGAAGGGTCGAATTGTTCTCGGCCAAAGAATTCGTCGGATGAGATACCTTTCTGTGCTCCGAAGCGTGTTCTATTTTGTTCAATTTCTTCTTCTATATATCTGTTAGTATCGAAGAGCATCAAGAAACATAAAAATTATATCATACCATCGGCAGTCGATCGTTGGGCAGGAGCCACAGCGCCAAAGCCAGGCTTCTTCGCAACTGCGGGCTTGGAAACCTGTCCAAAACCCAGACGGCTCATACCCATTCCAAGACGCTCCATCTCGGCTGCGCTCTTTTCAGGTGCCTTTCCAGTCGCGCCAAAGCCTCCTCTAGCAGGGCTAATCGGGGTGGGAGACGCAATCGTGGTGGTAACCGCAGCCTTCTCCTTAGCTTCCAACTCGGCTTKTTCAGCTTCCGGGTCGTAGCCCAATTTCTCTATACGTTCCGCCTCTTCCTTTGCCTTGCGCTCAGCTTCTTCAAAATCAATTGCGTCGGCGCTGACGACTTTCTTTGCGCCGAGTTTCTGCGTCTTCTTAGAACTCAATATACTGCCCTTCTTAGCACCAGCGCCAGTGGGACCTTTTCTAACGACATTTCCCGTTCGAACGGCAGTAGGGGGAGGTGATGATGTGTCGTCTTTATCACTCGCAGAAAGAGGCGATTTGGATCTCGCACCATTTCCGTTGGCGCCAGCGTTCAAGAAGGGAGAGGCGGTGCGGCTGACGTTTGATGGGGTACCGACTCGCGAAGGCGGGTTGCTGGGGCGCTTGATGGCGGGCTTATCCCAGGAAGAGAAGAAGTCGTCGTCTGGTTCACCAGCAGGTGTTGCAGCGCCATCGCCGGGGGTGCCTGCGACGTCTGTAACAACAACTTCACCTGGATAACTGCATATTCCTTAATCTCCGTTACGTATCTGAATCCGAAACAACCAAACTTACTCTTTCGCATCTTGAGCAGCCCTTCGCTTAAGCTCCTCCTTATATTTGACAGCGGCATTCGATTCGTATTTGACGTGAGGATCCTTGCTGGCTAATGCGGCGGAACCTCCGTGCGATTGGAAAAACTTGGTGGCCGACTCATTGCCGCCGACTTTCATTATACGGAGTTGTTCCCATTGCCATTCTGCATCTATCAGTACAATCCTGACGATTCTTACTAACGGGGGAGAGGCATACGGTCGAGGTTTGTGGAGCGAACGAAGGAGATATGGACACCGAGATTACGATGGTGAGACGAACAATCCAGACATAGGTAGATACCGAAAGGCACCGACGACCATGTTGGATTTTTGGAGCCGCAGTCAAAGCATAGCTACAGACAACCGGAGAATTAGCATGCGTTGATTCGACTCGGTGAAAGGGGTTTCTTGGTTGGCGGGGTGACTTTACCCTGTTTGCTGGCTTTGTCTTCAACTTCTCAAAGATTTTCTGCGACTGCGCCTTGGTGGCACTCATGGTGATTGTTGACACTAACACACAATTTTGAGAGTAAGTGTAGGTTCGGGTGGTATAAGTGGTGTGGTTGGTGGTTTCTGTGTTGTTGCAAATAAACAAGTAAGAAAGATGACATCCAAGTTGGCAGCGAAGAGCGAACGTGGTCGGAGACGATCTAAGTCTGCAAATTACGGAACGATCCTTGATTGGGCAGAACAATTTTTGCAGCTACCCAGCTCAGTTTAGCGGATCGAATTTGCAAAAGGCACGTGACAAAGCGCCGCTTTTGCAAGCTTTCGCGGCCAGTCCTTCATCTCCGCAATGAGACCCATCTTGAACAGTCTCCGCATCGGTCAAAATTTAACGATAGCAATTCCAGACTATATCAACCACGCATTTCAAGCGTCAGGCGTCAAATGTATCTGATGCCAATTCTGACCAGATATCAGAATGTATCGCTCACTCCTACATAACCCAACTCTACTCGCGGTCCGCGGAACCACGACCACACCTATCCTCCGAGCTTCTACATCTACTACCGCTTCACCAGCACCATCGCATACAACACGGCATTATGCAACACAAAGTAGTCTCGGCGGCAATGGCTCCGGTCCTACCAGGAAACAGATATCCGTCATGTCGGACGACGGCCGATATAAATGGGCAGAATTGAGCGGAAAGGAAAAAGTAGCTCGAGCTACGCAGCAATCATTCAATTTTGTGATTGTAATTGTTGGTGTTGTCATGACGGTGCGGACTCATAACTCTCAATCTTCAAGCTTGAGTCTGTGAGTTGGTCTAATCTGTTGGTGGCACAGGGCGGCGTTTTGACACTTTTATATACCGACGTTTTCTCACCCAATAGCAAAACCTGGCAATTCGAAAAGGCCGTTAGTCGTATTAAGGAAGATCCACGGGTCACATCATTACTCGGAAACAGCAAGGAGATCAAAGCATACGGCGAACCGACGGGCAATCGGTGGACTAGGAACAGACCTATTGCGTACGTCTCCGTCCCTTCTTTTAGGGCTGCCAATTAACGACCGATCAGAACATCTATGCAGAAAGATACGCTGGGTAGAGAGCATATGAGGATCAATTTTCATGTCAGTCATTCCTTGAAATAATATCCAGTCACGATATGCTGATGAAGAGTGTCTAGGTCGAGGGACCATTGAATGAGGGCATTGTGCATGTACATATGATCAAGCCTTTGGATGAATCGAACTTCCAGTATCGATTGCTGGCCGTAGATGTGAAGGGTATGTTTCTGATGGATTACAAGCAGACAATCTCCGTACTGACTTTAGCCAGGCCACCCACGAATAATCCTCGAGCAGTCCAGTGATGAAGCGTTAGGAGGGAAGAAAAGCCCCTTGAAGATTCTTGGTATCAACTGGCGTTGAGTTGTGACCATCACAATGGAACAACATTCCATGAGTCGCATGTATTTGGCTCGCAGTATCAAGGACTGCGTAGAGCTGATGGACAGCTGGGTCACGAACTAATTACCAGTCGAGCAGCCTCGCTGGTGTAGCAAAACAACACAATTGTTGTTTTTTCTTGTACGATGATGACCGGAGTCCTACTCCGAATAAAATGTATCATATTAAGATTGAAAGCCCAGTGGTCAAACCCATGCATCCCGCTAAGTGTCCAAGAACCTAAATTTGCGCTGATCAAATATCACCTATATCCTTAACCCTAGGCCACCCTTCTATACTCCTCCCTGACCAGCCTGCAACCGCCTCAATAGCCAGCTGCACCTTCTCCGTATCCTCCTCACTAACCCCCAACCTCCTCAATCCCCTCAGATGCCAGATCGTCGGCGCACTAAGCCCCTGAATCATAATCCCCGTCAAAATCACCAACTCCGCCTCGACAGCCGATAGAATCTCATGATCCGACAAAAACAACCCATAAATCACACTTCTCTCCATCCACATGAAATCGGCTGCAAATGAGCCCCACGAGGCACAAATCGGGGCTAGATTCTGCCGATATAGCTGTTGCAAGAACTTGGTGCCTCTGTCAGGAATGTGCGTATTGAAATCGATGTCTTTCCGCTTGTCGGGAAAATCGAGTAACCCATCCTCTGAAGGAGGAGCTTCCTCAAGCTTGAGACCTCGCTTTTCGTAGAAAGCGGTTTCGGCTTTACCTAGTGCAGTTACTGCGTAGACGATGGGGGTGACGCCGACGAGAGTCCATTCTTTCATTAGTACATCGCTCAGGCGTGCTTTGATGCGTTTTTCTTCTGTTTCAGAGACGGTTTCTACGAGGTTTGTGTAGAGCGTGCCTGTTTCGGTGGATTTGTTGCAGCCGACCAGGGCTGCTGTCTATTGAAATTTTAGACTGGTGGAATTGCAGAAAGGAGGTGGGGTGTACGTACGACGATGAGATACCATGCATCTTTTCGGAATTGTTCTGGGAGAATGGTCTGGACGCGAGCGCAGAGCTCTTCGAGTGTTTCTGATGGTGTGGATGTCATATTGTTGAGATTGTAGCGAGTAGTACTAAAACTCCTTAGTATCCTGAGCGGACGAAGAGCTGAATTGAGTTTTTGGTGTGGCTGATGAAGCTGTCTCAACCTCGGAATGATTATCGATGTCGATGTTGCGCGTCGCAGAGAGTGGCTAGTAAAGCGGAGAGCCACACAGGTAGAATTCATGAGGGCACCCTGTGCTTCATGTGTTTAGATTGACTTTATTTAAGAAGTGTGGAATTGGATCGGTCAATTGATTTGCTGGCAATGCATTGGACTGTGTTGTTGATTTGTTAAGATGGCTGAGTAAACATCGGAGCGGTAAAGCTGAAGCCGAGATCGGCCATTACGTCGACACACAATATACCCTCCCAGTTACCATCAATACTTTTAAGAAGACATACAGATACATGTATGGGGTGCGAAAGAAGATGAAGGAGTTTTCGAATGTCTCTGTATGATATAAGCATTTAATCTTTACCTAGGTAGGTAGTATTATATCTATACAATTCGCCGTCTTGCCAACTTGTCAGAAATATAGAATGTGGAAGCTGGGTAAATCTACCGAGCGAGGATTTTAAGAGATTCGACATGCTGCGCCGCAAAAAGCCGCAAAATACCACAAAAAGTCGCGAACTATCGCAACCGTCCGCAATTCCACGAATACTAATGTTGATTGAGCATGGTTCAAAGAGAGTATGAAAAGCATCCAAAGTAAGCAGGCTCATCTGTGTGCTCAAAGTAAGTGGCGCTCATCATACATCCTAGATCCCACAATATCCTATTACCTTGCAATGCAGGGAAGTATATAATGCTTAGAAAAGTGGACTTGAAACAAATCAGCGCTTAATTTAGAAATTGTCCCCTATTTGGCAGTGCCGTGAACATGCTATTGCAGGAGAGATCTAGAGACATTCTCGGCGCTAACTAGTCACTTAGCCAGGCGTTTGTTAGTATTTGACGAGTAAGTTAGTCGAAGACACTAATTATAGTACCATTGATGATGATTGGTCTATGAATAGAAATGGGCATTGCAATCTGCGAAATCGACCCTTCTAAGATACAACTAAGTTTCTTTGCAGTCGATGAGCAATTTCTGTAGAGATCAAGAAGTTTCAAGGGAGAAGGTACCAGAATTTATGATTGGTTGTCGCTTGTTCCTTTTGGTTTTTCCAAGCAGATGCGCCAGTGTTCGGAAATCGTTTGGCTGCTTAGATACTTTCATGGGTTATATATATTGCTAAAATGTCGTTTAGAATCAGCATAGACAAATCTTTTTCAATCAGTATTTATTTCAGACAGCCCCATTCATGGCGCCCCTGACACCCAACCAAGCCCAGCAAGACACCCGGCGCATTGCAGCCATCCGAGTTGTCGTTCATATTGGGCAAGCTCTTGATCAATCTGACAATCACTGGTCTATCTATTTGCTCATTCAGGGCGGCGGGTCTGTCCGGGCAAATATGGCCACGGAATATGGCGCAACTGAAGGCCATCTCGACTGGTTTAATCTCGAATACGGCCTGACTAATTCAGCTATCCATCATTGGGACATCCCAGTCACCCAGGCCATTCAGGTGCTTTATATTGCTAGAACCATCTACACAAAAGGTCGCCACCGATACCACTTCTCTGGTGGGGGTTCTGGTTGCCGTTACTGGGTGTGAGTGAAAATGATTTGCCATGCGGCATACAAACGTATATTGATTTTGCATTAGGTGGACTGTATTACATGACCTTGAAGCTCAAGGCTATATAGCTTCAGGAGCCTCTAATCAGCTGTGGGGGCCTCTTCAATACCTTTATCGTGTGGGCCAACCCCCTCTGCAAATTAATTGGGTCTCCGGGGAGTTTGCTTAGTGGCGGATTATTGTTTTTCCGATGCGGTATGGTCCTGAAATTTCATGTATCTCTCGAACTGTATCTACATCCTAGTTACATCTTAAGCTCTTTTAGATAAAGACGTCCCTTTTTTTATAAAAAAAAAAACTCGGCTGATCACCATTCATTGTCGTTGCTATGTTCGGAAACGAACTATCAGATGATGAAGTGATCGAATATTGTCTATCTTGCGATGAGAGTCGACTTCTTGGAGATGGGAAATATGGCAATCGAGTAGTCAGAATCTCCGATACACAAGTAGTCAAGTTCGGTCGAGGCGTTTCATGTTATGAGGCAGTGAGTCAACAGAGAGCACTAGGGCTTGTGGATCCTCAGATTGTGAGAATTCCCCGAGTACAGCGGTTTTTTAGTGACAACGACGGGCGGGGATATATAGTGATGGAATTTATTGAGGGTAAGATCTACGAAACACTCACCAGATCCCAAATCGAAAGAGTGGCTGCTATCCTTAAGCATTTCAGCACTATCACAAACAATACTACCGGCAGTCTTGGTGGAGGCCCATCAACAGGCCTCCTCTGGCCAGAGACGAATGATCTATTTATTAGCACTCTATCAGACATTGAAGACTGGTTTAATAGCCGACTTTTCCCAGCTCAAGGCTTGAGACGTGTTACTCTTCAGCATTCCAAATTCGTTCTCTGCCATCTTGATATTGCCCCGAGGAATCTTATCTGGCATGATGATGGTTCTATCTATCTCTTAGATTGGGCAAGTGCGGGATTTTATCCTCAGTTGCTTGAATTCGTCAGCCAGTGGATTACCGAAGGTAAAGATGGGAATTTTCACAGTATATTGTTACAAGCTATGGCTCCATTATCAGAGGCCGAGATGGAACAGAAGGCCCCGATCTGCCAGGCCTTATATAACATCCAAAAGTATTCATTGTTAGTATAGACCCGTTCTCCAGTTTCTACAAGTGGTTAATTGGATTATGTTTTAGCCGCTGTTTAGATTCTGAGCCGCTGTACATACTTCCTGTTCCTCCGCTCCCGAATTTGGCTGAACCCGAATCAAAAGCTTGATCTTCTGTGCGCGCCATGGCTCTGATGCAGCAATGGCTTAGACTAGTCTTTTTCACATAGTTGATGGACGAGATTATAGATATATTAATTTGGGGACTTCTTGGCACTGGTTCAGAAGAAAGAAAACGAAGAGATCGATCTGTGCGTCGTGAGGTGAAAGGGAAGATTGTCACCCCACACCAAGTTTACAGAACTATCACCAAGAATGCAATTTTATCATCAATTCTATCCCTACGTTTTCCAAGATGGTCCACATGGATGAGCACGTCCTGCTCACGCCGTCAATGATTCCCAAATCGTACAATTTCGACGTGAAAGACTCATCCTATTTTCGAACACGGAGCGAGCTGCCTTCTCTAGAAATGGTTCAAGCACAAGCCAGATCTAAGACATTTCTGACGAGTACCCCATGCGCCAGGCCACCACCTGTGATATTTGAAGAGATGGGAGTTTTTGTAAAGTGGGGAAGCAGTGTAAAGTTGTCCGAAGCCCTGGGTCTATACGCTATAAATCGATTACTTAAAGGTCGTGTCCCCGTTCCTGAAGTTTACGGGTGGCGTACACGAGGAGAGGAAACGTTCATTTATATAGAATACGTTCAAGGACAGTCTCTAGAACAAGTATGGGGAAATATGGAAGACGTCGATCGGGCTGCGATTTGCTGCGAATTACGCGCAATCTGTGACAATTTACGTCGACTTGAACAACACCCATCAGACAAATTCGTGGGTAAGCTCGCTCTTCGTGAAAGGCGAATTGCTTGTTTCTATATTAAACCATATTTTTAACAGGGAACATCGCTCGAGCTCCTCTTTATGATAGAGTATTTCACGTAAACTATATGTCAGAGGCTGGACCATTTACTACAGTCCAAGAATTTCATAACTGGTTCACATTTCTTCCTCGAAGGCCAATGGCCGATCCATATTCGGTTCCAGTCGAGCCATTCCGTTACGAACTTCCTGATGAATGCGCCATCAAGTTTACTCACGGTGATCTCCACCGTAGTAATATCATTGTCACTCCTAGTCGACCATATCGTACTCTAGCTATCGTCGATTGGGAACAGTCCGGCTGGTTACCTGCTTACTGGGAGGCCCGGAAGGCGCAGTATACTGCGGATCGACTGGAAGATTGGTCTACGAAGTATTTGCCGATGATCCTAGATCAATACACTACGACCTGGGATCCATGGGACTACTATATTATGGCATTGGGCTGTTAGTATTAGGGTGTATTTTGCTCCACATATCGATGGAGACATCAAGCGTGGATCAGTGTTGCTCGGTTTCTCAGCTCGAAAATAAATTACGAAAGTTAGCACCCAGATGATTATTCGAGCTGTGGGAAGCTTGACTATAAGGATAGCTTCTTATTCCGGGTTGGCGAAGTTGGTATGCTTGGTAAAGCAAGCCGATCAAGTTAAATTCGCTTTGTCCACTATTCCCTTACAGCAGTACGAAATGGAGATACATAACAGACTCGTTTGCCGCCCAGCCTTCAATCCAGTGTTCCCTTCAATAAGCATGTGACAAACAAAACAAAAATATAACATCTCTCTATCTCCCTATATATAATTAGTTCTGAAGCTGAGTAAGTTGGGAGTGTCAGTACAACTGAGCGCTATGAAAGAGTGGATCGAAAAACAGAATTGGGAAAAAGTCTTGCGGACCGAGTAGGGGTAGAGATGGGAAGCATCGCGAGATCCGAAGGATTGACACATGGACTGAGCCAGAATAGGAGAATATTGATCCGGCTTATGATTGTTAGGCTTGAATCAACTAAAATGATATCAATCATGAAAACTGCTTGCAGCAATCAAATCGTAACAAAGAATATGTTTGTGCATCGCTTTTGCAAACAACTATAAGTGGCAACAAGATATTATTTTGACTTAAATACAAACTAACATTATTCATCAAATACGAGGTCCATCCAAAATCACCTTGGCAGCATCCGTCGTCCACCAACTCTTGCCCTGCTCGCCAGGGAATGCATATTCATCCATACTATCCGACTTCATCTGCACGCTATAACCGGGCTCCAGAGGAGTCACGATATATCCATCCTTGACACTAGCCGGATGCTCAAAATGCTCATGCAAATGATCCACGTACTCCAACAGACTCTTCTTACCACTAATCACAACGTAATCAATGGTACTCAGGTGCTGCGTATATTCAGGTAATCCGACACCACCGGAATGGGGCACAATGGGAACACCGAATTTGCGTGCCAACAGCAAGATGGCGAGACATTCATTTACGCCACCGACGCGGCAGGCGTCTGGTTGGAGGACGGTGAGGGCGCCGGCCTGTAGGAATTGTTTGAACATCACTCGGTTCTGACACATTTCGCCGGTTGCGACGCCGACGGTGCCGTGAGGGGTGTCGGCGAGGGCTTTGCGGATGGCGGCATGGCCGAGGACGTCGTCGGGGGAGGTGGGTTCTTCGATGAACCAGGGCTTGAACTGGGCGAGTTCTTTCATGTACTCGATGGCTTCGGGGACGGACCAAATCTATCCTAGTCAGACACCCCCGGAACAATCACACGTAAAGAGTAAGAGACATACCTGGTTGGCATCAACCATCAAAACATTCCCCTTATCATACCCAATCGCCTCTCTCGCAATTCCCAAACGAATCTTATCATTCTCCAAGTTTCCCCCCACCTTGAGCTTGAAATGCTTGAAGCCGTCCTTGACGCTCTGCTCCAACAACGCCCTCAATTTTTCATGTGAGTAGCCCAACCAACCCGCACTAGTCGTATAAGCAGGCACAGCCTTATTCTGTTCTGCATCCCTGATGCGGTCTTGCTTCGTAGGCTCAACCTCTTTTAACAACGCCACTGCTTCTTCGGGCGTCAAAGCGTCAGTGATATATCGAAAGTCAATGCATCGCACGACTTCTTCCGGTGTCATGTCGGCCACAATGCGCCAGACGGGTTTGTTGAGTGTCTTGGCCCATAGATCCCAGAGACCGTTGACGACGGCGCCGAGAGCGAGGTGGATGACACCCTTTTCGGGTCCGATCCAGCGGAGTTGACTGTCAGAAACAAGATAGCGCCATGTCTTGCCCCAGTCGGCGGTGATTTCGTCTAGATCCTTGCCTACGATGAGAGGTGCGATGGTGCTGATGGCGGCGCAGACGATTTCGTTGCCGCGACCAATTGTGAATGTCTACCTTATAGTGAGCATGTAATTTTGGCGGCGGGGGTGGGGATATTTACCATTCCGTGACCCTCATATTGCGAATCGGTCTTGATGATGCAGTATGCAGAAGAATAATCACCAGCAGCATTCATAGCATCCGAGCCAGTTTTGTCGAGGGAGGTCTGTTTCAGTCATGTCAATGCTCTGTACCCATCCTGTACAGCAAGATGACGAAACTTACAGGAAACCTCACGTCTCGCGTGAGAAAGCCTGTGATCTTGACCATTGTATGCGACTTCAATCTTCAAAAGTACCAAGGTAAGAGGATTATTGCAGCTCAATACTATGCAAAAGCACAAAAAAATAATGAGGAATAAACAAGAGAAAAGAAGAAAAAGAAAGATCCATATAAATTGAGGGGATATTCAAGCTATAAGTACCATGTTCCAGAACCACCACAAACGCCGCCTCCATCAGGCGCCATGAGATATTTAAATCAGCTGGACTATACCATCCCACGTCCACTATTTTTCCTCTCATTTCATACTACGTATATACCCGTGCCTTGAAAAAAATAAAAAGCCGAATCCCTCCAATGACGAGAGTGACTGCGGCACAGAATGTTTTGTATGCGGGGGTCATTTTGCGGGTAAAAAGTAGCCCGAGCAACCCCCCACTGCGTCTGGTTGGCGGAATCGCGTCGGCCGTGGTTTTTCCGCCAATGGACAGGCGGCGTGCCTGATACATCTCGCAGTTTCTCCGATGTATAAATCACTGAATTGATGCTACTGGAAGAATGGAAGAATAGCTCACGTGTGCTGTAGTTTTATTATCCGGAAGCTGGTAGGGTCAGCGCTCTCGGTGAGAACGCCACACAGTCGATAGATACAGGAATATGCTAGGTACCTTATGTCGAAAGACCTCGCTTCTCGCTTTCAGAAAAGAAGATAATCATACGCCACAGCTTCTTGACCAGAACTTCCGCTTCCTCGTCCAATGCCTGTCGATAGAAGGTTAGCAGACAACTTTAAACGTAATATAGAGAAAAAACTGACCTCGGCCAATTGCTCGACCAGCTCCTGAGGCTCGCCATGGCGGCGGATATGCTCTTCAACAACATCAACCAACATCTCCTCCTGCACACCAAGGTATTCCATAATCTTCTTCTCGACAAACGGTTTCAGCTGCTCGCCAAGGACAGACTCGTCGACAAACTCCCACTTGACATTCCACTTCCATAGGCCTTCCTTATCCGAAGGAATTTCTGCCGCAAGCTGTCTGACAGCCTGAGCCCTTTCTTCGTCAGTGAGACCGGAAGCCTCTGCAGCGCTATCAAACTTAATTGGAACGAGAGTGCGCTTTGTGGTAGCAGTGCTCTCTTCTTCGTCTTCCAGTAGACCTTCGACTTCAGCAACAGTGCGGCGGGTCGTAGCAGCCTGTGCTTTTTGCTGTGCCGCTGCACCAAGAGACAGCTTGAATCGCTGAGGTTCACGTGGTGCCTGGGGTTGTGCTTCAAGCTCTTCGGCTTGACGAGCCAGGAAGTCGTCTGCCATGCCACGAGCTTGTTCACGTTGTTGAGCAGATCGGGCCTTCTCGCGTCCTTCGGCAGCGCGATCAGCTTCGTCGGCTTTGATCTCACGTCCACGAACAGCCGCACGGTTGCGCATCCAGGCTCCGTGGTCCGCATAGTATTCCTCCACCTTGCGACTAGCTTCCACATCATCATCCCACTCGCGAAGAAGCTTCGCCATAGCTTCTTTGGCTTCGTCAAGCTTGGCGTCCTCTTCCTTGTCACGCTTCCTCTCACGTTCAACGGCGGCTGTACGACTGCGCTCACGGTTCAGCCATCTGCGCTCCTGGTCTAGGAATTGCTTCTCCAACTCTGCGTCTTTCTTTTCTTGTCTCCGACGCTCAAGCTCCTCGTCACTGGCATCGGTATCCTCATCTTCCTGGCCAACGGGCACTCCATGGCCATTCACAAATGAAACCCCTTTATGGTATTCCTTAGGAATCTGCACGCCAAATCCTTTAGGCCCTGAGGGTGCGTTGGCGATAGAACGATCGCGGGGTCCAAGAGGAACTCCGTTAACTCCTCCGGCAGGCCCACTAGGCGCCGACAGAGGAGGCGAGGCCAACCTGTTCACACGACCCCCGGAATTTCTCGCACGCTCCATTGACTCAATTTCCTCCTCTCGACGAAGGCGCTCGAGATCGCGACGGTTGCTACGCTCTCTGAAAGCAGCGATTTCCCTGGCGACTGTCTCGCGCATCTCAGCTGGTATATCCGATAGTTCGTCCTCGGCGGCGATGGGAATAGTAACGACTTCCGCGGAGTCTTTGCCTGCTTCATGCATAGACACGTCGCCGTCGCGGTCAACGGTAGATGCATCCTCAGCTTGTGGAGGTACGACTGGATGCGTCAATTCTGAGAGCACGGTGGAAAGCGATTGGCGGGCAGCGTCTAGACGGGCGGCGCGATTGGAATCATCCTCCTCATTCCTAGTAGACTGGTATTGCTCGACGTATTTTAAAGTGCCTTCGTCAAATACCACCTGTAGAAGTTAGATATATCCAATACATCTTCCTTATTTGCGCAAAGATCATACCAGTAACTTGGCCTTTTCCACTTCAGCAGCCTCCTCGTCGCCTCCTTCTTTTGGCATTTGTCGTTTTACTGGAACCTCGATATCTTTCAAAACTTCCAGCGCAACGCTGAGACTTTCGGGATCCTCGTATTCGGCAAATCCAAACTTGCAAGGCTTGTCATCAGCATCAGTGGCGCGAATCCAGCGTTTCAAATTGCCCGCACAACGCAGAATATGCTCGACACCATCATCGCCACCTGTACCTTCCGTAATACCACCAACGAATATAGTTCTTAGGATTTCCTCTTTTGTCGGCGGCTGGAGCTGCATCATCGCATCGCGGATATTCTGGCGCTGTGATTCAACGCTGGTAGCGCCGAGTCCTGCTCGTCGAGTCGCCTCACCGGTTCGTCCGGTTCCATCGGGTGTCGCCGACTTCGCAGGAGCTGCTGTACCGAGTCGAATGACTGGTGCGGAAAAGTTGATGTTTGGCATATTGGGAGGAGGCTGAAAGTTGGCTGGGAAGCCACCGGGACGACCTGGCTGTTGCGCGTTCGCTTGCTGCATCCCTGGGGGGAGGGACGTCCCAGGAGCGACCATACCTGGAGGGGCGCCTAATTATAAGATTAAAAGACAGTCGACCTAAGATAAACGTTGTAAACTTACCCATGCCTGGAGGCGCACCAGGATAGCTTCCATACTCTCCAGGCCGGCCATAGAGGTGCGAACCTACAACATAAGAAGTCAGTCAAGGGTCTGGATGATATTTTATGCAGGATTGTTACCTTGATAAGGGTTGTACATCTTTGACAGTCAACCTCACCAGTCGTCCAGCTGATAGAAAACAGTACAGATTCTGCCTTGGACGTTGTACTCTATCGTAAGTCAGAATGAGCCAGTAGAGCGATCAAAATGAATTACAGGACTGCAAAAAAGAAAGGACAGTAGAAGGTCTCATTCAGTCTGATGTTAATTTTGAAGGCCGGCAACCCAGATGGAAGGAAGCTTCCCAAAGACCCAACCGTGAAATATTAGCTTGTCAGGCTTGACCAATGGGAGCTCAGCTGACCAAGCCTTCAACTAGCCAATCAGAGGCCACTGTTTCCTATACATCTCAGCGTCTACATTTTAGCTACTACTATTACGCTCTACGAAGAATTGAATGGATTATAGGCATGAGAGACTACATGACATCATTTTAGAAATCTGAATAAGCATGAATAAGTATGAATAAGCATGGTGCTGACTAGGACTCGGATATACGTTATCCTGCAAATCCGACGGGCACGGAAAGCTCACCGTGAATTGGGTTGATCCCTGTCGGTTAATGACACTATTGTACGTGTAATGACACTAGATATGACACCTACTTTCTGATCGACTAAAGTACCTCATAGAAATAAATACATTGCTAATCGATTCATACCAAACGTGTTGATGTCGATTTGGTACATCGAACAGCCTAATTCGAGTCGGTCCAGAGCAGTCGAATAAGTAATCGACAGAAGTCTTAACATAAATCTTTTACACGAATGACTGACATTTTGTCCGGTCTTTCTTCTCCGCGGTCTCCCGGAATCCAAGACCGTTAAGAAAAGAAGGAAAAATAAAAATATTCATAGTAGAGCAAGTCGCAATTACCCGATCAGGAGCTAGGCCTTCCCCCACGCCGCCGCTGCCCCTCGACCCGTGACGTTATTTATTATACCCGTGTCCCACCACCTTCTTCCAACTTTCCAGACAACCACATCTCGCAAAATACCTATCTATTCTTCTTGATTCCCATTGTCAGTCGACTTTGCTGTCAATTGATTTTTATGTAAGTTGTGCCAGACGTTCAACATGCTCTCTCATAACAGCAGCAGCAAATGTAAAGACCCCGCACTGACGTCCGCGCCATTCTACAGACTGTCATCAAGATGCCCGGTTTCAAGCAAGCCTCCGATCTGGACGCGTGGAAAGCGCTCCAGCAGCACCATGCCTCTGTTGGTAAGAGCATTGTGTTGAAGGAAGAGTTCGAAAAAGMCCCCAGCCGTTTCGAGAAATTCAGCCGTACCTTCACCAACACCGTGGATGGCAAGGATATCCTCTTCGACTTTTCCAAGAACTTCGTCACCGACGAGACACTTGACCTCTTGGTGAAGCTTGCCAAAGAGGCTAACTTGGAACAGCTTCGCGATGCCATGTTCAAGGGCGAGCACATCAACTTCACAGAGGACCGCGCTGTCTACCACGCAGCTCTGCGCAATGTCAGCAACGAGCCCATGCAAGTTGATGGCAAGAGCGTTGTTGAAGGTGTCAACGCCGTCTTGGAGCATATGAAGGAGTTCTCCGAGCAGGTGCGCAGTGGTGACTGGAAGGGATACACTGGCAAGAGCGTGAAGACCATTATCAACATTGGTATTGGTGGTTCCGATCTGTAAGCCATTGGATCAATCCATCTGAAAGTGTACTAATCATCCGCAGCGGCCCTGTCATGGTCACCGAGGCCTTGAAGCCCTACGGACACCCCAACTTGAAGCTCCACTTTGTATCCAACATTGACGGTACTCACATCGCCGAAGCTTTGAAAGAGTCCGACCCCGAAACCACCCTCTTCCTGATCGCATCCAAGACTTTCACCACCGCTGAGACCACCACAAACGCCAACTCGGCCAAGAAGTGGTTCCTCGAAACTGCCAAGGACGAATCTCACATCGCCAAACACTTTGTCGCCTTGTCCACGAACGAGGCTGAGGTCACCAAGTTCGGTATTGACAAGAAGAACATGTTCGAATTCGAATCTTGGGTCGGTGGACGTTACTCCGTCTGGAGTGCCATCGGTCTCTCCGTTGCCCTTTACATTGGCTACGACAACTTCCACCAGTTCTTGGCCGGTGCTCAGGCCTTGGACAAGCACTTCCGCGAGGCTCCATTGAAGGAGAATATTCCCGTCATTGCTGGCCTTTTGAGTGTCTGGTACAGCGACTTTTTCGGAGCTCAGACTCACTTGGTCGCTCCTTTTGACCAGTACCTCCACCGATTCCCCGCCTACCTTCAGCAATTGTCCATGGAGAGTAACGGAAAGGCCATCACCCGTTCTGGTGACTACGTCAAGTACACCACCGGCCCTATCTTGTTCGGTGAACCCGCCACCAACGCCCAGCACAGTTTCTTCCAGCTTCTCCACCAAGGCACCAAGCTCATTCCCACCGACTTCCTTCTTGCTGTCGAGTCTCACAATCCTGTTGAGGGTGGCAAGCACCAGCGCATGCTCGCTTCCAACTTCTTCGCTCAGGCCGAGGCGTTGATGATTGGAAAGACCCCTGAGCAGGTCAAGGCCGAAAACGCCCCTGATGACTTGGTTCCTCACAAGACCTTCCTTGGCAACCGACCAACCACTTCTATCCTCGCTCAGAAGATCACACCTGCTTCCTTGGGAGCCCTTATTGCTTTTTACGAGCACTTGACTTTCACCGAGGGTGCCATCTGGAACATCAACTCGTTCGACCAGTGGGGTGTCGAGCTGGGTAAGGTCCTTGCAAAGAACATTCAAAAGGAGCTCGAGACTCCTGGTGCAGGCAGTGCCCACGATTCTTCCACTGCCGGTCTCATCAAGGCTTTCAAGGCCAGGGCCAACCTTGCCTAATTCGGGTGATGCAGTCTGAATAGTATGATGTTTTTTAATTACCAATAGCAATGATTAGAAATGAATACGAAAAGTAATGTTATAATTCAAACCAGATTCATAAATGTTATAGACATGTAACTTGGCCCCTTTCAGTTCGCCACTGCAGCTAATCGCCGCCAACAACCGGTGGGACCCTTCTCCGCAAAAAGCATGAGCCAAAAACAAGCGGCGTGGTCTTTTCGCAACAACACCACTCGACAGTATATACGACAGTCATGCCTTTTTCATTCTGATTCTTTTTGGGTATTGTTAATATGTTTTCTCAACGTTACATATCCGTTCTTGGGCTGTTCCTGTCGAGCGGAGTATTCGCTGCTTCTCCCGCCTCGAAAGATGTCGCTGGATATGCGTACGGACAGTCGATTCCTGTCAGTTGTTTGAACAGGACGATGTGAGTACCTAGTCTGAAATATTGCGCTGATCGCTAATTTTTCTTTTCTTTTCGTTCAGAGATTCAGGTGAACATGTACGCACACTCCTCATTACACTCGTCTAGGAAACATACTAACGACCACCAACAGATAAGAGACGACCTCGGCCGACTCCAATACATCCCCTTCCCAACATGCAACGAAACCTCACTCCCTCTCGCGCTACAATATGGCGTCACCGAAACCATTTCCTGCACAATTGACTCTCTCCCCGACGAATTGTATCATTTGCTAGAGTACTACGTCCACTCTGATGCGCCGCTGACATGTCGTGTGCCCACGATCCCCTTGGACGGCACCACCGATTTTGCAAGTGAATACAATGTCGTGGATGTGAGCGGTGACGGCGCTGGAAGTTTGAACGGTGGAAGCGGCAATGATAATGGCCCGCCATATACGCCCCTCACAATCGCCCTACAAGGGACGTTGCAACTGAGCCACCTACACATCTGGACAGACATGAACGTCATAATGCACCGTCTAAGCTCCATCGAGTCTCCCCGCAAGGAAGAAGCGCTATCATCTGTAACAGCGGCAAAGAAACATAAGCAAAAGAAGCCACCACGATCCGCGAAATCGCCCGGTTACGTCGTTGCCGGCGCAGCTTACTCATTGCCGGAGTTGCATGCCCCGAAAACAGCAGACACAGAGCTGTCGGATGAGGAAGAAGATGCAGCCATAATCGAGAATGCGCGGAATCCCTGGACGGCAGGCCATGGGTCAAAGGTTGTGCGTGGAGAACCCCTGACGTTCAAGTTTCGAGTGAGTTGGGTTTCCGGGGCGGATAGTCTTGGTTGGTTAGATCATGAGTATGATTTACCGCATATCCATGGCCGAGAGGGCGGTACTACTTTCTTGGGTTTGTTGACGAAGTTGGTGTTCTTTTTTATGGCGGCGGGGRTAGGGGCGTTGTTTGCGTCGTACTATCAGAGGGTTGTGAGGCGTGGTCACGGTGGAGGTGGGCCGGGGGCTTGGAGGGGAGAAGGGATATTGGGACGTCCGATGACGACAACAAAAACGAGACGTGGAAGTAATAGTGGTGTTACGTATGGGAATAGTGGCAGGKCGAATGGGKATGGTGGCTATTCGCCTACGTCCTCGGTGACGGGCTCGCCTGCAAATGGGGGTGGGTATGGCTATGGGGGATATGGGAAGAAGGATTAACCAATTAACTTGGTGTTGTTTATCGAACGACGACAACGAATTGAAAAGGGTGTACATGGCTATGTTTATATACTGTACCATGCCTCTGTACATTGAATGTTTAGATAGAAGTACATGATTAGCAAAAAAAGAAATAATATGCATATGTATAATACATCTATCTGAACATAGTCCCCCTCCTGTTTTGATCCTTTCCCAATCGACACACTACTTTACACTGACATAGGGAAACTACCACCCCTGATCCCTCATCCTCTGAATCTTCTTCACAGTCTCATCAAAGGAAAACTTGAACAACTTCCTCCACCTCTGACTCTTGAGATCCTTACGTCTCTGACCTCGTCGCACATGAAACTTCTGCAACGCAGCCTGTCTCCTAATTCCATTAACCGCGCAATTTATTTGCACCAGACGAATGGCAGCTGCAACGTCTGTGCCTCGGTCAGCAGAGACGAGTACCTGACGACCAAGTTTTGTGCCTAGTTTCATAGGCGTAGTGCGGAACCTCGGGGTCGAGGGTGGTTCTGCAGAGTCGATTGACGACGCCATGGAATCTCCTAGGTTCTGTTGTTGTTGGCGGGTAGCAGCAGCAGAGACGCCTCCTCTAGAAATGGACATGAGATTGTCCATTTCCCGATTGGCTTTTTGTTGGGCTCGTGCAGCTGCCATATTCGGCTTTCTGGTGAATTCGCGGGTTGGGCGGTTGCTTTGGACGGGTGTTCTGATAAATTGGACGTCCTTGCGGATGTTGGCTATGCTTTCGGAGAGTTTTACATTTGCGTTGGCGACTTCGCTGGATGGTGATGGGGTGCTGGTGGTGTTGATGCCATCGAATATGGAGGTTCGTGGTTTGGAGGATGATTCTGTTGTTTCGGTCGCTTTTGAATTTGAGGGAGTATCGTCTGTGGCGTAGCCGAGTCTTTGATTGACTGCGAAAAGGTGGCTGCGGATGGGCAGAGCACGGGAGAATGGTGTCGAGGATGTGCGAAGACATCTCAGGAGAGAGGATTGCACCGCCATGGCGGGCTAATTTATTGTATATACTGCGTCTCAAGCAATATTTCGAGTGAATTGGTCTCGCTTCGCATTCACTGCCGAGTCGAACTGCGTTGGGTGTGGAGCATAGATACGTGTTCGAAGAGTTGATGTCGAGATGCTGCGGAAATTGAAGAAGCGCGGAATTTCTGAGATCACGTGAATTTACGGCGTCTCCGCCGCTCCGCAATATCCAACGACTGATCGATTTAGATATTGGAAACCTAAGTCCTTTTTGATTCTAGAGCATGTTGCTACTTCATTAGCAGTAACCTTTTCTCCCTTTTACAGTACTGAAAACCTCCAACAACCAAGACAATATGTCCTCAATCACAGTCGGCACCCTTCCCCGCATGAGTCGCGATGTCCTCTCATCACTCCTCCTCTCAACAAGCACACCCAACAAATTAGCCATCATAGACGTCCGAGACTCCGGTACCTCCAATCTCTCTCCCACTACTCGCTCCTTGAAGACTACTGACTCGACATAGACCACGTAGGCGGCCACATCCACACCTCAACCTGGGTCCCCAGCTCTTCCCTGGACTATCGCATGCCCGAACTCGTGCGCACTCTCGCCGACAAAGAGAAAGTCGTCTTCCACTGCGCTCTCAGCCAACAACGCGGTCCCTCCGCCGCACTTCGATATGCACGTGAGCGCGAGCGAACTTTGGGTGTAGAGGAGAGCAAGAAGCAAGAGGTTTATGTTTTGGAGGGTGGATTTGTGCAGTGGCAGGAGAAGTTTGGGAATGATACGAGGTTGACGAAGGAGTATGTTGAGGATATTTGGCGGGAGTATTGATGTTTCTTTTTCAAAGAGATAAGAGAAAGAAGTGATGGATGCGCTGGACGCGGTTATATAAATGATACCCTTTATAAAATCTTCTCTATAATTGTTTTATTACATAGTTCTATATCATACGTTGACTTTCCAATATGTTACAATATCAACCCACGACACCACCACCAAATCCAACGGGCCGTCTCCTTCCTCCATTCTCGGGGACTATGACCAGAGCTTTATACAGCTTACCCATTCCATTGGGCCCTTTGTCGACTAAACGCTTCCATGCTGTCTGAAGCGTCTTGTACTTTTCACTATCTTCTGGCATGAGTTTGAGCAGTTGCTCCGCCCGCTCGGCGATGCCGAGTGAATGTAGGTACTCTGCTTGATCAACTGGACCATGGACCTCGACACCTTCGCTTGCTTCGAGAGCAGCTTCAGCGAGACTAATGAAATCCACATCGGCGCTAACGTCGACTTGTCCGGGGTATGCAAATGGTGAAATGGCCTTGTGTTGTCTAATACCGCGGAGGGAGTTCACAGGAATAGTAGATGATGTGCCGTAATCCAGAATCAGGGCAGCCCCTGAAGGACGCTCTTTCTTCTTTAGTGCTGCGGAGTTATCGATAGGAGTAACCGGTTTGGCGACTTCTCCAGGCTTCCTCTTTGGTGACTTCGGTTCGGGGGGTGTATATCCCCCAATCCTTCGCGCAAAGTCGGCGACGTATATCCTGCTCTCGGGACTGACTTCAATGACAGAACCGGGCTGGGATTTGAGTGCTCTATAACGTTCTGAAATCTCGGGAAGAAGTAAAGAGTTTGGAGTGGATATTTTGGCGCGGGAGAGTTGGAATTCGGGTTCGTCTTTGACGTCTTCAAGGACGGATTTGGAGTTTAAAGCGACCATTAATTCTCGCCATTGTGGGCCGGCGGCTGGCTTATTATTGGCCTTGGTCTGGCTTGGAGAGTCCAATGTGATAGGACCTGTTGGGGTCATAATTTGTTGTTTCGGTTGTTCTTCAGGTTCAGGGCTTGGTTGGACAGATTCAAAGGCATGTATGGGAAGTGCATCGAAGAATTCGTGGGCAAATATAAACGGCATTTTGTCATCTCCCATGTGTCAGCACAGTAAAAAATCAGGTTCATGATTGAGTATGAGCTCACTGTAAGACAATAACCGGATATCTTCCACCCAGACAATAGGCGCTCCAGTATGCTTGTTGATACCCCGAAAACCAATATCAATCTCTTCAAGAACCGCATCCGGCCCACAAAGCAGACTCTTCTGAACTTCTCGTAATGGCGCACTAGCTTCAACGAGGTAAATATTCTCAATACTTTTCGAGAATTGCTTGAAGTTTCGAACGGTCTAATCACCAAAGAATACCAGTCAGACAAATAGTCCTTCAGCATTGTTTTGGTCTTGCTCACCCGTAAAATATCATCCATCAACGTTCCCTTCCCCGGCCCAACCTCGATCAATTCCACACCATCCTTCGGCATCCCCTGCGCCATCCATTCTGTAACCGTCCATATCCCCACAAGCTCTCCAAATATCTGCGTGATTTCGGGTGATGTAATAAAGTCGCCTTTCTTGCCAAATACCTCGGTTTTGCTCTGACTGCTTGGTGTGGTATAGTAGCCTGCGTCGGGGTTTGTGAGGACTTGTCGCATGTAGGCTGCTATGGAGATTGGGCCGGTTGTCTAGAATCTGTTGTTAGCATAGCGTCCTTTTGTCGTAGGATAGAAGTGGGATAGACATACGCGAATCGCATCAGCAAGGATTTTTGCGAGTGGTGTTGACCACTCTTTCTTCACGATGTCTGATGCATAACGTCTGGGTTGGGTTTGCGAAAAGAGGTGTTTGCAACATTGTCTCGTTAAATGTTGCGTGCCACGTCTCAGTCCATGGTTCATTGTTGACGCTTTCCAAGCTTATACGCAAACGAAAACGTAGGTATGTCAATTGGGCGATAATAATAAGAAGGTCCGAAAAAAATATAAGGATTGGGTTTGACTTTGGTTCTCCGCAACCTCCGCATCGAATCTCCGCCGCAAATCACACGTGATTTCTTCAGTCTCAACTTTCGGATTATCATGCCTTTTAGACATTTACATTTGTTCATTTAGATTATGATGCATATGATTTCATGTTCCAGTCATATCACCCACTCGACCAAGGTCCATCTAATATTATGACGCCGCTAACTACCCAACAACTCCAAAAAAAGCAAAGATATTATTACACAAGGGAATCTTTCATATCATAGTATGCGCATACAGATAAACCGATCAGCGGAATCCACGACCACGCTTTGAAGTCGGTATGGTAGGAGCATCGACCATCATTTTGTCTCTGTACAGTTCGATGCTACCATCAGCTCGTCTGGGGCGCCCTTTCGGATCACTGAATCCATTTCTTCCATCATGAATCTGAGGCTCGGCCACATTTTTCCTCTCTCGGCGTTCGCGGTCTGCTTGTTCTCTGAGGGCGTCGTAGTTACTAGCACGGTTGCCAGAGGTAGGCGCGAAGTAGTGGCTGCCACCACCTCTGTATTCGATTGATAGAATTCGACCGTCCGCCTGTTAATCATTAGTTTTGAGCATAGAAAAATAACAGAAGTACCGACTTTCTGTCCATTGAACTGCGCTACAATGGCATCCGCGCCCCATTTCTCAGCGCACGCAATCTGCGCATTGACGTATGGCGTATGCGACGTTATATGAACTCCAACAATATGTCCAGCAACAGGCTCCATCGCAGCTTCGATATCGGCGGCATTGGTACCTGGAGCGAAATTTCTTCCAACGACGACAAACGGTCCCGTTGCAGCAGTTCCCTTGATTGAAATCTCTGCTTGTTTGCGGGGTGCCACGTTCACATCTTTCTTGCCCTTGATATCTTCTAGCATACGATCTTCTCGTGTGCGGCGGGAGGTTGGTTTGGCGGTTACGGTTTGTTTTGCTGTGGCGCGAGCTGTAACGATGGGGTTGGGTTTGGGCTTTGAGGATGTGGATGCTGAACGCTACATTTTGGAGTTTGCATTAGTTAACGGATTTACCAAAAGTGAGGGTACAGGAAGAACAATATATCCCAAGGCTCACCTTCACGACACCAATTCTGCTTGCAAGGCTCCTGTCGGCAGGTGTCTTTTTGGTGCCAACTCCAGGCCCTGGCGCACTAGCTCTTCTCTTTTTACTGCCCAACAACTGGTCTGCTAGAGCTTGGTTTTCTTGTTTTTTCCGGTTAAGACGTTCTTCAATGGTAATAGTAATTAGTCCCAGGTTACGTTTGGCCACAAGGAGAGGGCGCATTTACCAGCCTCGATAATAGAGTCGAACGACGGGCGGCTAGCCTTTTTGCCAGCTGCTTTTTTGGCGGCCATTATGGGATGATGTAAAGATCGTGATGCAGCTGAAGGTGAATAAATATTTCGAAAAACTGCTGAGTTCGCTATACAATAAAATTGAAATCGAAGAGGGATGGTAAAAGACAGGTTCTTTTATCGATGGTGGAGGTGAGCTTTGCATAGTTTCAGCTTGAAGATTGCGGCGGCAGTACCTAACTAAAAATAATTACTCCGAACCCGCCGCCTCCATGTCTTTGGATCTACTTATCCGCACGACTCGACCACACTCGAAATGAACGAACTGAATGACAGAAGGAACCAGGAGTTGGAAGTAAGCCACATTAATGGTCTCACAAGTCAAGGGCGTTCGGATCAATCGATACGGGGCGCAGGGATCAGACAATCAATCAAAAATGCTGGTCTCTTCGAAACAAAGAAGTTTTCAGATTTGCGTTTTATAAATTAAGAAAATGTGGGAAGAAAACCATACATTACATATATTCTGCTCAGCATGGAGTTAACAGCCCACCTGGATAGATTTATACATGCCAACCCAGACCAGAGGACTGAGATTCGGTCACTACACTCCCCAAAATAAGGCCTTGTACGTGAGGCTTCGATATTCTGTGGGTGCTGTACGTGAGTGCGCGCTTGGGGTGTCAAGATTCCAAGGTTGGCACAAAGAATCAACCAGATAGATACATATACTTGAAACTCATGCTGGTCGACACGATAATCCTCCAGTTAGTTGATAAGATTATTGCCTATTTAGGAAAGCCCGTCCCAATGTGTGCCTTATAACCCCCCTTAGACTTCTGTAGGAACAATCTTGGATTATCTCTATTGTATGTCTACGGGTCTTACATACTCCGCTTACTATGACTTGTCAATGCATTTGCAATATTGCAACAGCCTTCCAAGGTAACAGAGTTCATTTCTCGATCACTTGTTTGAACCCACCACCACATCCTTACAACAACCCACTCTTTGCCGTGCGCTGTTTATATACCATGATACAAATTGAAACTAGTCTAAAAATGAATATCATAAGCTGGGCATCATTACTTTTCTACGTCTAGCCAGGCGTACGCAGGTCCTTACATAGGGCATGTGCTACTGGAATGAACTCGCAATAACGATGTCCAAATGGATGGTTAAGCGTTCAAAGCACGCCGCAAAACTACATAGCAGCATCGAAATGAGTACCGTGTCATCTATAAATTTAGTTCCGTGAGAAATGCACTCCTGCTAAACTTCTCTCTCATAAACAATCAATCGCCAGACTCAACAAGCGGAACGCTATGCCAATCCTCCCACCAGTTCTCCGTCTTTGGAGGCCAAATCCGTTGAAAGATCTCCTTTGCGAAGGGAGCCAATTCAGAAGGCTCAGATATTCTCTTATAGGGTCGCCACCCTTTCACCAACCCGACTTTCGTTTCGCGGCCGCTGCTGCTGCTGCTGCTGTTTATCCGAAACACCCGACGTGGTCGACCCATTGTCTCAAGAACGTCGCGAAACCCGCGTTCATCAATGTTCAGGGTATTCCAGATAAAGCATCCTGCTCCAGTGACTTTGACCTCCAAGGATTCAAGCATACCACATGATGTTTGTGCCGAAGATATAGTGTGAAAAATACTACGAGCGAGCTCATTATCCAATGCGCCATTGACGAAGGCGTCCTTCAGGTGGCCATTTCGAGGACGTTGGAGAGAGTAATCAAAATATTGGTCACAATACTGTTTATCGAATGCGTCGAAAGTAGGGTCGTTGCGCGTCACAAAGTTTTTACGTAGGCTATCGCGTGCGGGTAGTAAATTCAAATCCGAGGCATCCAAGTCAAGATACAAGTGTTGAAGTCGTGGTAAAGCTCCGATTGTTTTATAGCTGGCCACTTCTTGGACATCGCCTTTAGATCGTTTGATTTTGATGGTCAACTTTTCCAAAAGTGGACAATATCTTGCCACATGTTTGAGATCCTCCAGGGTTGCCGTAACGCCTGTGGATGGTGATATGGAGAGCTCGTATAAACGCGAACCATGATGTTCTAATACAGCTTCCATAGCAATATCTGAATGCCATTCCGATAAATGCAAAACAGACAAAGCTGGCAGACTAAGCAAGAAAGACTTTGCGGCTGGGAAATAGTTATGGTTCACACTACGATAATAGATTGGTCCGAGGTTGACAGCTAGCTGTGTGAGTATAGGAAAATGGCAATTGGCGATCAGATATTCCAAAGCCTCTAGATCCACGCTAGGAATTTTAAGGACTTTCAAAGTCGTGAAATCGGTGTCCTCTTGCAATGACTTTAATTGTCGCTCGACAAATTGTGCCCCGTCGTGAATAGACAGGTAGTCTAGCGAACCCTGAGCTTTTGGTTGCTGTCCAAACCCAACCCAAGACTGGGTTGGCTGACTGTCAGAGTCTAACGGCACTGAAAACTGAAACAAGACCAGCTTCTTCAAATGCGGTATCACCCCTGCAACAAGCTCCCTTAGAGCTATTGGGGTGTACATATTCGCCCATCTTCCTGAAGGCCTGCTTCCGTAGGAACCTCGCATATGTATCCCGATGGCGTGAAGACATGGTGAACTCAATAATGCCGATTCATATTCATCTTCCGGGCCCCGGGGGCCTAAGCTCCAGAGGTGAAAGCGGGTGATAAAAATTCTGCATGGGGGTTGATGCTGGTGAATAGCATCAAGAAGACAAGGCGGGAATTGAGTATGGCTATTATAGATGATAGACACTAGCGAAGGTAAGCTAGATATTAATTCTGCCAGCGGCTTCCAGAATAAATTCGTTTGATGCACAGTATTTCTGGTCGTTTTCCTGCCCGGAAAGAACGCATACTCTTCAAGAATGTCCTTGTCGCGACCTGATCTTTCAAGTCGAGTTAACCTATGTCGATACAGCCGCAATTGTTCTTGTGCCGAAGCCTGTTCCTTGAAGAACGTCCATTCTCTTTCGTTGTCGTCGTGGACGATGATTAAACGTTGAACAGAGCCATAGCCGCCTACGCGTTGCAGAAGTACTCTTGATTGACGAGCCACGTCTCTGGCAAGCTGATCGCTTTCTAAATCAACCACGTAGAATTTAAGAGATCGATATAACAGGATAGTTAAAACGGAGAAACAGTGCTTGTTCACGCATACCAGGTCAAGCAGACTCTCAGGAACGACTTGATCGAGATGTTTAGCAATCAGCACCAGAATTTCTCGTGGTAGTCTATCAAGCATATTGATCTAATGTCGTTGTCCACGAAAGATAGATTGAGGTGGGAGTGAGTCTGGAGGAACGTTGGGGAATATGTTACAGACATGATACCACTTTACGCAAGTTCTTGTAACTAGCACCTACAAATTACGCGCCTTGTCTAATGACAAACAAGTTGTATATTAGCACTCGTCAATGTGGCCTGGATCTGCTTCAAGATCTGGCGAAACCAAGCAAGTGCTAGGTGAGCTATCTACATTATCATTTCAACGTGCAATTCTCACAGACCGACGGCTTGACGGCTTGACGGTTGACCCGTATTTAGCCGCATTAGACCAGGTGGACCTTCGGGTATATCAACGAGCTTTCCGGGGATAGATTATTAGATTGATGATTATTATTCTGGCTAATTGTATGTGTTCCTGTCGCATGTGATGGCTATACGTAGTAGATTCGAAGTCTAGGTACGCGCCTAGTCGGTTATATTCGAGTTCAATGCTACACTACCTCATAGTATGAGTAGTAAAGAGTGTACGATCTCTGATCATATGTCAGTTTAATAGTTAGGAGTACGTAGTCAAGATGAGCGATTTTGCGACGTCACAAGGCTATTGTCCCGGACCTCGGCTTTTGTCATAGCTAGGATATATTACATAGTATAGACAGCTACTTTATTCTGACTCTCTTCTATTTCACTGTTGTCTGTTGAATTGTCTGATTGTCGCATATTCATACGTTCGAACATAGTTGAACTTACTGCAGTCGGTCTTTGGCCCGAGATCACCACATTTCACGCCGACAGAGTCCAGGCCAGCTCACCGGTGAACATAAACAATCAAATAACCGCCGTTTCACGACTAAACCTGCAAATCAGCAGACAACGGGCTCTCTTCCGAGCTGGGCGCAGACCTGTTCTACGCATTGCGCGATTATTGCAATTAGCCAGCAGCTGATTAGCAGTTAAAAATGGCTCCGCCCCCTCCCCCTCACAAGCCTGGCCCTCAGAGTCATCTCCAACTTTCACCCCACAACCTTTCTTCTTCTGCTGCAAATACAAACTCAACGCCGGTTTCTCGTCTGAATCAGTTATCATCACACATTATGGGCTCGACAGCGACAGCTGGCATCTTTACTGCCGCCAATGTGCCCCAGGCACCAGAGGACCCCTTGTTTGGGCTCATGGCTGCGTATCGCAAGGATCCGTCTGAGAAAAAAGTCGATTTGGGTATTGGTGCTTACCGAGATGACAACGCGAAGCCGTGGATTTTGCCTGTTGTCAGGAAGGTATTTCCCTCTAATTTCAGTATTTATATTTTTACTTGGATGCTAAGAAGTAACAGGCAGACGACATTCTCAAAAATGATCCAGAGCTCAACCATGAATACCTTCCCATCGCAGGCTTGCCGCAATATACCAGTGCAGCTCAGAAACTGATCCTTGGTGCTGACAGTCCTGCCATCAAAGACAACAGAGTACTTCTCTCTCCAACAAACTCATTTCCAGTCATACTAACAACAAAAAGGTAGCATCTTTCCAAACCATCTCCGGTACAGGTGCCGTCCATCTCGGCGCCCTCTTCCTCTCTAAATTCCATCCAAACCAACAACCCCGTCCGACCGTCTACCTGAGCGATCCCACATGGGCAAACCACAACCAAATCTTCACAAATGTCGGCTTATCGATCGCGAAATACCCGTACTTCTCCGCCCAAACCAAGGGCCTCGATATCGAGGGGATGTTATCCTCCTTGGAGACCGCAGCATCCGGCTCAATCATCGTCCTGCACGCATGCGCCCATAACCCTACAGGCGTCGACCCAACCCCCGAACAATGGAAACGCATCGCCCAAGTCGTCCGCGCCAAGGGCCACTTCCCCTTCTTCGACTGCGCATACCAAGGTTTCGCATCGGGAGACCTCGCTCGCGACGCATGGGCAATTCGGTACTTCGTCGAACAAGGCTTCGAGACCTGTGTCGCTCAATCCTTTGCCAAAAATTTCGGTCTGTACGGTGAACGTGCCGGCGCCTTCCATTTCATCTCCGCGCCTAGCCAGGCATCCAGCACACCAAACATCGCCAGCCAATTGGCCATTCTGCAACGATCTGAAATCTCAAATCCGCCTGCCTACGGCTCCCGAATCGCAAGTATCATCCTAAACGACCCCCAACTCTTTGCCGAGTGGGAGGAAGATCTACGCACGATGAGCGGCCGAATTGCCGAAATGCGAAAGAGTTTAAGAGCGGGGTTAGAGGCGCGAAAGACGCCTGGGTCGTGGACACATATTACGAGTCAGATTGGGATGTTTAGTTTTACGGGGTTGAGTGAGAAGCAAGTGCAGATTTTGAGGGAGAAGTGGCACATTTACATGGTTCGTTCCTCACCACCTAGCCGGAGAAAATAGAGATGCTAATGATGAACAGACAAAGAATGGACGTATATCCATGGCAGGCCTCAACACACATAACGTCGATTATGTAGCGGAGGCCATTGATAGCGTTGTCCGCGAGACTCAGTAATTCTTTCATTTTGATTTTCATTTTGGTATCGTTGGGTATGATCAAGGGTTGGTCAGACAAACCATATTGGATTTTTTTTTTCCATTCCATTTCGGCTCACTGGATGTACGTTACAATCTCAAGAAGGCAGCTGGTAGATAGGCCATCGGCATTCATCTCGTCCTAGCATTATCACATATATACATCCAGCCCTTTGGTTTCAGGGCTGGTTAGAAAATAGCATCCCAAACAATCAACCAAACACACAGTCCCGCCGTACACCAAAACACCATCTGCGCCGTACTCTTTCGCTCATTTGCCCGTTTGAGTTCTTTGTTGCCCTTGCCTACATTCTCGGCTGTGGTGGATGCATCGGTAACGAGCTGCGAAATGAATTCTTCTTGAGTGGAGAGGTGTGAGACGAGGGTTTGCTGTAGCGAGGAAATTTCCAGGAGGGATTTTTCTGCGTTTCTGCTCGGCATTAGTACAAATATCTTGGCACATATGGAAAAGTTGGGTGGGGAGGGAGGACGAACTGGACTTTACTCAGGGTATCCTCATAATGTCTCAGCATCATATCATTCTCCTCCGCAAAAAGCTGGAGTTGCTCAGCCGACAACTGCGACTCAATCGTCGCTGTTTCCTGATCCGAGAGCGTAGACGCCTTTTCGTATTTCCGCTGCTGCTCCCTGCCAGCCGCAGGTTGCTCCCATTCCTGCTGCCGTTGCCTATGTATTATCTGCTCCTGCGGAACCGCAGCTTTGTATAGGACGCTCTTCTCCTTCTCCCTAACCCGCTCAATCCTCTTCTCCACCATCCCCCTCTGCACCTCCGCAACTCGCTCCAGATTCCTTCTCAGAAACCACAACACATTCTCCCTTACAGTGGATACGCATCTCGCCGATTCTTCGGCTGTTATCTGCTCATCCGATTTCCCTTCGTTACCTTCTGCTGAATCAGCACCTGCAGCCCATCGCCACAATACCCCCGTGCCTCTTAAATGCCCATACTTTTTGTGCAGTAGCTGTCGCTCCGTTTCCTGTCGTAATTGTTCTGCGGATTGCAGGTTGGAGATACTAGACGACAAGTCGCGAAGCAATAACGCCGTTGAGGAATCGATGGAGTCGCGGTCTGCGTCGGTCAGGTTTTGAGTTGGTAGATTTGTCGTCGTAGTCGGTGAAATAGATGATGTGGCAGCTTCAGGTTTCTTTTTGGTGGTGTGGATAGACAGGTAGGAATGGCGGATTGATTGGAGGTAGTGCAGGAGGGATTGAATGTGGGAGTTCTGTCCATATATATTATATCAGTCTATTGCTATAACGATTGCATGGTGAGGGTTGGACTGACTATGCGGTAGGCCTCTTTCAGGAATTCATTTACGTTTTTTGGATCGCGGGGTGGTGTCTGTGGAAGGTCGGTGTGTGTAGCAAGTTCTTTGCGCTTTTCGCGCAAGAGGCTCTGGACTGAAGGAGTCAGGTCTGTCATCTCTGTACAAGTAGTCGTGATTGCTGTCGAAGGTCAACAACAAAGGAAACGTCAACGTCACCGAATGAAGCGGAGCAGAGGAGCTCCGAGGTCTTGGCGTGCCCTAATTCCTTTTTAGGTATTCTACTATCTCTGATTATATTAAGTATACCTAGCAATTTATTTCATGATTTCAATGCAACTAAAATGTATATTCAGGGGATATCTCAAAGATAGTCAAGTCACTACAACAAGTGCGACGACAAAGTGTGTATGTATAAACCCTCCATCTGACCAACTCCACGCTCAAAACAGTAATTCATAGACATAAACATAGACATGAACATGGATAAATTAAATTCTTTCTTCAACCCAGATCTATGTTCTCGTTAGCAATTATTAATACCAAATGCAGAGATGGAAATACCTCAATCTTCCCCATATCCTGATTCTCCCTCCTCGCCTCATCTCTCGCCGCACTCAGCAACAAATCCAAATCCTCCTGATCGCCCATCGTAATCATATCATTATCATCGCGCATACGTATCCTCAACAGACCCCTAAAGCCAAATTTCTCGCGAATTCGGCCCTCAAACTCACCATATCCGATATTCGCTTCAATCATAATATACCGCGTATCCTCAAGTGCATGAACCTTGACGCGGAATTTCCTGATATCAGGCATCGTGCGCCGACGAGAAGGTGCTCTTCGGCCTTGCCCGGAGCTTTGAGACTGTGGGTTACTATATCTAGTACGCTGTTTGCGGGGTGGTGGCTGTTCATTGACCATTTCGAATTCGGCGTCTTCGGGGATTTCGTCTTCGTATTCGCTGCTGTATTCTGGTTCTTCTTCAATGTAGCGCGGTTGTTGTTGTTGGCGAGTCTTGGGTGCGAAGCCGTTGGTGTTTGTGCGCGGGCTTATGTACATGTCAAATACTTCGTCGTTGTATTCCTCTTCAGGGACGAACTCGAATCCGCCATCGCCGCGACGGCTACCTGTCGTCTCGCGGTAGAGGCGGGGACGTCCATCCCTCGCACGCGAAGAGTTGGAGTACTGTCGTGACGGCGGTCCTCGAGGCTCAGAGGCCGTACGAGTCGAGCCAATTCTCGATTTCTCCATGGACGGCATATTACCTCCCGTCCGCCCATTCGTGCCTGCACCACCGGGCCGATCCAATTGCAGCCTGGGCGGACGACCACCAGCCCCCGACCTGACCGACGCGGCACGCTGCGTCAACCCTCCAGAAGAACCACTAGCAGACGAACCCTTATCCGACTCTGGCGGTGGCGTAGGCGGAAACGTATTCCTGCCCAACGGTGGTTCGGATTGTTGTCGACTTCTGCTCGAGAGATTCTTTTGCACGAGATTCGTGGCGGCGTACGAAATATTCTCGGCTGGTCTATCGTCCTTTGCTGCTGTTTCGATGGCCATTGCTTTCTTGAGTTCTGAGCCCTGGAAGCCGATGAATGCATTGTTGCGGTCTGAGGCTGCTACCAGCCTTGCTTTGCCGAGGTAGTCTTTTGTCTTGAGATTCTTGACTTTGGCTTCATTGGGACGGTAGACGACACCGACGGGAATTGAAAATACAGTGTATCCCTGAATTAATTAGCGTTACGCCCATAAAAGAGGAAAGTGGGAAAGTACTTCAGCCTGCTCCCTAATCGCCTCGTCAATCACATCATGATCCGGCGTGACCTTTTCCTTGGACGCAAATTGCAGATCCTGCAAACCTGTATCTATCTGCTGCAGATAGATATAACTCAAGCCTCGATTGAATAATACCTCGCACGAAAATAAGCGAAACTTCAACCCGAGCTGCTCATAGTCTATCGATGTGTTTCCGCGGAGGTACAGGAGGGTATCGTTGAAATTGGCGAGCGCCTCCTCGAAATCGCCAAGCAGGAAATTGGAGACGCCTTGTTGGAAGTACGCTACGGCGAGGTAGTTGTCGAGCGCTATGGCACGTTGATAGCATTCCACCTGTTCTGCAAATTAGTTCTGTATTATCGCCGGTTTGACAGAGAGCGCACGCACCGCTTTCTCGTGTTCGCCCAATGTGGCATGGATAACGCCGCAATTGAACAAAATCTTGGATGTATCGGCGATATTGTCAAAGACGCGGAGAGATTCGTCGAATTCATTATTGTCGTAGTGAGCGAGTGCCTGCACCCATGTCTCGATTTCCTGTCTCGGTCAGTACGCTCAAACTCGCTCGCTGCTTACAAGGTGTTGTATAACATACCTGCTTCAACGACATAATGCCCTCTCACGCAAGATTAGAGAGTCGCAAAGATTAGGAGTACGTTCAACAATCAACAGAATCGGCAGCAAGGTAGTATTAATAAAGCAATGGCTGGGGAGGATGATTGGCGACGGCAACTTGAATAGTGCGGGGCTTCATGCACGATCCGAAAGTCGTCAACTTTGTGATGGATCCCAGCAGAAGATAGAATTAAAACAATTACTATGTATATCGAGTCAGACAAAAGAGCGAGTCGTGGGATCGTAGAGAACGAATGCAATCGACTGGACCAGCCAAGCCAACAAACTGTAGTCAGTTAGTACTGAGTAGTGGAAGCAGCCGAAAATAGAAGAGAGGACTACCAGAGTCAAGACTAAAGAGCGAAGAGACCTGACTATTAGACTAGAAGAGAAAATAGCATCAACCCACTAGGCAAAATCTACTGGCTACGAGGGGAAATAAGTATTAATGTGCCAGCCATTAGATAGCCCAATCTGTGATGCATGCTACTAATCTGTCGCAGGGACGGACGGGAGTGTCAATGCGTGCTTCATGCAGGATCTAGTCTGGTCTATTCTACTGTTTTGGCTTCTACTTAGCTGCTGTCTTATAAGTACATGTCAATTGATGTATGCTTCAGTTTTGCATTGGGTCAGCATTCTATCTTCCATCGCATCTCTATACAGCATATCTCAACTCAACTCAACTCAGCAACACTGACCGCTCAATCATAAGTCATCTGATCGTACACAAGTATTAATAGTAACTTTCCTGTAAATACTAAACCCCGACAATTGTATCCTCAAGCGCCGCTAAAGTAAGGTCGAGACCGCAATCAGCCAACCAGCGGCCCGAATCCCCTAATTTCTACAGCGGGCCCGAGTGCAATTAGCCCTAACAGGCCAATCATGCTCTATCGCCATCTGTATACTAAAGTAAGTATACTTCTCGAATGACGGGATGGTAGTACTCGACGTGAAGATGTATAAACTATTAATAACTCTAGAAATTCAGAAATAGAACATCACATAGCACTATTGACTGTTAGTGAGTGAATATGCGCGCCCATGTGTGATTGATCTTGCATGAGCAGGGAAACATACATAGTGGACATCAACGGCCGCGAGAAAAGAGGAGAGAAGATTCAAGAAACCTTGAAATGTCATATTTCAGTTTCCAACATTGATTCATCGACGATAATATGTGGTCATTGTATGAGATTGCGTCTGACACTACGTAGATTGTCGCTGTCTGCGGCGCTTCTGAAGCGAGGATTGTTTGAGGTTGCGTTTTGCAATTTTAGCCGATTGGTATGTGCCCAACCCTGTCTCTGGGACATAGTACTTATTTACGTACCGCGTCTACATAGTAGACGGTCATTGATTTGACCACTAGACTAGTACTTAGTAGTCGCTAAATATCAGACAACCGAAGAACGCTGACTTTCCGAGTCGGCTTTTGCCATGTGCGGGTTGCATGATCTATCGGATGCGGTCATCTTGCTTCATCTTATTTTAATGCTTACGGAGAAATCGAGGAGGCGGCACCGTCATACTCTTTGAATCTCTGACCCTATTGTGTTCACAGTCGGGACTGAATGAGAGGGCTAGGGCTAGTCATCTGTTTTGGGTTTGCTTCAACTCCCGAGATTGAGCTTCATATTGCGGCTCAGATGGAGACGAGATTGACTTCTGACATGACGGATCTCATCTGTCATCTTCATTCATTTCATTCACATGCTAGATGTTTTCAATTTGATTTGTTGCATGACGACAACAGATCGAGCTCTTCGATTACAGCATTCCCTTGGTAACCTGTTCCTTCCTCTCCTCCCACACATTCTTCCCCGAACACGAACAGACCATCTTCTCATTATCCCATACTCCTGCACTGCGCGCAATCACGCCCACAATCGTATCCGCATCCTCACTCTTAAACGGTCCTTCCGTATTCTTCGAAACCACCATGCTGCGTCCAATCAACTCCCAGATTGCAACTGGTTGATCAATCAACACATTCCCCTTGCCGTTGTCGCTGACGTTGACCACCCCAAATACGCCTCGAGGTTGTTCCTGCCCAAGTATTTTATTCTTAACAGCCTCCCATATCCCACCCGTTGACTCTGCGCCCTGCGATATATCTCCCGTCTCTCGCACTGTGGCCCAGTACCTGCCCGGCGAAAGCCCATTTATAGTAAGATCAACCAAAGTCTGCGACTTGCTGACCTGAATCATCCGCGCAAGACCGCGAATCTTCTCAGGCACGGTCGTGTTGTGCGTCTCGAGAATACACACGGCGGCGCTGTTGGAACCGCCGCTGCCGCGCAGGATTGCGTCGCGGCCGGTGCCCTGGATGGCGGCGACGATGGAGCTGGGTGCTGCGGTGCCTTCGACGAGAATGAGTTGATCTGCGAGGCGGGCTTCTACTTTGGTGATTCCTTGTATCACCCCATTCTGTCAGTACGTATACTTTCCCTGATGAGTGGCTGGAAAGTACCTGGTATTTTCTGTATGGATCCGGAGACGTCCTGCACGCAATGATCGCAGGTCATGGGGACCTGAAAGGTCGTCTGTAGAAGTTAGTAATGGCAACGATATGCAATGAGATAGACATGCCTGGAATGGTTCGATCATGTTGAATTATATTATAATAGATATGCGCTGGAAAGTATGCAATGCAAGATAGATTCAAAGAATTGAAAGAGGAAGCGTGAGCGTAGCTATTAGCTGTTATGGAGGGGTTGATTTGAAATCGATTGCGGCCTCGGCATGCGGTCATCGGAAAGAAGCCGACTAATTTTCTACGTGATCCGTCACATCACCCCAAGCTCCAGCCACACCAACCACACAACAACACCACCACCACCAGCAAAACAGAATGTCGTCAACATCGAGATGGGCAGCCGCCGACCCCGAGGAAGAGGCAGCCCTTGCCCAACGCAAACTCGAAAAGGAAGCCAAGAAACGCGCAAAAGCCGAGAGACAGCGACTGGAGGAACAACAACAGAAACAAGCAGCAGCAGCAGCAGCAATTGCGATAGCTCCCAATGGCGCATCAGAAGACGCACGACCGACGAAACGACGACGTCTATCCACCGACAGCGCTCCGACAGAAAAAGCAGAAACAATCGAAAGGAAACTGCTACGCTTCCCGAGCACGGAATGGTCGCCTTGTCGACACGTCGACAACTACGAACGTCTGAACCACATCGAAGAAGGCTCCTACGGCCTGGTATCGCGCGCTAAGGATTTGACTACTGGCGAAATCGTTGCACTCAAGAAATTAAAAATTGACAATGCGCCCGACGGGTTTCCCGTTACGGGACTGCGAGAAATACAGACCTTGCAGCGAGCACGACATATCAACGTCGTCAATCTACGCGAGATCGTCATGGGAAACAGTATGAACGAGTATGTCCCCCCTCTTCCATTTCGCGTCTTCATGAAAAGTTCAAGATACAAGATTATTAACCTATGTCCACAAAAACCTCCCTGCCGCACAAGGGAAGGGAGCTTTTTTGTTTTATTTATAGTGTCTACCTAGTCATGGATTTTCTCGAACACGATCTCAAAACCCTTCTTGACGACATGCAAGAACCCTTTTTACCGTCCGAAACCAAAACAATTCTGCAACAAATCCTTTCCGCCACCGAATTCCTGCATGCAAACTGGATCTTGCATCGCGACCTCAAAACCTCAAATTTACTGCTAAACAACCGCGGCGAAGTCAAACTCGCCGATTTCGGGATGGCGAGGTACTTTGGAGACCCGAAACCGACACATTTGACGCAATTAGTGGTTACGTTGTGGTATAGGGCGCCGGAGTTGTTGCTAGGTGCAGAGAGGTATGGAGCAGAAATTGATATGTGGAGTGTTGGATGCATATTTGGGGAGTTGCTGAAGAAGGAGCCGCTGTTTCAGGGGAGGAATGAGGTTGATCAGTTATCCAAGGTATACTCTCGCCTCTCTATTTTTCTTTTATATGAGAGTTGTTATAGGATCGTGGCTGATGTCAAACAGATATTCGCAATCACCGGACCACCAACGCAACAAATCTGGCCTAGTTTTCGGTCCCTACCAAACGCCAAATCCCTGCGTCTCCCTCCTTCATCCTCCTCATCAACATCATCCTCCGGAAAAGTCACAGTCCCTCTTCTCCCCCGCTCCCAATTCTCATACCTCTCAAACGCAGGCCTGAGTCTGCTCTCTTCTCTTCTAGCACTAAACCCATCTTCTCGTCCCACAGCAGCAGAGTGTCTTCGACACGCTTATTTCCGAGAAGACCCAAGACCAAAGGCCAAAGAAATGTTCCCCACGTTCCCGTCAAAGGCGGGTCAGGAAAGAAGACGGAAAAGGGCGACGCCGGAGGCACCGAGGTATGGTGACGAGGCGCCCAAGTTGGATTTTGCGGACGTTTTTGGTGGCGCGACTTCTACTGAAGGGAAGGAGGCTGGGGCTGGGTTCACGCTTAGGTTGGGATGATCCTGACGTCAAAGGGACGGTCATGTTGAGAGACTATGTATACAATGGAATACTATACAGTTCAACGGCGTAAAGAAAGACGCACCATAACCCATAACACAGAAGCAAAGAAAAAATCAACAAAAAGATATCGGCGAAGCCAATGAATACGAAGGACTCGTAATCCTCGACCCAGCCGGACTTTTGATGGAATACTTATCCTTCCGACTCAACAAACTCCCCGACATTGACCTCATCGCATGACTCTGTGATGAGAACGAGCGCACCGAATCTGGACTGCATGCACCACTCGCCAAAAGCGACGTGGGGGACGACAAGCCTGAATCTGCCGTCGCTGCTCGCGTAACACCGAGTGCGTCCAGGTTCGATTGCGAATAGAACCTACTCTTGGCCCCTGAGAGAGCGCTACTCGACGCTGTAGCACCAGCAGAAGGAGCAGCAGCCAATGTAGCCGAAATACTTCGATACCTATCAACCGAACCCGAACTGAAATACCGCTGCGAACCTCGACTGAGTGACGCGTCACTCGTATCCAGCGCTGGAAGTAGAACGGTCGGACCGAATGGTCTAAACGGGGAGAAAGTGTCGCTTTGTCGAGATATGTCGAGGTACAATCGTGGCGGCGTGTTTTTGTCGTGAAAGAGGCCAAAGTCGCCTCTCATGCGTTGCATGCTGAAACCGAATTCGGGGTCGACTTCGGCGGTTGTTTCAGATAATGAAGGTTGTTTAGTGTCAACGGGGGTGCTGTCAGTGTATGATGCTAGTGGAGATGGGAGTGTGGCACAGGATGAGGAGGTGCATGAGAGTAGACTTGTTGGGCTTGTTGGGGCGACCGGGATCAGGTCTTTGCGTCGAGTGGTCTTTTTGAATCTATTGGTCCAGGTCTTTAGTCTCGAGTGCTTATCGGATTGGTCGAGTATGTCGTCTGAAATGGCTGTCGATGATTGGGACATCTTATTTGTTCTATGAGATATTAGTCCAGTTGAAGTAATTTCATGAGATGCATATACCCCGACTCGCTGATTGTCTGGTATCTCTCCCCGTACCACGAGACAGCGGACTTTGACCCTCTTAACCGACTCGCAACCTTTCTGAATAGTTTGGCCATGCTGAAGCGTAAGAATAGTCTGTAACTTTGCGTGGACAGCTGTCTATAATGTCATGTACGACATACTTGATAAGGAACGTGACGGACGGGTGGGGGGAGAGGTCCATCTTGAGGGCAAGCTTAGCTACTCGTTGTCATTGTCGAGGTTGATGTCAACGAAGCAGGAGCGACTGAGTATCCGAATAGGGAAGTCGCGACTGCCTTCTAGACATGGTTCTGCACAAATCACATGCCATGGGCTCTGTTCATCATGAATCTACGTCACTACCGATTTCATCTCCTGCATCTATGAATGTAGAATAAAGATGTGTCGTGAGGTCGAGGACACATTGAATATTCCATGTGCTAACACATGCATGTGTATACATCACAATTGATCGTATGTTCCACCATTCGTGCTCGGTGGGACAGGCATAATGGAAGCGGTCGATGCTCGTTTCTCGAGACACTCGGTCGGTCTTCATCATGAAACATAATACATAATAGAGTCGGTATAGCACAAATATGAGAGAAACATGCTGACTGTCGCATTTGCTTACGTAGTATGGAGGATGAACATAAACAGACCCATCGTCACATCTAATTTCCCATCGTCTGCATAGTATGGAGTCTATGGAGTGGTGTTTCAGTAGTGCCGTCCGATTACCGTCTTATTATCCAATCATGGCGCGTTTTTATTTTTTTGTTATCGGTGGGGGGCTCCACTCAGAATCGTTTCCACAGTTCCACCTGCTGATAGTGGGTCTCTAATATTCTGATTGGCTGGAATTGTGTATCGATCAAGCTTCGTGCCTTGCCTGATGGAGACTAGTCAGGGCACTCAGTGTCTGATTGGCTGTTTACACCTCTACAATGGGGCAGGATTTGCGCTATCTCGTCTCTGCCAGGTTATCTCGTCGCACAGACTGCCCAGATCGAGTCTTCTCTGTATCCGTACATACGTACGATCAGTCGTGGTGGCTACGTGGCTGGGTAGCCAGAACTATGGATACTCCATACGCACACGTACCACGATGCATCATACGGCGCGGCCAATGTCCCTGTACAGAACAATGCCGATACACATGCAAAGAAAAAAAAACAATGGTCCTGCCGATCGCCAGCCCACCGGCATTTCCCAGCCAGATGGCCCAGATCTGCCCATCACATATTTAAGAGCTAGTCTAGTCACTCTAGTCCCTTGCTGGTCTAATTTCTGTACACTGTCGCGATTTCAATTCTTTCTTGACATCTTAACTCCTCCAATGCTCAACATCTAGCACAGAATGCGAACTGGCTTGTGTATAGGCGCAGGCCTAGCTGCAATCACCCACGTGCATGCCTTGGCACCGCGCACCCAGGTTGCCGACGAGTACGATTTTGTCGTGGTGGGCGGAGGTCAAGCTGGTCTCGTGCTCGGAGCTCGTCTGTCAGAAATTGCGAACTACACCGTCCTCGTGCTGGAGGCAGGGACCAATGGGGATGAGTATCGAGAGCGCATAGGTATGTTGAAATTTTTGTTCGATGCCATGTGCGACGCGCTGACTCTCCAGATACTCCCGCATACTCTTACTACGAGTCGCTATGGACGACACCGATGAATTGGGCATACTACACCGTCCCCCAAACCAATGCCGACAATCGCGAGGTGGAATGGCCCCGTGGGAAAGGACTCGGAGGTATGCACCTTTGGAAACCAAAGAATGGGCAGATTTAACCAAAAACAGGCAGCTCTGCTATCAATGGATTGTACCTGACGCGCCCCGGTAAAGACGAGATCAATGCGTGGAAAGACCTGCTAGGAGACATGGACGGCGCAGACAATTGGTCGTGGGATTCGTTCTACGCTGCAATGAAGAAGAGTGAAACGTTTACTCCTCCTTCGGATGCAATTGCAGCCGAAGGAAATATCACGTGGGATCTGTCTACTCGTGGTACCCAGGGACCGATCCATGCATCGTATCCTGGATAGTAAGTTCATTCTCTATTCGCATGTCGATTCAAACTAATTGTGTAGTACATTCCCCCAAGTCGGCGAATGGATAGAGTCCCTGGAGGCTATGGGCATTGCTCAGTCCAACGAAATGTATGGTGGTGATGTTTACGGCGGGGAGGTCTCGACCTCGACCATCAACCCTACAAATTGGACGCGCTCGTACAGTCGGACAGGGTATCTCGATCCCCTCGCAGACAATGGCAACTATGATGTCGTGGCCGATGCTTTCGTCATGCGCATTCTGTTCGACAGTTCGTCTCCTTCGGACAATCTGACGGCAAACGGTGTTCAGTATACTCTTGATAGCGGCAAGACGAATTGCACAGTCAAAGTCAACAAGGAGGTTATTCTGGCCGCTGGTACAATTGGCAGTCCTGCGGTGCTGCTTCACAGCGGTGTCGGCCCGAAGGATGTTCTTTCAGATGCCGGAGTTGACTTGGTGTCTGAACTTCCTGGTGTGGGTCAACATGTTCAAGATCATTTCGTAAGTGCTCTCTCTCCCCTTTTCTGATAGCAGGCATTTAACGTGAATAGAGCGCCACTATCAAATGGAACACGAGCGTTGTGACTTCTGGGTCGATCTTCTATCAGAATTTATCTGAAAAGGTTCGTCATCGTCCTACCTAACAAACTAGACGAGCTGACCATCCTAGAATGATACTCTCTACCTCTCCTACATCGACTCAGCCATTGCCTACGTCAACTCCACGCTGATGTACGGTGACAATCTGAACTCATTGCAAAAGAACATCACCACCCAAATAAACTCATACACCCTAAACACAACATATGATGCAGGTGTCATTGCAGGATACAAAGCAATAGCCAACATGACGGCAACCACGATTCTCGAGAGTTCTATCGGCCAGATTGAGCTTCTATTCATGAACAGCGATTCAAATGGTGATATCGGCATCACTGCTGCCCTTCAACATCCTTATAGCCATGGCCGCATATACATCAACTCTTCAAATCCGTTGGACTATCCTGTGATTGACCCGAATTACATGTCATTTTCTGCCGGTATGTCTTCTATGTCTTCTCCAGGTATACAATTTCACCAACTAACGTATTAGATTATGAAATCCTCCGTGACGGCCTCAAACTTGCTCGTCAACTCGGCAACACTGAGCCTCTAAGCGGCTGTCTCACAGCAGAGACGTCGCCCGGCTCCAATGTGACAAGCGACGACGATTGGCTTGATTGGATCCGCTCAGCAGCCAGCTCTGAATTCCATCCTTCATCGTCCTGCGCCATGCTTCCCCAAAGTCAAGGTGGTGTAGTCGACGCTAACCTCCGCGTATACGGTCTTGCCAATGTCCGCGTCGCAGATGCCAGCGTTGTCCCGATTGCATTATCGACGCATCTCATGGCGTCGACGTACGGAGTCGCAGAACAAGCGGGTAACATCATCCGTGCGTACTACACGAACACGACTACGACGGGCACTTCTGACCCTGGCTCTACGGCTTCGGCGACAAGTACGGCGTTGAGCGCTCATGCGACTACTAGTTCTGTCACCACTCAGACAGCGCCTTCTGGTGGTATCCAGACCGTATCTGTGTCTGCTTGGACTGTTATCTTCGTCGCAGCTGTTACCATCTTCATCTCTTTTTGAGGTTTGAACATTTCGTGTGACTTTCCATTTCAGTTCACATAGTCTTTTTTCACATATCAACTTTAATGATCCCGCCACTTACCTCCAACACCACCAGCAGCAGCATGGTCAATAAAACACCCGCGACTTCATGATGTTTATATCTTTTCACTATACCTACGGCGTTTCTTGTTCATATGGAGTTTGCGACATACAGGGGAGACATATACCCAGCAAGGCAGGCAGGCAGGCAGGCAGGCAGGACAGGTTCTGGAAAGATTCGATATACCAATGTTTTTTTATTCGATTTTGTTTCTTGTATAGTCGGGTCGGTCACCTGGTGGGGTAGATAGTTTTTCGTATATTTTAGATATCTACAGATGAAATAACACTTCAGAATGCACATATTCTTCCTGCTACGCCGAGCTCTTACGTGTTTTTTAGATCGTCAGTACCGAGATTGGCATCTGTTTCTCTTTAAAAAATAGTCAGCGCGAGGATTCTAGAGTAATTCTGGTATTACATGAAAAGGACGTTGTCGTATGTAGCTGTCGGCGGACCACTGTTAGGTGATCAGACCCCCCGGCCCCATACCTCCAGGCTTCCATGCGGCATGCCCTAACTTTAAATCAACCTCCCCAAACAATCCATGCACCAAACCACCAAACCCATCCCATCCCATTCCATTTCACAAAAATGAGTACCACTCCATCTGGCCACCCCATCCCGATCCACACAATAAACCTGTCTCTCCCCCCCCTCGAACGCTATGTCACCCTTTCTACCTTGTATGCATCCCGCATGCGCGCCATGCTACCCATATTCGACGACCTCATCAACTCCTTATCACCACACATTCCCTTGCGTCTAGTACACACTCTTGCGCGTCTGGCGTTGAGGGGGTTATGGTCAAAGGAAGAAACGGATGAGATTCGCGGCATTGCGCGCGCGGCGGGCGTAGAGGTTTATTTTCTTGTGTGCTTGAATACGGTGTTGGATTTGTTGATGGGGTGTACTAGTGGGGGTATCCTTACCAAGCCCAGGTCGGCTAGGTCTGATGGTGATGGGGGAGAGAGGGGAATGGTGCATTTCAGGACGCTGGATTGGACGATGGATCCGCTGAGGGACTTGATTGTGCAGCTCGATTTTGTGCGTGATCCAGTCAATGGAGATGGCGAAAGAGGGGAAGTGCTGGCGTCCAGCGTCACGTACGTCGGCTTCGTGGGCGTTCTGACCGGTGTACGACGCGGCCTGAGCGCATCGCTGAATTTTCGACCTGTGCATAATAAGCAGCCAGGATTCGGAGGCGATGTGGCATTTTATGTTAATCATCTGCTTGTGTTGCTGGGGTGGCGACAGTCGATTGCGTCGTTGATGCGGGAGTGCCTTTTCACTCCTTTCCAGTCTTCATCTGCAACAGAAAATAAAGATATATCGGATTTGAGGAACATACAGCGGAATATTCCAAGTGTGCCTACGACAGCTGCATATCTCATCTTCAGCGATGGCGAGACTACGCTAGCCATGGAAAAGGATTACAAGACTGCCGTCGTACGGTCGTCGGAGTCGTTTATTGCTACTACGAATCATGATCAACCACCTTCATCTGATACGGATGGAATCAGAAAAGAAAAGAAGATGGGGAATCATATAGGTCTGAGCCTGATTTCCTCCGATGTACAATCCATCCAAGATTTGATCGAGGAGAGTACGGAGCGATATGAGTGTATACAAGCGCGATGGGATGAGAAGGTTCGTCGACACAATAAACAACAATCAAGAAATGCGGAGCAGGTACAAAGAGGGACACGGTCGTCGGTACGTCTACGGCAGAAACGGGAGGAAAGTGCGGAGTTAGCGATTACACGAGAAGAAGCGATTGAGTGGCTCACGATGTATCCGGTGCTGAATGAGTCGACGCATTATGCTTGTTTGATGGATGCGAAGAAGGGGGAGGTGGTTTGGGGTAGGAAGTATGATGCTAGTGAATGGGAGTAGCCGTGAGACTTCCAGTTTGAATATGGTCATTATATGTCTATGCGAACACACCAGCACATACAGATTATAAGTGCAATGATCACCATCCGGAGATATCTTGATGTGCTCTTTTCCGACCAACACCTCCATCTCGAAGTTCAATATGGTTGATTTGGCACCTCTCATGCATCGACATTATCATAATACCATCTATATTGCCTAATTTTGGATTTTCTTAGTGAAGGTCAGGTGCGGTCTTTCACTGTAAGTACTTACGTACACCATACACTATGATCAAGTGGAGTCGCATGTGGCCCTACTATACAGCCATAAAGGCGTATAAAGGGCATACTCAAAAATTTCAGTTGAATAACAAGACTCAGCCAACAGTCTACATTGGTGACTAGACTCCAGGCGAGTTTTCAAGGGGAGAGAAAGTAGTAAGTAGCAAAATGAGGATCCCGGTGGACAGGAAGATATTCTAACCACATAATCCCTTACTGTAAGAGTGAAGCATACTTGTAGATTGATATCTAGTTAAAAGAAAATGAAAACCAAGGACTTATGACATTATGCTGAAAAAGATTGCTACTCACACAGATTGACCATGATGTATACGCCTGGGTGATCGCCCCAGATGAATCTTCTCAAAACTCATTTACCTGCGTGTTCTTGCAGCCTGGACAAGTCCACCTGCTGCTTTGATGTGTTTGTCTATTTTTACAGTATAAGCATCGGTACCTTCCCGTGCCGAAGAATCCTTTTCTTTTGCACTTTGGCAATCTTTTTGGCGTCAGTGTCTCTAGTTCCTTGCTCTCAGCCTCCAAACGTGCAATTTTGTGTGCGGTCTCTTCTATCTCAGCCCTAATTTTTTCCTCCAGCTCCTGGTCTCCTACTGTTTGTCAGCCTGATCCCCCTTTTTTTCGGCATCGAGAAGAGAGTTTCTTACGCTGATTTTGCGCCTCTTTCAATTCCTTCATTTCCAAGCGGTGTTCCTCTTTTAGCTTCTGCTCCAGTCCTTCTAGCTCATCTCTGATCTCGATTCCTGCCTCTGTCTGAAATAGAATCTTCCCATCACGCAGCTCCTCTTGGATTCGAGTCGGCGTTGGCCTATTATTCAACATTGACTTGACCAACGCACGAGCATCATCCGCCCTTCCCGTCATTACCCTTCTGACCGTAGAACCATAGCCGATCATCTCCTTCCAAAACTTCTGTTTTAGCTCCCCCTCGCGTCTTGCCCCCTCTTCTTCACTCACTTTCTCCCACATCGTCGTCGCCAAAACCACATTCACCAACGACCCTTCTCCGCACAGCTTTTTCATGATGCGCAGATTCTTGAGGCTGGGACCTTCCATGCGGAAATCGGTGACGCGATGCAGATAGATGATTCCAGACAGTAAGAGACCCTCGTCGTAGGTTTCCTCCATCCATGCAGCGATACGTCGAAGAATTTCGGTGTCGCTTAGTTTTGTGTTGCTAAAGCCGGGGGTGTCGACGAGGACTACACTTTTGCCATTTATGCGGCATGGGACGGCGAGGACGTCTTCGGTGCCTTGTCACAATATTAATGGCTATTTCTAATGATAAGATGACGAGAACCGTACAAGATGCAAGATTGTGGCCGACTTGGAGATTTTCCCCAGTCACGGCTTTGATTAGGGAAGTCTTCCCAGTACCGGTTTGCCCGAAGACTGCTATCACGATAGGCGGCGATTTGTCTTGCACGGTATCATTGTCGTCACTTGAGTTGAGATACTCGAGAATATGCGTCCAGTCGGTCGTAGGAGAAGATTCTATATCTTCGTATCCAGAATCTCGTCGCGGGACTGAGGGGTTGTTTGTATTAGACTCATGGGTCGCTTTGGTGCGTGGAATATAAGGTGGCGGTACTTCATCTATAGAAAGAAGAGCTTCGTAATATTCATAGAATCCGTCATGGACAGGAGTGAAGTGAGGGCTTTCTTCGAATGGGATAGAAGCGTCGAGTCCATGGATGGCTGGATCAGGGCTATCCCATGAGTCATTCCAGGCTCCAGGTATTGAGGTATTTTGGGGCATTTCGCTATACTTCAAATCAAGAACGGTAATATCAAAATAAAAGCAGGAGAGAAACAGGATTCTTACCGCCAGTGGTAGCGGCAGACTTTATAAGCTGCATGGTGGGTAAGTATCTCAGCCTCGTACTCACTTGAACATGACTGTATATGATGCTCGTTCCACGAATCCCGAGTAGGTTACAAACCCTTCGGTATACAGACTACAGGTTTGAGCCATAAGCTGGCTGCACCACCAAGTACTTGCTGATAATTAGACTACATACAACTAGGATAAGTAGCCTGACCGACGTTGATCCATTGAGTATTCATCTTTTCCTTGAAGATACGGCATCATACATTCACTAATGACCATTCGCGCGGCGTGTTAGACTTGGATTCTATTTCTGGTACCTGTGAACCCTAATGACTGTTTCCATTAGTTTACGCTGCCTAGTATTGCTGATTCCTACTTGGTTGTACATTCCTGCATAATGAATATCTGCGGACTTGTACGACAGCATACTGACCTTGAATCATACCTTGATAGGTAGAAAGTGAGATTTGTCCTACTGGCGACATGTAGTGTGAGGCTCATAAACAAAAATCTCCGAATGCCATATCCAACAGGGCCTAGACATGTCTTGTTCCATCATGCGTGGCTTTCAAGGCCTATAATCTTGGTTCTTCGCGAGTCTACTAGATATTTCAGCATTCAAATCAATAGGTGAACGCTCATTGACTGATTATGAGGTATATAGAAAGGTTTGGAATGGATGAGAACCTCATATGTGAAGGCCTTACAGAGTAGAGTTTCAGCGTCTTGTGCATGCGGCAGGTCTGGCCGCAATACTATGACAGACTTCGGATTTACGCGTGTGGGACATCAAGTTCTCAAAGAAACCGGCTTACCTGAGCGTCCTTGCAGCTTTATGAAACAGTGGTATGCGTGATCAGGTTGGATAGTTACATCTCCGAGTTTTGTCACCCACATGATTTACACTATAAACACAAACATTCCTCACTATGTTAACTCAACCTCATTTAACCTCCTCTTTTTCCTCTCCTTCACAGTAATCTTCTATCTAAGCCAACAGACTAATTTTTGGTTCCTACCACAGGATCCGCAACCGCACAATCTAGAATCCCGCATTTAGTCCAACGTAGGTAGCAGAACCCACCTGACTCCCAACTATCAACCTCAGCCATTTCAACGTTGCAGCAGAAGTCAATAGGGTTAAAATGGTTAAATAACTCAAGCACACGCATAAACCTATTTGATGGCGTTATGAGCGGTGGCTGGGAAGAATTGCTAAACCCAGAGTTGAATGATCCTGGGTGTATTTGATCAAAATACGCAGGACTGATAATGACACCAGTCCAAATAAAGGAGCACTCATAATTCACATGTGGTACTCAACCTGACATATTCCGAATCACCAGCTTGTGATTCATCCCTCTAAATTCTTAAAGCGTGGCAAATTCCATAAATGCTCCGCCAAATCTGACTCCCATGATCTCCAGACATGCGGGTTTGGAAGGGGAAAACAACGCTTGTGAACTTGGAGTAGACGGTATCCAAAAGTCCAGGTTGTCGTCTGGTTGTCGGTAATGAGTCGCTAGATAGAGATCTCTTGTAATGAGACCAAATTAACTTTCTTGCCACTCATGTTCCTCCAAGATGGCTTTCATGCAAGCTGCAGCAGTAGCAGCAGCATAGTCTTGCCAGTGCTTGTTCTTATGACTATCCGCGTAATCACACACGCCTTTGATAACAAGGCATGGCAGATTGCCACAAACCCCTGAAGCTTCCATCTCAAAAGCGATAAGATTGTGCTGGGCCGCAGTCTCATTACGATGCTGTCCAGACTTCATAACTGTGTCCCCAGACCCGACAAGCCCGAAGTGGATTTTCGGATTTGGCGAGCTGCGCTTTGCAGCTGCCTCCACCAGTCGTTGGCGAGGGACCAACGAGCCCTTCTGGCATCCAAGCTCCTGACACGTTAGTTTTCGTGCCTCTTCACATACTGGATCCGTCTTGCCTTCACAAGCACCGCATGTTGTACATGATGCTGGATCTTGGTGCTTGTGCCGGTATGTGGATTGGAACAGTTCATCCTTGTCGATCCCTGGATAGTAAGATCTTTTGAGCCCTGGCTTTATCTGCAAGATTTTGAGATTTTGGGAAAGCTTCGTTTCAACACGTTCTCGCACTCGCAACCCCTTAAGTTTGGCTAACATCCCTTGAATTTTTCGATTAGGTTGATAGGGTCCTGCCCTGGTCAAAAACGTATCCGAAAGCTGCCTACCAAGGTCGTACTGCACAATTCCATCACTGATCACCACATCGCCAAGGATCAGGTCGTCGTTCGGAACTCCCCCACAAACCCCAACCACAAGCCCGAGCTTGACCTCCGGATAGCTGGACCGTACACTCGAAGCCGCTTGGGACGCAGCGCCTTTTCCCATGTCCGCCATGTGAACGAGAACTACGTTGTGATGCTGGATTTTACCCAGAGTGTACGTATTTTCGTCTCCGATTGCTTTTCCGTAGTTCTCCCCTTCTTCACCCCAAATCTCCTCGAAAAGTTCCCTGACGGCGTCCGCTTCCAGGGGTAACGCACAAAAAATGGCGACATTGAATTGGGTTCGGTTGGCCGGTTTGATACGGGCGTTGTGATCGTCGGTCCGAAAGATGTTGGAAGAGATGGGGATATCCGACCCAGGAATCTCTTCAATTTCCCAGTCATCTTTATACGCGTGATATAGCCCCCGAAGGGGCAGTACAACTTTCTCATAAAGAAGTGACTGTCTGATCTCAAGACCCTTTTCAGGTTTGGACTGGTCAATGGAACACTCTCCGAAAATTTCGGGGTCGAGACAGTTGTTCACTACCGCATTATAAGCGGCGCCAATTGTGTTTCCCAAGTCACTGCAGCTTGCTGTAGTCCAAGCCCACTCGTAGTACTCGTTGATTGTGGTTTCATCCCAGAGGTAATGGGGGCTGTCAGGTCTGAGCGGCTTCTTGGCTGCAATTTCAACGAGAATAACTCCCAACGCTAGGACGTTAGGATACATGTGGAAAAGGTCATCCGCAATGCAGTAGTCCAGTATTTGCTGCTTGTATTTATCCAATTTCGTGGTAAAATACGGATGAGGCCGGATTTGTTTCCGATCACTGATATTTTCCTTCAGCATTTGGATATTCTCATGAGTCCATGGGCTCACCATCCAATAGGAATTATAGTACTGCCACACTGATCTCGCGATAGTATATGCTAGCGTAACTTTTACCCTGTTTGAGAGATGTACTGTCTGTTCCAGCCATTCTGCGAGAGAGATACCTGCTTGGGGAAGAAAATCCCGCCAGATATTCCCTTGAACGGTGTCGTTGAACTTCATCACATTGTTTTGGATATAAAAGTGGATAGGTTTATTCTTCTCACTACCGATCAGCCTGCAGAATCCCTCAGTTTCGACTTTCCGGAGGCCGTTTGGTAAAAGAGACTTGCTCTGCGTCGTAGGCGATGGACTCGAAGATTGGATCGTAAATGAGACTTGTTTCTTCCGAGATGGTTCGTTATGTCTACACACTCATTAACAACAGAACATTAACTAACTTCACCCGTTTCTAGAATTTTTCAACCTGCCTATACCTAGCAACTGATATCTTCGCCTCTCTCCACCGGTACTGACAATTGGTTGTATGATAAGATGTAGTGCTTGCCGCAAACAACAGCTCAAACGGGATAGTCTCGTCGTCGCGGGTATCATGTTCAGAATTCAATCGCAGCCGCGCGTAATCCAGATGTTGTGTGCTACATGAGCAGGTCGAGTACATTCGGAGTTGGGTATAAAGTGTATTGTTGACTTGGGTGGGGTAGCTAGTGTCCTTAGAAAAAAGTCGTATCTGCTCATCAGAAGTGGTATCTGGTGAATCCATTGCGCGCTGGCAATCAGTGATAAAATGTAGGAGGGAAGTATACTCAAGGTTCTGCTGGACGAATTGTGTTAGGCTGCGTCGAATATCGCGAACAAGAATTTCCTCGGCGGGCTTGTCTTCCATGCACTCTAGTATCCTCTGAAGCGCACCAAGCAGCTTATTTCCTCTAACATGTTTATTTCTCGAGATCTGGGCAGTGATCTGTTCAAATTGTAAGTTTTAGTGCATTTTGGCGGATCTTGCAAACTGGTCAATCGCTCACTCACAGAACAAGCTTTGTTAACAAGCTCTGCAACCTTGAAAAGCTTGGAATTTATCCCTGCCTGGTCTGAGTAGGGGATTTGATTAGCCAGGATGAAGAGTTCGCCGCCGAGATGAGCGAATCTGTTATCCTGCGTATCCCGGCCAAGAAGCGTTGCCAGTTTGCCGACCCAGGGGAAAACATCCCGACAGAGATCAAGAATGTTCTCCATTTGGACGAAGCCTTATGCTTTACATCTAGTTGCGAGATTTCCTCTATAACCACTTAAAGAAGGTGAAGAGCGAAAGTGAAGTTGGACCAGAGCGAAGGCACTGCAGCCTCGTGCTAACTGCGGGGTACATGCATACATGGTCAGCTCGTTGATAATTGGCATGGGATGATAAAGTCTCAGGGAATTTTGGAATTCTGATGATAGCCGCTAAAACCCTTAGCACCGATACATTGGTGCTTTCAAGATGTCAGAATCTTGTACAATCTTCAACGCCGCCATCGCATGTCGCAGCATATTTAGGAAGGCCCTGACAGTTTCACGGCTGACACAGCAAGAATGGGCTGAAAATAGATTGGCGGAATTTAATCTTTGGGCCGCTGGAGCAGGTGCCTATGCAACAGAGAAAGCCTCAATGGATCATCGATTACGAGGCAATCAAGATGCGCACACTATCCTGGTCAATCTCTTGTTCATGTTGGAAATTCTGGTCCAAAAGTGTATAGAGGAAGCTCATCAAGCAGATGACAGCATCCCGGCGCTATCTATAGTGGAATCGAACAGAATGAAGGAGGTGGAGGATAGTTTGAATCAACTAACAAGGCTGACAACTGCGATCCGAAAAGCCGGAACCCGATCTCGACTTCAAAAGGCGGACAGCTCATTCGATCCTAATGATCCCCGAATTCTTTCCCTGCGCGAACACCTTAAATGTATTGTCTTGGTATATCCCGAGGAGCACGGAAGTCTAGATTCAAAATCGATTAAAAAGCAACTAAATCCAGCACGATTGACTCCAATTCAATTACGATTGATTGATGCCAACCTGAGGCGAAGAAATCGCTTTCTATACGGGCAGCAACATGCTCAAAAACTAGGAAGTAGTTCTGAAACCCCGGAGAACATGCCAAGTGGGACATTCACGTTGATAAAGCAGGTGCCAAGTACGGATGTTGGCGAGGCGGCTACCCTTTCACAAGAGGAGAAGATAGTTACGAAGGATAGCCGACAAGTTCGGAGTACGACAACTGCCACCCTGGTAGACGAGCCGATTGTGATTCCGCTAAAGGCGGTAGTCAGGTCCACAACAACAGTCGTATCGGTAACAAGCTCTCGGATATCTTACCCAAGGCCTCCACCTATTAAAGATAATCAAGGGCTTTTCACATGTCCTTGTTGTTGTCTATCCCTCCCTATAGCGATAGTTCGTGGAAATCAATGGAAGTAAGTCCGTCTTCCCAAAAAGCATGACTTGATCTAAATTCTTTGGTTGGCTGGACAGAAAGCACCTGGCGGGAGATATTTTACCGTACACATGTATTCTCGAGAATTGTCCCCAACCCGACAAATTCTACATGACAAAAGAGGCCTGGCTAAGCCATATGGATGACGAACATGAAGGCAGGGAGCAATGGGTATGCCATGTATGCTCGCAGAAAAACATATATGCCACATTCAGGGAGTCAAGTGATTTGACTGCGCATATTGAACAAGACCACAGCAAAGGAATCAAACCACAGCAGATACCCATGTTACTCTCGGCATGGCGGCGCAAAATTCCTCTCGAGATTTCCACTTGTCCACTTTGCCGATTCGAGGGCGATAATCAAAACGCCGTGCTCGACCACATTGCTGGGCATATTCACTCGTTTTCGCTGAGATCACTGCCATGGGCTCCGAGAGAAGGCTTTGAAGAAGAAAAAGATGAAGAAGAATACGGAACATATTTTAAACAACATCCATATTTTGACATCCATAGTTCACGGTCGGAGCTTTCGTCGAATTCACCTGGAATGTCATCCGTGGTCACGGGAACGGGAAGCTTTGCCGGCGATGATTCCGAGAACCCAGCTGAGTCTCCCCGCCAGCAGCAAGCAGAACTAACAGAAGATATTCTTGATCAAGTATCGTATGGTGTATCAGGACAAGTAAATACAAGCGATTGGCTGGCGGGGCTCAGTAATGACCCAGAGAACCCGAATCCCTCGCTGGGAAACGTACTGGCCGATTGGAACGTTGATGATCTTCCATCCCTGTATAAACGGGTGGATGCCGACTGGTTCGCTGTCTTCAACCCTGAAGTTCAGCGCGTCTTGGACGTTGAGCTGGTCCATCACCTTGTGCACGATAGCGTTGTCTGTTGTGTGCGATTCAGCTGGGATGGCAAATACGTTGCGACGGGATGCCACAAATCTGCTCAGATCTTTGACGTGGCTACTGGCCAGAATGTAGCGACGTTTCGACACGAATCTGTTGATAAGGATGTCGATATGTACGTCCGTGGTGTCTGCTTCAGCCCTTACGGAGACTATCTTGCTACTGGCTCAGAGGATCATCAGATTAGGGTGAGGTGATCTAAGTTCATACTGTGAAGCAGTGTGCATTTCTAACATCACACGTAGGTTTGGGATATCGCAACCCGTTCTATCAAGCATGTTTTCACCGATCACGAAAACGATATCTACTCGCTCGACTTCGCTAGCAATGGTCGTTACATTATTTCTGGCAGTAGTGATAAGACAGTACGTCTTTGGGACGTCTTGAGGGGCAAGCTCGTCTACACTCTCAGCACTGAAGATGGTATCGCTACAGTTGCTATATCTCCAGATGGTAACTATATAGCAGCTGGCTCTCTCGACAAGAGCATTCGTGTCTGGGATACAGCTACTGGTCACATCGTTGAACGCCTAGAAAGCCCTAATGGCCATAAGGACAGTGTATATTCCGTTGCATTTGCACCCAACGGTCGCGATCTTATTAGTGGTAGTCTGGACAAGACTATCAAGATGTGGGAGCTCACAGCACCCCGAGGCATGCTCCCCGGAACCGGTGTCAAGGGTGGCAAGTGTGTTCAAACTTTTGAAGGCCACAAAGTATGAAATTCGCTATAAGAACATGCTGAGCTTTGCTAATTTGGTTAGAACTTTGTATTAAGTGTTCGTTTTACGCCTGATGGGCGCTGGATAATAAGTGGCTCCAAAGACTGTGGCGTTCAGTTCTGGGACGCGACCACGGGAAACGTCCACATGAGGCTTGTGGGCCACAAAAACTCTGGTGAGTGCTCTTGATGCGTGTTTCCCCAATGGATAATGGGAACTGATCATTTGAGATAGTTATCTCCGTCGCGTCGAGCCCAACGAATAACCTTTTTGCCACTGGTAGTGGTGACATGCGTGCCAGAATCTGGAGGTTAGTATATCGGAAAAGGACGCTGGGCGGTGCTAACCATTGATGCAGATACTCTACCAAAAATACTTAATTGTATTGAGCCTGGATACAGTTCAGGCAATGGAGGTTTTCTACACTAGCACCAAAAATGGGAAGGAGACAATATGGGCAGGAAAATCGTTATAATATTGGGCTGTCCTTCTGTCACATATGCGAATCCCATAAAAATGACTGATTGCAATTCTTTCAATCTGTGTGTCGAAATAACTGAAATTAGCCCGGTTTCAAGACCTCAATTGCGCTTCAAATAACGTGTCAAATAGATTCAGTCGCTTTTCCATAGTGTGGAGGATCACGTCACTCAAGCTCTAGGAGTTGACTAGCTTTCTAGCGCGTTTGCTACTATAAATTATAGATAGCTAACATCTCTTGAAGCTGAAAGTCGGTCAACTACAAAAATCACACATGAACGGTCTCTCCCTCTTGATCTCCCAGCACATATTCGCCAAAACGTCTACTATCGACCCCCTTCTCAAACAGAATATCCAATTCCTCAAACGTCCTTCCCCTCGTCTCCGGCAAACATAGCCAACACCATGCACTACACATAGTCGCAATCCCTGCAAAGAGGAATCCCACCTTCCCCCTCCAATTGCCCTGGTCTTGGTCAATCGCATACGGGATGCTTACCCCGAAGATGATATTCCAGATGTGGCAGCTCACCGTCGCAAGTCCGATTGTCATTCCGCGTAATTGCACAGACGGGATTTCGGTTAGGATAGTGAAGCATGCCGGCCCGATTGTTATGTCGTAGGTAAACAGACAGACCAGGATTAGAGAGCATTGTGCCCAGATGGGTGCTGTATTGTCTGAGCTCGAGCGGGCTTGCGGAATGACGTCGAGGATGCCAATTAAAAACAACAACAGCGCGATAGCGAGTGTGCCCCAGATGTATAGGGGACGACGGCCGAGTTTCGAAATGAGCGGCCACGAAACAATCGTACCTATGAATCCTATCGCTGTGAGGCCGACGTTCATGGAGAAGGCGTCCGAGGAGTTCAGTCCGGCACGCTGAAAGAATTGCACGGCGTAGTTGACGTACAGAACTTGACCAGAGAGCGGCTGGATGCTATACACCATAACGGCGATTATCAGCCGGCGGAGATTAGGCCCACGGAAACAGTCGAGGTAGTTATGGTGTTTGGTCAGTTCTGCCTCGAGGCGAAGGGTGTGCTGGATGTTGGCAAGGGTCGGCGTGATGTCAACTTTTGATGAAGAGGAGGTGAAGCGCATGAGAGCTTCTTTTGCGTCCTCGATTTGGCCTTTACGGGTGAGCCACCAGGGGGAGTTGGGACAGAAGACCACAAAGGCCAAGATGAGCAAGGCCGGGGCCCATTGCGAGGCGTAGGGGATGCGGTACGCCCATTGCGACGAAAGTGTATTTGTTCCCTTCAGTTCGCCGGAAGCAATTAGTTGGCCCACTACGAAACCGAGATTCACCATTGACCCTGCCACGCCACGGAGGACGAGCGGGCAAACTTCACCAATGTAGGCAGAGGCGATAATCGGGTAGAAAGCTATAACTGTGCCGTTGAAGAGTTCGCCGAGGAATAGAACAACAGGTGTTGTAGCGAAAAACTCCATGAAGATATAGGCAATGGACAGCACAGAACAAGCAGTGAGAGTAACCTTTGGTCCGAAGCGGTCGTACACCCAACCAGAAAGAAGCGCGCCAACGACACCACCGATACTGTTGGCATAATTGAACGCACCGTTCCAGGCGGCGCTCACAACATATTCGTCATTGTACAGGTAGCCGAATTGCCTCTTGAAGGGTTCTAGTCCGACAATACTGCCAACAAGAGCGCCATCGAAGCCTTTGAGGACGACAGCGACGTTGATCACGATGGACCACAGGACGGCTGGCCTATACAGTCTGACAGCTTCCCAGAAGCCGAGCGCGTGTTGAGTTCGCGTGTATAGCTGTGATTGCTCGGCCTGCCAAACGGCATCTTCTGTATAATCTAGAGATTTGCCTGTTGCAGAGGGGGACTTGCTCAGCTGGTCTGCCATGGTGACTGGATTGCGCAAGTTGCAAGGATGCCTACATGTAGCTTATGGCCGGAAGAGACGGTCAAGTTATAGATTCCGCGTTGTCTAGTCCTGCCCAAGGACCAGTCTTATCACGAGGACATTCCATTGTCGAGCTGGCAATGGCCCAAAGCAGTAACTATAACAGTCCTCGGAGCATCTGCCGAGATGTTGATAGCGCTAGTCTTGTGCTGCACTGGCCTAACCGAATTCAGCAAAAGTAACAGTTGAGTTTCGAAGGTGGAGCAGTGTTCGCTGTTGGCCAAGACAGGCCGTAAGCTGCTTATCACGAGGGGAATTTCCCCATTGGTCTACAAGCTAACCCAGGCCGGTAATTTTTACAGCGGCTTGAAGTTCCCCGTTCACAAGGTTGGATCTGGGCTTGTGCGGAGCTGTCTGATGTTTTATATATATATATATGTATATATATATATTATTTGGTTAAGCAAGAGTGCCTCCTGATAAGACTTCTGGCTCAACCTTTGAATTCCTCGACGCGACTCGTAGCCACCATGTACCCGCAGCCAACTCAGATAACCCTAACTCAAGCTGAACTCACCAGCCAAAAAATCTCCTCACACAACCTCCAATCCGCCATCGAAGCCCTCCATCGCGATGGTCTCGTCGTCCTCAGCAATGCCGTTTCTCCAGGCCACCTGGACAAATTAAATGAGCGGATGGTCCCAGAGGCAAAAACGCTCTACGAGCGATCCTCAACCCACCGTAACTTCGGCGCAAAAACCGGCAATATTCAACAGGAGCCCGTCCTCGAAAAGGACTATGTGTTCCAAGACGTCGTCGCGAACCTGTTTGCCTTGCAGGTTGTCGAGTGTATGTTTGGGCCTCGGCCTTCACTGCGTTTCTACAGTGCGAACACGGCGTTCAAGGCGGAGAATCGGCAGCCCGTGCACGTCGATGTGAATTTTGACTTTCCCAAGATCCCATGGGGATACGCAATTAATATCAATCTCGTCGAGACGACGCCGGAGAATGGGGCTACGGAGGTGTGGCTCGGTAGCCATACGGATACAACGAAGGACGTGCTTGATCCGCAGTACGCACACAAGCAAGTGCGCGAGGATCTCCTCGATGAACGCCGAAAGATTGGAAAGGGAGGAATCCAGCCACAAAGACTGCCAAAGGGTAGTCTGATCATTCGCGACATGAGGCTCTGGCATGCGGGAATGCCGAACACTACGGACGAGCCGAGAGTCATGCTGGTCACGATTCTGTTCCCGCATTGGTATCGCAGTCAACAGAAGATTCTTTTGCCGGCGGCTTTGGGGGAAACAGTCAAGAGATGGGAGGGAGTTGATGCGCAAGTGGACTGGGTGGAGGAAGGGTATGATTATTTGCAGGGCAGACATGACCACGACTTCTCCTTGAAACCTTAGAGAGGATGTGTTATTAATACATTCATTTATTTCGTAACTGGACTAGAAATGGCAAGTTCTAGTACTATTAAACGAGGTGTAACATCTCTCCTAATCCCTTGACAACCTCAATACAACCAACCCGGCTCATCTCTTCGGCACCTTCCATAGTATGGCTGTAATCTTTACTTAGCCACACCTGTTCCATTAACTCATACACCTTCCGTAATGACTGTATTTTTCGCAGTTTATACATGGTCATCAGTCGCTGCTTGACAAACTCGCGGTCCTCTGGCTCGGTCGCCTCGCATCCAGCCGTAAACAGCGGCCAGACATGGGCAGATATCAGAGGCGATGAGATAGGTACAGAAGCCATAGAGTCGATGCATCGCCGTACCTGAGATAGCGTAAGCTCGTGCGGAGCTCCAATGTCGTAGATGACCCGGTAGAGGTAAATGAGGGCAGCTGAGCGGTGTGCTTCTGTTGTGTGTCTTTGATGATCCGATGGACTGGCTGAAAAGTTCATGGACAACAGCTCATTTTCGACCTGTTGCCCAACCAATAGAAGATCTGCTAAAGCCACGTTGGTTCCATCGTCTTCGTTGCCATCAAATGTAAAGGTGGCGTCGTCCTTTCGTACCTTGAGCTTGCTGACCCGGGCCACGGCTTGCATGATTGCCGGATGGTATCCTCTTGAGGATTCCAGATCAACGGACGGAGATGTACATGCACCTCGTTCTTTGCACGGCCAGTAGTGACATATCAACGGCTCGGTGCCCCCGGAGACCGCGGATAGCATGTCGTGGTAGAGTATTTGATTCAAGAGGAAGCGCGCAGACGGCGTCGTCATGGATTGCGGACCGCCTCGAGCTACGATCATCTCCTTTGCGCCTATGAGATGGTTGACATCGCTGTCGCTGGAATTGTCGAATTGCTTACTGATCTCGAGGAGCAGAATCGAAGCTATCGCAGCATCATTTTGGGCGGCGAGTGCTAGATCTTGAGCCAATGTCTCTCTCAGGGACGCGATGGTCTTGATACGATAATTTTGCGCCGCAATAGCGAGAGCGTGACTCCGGCTTGAATCAGATTTAGAATCCGCGACTGCCAGATGACTAGCTGCAATTGAAAGGACGGCATGGCGCACCGGACTGCCCGAATCGCAGAGCGACATTGGAGTCAGGTACATCTGGAATGGATTCGTCTGATTTACGGGTGTTATGCATAGTAGTGGAGATATACATGCGGTCCAATGATGGAGAAGTCTGTATTGTTCCAGGGTCATGTCTGGTGGGCGGAGGGATAACGATAGCTCAAGGCTGGACTGTGGAGAATATGAAAGCTGCTCTGTCAACCGACGGCGCGTAGTAGCGTTCTCTGACCTCCATCTGAGCCGCAGTCCATAGCCCTGGCAATGAATGTGCAGCCGCGTACAGCGACCACACTCGGGCTTTGTCTCGTCGCATTTGTAGCCTGCCGCGCGACATGTCCAACACCCTGTGCGCGATCTCGTCCGTTTAGCGCGTTGTGGAGATCGAACTGGGCCCGCGTGGTTCATCATTAATATGGCTTGTGCTGTTTGCGCTTTTGTTGAAGATTTGTCGGGGTTCTGACCGACAGCGACGAGTCGGACGATCTTGAAATGTTATCTATACCGAATCACGTGGGGCAGGCTTGACGCACTAAAGTCTCCGATATGTTATAATTACGTATATAGTACAAAATACAATATGAAAATATTCTTTATTACTTATTTATTTGCGTTGGGCTGGTATCGTGTCAAGTATGATATTCATTTTATGTGAGCATGTCGTGAGCATGTCGAAGGATGCATATATACTACGAAGGAAGAACCGCATACATCTCTCGTATTCTGAAATTCAATTGGACATGACCACACACGGAATTTGCATATAATATCATTGAACTAATCTTGACTTTCTCAAAAAGTGGTCAATTGAAGATGATAGTGCCGCGCAAAATCAATTCATTCTTAAAGTATGGGCTGGTCTAACTATTATTGGAAATGCTCTACCTAAATGCGGAGTCATCTCCGGAGTAAGCCTTGTGGTTAGCTGATGCCCTAGAAATTCTGCATGATGCAAGTCTTGGTTGAAGGTGTAGAAACGTTAGCCATGTTCCAGCTTGACCCGTATTTCTTCTTTGTTTTAGTCCAGCCTTCACGCGAATGGTGTTTTGCCTTTGAACTCGAATAGTAGTTCGTAGCACTTACATCCAGCAGCTAGTGGCAACTGAATACTAAAATTTCTCGTAGAAGGAACTTAGGTTGCCTTTATAGTAGGAATCAAGAAAATATAGCTACCAGGTTCATTGGGATCATATTATGCAATAAGCCTTGCTATCTTTTTCTACGCTTCGTAGTTCGAGATGGTAGCATAATAGCCCTCTTCCAAGGCTGGTCCAGCAGTATTAGATAGGAACGAATCATGTCTGCACTCCAAGGCCAGCAATGTGTACTGTTGTTTGGTTTACTGCGGGTTGCTGAACTGGTTGATGATCAATTATATATTTCTTCTTGACTGTTTCCACGCATCAATTTAAAAAACAATTACCGAAAATGTTGATAAAGTAAACCAAAATCAAAGTGACTACAATTCAAACAGTCAAATAATCTTTTGATCGTAAGCCACGACAGCGAGTCAGGCACTCATCAGTTTTGATCTGGAAACTTTCTAAGCAAAAGCTCATCAAACTCCAAAACCGGACCAGTCCTCAAATTCCTCGACCAACTTATTTGCAGCGCTCAGCAACAAAGGCTCAATATCCTTATATCCTGGACCTAGCTGTGTAAGGATCTGCACCGCCTTGAGAAAATGAGGATCCTTCTGCCTTTGACCAAGTCCGTCTCTTTTGCTTAGAGCAGCGGTTTTTATCTCGTCCCAGCTTTTGAGCGGTTTCTCCGCACCTTCAATATCAGGTACGAGATTTCTAGAAAGCACTGGTCGTCCCTGTGTAATGAACGCTAGTATGGTGAGCAGCCAGTATATTCGAATCAGCATATGACTTGCTTCGCCATCCGTACATGCGGGCCGAAGAATCCTTAGGCAGTTGACAAAGGTTAGATTGTGGGCAAGATAGAAGTCAAACGCTGGGCGGCCGGGAGCATGGGTAGCAACCAGAAGATCAACAGCAAGGGAAATAATTTCTGATGTTATATAGGTGTTTTTAATATCGGAGTTTTGAAGCAGGTAAGCACAACCCAGGTGATAGTACTGTATCACGGTAACAGATGCAGTAGGGGATGACAAAATGGTGCCGATGTGCTGGATACCTTGCCCTGAAATGAGCCCGTCGAAGGTGTGGTCGCGCCGGATTCTGTCAAGCACATCGAGCAGAGACCCAGGCTGGTATATTTCGTCGTTTTTGAAAGGCAGACTGACCACACTAGCCATTGTGTTCCAGTCTACTGCGGTCAATGCGAGAGCATCGAGGGCCAGATTGCTGCTACCGAGCTCCACCGCATCGGCTAGTAGTATCAATGGATGTCCATMCCCGCCGATGAGACCGGCAAGAAGGGGTTTTGATCTTTCCAGTAGCCAGAATTGTAGGACAGATTGCTTGAGTGCTCTTAGTTGGCGGCTCTTGCTTTCAAAGAAAGTAACGAAGTCGCCTTCGTAACTATCACGCATCTGATCGTTAATAATGTTTCACATGGTAACTGTTTTTTGCTTACCTGAGGTCCCCTAGATGGTTCTCGATGTCATCGTCACTGACGATTCGGTTGGTTTTCCTGCCGTTCCAGGGCATTAAATCCTTTTCATTCTCTGAGTACAAAGCCTTGAGTTGATCCATAGTACATCCAAGCTGGTACGCTGCTGATAACCCCTGGTGAGCAGATTAGAGATGACGGAATATTATCTATTATTCCCGATTATCTTTCTCACATACATGGGCAACATGATTATGCCGGTTCCCATTGTAGAGAAGGCCATATTTCTCACGACTCTGATCAATCAGTTCCTTCAGGAAAACAGTACTCTGGTCGTGTCTTTTAACTAAGATGCCAGGCTCAGGTGAAATTCCAAAGGGAGAAGCCATGACCGAAAAGTCAGGGGAAGTGTCAGCAATAATCTTTGACCTGTCCAGAACTGGGCGGGCCCACGTTCTTAAAGTACAAGAATCAAGACAATTACTCATCATGCATCACTCGACTAGTTCCGGATGCATAGAGTACCAATGAACATCTATAATCAACACCATATACTCCCTTATACTATATGATACGCTACGTTAGTTTCCTTACACGGACAGAAGCTATCTTTTGGAGTACATAAGGCACTTCCTTCCGGAAAGAAGCCCCTGTTTTGCATATGATATACAACAAAAAGAATTTCATTCACTAATCAAATTGCTACTTGCAATATAATAAAGAGGCAGTTGAAATGGTGATGATAATTTTGAAAGACGTGTTATTGGAGGTATGGAATGAAATTCAATGCAGTAACAGGGAGCTTGTCAGCTGAACGAGCAGATCTAAGAAGCAAGAGTCGAGTGCATCTCTCGTATTTAAGGGTTTATTCGGAGTTTCTGGTCACGAAGTCGGCTATCGCTCGGCCGGCTGTGCGTCCAGAAAAAATGCAGCCACCTAGGAAAGTCCCTTCGAGAGCATTGTAGCCATGCATACCACCTCCGCCAAAACCTGAGGCTTCGCCAGCAGCATAGAGATTGGGGAACAGCGTCCCATCAGGACGCACAACATTTCCGTTCAAGTCAGTCTCTAGACCACCAAGGGTCTTTCTCGTAAGAAGATTCAACCGCACAGCAATCAGTGGACCGTTGGCCTTGTCACCAAGGAGTTTATGAGGTTTAGAGATGCGAGCAAGCCATTCAGGCCAGTAATTGCGCGCGTTATGAATCATCATCACCTGGGCATCCTTTGAGTACGCGTTTGTCATCTGCATATCCCTCGCCTCAATCTCACTTATTCATTGGCTAGGGTTAAGGAGTGGTCCATCAACTTTCTCTGCCAAAACATTCATACCTTCAACAAGGCTCTCAATGGTATCACGGACGACAAAGTCAGCTCCGTTTTCCATAAATTTTTGGACCGGGCTCGTACCATAACGCCCAAAGACTCTCTGGAGAAGCAGCCAAACACTTTTGCCAGTGATGTCAGGATTTTGCTCTGAGCCGGAGAGACCAAATTCTCTGGAAATGATAGCCCTATCAAGGATGAACCATGTATAATCGTAGCCTGTGGAGCATATATATTTCAAAGTAGCCAGAGTGTCACAACCAGGGTAAAGGAACGGAGGCAAGCGCTTGCCAGTAGCATCCAGCCATAAAGAAGATGGGCCTGGGAGAACACGGATACCATGGTTGGGCCAAATGGGATTCCAATTAGCCAGACCCTCGGTATAATGCCACATGCGATCAGAATTGACAACGTGGGCTCCAGCGTCCTGGGCGATATCAATCATGCGCCCATCGACATGCGCAGGAACTCCAATAACAAAGGACTGGGGGACCTTGGGCCCTAGTCGATCCACTGGCCAGTGTTTCTTTACCGCCTCCACATTTCCTCCTATCCCGCCTGAGGCAATCAAGATTGCTTTTCCGTATATCGCAAATGAACCTACTGATACCCGAGATGATGCGACCCCACGCTCTGTGTTTGTAGGTTCAAGAATTTGACCTCGAATACCTACGGCCGCACCTGTATTGTCATCGACAATCAGCTCGTCAACCTTATAGCGAAAGAGGAACTTGATCAACCCCTTTTTTGCAGCTGCCTTTACAGGTTCCGCAAAAATTCGTACGACTTCAGGCCCGGTTCCCCAGGTCAGATGGAAACGAGGAACAGAGTTGCCATGGCCATTCGCCGAGCCAGCACCCCGTTCGGCCCAGCCAACTTCAAGGAACGTCAGACCCAGAGACTTGACGTAGCTCTCCATCTCATCCGTAGCAAAGTTGACGAAGGCTTCTGCCCATTTTCGCGGCCAATGGTCCTCCTTCTCACGGTCAAAGCCAGCCGAGTTCATCCAATCTCCCATAGCCAAGTCTCGGCTGTCCTTCACCCCAAACTTACGCTGATCCTTTGAGTCAACGCAAAATATACCACCTAGCGACCAGAACGCCTGCCCACCAAGGCTGACTTCGCCCTCTTGGTCGACGATTACGGTGCGGACATTGCGTTTTGACAGTTCGTACGCAGCAACAAGACCCGAGAGCCCACCACCGACAATGATCACTGAATAGTCTTCCATTGATATTTTCTTTCTAACTTAAAGCACAAGATTTGACAGAGATCTATTATGATAATAATGTCGGTCAATGCGGAGAGGTAGATGGCTTTCAAGTCTGGCGATAGGATAATGTCGGTTCAACAAAGGATTATTATAGGTTGATTCAATCCCTGTCTGGTCGCCATCTGGATCACTCTCTTACAAGCAAAAAGAATTGAGAATCAGCTCCCTATCCTAGCTGCTTCTCAATATCGGGTGACAGTTCAACCTTACCGTAAGTGGTAGGAACAATATCCTAATCGGGAAATAAAGTAAAATAGACGACGTCTGTGTTGACATTCCGTGAATTTAACGTTATTCCGTTTTAAGATAACCCTCAACCCAAATACGGTCAAGTGTAGTAGGCATGATCTATCCTTATATATTGTACAGCCAATCTCAACCCTGCATACAGAACATGGTGGCGCTATATCAGCAAAACAATTAGTCACCGTGCATTACATATGAGACAATATAAATATACTGCGATAGGTATTTAATCTAAAAAATTGATATTCACTGTATACGCTTTGCCATATAGAGACGAAGCACATTATAGGGCGGCCTTCTATGCTGTCGGCCACCGGCTGTTGATGGCGGTCATCATGTGAAAGAGTAGCAATGGACTCGAATGCCAATTCTAGAGTGTACAAGCCCGAGTAGCCCATTAGTAGAGACAGTTAGTCACATCATGTGATACAGTCATGAAGCTTTGGATACATACTATAGACGTACGCCACAAGTTATTAGCTTAGTACGAATCAGCGTTTCTGGCTAAAGTATAATTACAGGTAGCGTTGTTATCTCCTTCTACTATCAGCCTACTATCAGCCTACAATCAGCCCACCATCACCTCATTGCTCTTGGTTTTGTCCAGTGTATCATGACATTGCGGTTGGACAGGCCTAACCTTAAATAGCCCATGTAGCCTTCCTACCCAGGCTTCTTGTTTAATTTGTTTCACTACACAATCTTTCACCTTCTCATCCAAAATTGTTCGCATATCCATAAATCAGGCAGTATGACTGAAGTATCACCAGCATCCAAACCCAGTATCGTGCTTATTCATGGCCTGTGGATGACACCACTTTGCTGGGAGCACTGGATTTCGTATCTAGAAGGCAAGGACTATCATGTGCTGGCTCCCGGCTGGCCCGGTGTTGACCAGCGGTCCCCTGAACAGATCCGTGCGGATCCCCAGCCCATGGCCGACAAAACCATTGATGAGATCGTTGATACGTACGCAGCTATAATCTCAGCCCTCCCAGTGCCGCCCATAATCATAGGGCACAGCTTTGGAGGTTTATTCACGCAGATTCTCCTGTCGCGGGGATACGGCTGTGCTGGGATTGGAATCTCCCCCGCTCAGCCGGCAGGCATCATCTCGCTGCCATTCAGCTCTTTGAAGGCGACTCTGCCAGTATTGTCAAACCCATTCAATATCCACTCTACTGTTCACATTACAGAAGAGCAGTTTCACTACTGCTTCGGCAACCACCTCTCCAAAGAAGCCAGTAAAGTGCTATACGATCGGTACGCCATTCCAAGCGTCGCACACGTATTATGGCAGGGCGCCGGGGGGATGTTGAAAAAGACAGGTGCAGGGCACGTTGATTTCAAGAAGGAAAGTCGCGCTCCGCTCCTGTTAATAGCAGGCACCAAAGATCACGTTGTACCTCTCGCAACGGTGCAGAAGGAGTTGGAAGCGTATGAGAAGAGCAAAGGCCAGACGGTGGTTGAGTTGAAGGTGTTTGAAAACCGGACACATGGCATTGTTAACCAGGAAGGCTGGGAAGAGATTGCAGATACAGCGATTGCTTTTGCAGAGGCACATATGAAGTTATGAACAATTGATTGAAAGGAGAATTCAAATGGTGTCGACCGGTTGTAGCCCTACTAGGCGATATCTCATATTGAAGGTGATACATAGTCTTAACTAGGAAGACGAAAGGAAGCCGAGTCTTAAGAAATGTATTTAGCTACATCAAATTCTTTAGTATGTCTTATGGACTACGTAGCCTTGGTACCAGTCTATATACATACCTATCCGGAAAGCCGGGCAAAGTTTCAGTATGGTTGTTGCCGGCCTTCACACACCGACCTATAGAATAGTCCGGAGGTGTTGTGTTGCCATTAATTGGCAATGATGCGCCATACAAAGAATCAGAAATGTGGAAAAGCTGACTGGTTTCCACTTGCGAAAGAATATTATAACTGCAAAAAATTATTCTCTTCTCAGCAAGATCCGTACCCTAGAGTTCTCAGGCCTTGCTCGACGGCGCGAAAATATTCTCAAAATACTTTCAAGTGATTTCACTTCTCGTCTACATATTTACCGAACTAGATTTGCATTATTTGCGCCAACACCGCCACGTTCCAACCGCTCAGTGGCAGTCTCAGTTTTGCAAGATCCAGTGAAAATACCTGTGGTGCGTCGTCGATAGTCCTCTTCTATCTCATCAAGCGGGTAGAAGCTGGGCTCCTCGGAAAACATGGCATCAAACTTGTTCTTGATATCAGATGGGATATCAGGCGTATTCTCTGTATCTTGTAGCCATACGCGCAGCAAATGGCGTGGGTTTGAGATGTCTTCAGTGAATCCGCGCCGGGCATGTTGATGGTGGAGATTGTTGACCCTGCATACCTAAATCAGAGGTTGTCTTATTCCGTGTACTGTCAAGTCTCACCATTCAATGTCTCCGACCTTAAGGTCAACTTCAAGTCTATACTGATCGGCTACCCATTGCCAGCCGGCAAACGCTTCACGCTCCTCGAAGGTAAGAGCCGGATAGTCTTGGTCTCGTTCGGGTAGCTAGAACTACGGGTAAGCATTGTGTCTCCTAATCTTATGATACGAAAGAAGTACCTCACTATAGCCAATAAAAGTTCTGGTGGAGAAGTTGAGGAAGATCTGGTTATCCTTGTGATGGATTAGATTGACACCCTCATCGGGAATACCGTTCCTAGTTGAAGTCAACATTTGCAAAGATTATAAAGACTAGATTGAGATGAGATAAGACTCACGCTCTCCACCTAAACTTTTTCGCCGCTAATATTCGAAGAATATCAGGGCGATGCTGGGCAAGTTGATTATATACCTGTCCAGCGCTGGCCACTGTTGAAGCTCCACCGATACCTGAAAGGCTGACGGCCATAAGCCCGACAATATCACCACCAGCATCGCTATGATACATTTGCGCGTTCGTGTCTTGAGCGGATACATAGATTTTACCGCGTTCCTCGGGATTGATATGGGCGATGCTCTTCGCTCAGCATCAGTTATCTACCACTCTCGCATGGACCAAAGGGAAGCTCACCTTGATATGACAAATTCCTCGATTTGCACCTTGATTGAGTCGACGATCTCCAATCCAGGCATTAATGCCGAGAAATGCAATGATTTGATCGTCCTTTGTGTATTTCGATACTGGAAATCCACGCAGAATCTGCACACCGACGCCGTGGTAGATGTTGTGTGATAGCTGGCGTAGAACCGGGCCTAGAGTAGGCAGGGGGAAATCCTCACGACGGACAGCAGAAAGGGGTAGCGCGAGGGTCTTCCATTTCTAGAAATCGTTGTCAAGATTAGCATTTGATTCAAATATGGAATCTTGCTTCATTCTCCACTTGGGCTTACCTTGATTGCGGTCTCGATTTCGGCTATCTCAAGTTGGGAAAGAGTGCGAATATACAGATCAGCTGCATAGTGATTCTCTTGATCAGCTTTGATCCCCGAAGGAAGAATTTTCATAAATACCTACGGTTGCTCTTCAAATATTCACCTGTCCAGACATTAGGTCCAGTAAATTTAGCAGGCCAACCCGAAGGACTCGATCCAAAATCGAAGGACGGCGGATGAGCAGCATTAGCTGCTTCCCATTCCGGCTTGTTTAGCAGGATTCCTGGAGCATCAGAGTAGAGTTCATATGGAAGAATCTCAGCTGCTGCCATTTTCAGTGATTGATGTCTTTCTTTTCCGTGTATGTATGCGTGAGAATGCAGGGGTTTTCACACAGGCACTACGTCTACCTAGGTATATATATCCCGGCTATAAAAACGGCAACATGGCCAGACTTTGATTGAGACAGTTGGAATTAAGCCAATTCAGGCATTTCTCTGGGGAGTAATTTTTGTCGGTGCAAGTGCCGAATCTGAAGAAATGATTGATGATGTGATTACCGAGCACAATGGCAGAATTCCCAACTAGCGGCTACAGTGGACTTTTGAATTTGTTTAGCTGAAGTTACTTACGCGTCAAGAAGTAAAATATTCTTGGCTTCTAGCTGACTGAAGCGCGATGCACTTGTTTACACAGAGTATGAAGGTCAGCCTGGATGGAGAGTGGTACTTCGTGACCTGAGCGCTAGAGGCCGAGATAGTGCTCACGCCATTCCTATTGTCACCACAACGAATGAACGATCGGGTTGACTTTGGAGATGCCATATTCTTAGCCCACTCATATGCTAGTCAGTCGATATAATTTAGTTCTATCTAAGCGAGCAAAAGCTAGAGACTGGCATTCTACCGCTGAAACCCTAAGATCACCAACCAGAAAGCAGAGGGACGTAATTTCCAAGTTGACGCCATATCTCGGAACACCGAGCGGGCCCACCTTGGGCTCTCTATCGGTCAGTATCTCTTGGTATCTTCTTCAACCAAGAGGCTAGAGCTATCAAGCCGATAGATACAGACGTTCATGCCACATGGCATCTACTGTCGTGATGAGATCCGCTCATTGCCTCATCGAGAAGCAGTCGAAAACTGCCGAGTTTTTGTTAGGAAATACCATGGAGGGTTCGGCTTTAAATGGGCTACATATGCAACAATTTTTGAATTGACAATGTCCAAGTCTCCTCGGGAATTCTGATCACAGCATTATGGGCTCATCACCGCTGGTAACCGACAATGTCAACGCAATTGACACAACCCTCAATGACGACGACAACAAGAAGCAGAGACGCATCTTACTCTGGAAGCTGGATCTCTTTATCCTAAGCTGGGCCTGTTTCGGATACTTTGTACGCATCCTAGATAGCTCAAATATTTCCAATGCCTACGTGAGTGGCCTTAAGGAGGACTTGAACGTCCAAGGCAATGAATACAACCTCTTTAGCACACTGTGGACCTGTGGATACATTATTGGACAGATCCCCTCGCAATTGATAATCACCAAGATCCGTCCTTCCATTTGGATCCCATGTGCAGAGGTGCTTTGGGCTATATTCTCTTTTTCCTTTGCTGCGGTGAAAAATGTGCAACAAGTCTATGCTCTGCGATTCTTGATCGGACTGGCAGAAAGTCCCTTTTACGTTGGTGCAATGACGATGCTTGGGAATTGGTATACTCCGAAAGGTCAGACTAGTCTTTTCACACATCCTTATAGAACGGACACTGATATAAATACCTACAGAACTGGGAAAACGAGCTACAATCTTCTACTCGGCATCCTTCGCAGCCAACATGTTCTCCGGTTATCTTCAGGCCGCTGTATACAAGGGCCTGGACGGGACTCATGGGCTTGCTGGCTGGAGATGGCTATTCATCATGTGTGGTGTAATTTCCGTACCTGGCGCCTTTTACGGCTTTTTTGCCGTCCCTGATTCCCCCTACTCAACCAAGGCACGGTGGCTGTCGCGGGAGCAGGTGGAACTGGCCAAATCGCGAATGATCAAGGCGAATCGTAAACCGTTTCAGGGCGTTACGTTTAGTGTCTTGAAGCAATTAGTGACAGATGTTCCGGCATATTTCGTTGTTATTGGATACATGTAAGCGGGTTTGATTGGATACAGTAAATTACAGGCACTGATATCAATTTTACAGATTCTTCTGTCTCGACACTCTGCCATTGGGTTACTTCGCCATTTGGCTGAAAGCTTTGAAACGATATTCAACAGAAGAGGTCAACGTGTAGGTATCGTGTGCCGCGTCGTTGAGAAATATGGGCTGATTCGTTTATGACACAGAATTCCAACTGGCGCCTATGCTATCGGCTTTGTGAGCACGATTTTCTGGGGTTGGCTCAGTGACCAGCTGGGAAGCAGATTGGGGGTCACCGCAGTCATCTCAGTGGTAGCTTTCCTCAGTTGCTTGCTCTTGACTGTTGCTACATCCGAATCGGTTGTTTATGCTGGTTATTTCCTGAATGCTGCAGGTTGGGGCTACGGAGCTATTATATTAGTAAGAAACATCATATCCTCCAAGCATTCCTATTTATTTCTTGAGAAAGTTAATTTCTAACAATCCCTCCCAGTCTTGGATCAATGAGACATACGGTGACCGTCCGGAACTACGCGCATTTCTAATTGGCACTTGCCAGACCTTGGGCGCTACCTTTTCTGCTTGGGTGCCGGTCGTGATCTTCAACGTTGGAAAATATGCGCCCTCGTTTCACAAGGGTTATATTGTCGTTACAGTACTAGCGGCTGTCCAGGTGAGTATTTCCTATTTCTACTCTCTATAAGTATCACTTTTTCTGACGTGGGTGATAGTTTCTACTCGTATTCGTTATAAAATGGTTTACCCTGAATGGTGGAACATCTGAGGAGAATGAGACGTCAGCGGAAGAGAATGAAATTGATGCGCAAACACATAAAGCTACTGAACTAGTTTGAGCATTGCCATTATCCAGTAGAATAGAAAGCTGAGGGAGAAGTTTCTGGGTTCGCAAGATTGATGCCTACCTAGCGGAAGCTATATGTGACTTAATAGCGCACCTATCCTTCGCATGAAATATATTGGTTGGTTGGAAATACCTACGAATCATAGTTCTCCAATATACCGAGAGCCACCAGCTCAATCTCTCTCATGCTAGAGACGGGTTCTCACGAAGAAAATCTCCCTGATACTTCTCTAAGTCAACAAAACTCACTCCTCAAACTGAAATTCCGCCACAAACCCGACCTAACCTACGTCAACACCTCCTTACTTTCCTCATCAGCTTTTAAACGACCCTCCCAAAAATACCGCAGAATACGCCATGTAGACATCCGCTGTTGCCTCGATATCAGCGAGTTAATTGAGATTGTCTATTATGCCGCATTTCGTTGCGTCCCAGTGGTTGATACTGGCAGGTATAAAGCCGTGGCTGGCCAGATTCTGGAGAATAGAAGTAATACGCATCATCGTGCGCGCCGTCGCCGGGCGAGAAGATGATTAGCTGGCAGGGAGTTGAGGGGCTGTTGACGAAGAGTCAGAAATGGCGGCGGTTGCCGGTCAGGCCGCCTCCTGAGATGTATGCAGCCGTTGAATCATACGCCGAAAGGGTAAAGCCGGGGTACCAAAAACTTGCGTTCAGTCGGCGATTGCTGTAGACACGAATGTTTCGCCATAGATGCCGACGGTGTCGAATTGGCCGGTTGAGTTGGCAGTTTATTGTGGAGGGTTGGGAGAGGTGAGTTGCTTTGTGTCTAGGATGAAGGGGGGCGCCGCCTCCTTGGGCGAGGGTCATGATGGACTAGGGCTGCTGTCGTCAGCAGGAGGAAGACAGTCGACATATTGACGAGAAGTAAGCAAGCAATGAGATTCTCTTGTTTGCAAAAGTCCGTGAGCCCAAGGTTACCACATCTGCCCCCCACCGTCAGAAAACGAGCGGTATATCATGTGGCCCCTTTTCACACGGGCAGATTACATGAATACACTCTGGAAAACAGGCGTCAAAGCCGACAGTACGAGCTGATACAGGTCGAAACCTCGGTATTCAATCATCACAATCCATTTTTGGCATGTATGGTGGCATGCTCACGGCCCTTCAAAAACATCCAAAAATGAACCGTTTCATCGAGTCCAACGACCTCGTCATATTTCGATACACATCTGATCCGCACGAGCCGCATGTACACAGTATAATATTAGTCCCATTATACCCAAAACCTGCCTAGTCATTCTTCCATCTCCACTCGTGTGTTGGATGAAGACTGTAGCCACACCACCATATCAACCAGCCAATGACACAAATCGCGGTTTCGTAGATGGGATTACTGGTAGGGCGACTTGGGTACTCTGCAAATCCCCCGAAATCTTCAGGTTTTTCTTCAAGTTTCTGTTCTTTGACTTTGAAAAGTAAAAGTCTGGGGTGAGATCTGGGGGGGTGGAAAGTTCACCGATTTGGTAGGACCTACGTAACATATGATTAGGTGAGTGAGTAGTCATCACTGTCGTTATGAGCACATGTCAGATGCACTAACCTATCATAATCCATACATCAAAAGAATCTTCCTCGTGCGTGCGCGGTGGGAATAGGGAGGGGGAGGACACGATGCATAGTATTCTACTACGTACATTCGAATGAGAGCCCCCATAAACCTTTGAATCGTTCGATGCTCGAATCAGTCCTGTCTCACTATGTACATACAAGTCGTAGAATCAATCAATCATCTTTGCAACAACTAAATCCAACAAAATGTCATGTTGATACATACATATGCAAATCCAAATTAGCCGAGCCTATGTGACTAGATAACTATATAAAGCAGAAAATAGCAAACAGATGGCTGACTAGGTGGACGGTAAGTAGATAGGGAGGGAAAGTAACCAATTTTGTCGTAATGGTGTCTGCGGTATGTATATATGAACATCGAAGTTTGCATGCATTACATTCATCGGCAGATAATGCGATAAACAACGCAAGCAATGGCAAACGCAACGCAGCAAATGAAGGGAAGTGAAAATGCCCAGAATGTCCTCCCACCCAGAAACCGTATGAAAACTACCTACCGTAAGAAATAAAAAAAGACCGTGATCCATCAATGCAAAGTCCAGGACGCCGGTAATAAGAAAAAAGGTCGTACATGTCGTTACACATGAGCCGTTGTCATAGCTATGTAAGTAAAATTGGTGAGGAGTGGTTATGCATCGGCCATGGTGACGTCTTCATCAGCGCCAACAGCAGCGGCAACGACAGGAGCAGGGCTGACATCAACAACCTTGACATGCTCCGTGTCCATGGTCGTAATGACCTGCCCTAACCCCTGGTCGACGAATAGTTCCTGCACGGCTTTGCTTTTTCCTGCCGTCGTCAAGAGAACTTTGAACAAGCCGTTCGGACTCGGGCTGGGTGCTTGGTCGGATGATGCTGATGTTACGGTCGTCGTGCCTGTATCGTTGCCAGAGTCCGGGGTTTCCGTCGCCGTTGTCGTCACTGTAATAGCAGGGGTCTGCGAACTCGTCGGTAGACGCGTATTATGCGAACTAAGCGTCGTCACAAGCCCCCTCACATACTGGTATAACCCCTCATCCCCAGACCCCTCCAACACATCCAGCGCATCAATAACACAAAACAATACGGGAGGTCTGTACCGTAGCAGTGTATCCAGAATCGCAAGAGCATCATTCCACGACGCTATTGTGCCGTTCAGTCGACGGAAGCGCTCACCACTTAGGTCGCAGTTACTATCACAATCCAGCATTGGAGGCACGAGTTCGATGAGTTGTCGAATAAGGCTGTAAATAAGTGCGATAAGCCCTGCTTTGTTGTTGGTGCGTGGTGATGCAGCACAAAAGTGGGATATGACGGGGATATTTTGTTTGCGTGCGACGGATATGTAACATGCTGATACCAAAGTCAGTCGTCCAGGTAAGCCCAAAGGTCGAGAACCCTCGATGGCGAGAGGGAGGGAGGGGTTAGTCTGAGTCCAATCGAATAAAGCCCTGGCAATTGACGACGAAATCTCAAGACGCTGGTCTCGACCAAACGGGTGGATTTGTTCGTTATTATCGAAGTAGTCTTGTAGTGGAGAAGAGTCTTGCTGTAGGATAACTTTGAGGAGACGGCGTTTGGGGGTCGTTTTGGATGAGTCGTGGGCTCGGGTTGTTTTGTGGACGACTTCTTTGTCAGTATTCCTCCCTCTAGTAGACATGGGGAGCATACCACTGTTGCCGGACCGGTGACCATCATTATCAATCTCGATTTGATGCACTTGGGCTTGTAGTGAGGCGAGAAACGCTTCCAATATTCTGGTCTGCTCGGCGGCAAGCCTGTCGTTTAAAAGCTTCTGCTGTCGCTGATTCCAGATCAACTGCCACACCGTTGTTGTCTGCGATGCATGTCTTCGAGCGTCTCCTTCCAATCCCACTTTTTCCAATCGTGCATGATCAACATGGTTGAATGTGGCACATGATTTAGAATTTGCACAGTCGATAGATTCGGCCGCTGACTCAAGTCTCATAGCAGCTAGATTCTCGACACTGGTAACCAGATTCTTGAAATTAGATTTGAAATCCTCGTTGTGGCTGTACAGTAGCCGACAGCGGGCTTTGGCGACGTAGTCGCGAAGAAATTCGCCTAGAAATAGAAAGATTTGGCCATATAGCGTGGCAACCATCTCGGTCGTCGAGCTGATTTGAACTGCTGAGGTGACGGCATGGTTAATTCGAGCCAGGAATTTGAGAAAGGCTTCTGCTACTCGGTATTGTTCGCGTGCGGCCTGCCATTATTAGACATGAAAACCGCCATTCACATACAAAAAGAAAAGAGAGAGATACCCTAACGATGGAGTATACAACCCCAAAGAACAAATCGCAATAGCGCTTCGGGTCTGGCAAGGCCTGCATTAGGATAGCATGCCCATCCATGGTCCCGAGACATTCCTGAGCCCATTTGATTGATTTGCGGAACAAAACTCGCTGTCGATGCGTGGACCAATACTCAATAGCAGCCTCGATTTCTCTGATCAGATCCTCTGGTTGCTGTTTTTGTTCTTGATAGCGTAACGATTCTTGGAATTCCTTCCAAGACCGTTGGAGTTGTCTTGTCTCGATTTCGAGTTTCATTTTTGTATTTTGGGTGCTGCTTTTTGTCAGTATGCATTTTGACGACGAACAGTAGAATATTGTTTAGTTCTGTTTTGTCCCACGGGCCGAACATATATCGTGGGAAAGTGAGACACGATACCCATGTGGATTCAGTGTGGAATGTGGATCAACGAACACGAGAGGCCCAGACCACACGATCACCAGTGCACCACAGACAACAAGGAGAGACTTACATGTTCGAGGTGCCGGACGAAGTATTCATGTTGACATTAATGTTCATGTTCATTGAAGAAGCCAGGATATTCGATTTGAGTGCAAAGATGGAAGAGGCATTCTGTCGGGGCTGGCGGAGAGTTGCCGTAGTCATGTCATTGATTGAGTCAGGTCGTCTATAGTCTGGCTGTAGTCCGAGTAGTCACAGTAGCCACGGATGGTGCTGTTCTTGTTGTCGATGTGATGTATCAAAGAGCGCGAAATACTATCACTTCGAGTCGATATAAGAGTGCGAGAGTATATAGCAACACGATTGTCGTGGTTATGTGCTATAGAAAGTGGTGGAACTCGTACTCGACGCTACTAGACAGACTATTTCCTGTCTGGCTGGCAGTGGCTGCAGGCTTCGTTCTAGTTGGCTGCACAAGGCGAGACGGCGCAGTCGCATATCGTAGTCTGAGTGAGAAGCTAGGTGAGAAGCTAGTTGACAGCAGCAAGCGCCAAAGAGGTGAAGGAGGGGAAATGAGAGTTTGAAGGGTGAACGAGACCCTGGAGGAATGTATTACTATGTATGTATGAACGGTGTAATAATACGTATTTCCCGTTTGAAGAGGCAGAGGTGAACGGTATGACAGGTTCACAACAACCACAGGCCAAAAAACCGACAGCAGCTAAGCTAGGTGATCGGATCTATGTATTTCTTGCAGACAGGGCAAGAGGCTAGACGGGGCTAGACTCTGCTGGGCGTGCTGATTGGCCTCTCAGTTCTACTACTGCCTTAGTCTGCTGCTAACTAGGTGTACCTACTCCGTAGTTGGTAGGGTTATCGTATGACAGAACGAAATATAAAGAACATTATGTTGCTCATGTTCTCATAATGCTCTGTTTGATGATTGAAGCGGGTAGTAAACTATGGTTTGTGGTAGACAGGGACTGACATACAGCCTCTCCGTTCGAGGCGCTCATTGCCTGATCAATATAAGAGAGAGAATACGACAAAAGCATCGAGGCGCATATGGAAAGACTGTGCGGGGCGCGCCTTGGGTATTTTACCCGTGCGTACATAGTCATACTACACATACTACGAATAGTACTCTGTACAGTACTACTACGGAGTACGGCTGTTACTGAGACATCCAATTTTATATCATACTAGCCCGGCTAAGATCCTCTCGCTATGCCTGTTCGGGACTACGGCCATAGCCTAAAGGGGCCTGATGCATTAGTAGTTGTGTCCAGACCATTCTTATTTGCGTTGCGCCTGTCTCTTACGGTATCTAGCCAAAGAACATCGTTTTGACTTGCCTTCATAGCATACTCCGGACTGAATCTACTACTACTACTACTACGTTTGTAGTACGTACTAATCCTGAGCGCTTGGTAGATTAGCTGATTGTCCATTCTGTATTGTGTACATGCGCAGTACAACTAATGGTAGTAAACATACCGTACATACTTACGTACTAGTATCTCGGAGTGGCGTTACTCTGCGGGTGTCTATTCCGGGGTCCTCTCCTCCGTTCGCAATGCACAAGCCAAGTATGGGGTGCTTCTTTTTCACCAGGGTATACATAGTATAATGCTTGGGGTGTAATATTGACACAATTACGATTCTTGAATGTAACAGCTCTTGTATAGGTTATGTGGATGCAGATGACTTTCATGATAGATTATAACATCGATCATCATGTCTCGGCATAGCTTTGACCGAGTGATCGTCTGTCGCACTAGTTTCATTGCTATCTTGTTTATTAATTACTTGTAAAGGGTGGGAGGTGCCGGTGGTCGAGACCGCTACCATTCATCATGGTATGCCCATCCATCGACGACAATTTTCACCAGGGCTGGGGTACGTTCTCAAGTGACTGAGCTGGAACTGGATTATCAGATCGATCATGGGATACCTATACTACTTGCCAGCACCTAAACTATGGCAGAGTTTTGCCATCTGTCCATATGAATGATCTTATCGCATAGCAAGGATATCTAGACCAACCTAAGGTAGCCAGGTATTCGTGATCGGCCTCATGACTCGACACGCCAACCTGTGACACTTGGATATCTTGCTTGCTTGCTTACCCACTCTTTTTGGACATCTGCACCAGTATTGCGGGTGAATGCCATTCAGATACTGACGACAACACAATGCTCTCCAAGAAGCTCAACAGACCGAGGATACGTGATACCGAGGTTGTACAGTAAAACGGACAATGGAATTGTTGGGATTAAGGCGTTGCGAAGACAGGGTTGTACCCTACTAGTCTGTTGATCGATCCGACACGATAATTCACACCTGACAGACGAGGCAGGAGGATCAGGCAGTTTGCCTTCTAGACACCCCCCCCCATAATTCAAACAGAGCAAGTAATAAAGTATTAAATATCCGGCCGAGAGATATCTTATAAATAATCGAGAATCGACAATGGGGTTCACTCCACTGGGCAGATTGTCGCTGATTTGCTGCAAAAGTACTAAAAATCATTGGCTGTCTGAAGCGCAGTTTGCAGCTGCATGGACGATCTTCACGGTCAGGAGATCGAGTCTCACCGGATACCACGGAAATCCTCTGGTTCACACAGTCAGGCACATCCTGCTTATTACTATGTACTTATCACAGACTGACAAGGAAGAGTCGATCATGGCTGGATTTTCCGCATGCGGACGTCCGACTTAATCGCACCAATCACACTGCACTATCGCCAGATTTGGGCTCGATGGTGACGCTTTAATTGATTTGAATTCAAGACTATCTCTTGGCTACTACTCATAGTACGTAGTGTGATCTTGCAAATCGTGTAGATTAGCCTGATGAGGAAACTGGATTAGCCAACAAGAGCAGAGCAAGTTACCGCGCGATCCGGGCCCGTGGGCTTATCTCGTCGAAGGTCGGTCGCAACTCCGGTCAAGAGTTTCAGCTGGTTTAATTAAGTTCGCTTGATCGAGTTGATGTTGATTGAGTTGGCTAAGACACTGCCACTTTGATTCTGGAATCGTTATTCTCCATCCTCTCGATTAGTTACTGCGAATTGCCTAGTTCTGTGCTGTACTCCAGATCGTTACCCCACAGAGACAACGCCGACCGTGTGAACCCGGCTAGCCTCGTCATCGATTATCGATATTCTTCTTCTCCGTCCTCCCCCCCAGATGCTCTCTTTCTGCTAGCCGGCTGAGTGAGTGCGTGTTTCAGGCCGTCAGCCTTCGCTTGCTTGCTCGGAATATGATTCCAATGATCCCCTTCTCCCCCCACCTGTTGTGTCTCTTCCTGCTTGTATCGTCCGTTGCTGCTTCCAACAGCGTCACCGCCACCCCGACCAACGACACCAATGCCCTCACCCAACAATTCGGCTCGCTGCGATTTCTCCTGAATGCCGCGACCGATTCTTCTGTCGACGTAGTCAATCTCGCTCCGTTAACTTCTACTCTAGCCACGCTAGACTATTCCTCTTTTCAGGTATGTCGAGACTCATATTATACGCAGTGCGCGTATTGGCACAGACATGAGGCGTATAACGCCTTCCGCTGACATCCGCAGCGCTTCTCCATCCAGGGCACCCTCTACCAAACCACCGCATCCAACACTGCCTCCATCACCACCCAGAACATCGCATTGATAAGTTGCGACCCGTCCGCCTACACGGGCTACCTCCATGTCGCAGAGACCGTTTCAGCCGTAGTTTCATTGTCCAGCGGGGGTCCTGCCGCCGTGATCCTGTACACTCTACAGTCTGACCATTGCAACTACACTGTCAACGATCCGACCGCCTCTTATAGCAACGTCTTTACCGTCGTCAACTCCACTTCATCATTGCTGTTTTTGAGTCAATTGTCGAGTATCAACACCACCGCGACCGCGGGTATCACCGCCGATATGTCTACCAGCAGTAGCGCCTCAACGTTTGGGAATACGACTACTACGGGCACGGGCACTACAGTCTCGGGGTCGACCACCGCCGTCGCGATGATTATTTTGTATACCATCACAGGTATTATCACGGCGCTGTTTCTGGGTATTATTATCACGGGCGCCGTCCGCGCTCATCGACATCCAGAGCGGTACGGACCGAGAAATGTGACGGGACGACCACGACAGAGTCGAGCGAGGGGGATTGCGAGAGCGATGCTGGAGACGATTCCCATTGTCAAGTTTGGCGATGATAAGGAGGACGGTGTACATGCGGCAAAGAGGGATTTGGAGATGGCCTCGTCGACGCATACGGCTGAGAGTCACGACACTACGCCTGAGCCTTCGCCAATGAACGAGGCGGATGCTCAGCCGGAAGTAGATCATGACCATGTCACTGATGCTGCTGCTGCTGCTGCTGCCGCCACCACTACCGCTACTACTGCCGCTGCTGCTGCAAATCGCGACATGGAAGCAGGAAACAACAACTGCCCCATCTGCACAGACGACTTTGTCAAAGGCCAAGACGTGCGACTCTTACCGTGTGGTCATCAATTCCATCCTGACTGTATTGACCCGTGGTTGATCAACGTATCGGGAACCTGTCCCCTCTGTCGTATCGACCTTAACCCAGCCTCGGCTGAGACAGCTGAAGACGGCGAAACAGCCCACGAAGAAGGCGAAGCCGCACCACAGACTGTAGAAGCCGCCGATTCTTCCCACCAAACGAACAATAGCAACAGACACTCCCGCGGCCTGACGGGGTATCTATCTGATATCCGTCGCGCTCGCAACGCGCCTGTCGAAGAGCGAATTGAGGCTCTGCGACGGTTGCGCGAGTCACAACGACACCAAGATGGAGACGAGTCGGCGACTGCGGAAGAGAGTCAAGGTCGCCGACGACATTTGGCGATGCGGCTACGCGATCGATTCAGAATCCGCACGAGACAGCATGGATCTGAGCCGACTCCCTAGGCGTCGAGCGTACATATGAACATGGATTTATGCCGTACATACACCTTACATATACGATTACTACGACATATACATCACCTCCTCATCCTGATATACATACGAATCATAGGACAGGATCCCAAAAGCACGATCTTACTCTTGTTTTTGCTTTGCATGCACCCATCGTACGGCGTTTGATTGGTCTCATTATACATGGGTCATGGACGGATTATGTCTTTTTTATGCAGCATGTTTATGATTTATGGCTTTGGATTTACTTGGATTGGGTACTTGGTTTGTACATTGCACAGCTTTGGTTTCTTGCGGTTGGTGGTGTGGTTAGGTTACATAGGTGTATAGGGAATGAATGAGATATTATAGACATAGCCGAATCGACGTACTGCGTTGCGCTTTCATTGCCGTATTTGGTCATCTTGCTACAAGTCCTGGCTTTGGTGATGGACTCGATATATCGGAATCAGGTTTCCGATATTTGTGGTTGAATCCCACTACATAGTCCGACCTTTCTTCTCTATTGATACTTTTGTACAGTATTGAATGATTGCGTCAAGTTTGTCGTGAGAAAATATAACTCTGTGCATCAATTGAGGGACGATTCGCTGCCGAGGATCTATACTGAAACATTTGAGGTATATCCGTCATTATCACACCTACTTACCAAAGTACAAGCAACTAACTCTCAATTAGACAATTACCACAACACTGAAAATGCTGTCATCAAACGCAAGAATATTCAACGCACCCCCATCACTAGAGGAATTTGATCGTCTCTGCTCCCAAACCACCAACCCAGAGACATACCCTCTAGCAACAGAAATCATCAAAAACGTACCCATATACGATCTCCCAGCATACCAGTCCCAAATCAGCGAGTCAGCCGTCATCAGCAACCTACAAGAAGAATGGTACCGCATCCTCCTCTCCGGGCCAGGCGTCTTCGTCTTACGGGGCATGTATCGCAACGAACAAACCCTCTCCACAACCACCCAAATTTACGATCAAATCATCTCCCTTGAAAGCAAATCCAAAAAGCAAGAAGGAGACCACTTCGCCGCCTCACCCAGCACAAACGATCGTATCTGGAATTCGTTCGCCAAACACGCCTTGCTCAACCCGGCGAGTTTTGTGGCGTACTACTCCAACCCTTGGCTCGCGCACGTATCGACCGCCTGGCTCGGTCCTGCGTATCGAATCACGGCGCAAGTCAACGTCGTCAAACCAGGCGGAAAACAGCAGAATTCGCATCGCGATTATCACCTGGGATTTCAAGACGATGCGTCGTGCCAGCAATACCCGAGAAGTATGCACGTCGCAAGTCAATTTTTGACTTTGCAAGGAGCGATTGCGCATACAGACATGCCAGTTGAAAGTGGGCCGACGTGGTTGTTGCCCTTCAGCCAGAGATTCGAGGCTGGATATCTTTCTTATCGGCGCGCCGAATTCCAGAAATATTTCGAGGAGAGGTTTGTCACTGTCCCGCTGCAAAGGGGGGATGGCGTGTTTTTCAATCCGGCGCTGTTCCATGCTGCAGGCGCGAATGAGACAACCAGTAACCAAAGGGTTGCGAATTTATTGCAGATTAGTTGCGCGTTTGGGAAGGCGATGGAGATGGTTGATTGTGTGCCTGTGGTGGAGAGGTGTTGGGATCATGTTTTGAGGTTACACAAATCAGTGTCGCCCTTTTCTACTTCTGATGGTGAAGTATTATCGCTAGAAGTATCGTCCCTCGTCCAAGCCATAGCAGACGGATACCCGTTCCCTACGAACCTGGATCGCAGGCCCCCTGCGCCTAGCGGGCTTGCGCCGGAGAGTGAGCAGGATGTTTTGAGGCGCGGGTTGAGAGAGAAGTGGACTGGGCAGAGAGTTGTTGCTGAGTTGAGGCAGATGAGGGTTGAGTCGGGCGATGATAGTGCGCTTCTCTTAGGGTTGTAAACCCCACAACAACTACTGCACATGGGAAAAATGACATGATGACAGTCTAAGAATAACTCCTATGTAACTTATTAGTACGTGCTATGTGACTAGTCAATTTTACTGCTGACGGTCCGTATTAAAGTCAACGGTTGGGTTGGTATTCCCCCGTGTTTCATGTACAGCCACGGGTAACCCTTTTGGATAAGGTCCAGGCCAGAACAAAAGACGTACTATGTACAAGATCGATTATTTTCTAGCACGTAATAGCTCGTACAAAGTAGTAACGTGTTACAGGTCGCAGAGCATGCAGTATTAATCGGTCAAGATGATGATCATCTCGAACATACATACATAGTACGTAGTATGTAGTAAGTGTTACATACTGCATACTGGCTGGTACGCGATCGTCATACCGATGGAGCAGGATGATCGGTCCATCCATTGCTGGGACACCATACCTTGCCTTGTTTACTGTCAAGAACTTGACAACATCTGGTGAGTCGAGTTTTCATCAGGAGAAGCTCATGCTATGACATGGATATTGAAATTGAGGCATTTCATTGGGTTGAGGCTCGTCTGCCCTGAAACATGCCAACAGCGAATCAGCCATCGTAGAAGAGGCAACTGACCAGTCAGAACGCACAGAAAACGCCATCCCGCAGCGGCCACAGTTCTGGGTCTTAGCCTTACCGAGTAATTTACCGTACCTGCCTTACGCTCGCTCCATACATTTGTTTTACTATTATTATGAACCATCGTCTGCGAACTTTTATTCTTTTTCTATCTTCGTTTTTATCTTCAACTTCATTTCATCTTTTTCATCTTTCTTCCTGTTCATTCTTTTATCATTGCTGTCTTATCATATCGAGGGATCTGTGGAACTGCGACTCATACATTAGTTTGCACCAACTCATTAGTGATTGTTAGTCCATTGATCATCCCCACGTCCACCATCGCCCACCATTCATTTTGCTCGATCGGTGACGCCCTCGTCATCTCTCCACTTGTCTCTCTTGTCGGTTCCTCGAACTTCCGCAGTGAAAACTGAACAGATCTTAGATCAGCTAGTCGACATATATCGAGGAACGACTGCGTCGACTCGTGACTGCCTCCCCCCACTATCGTTGACTCGTTCTGAATATTCTCACTCTCGTTATCATTTCTATTTCTCTAATCTAGTCAATGTCGCGCCCTGGCATTGGCGAAAAACGCTTTTCAGCAAACAAATTTCATCCCCTCCCGGATGACCACACCATGGCCAACCCCAACGACGCTACCATCGACATCCCTCTGACCACCGTCCCCAGTCGCGGCACCGGTGCCCGCAAGACCAACACCAATACCCTCGCCTCGCCTGACAGCTATCCCAATGGCTCAAACGATGAAAAGTCAGCGAAACGACCGGGTCCCGGTCGACGAAAAAAGACTGGCACAGGGGACTCAATGACAAACGAGGATAGCGATGGAGCCCTCAACACCATGGGAAGGATATATTTTGCCGTTCTGAATTTCTCAGTCATCACTCGTTATTTCATCTATGTCTCGCCATTGGCGTTTTTGATTGCTATCCCTATTATTATTGGTGCCACGGCGGCGCCGCATGCAGCCATTGGCGGTGTTAGAATTGTTTGGTTTTTCACCTGGATTGAAGTTGTCTGGATCAGTTTGTGGGTTGCTAAACTGATTGCACATTTCTTGCCATTTTTGTTTCAATTTTTTGCCGGCTTTGTCAGCCCTGGAACGAAAAAGTATGCTCTTATCATCAAGGCTTTGGAAATTCCCCTGTCACTGGTGGGCTGGTGTATTGTCTCGTTGGCTACGTTTATTCCTATCATGACTCAGAACCCGACGCAGCGGGCGAATGGCGACACAGGTGAGAAGAGCTGGGAGGCGACCGTCAAGCAGATTTTGTTTGCTTTGCTTATTTGTACCTTGATCTTTTTGGCGGAAAAGGCTCTTATTCAGTTGATTTCTGTGAGCTACCACCGCAAGCAGTACGAACTGCGCATCAAGGAGTCCAAGCACAATGTCGACCTGCTGGGCCATCTGTACGATGCATCCCGCGCCATGTTCCCGGAATACTGCAAGGAGTTTATCGAAGAAGACGAAATTATTTCCGCGACCATTCTCGCTGACAAGAAAAAGAGTCACAAGCGTGGAGACTCTGTTGCTCCGCTCCGCTTGATTCGCAACGTTGGGCGCGGTGTCGGCCGTGTCGGCGACAAGGTCACCGCTGCGTTTGGTAATGTTGCGCACGAGATTACTGGCAAGAACATTTTCGACACTGGATCTGCTCATTCGATTGTTACTCAGGCATTGGACAAACGCCATGCTTCAGAAGCTCTTGCTAAGCGTATCTGGATGTCGTTTGTGGTCGAAGGACGCGACGCCTTGTATGAAGAAGATATTGTCGAGGTTATGGGCGCTCAACGCGAGGAGGAGGCTAGAGAGTGCTTCCATATTTTGGACCGCGATGGAAATGGCGACGTCAGTATGGAAGAAATGATTCTTACTGTTGCAGAGTTTGGACGTGTCCGCAAGTCTATTGCTCGAAGCATGCACGATGTCGACCAAGCCATCCATGTGCTGGACAGTTTACTGTTGACAGTAGCTTTGATTGTCATGATTCTTGTTTTTGTTTCGTTTGTTACCACTGGAGCTGCCACTGTCATTGCTGCTGGTGCTACATCTTTGCTCTCTCTGTCTTTCGTTTTCTCAGTTACTGCTCAAGAAGTCCTCGGATCTTGCGTTTTCCTGTTTGTCAAGCATCCGTTTGACGTTGGTGACCGTGTCGAAATCAACAGCCAGGAATTGTTCGTCGAGGAGATTTCCCTGTTGTATACTGCTTTCCGCACCGTGGCCGAACAACGAGTTACGCAAGTCGCCAACAACGTCCTCAACACTTCATGGATTGACAATGTCACCCGTTCCAAAGCCATGCGCGAACGTATCTCTCTCTTTGTCGATTTCGGCACTACGTTCGCCGATATTCAGCTCTTGAAAATCGAGATGGAAAAGTTCGTCCGTGACAAAGACAACAACCGCGACTTCCAGCCTGACATTGAAATCGAAGTGATCAGTGTCGGAAACATGGACAAACTCGAGCTTCGTATTGAGATCCGCCATAAATCCAACTGGTCCAACGAAACGGTCCGCGCTGCGCGTCGATCCAAATTCATGTGTGCTTTGGTCTTGGCTATTAGGAAAGTGCCTATCATCGGTCCTGGCGGTGGTGGTGCTTCATTGGGCGATCCTTCAAACCCATCGTACTCTGTCAGCATCACCGACGAGAAGGCCAAAGAGTACCGCGAGAAGGCTGCTGAGAAGAAAGAGCAAGCTCGTTTGGTGCCTACAAGTGCTATGAAGGAATTCCAACAGACTCTGTCGCCAGAAGGAGCTTCGACTGGCGTTGATACTGTCACATCTACCGGTGGATTGCAGCAACGCAGTGGGGGATCAGTCAAGAAAATGAGCGAAGTCGATTTCGTCGATGCTCTTAACAGCCGCCCTGCTGGCTACGACCTTGCGCGTCCTGAAGAATCTGCGCAGTTGTATCGCATCCCTAGCGCTGCCAATTCTGGAGTGAGCAACGAGAATCAATTGAGTCCCATCCAGGACGTAAATGATGAACGTTCATCACTCCTGCGCGCTCCGTCGTCGGGTCGTCGCAAGGCCAGTAACAACGTCCCAACCCTTCATCAGCCCTCGCCCCTGCTCGTGCCTCCGTCAGTAACTGGCGCGATTCCCGCGGCTCAATCAACGCCCACGGATCGCTACGAAATTCCGAGCTACTATTCCGCAGCGCCCCAGCCACTACCCCAGCAGCCAAGCCCTACCGGCGCAACTCCATACGAAACTCCCTACGAGACAAACAATCCATACGCCGGAACTTATGGACATGCTTCTCCCACGCCCTCGACGGCCGCTAGCCAATACCGACCTGCGCCACCACAATACCAGTCTCCGCCGTCCGCATCGAGTACCAGTCTCCCTCGCGCAGGTCAACCTCAGGCAGGCAATGCATTTGCCCAGCGTCAGACGCAACCGCATCTACCATCACCGCAAGTCGATGATGATGAAAACTAACGATTCTCTTGCTTTGTCATCACTCTCATCACCGAGCTTGTGATTAACGATCCTTTTTCTGCATATCAAACTGGATTTGATCATAGACCTACAAAAGAATTTCTTCTGCGGTATCAGTTTATCTAAACTGTCATGTTTTCTTTTTGTTATTACGTTGGAGGCTTAGTTGTGTTCTGTCAGACATAACTGTCGAGTCGATTCTTGTACATTACAATCGAACATAAAATAAATTCTATCCCACTATCGTACACCCAAGACCCTTCCTACCAGGGAAGAGAAAGGACTACTTAGTAACCTTCCACGGATAACCCACCTCCTCATCCTTCCTAATCCAGATCTTACTCTTCCTCTTATTTACCACATGCTCCACAAACACTTCTTTTGTATATTCAGCTTTGTAGCGTCGAATCCAGCGCGGATCCCACAGTTCACTGGCAACACCCAGATCCTTGCAGCAGCGTACCAGCGCATTCGATTTGCAGCCTTCGGTGGCTGTGGGGATGCCGTCTGGGTTGAAGTAGTCTTGTTCACCGCGGGCTATTGATACCAGCCTAATAGTCCACCACCACCACAAATTAGCATAGCCACTCTAGCTAGGATGGAGGAGGGGAGAAAAGAGGGATGGGTTACCGTCCGTGACAAATCAATGCATACTCCCTCGTCACCATCTTGGGTGTAACAATACTCTCACTCCGCGGCACAAGCCCCCACCCTCCCGGCCCAAACGCTTTGTTTAGGATTCGTCGATATTTGATTTCGGGCAGATATACGATTCCGTCTGGTTTGATTTCGACGTCGTCGCTGTTTACTTCTTCTAACAGCACAGACGCGATTTCGGGAGAGAACGGCGTTGAGCTTATGCCGTGGAAGGACCGGGTCCAGTCGATTTTCTCTGAAGAGGCGTCTGGGGAGAAGGGGGGTTTGTCGGCGAGGCCGGTTTTGGCGATGTTGGGGGTTGTGGGCGATGATGTCGTTGATGTGGTGGAGGAGGAGGAGGATGCTGTGGTTGAGGTAGATGGAGATGGAGATGAGGGTGTGGATTTAGGCGTGTTTAGTGTCTGTGTTGGTCGGGGCGTGGGTTTGTTGGCGGGKGTTGAGGTTGAGGTCGACGTCGTGGATTGAGCGCGAAGAGAAGTGTAGTTCGAACGGTACGAGAGGATGGACGGTGTAGGTCGTAGGCTCTGTAGACCTCGCGCCTCGAGCGCTATGAGCGAGCGCCGGAAGGTTAATGAGGACATGTTGTTCGCTCTGTCCCAAAGCAGATGTGTGTTGTTGATGTTGTTGACAAGTGAGGTACGAAATGAGGTGAGGTATCACAGCTAGTGGGAGCTGTGACCAATCACATGCGGAAACTGGTTCGACGTCACTTTTTACAGCGCGAACAACTACTATGTATATCACTACGAATGCAATAATCATGAAAAGATATAGAAATAGGAATAGAATAGCGAGTCCATAAAATACATAATAATACATTGCTCAGAGTTTGTTATTGAGCATTCTTCGTCTCGGTTCTATCGTCATTGCCCTGCCGTTTCCAGCACTCGCGAAACGCCTCCATCTGCTCTTGTTAGCTCGGTATAAAACGTATTGAATGGTCTATATGGGATGGAAGAATGATATAGCCTTTGTGCAGACAGATGTGCGTATTCGCGATGGGGATTATGAGCTCACCTCCTTCTTACAACTTCTCCAATCCCGGGTATCATAGTAGCAATCATTCATTTTCAATTGTTCCGCTGATGGAAGTAAGCTTCAAAGTTTTCATCCTGATACTTCGAAGAACGGGTTGAATAGTTAGAAGGTAGAAGGAGACATACCAGAACAGCCGGTGCTGAAGATGCGCTTATCCCTGCGGGCGGAAGGAGTCAGTCAGTCCGCCGCCGGACCTCAACAAATCTTCTTTTCTCGCATGCACTCACCAGTCATCGGGTTCATCGTCTTCGAGAGTTGTGCTCTGTTCGGCTGTTGATTTTTCGTTGTTGGACATTTTATCAATTGAGCACACGAGTGCAGTATCTTCAGGAGAAACAAAGTTGTTGATTTTGACTGAGGGAAAAAAGTTGTCTGAGATTCCGGCTGAGAGCCCGCTACAAAATGTCTGCTGGACGAGCCATTAGCTCGGGCAGGCTCAACGTCCTCGTCTACTCTGGTACGCCACCACCAACACAATGCACGAAAAATGCACAAAAAGAAAAGTAATTAATGTTATGGATAGGCCACGGGAGCACTGTAGAATCGGTCCGCCATTGCCTCTACACGCTCCGCCGCCTGCTCGCTCCCAACTATGCCGTAATCCCCATCACAGCAGACATGCTCATCAAAGAGCCCTGGCTCTCCACCTGCGCCATGTTGGTCATGCCTGGAGGCGCTGATTTGGGCTATTGCGCATCCCTGAATGGCGCGGGAAACCGCAGAATTACTCAATTCGTGCAGAACGGTGGTGCATACCTCGGTTTCTGTGCCGGTGGTTATTATGGGAGTCGCAGGTGTGAGTTTGAGGTTGGCGACAAGAAAATGCAGGTAATTGGCGAGAGAGAGTTGGCTTTCTTTCCGGGAACTTGTAGGGGGTGTGCGTTTGAAGGGTTTGTTTATTCTAGTGAAGCTGGGGCAAGGGCGGCGGAGGTGAGGGTATCTAAAACAGCGTTTGGCAATGAGTCGATTCCAGACTCGTTTCATAGTTATTATAACGGTGGCGGCGTTTTTGTCGATGCAGAAGCCTATGCGGATCAAGGAGTTGAAATACTCGCAAGCTATACGGAAGAACTTGCCGTTGACTCGGGCAAGGGTGCAGCGGCAGTCGTATATCGCAAGATTGGCGATGGAGCGGTTGTCCTTACCGGTCCTCATCCAGAGTATGTTTCTGTTATCTGAAATTTGATGTTAAACTGACTTTTCAGATTCGCCGCCGTCAATCTCGACAAATCCGCCGGTGGCCTCGAATACGCAAAAATCATTGACCAAATAGCTGCCGACGATACCGCCAGAACAGACTTCCTGAAAGCATGCTTGACCAAATTAGGCCTACAAGTCAGTCAAGACACTACTACGGTACCGTCTCTTTCTTGCTTGCACATGTCCTCTGTCGAGCCTGAGTATACTCAAGCTATTGTATCTGCTCTGGAAGAGATAATGACCAAAGATGAGCAAAAAGACATCCTTAAAGACGATATTGATACCTTTCGGGTCGAGAGGGCGTACGACAAGACGTACGAAATGGATGATTTGAAGGAGGCTTTGGCGGAAGAAGTGGCGGTAGAAAAGGCGACCTCTAGTGAAGGCATTGTTGATTACAATGCGATTGTCAAGCGATTGCTGATTCATAGAGAGCTGTCTTCGTCGAAATTGACGCCGTATTTTAATCACCATGCATTCTATGCCAATCTTCGACACTATCAGTCGCAGTCGAAGGAAGCGGTGGTCGATTTTGGAAGGTCTATTATATACGGTGAAGTTGTTACAAGTACTAGTTCTATGTTGGAAAAGTACGTGTTTGTTTAATTACCATGGATATGGCTGGCAATATGGCTAACACTATGGCAAACATCTAGGAATACCCGCCTTCTTCGACGACTGCCCACCGGCTTCACAATGACGGCCACCGTCCAAGTCGCTGGAAGAGGTCGCGGATCGAACGTCTGGGTATCACCAGCAGGAGCTCTCATGTTCTCGACTGTAATAAGGCACCCAATGGAAAAGATGCAATCGGCACCGATAGTCTTTGTCCAATACCTTGCAGCTATGGCTGTTGTCAAGGGAATAAAAACCTACGACAAGGGATACGAGCAGCTGCCAATCAAGATGAAATGGCCCAACGACGTTTGTGAGTCGCCCTCTTCCCCTTTTCTTATACTCAATACGTACTCACTGGATAGATGCCATGGACCCCGCCGAACCCGACAAGCAAAAATACACCAAAATCTGCGGCGTCCTCGTCAACTCCCACTACTCCTCAGAAGAGTACGTCGCCGTCGTGGGTATCGGCATAAACGCCACAAACGCGTCACCAACCACATCGTTGAATGCCATCGTCGAGAAATTCGCGTCTCGCGAAACCTTCAAACAAAACCCCATCATTCTTGAGAAATTACTTGCGCGAGTGCTAACGGTGTTTGAAGAATTATACATCCGTTTCCTCCGCAACGGCTTTGACAAACAGTTCGAAGACATGTATTACGAGGACTGGCTGCATATGCATCAAATCGTGACGCTGGAAGAAGAAGGCGGTGCCAGAGCTAGGATTAAGGGTATAACGCGTGATTATGGATTGCTTCTAGCGGAGGAACTGGGCTGGGAAGATCGGCCGACGGGGCGTGTGTGGCAGTTGCAGAGTGATAGTAACAGTTTTGATTTTTTCAGGGGGCTGTTGAAGCGGAAGGTCTAGCCTCCCGTCAATGAGGAATGCATCGATAGGTTATTATACAGATGATATGCTACGTCTCGGTCTTTGATTTCCACCCCTCAATAACAAACTCAAAAACTCTATCCCCTTGCCCCAGTGGTATAGGATGAACATGTTCATCGTACAACGATCTCTCAACATACTTCACCCGCCCGGCATGATCAACCAACAAAACGGTCTGTTTTTGCGTCCCATACAGCCCAGAATTATACCCCGCAAGTCCCATTTTTGCTAATTGGTCTGCTTCAGCCTCGAACTTTGCGCGATCACCCAGTAGCGGAATGAAGATCGACTCCTTGAGCTGATCCATATACTGCTCTTTAATAGGCTCGGTATCTGCCAATCTCGGCATCGTATCCGTTGAAAGGACGCGGAACAGCCTCTTAATCAAATCCTCTTCCTCTGCTCTGCTAGCAGCCCCCTTGTGGTCTGGAGGATAAGCGGCGATGTGCGCGTCGATAGTACTTCTCATCAAAATCTCCCCATGGATGATCTTGGGCCACGTCCTGTTCTTGAGGAACGTATTACTCAATCCGATAGTTTCGCCGCGGCCAGACGCAATCCATGTCGTAGAATCAATGTTGTCAGACATTCGATTCGATATGATTGCCAACGGCTCTCCGATACGACCACATACGAGACTGAAACCGCCTGCCTTGGTGGCCATGTGGGAACTAATCATATCTTGCACGAAAGCGCGTGTCGTTCTTTGCTCTTTCCCGCTTTCAGCCGATGGAGGAGGTTCAGTGAGGAATTCATTCACAATCGCGCCACGACTTATATTTCCGATAGGCGCTGATTCGCGATAGTTTGTTAATACAGCTACCCTGCCCTGCTTTGTGACGCCCATCCATGTGCCGTGTTCGGGACGCGCGAGATCTCGCGATCCTAGGACATGAGTGTTGGGGGCTTGCCACCAGTTTGCGGGCGCTGTAGGGCGGTGTAAATACTCCTTTCGTTTATGTCAGTGTATGCTGTATGCTTGTCTTGATAACAGGGGGCAAGGATGAGTACATCTCGATTGTCGATTATGATAAGTTCATATGCGGGGTGGGCGGTGGAGATTAGGGCGATGCACATGTTGCTTTCTCTCTGTTATCTCAGTATGTATGTCAAGTGCAGAGTGTAATGGGTTGTCAATTATGAATCATTGAGTTTCGGGAATCACTCGTTACATTCAAGTACATCTAAATCTCCAAGGTGGTATGTTGCAGTCATACAGTTTGCTTGTCGCCATCAGCCCACTTTGGTAAGATTGTTTATGTAAGCAATATCTTGGCCAACGAGATGATCGATAAGCTCTCTGAAAAGTGACTCACGTGAGGAGCCGCAATGGAGACTTCGTGACACTATTATATAAGTTGGTTGAGGCTTACTACAGAGATATTGCAGATAACATAGCTTTTTCCTAACATAGTCTCTGAACAACAACTTGATTTGTGGTTTTGGGAACCCTGCCGCTTTTTATTCAGAAACGTATCAAGGTTCTTTATAATGAGGGTAGTTCTAAATGTTAGACTAGGGCTATTAAGAATAGCTAATTATACGACCTCATATAATATTATGAATTAATAGTGACTATATATATCTATCTGCCTATGACGGTGAGATCCTGTAACATGATGGTGAGAATGTAGGTAAGGGTATGATAGTACCTTTGACATATGATGGTAATATTACTGTGATTATTTATATATTTATAACTATGTGCTGCATTTTATGTGTAATTTATCTACAGATTTCACCATAATAGGAAATGGTCCCCATTCGCATCGTCATATCAAGGATCTCTACGAGATGTGCCTTTTATCTTTGTATGTAGTTATTGAGTCATTGACTAACGATGGAGGTGTCTGGAATATTTCAAGCAAGAATTATGCATGGCAATTTTTTATAAGAAGCCAGATTCCCAGCTTGATTCTTGATCTTTTTTCATTCCTTCGTCATGTTTAGTTTTCTTGTCGTACAGCTATCCAATAGAATATTGGCTTGAACATCTTCAGATCCAAACTGTAGACCTTGATGCGGTTAGCGCCTAGTATTACGTGAATCATGGCTAATTAACTAACTTAACTTACCAGAATATCTACTGGACAACCCCTATGGTGCGACGCACGAGGCACCATTTGGCCTTTGTTGCCATAGTGTCTAATATGCTGGTTCCAGGAATGGACCTAGAACAGGATTAGACTCCCAAACCGCAGCGAGACTATGCTCAGAAATTTTGTTAGGCTTAGCATAATGTATGCGAGATTTCCTAATCGATTTTTTTTTTCTTGCGTGGGACTTCTTTTATGTAGAACCGGAATCTCTGCTTTGTGATAATTTCAAGTAGGTAATCACTAATTACTCGTGTAGATATCCTGCTTGAAAAGCCTCTTGTGTGAGGCCCCTATTAAACGGTATCTCTCTTAGGTGAAGCGTCTCCTAAGCGACATGACTGGGCGAGATTGCTCCTGCGCGAAATTGGTCCTATGCAATAGTTATGCAGAATTATCGGTTCATGCGGTCCGCCATAGCCTTGAAGTCAGCCTCGCGTTTAGCCCAGTTGAACCCCTCATGACAAACTGGATGATGTTGGTGCTATCAGTCTAGCCCAAACCCCAAGAATTGCTTTGATCTGCACACTGGAGCCGATCCTATCTATTTCTCGCCAAGCGTGTCAACAGTGAAACGAAATTCTTCATCTCGTACTTTGTCTTCAAGCCTCATCGTTGAAGCCATGGGTGAGATTCTTGGTATTGTCGCGAGCGGAATCGCGGTAGCTCAGCTTGCCCAGGCCACGGGAAGTGTTGTTCTAAAGCTCAAGCAGCTCTGGAACGAAGTCGAAAATACCGGGAACACTATACATGACCTGATGGATCAAATTGACTGCCTTGATCCTGCGTTGTGGGAGGCAGAGCAAATATTCAATCAGAATATTCTTCCTTCCCATGTCTGGGATGATACAGCGGCAAAGAATAGCGCCAGATATTGCCGTATTGCTCTACTGAAGTTAACAGGCATCGTAACCGATTTATCCGCCGAGATAGACTCGGCAAAGCGACGCCAGAAGAGTATCGGCATCATGAAGGTTCTCCTGAAAAGGAAGCAATTGGGAGCTATAGAGAATAGATTGGCAAACGCTGTGAGAATTCTACAGGTAGCGCAAAGTGGCTACTTAATGTGAGTGTCGTACGACTTTCTTTTATTACGGAAGAATCGATAGCTCTGTCGGCTCTTTTCCTCCAGACGATTCAATTGACCAGTTGCAGTGCGCTGAACAGGGTGCAGCCCGACCTCATAGCTGCGAAAGTCGTTTCTATGCTCAATCCGGGCTCTAGCCACAAGGAACTCGCTTTTATAAGCCATGATTGGAACCCGGGTATTCACCACAGCGAAGACAGCGATCCCACTGACAGTCCGCCTCGACAATCGCGAAAAATATTCAAGACGCAGGTCAACGGAATTGGATGGTGGAAATCAAGATTAACCACCAAACGATTGGCTTCGAAGCGCACGGGGAACAACAGTGTCATTGGCTTCCGTCCCCCATTGTGGCTCSCTGGGKGGATGTTTGCTTGGGACTTGAATGTTCGCAGGTCATACGCTGGCTGGGATGCGAATCTTCGCATATACTCAATCAGGCCACGTGGCTTAGAGTGTTTTCAGGCTGTGCAAAGAGGAGATATCACTAAGCTTAAGAAGCTGCTGATGACCAGAGAAATGACGCCTTTCGATCGGGACGATCTCGGCTGGACGCTACTGCATGTAAGCTCGTCATCTAAGTAGCAATGATAGAACAGCGTTTGCTAATATGCCGTTTTACTCAGTATGCAGCGTCTTGCATGAATGGGGAAATGGTCAAATTTCTGCTCGAATTGGAAATTGATCCCAACGAGACCAGCGACTCTGGCATGTAAGTACTTCACTACCGCGATAACAATCCAATTGATTTATCTATTATGCGACACATTGAACATCTATTCATGTTACTCCACCTAAAATCTTAATTGAATATGTCTCTGACTTGTATGCCTTGGCCAGGACCCCTGCAGACCACATATTTAAGTGGACGGACTTCTCGACCGTCCCCTCAACGACAAGACTACTCAAGTTTGTCAATGACATCAAAAGTACTGGATTTATCCCAGAAGTTAGACCTGATGTTGAGGTCGGGCGACAAGCTTGCAACTGTCCTATTACGCCAAACTGGGAGCAGTTTCTAGCGATGCAGCCTCTAGCTTGCCCTAGACACATACAAACTAGTCTCACATCCCGACTGACCAAGGCGCGTGCGCTTGTTCCTTCTCCGAGTAAGATCCAATATATGATGTTCTTGTTGGGTCCTGAGTGGTACGATGATCGACGAAACATATGCAATATCGTAGATACTGAAGCGTCCCTAATACACACGGCATCGGATATTATGTTTAGGTTAGAGGAGTGTATGTTTCGAAACCGGTTATCGGAGGATGAGTTTCCCAGGTGGCTTTCTTTTGCCATGGAAGTCATTCAGAATTGTCAGGATCTTCATGTGCTTGAACGGCGTCAATCATGGGAGACGCAATTTATGTGTCATATACACGATGAAAGCCGCACATTTACTCCGCTTGTTCGTATCATCTGCAACTACACTAATATACACGGCCCATCCTCTTGTATGAAAGCCATTCGAACTTGGATCCGCATGCTGAAACAGACGGGCGTCGATCTCTGTGAGTACGGACAGCGCGAGAACCAGCTACTTCATGAACATCATCTACAGACAATGAGAGATTTCGAGTGGTACCTAAAATTCGAATATTCCGGGCGTCGTCCTGATGGGATATGGCGTCTTCTGGGATTCAAATTTGGTCCAGACGTGGAAGATTGGGATATATGGTGGAACGAACCTACAGACGATTTTACTGGGGACTTCTGGGCACTGGTTGAAGATCCACCTATCCATGTTCCAGGAGAATGGATTGAGACGGAACCCTAATCCAATTGTCAAACATGGCTACGGAAATCTAGATTACGAAGAGATTGAAGATTGCCAGGCAGCCCGCTGATATCTCTCTAATATTGCGCCTCTTACTGTATCACAAATTAGCGGACTGAGTAGAATATCTAATAACGTGCAATTCAACTGAAGACTGAGTTCTGTACTTTACCACTTGCCTCTTAGACATCCTGGATAACAATAAAGCTGCTTCTTCGCTTCGCTCTTCGTCTCTATGGGTCAGTGCTTGTTTTGCATCATCACAGAAAACGGTCAAGGAAGGATGATCAAAAAAGTAAGGCAATAAATGTGGAGACATTGTGGAATGCGGAGTTCTAGACCTTTAAGAAGCCATATATCTTCTTATGTATAATTTTTTAAGTTGAGAATACTAAACAGAAATACCAATTATCTTTTGATATCGCGTCGCCAATCATTCCATGGAGGGATGCTTGAATATCTCCAACGATTTTCAGAGTGGCTAGATGGAATGACAGATTTTACTATCATTAAGTGCTATAAGGGCTTGATGATAGCTCTCCTCGAATATATTGTATTGATGCGAACAAATGGTATTGTTTATGTAGGGTTCAAAAATAAACCAGTTGTCACGGTGCCAGCCTGATACGCCTGCTTCTACCTGTCATATCAGGTATACCTCGCCGGGAAGCTTAGCTTCATGCCCATTACTGACTTACCACAATCCCGAAAATTCCCAAAATCGCTTGGGGGTAATAACTTTCCATCAGATCACTCAACGAATCTGATATCCGACGGATTGACGGCTTGATTTGGGACTGATCCCGAATGACTGGTAACCGGTATCCGTTACTAACCTAACCTATACTGCATGACGATAAGTAGAAAGTTATCACTGAAAGATGTCTTAAATTACCTTACGTCATAGTCATCACGGGTCATATCGAGGTAATGATAGCTGTACGGAGGCAGTGAAGTTGCACCGCGGACTAATCCATGTACGATGCGGAAACTACACCCAGCCCCTGACGCTAAATGACGGTGAATAAAATGTTTAGCGATATAATCCAATAATAACAACGGCTCTTCATGGAACTCGGCCACGGGATTCATTTGCGTAACAGAGCAATATTAAATTGGGTTAGTCGCCAAGTAGTCGATATCATATCTCATGTCAAGCAACTCAGGTCCCTGGACCTAGCACTTGATCGTAAAAGTAAAATTCGTTGTTTGGCTAATAGGTATATAATCATACTTTCACTAGTCGATAATCAATCAGTAACCCGTTGAAAATTCCTATTGAATGAATCTGATTCTCAAATCCAGCATGTCAATGTGGGAGTTCACTCCAATATTGCTCTCAGTACATCAGTCTTCACGTAATCGGCGCAGAAAGGGAAATATCTGTTCATATCATGACCCAAAAGCCGTATCCGTGTTCTCACTCCGCTCCTCCGACAAATGGAGCTCTTGATCAGGATCAATGGGCGCCAGAAGACACGCAGTTCAATCGACCTAATGATCACGCTTGGGCGGCAGAAACCTCAAGTTTTGTCACGATAAACTCTCCGGGAACGTTTGAGTCTCACTCCCTTTCACTATCTCCACCTCAGCACCCGTACTCCTCATATCAGCAGACCTTTTTTGACATGATCCCGACATCAACACCGACAACCCCCTCGACAATTTCGTTGAATGACCAAAATCATTCAACTACAGCCGACAGAGGGGGTTATCAAGAACCTTTGCCTCCATACTCCAGCCTAGCCGCGGAACCGTCTTTGCCAGAGGCACATGTATCAAATCGACATGAGGTTAACTCAGGGAGCCTCAACTCAGGGCACGCCAACGATTCTCACATTCGGCAATCAATTTTCAGAACTGATCCTGTGGACAGCGATCACGACAATCAGCGAAAGCCTTTGTCAGCAACAGCTACTCCTACAACCCACTGGTTTTTCCAAAACAAAAGAATATGTCTTCTTGGGGCCTTCGGTATTGTCCTCCTGGGTGTCATTGCTGGTATCACTTCCGGATTTGTGGGAAAGCATATCTCAAGCAATGATAACCACCAATCTGCTGAAGATAATGCAGTATCTACGACTGTAGAAACAACCTTGTATATTACCAGCACTTCTTTCCCGCTACCTCCTATCCCGCCAGGCGGCCTATAAAGGATCTTGTCTACAACTAGTAACGAATCAACAAAATAAAAACGCAGATGCTTATGAGACTTTTTTAAAGAGGTGAAGTAACTTGATAGCATCCAATCAATTTGTCTTTAAGTGGCATCTACTTTTTCCTTATGACTTATCAGCTATTAATTATTCTAGATTAGGGGGGCATGCTGCATCTTGGAAGGTCGGAGTCCACCTACTGAGAATACAGCTCACTTCCTTGAAGGGATCCAAAATAACGATATCACTCTAATTCCTTGAGTGGTGATCCGTTTGCTATTATAAGCTGATGGGACGCAACGGCAGTGGCGTATCAATCTTGACAGGAGGCGTACCTCCATCTAATGGTCTTCTCTCTCAGCCAGTCCACCATATGTTCGCTGGTTGTGCTGCTGTCTGTGGGTTGAAAATGTGCAAATGGTCAATAAGCAATCCGGGGTGTATGTGCTTCATAATCGTCTTGTTGAAGTATGTTCTCCTGAGTGTGGATGTTCGAATGGTGGAAAGGACAATGGATGTCTTGGTCGAGCCAAAAGTGATGAATTGACACCCACTCTCAAATCTTGTGGGAGAGAGACCGGCTTGGTTGAGTTCACTCTCCAATTAATCGTGCGGCGAGTTGGATTTGTAATACATGTTGGATGAAACAGTTGTCGGCATTGAGAGAAATCACCATTCCCCTGAATCGCCTGGAAACATAACCCTTCAATCCCCTGTTTGCAAACCGCACATATCGATCCATTTAGTTGATGATAATGTTGAGAGCAATATGGTTGATCGTTGAATACATAGAATTCTGCTGTCCGAAACGGGGATCGACACGTAGAGCAAACAAAACAACGCTTATGATATCTTCCACTGAGCTTTCCATCAGACGAAACGACTGCTCTGGTCGTTATTTTTAGTCCACATCCTTTACAGGACTGCTTGAATGACTTTACTGACTCATTATGGGCTGACTGCATCATTTGTTGTTGGAGGAACTTTCATCTCGATAAAGTAACTTTTATAGATTACTGCTGATCTTGGCCGAAGCATTAGATATTGGACAGGTTCGTGCAAGCAATATTTATGTCCTTCCGATATTAGATGATCGCGGGTACAGTGCTCGCTGGCTGATTTCTCCTCCGCAGTGCCATATTCAAATAGGTTCGCTTTAGACTCACAATGTTGATAAATCATTGCCTAGGAAAATCCAGATAAGGAGTGGCACCAGTTACCTCAAAAATTCTAGTGTAGTCGTCAGCTTCTGGAGACACCCGAAATTTTAGGGTTTCTGGCACCAGGTCAAGTGGCTGGCATTAGACGTCGCCGTTGGCGAATGCTCGACTAGCGGGCAAATCTCCTGGTGGTTCCACTATATCTTGCGTTAGCACGCAAGAACACCTGGGGCTCACTAGTTTTCTTTTGTTTTACAGTTATTGTTCTCGATAGCCACGACTACCGGATGACTAGAGATTCTCGGAACATCAATTCGCAATGCTGCGAAAGTAACCATTATGGTGCTAGGTAAGAAAAACCATAATGGCGTCTTTTCTTTGCAGTTGGCTTCGTACCACATGCATCCGTGATTGGTATTAAGGCCTCATCAATGACAGAAATACACTAACATATCTGTTGCACTTAGATCTGGGATACAAGCGCCTACGACTGGTTTAAGGTGGATCTTCCGCGGAATATCTTTAACTCCAAGGTTCAACCAGGTGAGTTTAAACAACGTCTCTGCATTTACTCTAGCTATCTATTTCATTTTTAAAATTTTCATAAAAGCCACATCCAATCCGTCGGGATTGCCAACAGAACGCTGTTTGATTGCTGATCGACGTTAACGTGATGCACGAGTAATCCGCGCACTTGGAGATCACATTATAATCTCCATCCTCCAATTTCACAGATCGATATCTCCGCAATCAACAGAAGTCTGGCTCTAGAATCTAGTATAGTAAGTTATATACGGTCATTTTTGCCAAATTTACAGCCCAAAGAGATTTTGTTGAGTGGTTATTAGGGTCTTCAAGATTTCGATAAATTACGGGGTAATTTTCGATACGAACCCGTTGAATAGAATATTAGATCTAACCTAAATGATGAAGCTTCTATTATTCTGTATATTATAGCATGCCTTTTAAGGTTAGGATCTCCCATTAATACCGAATGATGCATAAAATAGGAAGCTAATACGGTACTAATATCCGTGTCCACTAGAAAGGGCCTTGTTTTGTAAGAATTTAATTCTAACTGGATAGGGAAGCCCTACAAACATGCATAGCAACATGAAATGGAGGTCAGTATAAAGGTTTTGATTGATAGGATCACTGTACACGTAATTTAAGTGTCAAAGTCTGTTTCTATTTCATGAGACATTATGCAAGTTCTCTGTCTCATTGAATACAGATTGAGGCCGTTCTGCTGGGAATCGCTGATCAGTAACCTGGATACTTGATCTCATATCCTTGAATGAATTGAGCAAGTACGCAATATCAACTAGGCAATATGTTCCACACCGATAGAGCTTGCATCTTGGCTCCTAATGCTGCTGGATGACTCGCTTAACGACTACGTATCGTGGAAGCTCTAACTAATCTGTGGATCTTCCATTACTGGTACGCGTAATTCTTCCATGGGGGAACTGTTATTTTTAAGTCATCCTCTCATGTCGCCTTGCTATATAATAATGAATACACTTTATTCTTCTTCTGGTAAGCTGCATACCATTGAACGCTATCCTTCCTCATGACATATCGTCGAGACCCAGACAAATGAGGCAGGAGAAAATTAAAGCCAGTGTTAGAATATAGATACTAGAGATAACGAAGTCAATGATAGTACCTATTTTCGGCATGACGCGACTTTCCAATGGTAGATATTCTTCGTCGTATCAAAGCATAGTGATGATCTAAATATCAAATTATTGAGATACGTAGTAACTGACGTGCTGCAGCGCCGGGTATAAAAGGCTACATACAGACCGACCTAATGTCTATTTCGAATCGATTATAGAGCAATATCATGTATTACAGTGTATCGAAAATGTCTTTGGTATTTCTAGAGATCATCTTGCTCTTATGCATTTTGAGCTTTAGCAATGCATCGTCATACAAGCGCGACAACAGGACGATGACCTTCACAATCACGCAACAAGCCAATCCAAACTTTATTCGGAATGCATCTGTCACTCACTTCGCAGATTTGGCACAGTACAATGTTATCATAAATTCAACATATGCTGCGGCTCTAAGTGCCAGCATAGCAGCAGCTGGTGGGCAAACTGGTAGTACCTCAGCATTGGGTCTAGCCTATGAAAGTGAATACGTTTGCCAGGTGACAATAGGCGACCAGGACCTGTATCTGGACTTTGATACAGGATCTTCTGATCTGTAAGTTTAACTTTATATCTGCGACTTTGTCCATCCATCGTAATGACTGAATATGTGCATCTACAACATGGGTGTTTTCCACACTTACGGTTGGCATTGAACAAGTCGGACACGGATTATATGATCCAGCGCTGAGTACTACTGCCACTCTGATGCCGGATGAAACATGGGACATTTCATACGCAGACGGTAGTGGGTGCGGAGGAATAGTATTTAAGGATCAGGTCTCAATTGGTACCAGTACTTCCGTGGATCAGGGTGTGGAGGTGGCACTATATGTTTCACCAAAATTTGCTTTGGATTATTTCACTAGTGGCCTGCTTGGGCTAGCTTTCAGTTCTCTGAATACTGGTAAGTATTCTTGTCATGGTTGTTTTTCTGCGTGCTTTTTTCCAGGAGCAGAGCTTAACGTTGCTTTCTCTATCACAGCAAGTCCTGTGCAGCAATTAACATATTTTGAGAGTATTCTGCCTACATTGGAGGAACCACTGTTTACCGCAAATCTAAAACATGGGGCACCGGGAAACTATAACTTTGGTTACATTGATCCGACAGAATATACAGGCTCTATTGCCTGGACACCTGTGACCATGCCATATGGCTACTACGCATATTGGCAGCTTGACTTGAGCGGATACCAAATCTCTTCTAATCCATACATCGAGACACCCATTAATGGAATTGCTGGTAAGTCATATTTACTTATGGAGTCAAGAGGAAACGTTCCGCTGATTAGATTGTTATACATCTAGATACTGGCACTACACTTCTGTATCTACCAAACGATGTTGTGACGGCTTACTATGCGGCTGTTCCAGGGTCAGTCTTTGATGAAAATGAAGCGGCTTGGCTGTTCCCATGCTCAGCTACATTACCAGACTTTATCTTTGGTATAGCAGAATATCGAGGGGTTGTTCCTGGTGATTATATGAACTATGAGCCCGTGGATGATGTTTGGTGCTATGGAGGTATACAGCCGGATACTGACTTAGGGTTCTCGATATTTGGAGATATTCTGCTTAAGGCACAATTTGTGGTGTTTGATCATTCGGGACCGCGTCTCGGTTTCGCTAACAAGCTTTTGAAGCCGACCTGATACATGATGAAAGCACGGAAGCTGCTCAAAATAAGTAGATCAAATCTGCGAGCAAGGATTGTTCACCTGCACCTATCTAGTGTAAAATCCTTGCCATAGTTTGATATCGTTTTTGAGATACATACGATACGGACTCCAATGTGTTATGACCTTCTGCTTCTTTGTAGACATGTATGCTCTGTACCAACTCAGAATATGTAAGTTCACCCGAACTAAGCCGATCCTTCTAGTTCAGTGCTTAGCATTGAGTGAATCTTTTGGCAAAAGGCTTTCCAGTTAATAATCAGTAACAAGCCCAAAAGCTTCCAGACGAGAGGCATGACTCATTCTTAGAATCATATTATACGCTTACACGCGCCAGCCCCCGACTACTTCTAACATAAGCCTCAAGCTCCTCATCTTGCTCAAAAACCTCTGTAGCGTGAGTATTGTAATAACACCATGACGATAGAGACTTTAGCGCGATACTCAAGCGCTACATACTGCTCAGGACTGATGTACGTAACTGTACAACCTTGAGAACAAGCAATTGATTTTCTCCCACTGCAACCACATACACTCGACATTATTAAATTGACAATTTTGAGACACTCTCGACATGTCAGGAGTAATTGTCGGGTTGATATCTCTATATATCATAATGATTGAATATAGATGCTTCAGGCCATGGAGGAGAATGAAGCCGCAGTTTTTTTCGCTTACACAGAGCCTACCCTGTGATCTAACGAGGGTGAGTATGTTGCCGGCAGGAGCAGTATTTTATGATCAGGCAAAAGGTGCCATCCGCATCTTGCACCAGGTAAAGTGTCTGAATGATGTTTGGATGACGATTCAAGATCGAGCTAGTGCTAGATACTGTAACTTGATTCCTACACGTATCATACAATTTCAACCTAATTATCATCTAACTTTGAATGGACGAATGTATGTGAAATCTCTTCAATCAATATTAAAATAGGCTTTAGTAATATCCAGCATATATCAAAGTACATGAGTTCTTCCGGGTAGCAGAGGTACATCGAAAAGGCAATATTGGTGTAATCGAAAGTTTGTAGAGTCCCATGTCGATACCTAGTGCAACACCAATTTTAGCCCAGGGATTAGGCAAACAAATGCTGGCAGCCTCCAAATGTATTGAGATACTGATGAATGACAAGCAAGTGATAAGAATAGAACAAAGAGTGTCGGGCCATAGAGGCATGTAAGAAGTTAATAAAAAGGGAGGAACATAACAAAATAAGCCCGAATTGCAATCAAGATTGTAAGGATCTTGGTGTTGAATAATACCCTCCCAATCAGGAACGGCGTTTGCGAGAACGCGATATCGAGAATTAACAGTAACCGAGATAACTGCAGACAGCGCTAGGTTGAACGTTATTCTCTATCAACTCGAGCCCTTTGGCCAAAATCGTCCCGACAATTTTCTCACACTCGGATGTGGCGTTGGAGGCGACCTTTGAACAGGCTGAGTCAACTTGTTCAGATACAACAGTCGTAGTGCTATTGTCCTTGAGAGCTGCGAGACCCAAGTCCACAGCATCTTCACAAATTTCACACTCCCAGGCGCTCGAGCCAGCAACTAGTATGGTAGAATTCAATATTAGCTCAAAGAACTAGGTAATGAGTAGGAAGAAAACATATCTTGACATATTAAGGGGAATGTGAAAACGATGGCCAAAAGTACATACCAACAATAATAGTCTGCGTGAGACCGAGGAGAACAAAGAGCGAGGGGATATGCATATTGAATGAGGAGATGATAATCCGGTTTTATATTTGCTTTGCTTGATGAACCGAATAGAGAAGTTTGTAGTTTACACTGGTAGGGTTCTATACACACCTTTATATATGCTCATCCTTGAAAGGATTTGCGTGCTGTGTCCATTTTTAGATCTACCGGACTACTGCAAGGTACAATCCATATCAATAGATCACCCACGTTATCGATCAATTGCTCAGACTAATATAAGTCTAATCATGGAGTAACATAGTTTGTTATTCCATGGCGTCTTGTGCGTTGGCTGTGACAGTTATGAGGGTCGTAAATCAAAGCCCTACCAGATCACTAACTTTTATTCAGCGCAGGCTGGCATTGTCAGATGTCTTCAAGGCTATCAGGTGGGTTGTTCCGCGGAAGAACCAAGTTTAACATGTTAGATCAGGAACCACAAGGTCAACGGTATTGATAGCGGATCCTCCCCTCGCAAGCTAACGCTATTTAATATTGATGACGAACACATGCGTAAACACTCAGAAAACTGATTACTGGCCGGACATCACTCAGGGAGTTGGCTCAAATGAACGGCTCTACGGAGAAAGCGAGACTCACACTGAGAGAGTATTGGCTGGTATCGAGAAGACTCAATCCTAAACATGGCCTTAATCTCACACCTGCAGGTATAGGCATTCAGCCGGAGCAACGACAATGAGACCATCGCCTGATATGCAGACACAAAGACGCTACTACAACTGCCGATGCTACGACTGCTAGTCGGCGAGGAGGATACGTTCGGCCATTAACTTTTGGCAGGTTATTGATCAGAGAGGTGAAAAAAGAAATGGTGAAAAAAGAAATGAGAACCCAGAAGTTAGAAGGAATAGAGAATTGTTGTACAATAAGTTGCATAATCAGCTTGACAATTAAATAAACGTTAATACAGTCCATGGTTCGTTTACTGGAACCCTTCTATGCAAGCCAGGGGACCAGCTGTCAACATCCTGGATCCCCGTTGATCGGCGGCATAGTTTGCCTTGAGCGCCCGGTAGCTTCGTTAGTATGATTTTTACATGGTTTATTTGCCAATCAATTCTGCCAGTCATATTTGCTCACCACGCTAATATTTAGTATGGTGACCTCCAGCTTCAATTACAGCTTGAAACCTAGCCTGCATGGACTCTATCAAATCCTTGAGAAATGGCTCCGGTAAAGCATCCGAAGAAGCGCATACAACCTCACGTAATTTGATCATAAGCGATGTGGGACTCTGTCCAGAGTCGCTGCCGTCACAGTGCCGAGGATGAATATCACAAAGATATGAAACGCTATCAAGGAAAGAACGGTATAGTATAGCTCTTTAAGAGTATATCTTTTGCCATATCTTTTGCCAGATCTTTTGTCCTCCCGCTCGACACGATCGACACCTTAAAACGGATCAAGTCCAAAAAGAATGTTCGCATACTCAAACAGCTGCACATTTTCATCCGGCATGGCCGCAGACGTGGCCGCCATTGCTCTTGGAGCATCCGGCGCTCTCCCCATATTCAAATCGCTCCCCCTCAACATCTTTATTGGCTCCCAACCTGGTTCCTACAACTCGGCCACTTCTTAATTTTCTTAACCGATAAAACTCCCCAGCACGATACATTGATTTCCCCCGGGACTTCATAGCTCGATATTTATTTCTGCTCAGCTTCTTCAAAGGAAGAGAAGGAAATGGAATTGCATAGAAAGTGAACAACTCATACATGCAGGGATCCTCACCAACCATATCTTTGTGCTACCTCACAGAAAAGAATAGCCGTGCACCTAATGTACTGTAATAACTTATATTAATCAACTTTATAAGTAAGCCAATCTGGAAAGTGTCTTTGTAAATGGAGCAATGGTCCCGAGCCAATCGAAAGTAATATTCAGGCTGCGCATATTCTCATCTTAATACCTTGGTAGTATCACAACAGTCAGTAGCACTGCGATACCAAGATAATTGAGCTATCTTCACCTGTCAATTTCAAATCAACCTCTGTGAGGCTTGTCTAATCGAAACAAATGCTCTATACAGATAGACGGTAGCATCGGAATCGAATGACTATTTGTGGGATGGGGGTTACGCAATGCCATCTTCTATATTGACATTTTGTACAAATCTCCGAGATTATCATGTAGACACTGCAGCGCGTATCTACGGCATGGCACCGAATAACCAGAATGGTCAATTTATTGAAATAATGAGTGGTAAGTCATCAAATTTAGAAAGGTTGAACCAATTAAACATGGTCCACTCAGCGTGTCTTTCGTCGTCGGCACGGGTTAGCATCTAGTGCCATTTTCATCGTTGAATGCTATCAAAAATCTCTCGGCGATATGAGACACTTGAAATTGATGGACTTCTCCCTAGAACAACGATCTATGTCCTCATGAACCTCAGCTATTATCATGTTCATATAGTAGATCCTGAAAACGCATATCCTTGAAAGGGTGCAGTGAAAAATAATATAGATCAAAAGTAATTGTTGATGAGTCCAGATTCTCGTTGCAATACTACACCAATGATTGTACTCCTGCGGGAAGCATTGCTTTTCTAGCGTATTGTGGCTCACGGCGCACGGTGCTAGGGTTATCACTGATCACTAGTTTAATCGTCCAGTGGCAGTCGCATTGGACTCATCACTCAGCCTCGCACAGCCTTGTCGGGCTATATCAGGCACCTTCCTTCAATCGACTCAGCTCCTACTTTTAGAATTGCTCTTTAAAGTCACCAGTTCATCAATTCAATCAAATCTGCTAATAGAATTTAGCCACAGTCTTCAAAAATTTACATTCCGATACTACTTATACTCATTGTTGTACGTACAAGAAGCTCCCAAGGTCACCACATTTTGAAGCCTTCATGTTGCTGATAACCAAGATGTCTAAACACACCAGAAATTCGTCTATCTACTCTGACCCAGCGACGATTACCTCGACTCCGACAAAATCGTCCAGCTATTTTCCTATCCCATCTGCTTCCTTCCATATATGACCAGGTCCGCTAGTCCGGTGCCCAATGCACATGCTCTGCGACACTTGAACCCAGCTGCCCTAACGTATCTTCTTCAGCAACAGCCATACGGAATGAGTAAGTAATATGTCGTATTGTCAAGTGCATTTTGAGGCATGTCCTAATTGAAGTATGTGATAGATGTGTCGAGTAAAAATAAATTGCTCCAACAACAAGCGATGGTCAGACAGCAGCGAGCTCTCCAGCAGCAGCACTTAGCGCAACAGCAGCAGCACCATGCAGGCGGTATACCGGTCTCGATGCCTGCGGGTACACAGGGCCTCAACCAAGCCCAGTTATCCGCTATGCAGAACCCCAACATAGGTGGCCCGGCGGTCAATATGATGCACTATCAGCAACAACAGTTACTTGCCATGCAAGCTCAAGCCCAAGCCCAAGCCGCCGCTGCACAAGCCCAAGCCCAGGCAAACAACCAACAGGGCCAGCATACACCGCAACAACGAGCTCCCAACGTACCTCGCGAAAGCGTCACTCCCCAACACCAACGAATGGATCGTATTATGCAATCCAATCGCACGAACAGACCGAGGATTGCTGTGAAAGCCACTATATCTGAGGATTTGTCAGGGAAAGATGACCCCAAAGTTGCCAAGCTACAATATCTTCAGAAGAAAAATGCAAAGCTTAACGGATTAGATATCCATTCTAATAAAGCGCTGCCTTCAAGGAGTCGACAGCGCAGTCACGGTTTGAGTCAGAATATAGCGCATGGAGGTTTGTCAAGTACAGGCTTGATGGAGTCTTCGACGGCCACAATCCCGGCAAAATCGAGGACGCAACATTAAATTAAGTATAAATGAATTGGAAGACACCATATTGCAGGAGATACTCAAGCAATAAATAAGATTTATTTTGAGGCGGGGTATCAGGAATTTCGAAAATATCGTCGAAGACCAGCATAATACACATCATATTGTGAGGAGAGAGTTGAATGGATATAGTAATTGGAGTCAAGGTAGAGAGGGGATTGTAACGCAAGTAGTCTCGTGCGTGGTTAGAAGAACAACTAGTTTAAAAAGGAAAGGCGCAGAATTCATCAATGTAGCTATCCAATAAATGGTATGAACAGATCTCCCCCAGATCGAAAGTGTAAAAACCAAACCAAAAGAGGCTAGTTTCTGCGGGCCGAGAAAGACGCTACCCGCAAATCAGAGAGGTGCGTGGCATGTATTTCTACTATGAATTCCTAGCGTATTTGGGTGGGGCGCTCCTCCGGGACGTTTACGTAGTAAACCCTTTCTCACTCCCTTCGGTCCTGCCGGAGGACCTCTCGATAGCGAAAGCGTTGTATTGCGATAACGCGAAATCGTCCCTTCTGAATCATGAAAAACCTTCCTTACCGTCTCATTACTGAGACCTGAGACAGGGGCTTGGAATAACTGACGAATATGGACTAGCACTACCTTGGCTACAGGGGTTCAAAAACAATCGAAATGAGTAGAAGCGCGCACTGGTTTTGCAATCAAGTGTAAAAGGTATTGTTCGATATGATCCCATAATCTGCAAAATACCCTAGCTATTGGTATGCTACCCTATCAACAAGTTGTGTAAAAAATACTTAACCTCTGGAGTTATCACTGCGAAACACATTAGAACCACCGATGAACGAAAGCTGCAAAGGGCAGAATTTCAAGTATCACGACTGACCTTCACGAAGGGAGATAAAGGAAGGTTTAGACTTTCTGTCATCTCTCAACTCCAAAGTCATAGCCTGTGACGGTAGGCAGGACAAGAAATAGCTCAAGACTTTTAGCCAGATTTGAATTGAAAAGTCAGTTTTATCCCCTCCGTGCCTCCTATCATAGGTATACACGCCGATATCGGTATTCCTCGACACAGTGTAAAGCTCTAGTTCTAAAGCCTGAAAAGTCGAGATCAAATTGCGCAAAACTGAAACTGAGTCCTGTAACTGGGGTAGTATGTCTGCCATACTCGCGATAATTTTCTGTTTCCTCCACACTTGACAAGGTTTATAAGTATTGGTTAACAGAGAAGATAGGATACGGTGCCTGTCCTTTCGATATGTCTCGTTGGGCGCTTGAATTATGTAACTGGGATGAAAACCTTGAATCACATGAATTGTACAACCATAAAGTTGTACAATTTTTATTTCTCGATTTTGGGCTTTTTGAACATTTGACGAGAGGCTGCGAACAAGAGTATGATGAACAACGGGTTCAAGCCATTTAGGCGAGTTCTGCGCGAGGCATTGACAAGAAATGACCGTTTCCAGCTTATAAGTTCTGAAATACTCGAGCGTTAAGTCTAACGACTCTCGTAAGGCCTTTTCCTGATCTTCCAGCTTTAAGGACTTCAACCATATTTCTGTAATGAAAGGAAATGTGTTGATGGTGCGTATGTCCTTGGCTCCGAGTCCGAGCGGTTCCAGGATCTGGGTGAGCCATTTGAAAGTCGGTGCATTGGCAACCAGCTTGTCAAAAGGCAGCTCTTCATTTTCAGGCGGATTCTGAAGAAGTAACGCGGGGATACATAGTAATCCTTCCAGTCTTTTGATGTGGTTATTGAGGTATTCCTGTGGCCGGTTCCATCGTTCAACATATGCTTGGCATCTCTTGACGAAGTTGCAGTCAGTTGGTAAAGTGAATCTCTCAGCATGCACATCACTTTTCAAAGAAGGGATCTATTCTTCCTCGATGAAATTACTAATGCTCTGAGGACGTCCTGAAGGAATTGCCTCTAAGAGCTCCGAGAGGCTGTCTAGTCCAGGCATTTTGGAAAGTGCAACTTGATAGCATATATGGATGTGGCAGACAAAAAGAGCCTTTCAGTGACTTATCCATTTGGTATGGTTATTATATCTTTGCTCAGCTTTTCTTGACCTGTGTGTTTCCGCAAACGTCGGCAATGTTGTTTAAATTTATCTATAGTATGGACCGCGACCAGAATCTCGATGCGGATGTCAACCCAAAATAGTGGCTAGCCGCCGTTATCTATATCGTTACTAAATTTCTTGTCTGTCAAAAATCTCTGCAGAGAACGTTGCCTGTATTTATGCTTGTTCTCTATAAATACAGGCAATGTGACCCAATATCCTGGCTGCTTTTAGTCATAATCTCGACTAATACGTAGGCCTAATGCAGCATCGCAGACGTAACATGTATTGACGAATGAAGCATACTACAATATCGATGCGCAGATCAAAACAACTAATCCAGTGATACCTGCGGAACTTGGTATCTGAGAAACAGTGCCCATGGAATGGGAAGTTGGGGAGGAGCCCGAGGACGCTTTTCTCTGAATTAGTCTCTTTTCAGTTGAAACAGATAAAAGATGCGATGGCCTCTTAACTTACAACTAGTTCTCGAAGTATTTAGCGTCGTAGTCGTTGCTGTAGTACTGGATGATTCAGGATATGCCGTAGTGCTGGTAGCACTTTTACTTGTCCCGGATGTTACAGTAGTGGTGTCATCTCCCTTAGCAACAATACTGAAAGTGTCCGACTGGACAAGCAAATCATTATTGGAAGTATCTTTAATCACGAACCGAAAGCCGGAGCTGATAGTGCACAACTAATTAGTATTGCCTAATTCTGTCATCCTGCGGCTGGCTGAAATTCCATACCTAGGTACGACGTCAACTCCGTCAAAGCTGTAAGATCCAGCCGTTGTGGAGACATTGCTTGCGATTTCAATGCTAACACTTGGTAGCCGGTCATCATTGATCAGGTACAAATTGAAGTTCGCTGGATCAGTGCTGTTTATATTTCTGCGCCTCAATATACTGTATAGTCACCAATCAGAGGATCGGTTTTTGCACTCACCTGTTGGACGACCATACAATAGTAGTCTCCCGGGAAGTGTCGAGTTCAGATCCCCTCGCCGGCGATGTTACTGACAGGCCTTTTCACATTGGTGGAATCAGTACCATTATTTGATGGATGAAGAGGGAAGGGGGTTCCGAAAATACATGATACAGAGGTACCGAAGATAATGGCACTCAAACGAAGCGCACTGATCATGATGGCAAAGTCCAGGATTCTATTAATGTCATATAAGACCTTTGAGCATAAATACTGACAGAATTTGATCTTGCTTTGTCTCAGTAGAAACTCAATGCGAAGCCCAGTTTCCGTGATACTTTGCTTTTGGTTTTACTGCCCATTATCCGTACATGTCAATGGTATTTATAAGGTACAATTACAACAGGTATGAAGGTGGAGGAACGCCCGCAGAGAAAGTTATGATTAAATTACTCCTATGTCAGGAACAGAAGAAATGAAAGGCATACGCAATTTCTTCAATGTCAAGGACGTAGATCATCTTTGATCTGCATCCACCATAGTTCTTGGCCGAGATATCTTAATCACTCCGCGGAGCAATCACAGGGATAAATGGAATCCGAAATTCATGAGCGACTGCGACTTTGTTCCGGGTAAGACTGAACAGACCGAAGAGACGTGGTCCTCGACAACTCGGGCAAGTACCGGTAGTGATCGGCGAAAAAAAAGTCCTCCACAAATAATACCAGAGGTTCGCAAGCGTCCCCTATAATATATATAGAGAGCAGTTCGTTGCTATCGTTGGGGTGCCTACTATTTCCTGCATCGGTAACTGTGGAGTTACGTCTCGTAACTTGGATAACAATGGTTTCTTCAGGCCTTAAAAGTATACGCGATTTAAGCGGCAGCTGGGTTATGGTAAGTCTACAGATTTGCTATTTAAGCGAATGCTGCTGATTCCTGGTCCGTGAAACAGGATAAGAACCGATCCTCCAACCTCGATAGCATTTTGAAACTGGCAAGTATTCAAATCGCCCGGCACCAAGCTATCAAGCATAAACTAAGGAAAATCTAGCAAGGAATCTCCTGGATGACAAGGAAGGCGGTCGCGGCAGCAACAACGACATTAAAGATCACCATGGGCTCTGACACGGATGGGTCTACTTCTATGAAATTAGAGCAAGCCTCAGGAGGTGTGAAGGGCGAGCCGGAGAATCGCCAATTAACGTGGGCCGAGTTCGAGCACAACGACACCCTCTTCGGACCTGTCATAATCCGTAGTCACTATATCGCTGGGACGAGATATTTGGATAAGGGATTTCGACCAATTGTTGAGCTTCAGACCACGGCGGCTGGTTCGGACGTAAGGGCATTTTTGACTGAGCTTATTGGCACGGACCTGGAAGCTGAAAGTGAACATATGACCGTGGAGAAGGTCTTCATTCATGACTTTGTGCGTAACGCCAACTCTGGATGGACGGCTGAGCAGGTAGGCGTACCGAGAGTATCCTTATTGTATCCGATATACTCACTCCATGAGCCTTAGATCTGGGCTTTAGAAGTCATTGGCGAGGAGGAATTCTTGACACGCAGGGTTGTGGTTGTGAAAAACACCTCTATTGAGCTCGCTCAATTTTTTTACAGACGTGAATGATGGCGCAGGCCGTTAAAGTAAAAGTTTTGGTCCAGGCGAGTAGGTTTTGATTCCTTCAAAAAGTATCGATCTATAGCGAGAATTCGCGTTAGCTTTCAGGAATTAGTGGTCTGCCCGATGGAAAATCGTCGGATCAGTAGTGACGGTGGATTGTCTAGTGTGTTTTGCAAGTAGTACGTGCTTGTTTGCATGCGACCAAGGCTTAGATTAGCCAGCTTTATCTTCGCTTGGCCGAGGAAAATCGTCAACTTTCCTCTGGTTAGCGCAATATAATCTAGATTCTCCATATGGCCAGGTCCAGCGATGGGTCGCTGTAGTCCGAACGCGGTCCACGATTAGAGCAGGGTGGAGACACCGGCTTCGCCGCCTAGGTGATCCACGAAGAGACAAATGAGATGGCTAAAAGGGAAGACAAAACGGGCAAGAAAGGTATTCAACAGCTGCCGCATGGTATTCATGGAAGTGGACTCGATCATTATCGCTTGTGAGTTGGAATTAGAATGGGCGGACTGTGCTCATTGAAATCGGAGAACGACTATATAATAATATCTTGCGGCCGACATTTCGCACTAGTGTAGCCCCCAGCCATGTTCCAAGACCGTCAATACCCATGAATGCAGGGGTCTTGCTTTGACAATGTACTTTGAGCAGAGATAATTCCTCTGTTCTACTAAGAAAATACACGGAGACAACGATAATAACACCAACATGCCGTTCAGGATCGAAGTCGCTAAAGATGAGGACTTGCACGAGCTCATGCAAGTCTTATGGACATGCTTCGAAAACCCACCTCAAGGGATCCTACGCGTCTTCTTCCCTATTCTCAACGCCGACCGAGAAGCCAGTCTGCTCGCGGCTAGTGATGGTCAACGAGACGAATACAAAGAAGCGTATCCCGAACTGATCTGGCTCAAGGTGGTAGACGAGCAGACGGGTAAGATCATTGCAGGCGCAAAATGGTACTTTTATCAACGCAATCCATTTGCCGCAGGTCCCGGGGATACCGACGGTCATGATCCGCTGAGTGAAGAGGCCGTCTGGTATCCTGAAGGAGTTGGAAGGCAATTCGCTACGTTGGTGATGCATGCTTTCGAAAAGCCGAGGGTTGTGATGGGTCAAAGACCTCACTCATGTAAGTTGTCTTTTCTTAAACAAACTTTTCCTATGTCTATTGTACCATGATGTTCCGTTTTAACAACGCCGATTTACGTCTCCAGACCTCAACATTATATTCACCCTGCCTGACTACCAGCGTCAAGGAATCGGACGAGCAATGCTTACATGGGGCCTTGCAAAAGCTGACGAACTCGGCCTTGAGTCATGGCTTGATGCCTCCGTCTTTGGATTCCCATTATACCAAAGCCTCGGTTTCCTGACATATGGATCCAACAACATTAGCGTCGGAATGCCCGAAGATTACACTGAGCAACAGCAGACTGAATGGGAACACTACAAGAAGATAATGTTGCCCGTTGAGCATGCTGTGATGTGGCGGCCAGCAGGAGGTAAATTTGTCATTGGTGAGACAGTTACGCCTTGGTTCCATTAGGTCCATCACCGAATTTCTCTCATCTCGTGTTTGCTGCGGGACCATGTCGTTGGAAATTCCATGTATCACATACGCCTGGTGGCGGTGTCGATCACAAATTATGTTCTTGAACTTTAATTAATTGAATTGGGGGGCTGGTCGGGACTATTCCAATTGGTGAGTTGTGGTGCGCCAATGATTAATAGATAGTATTAAGGCATGGAATACAGCAACCAATTCCTTTGTCCTCTCTTTCTATTCATGGTGAAAGATGTAACATTCATATCGCAATGAGCAGGGGGGGTGGTCTGGAAGGATTACTACGGCGATTACCCATGTTACTGGGCACCGTGGTGAGCGAGTAGAAAATCATTGGACTTGTGCGAGTCAAAAAGCAAGGACCCTTGGGAGGAAGTGTTACGTAAATATCCATTGTAGTACAAATGTCGTAGTTCGTAGGCGTGAGTTTAGTATCAATCAGACTACAGGGTATTGTAAATAATTAAGGAGCTAAAATAAAATGATGTCTTGAGTGAGAGAGGAAAAAGAAAAAAAAGAAGGGGTATGGGAAATCGGCCACACTATATGCTTCTATGGTGCCTGTACAACTCTTATCAATTCGTAGCAATTCTTTTCTGTAGACGCATGAATATTGTCAGCAACATCAAAGATTCGTTTGAACGACGATGAGTCGATTTACTGGCGATACTTGGCTGCCTGCAATCAATGTCATCTGCTGGTTTCTTCTGGTTGTCGCGATACTAGGCATTCTAACAAGAATCGGAACAAAGCTCTGGATATACCGTAAGCTCACCAAAGATGATTATGTGATTATTATATCCACAGTCAGTATACCGGTTGCAAGGGCTTCAATGGCCATCACTCTGTATGAAAGAGACTACGAATTACTAAATTTTCCACTTAAAACCAAAGGTATTCGATATCGCTCAGGCGATCGCGACTTCGACCGCCACAGCGAACGGATATGGCGAACATCTCGGAACCTTGAGTGATGACCAGATAACGGCTGTCATGAAGAGTCAGTATGCTGCTGACATGCTTAGCATTGCCAGTCTTGCAAGTTCAAAGATATCCTACGTTATGTTCGTCCGGAGTATCACCGTGGTTGCGCTGGATCGCAGAATTGCATTAGTTTTCATCGTCATTTTGTCGATATGGGGACTTGTGTCTGTCATAACAGTTGCCTTTCAGTGCCAACCCTTGCCGACGTGGGATTATCTGACAGGTAAATGCTATGATCGGGTGAGTTCTCGCTGAGCTTTCATGTCGGATGCCTTACCAAAGACTGAAAAGTTACTAATGATGAGATAGCAATCATGGCAAAATTTTTTTAGTGTGTCTAACATCATCACTGAGATTGTCATAATATCACAAACTTTGATAATAATCGCCCGGATTCAGACGAGGCTGGAAAGGAAGTTGAAAATTGCTTTTGTATTCGGCCTACGAGTATTGTAAGCACCCCTTCCATACTTGAAGATTCTTCTTTCAGCTTATGCATTGTTACTTTCAGTGTTGTGGCCGCCGCGATTGCTCAGATGGTCGTCCTGAACAAAACCTTCGACGACCCTGATGTTACCTACGCAACTTGGTCAGTCTCGGTCACAAACCAGCTCATCTTGTGTTCTAGCATCATGACCGCCTGCTCGGCACAATTGAAACCTTTCCTCGATAGCTTGCGATCAAGCGGTATGCGTCTTGACGCGATCACTGGAAGCTATCAGTATAAGTCACAAAGATATCACGGCTACGGTTCACATCGCAACCGATCCACAAACCACAGCTCTAATATTGCGTCGCAACAACACTCGATCAATCTGCGCAGTCTCACTGGAAGACTTGCGCACCCAGGGAATGAGCTAGGAGTAAGCAGCGAAGCTTCCGTCTCTGCATCGAGGCCCGCACCAGACKGGGACGAGGTCAGTGCGACAAGCCAGTCCCAAATTATTCGAGAAGTGAGGACGTTTACAGTCACTGAAGAGCGTCGTCGCTCATCTGACGCCGATGAGATTCTATAACTTCTTACAAATTGTTACTAAGTGCATGGACAGGAGAAATTAATCGTGTATATGTAAGAATGGATGGTGAAGATATAGAATTTGATAAATTGAGCTTTGACATCTTTTCACGATACCATATAGTTTTGATATATAATTGTCTCTTTTCAAGGTTAGTTATACTTTCATCCAGTCCCTGCGAGAACGATGCCCTAACTCGGCCAAAAATTGGTCGAGCTACCCAGGTACATCCTAGACCACAAAGCACAGGGTATCGTAGCAAGGGCAGTCTGATTGCCGTATGTGGTGGGTATGAATATTTTCCGAAGATCTCGACTAAATCCTAAGAAACGGGGAGGTGGCAACGCTTAGAGATTCCTACCGTTCCTGATAGTCCCATGCTACGGTACAAAGAGGCGCCGAAGAACGAACTGCATGATTGGTACTCACTCACAAAGAAAGGCCGCGTGTGTGGAACTAGTCAGAAAGGATTACGCCTTCTCTATGGTGAATTAATTTACAATGCCCAAATATTCTTTTTCTCGCGGGGGGAGCTAAAGTGTTGGCCGCACTCGCATCCCGCTATCCTGCGCCGCATTGATGCATGTCCGTTGTGACCCTTGCAAGTATACAGGGTGTTTCTAAATTAATGCCTCCCATACCTGGTCACAATTTTAGACACGTCACGGAGGCCAAGACTAAAGACTTGGCTGTATATAATATTGAATGATATCGCCGGGGGGTCATGCCACCCTGATGCGTGGTATATTGACTTAATTTCCATTGCAACATAATATGGATGTCTTCGACCCAAGTCATGTTCTCCCTCATCTATGATGGCCCAAATAGCAACTATAGTGCTCGAAGTGACAACCGAAGTCAAGTTTGAGCTAGTCTTGAGATACTTTCTCGCAACGCTTCCCATTGGAAGAAAACACCTGCTAAAGGTTGTCATTATGCAAATACACTTACGAAACTAGATCCATCCACAATTTATTTTCTGTCCTAATATACACAATGCAACGCTATTCTAGAGCTGGCGATTTGGAATACCCCTGTAGCAAGAACAGACCCTGGCACCCTTTCTTTTTCCCCTCGTGTAACTATCAAGTGTTTTCTTTCACCCCAATTCTCAGAACTTACTCTTTCTTTTTATCAATTATTTTCCCTTCCTCTTCCTGCTTTTATTTTCAATCCTTGTAATAAAATCGCAAAGACGGTATGGCAAAGAGCGAGTCTCCCAAGACGGCCAACCTGGCTTCGAGAGAAGTCGAAGGCACTTCCTCTAGCGAACATCGCGATGAGGCAGATTTGGCACGGTTGGGTAAGCGCAGTGTATTGAAAGTAAGATGCTCCCCGAATTTTTAATACTTCATGTCTCAAAAGCTTATCCGCAAAAAGCGCAACTTTGGTTTCATGGCTGTTCTGGGTTTTAGTACTACTATCTTGATTACATGGGAGGGGCTCTTCACGTAAGTCGGGTCTTGGAAGGAAGGAAAATATAAGCTTGTTTATCTAACTACTTGATTTTCAGGACATTCTTGCAGCCGCTTCAGAAGTACGTGCCATTGTTTGTTGTGTACAGGCTTGTTCCTGATATTGGTACTAACATTTGCCAGTGGAGGTCCTGCAGGTGCAGTGTACGGATACATTTTCGTCTGGGCAGGAACCGCAGCAATATTTGCTATGCTTTCTGAGATGGTCTCCATGTAGGTCGTTTCGTGGGATCAGACACAAGTCGAAGACTGACAGTGTAGGGCTCCAACGTCTGGTGGCCAATATCATTGGTGCTCCATGCTCGCGTCCCCAAGGGCAATGAAATTTTCAAGCTATGTCACTGGTAGAAAACAAAAATCCCTCAAGTCAGCAATTACAACGATTGACTTGGTACAGGTTGGCTCACGGTTGTCGGCTGGCAGGCCACATTTGCGACAGCCTGTTATCTTTGCGGGACAATCATACAGGGTCTCATCATATTGTCAAGTCCTTCTTACGTACCTCACCCCTGGCATTCGACCTTTCTTTATTGGTCTGTGGTAGCATTTGGACTTGTCATCAACGTTGTGGGGGGAGCGTCTCTCCTACCCAAGTTTGAAGGCCTGATCCTTGTTCTACATGTGGTTGGATTTTTCGCCGTCCTCATTCCATTGGTGTACATGTCCGATCACAGTAGTGCTGAAGATGTTTTTGCGACTTGGGTCAATGACGGTGGCTGGGAGACACAGGGGGTTTCATTCTTTGTCGGACTCATTGGTGTTGTATTTGCGTTCGCTGGAGGAGATGCTGCGGTGCATGTAAGTTTGACAATGCCTTCCATTTTGGCTATCGACTATACTTGTTGCATGGCGTTCTTAAATTTAAAATCTAATGGTGACGAACAGATGGCTGAAGAGACTCAAAACGCACCAAAGATCGTTCCTATCTCCCTCATGTTCAGTATCCTCCTCAACGGCGTCCTAGGCTTTGCCATGCTCATAGCCTCTCTTTTTTGCCTTGGTAATCTCGACGACGCCATAGCATCGCCTACAGGATACCCGTATATGGCGATCTTCCTACAAGGGACAGGCTCAATTGCTGGCGCTACGACAATGGCTTCTATTATCTGTGTGATGGGCATCTGTGCTACCACCGGCATGCTTGCCACAGCTTCGCGCATGTTTTGGGCCTTTGCACGGGATCGAGGTGTCCCAGGATGGCGTCTTTGGAGCCAGGTATCCCCACGAGCAGGTATTCCTGTCAACGCTGTTATTTTCACGGCAACAGTATCGGTTCTTTTAGGTTTGATTCCGCTCGGCTCCCCCGTCGCCTTCAATGACCTCACCTCGATGTCTACATCTGGTCTGTATTTATCATATATGGTGTGTTGCATCCTTTTACTGTATCGCCGCTGCACCAATGGCATCGCCGATCCAAGCGATATCACCAATGCCGACTTGTCGCCAGCGGAGCATGAACAAATTGTAAACACGGCGGGTGCAAAACTTGTCTGGGGCCCCTTCCATATTAAGGGTCTTTTCGGCGTCGCTATTAATGTCTTTGCAATTGTTTATATGTTGATCACCGTGTTCTTCAGCTTCTGGCCACCAATGGCCGAGGTCACCGTGTCGACAATGAATTACAGCGCGGTCGGTACAGTTGGGACAATGGCCTTGAGTCTGGTGTACTATTTCGTCCGGGCCCGGCATGTTTACGAGGGGCCTATTGTGGAGATTTGATCTCTTCAAAAAAATCTGATCAACTGCTAGAAATATTACCGTGATTATGTTGAGACTATCGACATCTCTATATGTGCATTACCAAGACAGAGCGTTTCGGCCAATCCGAATGTGGTGCCGGCCATAATGATATCTAGAGAAATTGATATAGCTGGTGCATCTGAGAGGACAATTTCCACACAAGATATTAATGACTAAGTCAATTCTGACCGTGGTATATAATTATCCGCAAGGAGTTTCTCTTGCCTTGTTTGTAAGTATGAATCTAATCCATAATTGTTGCTAACATATAACCCACATATGCAATCAGAAATCGGAAGCAATAGAAGTCGCGACATTAGTTTGCGAGCAACCAATCGCTGATGTGTTGACCACCCGCATTCATCCGGAACCAAACCAGGACCAAGATCAATTCATTCAGTATTCAAAACTATAGTTAAGAAGCGATTGAAACTGTTCATTGTCAAGTTGGCTATGGAGCCTGCGTGGCGGATTTCCATATTGTGCTCAACCGTATGAAAATTCCCGAAACTGATGCTCGTCTGCTATGGTCTTTCGTGGGCGAAGTCGGCCGAAAAGATACGTCCTCTTAGGTTTCTACGGAGATTGACGGTTAAATGGAACCGGGAGTAGGGAATTGCGAGATCCTACCTACTAGGACGTACGTACTGCGTACGGACTTTGTCAGCTAGGCGGGCTAAAATGTCAAACCAATCACTGACTTTGAATAAATGTCTCCATTTTTGCAATGTAAAAAGTTCGCACTAACATAGCCCATAGAGATAGTTTTGCGATTATCTAGTGATCTACTGGTGCAGAGCTTTGCGCGTACTAGTAGGACCGCGCTGAATGGCGGGTTCGAAATTTGAGAACGAGCAACAGTTACGTAAAGCGCAAGATCTACCACAGTGCTACTTGGATCAATGCAAGATCCGAGATCAATCAGCCAGTTTTGTGTACCTGGTACTAACGGGAAGTGTCCTTCCTCCACCTTGTCTCTTGTAATGCACAAGGAGACACTGAAAATTGATCCTAAAGGTTGAAGAGCAAAAACAGGAAGAAGATAACCAGCTGGTCATACACAGGACACCGCACCCCTGAATCAAATCAAATTACGGATTCGAGTTACGGAGGATTTTGAAGGTCTGTTCCGTGCCATGACCCAGAATGAACCGCTTTGCGAGACGTCGAGAAAATTCTCCGCTGGATCTCGGTTGTAGATCTTGGTTCTAGTCATGACTCAGTGCGAGATGAAGACTTCTCTGTATACCCTCAAATGAGGATAGTGTACCCACTGACTGTTCTCATACATAGCACTAGTGCAAAGTCTATATCCAGCGCCGCCTCCAGATGAACCTGCGTCGTATTTCCGGTATCCACGAGGCTGGCTGATCGTGACCCACACGGCACAAGATGGGCTGTTTGGTCAAGTTAGAAGCTTGTTCGATGGAGCCTATGCAAGATCTCGGACCTTGTCATTATCAAGCAATAACTTAGCTTTGTCCCGAAAAAATGCTAACCCTACCTTTTGTAGCTAAGATCGACGCGTGTGCTTACATTAATGTCCTAGATTCCCTAATCGGGGAATTTCTCCAGCACAGTCGGCCTGGTCTGTACCAACAAATGGCCCAAGACGATCAAGTTGCGCTACTAGTAGGAGAACCGTGTCCGGTCTCCCAAGATGTCGCAAAATTACTGCGTCCATGACGAAAAAAAATAGAAAAAAAAATAAAAGGAAATTTTCAGCACGCAAGACCAAGCTCGCCCAGTGCCTCCTGACACGACCTATATAAGTTTTCCGCACCCACGCACAGAAGCAATACTCTCGGCCATCCTCTATCCTCTTCACAAATTACACCGCAACTTGTGTTTCAAGGCTACCTAACGACGCCATCATTATGAAGTCTTTCCTATTCATCGCTGCTCTCCCGCTGGTCTCAGCCCATATACACGCTCGTGCAGCTGATGGCATTGTTACCCCCAATTCCTTCAATTATACCAACCTAGGTGGTCCTTTGAACTGGTATGGCCTGAATACTACCGCCAACGATGCATGCGCAAAAGGTACACACCAGTCACCTATCGATATAGGCACCCAGACCGTCGACTATGCTGTCGCAGGATCGGTGAACTTCAACGTCACCAATGTCCCATCTGCCAAGTTCGAGAACTTGGGTTCTGGATTGGAGGTTGTGATTACTAATGGATCGCTGGCCACAAATAATATCACCTACCCCCTAGCCCAATTCCATTTTCACACTCCTAGTGAGCACCGCGTTAACGAGGAGTACTTTCCCATGGAGTGCCACTTTGTTTTTGAGACTGAAGGTATGCGTCAGCCCCTTTTTCAAAAATCATATGTTATAAATCTTGGGACAGTATTAACAGATGATTAGCCAAACAAATTGCCGTCGTTGGTTTCTTGATGGAACTCTCTCCCTTCGGCTATACCACTCCCCTCTTCGACTCTGTCTTCGCTCACCTCGACGACATCAGCAACGCTGGTACATACACCGAAACCGGCCCCCTTGACTTCACCGGCATCATCAGTCATTTCAACAAGTTCGGGGTTTACACCTACAACGGCTCTCTGACCACCCCTCCCTGCAGCGAGAATGTGCCCTGGTTCATCAGCACGGAGCCCCTGTGGATCAATGTTCAGCAGTACCGAGCTGTGAAGAATGTGCTGAAGTACAATGCCCGCTATACGCAAGATACTTTGGGTCAGACCAATCTGCTGGAGGTTGCTGCTAAGGAGTTGAATTGAAAAGTCGATTTATTAGAGAGGGACAATTTAGAAGATTACATGGAGATAGGTTGACAGGGCTGGTCCATATAGGATGCAACCATGCTATAATGTTGAGTGATGAATGACTAATTGAGAGACTTCGTTCTAGAGTCGTTGCACTTGTTGATGAAGTAGTACTCTACAAACCTTTGATTGATAATTCTGTATTAATTTCCTATCAGACTATTCGATGTAACCACGCGGTACTTTTTGATCTAGTTGGCGTTAAAACTTTCCCTCAGGAGGTCTCTACCTAGAAAGACGTCGACTTGCTTGTACAGACATTTCATTCATTATCATCCTACCTACATTTCTGCAGTGACATATCAACAAAGCTAGGGTTGCGTTTATGAATAGTTCATGAAAAGCACCAATGGTTCGATCAAAAACATTAGTTGGCCTTCAAAGCCACAGCTACGTATGTAGCTCATATAATCATACATAGACCCTCCCGCAATATGACCCCACATCACGGTTTTCCCTACTGTGTTCGACCGAATAGGTAACCCCAGAGTTGACGATACACCGGGTCTAAGTTTTCAAACGGTGAGTCTATACAACCGCCATTGGTGGGCCTTTGAGGATGGTTCGTCCGCACGTGTCCGAGGTTCATAGGGATTTTCGTCAAAGACTCTCTAGCGCATGTTTATCGAGGCTGAGCCCTAGCTTTGCTGATTCTTGTCCGCAATAGGTGAGCATTCCTCTGATTACGTCAGTCAGTCTTTTCCCTAACATTGAGTTAGGAAAACCATTCGTATTACTTCAGGCTATGATTCTTACCACCATATTAAGTGTTCCGGTAGATTATTATAGGATCAGAAGCAAGATTTCGGCGGGKTCCATTTGAAACCGGGKTTGGCACGTCGTTTTAGAGCCTTGGTCTTGATGACAACGGAGATACCTTCATTGGGATCTATCAATTCAAATTAACAAACGGTCGAAAAGAGTAGAGAGCCGTCCATACAAATCATGCATTGATGGTTTATATAGTTGCAAGTCGTCACCGAAACGTATCAACAGATCGTCTCGAACCTGCCAGGCTGGAATAATATATGCAAATCCAGAATCTGGATTTCCGGCTACAACATGGCCGTAAAAATCACCTGTTTGTGCATCGAAAACGCATGTACCACTATCTCCTTCCTCGAGTTTCCCATCAAACTTGACTGTCCATATTTCTTGAGACGGCTGGTCTGGCGCTCTAAGAAAAGACGGGTCGCTAGCAAGCGACCACTCAGATAACCTGACGATCCGGTGATGGCAACTATCTTCGCATCATTCGGCCGTGAGTCTGAAACTTGTGTGACATTAAGCGTGAGGTCATGAGCTCCATTGTTGTAAAGGAGCTGCTCTGACATGCTAGTATGCGAGCCTTCGATCTTGATCAGAGCGTAATCGAGGCTCGGATGAGACCCTTTTACCGAGCTTGCCAGCAAAGTGCCCGATTCCAGCCGTCGTTTATAGGCACTAGGATTTGCAGATATGGTGGGATTTCGTATTGTACTACTGTTGGATCTTGAACGTGATTTGCTCCGAGCGCTCTTGATAGGATCGGCAGTGACGAGAGGAGGAAGTGTTGTACGGTCCTTAGATCTCGAGCGTGATTTACTGCCAGCCCTCTCAAACAGACCCATAGTGGCGGCACCTGAATTATCAGGCCCTAGTATTGATATGTGCTGACGCCTTCGTATTCTGGAGGTGTATCTACTGGGAAATAGTGATCTTCGTGGATGGCGTGAACGACTTCCTCTGTCACTCTGTGAGGCGGCTCGAGGTAGAAGTGCAGCACTTTCGAGGGCAACAGCACCTGCGAGAGTAACAGCAAAAGCAACTGGACCTACGACAGCAGCAGTACTAAGATCAACCAGTGGGAGAGCCCAAGCCCTAGAAGGAGGTGGGCTGCGGTTGTGACTGAGATAGTGACGGCGATGGTAATGCGTTGATTCATGAAGAGTTTGCTGAGAAGAGTCAAGTGTCGTGGAGGTTGCTTCTGCGGTGGCAGGAGGATTATCTGTAACCCTAAAATAGGAAATATGCCTAATTAGCTTCATTGCGGTCATTATCGATCAGTTACCCACCTTTCAGTAACAGTTTTTCCTATCTCAAGTTCAGGCTCTTGGGAGGAACTCGACCTTGATATCGAATTTTCTGATTCCTCCAGGGCCGAATCAAAATGTTTGGACAATGGGGAGCGACTGCCTTGCCTTATTGTTCGGAGGAATTCTTCGCCATCAGAATCGCTTTCCCCGTCAATATCGTATTCGAATGGAGGGCAAGGATCTGCTGATTGCGGTCGCGATGCAAACCCGTGAGCTGCAGTCAAAAAACATATTTCTTCCCCTACTCTGACAATTACTCCAGCGGTTGCTTTCCTTGACATTGAGTCAGTCCTATTAGGTTCTTTGACGAAAATATGTGAGCCCATTATATTGTACGTCGGCCGGTAAAAAACGGACATCTCGCTATTTGCCGGTTTGATCACCATTCCGTCTGTATACTCATCGATAACGGGCTGATGCGTCGGTGGCCCAGATCTTGAAGGATGCGAAGATACTGCACTGTTCAGATTTTTTAGAGATGCCTGATGCGTCGATGCCCCAGATCTTGAATGATACGAAGATACTGCCCTATTATGATTTTTTGGACGAACTCTATGGTGACGTGGTTCGGAACGAATAATGCCTGGGTAATACGAATCTTCCGTATCTGAACAATTGTCGCTAAAAAAATCATCCATATCACCCGCAGCGAGTTGCACAAGTTGCCCAAAGTCCGGAGGATGCGAGCAGTCTGCCGTGTCCACGCCGGGATATCTTAGCAATATTCCACTTTCTTTGATTGTCTTTCTGGCAGTTTTTCGCGAGTTGCTGTCTTCACAAATGAACATCAAGACTGGTCTAGCTGTGGATTTGGTCTGACCGATCATATACAGACTCCAGTGTAGTTCTCGCGACGGTGACTCGCAATTGCGATCCATGTATGTCTTGATTTCCGCCGCCAACAGAATGAAAAGCTCGCGAGCAGGTACTTGGGCATGCCAACACTGACTTTTGCCCATGGTGCGACAAAAATCCCCGATGGATGCTTCAGGATTTTCCCAAGAATGCTCTGTACCGGGACGAGTATTCGCGATTCTAAGTCGTGCCAATCGATGAGAGATCTGGGACATTATTCCAGTTGAATCATGGGGAAGGTTGCCTCCGATAGAGCGACGAAGCGATAATGCATTCATTGTGCTACATTGTAATGGAACGAGCGATATACATAAAGAATCGAGCACTTGGCAATGGCAGGGAGAAAAGCGTTCAAGAAGTTGTAAGTGATCGAAACCCAAGATGCCACTGTCAGGCTAATGAGGCACAGCCGGGTCGGACGCCTAATCGGAGTCAGCCTCGTTATGAGCCCCACGGATCACTAGGTTTTTAGCAGCAGGGAGTCACTTGGGACGCTGTTGATGATCGCCATAAAAGCAAAGAATCTGCCAAGCTGATGATTCGCAATCAAAGAAAATCATGACTGCACAAGACCCTCTGGACATTCCGCTCCATACAGAGTTGATTAGCACTGTCTCAAGATGCCGATTCATCAATGACCTCTGCAGCTTATCTATTGATCAGCAGACATTGACCGCATACAAGTATGACCTAGATGCGTATTTTGTCTACTACTCAGAACAATGTCGCTCAGCACTCCTCGACCGAGGGCGACATGTGGCTGTCAGAACTCATCGCGACGTCACCGACATTGCATCCTACATCCGGGGTGGACAACAACGTGAAGATATTAAACAGATCATAACATCAAAATTACTGACTTGCAGCTCCCCGAATGACGACCGGATCGCCGAGAATACCATCGATCTCGTTGCCAGCCTCTTACTGATGATGCAATTTCGAGATCTGCCGTTTGGTATATCTCGATGGAGGCCGCTCAAGTGGACGCATGGCTCTCTTCAAGATTTTTTGAGGGGCCAGTGGGATAACCAGCCTATGTTGAAAGAGACGGTAAAGCTTGAATCTATATTCAATGCGCCAAATCTGACACGTATTGCGGGTATCAGAATCGAATGGACGGATAATCTTAACGACCATTTGAAGATGATAGGGGAGGACACCGCGGTGATGATATTCCACCATGCATCTTTTTTGGAAATGCAGAGACAGTGAGTGAGTCGTATCAACCATGTGACACATTTACTACGGAGAAATCTCACTACTATAGTGATCTATTCCCAGCGGGGTTGATAGAAGAGACGCTCAAAACGCTTGCCCTACTCTTCCCCCAGAATGGCCGAGAGACACAGTCTTGGTTCGAGAAGATTCAAAGCAGACCTCAAACTCCAACTTTAGACCCCAAAGTAGCCCGATGCGGGCGGCTGAAGAGCGACGACCGGCACCTAGAGCATTTCACATTCTGGCGAGATCGACTGGTGATTCTGAAACAGGTGTTTGACGAAGCGGAGCCAAACACTATCCCACGGCTATGGTACGACCGGCGAAAAGGCGTGCAATGGTATACATTCTGGGTCGCCGTTTTTGTTCTCCTCCTGACCGTGTTTTTTGGTTTTGTTCAGTCGGTTGAAGGTGCTTTGCAAGTTTACAAGGCCTACCATCCGAACTGACTGCAGTTGTATTGCAGCTTGGACTATATCAGAGCGGGTACAGATAAATCTCATTGATTTCAGTCTCACAGTAAAAGAAGCAAATTAGGCTGAGTAACTTGGGCGATACTATATCATCATATCCCTTGATTAATGTGTCTCCGTATCATTTATCGGAGCCCTAACCCTAATCGCGCAACCGCGAATCCACTCATGACGTAGTCCACTTGTTGGAGTTCGTAATGTCTGAAAGCGGAAGACAATGTGGGATATGGTACCAAGCGATATTGCACCGATCTACTCATGAGTATAAGAGATTGCAGAAAGCAGTAGAATATGTCGTGGTAATAGCAGGTAAGAAGAGCTCGCGTGAAGAGACAGGAAAGCCCCCACTTGATAGTCGCCTGCCGATAAGCCTTGCGGCCTTTCTTATCACTCCGCTCTCCGCCTTTTGTCTCTCGTCTTCATTCATTCTTCCTACACCTCTTGATTCCGCAAGTAGAAGAGTATATCTGCTTCATCGACTATATTGAATACATGGGCTGAGCCATTTACTACAACACATACCCGCAATGTTTGGAATTTTTGCGGATCTTCTCTCGTATGTCCTTCGCTTGCCGAGTCAGCTGCTCTCCAGCCGAAACAGGCACCAACGTCATTCATCATGACAGCTATTCTTCCTACATAGTTTTAGCTAACGTGTTGTCTTTTCTATAGATCGGTTATTACAATCCTCTTCCCGGCCTTTGCTTCCTTCAAAGCTATTCGTTCTGGGAATCCCGCTCAGCTGACACCATGGTTAATGTACTGGGTTGTTTTGTCGGGGATATTGCTGGCTGAGTCATGGACAGTGTTTATCATCGGATGGTACGTCGGTCGTTACGTGCCTGATTATAATATACTGACGAATATTGTTAGGTTCCCCTTCTACAGCTGGATCCGTCTCTTCTTTCTTTCATACCTTGTCCTCCCGCAGACCCAAGGCGCCCGCATCCTCTTCCAGGAATACGTCGACCCATTCTTTGAGCAACATGAGCGCGAAATCGAGGAACTTATCGGACGCACCCATGAGCGTGCCAAAGCACTAGGACTCCAGTATTTCTACCAGCTCATCGACATTATCCGCGAAAAGGTTCTGGGTATGCCATCTCAACAGCAGCAGCAGCAAATGGCCCCTCCTCCATCTGCCGGTGCTGCCGGGTACGCACAAGCACTACTCTCACGGTTCAATCTCCCATCAGCCAACGCAATACCAGGTGCTGCAGCTGCTACCGGAGCAGATTGGTTTTCAATGGTGACCTCCGCCCTCGGCACAGTAACCTCTTCCTCATCGACCCACCCTCAATCTCGCGAGGCACAAATCGAACAGCTCTCCGCAAGCGGCGCATTCAATACTGATCAGTACAAACATCTTTCGCGCTCCCAAAAGGCGAGTTTGTACTCCTCGCAACGTGAGAGATTGGAAGTTCTCGCCGCTGCTTTACACAAAGAAGAGACTAAATTACACAATACGACTCCTGGTAGTAGTGATGACGACGACGACCTTGCTTATGGGCATGGTCCGGCTGGATTGCGCAAGAACGCGAGCGAGCATTCATTCGATCAGATTGACGCTGATGAGCTGAGTGGCTCGCGATTCACTGCGGGCAATGAAGGGAGCGGTGGTGGTGGTTGGGCGAGTGGCTGGKTTGGTGGKAGTAGTGCTCCAGCTACACAGAAAAGACCGTCTTCAGGCACGAAAAGGAATGTATCTGATTCAGTGGATTTCGCGGCCAGAGCGGTAGATGAGATTGGTCGTGCGTCGGGCTTTTCTAGATGATTTGTCTGAATAGATTATTTCAACTGGAGTTGGTCGTTTATGGTCCCATCTTGTTATCTACGAAAATTTATTTGAGATTGTTGAGCTACTATATGCTAGACCAAGCGTTATCATAAAGAGTAGAGTGATGTATTCGGGTAACTACAACAAACTACACGACAGATGCATATACTATACTGACACCACAGCAACAAACACAAATTCAAGTCCCTGGAGAGCACACGATATAGCCGAGATGACAATACACCCAGTCAAGACAACAACGATCAGTGCCAATCAATCCATCGTCTTCGAAAGCTCGGAACCCCCCTTTTCCAGTCCTGATCAACTTCAACATATACGGAGATAATGACTGCAAATAGTCGATAAATGCATAACATACAATGCAACAAAAAACGACAAAAACTCGGAAAACCGCAACATAGGTAAATAATCTACATAAACGGGACAGCGATCCGCGATGCTATTTCTTGATCTCTCTCTCTCATCTCTGGACTCGTAATAGACATAGTCCACGAATGAGCCCCTGTCCCCAGCCTTCACTTATCAACCATCGAAGGAAGTAACCTCAAAAGTTTAAAAAAAGTAAAACAAGAAAGATCTCACATTCCGGAAGACGAAGGTACAAAACGGGATGTAATGGGGTATGATATGATGGTATGTATCTAACGCTCCTCATCCTCCTCAATAACAATCACAAAAAATTAAGATAATCGAATCTCAAAACACTCACAGCATACAAACTTGAAAATTGAAAGAGAAAATAGAAGTCAAAAATAGAAGCAAAATAAAGAAAAGTAGAGTGAATATTAAATTCTTATAAACAATCAATCAATCCCAAACTTTTGTCTTCCCGAACAATGTTGACAATGACACAAAACCTCGAAGGAAATAAAAAACAGAAACAGAAACAGACAGAACAATGGACAAGACAAGAACAACCGGATGAATATGCATGTTTTTTGTGATTTGTTCGGTTTGACTTCAGGTGGTCATAGTAATGCATGGTAATGATGGTATGGTATCTTGGATTGTATTAACCTTTTTTCTCCTTCCTATCAATATTCTCTGGTATCCATTGTCTATGCTGTTTCTCCTTCGCTCTTTACGGGTTGCGATTTGGTTAGTTCGGGAGAGGTCGGGTTTGAGGGCGGGGATGTTGCCATATTATCGTCTAAAGCGGCAAGGGCGCTATTTCATAATTAGTATGTTTGGAGTGGATGTAATGATAGAGAAGGACAAAAAATACCTGAATGCGTTAAGGGAGGATACGGCCTCCTTCTCTTCCTTCTTTCCGGCTGGAGGTGTACCGGTGCGGCTGCTAGCGCCGCTGTCTTCGCCGCCTCGAACCAGATTGCCGCCAGGGCCAAGGTTCTTGCGACCACTGCTGCTGCGCGAGCCGAACATGCTGGATGGTCCGAAGGAGGCAGGCTGGTTGAGTGTGCGCGATGTCTTGAGACGACGCAGGTCGTCGCTGCCGACCTTGCTGGAGGCAAAGTCTGGTGGAGGTGCTTGGTTGCGGTAGTCACCAGAGAAGTTGCGTGCGTCGCCGCGGCCCATGGGCATACGGCCACCGCCTCGGCTGGCTTGTTGGCGGAGACGTTCCATTTCAGCTTCTTGCTGAGCGCGGGCGGCCTATTGACATAAAAGTTAGATAGGTATACGAGAAGGATGATAATGTAAACAAACCTCTTCGCGAATCTCGGTAAGAGTCTTGGGACCCTTGTCGCCATTCTTGGATACCCAGTTGGCGGAACGCAAGTCGACGACATCCTACAACCGTCAGTAAACTCAAACAACCAACACAGGATACACAGGGCATACCATAAGCATAAACTTGAGACGGCTGGGCAGGCCAGGAGTCTCCATCATCAGAGAAATACGACCAAAGTAGGCATCCATCATAGCATGACCCTTTTCAGATACATCCAAGCTGGCACCGATGGTTCGCAGCAAACTGGTCAAACTCTCCACCTCGGCCTCGTCGGGAATACCCTCGTAATCGACAAGCTTCTTGACACACTCGTGCATAATACGCTCAGTCAACATGCCCAACTTGTACAGCTCACCAATAAACTTGACGAGACCAAGACCGCGACGCTTGGCAGCAGCGGCAATGTAGTATTCGTCAGACAAGAGGGCGGCGGCTTCACTTTCACCTTCGGGCTTGGGTGGCAGGTTGACCTTCCATCCACGCTCGAATTCTTCTTGACAACGATTCAACAAGTACTTGCGGAACAAGCTGCCACCTGCGACGACGTTGCCGGCCTTGTCCTTGATGTTTTCGTCCTTGATCTCGGGGCTCATGCTCTCAAGCATACGCTTGCAGAACTTGGCGTACATAGGAGCCCAGTGAGCTTCGTCAGTAGCCTTCTCGAAGGTAAGTTGAATGACTTGACGCAAAGTACGACCATCAGATTCATGCTTGGACTGAGACACAATAATGAGAATCTGCTCGGAGATACGATCAAAGTTTTCAGGAGTCATCTTGTTCAAGTTGGCCTTGACCTTACGTTGAACGACATCAGGAGCAAGATAGTCGGTTTCACCACCTGGAGTAGGACCGGCAGTGGCTTGGCCAACGCTTCGAGGCTTCCAACCAGTTTGAGACACTTCAAGAGGCTTGAGAGAAAGGCCTGCGGTAAGAGGCATGGACTTGTTGGTCTCTTCCTCCTTCTTGGAGCTTTGTTTGTCGCGTCTGCTACCTGTGCGGGTAGTATTCCTGCTGGAACCTGGGCGAGGCGATTGAGGCACATTGTGGATGGCAGCAGAGGAGCCAGGGCGACTCATTGAACCAGGACCCATCGAGCCAGGACGTCCGAATGGGCCAAATGGACCGCTGCCCATCGATGGCATGCGACCAGGAGGATTGGGGAAACCATCCCTGGGAGCTCCAACGGAAGGTGTACCTCCGCCAAAGTTGCCCATCTTGAAAGTGGACGGAATTCCACCTCGAGAAGTTTGACGACCAGTGCCAGGAGTACGAGCAGACTGTGGTCGTGAAGAATCGCCACTGTCACCAACAGTCTCGCGAACACGGAGGTCCCAGTCCAAAGTAGGCTTCTCTTTGAAGACATTCTGGAATTGAAGTAAGAACTCTTTGTTGTACTTGAATTTGCGATCCGATGGAGCATTGGCGTTCAAGGCGGGATTAGGAGAGGCGATTGAAGCGGGATATGTAATGGCAAGGCTGTCCAAAAACTTGGCGCTGTGCAGAGACTTCAGAGCTGCGCTGGGCTGAGGTGGCTCGACAGGCTTGGTCTCGAGCTTAAGAGGGCCGGGCTTGGCCTTGCTGACGCTAGCAGGCTTGGATGGAGGGCCCATCGAAGCATCGGACTGCGACACAGGCGTCGCAGCACCGCTGTCGTCCGGAGTCTGAGCAGCAGGGGTTTCGCTGTCAGGAAGACCGTTCTTGCGCAAAGATGCAAAAAGCTTGGAGCTGTCTTCGTCCGCAGCAGCGCCAGATTCCAATTTCTTGATACGAGCTTCTTCGATGGCCTCGGCTTCTCGTTCGGCCTGTTTCATGTTGCGCTCATAGGCTTCCTCTTCCTCCTTCTTCTTGCGGTCAGCCTCTTCCTTCTGAGCCTGCTTCTTCTTCTGGTACTCGGCTTCAGCAGCGGCTTCCCGAGCCTCAATTTCGGCCATTTCGCGCTCGATAGCATCAAAGTCTATCTCATCGGCGGCAGGAGCAGGAGCAGCCTTCGCCTCAGGCTTCTTCTCGATAGGCTCCTCAACCTTGGGCTTGGCTTCTTCCTTGGCAGGTTCAGCGGGCTCGGCCTTCGGTTTGCTATCTTCCTTGTCAGCAATAGCAAGGTTCTCAATCGCCTTACGAGCATCCTCTTCCTTGCGACGTTGCTCGGCCTCTTCCTGTTCAATCTTCAATCGGACAGCATCGCGGAGTTCCTTCTTCTTTTCCTCGTCAGTCTTCACCGACTTGCTCTCGGTACGCGCATGATCGATACCGCTAGCGGCACGGGGAGGAGGCGTAGGGGCTGAGCCCTTGACGGGCGAAGGAGTAGCACGAGCAGGCGAGGCTGGCGCTTTCTCGAACGACTTGACGGCACCGCTGTTGGGATCCTTGATCACGATCGCGCTTTTCTTGGGCGTGGGGATGATGAAGTGGTTCTTTTGAGGAGCCGGGCTATTGGATGTTCTGCTTTCAGTGTGAGAGTGACCTGGAGTTGAGGCGACTGCTGGAGCAGGACCCTGACCGAGGCTCGAGCCGGGACGATCGTTCGAAATCTGAGAAGTGCTTCTCGAGAGCGGCGTAGACTGCATCGACGGCTGCATGGTTCCGGCGGGGAACTGGTTTGGCATAAATTGACCGGGCTGGCCGTAGGGAACACCGGGTCGAGGCTGAGGCGAAGGGGGCATGTACATATTTTGCTGAACTCCGTATGCGGGATAGTAGTAACCGCTGTTGGGGTCATAACCACCGTGGGGGTAATTCTGGTTTTTCACAATTGTTAGAGCTTTTTCGAAATCACCAGTGCCTGGGGAAATATCTAGGGAACTTTGACGAAATGCAGGGAGGAGGGGAAGGTCCACGGAGTAAAGGGTAGGAGGGGGTTTGGAAACAGGAGCAGAAAACTCATCGCTTTGGGTCCTTTGCAATTTCTTCTGCTTGAACGCATTCTTCTGAAATGGGTCCATTTTCTTGTTTCTCCAGGGTTTATTGCTATGGAGGGAAGATGAAGGATTACGGTTTCTCACATTTTGGGGTCCCATGTGCTGGTTGTAACCACCGTAGTGTTGATTGGCCATTTGCTGATGTTGCATAGGTACATGGCTCATTTGTGGCGTGACGGGGTTGGCGTTCGCAATGGCTGGGCTTCGATTCGCTTGATGAGGAGAACTGGGGTAGCCCATGGGGCGTCCGTGGGCGGGTGGGTGAAATGGAGCAGCCATTTGAGGTCCACCTCGTTGGTTTGGTGTGCCTCGGAAGTTGGGACCAGACGAGTAGCCCATTTGGTTCTGATATCCGGATCCAGAGTATCCACGACCGCGACCACCTTGGTAGCCGCCGCGAGCTGGACCTGGACCACCTGGGCCACCGGGGATGTGGCCACCCATATCGCTGTGTTGAGACTGAGACGATTCACGACGAAGGTGGGTTGCTTGAGGACCAGGACCAAGATTGTTCTGGTTCACTCGCATCTGTCGCTATTTCGGTTAGCCTGGCATACATGTCGCGTTTAACATTCAACGCAGCGGGCAGAGGAAAGCAAATAGGGACAGGATAAAACGTACAGCGTCTCCTGAGGCGTCGCCGAAACTGCCAAAGTTAGGCGCATTACCCGGAGCTTGGTATGTAGACGGCGGCCGGCCGCCGCTAGACGCGGGCTGGGGAATAGGCGAAGGAGAAGACGAAGGCGAGGTGACACGGGGGTTCACAGGTGCGACGTTGAGATTAGTATGAGGCTGGCTCGCGGGAATAGCAGGAGAACCCATGGCAGGCGAACTCTGCTGATCTACCGATCCAAACTGAATGCTGTTGCGATTTGGGTTACCAGCCGGTCCACCATTCGGGATGAAGCCAGTGGTTCCAGCAGAGCTGATGGTCACTGATTGTTTTCTGCTGTGGTCCGCCGCATGGACGGGGGGAGCGCCATTCACGATGGTCACCCCGGAAGGTTGCTGATTCTGCATGGATGATTTGCCGTTCACTGTGTTTGAAGTCGTTGAGGGCGAATTCCCATGGTGCGCTGAGGCGAACTCGGAATCGGGTGTCTGGGTGGCGTGCGCGTTCGTCCTGGAGGGAGCAGCGCTATTTGCCAGTGGGAGCGATGGTGCCGACGAAGTGTTGTTTAGTCCTTGAGACTGGTTCAAGCTCATTCGATCGATCGAAAAAATCGAAGTCGTGGGCGTTGAAAAGACGCGAGAAGGCGATCGAAAGAAGGACTGACAAAGTCGCACTCGAAAACCAAGCTGCAAGATGTTTCTTTCTTTGCAAGGCCAGAAAGAAAATTGAAAGAAGGAGGCGAAGAAAAGAAGTCTCTTCTAGCGCAAGCGACCTGGATTAATAACCGCTTGATTCCGATAGCTAAATCGAAATCCACGTATCGTTCCCGACAAGAAATAAAAATCTCTCAAATAATGTTCAACTTCAAAAGAATGAAGATAAATATTAAAAGAGAAATGAAGGGGAAGATAAAAGTATGGGAGTGGGATAATCCGTCGAAGTTTCGCACGCTCACCAAAGAGTGGCTGTGGATCGCACAACAAGCAGAAAAAAAAAGATGTTGTGGTTTTTCGTTGGCCTAGAGGGCGTCGGAGAAAATAAAATATCACCGAGGGAAACACAGAAAAGATGAATTCCTGTGAGACCGGGAATAAACAATTAAAAAAAACCTCTTCTGATCAAACAGATAGAGGAAACTCCTATTAGAAATAAGGGTTTTCGTTTTTTGGTGGAGGAGTGGAAGGGAGAGAGAGAGACAGCCGGAAGGGGAGAAAAATAATAGAGAGAGAGTCTCGGGCGGGCTGGGGGGAAGCACTAGGCCAACTTGATCCAAGTTCTCCCGTCAGGCAAGAGACAATAATAATCGCCCCAGTTCATCAAGTCGGACTCTGAGGACCGGTATGACTCTTGCCTTTGTGATGGCACTCGATTTGCTTGCCTTGTTTTAGCTAGCTACTTCTTCATTGGCTTGTTGCAGTGCTGCCTAGTCCTACAGACATTGAATCTGGGTAATCTGCCTAGTACGTATCTGCCGACAGTGATGCTACACTACATAGTATGTACGGAGTCGCCCGGGGGGTAACGATAAATGCGACTATCGATAGACAGACAGACGAGACGATGCCAAACAGATACGTAGGTACGGCCGATCCGTGACTTGACAAATAATAAATTCCACCCAGCCAAGCAGCGATAGACTGATAGTACAAGCAGAAAAAGAAAGTAACTACTCTTTTCTTCACCGGACATAAATCCCCCTTCCCTTGCCACACAGACACACCAGCGAACCAGACCCATCCCTGCTCGATGGGGTTTTAACGTAACTGGTTCGAGAGACAGAGGTATTACTACGTAATAACTGTGCTTGAGTCTACTCTTGTAATTATGTTAGAAAGAAAAAAGACAACATATTGTGTATATCAAATAAGTATAGGTATGTTAAGTATGCAACGAAGCAGAGGAAGAAGTGGACCGATCCGAGCCGCATTGACGATCAGACGCATGTCTACGTAGCTACCATCTGTATACTACGCCATACGCTAACAGGGAGAGACAGGAGCCTATCATGACTGTAATAGTATATTCTCGTTCGTATCGTGTCATATCATATCATTATCGTGGAAAAACAAGGAACAAAAAACCCGAAAGACAAACCACTAATGTCAGGAAGCGTCTGCTAATTGTAGTTTGCTATTTATGCGATCAAGATCCTCCTCTATCTCTGTAGGCGATATGTTTGGCGGCATCGTGTCGTCTGTGTCAGATACACCGGGGTCGCGACCACGTGTCGTTTCTGATTCACTCTCGTCCTCGCTATCCGGTGGCGAATCCAGGTTGCCGAGTCCAGGGCTCTTGAGGACCCGCTCGCCATTGTCATCTTCAATGTCCGGGGAAAGTTGAGGCGTGTCTGAACGTAGGACGTCCTTGCCGTTATCATCTTCATTTGAACTAGTGGTGGACAGTTTGGAGTCGCTGCCCGTGTGTGCATGTTGAAAGTGTCGAGGGAGCCCGACAGCTTCTGCAACAGCTGCAGCTTCGTCGGCAGGTAATTTTGCCACGTTGGTGTCGGAGCTCACCTGCTTGTTGAATAAGCCGCTGCCTTGTTGTTCACTGATTTGTAGAATATTGCCGTAGCTGCGACGGGTCGGATCGGCGAGACGCTTCTTCTTTTTCTTCTCACGCTTGGTAGATGGGCGCACCACGACGACGGGAATGGGTGATTGTTGTAGACAGTATTTTGATACCGAACCAGGCAGCAAGCCTTGCATGCCGCTGAGACTGCGTCCTCGTGTTCCGACAATCAGGACAGCCGGTTCATAAATACGGATCTATGTGACCTTGTTAGTAAATACCTTTCATCAATTCGATAGCTGACGTACCATTCTCTGGATAATATCCTGCACCTTTCCTACCGCAAGTTCCAACACCAAACTGATCGCCTTCTCGTCATGCTGATTCTTCGCAATAACCTGATTGAGAAGCTTCTCAGCTTCTTTGCGATATCTACCTTCATCAACGCTCGCATCGCTAGCGATCTTAGAATCCTTTTCCACCACCCATAGACATATGACCTCATCACCGTCATCAACTAGTTCATCAATCAACCATTCGAGGGCAAACTCTGAATAATCGTTCTGATCGGTTCCACAAAGAAATGTGCGACTTCGTCGTGTGGCTTGGTAGTTTTTGTGTTTGTATTTCAAGGTAAAGGAACCGTCGGTGACATCCCGAGTATCGAAGGTATCGAAGGAAACGCCTCGCTGGTATGTACTACTGCTCTATTAGCATTTGTTTTTGATACATACAGAGTCGAGTAAGTATAGCGCTTACCTGGGTGGTGGAGGGGATGATATTCTTCTTGGGGGTCGACCATCCAATACCGGCGTCTGTCTACCACTGCTCACGATTGTGCTTTCCAGAACAGGCTGGCTGTCCGAACCACTAGACTGCGCCGATCTTCTGCGTGGGGGGTCATTTCCTATGAAAGAGATTCTGCGATTGTCTGATCGTGATAAGCTCGTCGTACTGTCTGTAGATAGCGAATTCTCGCTGTTGCCCGGAAGGTTGAGAATTGGTGTAGAGGCGTCGGGGGACATGGTAGTTGGCGATGTCATTTTGGCGAGAGGTGGAATTGCATATCATCGAACGAATCAGACGGGTTCGAAATCGAATTGAATTAGATGTCGTGTTGTTTTGTAATGTTAGTCGAAATAAAGAAAGACCAGAACAGCCCGTTAAATGTGAGTAAGTTCAAGAAGCTGACTGTTGACGATGAGTTTGAGTCATGAAGAAACATGTGACGAGTTTCCTTAAGTGGGTCGATTTATCCTTCTTGAGTTCCGTAACGCTCTAGATTCCGAGACTCAGCCACGATTGAGCTTGTCGAACGATGCTAACTGACGCCAACTTGGCGGTTTTTTCTCCTAATCAATCACTTGATTTCCAATCTCAATTTTGGGAAAGGGTTTGTGGAAAAAGAAAGGTGATTGAACGTGATGCAATGCCAGTCGCAGATTCGCACTAGGCGGCGGGGGATCTCAGGAAGGGCCCGATGATGCTAAGGAAAATGCTGTGTACTCGGATCTTAGAGGTTTCTAGAATCAATAAGACGGCACAGTTTGGCAAGGGATGAGGAAGCCAGATGTTGCAGCACTTATTTGAGAAAGATAGCAGAATACTGAATAACAGCAAAGGTTCAATGATAGAGAGAGATTGAGAGGAGATCAGGCGTCGAAACTCAGCCCAATCATCCATCTCCGTTTTGGACCAGCCTGATTCGGCAGAGGGTGTCCACTAGCCTCGAAATAGACTAGCGCACCAGTCATGACGGAAATGCGGGGCAGCGGCTTCTTTCCCTTTCCGACGTTCTTTGCACATGACCAGAATAATTGATTTTCAAGGTTGCTGCCTGTACCAAGGTAATCAGACCCAAAGGCAGCTGGCACATGAGCAGGTGCTTCTTGCTGTATACCTAGGTACTATGATGATGGCTCTTTCAGGATTATTTTAATTGATATATCGTGCCGGCAGGAACATTGAAGCTGCCACGATATCTCGGTAGACGTCAAGCAAATATCTCAATATTACCTACACTAAATTGCTACGTGCAGGTACATTTTTTTCAGAGACTGAAGCTAGATAAGTCCCAGTAACATGACTTTCAAAGTTGAAGATGGGGAGGGGATCTAAAGAGTAACCCTATGCGAGGGTAGCTTGGCTATCTCGAGATTCTGGGGTAATTCCGGTCCTGCTCTTCGACCACAAGATAGTCACCGGAAATTGACATCACTGCCCAGGCTACAGTGACTTGTTCTTCTGTTTTCATATACACTCAGTTTTCATATGATGTGCGCGAGTCTTGGTCTGTTGTTGAAGATGGAGTGAGTGTATGCGGGAAAGGGAAAATAATGTAGCTGATATGATATCAAGATGCACACCTAGGAGATAACCTACACAGTATGGTAGAAAATCTGTCAGCTCCAGCCCCGCATGCATGTGGGAGCCTCATAGTGCGTACTCTGGTTCAAGACTTTCGGACTCCCCTGAAATGAAGATGACCCCACAATATTTAATGGTCCCTGGACACATGCAGTTGGCCCCAGAACCTTGATGCGGGGAAGAAGTCCATAAACATGAGGTATATGACTAGTTCGAAAGAAAATCATTGCATTCAACCCGCGTTAGAAAGGATCAACGGCCTTTCAACTCAAGAAAACTCTCAATCAAAACAAGAATGACGGCAGCTAAGTCGCATACGAATAGCGGCAACGCTGGGAGGCTCTCCAAGATTATAATCGTTGGCGCAGGACCATCTGGACTATTACTTGCAATTTTATTAGCGAAGCACGGAGTCAATGTCGAGCTGCTCGAAGCCACCGAGAAACTCGACGAACAACCACGAGCCGCCCATTATGCCTCTCCCGCGGTATACGAGCTTCGTCGTGCAGGTGTCATCGACGATGTGATCGAACGCGGCTTCAAACCATCAAATGCGTGCTGGCGTAAAGCCAACGGCGAGATCATCACTGGAATGAGATTTGACGTCGTTCCTGATGACCCCGAGCGGATGGTCGTACTACCCCTGGACCGTCTCGGCAAGCTATTGTATGCCCATCTCCAAAGACAACCGCTCGCAAAAGTTCATTGGGGTCATCGTGTCACGGAAATCGGCGAGGAAAACGGAAAAGCTTGGGTGAAAGCTGAGACTACATTAGGACCAGCCAAATTTGAGGGTGAGTATGTGATTGGTGCCGACGGCGCAAACAGTACGGTTCGAAAGTTGTTATTTGGACCGAACAGCTTCGAGGGGGAGACGTTGGACGCAGCCATAATTGCCACTAATGTGAGTGATCTGTCTGTCAGCCAATGGCTTGCGCTAATTGAGATAGGTGATACACGACTTTACCCAGTATGGATATTGGGATACAAACTATATTGTGGATCCCAAGAACTGGCACATGGTTGCAAAAATAGGACGAGACGATCATCTATATCGGGTGTCCTACAGCGAAGTACCCGGATTGACAGCCGAAGAATATAAGCGACGACAACCGGCTCGTTATAAGGAGATATTGCCAGGAAGTCCAGAACCTTCGGAATATACCATCACCAACATCAGCCCGTACAAGTTGCAGCAACGATGTGCACCTTCATTCCGTAAAGGAAAGTTCGTGTTGATTGCTGATGCCGCACATGTGTGCAATCCTTTGTAAGAGTCATTGCTCTTTGACCTGTTCACGAGATTTCGCTGACATGTTTTAAGTGGTGGACTTGGTTTGACAGGAGGTATCGCAGATCTAGGGAGTCTTTTTGACTGTCTGATTGGAATACATCAAGGCCTCGCTGACGACGACATCCTTGATCGATATGCCGAAATCCGTCGAAAGATCTATTTTGACGTTATTGATCCTCTGTCAAGGGAAAATTTCCGCCGACTTTGGGCTCAAGACCCGGACAAAGCAAAGGAGAATGACGAGTTCTTCAAAGTACTCGACAGAGCAGAAAAGGATCAAGAACTGGCAAAGGAGCTGACTTTGGTAGGTTGTATTTTTGGAGAGCAGGTATTCTGCCATTTTGGCAACTGTGCTGACAGTGTACCTAGGGCCTGAATATCCTTCGACATGACTTCACCCAGTACTACAGGACAAAGGCTTCAACATGATATTCCTTCCTGTGTACTTCTTTCTTGATGTTGGTAGTAAGTCTTTTTTTGAGATGTGTTGCATGACAGCAGGATCACACACCTATGCTGGGTCGTCACACTAATAAGAATGAACGGGACAGTTGACCAAAAGGGAAGGCGTGTCTAACTGCCAGGCTCCTGCCTGAGGAAATCGCCGCGTACGCCCGGCTGTTTTATGTCCCGTGCCCTGTAATTTTGATAAACAATCGACTATAATAAACAGTTGAAAGAATTCTCCTCCATATTTTACCCTTCGCTTGTAATAAAGGCAAAGAGCAGTCCTATCTTTTACCTCGTAGCCTTTTCCCTTTCCTTTCCTCTCTTTTCACTCTCTTTATCATCCTGACTTATCTGCATCTCTACAAAATTAACGCTTCAGTCACTTACTAGTCAACACGATGGCTGATCTACTTTCACGCCTTCCCCTTGAGGTCCAGCAAATGGTCTTTGACATCCTTCACGCGAACAGCATCAAGGAGGAGTTGACACCTTTTCTCGTGGTGAACAAGTACTGGTTTGTCCACATTAGTCGACGGATCTACAGAGAGGCCAAGTTGCACACAATCTGGCAGCTGCGTGACTCTCCAAATGCTGAACACTATTTGTCTATTATTCGCTGCTTGACTTTTGGACTCGGTGATCATACTTATCATCATGAAATCATCGAAAAATGGGCACAACCACCCCTCCACAATCTTGAGAAGGTTTCCTTCGTGCCTGGCGCTGTGTTTCAAGGTCACGAGGTCGATTACATTATTCCATACCTTCAGCCCAGTATTTCAACCGTTCAGTTGTTTGGTGTTCGCTGGACTTTGCAGCTACTATCAGCATTGCACGAGATGTGCAAAGGTCTCAAAGAACTGAGCATCAAGTACCCATTCAAAGGCAAAGACTTTAGTTTCAACGCGCAAAGCTTTGACTCCTGGCTTCAAGCTTTTCCATCACTTAGCTCCATCTCTGTCTTCTACACGGATGGCAATGGAAACGAAAAGCCTGCCAGCAATGCTTGGACCAAGCTGTTCTCTCAACCAACATTGCGCAGTCTTTTGAATAGACCTCTTCGCCGCCTCCGCATCGAACACCGATTGGAAGATTGGAAATCTTTATCCAACAGCGCTGCATTCAGTTCCTTGCGGGAGCTGAGCATTATTGCGAGACTCAAGGACATTGCCAGACTATCGGAATTGGCAGATTTACGAAAGCTGCATATTCTGGTTAATGACGAGCCTCAAGCGGAACAGCGGGAAGTCATCACGCCCCTTTGCTCAATGACTGGACTGAAGTCTCTGAGGGTTATCTTTGTCAAACTACACAAGCTTTACGCCAGCGAAGTCATGTCGTTGACGAGTCTCTCAAACTTGGAAGAGCTTGATATTTTCAATAGTCATCAGGAAACTATCGTCACCGACAATAGCGATATCGACGACGCTAACGACGATGATGAGACGGAACGTCGTCGCTACACGCCCATTCAGATCCTGCCGTCCTTCGATGAGAATGACTTTGACGTGCTGGCATCGTCGCTTCCCAAGTTGCGTCATGTATGCTTGTTGTTCGACTGGATGCCAAATAGCTACCATGTCCTCAAATCTGCTGCGTACCTTTGGCGTGAGCTAGAATATCTATGCCTTGGCTACAACATAGACCTCCCAGAAGCCATAAAAATGGCACGAAACAGCGATGCTGTCTTTCCATATATGAAGCAGTTTATGAAGGTGCGGGCTTGTATTGGAGATCTGGCCCCTGACACTGAGGCCATACGAGGCGATCGTGATGCTCGGTATGTACTTGTTTTCTTTATTCCACTTGCGTCCAATCCCTTTCAACTTGCTGAAAACTGAGAACTCTCAGAATTCAGCACTCGTTATACAGCCTATATAGACTTTTCCCCTAGTCGCTGACATTGCTGCTACTCTAGCTCGAAATATGTCGGTAAAGTCTGTCGACACCTCAAGGCCGCTTTCCCTCGGCTTGAAGGCATCAAATTCCGGAAATTCACCATCCAGGACGAGATTCCCGACCATCAGGAAATCGTAATTTCGAAGGATATGATGACTGATGCTCTTGATGACAAAGAGCAAGGCTGGCGGTGGTCTCGTTACGGTGTAGATGCAAATTGGGATTTTGGTTATGTTGTTTGACACTGTTTGAACACTGTTATCGCCCTTTCTGAACATATTATACTGAAACGAGTGTTGCTGCGTGGTTTTTTTGATTCTTGTATTGACAGCTTTATCGTCGTCTGCAGAATTTCGTGTGTTCGGCGTAAACGAGTTTCGGGAGGTGGCACAGTCATTAGCATAATATTGAGGGATAGTCCGAGTCAAATTGGTTGTTACGTCTTATCATGTTTCATTTGTACCTAGAATAGTTAGTACTAGTGAATTAATAAATACCCTGCAGCTTTAGCGAGGCTGAGATGCATCTAGACATCCAAACAAAAAGGCCGCGTTGCCGCCAGGGGTCATCCAAACCACGCTTACAAAGAGCGGCGCTGCAAGCCTAATCGATTTAGACACCCACGGCCCAGCCTCTTTATCCCCTTTCCCTTCCCCATCATCAACCTTCAGTCGTCTTCCTTCTGGTCCACCGGTGATATCATTAACAAAATTCTTGGAAATGGACGGTTTGAAGATTGAGCAATTACAATCTCTTCAGTCGAAAGACCAAGCGGCACTCCTCGATACAGTCGATGAGATTCGTCGTCATGGCGTGAACCGTTACGTGTCTCTGCCTCAACTCATCGTCTGTGGAGATCAGAGCTCTGGCAAAAGTTCTGTACTAGAGGCAATTTCTGGTGTTCAGTTCCCAGTCAATGATGGCCTTTGTACTCGATTTACTACAGAAGTCATCCTGCGTCGCGCAACTAAGAGTCTGGCTACCGTCAAACTCATTCCCGCCAAAGACGCGCCTTCATCTCACAAAGACAAGCTAAAACTATTCGAAAAGAGTTCCATCAACCATGCAGAAATCCCAGACCTAATTTCAGAAGCAAAGACATTCATGGGCCTTACTGGAGGTAGTACCTTTTCACGTGATGTTTTGCAGCTGGAAGTCTCTGGTCCCAAGCTGCCTCATTTGACTCTGGTCGATCTCCCAGGTTTGATTCACCATCCCAACAAAGAGCAGACCGAGGAGGACGTTCAGATTCCCAAAGAACTAGTCAAAAAGTACATGTCGCAAGCACGAAGCATCGTGCTAGCTATCGTGACGGCAAAAAATGATACCTCGAACCAGGTTGTGCTGGAAATGGCCAAAGCGGCTGATCCTCAGGGAAATAGGACGATGGGTATTATCACCAAACCAGATTGTCTTATCAAAGACAGTCCCAATGAGTCAAATTTCTATGCCCTGGCTAGCAATAAAGAAACATATTTCAAGCTTGATTGGCACATCTTGCGTAACGGTGATTTCAACGAGCGCAAGGACTCCGCCTTTGATAGAGATGCGGTGGAGAAGGACTTCTTTGCATCGACGATATGRAACAACTTACMAAGCCACAAGCGCGGGGTGGAGGCGCTGCGTACCAGACTCAGTCATGTGTTGTACCAACAAATTCAGAAAGAATTACCTAGTCTTCTCAAGGAAATCGAAAACGAGTTGGCAGCTTGCAAGACGACGTTGGAACGACTTGGTTCGCCTCGCGATACTCCTGGCAGCCGACGACAGTATCTAACAGAAATGGCCGGTCGATTCCACGACCTTGTTCGAGCGGGTACCGATGGTAACTACCAGAACTCATTTTTTCGACCTGCAAGTCTTTCGTTCCTGGGAACCGTTCACATGCAGAAAACTCGTTTACGTGCAAATGTGAGAAAGAAGGAGCAGAGTTTCCTCGACAAGATGCACCGACATGGACACACCTATGTTATTTTATCTGATACAGCTTTTGTCAAACCCCAAAAGGCACTACCAGAATTCGGCTCCAAGGGCGCCCAATCAATTATGGGTGAAAAAGATTTCCTACGCGAGATTCAGATTCTTCTTGATAATAGCAAAGGAAGAGAACTCCCAGGAACTTTCACACCTCTTCTTGTCGGTGACTTGTTCATCCGCCAATCGAAAAATTGGAAGCCATTTGCCATCGAATTTGTTGAGGATGTCTGGAATATTGTGAAGCAATTCTTAGACGATGTGTTGATCCATGTGGCCGATGAAAACGTGAGGGAAGCGCTACTAGAAGATATCATCGACCCAGCCATGGATAAGATCTTGGTAAACCTCAAATACAAGGTCACTGAATTACACTCACCTTATGCTCGTGGCTCCCCGGCAACTCTCAACCCCCGTTTTGTCAAAGAGCTGGAGAATCGACGCTCTCAACAAGCCGAAAACTCTACCGTCCAGCCAAGTACTGTACTCGAAAAGACCGGCACTGAAGGCGCTGATACGCATGCGTGCCGAGAGTTGCTGCATCTTATGCAAGCCTATTACACTGTTGCTCTGGATGTCTTTGTAGACAATGTTTCAAGCCTTGCGGTTGAAAATTGTCTCATGAATGCGCTGGAAGCCTTGCTATCTCCTCTCACAGTCTCGGAAATGAGTGACGAAGAGCTCGAAAATATTGCATTTGAATCACCAGAAGTTCGCGAACTGCGCAGCCAGACACTGGAAAAGCAGTCGTCCCTCCAGAAGAGTTTTGACTTGTGTCGTCGCCAAGCACGAAAGCTGGCTTCGAATCGTCTCAACAATGAGGCGCAGAAGACAGAGACCTTGTTGAAAACAGAAGTCACAAAGTCTAATATTTTACCAACCGTCTCTACGGTAACTCCTGGAAAGGTAAATATCCTGACTAATTTTTATTTATATTTTGTTTTGATGGATACTGATAATACATGTTTGTAGTCCGAAGCAATCAAGCCTCAACAATCGGGCCAGAGTGCTTCGGTGCTAGGTTCAGGGGCTTCTTCAACACGGAGTCAGAATACGTCCCAGGTGTTTGGCTCCTCGCTATTCTCGACGCCAAGTTCCACTTTAGGCCTGAATACACCTCAGACTCCTTCTCAGCCTCTATCCCAGACACCAAGCTCAGGGGCAAGTACTCAGAATGCACCTCAGACGTCAAATCCCTCTTCATTTGCATTCCGAAATAACACTCCAGCATTTGGTCCGCCTCCTACCAATGTGTCTCCCCTCCAGAAACCCGTCTCGGGGCTCTTTGTGATACCGCAACATGGTATTAATGACATTCAACCATTTGGTTCGCCTCCTACCCGCGGTGGTTTTGGTTCCGCAGGCGGCGCCCAAGTGCAGTCAAATCCAGCGAATTCGACGACTACTGCCCGAGCATCAACTCTTTCTACAAGTACCCCAACGCAGTCAAATCAGACTAGTCTTTTTGGTACTCCTCAGAAAGGTAATGAGAAATAATATCCTTGCTTACAGCTCGTCGTTTAAAGTCAAGTCATTCATGTTTATATGTTTGGATATTCTGGGAAATTGACTGGATCTGACAATATACCTAGAACAAATAGTGGAGTTCCCCTATTTCAAAGATATTCCAACTAGTTCCCAGATTGTTCCTGATAAAACTGATGGCATGGAAGGGTATGCTAAAGATGAAGATTCAAATAGTTACATTAAGGACCAAATTTACAAGCACATCTCTTTCGGGCTGTCCACTGCCAAGTTTGGTTCTAAGGATCCTTGCAAATATTCTGCGGAGGTTCGTTTATCCTTATCAATTATTCTAAGTTTCTTTGTATGAAAGTGGAAGAGCTCACGGGTATTATCTCACTATAGGAAATACGACTCAAAGACTACTACGTCCTTGGATTACCGAAGAAAGTGCCTGCTAAGTAGGAAGAGATCGGAAATGTAGTGGAAGTGTACCTGCATCACGTCTAAGACAGACACTTCTGCTTCTATTTCAAGTGTGCCTTCAATAGTGTGTTTCTACGAGAGACTTAATTAGGCGTTTCGCTATGTTTTAGGGCGAATATGACTGTCACTTGCCTAATGAGGAAAAATAATGAAAGATTCATGCCTAATCGAGCCCGATTTACGAACAGACCAATCAGTGCGCTTACGGTACATACCGTAGCTTATCCTATTTTAGGTTAGACCATCCCGGTCAGCCTCTCACGCTGCTCCGAGCCCCGACAACGTCTTCTGAACAATTCCATTGCTGAACTAACTCCATAATTGTATCTACACCCAATTTTTGGCATACATGGTATTTAGAGTCGGTTATCAAGGCCCTGATCCTCAAGTCCCCACTGTTTTTAGGGTTTTTGACCAGCAGACAAGAGACAAGGCCCACCTCGCCTCCACAACTTCATTTGTACCTGAGTCTTATGGCATAAGCAACCAACACACTTCCGGCCTCCGTATACATTGTGGTCCGTAGATGTCGACAATAACCTCTGACAATTTGCCAAATCCTGGGTCCACCGAGACTGATACGTCGAAAGGCCGTCGGCAGCGGCGCTGGGCGCCTAAAGTCCGGACGGGATGTTTGACCTGCAAGTGCGTATAACAACCTTTTGTAGATGTGGAGAATACGTCAAAATAGACACTAATCTGCATAAAACTTTGAAGAGTTCGACGAGTTAAATGCGACGAGGCTAAACCCAGGTAGGATTCTCCTCCATGTTTTTACGCAAGATGGAGAACGTCACCACCCTGAAATTTCCAAGACACTAAAATCTCATCGTCGCTTGCTAGCTGCGAAAAGTGCACTTCAACTGGACGCAAGTGCGATGGTTACGAGGATACCCCCTTAGAGGCGCATGCAGCTGTCCAAAGCCGGCCGTCTAGTGTAACCACCAAACATCTCAAAGCAACTAGAGCTAGGGCACTAGTCCCATTGCCAGCGACAGCAACAGGGCACCCTTATTCCGTATCGTGGCTCCCATTCTACGGCGGAGAGCTTCAAAAACGGAATTTCGACTTCTTTCAGTCGGTGACATCGTCCGCACTGTCGTCGTTCTATGGAAGCGATTTCTGGGCGCAGGAAACGCTGCGAGTCGCGCATCAATATCCGGCTTTGTTTCATGCCATTACCGCTTTTGGGAGTATACATCACAGCTATCTGAGCGATGAGACGCCGTCGGATGTGCCCCGTATCGGAACGAATAACCAAATAGAGTTTGGACTCTCGGAGTTCAATAGGGCTATCAAATCCATGTCTGCACTTATGACGCAAAAGGAACTTTCGATGGCTGACCAACAGGCCATTTTGACGACTTGCGTGCTTTTCACGGGCATTAGCTCTCTTCAGGGAAGACAGTCGCAGGCGTTCATGCACGTGAAGAATGGGTTAAGGATGATTCATCATTGGCGTTTGAGTAATCGAATAATGACACCGGCAGAAAAGAATGCAGTAGATATGCTACTTTTGACTTTTGTCCGGTTGGATACGCAGATACGACCGTATCTGGTTGGTCAGGAATCTCTTCTGCAATGGACAGATGAGGATATAGTAGTCGCTTTATCTCCTCAGCGAACCTTTCAGACTACATTCGAGGCGTACTTTGAACTGGAAGTACTTTTCAACAAGCTTTTGCGTCTGAATTTTAATGCGTACTCATTCAAACAGCTTGCTTTGGAGATAGAATCGTTGAAGAATCAAGGGGAAATTTGGGATCGTCAGTTTACCCACGTATTGTCTACGATCACGCCCAATGCTTCGGAGTTAGATGCATTGGACTTTATTCGACTTCGACGAGAGTACGCAAGGGCTATTCTATCCTGTTTAGTCATTAACGCCAAAAACAATGTGCATGATGATCTGATCCCGATATACGAGGCAATAATTGAATTTTCTGAAAAGGTTCTTCAAAAGGACAGCCACACGCCACGTCAGGGTGTACCCGATAGCCAGAAACTCGAACATCCAATATTTGTCCTCGGCAGCACCGTCGTCGAGCCTCTTTTCTTTACTGCCACCCGCTGTCGTGAGCCCACACTTCGCCGCCGCGCATTGTATTTAATGCGCCTGTGCCCTCGCCGAGAGGGTATTTGTGAGGGCATGATGGCCTCGAAAGTCGCGCAAAAAGCCATCGAAGTCGAAGAACAAGAATGCTCACGCTGCATTGACTGGTACAATAGCCACCCATTTCCAGCCTCCACGCCGTCTTCCCTTCCTACACTCCCTTCCCCGCAATTCCTACCAATAAGAACATCCCCGCACGCCCAAAACAACAACTTCCGCGCAACGTCCGAGTCCCTGAATGTGATAATGAATCATCTCGATATCCCCACTAGTCCTGTGGACTACCCAACAGCCCCTACCACCAAAATCGCAAAGATAGCAGCAACAAAGACGAGAACACAACCGGCGACGGCGAGGAGAAGTCCATGTTCCGAAACGGGGAAATGGGTGTGCGAGAAACACAGGGTTGTGGAGACACAGTTCTTGCTGTTTACGGAGAGGCAAATTAAGATTGTGATTTGGACGGGGGAGGATTATGAGTTGAGTAGGAAGGGGAGGGAGATGGTTTTGACGTGGTGGTGAGACTTTTTTGATGTGCTACTGGGTGACTTGTCACTGCGGTGTATCGCACTTTTGGGATGCAGATAGATTGGAATTGGACAGAATATAAGGACATGATGCACATGCATATTTAGACATCCCTGCTATGACGACAAATTTGTGAATCGCAATTCCGCAACTGGAATATAAACTGTCTTCTAAAGTCTGGTAGTCTGTGCAGACCGAAACGCAACACGCCCATCCTCAACCTTCAGCACGCTTATAGGCGCATTGACCTGCAGAGATTCCTCACCAGGAAGATTCATTGGAGCCGAAAATCCCGCCACATGCAAGACGGTGGTCTGGCACTTGGAGCACTGCCAGACCTCGGCCAATCCATTGTCTTGCTTGAGTTTCTTGATACACGATTTGCAAAATGTGTGGTTGCAGGGCCGTATTCTGAGTCAAGCGAAACGGGATGATAGATTAGAGCATTTCTTGATAGAAGTATAGCGAAACATAGATGGAGACTTACATGTAATTGCATAGCCTTATCTTGCACTCACTGCAGCGCGTTGGCTTGCTCGGATCGAAGGTTGATTCAATGGCCAGTACCATTTCCTTGTCTAGGGCACCAACGGACTTGAAATCATCGAACTCACCTCCCTCAAGACGATTGTCGGCTTGTTCTTCGACCACATAGAATGGGAAATTTGATTTGAGATACAATTCTGTGTCAATTGGTGGTGGCGGAGGCACAACACCCGTACCTCTTTCACAAGTCACAGGATCGAGAAGATGGACATTGATGATACGAGTCGCAGTCGTGTTCCAGATCTCAGGTGGGTTATGGTCTCGGTAGATATCTTGAACTGGCTAGAAGTTAATATTTCAAGTCTGTGGAGTAGAACAAAGTAAGGACATACTTAGCTTTCCTCCCGCTGCCAAACCCATAGCTGACGACTTCAGTTTACGTCTTATATGGGGTGTTCCGATGGCAGGAGACACTGAATCGCATCGGATTGGGGAAAAATGTTCTGTACTTGTGACTGTAAGATTCACCTCTCTTTCATCTGCATCAAAAAGATCGGCAATCTCAATAGGCTTTTCAAACGTCAGTGATGGGGGATAAGAACGGATCTTTTGCCCAAGTTGCAGGTGGAGTTCCAAAGGTGTGCTCATCTCAGAAAGGCCGTGGTAAGGAGTACCATCAAGTATATTTGTCATAAAAGCATCAGTGAGATTATCAGGTAGCCATTTCCTTAGACCTTTTTGATATTCGGGAATTACTTCAATCTGAAGACCGCCATACTTTTGCTTGCCGGTTTTCTGACCTTCAGTTGTGTATCCGAAGCCCACTGATGATTAATATTAGCAGATCACGTCGAAATAAATGATAGAGAGAGCCCTACAAGGCATAGCAACAAATTGACGCACAACTCCCTCCTCAACTTGAATCCCATCAAGCCATGGCTGCCCAGGGACCACAATGTAGTCTTGCCTACTGCTGGACCTCTGATCACGATTTTCGGATTTATCCATGATCTTGCCAGTAATCACATTCACGCGTCCAGCAAAGATTCTTAACGCGAACTTGCGCTCGTCAGAATGGAAGCTCATCCAAAGCGCTTCCCGCGACCATATAGGCAAGAAGACACCCCCGCCCTTGGCTATGCTGTGATGCAAGCGATTCGTGTACTCACTTACATTGTACAATGGGAAAAGGCCTAGGGATGCGGGAAGGTGATGCATTTTTCCATCATCTGGCATCCGCACAGTCCTATGAAACTTTATTGTGAGGGCATTGCCAATTTCAAGAACGTTGCATGTGGTTTTAGTGCTACCTTGGGCTTTGCCGTTACGTTTCTTTAGCCCAAAGTTGAGGTCGTTCCCTCGGTTTGTGAAAGCAATCAGCGACTCATTGATATGGATTTGATTCGCACCCACGGATTTCTCATCCGCAACGATCTCAACCTCGTTATAATCGTGAAAGCATTGCTTCGTCTGGTCTCTTGTCCAACAACGTCCTTTGAGATCAGTGACCGATTGAGGGGACTGATACCCTAGTGCTATTTCATCATGTTAACTCGAGTCATTTACATCCCAATGTTCTTTAAAGTCGACGAATTGGAGATGTACATTCGAGATTTGTCCATAATTCTTCGAGAGATACATCCTTGCGCAACTCAATACGCTCCTCAAACGTCTCCGTGGAATGCTGAGAGCCTTTTTGCAAGCCAGTAATCACCACAGAAGCAATATCAATTGACTTCTTCATTTTGCAATCTCTTGTTGCAATGTACCGAGTATATTTAGTTGAGAGGGCTAAAAATTGCAAACAAAAAATGAGGGTTAATGCGTTACATCGGAAGGGCCGCGTGCCAACAGCCTTGCGATCTCCAAGCATACAACACAAGTTGATGTATCCTATTGGCCCTAGGAAAACATCACTAGTCTGCTCAGCCTCAAAATTACAAGCATACCCCTCTGCGATAATTGCATGGTTCATATTGACCAATAACGCTAGAAACGGGCCACGAAATATCTTGACAGCGGACTGGAATCTCACGACGTCTTACACCAGATTTCAAACAAGCGGCTGCATTATTCCGTGCCTAAGTTATCAGGCGAACAAATTCAATCCTAAGCTTCAATACTTACGGGGTTGTCTAAAGTCAAGGATAGCCCTGTTGAAGAGCATCGTGTTGCTTTCACATCATGTTGCAATCCTGCATACAAGAAGGAATATTAAGCCATTTCCGTTTACACTCCAACCTTGAAATGCACGCGATTTTATGTCCCTCGATAATTACATCTCGTCATTGTACAGACGCCAAAAAGTGGCATTTGAGCTGATCCAGCCATCTCATCTTGAATATTGATAAATTTTGGAAACCTCGAAACAGTGAATTTAGGCTAGAAAATGATTTAAAGTTCGGTACTCAAGTATTAAATCCAAACGTCACTCAAAAGGTTGGAGAAAATGACATGATGGTCATATGTAGCCTTTGCGAATTACTTCAATCTCACCTCCCCCAGCAGATGACTGTCCTCATCATAATCGACGAGATTCACCATTGGACTAGGGTTTGGAGCGATAGGATATCACCTGTATCTTACCTGTTTTTTTTATGACATTAGTTTGCTGTGTGTTGAAATCGATCTTTGTACTTACTAGTCAAATAAAACCATCTATTCTTGGTAGATAAGGTGGTGATGTCTCTGATCACATAAACTTGCCCTAATACATAATGACATACTTAATGAGGCGGTATTTAAAGTAGACTCTGACGTTCCTTGGAGCTTAGCTTTAGACCTGTACTCCATGTAGCTATGTTCTAACACATAGATATAACATAAGTAGGCACACTGATAATCATCATCTCAGATACAAAGGCTTGATGCAAAACAGATCAACGATTGACAAGACACAAAACCGGATTATCAATCAGCGAACCCTTGCGGTACTTGTGACTTGCCTCCTTATAGTCCGGACTGGACAACATATCCGCAAAATGCAACACCGAAGGATAGTACACGAATGCCACCATTTCCCAAGGACTCTTTTCCTGGTTTTGCGCAGAAGATTTGGCAACTTCCCCCCACAAAAGTGGCTTAGCACCATGTCTCATTCCAATACCAGCCATGAACGCTTCTTGATATTTTATGTATTTTGCCATGTCCTTGAAGGCTATGAGATTGAACATTATTATGGCTTKTGGCTGCTGCTTTTCTTCCTGATCGCTGCTGAACGATTGTATCCATTTTTTGAGGTCCGACGTGACTTCAGCTGAATCTACAGATGAGACTAAGTCACTTTTGTGGAGGTCCAACTCCGTTAAGAGGTCGAATTCTCCGGATCGGGGCGTAATTGAAGCTGCCAACTCGGACTGTGTGGTTGCTAGTGATGCGAGTAAAGCCGAAGGTACGGTGAAGGATATATTCCATGATTTTTTGATGGATTTTGAGAGATCGGTGGGGATTGAGAATGGTGCTTCGAAACAAACCAGCATATCCCAGTGGGCGGCTGTTAGTTCATGAACAGAGAGGGCTGCCGGAGGGAAGATCCAGTCGGCGGCTTTAGTGGTGAAGATAGGTTTGTGAATTCCGGTTAGCTGTGCGAGAGCATTTGTAAAGTCTTCAACTGATGAGGCAAGGGACAAGAGGTAGACGATGCATTCTGTCGTGCTATCCATGATTGATCAGATAGATGAATGAAAAAAATCTTGGAACTTGAGGTAACAGAAGTAACAAAAGTACGGGATACTATGTCGGAGATTTAGGTACAATACACTCATCTTTATATGTTTGTTGATATTTCCTTTACATCCACATTATGGAGCGGATCCGTCATCGGACATCAATGTTGATTCATGAAACATCGTATATCAACAGCGATAAAGCCGTAAACTCCGTACTTCTTTGTCTTTAGATTGGCACGACGAGATTCTAGACTACTTTACCTTGATTATGACTCATTCAAGACGTATCAGTTACTCTAAAACAGTCAAAACCTTGTTTGCGTAAATAGCACATTTGTAATTTTGCTATTATCGACCTTGAGAATTCCCCTTTTTAGAAGTGCTGGATTATATCCCTTTGCTGCCTAGAGTACGCTAAGCTCTTACTCCTACGAATCAACTCGCAACAATCGGGACCACATAAGCACTAAATACTGCTGGATCCACCTTGGTTATAAGAAAGGGACCTTAGAAACAATTGATGTTGCAGTATTTCTCGACCGTGCCTTATAGATGACCCGTATCTTTGATTCTTTCAAACCAACAGTCAAGCAGTTGTTGAGATGCAAGGCAGGACTTATTAGGACTGCTAGGTACTTGACCAGAAGAGCTGTATCTTTCAAGACTGATAATCCACTTGACAATTGAGAATCGCGTAGGCCGGAACGATCAAACACTCCGCAAACAGAACCTTTGATCTGTTGCCTCCATTTTCAGTAGAGGCCGGCAAAAGCAGTTAAGTGACCACGGAGGCAGCTAGATGGAGGCTTCGTAGGTATTTTAGGGCTTAGGGCTAGGTCTTCCGTGGAGCGAGCGATGTCTTGTCAATCTCCTCAATTGCCATAGAGACTCATTATTTAATATGAGCAAGATACCTACATAGTTGTCCTAAATCAGGTGCAACTCATCTTCGTCTAAGCAAGGTTCGTTCGGCCCGGCTTCTCTTACTTGCTTACCTCCCCATTTCACATGAATATTAAAGGTTTGAACAAAAGTCTCTGCGAGTTATACAAGGTCAACATCACAGTCAGAGGATGTGGAATATGAATCATGCTATTCGAGATGTAACACAGCACCCCTCTGGCTTATCAGGCAATGCGGGGTAGAGCATGATCGCTGATAAGCAAGTCTCCAAATAACTACGAGCGAAACATCATCTCGCATATTCGACACTCTCAGCATCCCAAATCTGTGATCTCCTAGAGGAGAGAGGAATTATATTTCGTAAAATGGCGTCTGATCGGGAAAAGAACAGTGCAGTCTCCGCGGGCGTGCAGCAGGACGACTTAACCATCCCGGTAAACTATCTAACCTGTTCTTCATGAGCACAACTTAAAAACTATATAGGTGATTGATTTCTCGTCGTTCTTGAGCGGCGACTCAAAGACAAAACAACAAACTGCCTCGGCAATCCTGCACGCGTTTCGCACTAGCGGTTTCCTCTACCTCGCCAATGCCGGCATTTCCCCCATCACTGTCCAAAATGTGTTCGCCCATTCCGCTAGATTTTTCGATCGCCCCGAGCAACAGAAAGAAGCTCTGTGCTGGGATACCCCAGAATCGAACCGTGGATATGTAAGGTTCGGTAGAGAAAAAGTCACACAATCCGCAGATCCAGAGGAAATACTGCGCCTTCGAACTGCCAACCCGGATTTTAAGGAGACGATGGAAATTGGCCGGGAGGGAGTGGAGGGACTGCCAAATAAATGGCCGGATTGCTTTGATGAGGAGGGCAGGGAATTCACGCGTGTGATGCAGGCTTTTCATGATACATGTAAGGATCTACATATGCAGGTGATGCGTGCCATTGCTCTAGGTATGCATTACGAGGAGACTTTCTTTGACGATTACACCAATGTTGGCGATAACACTCTTCGCTTGCTGCATTATCCACCTGTTCTCAAGAGTGTCTTTGAGAACAATCCGGATGCTGTCAGAGCCGGGCCCCATTCAGACTATGGCTCCATCACGCTACTATTTCAAGATGACATTGGCGGTCTCGAAGTCAAATCTCCGCAAAACACATGGGTGCGTGCTGTGCCCATCAAAGACACCATCGTTGTGAATGCGGGAGATCTTTTGGCTCGATGGAGTAATGACACAATAAAGAGCACAAATCATCGTGTCGTTCAGCCCCCTTCTGCGTCTGGTAGCTCGACTGAGGGATCGGATCTGTATCCCACGCGATACAGCGTGGCGTATTTTTGCAATCCCAATTTCGACAAAACTATCGAGGTGCTGCCGGGAACTTATGCCGATGTTAGCGAGAAGAAGTATGAGCCTATCAACAGTGGTGATTATTTGACGATGAGGTTGGCTGCTACATATTGAGCCGATTCGAGCCTATGCGTATGTGTTTAAAAGCTCAAGATGTATGTTAATTCTAACAACGAGAAAACTCATATAAATCTGCTTGTCTTGAATGCGTCCTCATCCATGAATGTTGCAGGGCTGATCGTGCGGATATTATCCGGGCTTGCCACGTTGAGGCTGTAACTTGTCGGCTATGAAGTCTTGACTTGGATTGGCATGCGGCTTCAATTAGCGAACTTTAAAAGAGTTCAATTGAATGTTCTCGACACGCCACTTTTGTAAAGGGAGAAAAAAACAAGAAAGAAAAATCCCGGCGTTCAGCGCGACTGGTTCGACGGCCAAAGGGGGGAAAGCGTGTCGGCTGGAATAGCCTTCGCGAAGAACAAACTTTGAGTAATAAGCCAACGTCAAGTTAGTCAGGCACGGTGGCGCGAGTCATTCAACTCCCCCCCGCAAAAATGTTCGCAATGTACCAGTCATTGACATATCTAGAGTATGACGCTCGCCTAAAATAAACCAACTTCGACATGATTCGTAGTCGAGATCGAGGGTCGTGTGGCCATTTCGGGCCCACGATAGCGCCTCATGGTGGACTCCAGCTGGGACAAATTGTACGAAGAAGCGCATATTAAAACAGTCACGACCTGCTCGTCGGGGCTCATCTCTGAACTCTCCTCAATGTTGGCCTTCTGATCTTTGACCATTGCTGGCGAAGATCTGTCACTCGTTTATCTGTCAACATGAAGTGGACGTACCTCACTCTAGCTCTGGCAACGGCTACTGCTGTTGCCCTTCCCTCACCAAACAAGCCAGTAGAGGAACCACGCCCACAGCCGCAACCAGACGACGGTGATGATGACGTTTGTTACGCTGGTGACGATCTCCTAGATCTGCTAGAGGGACTGCCTTTCGCGGATGATTTCTGTCGTCACTTGCTTGACATTGAACCTGCCATCCTCACAAGCACTCACTCGGCAACTCCCTCGCCTCAAACTGTTTGGATCACCGATACTGTGACCGATACTCATACCTGGACTCAGACCGATACAAATGTTGTGTGGGCAACAGTGACCAATACTCCTTCTACTGTCACTCAATACATTACCCTTACTGACACTGAGTCTGTACCTGCCACGGTCACCGACACGGATTTCGCTACGATTACAGGCTATGTTACTGCTGATGTCACATCCTCTGTTTTTATCACCAATACTCAAACCTTGACAAGTGATCTCACGCAAACCGAAACAGATTATTTCACGAATGTTGCGTACAATACACAGTCCGTTTATGCTACTGAAGTTGTCACGGAGAGCTATACCAACACCATCACTGCCTATTCGACGCTTGTTGTTACCGATTACATTACCTCGACAGTGCCCTTCTATGTGTCCAACTACATTACGGATGTCACAACTCAGACCGTGACGAACTATCATACGGCTACTTTGACTTTGTCTTTCACCGATACAGCCACGGCCACGGTTACGGATGTCCAGTCAACCACCACGACGGTACCCCAGACTGTCACAACATACCAGACTACATCTTCTACCATTATTCAGACACAGGTGGATACCGTATCTAATACCATTCCGGTTACTCAAGTAATTGATACTACCTCCACGGCTACTACTTTCACCACCACTTCTTTTACTGCTACTGTAACGGCTGGCACTACTACTATTGCTCCTGTGCGTCGACATGCGCTAGCCGAGCGCAAATCCGGCTCGGATTATCCTATCCCTGACGAGTTGAAAGACTACTCGCGTAAGGAGCTCTCCAGTGCTTGCTCAGAATTGCATGTTCCTGCTGCCACCGAAACTGTATGGGTTACTCAGGTTGTAGCTCGACCAACGGTAGGTCATCCCTCTATTTAAGTTACATGTATATGAAACTGACGATCGTATAGTCCACTAGTACTACCACCACTCATGTTCCAGCGGCCGGTGCGCAAACCGTTGTTGTCACCATGTATGTCACCGATTACGTGACTTTGGCGCCAGCTCCTGTGACGGTTGCAGAAACATCTGTTGTAGAGCAGACTATCCCGTATGCTGTGACTGTTGACGTTACTAGCACTGCTGATATTACCCTCACAAACACACAAACCGATGTGGCTACTATTACTGCCACTGAGGATCAGTGGGCAACAGTGACTGACTGGGCCACGTTCGATGCCACCGTTGACGCCACTTCGTCTGTTACTGTCACAGTTGATGTTAGCGAGACCTCTTCAGTGACAGCTTTGGTCACCACTACGGCTACGCCCACAGTGACAAGCGACATTACAGTCACCCAGGCTGTTCCTGAAACAGTGGATGTGACAATTGATCAGACCGCTACTGCCACTGCTGACGTGACGAACACCCAATCTACATCGACCACTACCACGACAACTGTTACTGCAACAGTCGATGTTCTCTCAGTCTCGACCTTCACTTCGACGTCCTCTGTAACCCTAACAGTCACCGCGCCAGTTACAGTGCCTACCACTGTTTACACAACCGTGCCAGTAACACAGACAGTTCAATCAGTCTCGACCATTGACGTGACTGTTACTAAAACGGTTTCATCAACCACAACTACAACTGTCACGCCGGCTCCGACATGTGGTTTCAGCGTTATCCAAAACGGCAACTTTGACAACGGAGCTATAAGCCCGTGGACCGCCACCCGAAGTGGTAGTAGTAGTACTAGCCTTGCCTATAACGGCTCCCCGTACTACTTCTCATTTTACAGTTTGCAAACCGCTGCAGGAACCGTAACGCTACAGCAGACAGTCAATACAGTTGTTGGCCACACATATAGCTTTTCGTTGGCTTATTACGTTCTCTTACGCGGTTCAGGAGCGACTCTTTCATGCGGATTCAGTAACGGAGCCACACTATCTGTGCCGGTAAGTGCTGCGGTACTCGATACGTGGTACACATTTACCGGATCCATACTTGCTACCTCATCGTCTTCCACCTTTGCCTGTACCGTTCACTCGTCTTTAGGATTCAAAGTGGAACTAGATAACTTCAGCCTACAGTGCTAGTTTGGCACCCACAATCTTTAAGCCTGATTTCTTCCACTATTATATAATTTCACTAATATTATTTGTTCAAATTATTTGATCACGTACTGCGATCTTTTGTCTCCTATGTAAAATTTCGATTATATTGACTTGCAGAGCAGCTCACGATATATGAGTAACATGATTCGTAGTTGGGGTCTACACCTTGCGTCATCCATATACCACTCTAGCATACGGTGATCGTTGTAGCTAACAATATTATAGTCGACATGGAGACATTCAAGCCATAGTTGGATTAGAGAAGTCCACAGTTTTGATCCCGGACCTAACCAGCGTAGTGATGATGATTTGCACGTCGTCTGGGCCCTTAGAAGACGGGGCATATTTGACTGAATTCTATTTCCGGCTGGAAGACAATTTGATCGAGTGCATCTATTGGCATGTGAAGAACTAATTAATCGAGCAGACCCTATGTTGGATGATACAGGTCAACGGAACACGTTTAAAGTCAATATACGAAATCCGTGCTTCTGTCAGAGCAGGCGGGCTCAAGTACGTGCTGAGGAAATCTGCTTAACAGAGTAGAGACACCCAAGTAGAAACTAAAATACAATTCAATTGGGCAATTCGATGCGCCGAAGTCTTAATATCACTTCTACCCCTGAAAGAAACAGCCTCCTCAACCGAACTCTCCACAGCCTTCGACGCCGGCTCGACTTTCTACAGCATAACCCCATCCTCAACATCATCTAATTTCCTCCCACTCATCTTTGGAATCCAATTTGTCAAAACCGAGCAAGGATATAATATTCCAGCAAACAGACCCAACATTCTCTCAGCCCAATAGCGTCCGTTGCACTTCGCTGGAATTGAGTATGACGCATGGGACTGCTCCTATAGGTCTATGGTGAAGGTAGATGCTTGGAGTCGGAGGTGGATTGCAGTAGAAATAGCGTTCCTGTACCTTTATGCTAGATTCGTTAATGGGAAGGGTATTAGAATTGAGTGGTCAGCCACGGTACCCTACGAAGTGAAAAGGATGAAGTCAGATGGAACTTTTGGCTTACGGCATGAGGATCTTTAGAAATGGGGGATAAAAGTGTAGTCTTCATTGAAGTGTACTGGATTACATATAGATTCTTAGTGTAGCTTCGTAGTAGATATTCATTATGCTTTTTGTGTCATGCCCAGGAATTTTGTACTCGATATCTTCAAGCCACGGTTTATCCGTACCGAGCATTTGCTACCTCATCATCAAACCATGTCGGCAAAACCCCGTAGTTATAAACAATACTCTTCACCTTCGTATAACTCTCATACGCCTCCCGCCCATTCTCTTTTCCCATGCCACTCTCCTTGAATCCACCCCAGGGAGATGAAGGATCATTAAGATGATGTCCGTTTACCCAAACAATACCAGCCTCAATTTTACCTGCAACGCGATGGGCCTGCGTAAAGTCTTGAGTCCAGATAGAAGCACCCAAAGCGTAATTCGTGCCATTCGCAATATTAACAATCTCGGATTCTGATTTGCAGCGAATGATGGCAATGACGGGACCAAAGACTTCGTTACATGAGAGGTCTGATTTAGCGTGTGTCTCGATGAGAGTTGGCTCAAAAAAGTAGCCCTTGTCTTGAAGGCTGGCTGGCTTCCCACCACACAGTAGTTTCCCGCCCTCTTCTTCAGTTATTGCTCGCGAGACAAATGCTGCGCATCTTTCGACGGCGGCTTTGTTGATGACTGCGCCGATTTGTGTTTGGGAATCGGTCGGGTCGCCTAGCCGCAATGCCTTTGTCCTCTTGACCAGCAACTCCACGAAGGCATCGTATATATCTGTATGGACGAGGAGTCGGCTCCCAGTCACACAGGTCTGCCCACTAGCAATGAAACTAGCAAATAGCGCCGCTTTGACGGCATGCTCAACATTCATTGACTCGAAGATGCAGACGGGTGCTTTGCCTCCCAATTCCGCTGTGATGGGGATCATGTTCAACGATGCCGACGGCGCAATAGCCTGATATGTAGCCAGACCCCCTGTAAGATCGATTTTAGATAATGTAGGTGTCTCGCATAGGTATTTCCCTGTTTCTCGACCATATCCCGAAATGATCTGTAACGTCCCATCTGGTAAACCAGCCTCTTTGAAAATTGCCCCTAATTTAAGTATGGATACCGGAGCCAGTTCAGAAGGCTTAACAATGACCACATTCCCAGCCGCAAGCGCTGCACCTATTTTCTTCATGCTGATCAATAACGGATGATTCCAAGGCGTGATCAGAGCCACAACACCTAACGGTAAACGAGTCAAAGTGTTGACAACAGGGCCCTTGAACGGTGTCACAGCACCTTCTTGAGTTCGCGCCAGGCTAGCAAAATATTCCAACCATTCGGGGATACGTGCTAACTGGGCACGCATTTCGCGAATGGGGCGACCTGTCTGCTGGACTTCCAAGTGAACGAATTCTTGGATGCGGGCACGTAATAGTGCAGCGGCTTTTGATAAGACGGCGAATCGGTCCGAGGCATCTGCTTTGGACCATGTGCCCTCGTTGAAGTTCTGCCATGATTTAGAGACGATGTCTTGCACTCCACTGCGAGTTGTGGCTTCGACGGTAGCTATGATTTCTTCGGTTGCTGGGTTGATAACTTTTATGTCAAAGAACGATGGTGGAGAGTAGGCGCCATCAATCCAGTTCGAATAGTGTGGAAGGTACTGATCTCCCATTTTGTCCTTCTATTTCCAATTTCTTGATGAGAAGTTGTATACCTGGTCAAGAATACTTCATTGATATGTGGTCAGTAAGCGTGAGCGATTGATGTATGAGGGGAATACCCCACTGATAAGATAAGCATGATGCCACTACTGCATTCTACAAGATTGGTGAGCTATCAAAATGGTAGATTTAAATTCCGAAACCAAGCTGGATCAGAAGCTGGTGCTAGATGATAGTAAAAGTGGAAGGCTGCGCGCTTACATTTGTCCACTACGACGGCAATACGTAGATATCACCTTAAATGTCGCGGTCCTAAGATCATACGTTCTTGTCCTACAGCGTTTGCCAATTAAAGCAGCCATGGAAATTTCTAAAAGTTCTTATCCGTGTGCAAGGTTTGCAATTGGGACTAATACCACTTACACATATGACCGGGTAAGACAGCTCCTGGGCTTGACATGTTATGAATAGATCCTTGGAACCTGGAATATGTCCGAAGACTTTCAAATAACAGTCAGCCAACGAGATGGCATGGTAGCGGCGACGCTAAGCATCAATTGATGGATGTCTTAATTCAATATTGTTTGGCGGAGTCTACCTAGCTAGGTATGTATTGATACATTTTATCTCAAGCATGAGTCTATATTGAGCAAATATATATCCGAGGACGATCGGGTATATTGGTCTAAAGATGTAGGTATGTGGAAACACATACGCCCCTCTCCCATGGCATTATGCTTGTATACAAGTGTTAGATGCATGTGTGCCTATAGGATTTGAATAAATTATGCATCCATACCAACCGAACAGACCGATGTTGAGAGTTGAAGATAAGCAAGCATACTACGTAAATGTAGACMCCAGCCACGATTCGCCAGCCACAAGTGGGGCCAGATCAATACGCAAAAGTGCTACGATGATACCGTATCTAATACAGAATACGTTATCCCCTGCTGGATCCGCACCAATCACAATGAGCAAATATACTGATACGAGTCATGTACCCGTAAAATATACACACGTGCGGAAGAGCGAATCTTTCATCTCGCTGCAAACGGCGGATCTGGCATAGCTGTTGTACCACTATGTATGACTATGAACATACGGAGTAGTAACATTCTGAAAACAGCTGAGACTTCTACCAATCACGCCTGTCGTATTGCTACTTCGTGCGAACTAGGTACTGGGGTTACAGGCACCGTCCACGTACCTTGTAAATAAGTGCCCAAAGCATCAACACGTCAAAAGTAGATTGACTTCTCTTCTGATGCTTATTTCTTCGTGGAATTGAGTCCCGACTGGATCGGCCGTTTTGATCAGCGATGATGAAAAAATAGTCTTTCTGGGCTCGAGTCATTCAAGCTACGTTGTATTTGCAGCTCAAATAGCCCCATTCAGGACACCGATGGCAGCTTGCAACTGTCCAAGTGATTTACGACGCTGTTGGCTCCCCTTAGTACGAGCCATATTAATAATAATTGCGTGTACTTCTGATACCAAATACAATAGTCACCTTGTCTCGTATCGTATTCTAGCAGCCACAGTCTTAATTTCCGCCGAGTTGTTTCTTGATTTCTGCGTATGGTACCGTCAAGACATCGTGTAATTACCGATCGCTATCTCCGCTAGCTAATATTACTCCGCGTCCGCTTCCTTCCCTGCTTTCCTACTGCAAGTTTGTCTTAGTCGCTCGTCTTCAACTTCGTGCTTGTCTCACCTTTTTCTTGATCAGTATTATTATCACTAGGCCAATCATGGCCTGCTAACACAAGTTTCTTACTTTCGCTTCATTTCATTTCTATCTCTATCCATATCTATCACGGTCGTTGCAACTATGGGCATCGTGTGATCCCATTATCCTGTCGCTTCTTCTCTTACCTCTGCAGATCCACGACCATCTGATTGATCGACTTCGCCAGGCCGCCACGTCTCACCAGATCGGGACAAAATATCAAACCAAGTGCTAGAGACGACCATTCTACGTATATGAAGTAAACGGAATAAAACTCGAACCTCTTCCGCCATGGCTATCCTTTCTTTGAAAAGGACGCTGGTTTCCGCGATTCTCCTCCTCTCAGCCTCACAACCAGCTTCAGCACAAGACACATTCTCATTCCTACCAAGTGCCGCCAGCTCAACCTTTCCAGCATGCGGTCTGACATGTCAGCTCCTTACCGAAGCTCAAGCAGGCTGTGTCCCGCCTCAAGCAGCAGTCACCAGCACCGATACCTATGTTTCCTGTTTTTGTCAATCGGCTTTGATTTCCGGCCTGCCGTATACCGCTTCGATGTGTCCCACCTGCACGAGTACATCGGATCAGCAGTTGTTGTCAACTTGGTATAAAAATTATTGCGCCGGTGGATTCCGATCGACCTTGACGACATCTGCTACCGCGACGACTTCGACTGCGACTAGCACTACAGGAACCAACACGGCCACTACAACAAGTACCACTTCACCCTCTCAGAAAGATTCGTCGCCGTCGGATAATGCATCGTCCAGTGGTTCGAAGAGCTGGTCAGTTTGTGCTGCTTTTAATATGATAAAAATCACTGACTGTGTATAGGTTCTCCACCCACTGGAGATGGGTAGTCATGCTGATCATCCTAGTGATCGGCTTTTCCGCACTTGCCGCCGCTGCCGTATGGCTGAAGAAACGTCTTGATGCCAAACAACCAAACCTTTACCACGGCGACGACCGAAACAATGGCGGAGGTTCCGGAAGCGGTCCTGGCCCAGCCGCAGCCTTCTTTGCTGGAAGTCTGCGTAATCTATCCAGAAGCAACGTCAACAGCACCCGTGCTTCGACGAACAACAGCAGCAACAACGTCGCTGTGGCTTCAAAAGTGCCAAAGATGCAACAACAACCCAGCATGTCGACGACCAGTTTCTCGAATCGTCGCTCAAGCACATTGACCAATTCTGTCGTGAGCAATAGCAACAACAACATGACCACCAATGGCCATGAAATGTGGGGACCCAATCAAGCGCGCAATTTTGAGAATGTCGCCCCCGTCGAAGAGCCCGTTTTCAGGAATTCAATGGCCACGGCCGCCGCGGCAGCAGCATTCGGAGGCGGTGCAGCAGGAACAGCAGCCGCACCAGGCCCAGAAGCGATAGGAATAGCTTCAACAACTGCCAACAACTCCCGTACCGATCTATCGAGCGTCGGCACAGGAGGAGGAAGAGCAACACCAAGAAATCTGAACAGATTAAGTGTGCAATCCGCATCAGCATCAAATTTGCATCAGCAACAGCAATTGCAGCAACAATCGACGCCGCTGTTGCGCGAAGCACAATCACATCGAGAATTGCAGAGACCACAATCTGCGAGTCCCGTTAGTCCAATTCACGATTAGAGATTTTCACCTCTGTTTCACAAAAAATTTTGACGTCGATATTTGTTCTATTTTTGGGAGTTGAATGCATGCATATATGATTCATCGATTCGATTGGACAGTGTCCCATAATTCCATCCCTACCGTTTTCTGTTTCTATAGCATCTGACATATTTCTTGCTATCCCTGTTGTTTTTATTGTACGGGGGTATGTTTTCGGTGTTATTATCTGGGTTCTCACGACGTATTTATATACTTTGCTCTCACTCTGTCCTGTCCCTGTCTCTCCCTTGTTTGGGTCTACCTGGTTTTAAAGTTATAAGGTTATCTATATGGAATGTTGGAGTCATCGATTCTTTCCTTTACTCGCTCTGGATTCTTGCTTCATTGGTAATCATTCGAGTTTATTATGTAAGGGGTGAGATATTAGGTATGTGTAGATGGAACAAGGGATATACACAGACCAAGTACGCAGTATAATCCAATGCCCTCAGGCTACAATTCATACGTACAGTAAGTAGTATGTCAGACTCAAGATATACTAATACTAACAATCTTTATGTCCTCCTCCGGCCTCTCCTTTTTCACTTTCACATTCTCAATCCTATGCACAACATCCAACCCGGCAACCGCCCTCCCGAAAATCGTATGCTTCCCATCTAACCACGGCGTCTTCTCTGTCGTTATAAAAAATTGCGACCCATTCGAATTCGGCCCCGCATTCGCCATACTCAAAGTATACGGTTTGTCGTGTTTGATGGTTGGCGATATCTCGTCTTGGAATTCCCCGCCCCAGATACTTTCGCCGCCCGTGCCGTCGCCTAAGGGGTCGCCGCCTTGGATCATGAATTTGCGGATTACGCGGTGGAAGATTGTGTTGTTGTAATATCCCTGGCGGGCGTGGGTGACGAAGTTTTCGACGGTTAAGGGTGCGATTTGAGGGAATAGCCGTAGGTGGATGTCGCCCAACGTTGTGTGTAGGATTGCGGAGGTCCCAGATTCGGTCTTTTTGGTGGTGGATTCTTTGGAAGCGATGTCACCTTCGCGCGGTTTCTCGTTTTGGATGTCGCGAGTCGATTTGTTAATTTCGGTGTCGTTGGTGAACATGTAGAAACGAACTTTGCCAAATCCGGTGGACACGAGGATGGGATCGCGTTCTTCGGCTTCTTGGAGAAGAGGATTGGAACTGGCGGCCATACTGACGGTGACGACTCCTTTCTTTTGTGGTGCGCCCTGGTATACTGCCAGATTCAAGGCGCGGAATGGTTCGTCCTTGCCGTATACGCGGACCACGCGATTGGTGAATGTGTTGATGCATTTGATGCCGTGGAGAGACCCATATAGTATAAAATGACCGGACTCGTCAAAAATGACATTAGTTTTGGATCGCGAGACTGGATTTTCGATCTCGCGCTCAACGGCTATTCGTCGTCCAAACTCGACTTCCTCTAGTCGATCCAACGCCGTCCCAGCTTCTTGCATATCAGTGATTGTCGTTAATGATTCATCGTATGTTCTATACAATTTTCCAGACTGAAAATCAAAAATCCGGACTTGTCGGTCCGGAAATGAAAAAGTAGCGAATTGTTTCCCGGAGGGCGAGATCGTGATTGATGATGGCACTGATTTCTTCTTTCGAAACTCGAACAAATTTGTAGATGATTTCAGTTCGAAGACGTTGTCTGGTTTCGAAAAGTCGTCTGAAGGTCTCCAATATTCAACCATACCGGCTTCGTCGGCTGAGATGACGCAGTCAAAGATATTGTTGAATGCTAGCGCAACAACTGGTTTTCTGTGTATTGAAGGGAGCGTATGCATTGGCTCGCGATTCTCCCCTCGACCGTCAAAAATTGTGATTGTAGGCGTGGCTTCATCGGTAACGGCAAGCAAAGGTAGGGATGCGCCACGTTTATGCACCCAACAGACGCACCGTGGTGTGAACTCGAGGTCGAACAACGCTAGAAGATCTGGTCCAAGTTAGTATTCGATACTTCCACCATGCTCAATATTCAGTCCTACCGAAAGTAATAACATCAAATATCTTCACAGTTTTATCCGATCCAGCTGTAGCGAAACTCCTTCCATCCGCGCTGACAGTCGTGCTGGTAATCTCGCCGGCATGCGCTCGAAACTCTTTCACGAATTCCACCCCAACGGCCATTTTCTTCCAGAACTTGACAACGCCATCAATCGAGCTCGTAATGAGGAAATCGGTTGACGGCGTAATATTCACGTACGACAGTTGGTCTCGGTGCATGAGCGACTTGGTGTATCGTTGCGACGTAGGCAGCGCGTTCACGTAGACTTTTTCAAAAGCGAGCTTGCGGCGTTTCTTCTTCGGCGCAGCTGCAGACGGTAAGGCTGGGCCAAAGTCATCGTCGGAGGAAGAATCGCCGCCTGTATTATTAGCTTGAGAGCTTGCAGAAAAGTATTCAGAGATTGTCGCGAACTCACCATTCTCGCCGGGCGTGTCGTCTGCCAATTCGGACAATGGCCTCTTGTTAGATACGGATCCAATAGTTTCTTGAGCTGCCATTGTTACTAGTGACCTTCTATGTACCCAGTATATGGCGGTATAAAGAAAAATATGAAGCTGCGGAGGTCTCAGGTCTGACCTTCTGAAAGAGAAGCTAATGACGGAGACGAACAAACGCACGGACCAGGTCCCCTAAGCCTAACTTTTTATCAAAACACCTCCCCGCCTTCTCGATCTGCCTGCACAACCCACCAGAAAAGGAGTATCACCACAACCCGACATTATGGCGGGCAATAATCCTACGCAGATCTTCGCTGATGACGTGACCGAGGAAAAGGGAGAGAATGCTCGTCTCTCCGCGTTTGTCGGCGCTATCGCTGTGGGAGACTTGGTGAAGTCGACCTTGGGTCCGAAGGGAATGGACAAAATATTGCAATCTGCGTGCGTTCATCGCTCACTGAAATACATATGTTTCGGCGCTGACATAAAAGTCTTCTAATAGATCCACCGGAGAGATTTTGGTCACCAACGACGGAGCTACCATTTTGAAGTCAATCGCACTCGACAATGCCGCTGCTAAGGTACGATCTCAACAGAAATCAACGAAGTGTCCATATTTCTAATCGATCTTTGGTATAGGTTTTGGTCAACATCTCGAAAGTCCAGGATGACGAAGTCGGTGATGGAACAACCTCCGTTACAGTCCTCGCCGCCGAGCTCCTTAGACAAGCCGAGATCCTCGTGGACAAAAAGATTCACCCCCAGACCATCATCGACGGATACCGGATAGCCAGCAAAGCAGCACTTGCAGCACTTGAAAAATCCGCTGTAGACCGCAGTAACGATCCTATCGCTTTCCGCAAAGATTTGCATGCCATTGCCCGCACAACGCTGAGTTCCAAGGTCCTCGCCCAGGACCGCGAGCACTTTGCTACCCTCGCTTGCGACGCTGTGCTACGATTGAAAGGTTCAACTGATCTCAGCCATATCCAAATCATCAAGAAGGCTGGTGGAAAGCTTTCGGAGTCCTACCTGGATGAAGGGTTTATTCTTGACAAGAAATTTGGTGTTAACCAGCCGAAGCGTTTGGAAAATGTGAAGATTATGGTTGCCAACACAGCTATGGACACGGATAAGATTAAGATTTTCGGTGCTCGCGTAAAGGTGAATATTGGATTTACCGGACGATATATGGCATTCGCTAAAAGTATTACAGGTCGACAGTACGGGCAAGCTTGCCGAGTTAGAAAAGGCCGAGCGGGAAAAGATGCGCCAAAAGGTCGAGAAGATCAAGTCACATGGTATCAATTGCTTGTAAGTTATTCTGCCGACTGTAAAGATTGCAAAACTAATAATTATATCTAGTGTGAACCGACAGCTTATCTACAACTGGCCAGAGCAGCTTTTCAGCGAAGCTGGAATTGCCAGTATTGAACATGCAGATTTCGATGGTATGCTTACCGACCCATTTATTGGCTTGTCAATATGAGGAGTAGTGCGATACTAACACAGGGTAGGTGTTGAGCGACTAGCACTTGTCACCGGAGCAGAGATTGCATCGACATTCGACAACCCAGAGCAAGTCCAGCTTGGTCACGCCGATTTGGTTGAAGAAGTTATCATTGGAGAAGACACATTGCTCCGATTCTCTGGCGTTGCCAAGGGTGAAGGTATGTTTTGACTGTCGATATACTTGAAATGATCACGCTGATAGATGTAGCTTGCACAATTGTCTTGCGTGGATCCACCGAACAACTTCTCGATGAAGCAGAGCGTTCTCTTCACGATGCTCTTGCCGTTCTATCACAAACTGTCAAGGAGCCCAAGGTTACTCTTGGAGGCGGCTGTGCTGAGATGACCATGAGTTTGGCTGTTGAGCAGGCTGCTCAGAACACAACAGGAAAGAAACAACTTGGTATGTTGAGAAAGCCTCCGTTTTGATGCATTACTAATTCAGGTCCAGCTGTTGACGCCTTCGCCCTTGCACTCCGACAACTCCCCACTATTCTCGCCGACAATGCCGGTCTCGACAGCTCAGATCTCGTTGCCCGCCTCCGACAAGCCATCAGCAAAGGCATGGCCAGCTCCGGCTTGGATCTCTTCGAGAATAAGATTAGTAACATGGCAGAACTCGGTGTTGTGGAGGCATACAAGCTCAAGAGAGCTGTTGTCAGCTCCGCTTCCGAGGCTGCAGAGTTGTTGCTGCGTGTGGACAACATTATCCGTGCTGCTCCCCGGCGGCGCGAGCGTATGTAAATGAAGGATGGAAAATTCATAGAGGAATATTAGAGATGTGGCCAGGAAAAGTTGTATGAAATGAGATGATATCATTGCATGAGATGTTTGTACAATGTAGAAATGGCAGTCATATATTAATCCCAGTCGACGGCTGCATGTGCTTTAATTCGAGGGATAACCAAATATATTTGGAGGTATGCAACGATAAACTCCGGCGAAAGACCAAAGAAAGCTCGCTTTGAAATCCAATCATTATTTACATCAATGCCTTCCCTTCATTGCAACTCATACCTCACATTGCCCTGATTCTGCCCAACAGCATGTCCCGGATCCCCCGGCATCTCAGCCTGCGTCACAACCCCATGATGATACTGATACTGCTGATGTTGGTACGGCGACACACCACCCAATTCCTGCGCCCCTCCATCGGGGTGCTGATAATACCCCTGCGACTCAGAAGGTAATTCACTCGTCCTCCCCGATCCATCACTAATAGGCGAAATGGGCGCCGCAAGGCCTGGCGGAAACGCCGATGCAGGCACAGCCGCTGGATTGTGCTGCTGCTGCTGCTGCTGTAATCGCTGTTGCAATTGATCTATCTGCTGCTGTAATCGTTGTTGTTCCGCCTCCTGCTGCGCATCCAGCTCGGGTTTGAGTTCGTTATACATTGGTATCCCAGCTGCGTTTGCCTTGTCGTCTTCTCCCACCATGTTTACGGGCGTATATGCAGTTGAAGATGTTGTAGCGGTTGCGGCTGCGTTGGTGTTACGTCGTCCTCGACGACGACGAGAACAACAGTAAACTATTAAAGCGATCATGCCGCCGATGAGAGCGAGACCGCCTACTCCGGCACCAACGCCAATTCCTATTTTTGCGCCTTGGCTGAGGCCGGATGTGTCTTTTTGGTCGTTGTTGCCACTGCTGCCGATACTGCTGCCGCTGCCGGAGGAAGAATCGCTGCTTGAGGAAGTCGTGGAAGTGGTCCCTGCTGCTACGCCTGTGGCAGTGGGTGTATATGTGATTGTGACGGTGGTGGCTTGGCCGCCAGAGATGGATATAGTGTTTGTGACTGTAATGGGAGTCGCAGTTGCGGTTCCGGTTTTGGTTGTCGTTACACTCGCAGTCGCAGTCAAGAATGATAAATATGAAGCTAGAAAATCGACAGGAGTCAGTCAACTTGCATTCTTTTCCAGCCCAGAAGTACTGAAAACACATACCTATATTGGTCGGATACGTCGTCGGTATGGAATAGGAATATGTACTCGAACAAGCTGATTCCGCAAGTTTTGTGATTGAGACTCCGAAATCGCTGCAGAATGCTTGGCTTTCTTCCCAGACAACTATTGTCAAGCGCAAAAGTGTCAGGCCGTTATCTTGTGCATATCGTCTTGGAAATATATGAACGTACGATTGTCGTCCGAAGTATCGCAGCTGCTGCGTACACAGCAGGTACTTATGGTATTAAAAGTGGTCGATCTGCATAGACAGGCGTAATCAGTCGAACTGCAGTCCGAATCGGCTGCAGCACCTAAGGCGGCGCATGGTTGCTGTCGTAGTTATCTGATGATCAGTCTATATTTTTCTATAACGACCCATAGATGCAGACTAGTACTCGAACACCAAGGCACGCATAAAAAAACAATTGAATTTGAGCTGATTGAATTCTACTTACAGCGCATGTTGGTAAATAGCTCCATACTTCTGACTGGCCAACTGCCGTCGCAACCACCAGTAGCGACAATATCAACCTCATGTGGCTTTTATCTTTGCTTTTTGCCCCTTACCTTGTGCCGAAATGGATTTCGGGGCAGGAGTCTCGACCTTCAAATGACAAATACACAGCAATTTTTGAACCGAGTCCAGAAACACTGAATATGTGAATTAGAACAAAAAAGAAAGAAGGAATGGGCTCGTTTTGACACAAATCCTAATGAGCTAGGATTAATCTATTTCCCCACCCCATGTTGTAGAGCTATGAGGTCCAAGCCTCACGGCCCTGCCGGCTGATTACATGGCCTTCCCGGGCCCCCAGGCACTGGAACGTTGTACGGTTGCGCTGTTATATCCGCGTGCTCGCATGCTGATTGGATATTGAATGATCGTAGTCTGGGACTTGCAGGAAAGCTCGCTATCAAGTGTTACCCCATACGTACCAAGCGAAAGGCCAGGATGTAGGACTCGTGACTTAGATTTCTCAGAACTAATCAATGTAGCAAGCCGCTAGTACAGTGCGTGTCCATCTCTCCATCTATTAGACATGACTCTTTCTTCATGTAAGCGCATGAAGTACTGGGGAGGATAGAGTGCCTGACATGTCGAGGCTCATCAAGCCATCCATATTCGGCCATGGCCGTAGGAGCTCAAATCTTAATCAGGCTAGATTAGGCGATGAACCAATAAGTCTGATTGAACTAGATGCTTAATGCATTTTAGTCTATTTAGCGCATCTTGGCCCGCACCTCTTTGATATCGAGATCACTTCTGAGACGGTGATTGGTTAATGGGGTTTTTCGTCTGTTGTGACTTGTTTCAGTCAGGGCTTGGTAGATCACGTTGATAATTAATATCAGTTGGAAATAGACTTGGCTCTCTCTAAGATCACGAAATTGATTACTTAGTGGTCAAGTCCAACAAAGACATCCTCCCTCGATAGTCATATAAAGAGAAATGCATACATAGGCATGATCGGAATACAGAAGCGTTATTGACATCCTGCTGTACTCCTTCAAGTGCTCCTTTCCATACGGCCACTTAACAATCTTTGACGAGTCCCTCCGCGGCAGCTGTCATTTCACCGTCTTTCCATCTGAGGTAGTTCGCCCATATCCCGGGACCTGGTTAGGGTCCGAGGCAAATGAAGATATGTCTGAACTAGACTTGATGGGCAATTGGAAGAGCATTTCTTGGATTCGGAATGGGAAGCATATGCCTCACCCTCAAATATTACACTTAGCTTCCACTCAAATGGCGTCGAATTTCCACGAAACTCATCGTGCGTTCCGAAGATTAGGGATAGTTCAGCTAGGACTGAGGCATACGTCAGTGCTACTATATTTGTATGAGAAGAGATCCAAGTGAACTCATAACTGCAGTATGCCCCATACAAGAGGGAGAAGAGATGTTGCTAAAATTGGTTGGGTAATAATATTGATAAATCGTACGCCCATGTGCAGCATGGTTTCTGCGAGAAAATTAGCTAAGCTTTCCATAGCCATTCTCGCAATACAGAAAAGACTTAACGATGGAATGAGCATACTGGACCTCTGCTAAAGCAGGAAATGTGAACGAATCCAGCTTCAAGGCAGTGACACTGGCCTGATTGTGTCTCTGCAAGGAAAACTTCCCGAAGGCTTCTCCTTCATTGGCGTTGTTTCCCATAATTGGAGGCTATCATAATGACACATCCGACAATCAGTCCAAAAGTCTTTGAGACAGAGAACGGAAGAGAGTTCCTAAAGATAATTCACAATTCTCGCCAAGAGACCCTTATCTGCCCTATCAGTCAAAATATCAAAGAACGTGACATTGTCAACAAGAAATATAAACTTAATACCGTCTCTTCCAGTCATTACATCCCGGGTCTACAAGCTATGTTGTATTGGTTTTCACATTATGGGGAAATAAGCTCAACTGGACAACGTTAGTCAAGCAACTCCTGCAATCGGCCTTTCGTATACCCTACATAGTAGGGTCTTTTGAGAGTCTAGTCAACTCTTCACATTTGAAAACGGCATACTGTTTATCCTATACATTAACCTCTTGTCGATAGCTCAGGGCTTGTTCTAAAGCCTTTAATTTGCCATTGATAGATTCGTCTCCGCAGATATTGAGGGTACAATCTATTTATACGCATTGACTGCTAAATATGCTTTGTTGGTAAGCTTACATCATGCTTGGGGATTTTCCTAGATGACTACTGAGTGCAACTATGTATAAAAGAGACTTGAATATGTCCGGGTTCTCAAAGTCCTCCCTCTGAGATGGCTGAGCCTTAGACGATGGCTCAGGTGCTATTCCAAAAGCTAATCTAAACAGAAATTTCAAAAGATCGTAAAAGGAATGGGTGATGAAATTTGTCTAATCTATTCATGCCACTTAAAGGTTATACAACAAGGTCTCTCTAACGAGCAACCACCTTCAGGGGACAACTCGTAATACCCATTTCGGGCATTTGTGCATATTGAAGAGGCCCATCTACATCAAAATCACTTGTTAGCTCCAAAATTACGCGGAGAGCAATTTGAAGAGCCCTATATAGTAATAAAAAATTATCAGCATTCTATACTCATCGGGCAGTGTTGATGGGAAGGGTATTCTCACATTCTAGCCAAAGGCATCCCCGCACATCGATGTCGACCACGACCAAATCCCAGATGCGACGTCACATTAGGTCTGTTTAGTACAAATGTGTGCGGATCTGGAAAGACTTCTGGATCTCGGTTTGCTGCTGCATATGTCATTGTAATAGGTTCTCTGGCATGAATTTTGACGCCATGAATCTCGACGTCTTCTTTGGGTGTGCGCGAGAATCCTCTGTATGGGACGTATAGGCGGACAAATTCTTCAACCGCGGCATTAATTAGAGTTGGATCAGCTCGGAGCTTTTGTTGGAGGTCTTTGTCTTGGGATAGATGGCTGCACATGTCTCCGATGAGAATTGGAGGAGCCACCATGCCCACGACTAGGGACTGGCGGAGAGCACCGCTAGAAAGCAGTAAGTATAATCACGACAAAACCTGTATAGAGGATCATACATTAATAACTCATCAGTCAACGGCTGACCATCTGGTCCCTTCTCCAATAGCAAGGATGAAGCCGGATCCTGCTCCGGATCTAAAGGTGACTGTCGCCGTTCCGCAAACAATTTTCGCGCAATATCATATAACTTCTCAGACTGCGCTACAGTTTCGGCCTTATTCTGCAACCTCCACGCATTGATCCACGCAGCTGCCGTCGTTGCAAGCTTTGGTGCCGTCTCATCTGTTAGATTGAGCCAGCTTACCTCCACCCACGCTGCGAAAGAGGCACCAAACTCGGCACAGACATCTCCGTAACCGCGCTCGACAATTTTGGAGAACTCTCGTCTTGCATGTTCTGTCAGAATAGGGGCAAGTCTCTTGATGCGGGTGGGTTTCAGAGTCCGATCTAGCGCCGTCCTGTAGGGGGTATGTGCTGGAGGATCGGTGTTCAAAGGTGGTCGACGTGTTCCACGCGGGTCACTCGGAATCACAGCTTTGACAGACGAAACGAACATTTCATGATCTGTAGCGCAGCGTTGGATATCGTCGTAGCGGGATAAAACCCAGTAGCCGCCATTAGCGGTTGAGTGCGCAACGGGGCATTTTGATCTTAGTTCATCGAATTGAGCATGAATTTTGTCTGGATTTTCGTCAGGAATGAGTGCGAAGTCTTCTGGTAGTACGCGAGTCACCATATTGTTGTTGGTGATACTATTCCGTATGCATGCATGAATTCTAAAACCAGCTTGATGTTAACCAAAACCGGGTATGCAACTTCTATATAGGTAGATCTCTTGAGTCTACCTTCGTAGAAATACAGAGAAGTCTCAATAATTAGTTTCTTGTTGGAGTTCTAGTTTGCATGTTCTTTACGATAGGGGAAATTAAGATACTCCCTCCACTGGTTTCCCCACCGTGGGGAAAATGGGGGACGGCAAGGATAAATGCCGGTCCATAATCTCGGATCAGAAATGCGGAGATGCTTGAGTGTTGCATGATTCATGGATGTCTATTGCTTTGTATCTTCATTATTTCATACTGGCTGAGAAGAGTATTACGCGTCAACTGTTGGAGAAGACTGTCATAGTTTGATGCTAGTCTGTTCCTTTTCTCAACACTAAGATACGTCCTTTTTAGCCAAAAATAGAGACATTGCATATATATGCATTCCTTCACGACTATGTCAAACAAATCGCTGTGTCCATGCGTCAATCACCTCTTCCATCTCCCGTGCAACTCCCCAGTGGACCGACATTGCACGTAAGAGCGTTTTGATCGAGGTCAAATCATACAGCAGATTATGCACCTCGCACTCACCATCGAGTGGACTGAGAACACCCTGTATAAACATAGCTGTCCCTCGAGCACTTTCAGTCACACCGACCGCACCAGTGGAGGGTAGCGAATAACCATCGAACCCCGACAAAAGGACGACATCCCAGTCAACCGATGACGGGATGGCTATTTTCAAGGTAGATGCGAGTGCAAAGGAACTGTATGTCGTAGCAGCAGCAAAGAGACCACCAGGAAGGTAGACATCTTGAGCAACGCCTAGTGGCATGTGTGATGCTATATCTTGTATTGCAAAGGAATGCAACAGACATTTTCGTGCATTGGGCCCTTGGATCCATCGGTGGGGGTTAATGCCGGTCTCCTGTCTTGTCAAACCTCCGAATATATGCTGTGTGAGTCCGAACTGATAACACATCCGTCGAGCGCCGTTTGCAGTACTTTTGATTGTGTCCAGGCATATAGAGTGCCAGCGTAGTAAGGCTATCGAACGTTCGGTAGGTGATAATGTTCTGTTATTCAAGATATGCCGTCTTATCGTACATAGAGCTCGGGAAACATCAAGCTTCGATGGAATTCCCACTGGTGGACGCTCGGTACGGTTTGAAGCTGTAGCCAGACAATACATAGTTTCTAGTGCAATCTTGGTATTGAAAAGTTCCAGCTCTTGTTCCAGGATTATCGTGAACTGGTCGTCATGGTCTCTATTCTGTGGAGCAAAGAATCGATAGCAAAGATCATTAAGGCTATCTGTTCGCCGTTGCCTGTCGATGTCTCCAATACTCAATAGCCATTTGTCCGGAGAAGTCGCGTTAAATGCCGCATCACTAGCTGGCAGTGGCAAGGTGCTTATACTGGGCCACGGCGTGCCGAATCCGTTGCCGCTGTATTGAGAGACCACTCCATCGATGATATATAGTCCTAGGAGAATTCGAAGCTGGCTTTCTTTACCGACCCATAGCTTCCAGTAATGCGTTTTGCGCTCCAGCGGATCACTTTCATGTGGTAATTGGATGTCGTCTTTGGTGGCAGATTCGAACATGCCGCAGTATCGAGCCCAATGCATACTCAACCCGTAGAAGGTCTGACTAGTCATTCTCATTGTTCGATTCTACCCGAAAGACCTCGTTAGCCACTGCAAAATAATCTATGGGTGTTGAATGGATCTTACTCTCGATAGCGCGGCGTATATTTGGCTAAGTAGTGACGACAACACAAGCTGTACACCAGCACATGCATCGTATTCTCTCTTTTGGTTGATCATGGCTGTCCAGGAAGTTGCCATGGCAGTATGCGCAAGTCGCCATAAAATTTCGCCCTGTATGATAGACTCCCCGTTAGTGCCTTGTCATTTATAAATCACTGTCTGCGCCAGCCGAACCTTTTCAATACTCTCTTCCTTTCCGAGGAAGAGTGATCCGAGAGCAATAGCGTTAAGTAATACAGGTGCCGAACAGTCTCGCAGAAGAAAAGTAGGGCGGTGTATCACAGGGAAAATGGGAACAAACTTGTCAAAAAACATGTGAAGACTGCTGTCAAGAAATCTCGGAGTGAGGTCAGTGAGTTTCAATGGAGCTGTCACGCTATGTAGCTATTCGGATAATACAGTTAATAATGAACAAATATTTTGGTGATGGAAATTGATACTGACTGTTCGCCTGACAAGCCCGTTGACTGTTTGCACGGCTCGATGTCCGTCAATTGCTGCTGGCGAGAAATCTTCTGTATTATCATCATCATTGTCTCTGTCAAGATCATAGGTATCATGTTGGAGTACGTTCGGAAGTGACGGAGGTAGATGAGACTCATCATAGACTGAGGTAACCTGTCGCGTATCTGCCATTGATTGATCCCATGCCATAGGATCAAGCGTCAAGATGCTCTGTAAAAAGGTTTCCGAGTCCGGCCATAGCAACGAAGACGGTTCCTCTGGAATAGCTCGATAATTCGTTGCGGGTGCATTTGGATCATCGACAAACATGCTTGTACCTCCGGCATTGAGGCCAGACATACCGTCCACGGGTAGTCCAGAAAACATAGCCGCAGGCGAAGAATCATGAATATCCCCAACTCCATATCGTCTTTCGTTTCTGTCTAGATTTCTTTGGTCCGAATATTGATTTGAAGTTCTGTCAATCCTATCTAATCTTTCGGTATTATGGGTGCTGTGACGATTTGTTTCATGCCGAGTTTTGACATGTCTGCTTAGAACATCTCCTCTAGAGAAGCTTCTCTTACAGATTTCGCATCGAAACGGTTTGGCTCCAGTATCTTCATGATTTGCCAACAGAGCAATATCAGCATGTCAACGCAAGGACATTCGTTGATAGACTATATGCACTAACGTATTCGTTCATGTCTCTGTCATACATTTGTTTAGCGAGTAACACAAACGCGAGAGAGACCAAGAAATGTATGTTCATACTTGCAAGTGATCCTTCTTCGAATATGTCTTTCCACAAACTCCACACTCAAACTCCATCTTTGGACGATTCATGGCCGTGTTGCTATCTTCTTTGTTATCGCATTGGTTCCCCATGTTAGATGGAGGTCGTGGAGGTGGAGGAGGAGGAGGAGGAGAAAAAAAGTAAGGCGAGGTGGGCAATATTTAGTGGGGGAAGGAAGAGCAACTCCGCACTTTCCCCACGCTTTCCCTGACGTTCGATTATCATCCGTCGCCGAATGAGATTTCTTTCTTTGCAATCCTTCTTTCTTCCCGGGTTTTACCTGCCCAAGCAAATGAATCTCCGGTCCATGTCCCTGCAAGCTAATCTGCTTGCGGGGGTGGGTAAAGCCCATAAGCACGGACACATCTTACGATGGGGAAAGGAATCGTGGGGAAACTTAACTTTTATGAACTTGTCTAGTGCTACTTCAGCACATAAAGAAGACAAACCACTCTGAGCGCCGTCATGAAAGTGTCTCCTACCCTTGTATTAGCACGCGAGATATAATGGCATCGCACGTTTCAGAATTAAAAGGCAGCGATGTCGAGCAGATCGAGAAGGTAGATTTGTCTCGACTTAATCAAGCCCCATCACCTCAACACTATGAGCCCGTGACCGAAGAGGAAAAGGCTCTTGACCGAAAGATCAATTTGAAACTGGACGTTTTTGTGACATCGATTCTTTCGATCGGTTTCATTCTATGCGGCAGTAAGTCTTCAGTCATATAGATCTATGCACAACCGACGAAAAAGTACACTAATCATTACTGTGATTCAGTTGACAAAACGAATGTCGGCTTCGTGGCTACGAGCTCATTCCTCAAAGATGCGAATCTCTCAGCAGACACCGTTGGAAACGCCCTCTCGCTCTTTTCAGCTACCTATGTGCCTTTGCAACCGGTATCTTCCATGATTGCTCGCCGTGTCGGTCCGAAATACTGGCTAGCAGTCCTTCTCATCGTCTGGGGTGCACTATGCATGGCCCATGCCGGCATCAAAAACAATGCCACCCTTATAGCACTGCGTTTACTACTTGGTGCGGCTGAAACTGGTTATACACCCGTCGGTTACTACCTGATGTCGTTATGCTATCCTAAATATGCACTCGGTTTGCGTATGGGTGCGTTCTCAGGAATGTACTCCGTTGCCGGCGCATTTGCCGGTCTTATCGCATACGGATTCTTGCAAATCACCTCGTCCAGTCTCAAAGGATGGCAGCTTCTGTTTCTGTTTGAAGGTGGATTGACCATTCTCGTGGGCATTATTGTACTGTTCATTCTGCCTAAAAGTCTGGAGACAGCCTGGTTTCTGACTCCTCTTGAGCGTCAACATGCCTTCAACCGCATGCAAAGAGACTATATTTCGCACATTGACCTGGCTTCCGATGGCAACCAGATTGAAAATGACAACAATGATTCCATCACCATGAGAGACATCACTGATGTCCTTAAAGACTGGAAGAAGCTGTTGATTATACTTTTCAACATTCTTGCAGTTCTACCCGTCACTGCATTCACAACTTTCCTTCCCCTTATGGTGCAAGGCATGGGCTACTCGGGTGTGAAGGCTACTTTGATGAGCGTACCCCCATTCGTCGTTGGTACTGTCGGCTTGATAATCATAGTATGGTCTAGCGACAGATTGCAGGAGCGATCTCTCCACACGGCTTTTGGTATGGCACTAGCTTTAATCGGCTGTATAGTCATGGCCACATCTGATGATCCCCGCTTGCGATATGGATTCTCTCACGTATGTCTGGCTGGAGCGTTTGTTGCTGGTCCACTAGTCGCTGTATGGCTAGCTGGTAATACTCCTCTGCGAGTGAGTTTCATTGCCATTACTTTATCATCAGTAAGAGCACTGACACCTCACTTTTAGGGGCCTCGAGCATTCGTATTGGGTCTCAATGGCTGGACCAACATTGCTGGAGTCATTGCTGGTCAGATTTTCCGAGCAAAGTACAAACCATCATGTAAGATTTCTTCTCATTCAAATCAGAGCTTCAGCTTCATGGTGCTGATATTGACCTCCTGTAGACAAAACCCCTCTTGTCATCACCATGGTCTTGATTGCTGTGGGTATTGCCGGATTTATCTTCGTGCGCATCATGTACCAAATCGCAAATCGCCGTAGGGCCAGACTGATTGCAACTTGGGACGAGACCCGAATTGCAGAGGAAAAAAGTTCGGAAGTCAGAAGAGGAGATCAGCAGTACACGTATTTCTATGGCTACTAGTGGATGTACACTGAGTTACGGAATAGCCATAAGATTCAGATCTTCGATGCCCTGGCGATACAGCCAAGTCCTATTTGATTCAGCATAACATATATAACTTATGCTACGAAGTTCTAAGAGCTACTATGCCAGTATGTACCTTGTTTGTAAGGCATAAATAAAATAGTATAGACCTGTCATATCTCCCCTGGAACTAAGCGTGGCACAGCATAAATACGAACCACGTTAAGGCTGTGTATCACCCTCAGCGACCATGTTCAAAGCAGTGCTAGACGCTTAGAACTTTACACACCACTCTTGATTGTCTCTAGGTACAATTTCAACTAGCAACTCGTCCCTAGGCGCGGGCATACACGATGTCATGCGAAGAACCTTCAGCGACTCCGGCCATTTACCATTGTTCGATACGGGCTTCAGATCAAACCGAAGCAACAACAGAGCGACCAACGACATTACCCTGGTACTGATGAAATGAATGAAATGACGCCCGGAAAAAATTTTGGTACCGCCGTCAAATGCGCCAAACACGATCATATTGGTTCTCTTTGCACCAGGTCCACGTATGAATAGGCGGTTATCGAAGCTATTAACTGTGGGACCCCATACCGCCGTATCAATGTGTGGGACTGGAGAGACAGTCATGACACTTGCGCCCTTTGTCAAAACATATTTGTGATCAAGGATAATATCATCCCTTACTAGCCTTGCCGTAATGCCTATCTGCACGTGGCGCAAGGTCTCCTGCCATGCTGCAAAGAGAATTGGGCACGAAACCCAAACATAGCTAGGTCGATAATATCATAACCTTTGTCATCAACCTGGAAAACGCCTTTATCTCAACCCGGCACTCTCTGAGGACTATAGTGTCAGAGAGGACATGGTAGACCATACAGAGAGAGCTCGCCACGTTGCTGGTCAGGCATCTGGCCAATCTCGGTGGCTGCCACATCTCTACCTCGCAACCCGTGACCGATATTATGCCTATAACGACACTGAACAAAAAGAATTCATTAAGGATAGTAGTGTAAATTGCTGTCTAAATAGGAGATAGAAGATAAAAAAAGAATAAAAATAAAGAATGAATTCACCGAGCCTAGAATCTCCATCAACCGCTTGATTCTCGGGGCGGGGCGCCGAAGTCGTGGTTTTGCATGAGAAGAAATAAAGGGATGCCAAGTGATAAAGGCCCGTGGGAATATGTCTACCTCACCTCCCGAGATCAGCTTCAGTAAGATAGGCTTCAGGGCTTGATTTATCAGAGTCTTCCTCAGTGGGCGAGTTCTTGTCCTCTTCGATCTCAAGCATGAATATGAGATCTACCTGAGCCTCTTCGGATATTGCGAATTCTCCAGCATGATTGATATACTTGAAGTGAATCGTACCAATTAATTCGAGCTTATATTTTCCAGCCTCTAGAGTCCAATTCACGAGTGGAAATTTATCATCTCCAATTGCCTTGAACATCGCTTTCCCACTTCTGAAGACCGGCTTGCCATCTTCCGGCTGTGATATCGGCGTCAATATCATTTCCATTTCGGCTGGTTTCCCAGTATCAAATCTTCTTCTAAACACATCAATAGGGTATTTCTTGTCTGATTCCTTGACGTATTCTTTCTTAGAATTCCTGATTAAATGACCTTCAGATGGACACAGCTTTTGTTGGTCGATCCTCAGACATAAACTATGATCTCCAGCAACTAGCTTGAGAAGCTGCTTTTCCGAGACACCCTTGTTCAATGTTTCGAGTTCTTTCTGTTGTTTATCTGTAGCCACCAATACCAAGTACGGCTTAGGATAGTCTTTTGGGTCGTTCCGCTTCGCGTCGGACATTGTGTTATCTTCGCCCGGGGTGAGAACTTGCGACTTATTTTGGGTGATTGATATGGTCTTTTGTGTATTCGATGGCTTAGAAAGATCAAATGGAGGACAGAGAGTCTTGAAGTATTTCTATTGCTTATATAGTCCACAATACCCAACTGTGACTATATAAAGGCTTGGATGTGTCATTAGGTGAGTCAAAAATGACTTTCCATTCTGACCATTAATATGATTTTTTTGTTGAACTTGACTTCAATTTGCTGCGATGCATAAACATCAGATGAAAGAGTTAGTGTTCTGACATACGAGGTGTTTCAATTTATCGGACTTGGAATGACAGAGCTCAGTCATGTTTTTTTCTGATCTTTGATTTGAAATGCTATAGTCATCAAAAGATAAACCAAGTCATTTTGCTGTCTCAAAGCAGCGCGAAAATTTCATTAAAATCCATGTGTGTATAAGCTAGAGGAATTGTGAGTAGCATGAAAAGGAAGCTTGACCTGATCTTTAAATCTTACAAAGGGGGCTACACACTAATTAATATTATTATAGACTTCAGGGACTTTTGGGAAGATAGAGCATTATATGATGGATTAATGGATTTCATCATCCTAAAGCTTCAGGGACTAGGTATATAAGCTTTAGCTTTGATGCAGATCTTACGAGCTGCAATACTTGCTATGGTATAATGCTTCTGTAAGATCATAAAAGCTAGGTATCAAGACCACCAACTGAAAAGTAAGTTTGTCTGAGATATCGCCACTGCTTACCTGCAATGGCTGTTCATCAAAATAGGGGTGATATGAGCTGCCTAGTCTCTAAGGTGTCACCAGTATACATCGAGTCACTCCTAGTCCGCAAATTATCATTCTGTGTTCAGAATTATCAATATTGCTTGAATTGGAATTTTTTTTTTGACCTTTCAAATAGACTGTAGGAATTCATACCTGTCTTCACGCAAACCCGGCCTGCATAGCTGCTGACGAGGTTCTTAATGGGTACAAACAACATTTACGTCAACAAGGATCACTGGGCCATTGAAGCTAGAGTGCATGTAAATCAGGAGTGTCTCGCTCAAGGCAGCTTCAATTATGCATGCTTTGGCAGGGAATGTCACTTGGTACGAGTTGGAGATATGATAGCCATTTTCAGTGTTTCCTCATTTGTAGTCGATTTAAATGTGTGAGGTTGTGATGTGCATCAAAATTCTTTTATAGTTTGCAGCCTTGTATACATCCATGGATGATAAGAATGAACCAAAAGTTTACCTATATCTCGGATGAGTTGTAAGGATATTATGGCAATCTGATTAGAATCTGCAAAATAAGATTTTGGTAGAATTAGATAGTACTTGGGATGTCCTACTACCTTCACCACTTTTCTTGGGTCAGTCGACATATGGGCGACAAGGCTCTGTATTTAGGCGCTCTCAAGACTCAACAACCTCGACTCTAAATTGAAGAAACCTTTGATCCCCATCTTTCACTACCTGGCTCTTCTTACCAGTAGCTAATCGTGGCACAAAACCCGGAACTTTTTGGATATCCTCATTGATCACTTTACTGAGCTTCTCATCATGACCAGTGTATGCGCTCTTCATCAGAATTCCCAGATCCGCGGAATCCCCTTTATCTCGCACCCGAAGCTCAACAACATCATTTGTTAGTATAGAACCGGTTTTGGGTGGTATGCCGTATGGGGATTGGAAGGTGAACCACGCTTTTTCGGACTCGCTAGTAGGGTATAGAAAACCCGAAGCATCGGTTCGTGAAATGCTATCGGTTACACCGAGATACTTGGCACCTTTGCGCATTGATTTATTAAAGAGATAACTCTTTACTCCGTAGGGATGATGCTGTTAACGTGTAAGTTTTGTGCTATGCCGTCCTTTGTTACTTGATAAATGATGTTAGAAGTTTCTCACCTTGCTATCTTCTCCCTTTTTGGCCCAACGTGCCAGTGTCCAGATCGCCCCGGGGTCGTGATGGTCCTCTCCAATCCTGACCCCTCCGGAAGAAACTTGTCGCTGAAGATCTTCCTTGGAAGTCCCGAAAGACGGGGACTCATTTGGATATGCCTGGATAATATTTTCAACCGCACGTGCTATACAAAGTTCGTTAGATATCCCCAACTAAAGTCGAAGACGAGGCAAATTAAATAATGTTTACTTACCCAACGGGTTTTTTGTAGTTGAGGCAATAAGGGGCAATCCTGTAGTTGTCTCGAAGAGTTTGACATCGATATATACGTGTTTGCCGGTCTCGAGTGGTTCGTATCCAGCGGCTCGCTCAATTTTCTCTTCAAAGTCCTCAAACCCGTCAAAGGTACTGATGAGTTTGGAGAGTGCTATGGGGGCATCATGCTGTCGTGCCGGAAATTTGATCAGATATTATCTGATAGACAGAAAGAGAATAACATACCTCCACAATGCGCCAATTGTAAAAGGAGCCTACGGTGGAACACCACTTTGGTGGACTGATCATGGTGCGTTAGTAATGTGACCAAAAGCAAAGTATAACGGAACTTACTCGTTACACAGAGTGGTGTCCCCTCCAGTGGCTTCCCAGGACAGAGTGCTAGAGAAGTCTTGCTTGTCCGTGCCGGTGTCCTTCTGTTCTCCACTAGACGAGCTACCTTCGGCGGAAAATGAACCATACCCCCCAGAGAAAGACGCAGCGGCGGCAATTTTGAGCTGGTTTTCACGCTTTGACTGTTCTGATTCTGATTTTGACTTGATGTGGGTGGAGGATGTAAGTTTACCACCAAGTTTGACTCTCTGTGAGAAAACATCGCCTGTAGACTTATCAGGCCACGATTCATTTCAATGATTTTAATAAAGGAACACATCCTAGGGCCTGTGACTGACCGTATTTCTCTCTGAAGTTCTCAAGTGACGGTTGGTCTTTTACCTTGGCAATGTCTTTCTTGACCTCCGGTGTAAGTTCAAGCGAGTTAGCGTCCAAGAATACCGTCACTCGCGGAAACTGATCATGTTAGAACCATGCGCCGAGACTCATGCATTGGAAGAGGAGATTTACTGACGTTATATGTGATATGGATGTTATCTTCTTTATCGGATTTTGCCGTCAGGCTCTGTTCCTGACGCCCCTGTTGAAACCCAGCCTTCACAGCCGCTGAGACGCCCCAGAAGCTGCCACCACTAGTAATTGAGATATATTAGCGTTGAAACTTGCCATTTGGTTTCCAACGTCTCTTACGCAGAGGCTTCAACAGATGAATTGGAGAATGAGCTTTTAGCTAGTGATGACTGCAATGCTGTACTAGTCTCAATGACATTGACATATGAGGAGTCGTCGACTTGAAATCTCGGGATTCGAAACGAGAACTAATGAATGAGATCAATATAAGAAATGTGAAGAACTTCTTTCGAACAGAAGTGACTATCTACCCTCAAAGATGGTGCATTAACACCTTGGGAATCATTTGAATCAATTGCTTTACTCGGGGGCGCTGCAACTTCATAATCGTCAAAAATTCGTTCTTTCAATCTGAACGCTGTTCGAAGATGGAGAATTAGTATGACATCAACGGCATCCGGGAAAGATCATATACCATTATAAGGAGACCGCTCAACGCCTATGGGTATTGTTTGGGCCTTTTCCACCACCTCTCCCTTTTCATTTTTCTTGGCCGGTTTAGGCTCGAATGCAAGTTTATATCCGCTCAAGAGGCAATTGGTTCTTGTAATGACACTCCAATCCCTCTCGTTCAAGTTTGCTGCAACCCTGAACAACACTGTAAAAATCTTGGCCAAAAGAGAGACAGGATCAATGACCGGTAACTCACGATCGTTTGCCGGTTGCGGATGCCCTCCACTTGTCAGCATTAAAAGCAGATGACAGGAGTTCTGCTCGTATATCTTTAAGTTCTGGCGCTGACTAGGCCAAATTAGTGACATTGTAGGAATGAAGGACAATCGACGATTACCTGGAGTTTCAAATCGAGTTGCTTCTTGAGAAACTCCTTAGCAGGGTCTTCCAAGTTTTGCTGTACCTTTCTCTTTTTATAGTAAACTTTGAGAAAATTAACACCGGAGCTAGCTGTTCCCTATAGTATTCCAACATTAAGCACATTGTGCCGTCTAGTAGGTGTCGCACTAACCTTCTCTTTGGACTTGCTGGTTGTCTGATTTTGATCATTCTCTTGATCCCCCTCAACTTTATCATTATCGTTTTTCCCGCTACCTGCATCCTCTTCATCATCCAATTGATTCAGATACACACTAAACGTCATACTATCATCCATCTCAGCACCAACGGTGTCGCAAAAAGGAGTCGTCACACTGGGCAAACTGTAAGCCAAAACATAATATACGATCCTCAGAACAACGGTGCTCATACTCAGGCGAATCGAAAACCTTCTTCTGCACAAGAAGACTGCGGATGAATTCAAGAGTGATTTTGTTCAAATCTTGCTCAATAGGCATTTGAAGGGTCTTCTTCTGTTTGATAGATTTGGTGCCGGGCTCATAGTTATAGACCCGGAGGATAGTGCTCTCAGAGACGGTGTTCTGGTTTTCTGCTTTTGCCGACGACATGTTGGACGAAAGATTTTTTTTTCGGTAGCTGGACTATGAGAATACGAGTAGCAAGAAACAGTCAGAATAAGGCCGTACAGAGGACAACCCTCTAAATTAAAAGATCATTCGGGCTCAAGTTCACAACTCAAACGTCATTCTCGATTGCGCCTAAGATTAACATGAGACACCCACTTTTAAGAACTCCAGCCCGAGTCTATTTCAGCCAGCCACAGCGAGCATGTTATGTGTCAATTCTCCTCATTTTCGACGTGGCCAATGCAGATCATCCGTATATCTTGATTTTACACGCGTCTCATTGTCTAGCGGTTCCGCTCTTGTGCATGAGTTCATGCGAAATGGAAAAAGTCAGCAGGGCGGGCCGCATATGTTGGTGTCGATAAGCATAGATCTGATACCTCAAATGCGAAAAAGGCTCCTTTTTGGCTAGAACGGATCGCCGTGGCTCAGATTATTTCGTCACTTTGCATTTGTTAGTGCACCTGCATATTCCCCAGGCTATGATGCTTAGTACAATCACACTCGTGGCAACCGCTTCTTGCCCAAGTATCATAACATACATCTGCGCTCTTTCTACCAGAAGGCAATATATTGACTCATCCTTGTTTTTTTTTTTCCTTCCAAGAACTCCATTCAATTCTTTATCGCTGTCATGTCGAACCCAGATGAAACTCTGCCACCAAAAAACCAGGTCATCCGTGTCCATCGGTTTGACCCTCAAACCTCGACCTCAAAGCAAAAAAAAATCATTCAATTGGGTGATGCAGAATCGCTCGAAGATAAGACCCTGAAAGAAGTCAGGAAGATCCTCATAGATAATGCTGTATTTGAGTCCAAAGAGTAAGTATTCCTGGGAGCAGAAAACTCTGCTGCCCAAGCATCGTTGACATGTAATAGTCTAGAGAGCCCATTCTGCGAAAAGGATGGCTCCGATGTTGGTGATGATATGAAGGTGGATTTATACTCATCTCTACTGGGTATCAAGTCGGTCACCAATTCCAAACTAGACTTCTACTTTAAGAAAAAGAAGCTTTTCACCAAAGTCGATCAGGCAACACAGGAATTTATCAAACAGAAGCTAGATCTTGCATTTCAGGTTCGTGGCTTAAGCTAGATAGGTATATAATGACGTCTAACTGTTATTATTTCTTTGTTAGAGTCCCCCTGAAGTTCTCAAAAAGAATCCACAGCTTTTGACTTCATCCTTCGATCCCAGTGACTGGAAGGCAGTGCAGGGGGAATTGAGGTAAGGCGGTCTAGCCATTGTCGCAGGATCTGACTTGTCTAATGTCAACTACCTCAGTCACGCTGCGGATCTGAACGAGAGGGAATGGAGCGTGATAGTTAGGTCGAATTGTCTCTTGAATGGGTATCAAGTAGTCCTAGGCTTGGACAAGAAGCCGCAGAAGGTTGAACGCTGTGCCTATAATGGTCGGACTATCCTTCACTCTCTGCCCAAAAAATGACTTACACTTATAGTAGCGTTCAAAATAAACCCTAGAGAATTTGAAAGTTATGAGATTTCACAGTCTATCGAAGAATTTTCGCCGTCCGATGACGCGAAGGATCCGACGGAGAGCAACGATTCAAAGAAGGTACGCAACCTCCTATCTGCAAGTTCATGGGATCTTCACTGAAGCACGACAGATATTTAAGTCTCGGATTCCTCGGTTTAGAGTAGATGACAATTCATCTGTTACCGTGGTTGAGACTAAGAATGCATTTGAAAAGTCATGTGCCGACAGTTCGTTCTTAGAGGCGTCTTTTCAGATGGCAGGGTAATCGACTCCTGAGCAACCACTTTTATCATCTTCATATTTACTAATTAATGAAATCCAGAAGCGTTGGTATATTCGGCGTTTCGGCAGGCGTCAGCGCAGGTGTTGGAGGTGGCTCATCCGACAACAACAACAAAGCAGAGAAGGAAAATAAAACAAAGCTAACCGTTAATTACAATGTACGTTCTGAGCTCATTTACTTACGTATCTCTCGCTGGCTTTAGGTTACTAATGCAAGATCAAAGTATCCTCGCGTGACCATGTATTGGGATCCATCAAGCCTCGCCGTCACGACTGAGTGTCTCAACGAAATCAGAACGGTGACTGACCCTGAATCACTGAGGGCATTCAATGAGAAATTCGGTGTTCTTTTCGCTCGTCGAATACAACTAGGTGGCCGATTAAGCTACACTGAAGCGAGCACTGCTACTGGCTCTGTGGAAGTAAAAGATCATGCCAATAAATTGAAAGTGGCGGCATCAGCTTCTATCTCTCACTCTTTTGCTCAAGCTTCGGTAAAAAGTAGTTATGAAAAACAAAGCAGGGAGGTTAAAGAGAATTCCAAGCAGAGTTTGACGCGGAACCTAGCCTGGGAAGCTACAGGAGGAGATACACTGTTGTGCAACAAGTTGAGTTAATGCTATTTCTGTTATCTTTGAATTGTAACTGATACATTTTTATCTTCTAGTCCTGCTGAGTGGTGCGGTACTGTGGGTTTGTATACCAACTGGCGCATTGTCAAGGTAGGTCCGATGCGTAATCACTTTTCTTTCTATATCTTGCTTACACCTTCATCAGCAAGATAATGTGATTCCACTATACCACTTTCTCGCTTCCTTCCCAGAGGTTGGCGAAAAGATCATTGAGCGGTTTGATTTATGTGCACAACGAAAACTCACGAATGAGGAGGTAGCATATTTTAGTCGCCTAGAAGACGAAGACGAAGACGAAGATCAGAACAACGGTGACTTGAAGAAGGAACGACGCCAAATTTTTCAGCTGCAGCTTCCACAATCGGATCTGTTTTTTGGTGTCTCTGACGGTGTTAAAGAGTTGGGTATGTATCCGCACTCTTTTTTCCCATTTATGAATACTAACAGTTCCGTCTACCAAGTGCAATACGCCAGAAGGAAGATGTTAGTGCGGCCATCCATTTCGGATCTGGAAACATTAGAAGAGGCCGGGGCATCAATTAAATGCACTTTTGAAGAGTCAAATCGGGCTACCCATTTCATAGCTGACACAGTGTTCGTCGAAGGCGAGGAAGAAAAGGTAAGCCAAGATCTGTTCACATGCTCTCAAAATCCTTCTATGTGTTTCGTACTTACAAGACGGTGCAAAAATGACAGCTAAAATTTGGAGAGCCATTCAAAATCAGATCATGGGGCGACTCTCGCAGACAATGGGTCCGCGCTCTGCTTCCTTTCCTAAAAAGACCCGGCATTTTACCACTACTACTCCATTTATACCAGCCCTCCGGGGTTCCCTTCACGCTGGTGGATGCAAAGGATTCTGGCAACAAGGGTTATGTCCCCGATGGCGCTTTGGTCCATCTTATGTCAGGCTACGATTCTGATATGCCATATACGGCAGTGGAAGTGGTTCAAGAGCAAGGTTTTGTAATAATGACCCAATTGAGAAAGCCAGGCACCTCTGGGTATGTCAAACCTATGGGTTTGATATACAGAGCTAAGGAGATCGTGGAGGTTTGAGCGATGGGGTATACTTTGCTTTCGTCAGATACAAAGCGGAATGGAAGATCATAATCAATGAAATGAATAATATAGTGTATTGACTTAACGGATTTATAGACAAACATCGCTGTTACCAAGTAGACTAGTTGACTATATACAGACATGAAGCACATGTACAGCTGCGGTTCATAGCAAGGTCCTAGAAATGGATCGTTGACTAATGTCGATGTATGAAGCTACCTTTTTGTAACTTCGTTTTATTTAAATCAATTAAGAGTTGTCTGAAACTATGAGTGAATATTTAGGGAATACATTTCAGATGCTTACCTAGTTTGAGAATATTGATTGATGCACACTAAATAATCGTGCCAACAGAAGAACATCGAGATAAACAATGCACTCCACCTTCACTCCATACTTCGTCATTTAATATGTAAGTAGGATTAAGCTCTCTTAGCTGTCCATTTTGATAAAAAGCAAGTGGTTCACAAAGAAGTCGACAAAAAGTAAGTTAACATCACGAGGCTGGTGGTAGTGGGATTGCTTGAATTCAACTTACAGTACCACGAAATAAGTTTCCGCACCCTTGTGCTGGGTACGAGGGGTACCACTTGTTCCAGCCCACTGTAACAAAGCTGGATTTCGAAAAGTGACTAGTGAAAACTAAGAAGAGAAACTTCTGAGGCTCACAAATAAAATATCTGTCAGAAATATTCGTTGAAGACTAAGTGATAAGCACAAGGAACGAGAACGACGGCCTCTTTTTACCATTTTCATCTAATGATGAGGCGATTTGGAGCCCTCGTTGTTGTCACGGAACTTCATCCAAGAATTACACGTCTTGCAAGTACTTGAATTACGCTAGCTTTAACTGGCTGAACGAAATCTAGCTTTACTTTTTCGTCCTCCATGGGAGGCTTCGTTGAGCTCGTTTGCCTCCGCGAGCAGATTTCTTGGATTTTTCCTTGGTATGTGTTACCATTCCTTGAATTCGCTTATCGCAATCATTAATTCGGTGTGACCCCGGACCAAAATGCTTGCCTTTACCTTTGTAATTTCGATGAGCATAGTTAAAATCGTTGGCCGAAAAGACCTAAAGCACCAGTGGTGGATTTTCGGTACTACAATTCACACTCACCAACGGTTTCAGCGTAGATCTCTCTAATTTATACAAATGATCTCTGTCGAGATGTGTATGTAGTCTACGGTCAACTGGACAATTCCACGGAGCTGGTTTCGTAGCAACAAGGCGCTTCGCGTCTGAAAGAGGAACTTTTCAGTAAACACTAATTTATAAACGGAAGTATCTTCGACTTCTCACGTCAATTTGAAATACTGAGATTCTTAAGTATGTTACATATAATGCTTGAAGTGCTTCGTTATCTGCATTGGACTTACGAAGGTACCACTCCCAAATGTGCTCGAAACGCGGCCCATCTTTTTGACTCGTCGTCGCGCATTAAGCATCAATAGATTAACCAAAGTTTGTATTTTACCCTATGGAAAGATTTTCAAGACTAGATCTTGACTACCTAGGTAGGACTTGATCTGATCTCCCCTTAAACTCCATTATATAGCCACCTAGGTGGCTGAATGCGGTATTTACATTTCTGAATTTTCGGACGTAAATATATGAGTCGTGGGGCTTTGAGAACGGCTCCCAGTTAACTCGTGTCACTCCGGGGAAAGGAAAACCCTGATTATGTACTTGTTCAAAGCCATATTCCGACATCTAGATTCTGTCATCCTATAGGACAGTGTGCACAGTCTACACAGTCTACCCTTTCGCCTTTCAATCTTGAGATCGACCAGCTACGCCGATCATGATCTAGCCTCTCAGCCACTTGTCCAGATTGGGAAGCTCGGTGGTCCAGTCAAAAAAGCTTATCACCGTAGCGAGCTTGATGCGTCGTCCTTCCCGGCGTCATTCTAGCCACATGTTTTGGGATTTGACATGAAACCCGTGGGGACTCTGACCCACGGGTGATTTTGGCGTTTTAGGGCTTTGCTTGGTCAGGGGTCAATGTATGTGGAGAACAAGTCTCCGATTGACCAATAGTAGCTACGCAATTACTAATACACCTCTATCATTTTTCCAAAGCAGGACATTCCACAGAGGCAAAAGGCCTATGATTCGCTAGTCGATGAGGCAGCAGCGGACGTAGCACGGCAATTCGCCATCACAAAACGAGATTTGTACCTTTCTCCCTGAGAATGAGGGCCCGTTATCATGGCTATGTCCGTGGTCAGACCCCCAGGTGCAGGTTTGTGCAAAGACATTCTGGAGGCCCATGAATAATGACCCGTGGTTCGGCATACACAAGCAAGCTTCCATGGCGCCGACCAGTCAAATTTGGGGCATGACATAGATTTCTTAAAATAGCTAAACAGAGTGTCTTAACACCCCGACCTTGGTCTTGAAAAAAAAAAGTCGTCTTTCGTAGTTGTTGTCCACACCGGGAATTGTGAACAGCTTCAAAATGCTTATCAATTTGTTTGGGTTTTCATGTCTGGTTCTGTCGAGTCTCGTCCTCGGTCAAACGAATAACGACATTCAAAATGATCCAATTTCAGTATTCGTCACGTCTCCCGGCTCAGGGTCCGGGAACTATGTCTTTGCGCTCAATATCCCAGCTAACTCGGAAGATATCTACTTTCACCTCTCTGGCCCGGAGGCCTACTCCTGGATTGCAGTTGGTACGGGCTCGGAAATGAGAGATTCGCTCATGTTTATTGCATATTTGAATTCGACAGGAAATGGTTTGTTACTTCGCATCTTTGAATGAATTCCGACTGACCCTTATGTCCTAGGCGTCACACTCAGTCCCCGAATCAGCACTGACGAAACGGAACCGAGCTATTCATCTAGCATCAACGTTGAAACCTTGTCCGGCACCGTCGCAAATGGAACCATCTCCGTAAACGGTCGCTGCACAAATTGTACGACATGGAACAGGGGCTCTCTGGATCTAAATAGTACGAACCAAGCTTTCATCTACGCGCTGGGACCTAGCTCTGGAAGTCTAGTAAAGGTACAGAGTAATTCACTCTCAGCTAATCTTGAACGACATTCTATATACGGTGAGGAAACCAAGGATTTCACAGCAAATGTGCAGTCACTGACAGATACAGGCAACTTCGAAATGAACATGACCAAAGCCACCGGCGGGACCGATGGCACATCTCTCCTATCCACATCATTTTCATCCATTACAACCAGCAGCGGAGCCGCGCAAGATGGCAATCAGACTTCCGACAGTAACTGGCCCGTCATCATCCACGCAGCTGTTCTCTCCGTCGCTTTCATCATCATTATGCCTGGAGGCGCCATCTTCCTACGCCTGATCCCCGCAAGCGTTCGATGGCACTGGGTCAACCAAACCCTTGCTACAATCTTAGTGTGCATCGGTGGCGTGATCGGTCTTTGGTTGAGTACAATGTACAACCGCTCTAGCAGCTACAATTCTGCACATCAAATTTTGGGAATAATCTGCGTCATTGCTGTATTAGCGCAATGGTTCCTCGGCTTCTGGCACCATTACCAATACAAGAAGCACCAGATGCCCACCAAATTTGGCGCCGTTCATCTGCACATGGGCCGCATCATTCTCATATTTGCAATCGTGGTCGGCGCGATAGGTCTGTCCTGGTCTTTTGTGAAGACTAGTATAATCATCGCATACGTGGTGATTGCGGGCATCATTGTGGCTGTTGTACTTGCGCTATCGGTGCTGAAACGCCATACATCTGCATCATTCTCGTTTCTGCAAACTAAAGGATCCAATAGATCTCTGAACGCGGAAGGGAGTTATGACAACATTGAGGATCTGTTTTCGAATCGTCATGAGTATCGGCCGTATGAGTCGAATACGCCGTTGGCGAGCTACCCGCACAGGGGCGATTCTAGGTAGGGATTTTGTTTTGAATCACGATGGAGTTCAAGGTCCTTAAGATATAAGTCTTATTCTTTGCATGTCATTGGTTCATGTTAGTATGTTGCATTTTCAATAGGTATCTCTATAGACCTCGAGTACATAGATTTTGGTAATGTCGTCACGAATTCTTGTTTTTCATAAGAAACGATGACATCCCGGACGATTTTGTTGCAGACATCGCCGAGGTGCGCAGTAGAGGTTTAGGCCGGTATATTGTTGGATGTATTCGGACCAATAACGACCGCTGGTGCTACGCTTTCTATTCCAATTCTTACATTAATAATCCCCCATGAGGGAAGGTGACATTCAATGATAGACGCCGCCATCAGTACAAATATTGCGGAAGACGACCAATGAAGAGAATTTCGACACAAGTGGTTGTGACCGTTATTGGGTCGGTACACGTACTACGATAATTACTAGGAGAGTGTGTAGAAGAGTGTTTACGCGAAATCTTATGATTGATCTCGATATCTAGGCAGAAACTGTCATGAATCTCGGCTTCCCCATGCCTATTCTATTTAAACACTTTGAGAAGACGGGGGAAGAAAAGCTCCGGTTTGGTTTGTACCGAGATATCTCACAACCGTTCTGAAATGTTGTGTGCGCCTTGAAAAGACTGCCGAGCGTCATGGATGATGGATTAAGAAATGTCAACCGTGATTGTCAAGCATCACGACACAAGAGGGTCCAATTGCTTTGCCCTAGCTGCGTTCCTGAGTTGTATTTTTATCACAGCAGTCATGTTAGCATGATATATGCCATGTTCAGAGCTGCCATCGCCTTGATGTTTCAGAGTAGATCAATTGATCGCAAACTGCGGTGAAGAGAGAAAGAGGCTGTTGTCGTATGATGATCCTCAGAAAATGAGGAAGCCTGGAGCGGGCTCCACTTAGTCCCCACACGTGCCGCCCTCCTCCGCCCATCCGATTTCTTATGAGCGTCCCTGGTTCCTGGACAACGACATGCTTTGTGAAGAAACAACAACAGACGGACATATCTAGTTCAGTCATCCCCCATTGCTGTGGCTACAATGAGTCACTGCACATAAGATAGATCAACGAAGTTTCCAAGTTTTGAATTGTTGACAACCAGTCCTTCTTTTCCTTCACCCCGCCATGGCCGACGCTAAACGATCCGCCGTTGACCGTAAACAACGGATTCTCTCGCGACGGGAGATCGAGGGATTGATTGCAGAGGGTCGACACATTGTGATATACGATGGAAAAGTCTTGAAGACAGATGCATGGTTGCAATACCATCCTGGTGGCCAGATCTCAATCAAGCACATGGTCGGTCGCGATGCTACGGACGAGATCAATGTGTATGTCCGCATCTTTATTTTGAGCCTTATGGCCGTGGTCGATACTAACAATCGTTTGGTATATAGTTTGCACTCCGTCGAAGCCCGTCAACGCATGCTCGCATACCAGATCGGACGTATACAAGGACGATGGAATAACTTTCTTCCCCCCATCCAAGGCGGCCAATTTCGTCTTTACAGTAAGGATGAAGTGAATGGCTCAGATGACTCGAGTGATGCCAGTTCACGTTCTTCTTCCCCGGTCTTTGACGAGCCGATTGACGCAGATACTGGTCTGCGGCGGAGAAACTCTGTCTCAACAGTAGCATCGTCTACTTCACCTGCACCATCACGTGATGAAATGTCGGAATCCCATTTTTCGTTCCTGGATGCCCGGACACAGCAAGAGATTGTACTCGATACTGCCAAATACCCTGCTCTTGATGCAACTTCGCAGGATTATATTGTTCAGAAATATCGTGAGCTGGAACAGAGAATTGCCTCTCAAGGGCTTTACGATTGCAACTACTGGGGTTATTTCAGAGAATGTTGTCGGTACACATTATTCGCTGCATTGAGTTATACCTTCCTCCAATGGGGTTGGTATATGCTGTCTGCATTCTTTCTCGGATGTTTGTGGCATCAATTAGTCTTCACAGTCCATGATGCCGGTCATATGGGCATCACTCACCATTTCCACTTGGACACAACTATTGGCATGACCATTGCTAGCTACATAGGCGGATTGAGTCTATGTTGGTGGAAACATAACCATAACGTTCACCACATTGTGACAAATGCCCCCGAGCACGATCCGGATATTCAACATATGCCATTCTTCGCCATCTCCCACCGACTACTTACCAGTCTCCGCAGCACATACTACGGTATTGTCATGAAATATGACTTTGCCGCTAAGATGTTTTTGCAAGTTCAAAACTATCTTTACTATCCCATCATGTGTTTTGCTCGATTCAATCTTTATGCCTTGAGCTACGGTCACCTTTTCTTAGGAAAGGGTCCGAAAAAGGGGCCAGCCTGGTGGCACAGATGGTATGAGATTGTTGGAGTCTGCTTCTTTTGGACCTGGTTTGGATATGGGGTTTTGTACCGGTCGCTCCCCAACTGGTCGACTCGAATTGGGTACCTTCTCATATCACACATGGTCACGTCACCGCTCCATGTGCAAATCACACTCTCTCATTTCGCCATGTCTACCGCTGATCTGGGGATACACGAGTCTTTCCCTCAGAAAATGCTCCGGACAACTATGGACGTCGACTGCCCTACCTGGCTAGACTTTTTCCATGGGGGTCTACAATTCCAGGCAATCCACCATTTGTTTCCTCGAATCCCTCGCCACAATCTTCGAGAAACCCAAAAGCTCGTCCGTGACTTCTGCCGCGAGGTCGAGATTCCGTATGCCATCTTCACTTTCGTCGATGGCAACAAGGAAGTGATTTCCCGTTTGGCCGATGTTGCGAAACAAGCCAAGATAATGGAAGAGTGTAGGAAGTCGATTGCTCGAGAAGGGGTTTTTGCTGCTCATCATTAATTGCCAATCTTGCGATTGCCCGCTTGCACGCTACTTTTTTTTTTCTAGAGGAGGATTTGGGAAACCACGTGTATCCTTCTGAAACCCCCGCCCTGGAGGCTTTTCATAATGTAGACCGCATTCAAGACCCATTTGGTATCAATGTTAATGTATATAGTCACGCATATCCTTTTCTCACTCCATTAAATGAAGGCAGCTAGTAGTCATGTTTGATGAAGTAGGAACAAACCCGAATCCTGCTAAAATATAAGAACCGATATAAATGTCTACATCGATTGCTGTTTTATTCATGTTTCCCCTGCAGCTATTTTCAGCGCTACGGGGTGTTTGGGGCGTCCTGGAAGAAAATGGCTTTTGCCTAGGTCTGATTTGACTTTCCTGTCAGTCATCTTGGTTTCCAATCAGTGGTATTAAAAGAATCCTATTGTTTGGGACTGAAAGCTTTTGAAAAAATCAGTTAATGAGAGAATGGACAAGGGGCTGGTTGAGTATAAGTCTTGGGGATAACTCAGAAACGATCACACTTCAGCTAGACGTATCTGCATTGAGACAATTGATTCTTTTACACTCATTCTATTTCGCTAATGCAATGTCACGACAATATCCGGTCGTTGCTCTGATGTGTTGACAATGGCTGTTTAGTAAAGAACTGGCACCTATTGCCAGATTAGGTTTTCTTACTACTCGTCTTCGGCGCCCCGTTCTTGCATGTTTCATGCCTGAACACAAACAGTTTGGGACTTTCCGTGGTGTTCCAGCGGTTTCGCACTAGGTTTACAGTATTAGGACTTTGTCTAGATGTCACTGGCTTGGTAATAATATCGGTGTCCTATGATTGACTTTGATATAAGAGTCAATCAGAGAAAAATGAGTCGCTAAATATCAATCTCGTGTTACATCAAAAATCGATTCAAAGATAAGAATTTCCCCTCGCTTCGTTGTTTCATTCATCGCCGCGCGGTTTCTTCATGATTGCCAATTTGCCTATTTCGGCACCCGGGTTGCCTGACTAGGTAGAGTTGAGGTGCCGTCTAGTCCAGACTGATATTTTTCCTCCTGTTTGTCTTATTTGCATTAGTTAAGCCATATGATTTGGGTTCTTGTATAGTTATCTATAATCTTTACTAGATGTAGAGGAATATAATCTTCTTATATCTTATATTTCTTTATATCTATAACCCTATAGTGAGCCTTTATGTCACGGTCCTGGATCCACCTTAGTTAAACAGCGTTGTGTCGAGGTACGCTAGGCTGGGTTGAACCACACAAAGGTTCTGAAGGTTGTTATTGATAGAGTAAGCTAAGTGAATAGAGTAACAATAGTCGAACTAGTGTATGGAAGTCTTAAACGTAACTAAGATAGAAGAGATTCCCTGTGCAGCCTGGTGCCTGTATAAGTATGAATGCCTTGCTAACTCTCACTGTTATATTTGAATGACTTATATTAAAGGACTATAAAGAACTAAATATATGATGATAAAAGAATGTCCTTATATATCTAGTCTTTTTGGTTCCGTAGTATCTATATTATAGTATTGTAGCATACTAGTTGATCCACATGCGGGTAGCGGCCCATAGTACGTACTACGGCAATTAGCATGATATCTGATCTCCGGCCCTAGCGAATCATTGGATATTCTATGGTGTATTATTGGATTACACAAGGCTGTTCTCGCACACAGCCACCTGGCAGTGGGAATAGTGGAACAGCCTTGTCTGTCTTGTGCCTCCTCACACCTCCAGAAGATTTTGCCAAAACATTGTTTGCTAAGGTTGAATTCATAGATCTGTTCTCATTATTTACATGCACCTCTGGTTTTTCTGAAAGTCAGGCAAAAATGGATAGTGAAGATCTGGGGCCTGAAGTGCATCCCAACCCAAAGCGACGGAAGACTTTCCATCAGGGCAGTCATCCTACTCGACAACATAACAATTACACCATCGCCTGGATTTGCGCTCTGTACATTGAGATGGCAGTTGCAAAGGCGATGCTCGATGAAATCCACGAAACTCCGCCTAATGATGCAAATGACACTAATACCTATGTTCTGGGAAGCATCAACAAGCACAATATCGTCATTGCCGGCTTACCGGAAGGTCAGTACGGAACAATCAGCGCGGCAACGATTGCCACAAACATAAAGCGAACCTTTTCTGGAATTCGTATGGCCTTGATAGTTGGTATTGGCGGCGGCGTGCCAAGCAAAAAGGATATACGTCTAGGCGATGTCGTCGTTGGAACAAGAATCATGCAATACGATCTTTTAAAGGTTGTGGCAGATGGAAAATACGAGCGAATTGCTATTCCCAGGACCTATCCGCCGTTGCTTGGAACGACTTTGACCAGTCTTCGCGCTAAACATGAAAATTCTCCCAGTCGAGTCCCATCCATTCTGCACCAGAAGCTACAGAGTCACATCAAGTATAGTCAACCATCTGTTCCAGATCGCCTTTTCCAAGCGACATATGAACATACATCGGAAGCATCCAGCTGTGACTTTTGCGACCAGTCAAAACTTATATCTCGGAGTAGACGACTGCCCGGCACTATAGAGATCCATTACGGCGGTATTGCTTCTGGGAACCAGGTGATAAAGCATGGCCTCACCCGAGACAACATTGCTCGAGAGCTAGATATTTTAAGTTTTGAAATGGAAGCTGCAGGCCCTATGGACATTATCCCATGCCTCCCAATTCGTGGGATCTGTGACTATTCAGATTCCCATAAAAACAAAGAATGGCAAAGATATGCCGCAGCGACCGCGGCTGCATATACAAGGGAATTGATTGAAGAGCTCCCTGCGATTCAAGAGCAGCCAGTAGTTGCTTATTCATCTGACCTTAGTGAGTTGAACTCAATGGCAGTCGGGATAACTTTGCCTCTACTTATACTGAATTTCCAGATCATAACATCCCTCAGAATCACCGGCAACTGCTTATGAAGTCCCTTGAATTCAAGCAAATGCATTCCCGTAGAATGACCATCAAGGAAAATGATAGGAAAACCTGTCAATGGCTTCTCGACCACGGTGACTATAAAGTGTGGCTTGATCCCACAAGATTAAAGCAACACTCTGGATTTCTTTGGATTAGTGGCAAGCCTGGTGCAGGGAAATCGACTATCATGAAGTTTGTCTACTCCAATATGAAGAAAGCATGCCGTGGGAACAATAGAATTGCTTCCTTCTTTTTCAATGCTCGTGGTGAACCTCTAGAAAAGTCGACCTCAGGGATGTATCGATCACTATTGCTACAATTACTTCAAGAGTACCGCGACCTCCAAACAATACTGGATAACCCTGATATACTCCTCCAATATCAAGAGGAATGTCCTCCTCTAAACGTTCTTAAGGACCTGTTTCGCGACGCAATCTCCGCCCTTGGTCATCGCCGGTTTACCTGTTTCGTTGATGCTCTAGACGAGTGTGATGAACAGCAAGTTATGGACATGGTTGAATTCTTTGAAGTTTTAGCGGAACAGGCTACAGACCATGATATACAGTTCAGAATCTGTTTCTCAAGTCGACATTATCCATACATAGTCCTCAAGCATGGAATAAGATTGACACTGGAGGAGCAATCAGGCCACACAGAAGACTTAAAGATCTATATCAAAAGCCATCTCAGGTTCAATGATGCGTTGCTCATTGAGGAATTACTACCCGAACTTTTACGCAAAGCGGCTGGTGTCTTTATGTGGGTTGTTCTCGTTGTTCAGATCCTGAACGAGGAGGACCGACAAGGCGGACTAGCCTTAGGAAAACGACTCGCGGAAATACCCAGCGATCTGAGCAAGTTATTTAAAGATATTTTAACACGTGATACCAAAAGTATGGACTCACTCCTACTAAGTATCCGCTGGATTCTATATGCAGAGCGGCCATTGCGACCCGAGGAGTTTCGTCATGCTCTCTGGTCTGGGTTATCATTAATAAAGAATAGGGTTGATAGCCGAATTCCAGCTGGTAGCTATAACAGGAATACTCTCGACAAAATTGTCATCAGTTCTTCAAAAGGACTCGCTGAGATTACAAGATCCGAATCCCCAACAGTTCAGTTTATCCACGAATCAGTTCGAGACTTCCTTCTCAGAGATAATGGTTTGAATGAATTATGGCCTGGAATGGAAACCGACTGGAAGAGCTCAAGTCATGAAGAACTCAAAAAATGCTGCATATTTTATCTGAATCAGTTCCCGGCGTCTTCCATTGAACGTCTAGTTGCATCTCCACATTCTACCATTGGAGAGGATATATCGAATAAATATCCGTTCTTAAAGTATGCAGCTCAAAGTATACTCTACCATGCGAATGCTGCAGCTGAGGCGGTTGTACAGAATGAATTTCTTTCTGAATTTCCAATCGCGCGCTGGATCAAGACGAATAATCACTTCGAGAAGCACAAGATTCGTGAATACACGTTAGCTGCGAGTCTTCTTTACATCCTTGCAGACAAAGGATATCCGAATCTCGTCCGTACATGCCTTAAAGAAGATTCGCAAATCCATATATATGGTGAGAGATATCACTACCCATTATTTGCCGCTTTGGCCGGCAGTAACAAGGAAGCCGTTACTGCTCTTTTGAAACCAGCTTCAAATATTATAAATGATATCAATATCGCAGAGGGCTTGAAAAATAGGAAAGACCTCAAGCGATATAAAAATAGAACACCACTGTCTTGGGCTGCTCAGGAAGGTCGGTTGGATATTACAAAACTTCTACTTGGAACAGGGTCGGCACTCAATGAGTTAGATGGTGAAGGGAAGACCGGACTTTTGCGAGCTTCGGAGAATGGCCATGAGGCCGTGGCAAGGCTTCTTATTGAGAATGGGGCTAATATCAATATCATTGATATGTTTGGACTTACAGCACTTCATTATGCGTTACAAAAGGGTCATGAGGCCGTGGCAAGGCTTCTTATTGAGGAAGGAGCTGATTTCAATATCAGTGAGGAAGATGGATTCACAGCGCTTCATTATGTATCACTAAACGGTCATGAGGCCGTGGCAAGGCTTTGTATCGAGAGCGGGACTGATATCAATATCAGTGATCAGTATAGATACACAGCACTTCATTATGCATCACGAAACGGTTATGAGGCTATGGCAAGACTTCTTATCGAGAGCGGGACTGATATCAATATCACTGATCAGTATGGATCCACAGCACTTCATTATGCATCACAATACGGTCATGAGGCCATGGCAAAGCTTCTTATTGAGAATGGGGCTGATATCAATATCAGTGAGGAAGATGGATTCACAGCACTTCATTATGCATCACAATACGGTCATGAGGCCGTGGCAAGGCTTCTTATTGAGAATGGGGCTGATATCAATATCAGTGAGGAAGATGGATTCACAGCACTTTATTTTGCATCACGAGACGGTCATGAGGCCGTGGCAAGGCTTCTTATTGAGAATGGGGCTGATATCAATATCACTGATCAGTATGGATACACAGCACTTCATTATGCATCACAATACGGTCATGAGGCCATGGCAAAGCTTCTTATTGAGAATGGGGCTGATATCAATATCAGTGAGGAAGATGGATTCACAGCACTTCATTATGCAACACGAAATGGTCATGAGGCCGTGGCAAGGCTTCTTATGGAAAGAAGTTGACGTTGATTTCGAAATAGGGCTTTCTTTGTGAACGAGTCAATTGTAGACTGCAGGTATTTATCTGTGAGTCATGTTTTCGAGACGAAATATTGATGTTAAAACCACTTTCGATACGCACAACCTAGTGAAATTTACAATATGACGATAACTGAAAGTGAACGGTAAAAACTGGAGAAGTATCAGCGGTAGAACCGGTCGCAGTGTCAGGTGATTTCCAAGGAAACTCATAAAACAGTCGCAGTGAAACTTTTGAATGGTTTCCCAGTCGTATCCATGTCAAAGTCCATATGTAATGCTAATTTATGCCACTCGTAAGGCTTGATTAGGGCGTTGGATACCAGAAAATATACCGTTCCACCAAAAACAGATCCATTCGCAGGGTTGTATAATACGTGTCCGATCTAATAGGTACCATATATAATGCGAAACATAGCGGCGCTGTCTTTGGCGTCTTTTTCGTACTACAGTTTAGACCTACGACCCTGTAGCGAGCCTTCACGTCCTGCAAATCTTCCACCTATCCAGATTTTTAGTGTCTGGTGTGTTCTTTTGGCAGCCCTGTCTAGCCATGTCTGACCTTAACTGTATAAGCTTCCTCCTTTTATCCACCCTTACAACTAGAGATATTATTTAATCCGCATCTATATTTCTTCCCTGCAGTCGACTTGCCAATCGAAAACATGATTTCTCAAATGTGTGCAAGGATTTAGTCCCTCTACAATGCTATTCGCAACAACAACACAGCTGCCGCACTACGGACTCACCCTGACATCCCGGACTACTTTTTGGCACATCAGAACATAGTCCTCGTCCAACACAACTTCCACAAACCCGACAACTGGAAAAACCAAGATTCTCCAACCCAGTTCTACCCTTACAATACCTTCGGAACAGATCATCCTATCGACCACAAGGCTTTCCACAGTGATGAAGCCAGATCTTTTCTGGATTATGCTAAGTTTAATGCAGCCAAGAAAGGGATGCATCCTCGAGGTCGCACAATCTACGTCGCCACGTTTATCAAGCGATGGGCCGATGGTGGTGTCATACGAAGGAAAATGCCACAAACCGGCCATAGCGCCTTCGGTATTTTCGGGCTTCGGGGGAAACGTCGTGTTTAGTAAGAATTCATCCTCCTGTTTGACTTGAATGAYTTTTGACTGTGAAATCAGCGAGCCACACCTTCTTTACGTCAATGACTACGATTTCAACCCACCATGGCGCAACGGATGGGGCACTGATGTTTATGAGTTCGACCCAAAACCTAATGGCGAACCATATCCCCACGTTATACTGTTGACTCATCAGCATAGCTCTTGCAGCGAAAATTCTATCCTTCGTGGAGAGCTCGAAGTTATTGTTACAGCTATGCGGAACCGCGCAAATCAGCTAGTGAGAGATGGCGAGGAGAATTCGGCTCGCACGAATCAGCGCAAACTACAATTTCCATATGAAAGCAGATTTCCGGTACGGTGCGCATTGGGTCCTCTCCATTTACATTTGATTCTAACAATATATGCTATATCTTACAGGTTCTAATGATCTCGGTGTATGCTCCGACCAATATCAGGATTTATTACGCCTGTATGGACAATTTGCGATTACACATTCGCCAATCGGGAACATGGGAAGCGACGGCATTTTCTAACGATTTCAACTTCCTAGCTATGGTATTCTTGAGTAATGCCCACTCAGGATTTCACCAGCCACCTGTCATTCAGCCGCCACCTATCGTCCAGCCACCTCCTATCATCCAGCCGCTTACTGTCATCCCACCAAGGCCTTCACAGCAACTCATGAGCAGCAGGGGCTCGACAGCGATACGCACATACATTAGCCCGAGGAACGATATTGAACTGGGAGGGCCCACGACCATTGATCCAGGACCCAATCCTCACTCCAAGAAGAGCCTAGATTGAAGGAAGACTAATCGTGCCATATTGTTGATCCTGCATACGAATTTCAGTCGAAGATCTTCCACTTTGTTATGTCATTCATCTGGCTTGGATAGAAAGCTAGGTCAAAATGCCTATTTATGAGAGGCTACTAAGAGACTTTTCATAGATGTGAAATAAAAATTTGTTAATCGGAGTTCCTGACTGGGCACCTGTACTAGTTATATGCTGCCTGGCTAGACAGATCAGAGGTGCCGAATTAGGATATCATTACCTAACAAGGAAAACCGTATGCATCACGTGCCTTGGTACTTATTAACAGAGAGTCTGTTCTAATTATGATATCTTCTCAAAAAGTCGATAAAAGTAATATCCAAAATATATTAATAATTGTAAAAGGAGAAATGAAGATAATAGGTAATCAAGATCAACATTAACAATACTATTCATCACCCTCGCAACCACCGCCGATTGCCGCGTGCACGATAAATGTATCATCCTCCGCATGATATGGGACATAGAAAGTGTACGTCGTTTGGGAACCCGAGAAACTATGAACGAAGGGGAACTGTCCTGGCGCGACATGATTCGGGTATGTGGCGCCATAATAGAAATGAACTTCCTGAAGAGTGTGGCCTGGGTTCGTGAGCGTGTAGGTGACAGCGAAGAAGTTTGCATTCTTGGTGATCAAGAATGTTCCCACTAACGTCGACTTGGAGATGTCGTTGTTACCGGCGCCAAGATAAAGATTGCCGGTGATGGGGAGGGGTCCGGCGATTACCCAACCCCAGTTGTTGCCTATCTTCAGGGATGTAAAGGTGGTATCTGTGCTGCCGCTGCTTGTTGCGTATCCGTAAGCAGTGCCGCCTGCGCAAGATGAGCCAGTTGCGATAGGGGCTGTGGTGGTAGATGTGGAACATGGGGTTGTTGTGGACACACTGCTTGTCATAGGGATTGAGGAGCTGGGTGTGGGAGTGGGGCTTTTCACGCTGGAGCTGGAGGCAACAGTAGAACTAGGGACAACCCTTGAGCTGGGGATAGCGCTAGAACTTGGTACAATACTGGAACTTGGCACAACAGTTGAGCTGGGGACAACACTCGAGCTGGGAACGACACTTGAGCTGCGCACAACACTCGAGCTGGGGATGACACTGGAGCTGGGAACGACACTGGAGCTGGGGATGACACTGGAGCTGGGAACGACACTGGAGCTGGGGATGACACTGGAGCTGGGGATGACACTCGAGCTGCGCACAACACTTGAGCTGGGAACGACACTCGAGCTGGGGTTGACACTGGAGCTAGGGATGACACTCGAGCTGTGAATAGCGCCAGAGCTTCGCACCACGCTAGAACTAGGGGTTGAAACTCTAACGCTGGAGCTTTGGGTAGCAGATTTCGAATGAGACCGAGAGCATGATTTAGTTACACTGGAGGAAGTGACAGGCTTGGAAGACGGCATGCTTGAGCTAGGCTTAGTACTAGTTGTCGCTGGCACTGATGAGCTGGGGGTCAAAACTCTGACGCTAGAGCTTGGAGTAGCGGACTTCGAATGTGAGCTAGAGCATATCTTGGTTCTGCTAGAAGAAGTCACAAGCACGGAGGATGACTTGTGTGGAGATGAGCTGCTGGCTACAGAAGAGTAGGACACTGAAGATGGGGATGTTGAGCTCTGAGAGCTAGTGCTGGTACTGGATGTTGTAGACTGAGAAACCGATGTAGGGCTTGTAGAGGTTGTCAAGGCGCTTGACGTCGTGGTTGTCACGGGGGCTGACACGGACGAAGGTGTCGAAGTGGTATAAGGGCAGACGTAGACATCAGAAGTCTTGGTAATTGTGACAGTCTCCTCTGGGTGTGTGTAGGTGCCTGGGTAGTAGCAAGTCGACGTCGGGTAAACGTAGACTGTTGTCTCAGGCACAGTGATGGTTGTTGCGCCAATTGTGTAAGTGCCAGCTGCTGGGCAGGTGTAGACAGTGGAAACGATCGTAGTGGTTACAGTGCCTTCTGTTGTTACAACACTGGCATAGGGGACAGTGATTGTTGTAGGGCCAGTAACGACAGTGGTGGCACCCCCGACTGTGTTGGGGCCTGGAGCCAACGAGGTGGTTTGAGCAGCACAGACGGTTGTTGGGGCTGTAACTGTCACAGTGGAAGCTGGGATGGTGTAAGTGCCCGGAGATGGGAAAACAGTAACAATCGGAGTAGGGACTCCAGGCGAAGTTGTCGCTAGTATGAAGTATTAATCCAGTGCATGCTACAACATTTAGAAAGTTATAATTGAAACTTACCCGATGCCCGTCCCGTGATAGTAGATGTGTAGGTAGTGCACACCCAGTTTGTCACTGTTTGGATCACGACATACGGAGTGCCTACCACACCTCTTTCTACCAGATCATGCGAAGCATCTCGGGCAACCTGGTGAAAGCCAGCAGAGCCGCCGAGAAGGCGTGCTGCAAGCTGCGAGAACTTCATAACGAATGTCTGCGTATTAAATGATTAAGCGAATGTAAAAAAATAATTCGGGACCTTTAGCAGCAAAGAGAGTGCCCGCTGAAAGAGTGAAGCGGTGTTGATAGTACCTAGATCACGGCCAGAAGCTCGCGATTCCTAGGCTAGTAGGGCCATGGTGAACAGGGTATTTAACTTATATCACAGTCATGGTCACCACGCCAAGCCAACACGAACAGACAATCACAGAGTCCAAAGTATAGAAAAATGCCCGTCAAAGCAAATCCAATATCATTGGATCGGGATTCGACATTTCATTGAAAGCACAGCCGGCTGGGACCGAGGACACCACTAGCGAAAGTTTAATGTCGATCAAGCCAGTCACCTAGCCTAGAGAAACTCTTTAAGTTCCACCGTCCGAGCACGTTCAGGAACGCTACAAGCGACACGGTAGAATAGGGCTCGTGGCGTTGGCCATGTCAGGAACGCGGCTTTTAAACGAGGCTCTCCCAGGCTTCCGCTGCACTGCTCGGCATAAATTGCCTAGATTTCCCTGCGATGCTGCTGCCCACACCGCACTCGTATTTCTTATTTTAAAAAAAAAAAATATTCAATTAAGTTATAGAGTTCAAGTGTCATAGACTGATGGTTGCTATTATTGTATGATTAGATACTTGTGCCGTCATATTTGGATCAAGCACTAGTGAGGTGTTCTAATACGATTACGCATTCCTAAACAGTTTCATCATTTAGACATTCCGCTTTCTACTAGACCTTAGTCAATATCTCATTATAGATTATATCAAGTGTCCTTGGATATGCTTTCAAAAGTTCAATATACTTCAATATACTTTATTTCATGGAGGAATAACACTCTGGCCCGGAAATAGTACCTACGACCAGGTGGACTCAAGGGTTTATTGACTGCGGCGCAGTCGGCAGGTTGACTTTCAGCCGCGAAGTTTACTGCAGCGAAATACGAGGAAGGGACTCAAAACGGTTTATTTGCGCAAGTTGAATAAACTTTGCAACTACATATGTTAGTGGTTGTAATTTCCCTGGTCATTGACAACACTATTTCCTCGTTGTCGCAAAAGGCCTGCACATACTCAGCATCCATAGAACTTCTCAACACCCCGTGCAGGTCGTTCACTCGCGCTGTGTGCAATATGGTATATGAGAAGCGTTTTGTAGCCCTATCACGAAGAATTAGTCGTGGTAGAAGAGTCATACACTGAAGGAAATCGCTTCACATTTGAGTCAAACATGATTATGATAAGATTTGATATATAGTAGATCTCAGTAAGATAATAGTGGAATCTGAATAAAAATTTAGATAGTAAGGCTACAATGCAGATAAGATTACAGTGCCTAGGTAGTGTCTTTAAAATATGATATTACTATGATTTTTTATATTTTTATAATTCCATATTATATTTTACAAACCATTATGACGTGTATAATTATATAGCTACTTACCGATCTATATTCTACGAAACAACATATTACACCTACAAGCCCCCTGTGAAATTCGTACAGAATTGAGAAGGAAGCACATTGCAATTTCACCGGGCGTGAATTTATTGCATGGCATAATTGATTTAGTTAACCATCTCGTGTCGGTTATTTTAAAACCTAATAATGACGATGATTAGTCCTCGTCTTCATCCACTTTCTTAGCTAGTGACATTCAAGGGCGGACATTGAGTATGGTCGGTTTCTCAATGTTTGGATGCCTAGGAAGCGTAGTATCTGGCGACTGGAGATAAATTGGGCTATCTGGGCCGATTAACAATCGCGATGTAGGGAGTCGAGCGCTTCGAAATGTGACAACTGGACTGCGCGGAGCTCGTGATGAAGAGCCTTAGATGGTCTGAGATGCGACTGTTAGGGTGCTCGCGGGTCGTAGCTGGGATTCTTCAATAGGCGTACTCGTGGCTTCGATTGCTAGTGATACCTAGTAGCTTTCATCCACTGGTTCGCTGAGAAGAACAGCCGCTAGGAAATCCAACATGTTTTTATTGTGTTCCCACATGCTCCAATTTGGTGATTGTCGGATGTGCAATTGCAAACCATCCATACAAGCGTAGTGCATTCTCACGTCTGTAGGCGCAAAGGCTGAGATTACCAAAATCTAATATTATTAACGAAGTCAATACCAGTTAATGCAACTTGAGAGCTAAGAAGGGAGAATGCTAAAAGTACTGGAAATCTTCGTTCATTCGGAAATTGAAGTTTCGATTCCTCAACCTCTTGTTCTGGTTCTTCTCTTTTCTTCACTCCGTCGCCTCCATCTTCATCCTCATCCTCACCACTATCTTCATCGTCCTCGTTTTGTTCGTCATCCTCGTCGTCCGTATCATCATTGTCTTTGAGCTGAGCGGCTCGGGTTTTCATGGCAGTAAGGATAATTTCAAGCTCTCCACGGATCATTGATGCTGGCTGACAAGCGCTATACTGTTCAGTCAGCATTATAACGTGAGGTAAGTTCTTGCCGTTTGATCGAGGCTGGAATTCGAAAATCAAAGACCCCCATTGTCCACAATTGAATCTGGCCCCTCCTTTAAAAACTGGGTGAGGACAGCTGCGAATGCAGTTAGCACTAGCTATAGAACAAATAAGTAGGGAAGGTCATACAAGACGCGGTCTATGCCATGAAGGTCAAACAAATCAAGCGCTGTTGATGGTATTTTCCTCGGGATGCAGGCACCATGCACCCATTTCTCGATGTAATCAGCAATTTCAGAGACTCTAGTTTGTGGATTGTGAAAGCCACTGTTAGGAACAAAGGGGAAAAGGTGAGTATCCGCCCATTTGTTCAAGCTTCTGCCTTCGTAGCAGTCGAGATTGATTTTGATGCCCATGTCCCCCGAATCCCGAGGAAAATGCCATCGACTGCGCTTGATTTGCTTGAACTTTATGGCATAGACCGCGTCTTGTATGACCTTCCCTACTTCTTTGTTATATAGCTAGTGCTACTGCAATCGCAGTCGTCCTTGCCCACTTTTTACTGATGAGGCCAGATTCAGCTGTTGACATCGGGGACTTCGATTTAAGAATTCCAGGATCAAGTGCCGACACGTGCCCTCACGTTATACTGTTGACCGAACAGTATAGCGTTTCTGAGCCAGCGTCGATGCTCCCTGGGCATAACCCTTATAGACATGAAATATCGAGCATCTCAGCTCAAAGAGAATGAAAAGGTTGATGAAGAGGAGGAAATAGAAGAACAGAAACATAATGTTGCCGAATTAAATCTTCAGTTTCCAAAGAGGAAGATTTCCGGCACGCATAGTTTTTTGAACGTTGTCTTCCTCATCAATTCAAGATGCAGTTGACACTGAAACTACTAATTCTGCAAGGCGTTCATGGGTTTGAAATTAGCATCTTCACACGTAAGAGCGCACTAGGCTTGCATGAATGGCTCTCAACTGTTGATTCTACATTCAACGCTATTGAGCTGAGAAAACTTTGCTATGGATACACTGGACTTCCGTGCATCTCTCCTCTTATAAACCACCAGATGAAAGTAGTCAATACCGGCCCAGAATATACTCCTGGTCTGGATTTCATCATTATTTTTGCTGAATATGGTTTTCACCACTCCTTAGAGATGATTTGATGATTTGAGGCATCACTATATCAGGCTCAAGGGAGCGCGACAGATGCTAGACTTGTTCACCACCTACTATTCATGACGCATTCCGTCAGATCATACATTGTGTATGCTCTGTTCTTATTAAGTGGCCACGTACGGAGTCAATCATATCTCTTTTGTCAGACATTCAGTTGCATGCGCTTTGTATTTTCTTGACATCTTACGAGGCGAGTTGAAGGTAGGAAAGAATATTTACACAAGTACTCAGCTTACTGAAACCTGCATTGTATTGGTCCGTTGATTATCGACCAAGTCTGGAGCACTTTATGACCTATTCCCAACCATTATGAATATAATCGGAGACAACTGAATGCAATATTCTAGTCCATCGGCCCACCTCTGCTCGTCAATTGTGATTCCAAAACTCATAGAAACAAGGCCACCAATATAATGGACAACTTCTTCATTTGTTCAGCGTGGTTGATGTTGTAAGGCCCAAACTGATACACGGACATGAACTCATTCGATGATACGTCACCATCGTTGAGATATTTCAAGTATTTGTCGGTGTACCTCGCAAAACTCACGTAGATATTCGGCCCATTTTGAGAAATTATTACACGTCTATTTCCGTCAGTTGTGATTGTAATGTTTAGGGCTTTGAACTTACTGCCGTGCAGATGACGGATACTGGCGTATCCAGGCCACTAGTTGGGCTGTTTCTTGCATTTCAACAACAGGGGAGCGTTGGAGGCGCGGTCCTCTTTTACATTCGACTATCAGCTTCACCAAGAAGCTCACAGCATGTTGCATCTGCCCATCGTTGATTGCTGTAAACCCATGTTCTTCCACTTTGACTCTATCGTTTCCGATGCCGATGGCCAGTCTGTTACTTTGGGTTGATTGATTCTGGGCGTCATTTTCTGCCCATGTTGCTTTGAAATGACATCTGGAGTATCTCCAAACGTACTCGTGATTGTCGACCACACTTAAGAGGGCTTTAAGGAAGTTGATCAGGGTGGAGTTCACAGGAGCCTCGTCAGTGGTGGTAGGTCCTTGAATCATTTCTGGTTCTAATATTGGTTTCGCGAGAATCTCCGATTGCTGTTCTCGCAAGGGAGCAAACTGTCCTTGTGCGAAAAAGTGATTTTCTTCTATGGCTGCAATATAGCTGCAAAAGTCTTCCGAATGATCGAGAATTTCCTCTGCCGTTTTGACCTTCTCGGTCAGGCCGAAAACATCAGGATCGAACTCATTTATTCCACACGACGGAAAAATGGTTCTAAACAAAAGATATTGGGGTTGGGTCACTTTAGACCCAGATCTCAAGTCTTTCCACTGTCGCAAACTTTTGTTCACAACGCCTGCTTCGAATGCTTTCTGGTACCAGGTGAGTTTGTCACTCGGGACTCTGTAGAAGTGTCCTCTATTATTCGTATTCGACATCGTGAGGAGGTGCTGTGGACGATATTCGGAGGATTAACTCGATTTGAGTGATCAAGGAGGAACGAAGAACTGTGGGAAGTTGTAATCCAAAAAAAAAAAAAAAAAAAAAAAAAATAAATGGTTACTGTAAACACCAGTTTCTCATAGAGAATTGGAGTCGGAAAAGCCCTTCGTTCTTTTGTCCGTACGCCCATCACCGCATCCAAAAAGGTACCGCCTGTATGTTTGTGCAATGCCTGAGATGAAGAAAATAATATTATATTTACAATTACCTACGCTAAACCTCACAAGGACTAGATGATAACGCTGTATGTTTGCTCAAGTAATGAGTCGCAGTCAAGAAGGACTCCATAGATCATGGTAGGACTTACTGCAGTCACCTAATGGCAACCAAGCAAACTCGCAATGTAGAATTCTAGAAGATTATAGATTGATTAGAAAGAATACATCCATCGGGGGCTTTTGATTACCACGACAGGCGAGTCAAGCTTCATTGAACGCTCCATCACGCGATATCAATACGGGGACCACTGCCCTCGCAGGAATCCGACGCGTCATCAAATTAGGGTATTGCTAACGGTAAACAGGGAATCGATATCTTTTACCACAGTGTTGTAAGAGCTTGCCCGTCGTGAAATCGTGGCCTAAAGAAATGTGATACGTACGGGGCACAGATATTCATGACGCAAACCCCGTCCTTGATTACTGGACCTCTTGATGTACCATTCACAATGTCTTATTATTTTTCCGTGAGAGAACAAAATTGGCTAGAGCAAAGAGACTATGGTGAAGTGCGTCAAGAACAGATTACCACAGCAAGTGGTCTGGTGGATGTCTCCAAGGCCCGAAGGCCAAAGAATTTTGTGAAGGCACTAGATAGATGGTAGAGGGTCATTCATTTCTTGATATTTCTCAATACTAGTACTGTTGGAAAGAAAGTGGACACATAAATACATGCTTTGCCTGAGGTGTTTCGTTGTTTCTTTAGCCCTAGTACCAAAGGCCTTTCCCATTTTTACGCCCGCATCTATTGTAAATCAGAACATCGAATATGAAACTCCGAAGGCATGGGATAGGTTATGGGCAGCTGGTAATCCTCTTCAACTGAACTCCTCATGGCCTGATTACAGTCATGAAAATCTGAACTGGGCCACATACACAGTCAGCACATAAGAACGCACCGTGAAGATGAGACCTTCAAGTAAGCGTCAATTCTCGTATTCATCATACTTCAGAATTCATTACTTGCTTGGACCCCCTAAGTATGTATTTCAATTTCCGTTGTTGCGAGATCAGCGACGCAGGTCGTTTCGTATCGGAATTCCCGAATGATGAATCGGTTCTAGCTCGATTTCGTGCAATGGGGCACTTAGAATAAACGACGCACACGTGTTCAATATTGCAGTATTCTGTCTCTCCAAGCTCAATGAGAGGGAATAGCGGATGAGCAGTTGTGTGCCACACATACAAGCATACAGCATTCTAACGTGCGACGGAGGTATTGTTGAGACCATTAACACCTAATGAAATTCAGGAGAGTCAGTAATGTCGACCGTAACTTCGAGAAGTAGAGTAGACTAGCATGATAGGATGAAATGCCTACCGGGAATCTGTGCTCGTTCGGAAATTGAAGTGCTTCCTCACTTGTCTCAATGATAGTGTTATCGTAGTTGTCATCATCTTCATCCCTCTCACCCTTTGGTTGAATTGCACGATTGCGCATCGCTGTGAGAATAACTTCAAGCTCTCCACGAAGTATTTCATTCCCCTGACATTGGTGATGCTGATCAGATAATAGTATGACATGGGGATATAAAGCACCGTAAGATTTAGGGTCGTATTCATAAACGAAATTACCCCATCCATTGAGGAATGGCCGTTCAAAATCGTCTTCATCTCTGTAGAGATGATTTGGGGGACTGAATATTATGTTAACATCATGTCTTGCTAGTATGGGGGTAAAGGTGATTATTACTAAACAGGCCTGATTCCACGGAGCTCGTACAGTGGCTTCCTTGGGACACTTCGAGGCAATCTTCTTGGAATCACACCACCTTCAACCCATCTGTCAATGTACTGAGCGAGATAAGTTGGTCGGGTTGTCGAATCCATCAAAGGCTGGGATGGATCAAATTCAACAAACTTAGGGAACAGATCTTTATCAATTTTTCCCTCGTCGATAGGGTAGCTGATACTGAAATCTGCGAAGTAACGAAACATGACTGGAGGGGTGGAACTTGACCACCTATCATGCATTTCAAGGCGCCCTACGCTGATTGAATTGGATCTGAGGAATTTCTCTGGGACAACAGGATCATTTGAAAGTGCCTCATTTGTGTTTGCTTTACGAACCAATTCGTATAGAGACATGATACTTTTGCGTGTCTCGGAAGCCATGATCAGGATCAAAATCAGTAGAGATTTCAAGGCGATATGAATTTTGAGTGGCAATATTGTCGGAGAAGTTGTAGATATCAGGTTCGACAGGCAATGGATCATGTAAATGCCTGAGTGTCCGAAGAGCGGCCGTGGCTGCCTAGGCAAGCAACCCGCCAGGCGGTGCCTATCTGGGAAACAATGACAGTACTATTGATGACACATAGAACTCTACAAAAAGGACGGCCGACAATTGATGCTATCGCGATATCATTTTCGTGAAACAAACCTTGAAACACTGTCAATCAAAGCTAGCAGACAGTGGCGAATTCAATTTTAGTCGTACAGATAATCTGAAAGTAACCCAAGATAATACGTCGTATGTGAAGCGCCACAAAATATCCCATTAGGACAAAGAGATTGAACATCGCTGAAAGAAAGTCATTCTCTGGATTAAAATAGCGATCGCACAGGGTTAGCAATTAGTGGTCTGGCGTTGCTGTCTTCCTTTTGAAGTTGCCCGATGAAAGAGCGGTGCCTTTTCTAGACGTGATGCCCTACCTCAGCAAAGAAAAACAGGTCGAACAAAGCGAAACAAAGGACTTATCGATCTGGCTCCACAGCTGTTGCCTGCTTCTTCTATTAAAGGGGCGTGAAATGTCTTCAAATTGCTCTTCCTGAAAATCTTCCTATTACTCGCCGGGTTTTCTATTCTATATCTTTTCCGTATATATTCGAGCAAAATACTATCAACTCCCAGCTTCCAGATATGCATACTGATGTCTGAATACATGACTCCAGACCGCATTTCCAGATACAAGTTGGTCGTCCAGCAGACCGAGAAGTGGGGTGATTTGGTTACAATATTTCAGAACGTGATTGTCGACGACGAAACCCAGTCTGCAACTAGAGACTCATGGAACGGCGAATGAGGCTAAGCTCCGAGGATTACACTTTTTATGTGGCGGCTTATTGAGATGACTGTGTCGCCTGCAGACCGCTGTGTTGTAGCTGCGTTCGGCCCTGAGCAGTTCTCGCTTGCGGTCGCCTTTGGTATGTGTATCCCGACCATGAATGATACAGCTGATTTTAATTTTTGGACTCGCAGATCTCAATTCCGAAAAGAACGGAGGCGAAACTATTGATGTCTTTAACTATTTCGACTATCTAGAGGTTGAGGACATAGCCGCAGAGCAAGAGGACTGTGAGGAGAAAAAGATTTCTTCAAACCATATTCTTAAATTTTCAGAGGAATCTCTTTCCACTGTCAAAACGCTAGAGCCACCAGAAACGTCAAACTCTTCCCAAGCTTGAGGTCACCCAATTTTTGTGAAAAATAAACGAGGTCTGTGATTAAGGAAGCAAAAATTGGAAGATTAAGGTTCGCGAAATGTCTATCTTGCAATGGAGTCGCATTATCGCCGCAAAGTTCACATCCGACAAGCCTGAGAACGTCGAGATTCGAAACAAAATTCATGACATCAAAGCACTTGTACGAAACAACAGCGCAAGCACGCAACTATACCCAGGCGTTAATGTCAAGTCCAACAAGGATGCAGCAGGGTACGAGTTCCTGGACGATTATGATCAACAAGGCAAGAAACCTAGACGTGGTACTCTGTTCGTAACGGACAAGTACAAGAAAGGTAAGCTTACATACCGATAGCTGCGCAGAATGCAAATTGCAATGTCTCGACTTCAAGACATGAACGTCACAACGGTTGAAATATGCAGGGGATTGTTATAATGTCCACCTGTTTGACTACCCGCCGTCCACTCACGTTACCTGTCAGGCGATTGGACGGGTGCGTCGGTTCGGGCAGCTCTACCCCTTTCAGGTCTTCTACTACCGCTTGCTCAACTCATTCCATTTCGAGTTGTGCCTGCGTGGCATGTTAGTCCCTCAGAAGCTACTGAGATCAATACCAGGAGCGCGGACAAATATAATCAATTAGAACAAATGCTTGCTCGATGTGCCAATCGGGAGGCTCTCTAGAGTGGTTGAAGGAGCTACAGGCCGCTTCTGGAAAAGCAGTTTCGCACCGCTAGACCGACTTGCTGACAGCATGCTCCACAGATCCAACTCGTGCCAATGATGTCTTTTTCTTTCTATCTTGAGTACAATTATAGAATTGAAGAAATATATGAGATTGGCATCTGCAATGGCCGGAGAGAAAGATTGCAGATAGCCTATTTCTCCTTACATTCTATATCTTACTCCATCGCCAGCCAGAAATTGATGTTGGAAAAGAAGGGGAAGAGGAAATGAGCGTTGACGCTGACGTGAATGCGGACATGGATATGGATATATGGAGCACAGTTATATGGGATGATCTACCTTCTACCCATCGGATTCAAAGAAAGCGGCTTCACCGATATGCATTCGCTCGTTGGTTTTATGATCCATGTTGGCACGACCTTCAAGCACAATCCGATGTACAAGAGGTCCCGATATCAATTGGCGATCTCACTGCGGTATTCAACAAATTCAGCAATCCACAAGTCACCTCTAGGACAGGGCATTAATACGAACAAGGACGGTCCTTATCAACTGAAATACCATCAAATTGTTTGTTTGACATTCAGCTACATTGTGGTTCACTAAAATATGTAAGATAGACCTTGGTAGACTCCTAAAAGCTTCTGTACTTGTTCACAATCCACGTGGGGGTTATACCCAGTGTCTAAATTTGCGGCGAATAAGAATTGAATGTACCTAAGTTTCGAGATCAACCACTCAAACTCCTCGACTCATAAAGCTCCCTAAACGCACTGTCCCTCGCTAACAATGCCTGCGGCGAATCCAACTCCACAAGCTCCCCTTCATGCATAAGMGCCACCCGATCAAAATCCATAATCGTTTCCAATCGATGCGCAACTGCTAGAATGGTGCAATCACCAAATTTTTCGCGGATGACGCGCTGCATTAATGCGTCTGAGACGACGTCTACGTTGCTGGAGACTTCGTCTAGGATGATGATTTTGCTGCCGCGAAGTAAGGCGCGGGCTAAGGAAAACAGTTGTCGTTGGCCGTGGGAGAAGAAATTGGAGTCTAGGTCAGTATCAATGCCGCCTTTTTCTTGGACGAGATCCCACAGTTCGACACTGCGGAGAGCGTCTACGATTTCCTGAGTAGTGTGGGTGCCCAATGGATCTGCGTTTACTCGTACAGTCCCGCGTGTAAGGAATGGCTCTTGTGGGATTGCGTTCAGAGCTGTACGTAATTTCTGACGAGGTACACGCGTGATATCAACGCCGTCGATAGTGATGCAACTGCCTGGTTCGACTTCGAGCATTCGAAATAATATAGCCAGCAAGGAACTTTTTCCGCTGCCGCTTCGTCCACAGATTCCAATCTTCTCACCGGCACGAATGGACAGTGACAGATTACGAATTACGAGCTTCTTATTTCCGCCTTTGTTGTATGCTGCAGAAACGTTGCGGAAATCAATTGATCCCCTCGGAGGCCACGATTGAGATGTACCGTCACTGCCACCATCTGGTAGTGGCAAAATCTCGTCTGGGCGATTTTCATTTTCCGTAGTTGTAACAAACTCACGTATCCGAGCGACCGCACCTATAGAAGTCTCAAGTTCCGTCCAGTTGCGAATGATGAACGACAGAGACTGGCTAAAAGTGATAACGTTCAAAATCGCTAGGCCAACATAGCCAGCACCAACCTCACTTCGCAGTTTAACAATCATCACCATTAGAATCACTCCCAGCAAGGTGACAGTAAGGTCAAGCGTTAGCCCAAGCCAGCGCTGAATACAGTAAAGCAAATAAAATGGCTTTTGAGACGTATCAAGCAAGACTAGGTTCTGTTCTTCGAATCTAGAAGACCACCCAAATGCGCGGATTGTTACTAGGCCGGAAAGACTTTCAAGGAATTGAGAGAAGAGGGGTGATTTGGCTTCTAGATCGAGTAGACGGATCTGGCGAGAGGTTCGAAGGTAAAATTTCTGCAGCACCCACATCAAAAGAAAGACAGGAGGCATCGTAGCAGCAAAATAGCGAGCAGAAATGCACATTAGAATGGCAGACATGACACCCGTTGAAAGCGCTAGGAGAAAATCAATCATGGCATATGGAAGATCGTTATCAATCAAGGTCATGTCTTGACTGAATCTGTACCGTTGGTCATATTAACACACTGAACAAATAATTGACGAAATGCAGCTTGCTTACCTATTCGTTGTTGTACCTACATCCACAGATGTAAAGAACGAGAGAGGTGCATTCATGACGGCAGTCAAAACCCGTGCATGTAAAGTTTTGGCACTTTTTGGGGCAAAATATAAGATATAATGGTACCCACCGCCCAGAAGAGAGACCATGGTAATCATTGTCAGCATGCCATATATTCCTAGATATAGCGCGTTGGCACCGTTTCCTTCTTTCTCAGTTGCTTCTGACCAGAGGTTGACAACATATTCGCCGAGCTTAGATGCCACCCCAAACGCTATAAAGCAGGCAGCCCAGAGCGCCGACGATGCCCAGTGAACGGATCGTAGATAGTACAAGTAAAGAGATAAGTCACCAGTTTGGCGAGTGAGATCTTCTTGAGCGATATGCAGTTGCGTGTCCTCTTCCTGAACTAGTTGTTCTTCCTCTTCTTCGAAGAGAGCCGCATGCACCACATTTGCTGGTTTTTCGTGCTCGCTATCATCTTCCTTTGACTTCTCGGCTTTGTAATCTGCTTCCAACATTGCAACGTAGCCTTTAGATTCTTTGAGTTGTTCAAAAGTGCCTTGTTCAGCAATCGAGCCATCAGCTGTCATGGCTATAACATGATCAGCATATGATAACCTGTGCACGGCATGTGTAACCAGTAAAACAGAAGTTCCTAATTTTCGAAACAATCCCTGCTGGGAGAAAAGACGCACAAAGATGCGTTCTTCAGTATCGGCATCGAGCCCAGAGAAGATATCGTCGAGAAGAACAACTTTTTTACGCGCATATACGGCACGGGCAAGAGCTAAGCGCTGTTTCTGGCCACCGGAGAGGGATATACCAGAAGTTCCAACTTTGGTAACTATCACAGATGATTAGCTAGTCGCTTTGGAATTTATATTAATGAGCTTCCACTTACAATGGCCATTTGGCAATATAGCAACATCCTGGTCTAAGGCACATCCCTTTACAACAGTTTTATACCACTCTTCGTCAAAGTCGGACAGGCCAATAATATTATCTCGCAAAGTTGCATTGCGAATCCATGGAGTCTGATCTACGAATGCACATTCCTCGAAGTTAGTATAAAGGAAGCCCTTTGTGGAAAGTGTCTCCCCGAGGATGCCCTTCAAAAGCGTGCTCTTGCCACACCCAACTGGACCAATCACTATACATAATTGACCAGGAGAGACACTAAAATTAACATCCCGCACAACAGGCTTCTCGTCATTGGTCCATGAGAAAGTAACATCTCGTGCGACTATCAACTGAGAATGCTGTTTGTAAGCAGTTTTTGTGCGACTCTGCAACTCTATACCTTCTTCCTCTAGTGGCGGATCAATCGAAGTAGAAGTGGAAGCTTCCTGAAGGTATAACCGGTTATCTCTCCGCTCATCAGATTCGAGGTAAACTTGAATGCGGTTCAGGGACGCCGTCGCTGCATTCATCATAGGGATACCACGGATCAATGTATTCATAGGCGAGCTGATGAGAGAAATCAATGTCAAAACCGTATACGCAGTCTCGGCATTAAGAATGCGACCTTGCGAAACTAGCACAACTGTGTAGAAAGCAAGGGTAGCGAATGGAGCCAGGACTGATAGTAGATTTGCTAGAAGAACTCGTACCATAAGTAGCTTGCGAAATAGGCTTGCTACCAAAAGTTCAGTAACCCTGAGCCCTTGGACCATTTCGCCCAACCAGTCAGAGAACCCTAGCATTTTCACCGACTTCATTGACCCCAACATAGTAGCTGTCACATCAACGCGAGTTTGTATGCTTTTCATCCACTTCTTTTGCGCCTGGCCCATCAGATTTGCAATAGCCAGGATGCAGACAGCGGAAATAAGCGAAATAATTGCTGGAACTAGGCATGCGACCTCGAGCTGGCGAGAAAGCAAGTAAATTGCCACTATCAATTCCATCGGCACGGCCCAGAATTCGTGGATTAATTCGAATCCATTGCAAATTGCTTGGGAATCATTGGACATGAGAGTAACAGCGACCGACTCGTCGAGTGCAGTAATATTTAGATCGACCGTTTTGGCATATATGATACTAATCAGGCTACCACGGATACTGGTCATTAAACGATAGGTCATATGATAGTACCATCCGTTTGATAACGCCAACCCAGAAAGAACGAAAAAGAAGGCACCCGTTAGGCCCCAGCCTATTTCTTCAGGTTGTGACAGATCATTGGCAAAAGATATTGTCCTGGACAACAAGAATGGTTGTGCATAACGGAAGGCGCTTTGCGATAGCCGTGGGATAATACAAACAAGGAATGGCTTGATGTTGGCTCTTAATACCGCCCAGAGAAGAGCTCTTGAGCTTTCTTTCGGTGAAGCGTTCCATGCTTGCTGCATTTGTTCTCGAAGGACTGCGGAGGACATTTCACGATCAATAGGGTATAGGTCTTCGTTGTGTAAAAGACGACGAAAGCCGGTCGTCATAAGCCAGTTAAGCCAGAAGAAAAAAGATCTGCTGTATATTCCACTTGTTTCTTCAGGCGATAAATTTTGATACGGTTCAAGTAATATGCCTCGTTTTTCCGTTGCCTCTGTGAGAAGTACCATAACCTTGACGCCAACCATACTTGCAAAGCTGCCAGCAATAGATCGACTTGTATTGGAGAGGAATAGTGTGCGTAAGCGCGCAATATCAAAAATGAGAGTCAACAACAGATATCCATTCAGTATTGCAGACGGCCTGATGGACCGAATGTGTTCCAAATGCGATAGCACGCAGAGGCCCAAGGTGCAAATAAACGTCAGTGCTGCAGCAGCTATAGTGACCCTGGTACGTTCCAATGAATTGAGGGCGTGCATGGCAAGCAATACTAGGTTCATTGCAGCAAAGACTACCATGAAGAGAAGCTTGCTATCATATAAGAACCCCCCTGGGACAACTTTTGGTCGTTGGCCACGCAAAGTGAATATGCGATATGGCATGACAAGAAGGAGCAATGCCGATGGAATCATGCTGAACATGGTATCTTCGAATAGAGGAGTGAAATCAAAGGCAGCCTTTGCTGTGGGGCCAAAGGAATTGATATCTCCATAATTGGAAAGAATCGAGCTGTTATGCTCTGCTGTGAACAGTAGAGTCTCCATATTCAAGATAATCCTTCCTTGGGATGAAATGATGGAAAGGAAGATTCTAACTAGAAAATGAATCCTTTCTGCACTTGCATTCTCCTCCTACTTATACTTTCTGACTCTCGAATCCCCAAAGCGGGGCAGTCTTGAATCAAGTTCTAATATATAATTGCACCAGTGATGATCGGTTAGAATGATGTGACATGAGTGCCTTCTTTATTTTGGAGACGATCGTCAATGGCTGGCGGGAGGGCTGTAGAGAGTAGGCAGAACAATAAACTAGCAATTGAGTGGTGAGTTTGCGGAATCTCCCCAGTTGATGATTTCACCGACAAGCCCACTGCTGGTAGTTGTATATATGGGATGCAATCATAAAAAAGTAGGCAGCAGGAATAAAAAGGGACGAGGCTCAGAAGCAACCGGCGGTGGTGATAAGAAGGAGGAATTGACGCAATCCCGAAAGAGAAGGAGCGGCTTAAAGGGCGCTTTAGTAAGCAAGCCACCAACCACAATCTACTCGATATAGTGCCATTTGCTAGTCAATTGCAACATGTTGATAGCTCAATATGACTCATGATTCTGGCTACGAAAACTACAATCCTACCTAATACCGACAATATATTGCGGGGCCTTAATTAGAGAAGCTGAATCGTAGCTGAAGCGGCGTGGTGGCGAAGCGTATCCTGTCCTCCTTACCTTGATTCTTCAATATATCATATACGAAAACCCCATATCTACATGTAGGTACGAAGTATAGTTATACTATGTAAAGAAATGCATGGGGGATATTGAGACTCAGTTGTAGCAGTCGAAACGGATGGTGGGATGTGGGTGCCTTGGTGCCTAAGGCATGTAGCTTTTCCTTATCGATAAGTGATCAACCTCTGTTGTTTCCTTCTTTCTCTGTGCTCAGACAGACAAGGAGGTACACAACGGACAAGAATACAATATGTCGTTTCCAGAGGTACAACTCTCATCGTAGTTGCTTGTGGGAAGTCGTTAAAGAAATACAAGACTAATCAGACTCATAACACAGGCGCCTCTTTGGCAGTTGACAAACCAGTGGCTGGAATGGGACCAGGTAAGACATCCATTTGCATCGCTCGACATATGTTAACTCACTGCTTGCCCAGGATGATAAGACATTACAAGAGATTCGCAGTCTCAAAGACGAAAACAATGTACCCGAGTTGGAGAAATGTCTCAGGAACAGTTAGTATACGACATCTTTGCATGATTTATGCTTCCATACCTAACGACATACAGGAATCCAATTCGGCACTGCCGGTCTCCGCGGCGAAATGCGCGCTGGATTTGCTTTTATGAACTCTCTCACTGTCATCCAGGCTTCGCAGGGATTAGCGAAATTCCTCAAGGCGACTAATGAAAAACGTGCCATTGAAAATGGGATTGTGATTGGTGCCGATGCACGACACAATTCGCACAGATTTGCTGTTCTTGTGGCCAATGCCATGGTGGCCATGGGGTTCAAAGTCCAATGGCTTGGATCGGTCATACCTACGCCATTGGTGGCATGGGCTACGGGTCATACGGGAGCAGCTGCAGGTGTTATGATCACTGCTAGTCATGTAAGTATCACGAATTCCCATGAACTGAAGTGGCAAGCTGACTTTTTGTCAGAATCCAGCCAAAGACAATGGTTATAAAGTGTTCGCAATCTCTAAAATTTCACATATCTCGGCCATCCACTGACTTGAACATCAGTTACCTTCAAGGGGGGGTCCAAGTGAACACACCCTGGGACGCAGAAATATCGCAGCACATCGAGGAGAATTTAGTACCATGGAAGGATGCCTGGAGGACAGGAACTGAAAATGAATTCAGCAGATCCATCTTTACGAATAATTTCTCCGAATGGGTTGATGCTGTTGTCACTTACGCTGTAAGTCATTGACTTTTACCCCGTGGAGTCAATTTGAATCTGACTATTGACACCTATCTTAGAAATCCACCGTGCCGAAAGTTCTTCTCCCAACACAATTCTGTTACACACCTCTACATGGCGTGGGAGGCAACTTTCTACCACACCTCCTACAACAAACCGGTATCGGTACTGGAATGATTTCTGTCGATAAACAGTTCGAACCAGACCCGAACTTTCCCACGGTCCCCTTTCCGAACCCAGAAGAGGATCATGCTCTCGACCTCGCCATAATGGCTGGCGAGGKAAATTCATGCGATTTGTTGGTCGCGAATGATCCTGACGCTGACCGTTTTGCGGCAGCGCAGATTATGCCTGAGTAAGTCCACGTTCATCCCACCATGCACCTATGTGCATCGCTAATCATTTCTATTCTTGCTCGAAAACAGACGCGGATCCTGGTACACCTTTACCGGCAACCAAATCGGCATTTTGCTTGCTGCACACATCATCGAAAATCTCAAGTTTCCCTGCCCCAAAAACGGATACTATATGCTCAACACCACCGTCTCAACAACCATGCTCTCCAAAATGTGTGCCGCCCATGGCATCCAATACCGCGAAACCCTTACAGGGTTCAAATGGATGGGCAGTATTGCGCGCGATCTCGAAGAGAAGGAAGGCTACATTGTCCCCTTTGCCTTTGAAGAAGCAATCGGTTACATGTTCTCTGGCACAAAATGCTATGACAAAGACGGCCTGACTGCTGCAGCAGTTTTCTTGCTTGCTGAAGCCCATTGGCGAAAACAGGGCCTAACACCGCTCGATAAACTTCGCGACCTTTTCAAAAATTACGGCCACCACGAAACGTTCAACAATTACTTCCGTTCTCCAAATCCGCAAACCACGGCCGATCTATTCACCAAAATCCGTGCCGGAAACGACAAATGGAAAAAAGGAGCGACATTCGGCCAAAAGAGGAAATTCACAATTACGCGCTGGCGCGATATGACCTTGGGGTATGATTCGGATACACCGGATAATGTGCCCGAGTTACCTGTTGATAAGGGTAGTCATATGTTGACTCTCTGGCTGGATGATGATATCAAGTTCACGCTGAGAGGGTCGGGTACTGAGCCCAAGGTCAAATGTACACCTCCCTTCATCCCCCTATCTATCTCCTTCCACCTTTGAATAATATGCGTTTACTGATGTTGTGGTTAATAGTTTACATCGAATCCTGGAGCGACAACCAAGACAAAGCCGTCGGCCGGGTCTGCGATGTCTTCGACGCAGTCCTGTCCGAATGGATAGAACCTCTCGCGCCAACGATGACTTACGCAAAGGAACTGTTCACGTCTTCTTCGCATCTTTATGGAAGTAGTTTGACGGATTAAGCGACCCGGAAGTGCGGGCGATGAAATAATATATGCTGGTGGTTTCATCTCAATTTTTGTCAAGCCTATATATTACGCACACTCTATGCCAAATACTGTCTATCAACAAAACGAAAAGTAAATTGCGACAAAAATCCATAGAATTCTACACGAAAATATAAAAAACAGAAAACAGTAAAGGGAAACCACATCTCCCCTCGCTAGTTGCTAGCACAGTAATACATAGTATAATTTGTCAGAAAAATTGCAGGAACCCTTCTCGAATGGACGAGTCAAGGCCGGTGGTTATCATACCGAGGAGAAAGAGATAGAACGGGAGGGAATATGGAAGTTTATGAGAAGAATGAATACAGGTGATTATCTATCTTTTTTCGACCTTTGATATTGGCCGAGACTCTTCCATGCAGGGCAGATGCAGGGAGTGTTTGCTGGTTTAGAAGTGGATGGCCTTGGAGTAGGTGGCCATGGCAGCCTCCTTGAAGGCTTCGGCGAGGGTAGGGTGGGCGTGGCATGTGCGGGCAACGTCTTCGCTGGAGGCGCCGTATCTTTTGAAATAACATTAGCACCTTCCTGTGTAAATTGTTTGGGGGAAAAGGGCTACTTACTCAACGGCCAAGGTGGCTTCGGCAATCATCTCACCAGCGTTAGGGCCAAGGATGTGGACACCAAGGATGCGGTCGGTTTCAGCGTCAGAAAGGAATTTGACCTTCATCGAGGTTAGCTTATGTTACTACCCTGCAATATAAGATTTTGATGTTCTGTGAGGGTAAACATACCAAACCTTCGGTCTCCAAGTTGGTCTTGGCACGGCTGTTGGCGGAGAAGGGGAAGGTTCCTAGTGACAATTAGCGTGGATCATAAACAGCCAGCTCCTCTCACGTACCCTTGTTGAACTTGACACCAGCCTTCTTCAATTCCTCCTCACTCTGACCAACCCAGGCGACTTCGGGGTGGGTATACATAACACTGGGGATGGCAGCGTAGTTGACGTGACCGTGACCTTTGGTGATGTATTCGATGGCAGCGACAGCCTCTTCTTCAGCCTTGTGGGCAAGCATAGGACCGAAGGTGACGTCTAAACATATTAGTTAGCCTTTCTCTAAGACATTTGAGAGCCTAGTGGTACGTACCACCAATGACACGGATGTGAGGGAGCTTGGTGCGGTATTCCTGGTCGATGACCAATCGTCCTTTCTCGTCAGCCTCAATGCCAACATTCTCGAGTCCAAGACCCTCGGTGTATGGTCGTCGTCCGATGGCAACGAGAACAACATCGGCGTCCAAAGTCTGTTCCTTGCCACCCTTTGCGGCTTCGGTACTGATAGAGATGGATGATCCGCTAGTGTCGCCCTTGGTGACCTTGGTGTTGGTCAAGAACTTGATTCCCTATATGCCAGGATCGTATTAGCGGTGTCGCTATTGAGAGTATTGGTACGAGTTGATATACCTGCTTGGCAAGGATCTTCTGGGCAGCCTTGGAGATCTCAGCGTCCATACCAGGACCACCAATCTGGCCCAAAAACTCGACAACGGTGACTTCAGAGCCCAACCGGCTCCAGACAGAGGCCTATATTATTAGTATAAGCTAGACAGGCGGAGTATGAGTATTCACCATTTCCAGGCCAATGATACCACCACCGATAACGACCATCTTCTTGGGGACTTCCTTGAGCGACCTTGAATAATGCGACTGTTAGCCACCACATGGAAATCTTATTGATAGGCTTCACTTACAAAGCGCCAGTGCTTGTGATAATTCTCTCCTCATCGACTTCAAGACCGGGGAATGGTGTGGACTCGGATCCAGTGGCAATAATAATGTTCTTACCGCGCAAAGTGCGCTCGCCGCCATCAGCCAAGTTAACCTTGACCTCATTCTCGCTCACGAAGCTGCCGGTACCCTTGACGTAGTCGACACCGTTTTTCCTATTCAAACAAATGTCAGGTATATGTTCCGCGAGAAACCGATGACGAAAAATAACGTACTTCAACAAAAACTCGACACCCTTTGTAAGACCCTCAACAGAAGTATCCTTGGCTTTCAACATCTGTTGCAGGTTGAGCTTGACTTCTCCGACCTCGATACCGCGCTTTTTGGTGTCGTGAAGGATCTGGTGATATAGATGGGAGTTGTTGAGGAGAGACTTTGAGGGAATGCATCCGACGTTCAAGCAGGTACCACCGAGGGTTCCACGTTTCTCGATACAGGCGGTCTATATCATGTCGCAATCGAATATCAGTCGCTATCCATTAAGTATGTCGATTCACGGCTTATCCGATGATCGCTCCGCAATGAAAAATCTCACCTTCAATCCCTCTTGTCCGGCCTTGATAGCAGCGACGTATCCAGCAACACCGCCACCGATAATAACAAGATCAAGCTCTTCCGACTGAGAAGCATATCCGCGACGGCCAAAGAGGCTCAAAGAAGGAGCAGGAACGATGGGCGAAGGAACGGCGGCCTGAGGTCTCACCGTGCGGAGAGCACTCCGCGCAGGAAGCATTGAGCGGAACATGGCGCGAATGTGTAGAGGGAAACCGAATTATTCAAACAGAGAGAACGAACAAATAGAACCCCAGATGCAATTGATTGGGGGTGGAGGGTGAGGATATAGATGGGGACGTGTTTTTGTCTTTTGAAGGTGCAACGTCAGTCAGCCCGTTCGAAAGTTGTCAAAGCAAAAGCTATGCGTATTGTCACGTATGGTCATTTGTGTATTATTTGCTGATATCAACCAATCAACGGGTAGCTCTGCCGACTGACCGGTTACAATCACGTACGGGTACTAAATACCGCATATAATCGGGCCGATGGTACGGAATCCACCGGGAGAGCGGCAACTCTTGCCTCTCAACACTATATATATACTCCGTACTCTCTCCGTGGTTGAGTAATCCATTCATTGATGGCAAAAAAGATACTTTAGTCTACTCATCGCGGCAACTCTCGTCTAATCACGGAACATCACCAATCATGACTCTTTCAGCATCTCTTCGTCTAATCGTTAGCGAGTCCCCATGACCAGGCGGACTCATCGATAGGATTACTGATCCCATAGCAGTCATGACTCTGTTGTAGAAACCTCTTCATGCGCCGTCTTTGCCGATTCCGGATCCATCAAACTCGCCTTACGGTCAGGTGCCTGTACGAAGTCACCATTCTCCTCCTTGAGACGAGCAAAAGTTTCTTCAGCATCCCAATTCCACGGCGTATCAGCAGCAAATAGCAAATCCATGTCTTCCAACGTGCGCTGATTACTCTCGGGATACAAAGCCCAAACCATGGGAATAGTGATTATGTTGCAGGCAGCAAATATGTAGAGCGTCTTTTCGCCGATGGAATTGAACATGACGGGGCAGACAAGCATCTAATCAAAAATCAGTCTATATCTTTGCGAAAGATGAAAAAGGGAGGAGTACTCACCAACCAGCCATTTCCGATACTCCACCCGACTACACCCCACGCATTACCACGAGCACGAACTGCAAGCGGGAAGATCTCGGCAGGATAGAGCCAAGGCACTGTCAACCAAGTAGCACCAAAGGCAGCAGTGTAGATGAAAATCATGGACGCTGCACCAGCTCCGTATGAAGAAGCTTTGGATGCATCTCCTGCGTCTGCGGCATTGATGGCGAGTCTCGATAGTCCGCCTGCGAGAAACATGGCGATGGCTTGTGCAATTGAGCCCCAGTAAAGCGTCCATCTTCGGCCAATACGGTCCAACGTGAATACACAGATCAGGGTACTGAACTATATATCAATTAGTGACAAAGGTCCCTAGTGCCGTAGAAAAGATTTGTATACCATATAAAAGATGTTGTTTAGACCACTGATCCATTGACTCTTCTCGGCGTTGTAACCAGCAATCGAAAAAATAGTTGGCGCATCTGGAACACATCAGCAACGAATTCGGCACTCCAAGAGGGGATGAACAATAAACGTACAAACAGTGACACCTGCAATACCAGTCCATTCCTGCATAATCTGCAACCATATAACCAACTGCACCCTTCTCCCCAGATGCAATTTCCCAGACTTGTATCCAAACAACATCGCCAGATACGAATGATCATGCGTCATCGACTTTTCCAGTTCAGCGATATGTGAAATTTCGCGAAACTCTAGATCTGCTCTTGCGCGTTCTTCGGGCGTAGTATTGCCACGCAAACGACCGAGGATGTAGCGAGCTTCGTCTTCCCGGCCGACTTTGACTAGCCATCGTGGTGATTCGGGGAAGAACCAAATCATACTGAATAGTACGAGGAGAAAGATGATTTGGAAGGCTACAGGAAAACGCCATCGGAAAGCTGATTTGCCGCCGTCGATGAACGAGAGACCGCTGTGATGATTGTTAGTGAATAAGTAGTGGGTGGAACGTGGTACAACGTACAACTCCATCCAGTAAGCAATAACCACGCCGAAGATGTTCAAGGTGAACTCAATTGCAATGAACTGTCCGCGAGAAGTGTGCTCCTGAATTTGAAGTCAGATCCCCTTGGTTAATACAAATCATAAGACATGCGTACACTTGTTTCTGTCGCCCACACTGGGATGATAGCGTTGAGAATACCCGTTCCAATTCCATTAACCGCACGAGCTACGACATATCAGTGCATTGCCCCCACCGTATTTCCATGAACCACGATCGTTACTAACCACAAATCATCCAATTGTGATTCTGTGCAGAAGTCTGCAAACAAGCACCTACAATGCCCCAAAGCGTTCCCAGCGCAATTGACCTAATCCTTCCAATATGATCACCAACCCATCCTCCCAAGAACGCACCAAATAGTGTGCCCAGATAATACACCGAGACGATACCTCCCTGAAGCAGACTATTGGTAATGACGGGGGTAGGTGAACCATCGACGTCTTTTGTGTAACCAAACTTCATGAGATCAATGTAGTTCTTGGAGTTGTTGACACCGCCCATTAGGCCTTGATCGTAGCCGAACATGAGGATCGATAGGGCTGCGGCGCAGTTGATGGCGATGAGAAGCTGGCGCTTCTCGAAGCGGTGCACGACGTTCCATGAGCTTATTTTGTCACTCATGTTGGCGGTATTTCGTTTTAGGGTATATGGTTGTAACTATTCGCGACAAATCGAAAAAGCCTTCTCGAGGCAGTAAACGTCGAGTTCGGAAACAATTCTTCAGTTTCTGCACATCGGGGGACATCCGAGTATTTAAACTGGAGCTCATGCTCATGTTATTTGTTGTCTGACGAGTACATCTGCGTGCCTTTGGTCTGCATGGGGAGTGGGACTGCAACCATTCTCAACTGGGAAAGTGGTCAAAAATTCCGGCGATCCTCCACTTGCGTCAGTCGAAGTATTGGACTTCGGCTCACCGTTCATAGTGCCTACTTCTATGGCCGAGTATAGTGGGATGACAGGGATCGGTCATCCCGCCGAATTTTAAGTATCTAGGATATAATATTCACATACTGAGAGTTGTACAAGCGGCATAGCAACATTGAATGAGCACAAACCTATCAAACACGTCCCATACATATCTCAGTGAGAGTGCTACATGTAGGAAATCAGCGCATGTAGCCAAGCGTATGCATCCGGCCAAGAAAGAATTTCGGGCACATTTGCAGCCTCGATTTCGGATCGGTAAAAAGAAGTCCCTTGGTATGTAAACCGGGGTTCTCCACGGGGTACAGGACGAACAATGAAGCATCGGTTAAATTCAAATCACTAACCCAAAATGAGAAGTTCCATTCGAAAGATGTGCGTAATTGCCTTTTATGTAGATCATAGTTCCAGGCTTATGTACAGGCGGGATTCTTGACTCGCGGAACGAGCCCCGACTTGCTCGCAACGTGGGGATGATCAACAAAGACCCTGTTCCTATCCGGCAAGACGTAGCACCATCTGGTTATGAAATTATCCGTTCATGCTGTTTGAGTGAACGTATGCTGTCTTCTTTCTTGACCATCGGTGGTGTTCTTGTGACATTGTCGCTCGGAGTTGCGCCGAAAGCGTCAATCTTTGCCGGAATGGGCAGTGCCGTGTAGAAAAGTATAGTCGGTGGGCAATGTACTTGCAATGTAGTATTTTCATATATATATTCTGGGGTGCATCCATCTCTCGCGAAGTCTTGCCTCATATGATACAATGACATGCTTAGTCAGTAATGTCAGTAATGTCAGGATCCCGAATGTCTGATGTTGGAATTGGGGTTGGGGGCTTCGAACCCCGAAGCTCAGAAACTATCAGGCAATACAGTTTTGCGTTCCAAGTATCTCGGCTTCTAGAGATAACAAACGCTTAAAGTTTTGATAAGACGAATAGAGGGACTTATCTCTCTAAAACTATGGATAGTTATGTCTTTTCTTTGTACGAGCCTATCTACTCAGGTCCTCGGAACGCCGGAACCCTCCCCGCTTATTCCCCAGAGCTATCAATCTCGGAACTTCGGAAAGTTCCGATGTCACCTTATCTATGAAACATGCTTCTCCAACACAATTATTAGAGAAACCTATATATACAATTAGAAGCTCAATGAATCCGATCCCGATCTTGCCTTACATTTCAAACTGGTTTCAAGGATCTTATACTCTGGTTTCATGATGTACACCCATCCACTCTCACAGCTCTCCGAGCTCGAAACCACAACCGCCAGAGACATTATCCTCGACTCCCACCCCACCAAAGCGATCTTCTTCCGCGAAATATATCTGCAAGAACCACCAAAGGCAGAGCTTGTCCCCTACCTAGAACTAGAGCATTCCGGAAAATTGAGTCCGACATCGCCTCGTCCTCAGCGATTGGCAAAATGTCAGTATGATGTTGTCGGTGGTGATCGTGTGCCGGAATATCACGAGTCTGTTGTCGATGTTGAGCGCAAGAAGAGAATCAATCATGTCGTGATTGGGAAAGAACATCAAGCTTCTTTGACGCTGTGCGTTCTTAGTCCGTCATTAGGCCAACTACATATACTGATACGGCTACAGTGATGAATTCGACATCTTCGTCAAAACCTGCCAAGAATCCCCACTCTTCAAAGAAGCAATCGCCAAGTTTAAACTTCCTGAAGGCTTCGACTATGTCATTGAGCCCTGGCCCTATGGCGGTCGTGACCGCGTCACTGATGACAGCCGCTACTTCCAAGGCCTCATCTTCGCGCAGGATAAACGGTCCAAAAACCCCGATTCTAACTTCTATGCATACCCTATTCCTATCATCCCCGTCATGGATTACCACAAACGCGAGATCATCCGCATCGACAAATTGGCTACGGGCGGAAAGGAGGACCCGCTGACTGCATCAGATGCTGATTTCAGAGAGGATGTTATTGGTCATTGTACAACGGCAGAATATATACCAGAGCTGTTACCCAAGGGTACAAGGCAGGATTTGAAGGAATTGAATGTTCTACAGCCGAATGGTCCTTCGTTCAGAGTATCGCAGGATAAGTCGTTAATTGAGTGGCAGAAGTGGAGGTTTCGTGTGGGCTTTAATCCGCGGGAAGGTGCAACGATACATGATGTTTATTATGACGGGAGGAGTGTTCTTTACCGATTGAGTATCAGCGAGATGGTGAGTAATATGTCCGGCCCGACTCGTTGAGCGAGCTAACCGTAGTTGTCAGACTGTACCATATGCAGATCCTCGGTATCCGTTCCATCGCAAGCAAGCATTTGATTTCGGAGATGGAGGTGCTGGAAATTGTGCCAACAATCTGTCACTTGGATGCGATTGCTTGGGTGTTATTAAAGTACGTGAAACTTGCAACTGATATGGCTTCTAGGCTAATGAAGCTCTTTAGTACTTTGATGCCGTCGCCACAGACGGCGAAGGTAATGCCAAACCCGCCCCAAATGTTATCTGCCTCCACGAACAAGACAACGGCATCGGCTGGAAACATACCAATTGGCGCACGGGACGTGCCGTGGTCACCAGATCCCGCGAGCTGGTCGTACAATTCATCATCACTTTAGCCAACTACGAGTACATCTTCGCATACAAATTTGACCTCGCTGGCGGTATTTCTGTTGAATCCCGAGCAACAGGAATAGTCAGTGTCGTGAACATTGACCCCGGCAAAGTGTCCGAATATGGAAACGTGGTTGGTAACGGTGTGCTGGCACAGAACCACCAACACGTGTTTTGCATTCGTATCGACCCTGCTATTGAGGGACACAAGAACACGGTATATGTGGAAGAGTCCCATGCCGTGGAAATGAACGATATCACCAATCCGGAAGGAAACTTCTACCAAATTCAGAAGACACCTGTTGAGAGATCGAGTTGGTTTGATGCGGCACCCGAGCATAACCGGATTATCAAGATGGTTAACACCGATAAACTCAACCCAATCAGTCAGAGGCCCATGGGATACAAATTCACGCCAATGGCAACGCAGCTTCTACTGGCTGACAAACGATCAATCCAAGCTAGACGGGCCCAGTTTGCCCAACATCATGTATGGGTGACCAAGTACCGGGATGGCGAGCTTTATGCTGGCGGCCAATATACACTACAGAGCCAAGACGAGATTGGCGGTGTTTATGATGCCGTGAAACGAGACGAAGCTGTCTCAAATGAAGATGTAGTGGTATGGAGTGTTTTCGGAATCACTCATAACCCTAGAGTTGAAGATTGGCCTGTCATGTAAGATTGCCTGTTCCTGCCAGACTTTTGAATGAATGCTAATGCGTTTCGTATGTACAGGCCTGTGGAATGCTATCAACTCAACATCCGCCCTGCAGACTTCTTCACAGAAAATCCAGCTATTGATGTCCCGTCAAATAAAAATCTGGCTTCGCAGCTGGTCACTTCGAGTTGCTGTACAAAGCCTAGCTTGTAGGCTACATGTGTAGCTATCATGTATATGAATACTTCCTCAATTACGCATTCGTCGTATTTTGATCTTGTTTTCTTTTCTTTCTTATCCGTTTACTGCGGCGTCTATAATCTATGGACCGTTCACAGGCCATACATTGCCCGTCTTGATTGAAAAAATGATCATCCCTAGACAGAATCGAAATGTTAGTTTTGAAACCGTGGACAACTCTCGTCTCAAAAGCCCATCAGCTTGTTTCAATTCTCAGGGGGTAAACCTACATTTCAAGCTCGCAAAGTTCATGTGGCTCCTCGTTGTCGCATGCATCACAGACCGGGAGGCGATAAGTACAATCCCACAGCACGCCCGTCCAATCCGACCATGTATGAAACAAGTGACCTGTAATTTCATCTGGGCTCTCTTCCTTACTCCGAGTCCGAAGCGCCAATTCATTCGCATCATCAGCCACGGAAAGACGTCGAGTTTGGACCGGTGGACCATGATCAACCATCTCGACATATGCCCAACCAGATGGATCATTCTCAAGAAGAGATTCTGATTTCTCTTCCTCGTCATAAAATCCCTCTATGTATGTATCCATAGCAGGTGACACGTCTTGATCGAACATGACATGAATAATCCCCTTTTGCAAGAGATCATCCCACGAGAAGCAATCTGCGGGAACCACGAGTATCCAACTTTGATAGCGCACCCTTAAATCCCAGCCACCACGATCAATCCAACATCTCGAAGAGACGCACCAGGTGGGGACAATGTGTGGATAAATCTCCAAACCTCTTAATGCCAATATTGCTTCTTGTGCCGCTTCTTCGCGATCGTCATCATCCATTTCGGGCCCACACTGATCTTTAGCATCGGCAGCGACAGTAGCATGCAACTCCTCGACAGCCTGGCGTCGATAAATCTTTTCGCGTCTGTGATGCTCCATACATTCCTCAATACTACCCAAGGGTGTGTACACGTCTACTCGCGGCCAGTAGTTTCTTGCATTTCCCCATCCTTCAATGGCATCAGACCGGAGAAGGCTGTTTCCGATTTCTGCTCGTTGTTCGGCGTCTACATCGCTGAGGAAATAGAGATGTATACTCAACTTTCGGATGATGTCCGGGTTCATTGAAAAAGTTGGGCCTCCAACGACTGTATAAGGCTTCTGAGCATGATCTTGAAATGTGTCTATGAAGTAGGCTTTGCCGGAGAGTTGTTTTCTGGGCGCTCGTCCTCCTATGGATTTGCGAGCAACTTGCTTGGTTCGAGCCATTTTCTTTTTTGGTGTCGAAGCAAAATATGATGGATAATATTTTTTATATACCTGACATCTCGAGAGATTGAAGAAGGAAAAGATCAATCTACGGTCAAAATAAAAGTAGGCAACAGTCGCACTAAGCCCATAACAGCCTAGATCGTAATCTTATTTCCGTCATAACCCCTAATTCTATGTGCAATTGAAGAATCAAAAGAAGAACTACCAACTCCTAACATATATCCGACACACTCAATTTCAACATCTGCACCTTCTGGGGATTTCCTTGACAGCGACGCATGACCAAGCGTCGAAGATCAAAGTACGTTGGCCGAGAAAAATCATGATGAAACTCATTATCCAGAACTCATCAAAGCTTACAGGTCTTGGTCTACCAGAAACATTCAAACTTCGTTTATCACCGGTACCTCTTTCATATTAGTGGCAAAGATCAACAGTTTGAGAACCTTGTCGGTACTCGAACCTGCTTCTTCAAAGACGGCTTTCAGATGTAAAAACGCCTAGGTTTGTAGATATATATCTTAGCAATCTGCGGCCAACATAGATTATTGTGTTTTGAGGGAGGTTTTCATACTGTGCGACCAAATGATACCCTGTACGAATGCATCTGCCTTCGGACTCATTCCGAGGGCTCGCGAGCAGATTACTAGACCGCTGGAGACAGTGGCTGTTTGGTCAGTCCACAACGCTCTGATTATTTGTTACCCGTGTATTCTAGGCTGTGGAAAATTCGTATGTGGTTCCTTGGTACTTGATAGGATATATATACTTAGGTAGTAAAAGGCCGCACAACTGATCAGACACCACGACGTTTCGAGGTATCGACGTATTTTATAAATCAATTATCGCAGACAGGGAGCTGAGAAAAAAACCCACGGCAAAAGAAGCTAAGAAGCATTCGTTTTGCATCCTCTAACGTAACATATATTCGGGTGTAAAATAGTCTGCGGATGCAGGCCTCAGATGGAGGACAATCAACCCTTTATAAATACACTAAAAGAAAGTTATGCAAAATATTCCGAGCTGACTAACAAGAACAGAAGATTGAATCGAATGACTGTCGTTTACCGAATGTAACACAGTGTTATGTTTATGTCTCAAGAAGCGCTATTAAATATTCAAGGTGGTATAAGTGCACGCTTGCCGTGTACTATTCCCCATATTGACAGTCATGAGTGAAATGCTATCTCCCATCATTAGATTTCCCGAGAAAAGAACACATTAAGAGATAATTGAAATTGTATAATGGGAAATGAAACATACAATACATTCATCGATGCGCAGATCAAGAGCAATAGTATTGTATTTGGGCTTTTTGTCCAGCTCCTTAAAGCGGCACGGGATGATCCACTTATAAGCCGCCGCTCAAGTCGCCCATTAACTCCGACGACGTCAACAAAAATGCGCACCAAAAGCCTCTACGATTCACGCTGGGCAACTCCCCAGATCACAACTCCTCAAGAAACCGCTCCATCGCCTTCTTCCACTCAAGAACTCGCTCGCTTCCTGAAAATTGTCTCGCGATTACGATGGAAACTCCCATTTTTATCAGAAGGCTATCGCCTAGCCACGGCCCGCCACAACATGTCCACAGCCGACATTCATTACGCCGAGATAATGTTTAAAATCGACTTCCACGAATACTACGCCCTCCTCGAACGCGCAATCGTACATTTACTCGCGGTGTGGAATATTACAGTTTCACGACACAAGGCGACTGACAATTCAACCACCCTCAGCGATCGGTGGTCTTCGAACCATCGATACCATGCCAATGTCCTCGAGACATTGGAGCGAGAATCGTGTCCCTTACACGCTGCGCTAGGAACCGGATCAGTTCGCAATCAACTGCGACGAGCCAAACAACTTCGCAATCAATGGAAGACCGCGGACTCTCCGGAAGACGATGAGCAATACAAATCAGCTGCATCCTCGAGAAACGAGACGGCATCGCTAGAAAGCTATGACCTCGAAGGAATATTGACAAGTGTATTTAACGGCCTGGAACAAGGGCATGCTCTTGCGCAGCAACATGTTTCAAGTGAGAATCCTGAGATGGATGTTGAGACCACTGTCGACGGGCATAATGAAGGCGACTGGGATTTCATTGTCGATGCTATGGACTGGGAAGCAGTGTAGTCTTCCTGAGTGTTGCGAGTATGGCGTTTATGGTTTTGAGTGATACCCAAGATTTCTGCAAACATTAAGAAACTGAGTCATTTGTCATGAACAGATCCTGATAAATATACTATGACATGCATTTCAGATGTGAATTCAACGCCATCAAAATCTGCTCCGGAGTCGACACAATGTGTCTATGTAATTATTTTTGAAGGCATACGACCAGACCCCTTCCGAATGGAATAAGTAGCTGCTCGTATCTCTTTTCTGCTAAAGAGTCACGTAGCTTTTTTTTTACGGTTTCGAGTAATGTTTTGGGCTCGGCGTGCTGCCTTTTTTCGAATTCGAGTCAATTTTCGACCTTGATATATAGCTTTTCTTTCGAAATCCAGCTCAAATCCAGTTCTCGATCCCCGACCGAGAAAGCAATCAGACGTACGCATATCTTGACCAGCTTCCACACACAGAAGTCCTGCCCTGGATGTTTGTGTTGCCACAAACATAATGATGAGCTATTGCTAGGCCGATAGATTGAAGAGTAACACTCTTGCCATCGCGCTTCATGAGGACGAACGACAAGAGGACGGTCACACTCTACTAGCCTGCCATTTGAAATTATTTCGATGAAATATACACACAAGAACTAGCGAACAAGACTGGGAATGAGACGTGGGTGGTCGAGCAAGTGTCCATCAACTGAGTTGGATGACACCGGGGTACCCATAATTGGAGCAATTTTTGAAAGACCTTGCAGAACGACTCCTGCGAGATGGAGGGTCGCTTCTTCAGTTGAAAGGTGTGCGCTCAAAGAAGCTCGGACACCTACCCCCATGACTTTCCATCGCTTTTTCCTTTCACATCCCCATGGGTGAATGCAAATACCACCATGCTGCTTGCATCTCGTCACCCAACAAATAAACGTGTGGATTCAGTTCCCAGATTCCGCCGACAAAGTGCCGCTGCTTCTGCCCAGCATCAGGCAGTCGAGAGCAGGCACGATTGAGTCATGGTTAAACACTGTGATGCCGAGAATATGCTGGTATTACAGATGAATTGAATGAATGCTTCCTGTGGAAGGTACTTCCGAACCTAGTCTAGAGAGGTTAGAGGGACAAGGTTAGGCGGACCGTTCCGAAACTGCTCACGAGTCATAGCCGCCCTACGGTGTATTCTCCTCCTAACTATTCCGCATTTTGTACTATTCTGTAGCTATTCCGCAGCCTATAATATTGCATACTATTCCGTCGCCGGTAACCTTCCGCAACGCTCGAAGCCTGTACCAGGAAAATCATTTCCATGCTTGCTCCTCTCCCCAATGTTTGAAACTCCTGCATATCTTTGTGTCATTAAGGATCTCTACTAAGTACTAACCTATAAGGAAAAGGAGGTTTCCTCATCTACTGGTTTGTTCGGGCTCCTCAGAGATTATCCGTATTTCAGTATCATAATGTTTTCATACATAGGCACCGCACTGGTATGCCCCAATGTGCCAGCACATGCCAGGAAAAATGACAGCCTCATCGCCTGATTGGGATAGCTGTGTTTGATTGGAGCTTACAGTGCTCACCCGGCTAAAACAATACAATGTATTCACATCTCAAGCTAACATGACTCGGCACTAGCAGACGGCTTTGCACAGCAGGGCACCGCGGAATTGTAGCGTCCACCTGCTGCTGGGGATAGGGAAGCATGTGCCAGCGAAATATTTTGGTTACATTTAGCCAAGTTACCCTTGGCAAGTTACCCCCACGCTATCGCCTGAGCAACTACAAAGTCTCTCTACCATCAGATTCATCGTTACGAACCCTGGAGTACTAAATGAAAGAGTGTGGCAGAGAAAAGCCACGCCTCTGTTGGCAGGGAATATCGGGAGATTAGTAGTTGGCTTTTTGGGGAGGATGTTCGCCAGATCGCGAGTATAAGTACTTTCGATAGCTCCTGATTCCTGATTCCTGCTTTGAGAGGCAAGCATCCATTACTCTTTAGCTTACCTCGAATCTCACCAAATCAATTCCTTCGCATTCAATAACACAAGATGAAGTACTCAACCATCATCGGCCCTACTATGTACGCAGGTATAACATCAGCCGGTATCATCAATGTTCGGCAGGTTCCTGATTCCCCTGGTACGGGCGGAGCTTGCACCTCGCTTGAGCTCATATATGGCAAGTGTACCATTCTCCTCAGTGGGCAACAACGCGGGCTAACTCCTGTGGCACCAGCGCGAGGAACTGGTGAGTCTTTTAGTGCTAATGGACTGGGCGAGTCCATCGCTCCGCCGATCTATCAATCGCTTTCAAGCGCGATCGGAAGTGTTAGCCCCTATGGGGTGGACGTACGTTCTGATAGCAAATTTTGAATTTAATAGTCCTATTGACAGAAGACAGTATCCAGCAACGCTGACCTGCGCGTCACGGACTGAAGGAAGTCAATTGCTTTCCAGTCACCTCACGTCGCAGGCCGCCGCCTGTCCGAACTAAGAATTCGCCGTGGTTGGCTATTCCCAGGGAGCCGATGTGGTCCACGAGGGTCTGGCGGTCATATCTTCGTCTCTTTATCCACGTATCATCGCGATCGTTCTCTTCGGTGACCCAGCAAACCGAGGCCCTTCAGGCACTTACCTCGATCCTCTTGGCAAGGACGCGCCAGGCATCCCATCTGGGCTGACCGACAAAGTCATGGAGGTTTGTGGCGAGGGCGATCCGATCTGCACCAACAACGGAACGGACTTCCAGGTGCATGCCAGCTATGGTAAAACCGGCACGTATGTCCAAGATGCTGCTGTATATATCCTCCGCCAATACCAGAGCAAGGGCACAATCGGCCCAGTGGCCGGCGCGAACCCTGGCACACAGACGGCTGCGAACCAGCAGGTAATTGAAAATTTTGGAGGCTCCTTGGACTGTAATTAACGTCCGGACATCGGCGGCGGTGATCAAGCTCTTGGCGGCGGGGACGATAGTAAACTGCCCCTTTAGATCCTTCACGCCTAAAGAAGATGAGATGTAGCTGTACACACAAATTTGCAGTATGCTTTGTATGCTTGGTGTTCATTCTTTTCTCTGTACTTAACCAACGCTTGCAAAGCGAATATGATACTGCTTGTTTCCTTTCATCTCAGACCCTGAAGTGTATTATTGGCGGTCTAGCTGACTAAACTAATTAGTTTAATTTGTTGTTTATTTGTATTTCCAGAATCTCTGTTCCACACAGGGGTATGGGGGACGGATCAATAGATACAGACAATCGATTTGACAGGTGTCACAGTGAATATATGGACCTAAACATTCGAGCTAAGAATTGTACCTTTCTTCCTTAATCGCACTCCTACGCCTGCGCACCCTTCTTACACTGTAAAAGCTATTACTTCAGATACTTATTAGGTAGTAGTCTAATGTCTAAACAATGTGTAGTACCTGCCTGAGAATCACAACACATAGCTGTGCCCCGAAAGTCAAACGATATCTCATGGATATGCGTCTCACTCATAGATATACTCAGATAGCCCAGCTCCAAACAATAATTGACAAAATGGCACAGAAATAAAGCAGATACTATTCGCGGATGTGATTGGTCGAACCTCGGGATTATTCCGAGCAGTTTATCTTATCTCGACTTCCCAGCTTCCCGATTGTTACTCCGCTCTTTCTTTCTTTGCAACTGTTCTTTTTTATTTTTCTTAGTAGTGGACTCCGATAATTATCTGTTAAAATACGTAAATACACAAAAACAACCGAAGGGCATGGTCTCCGGCAAATGGCAACGAACGACAAGCGAAGCGCGGCCAACTTTGAGGCACACGACTTTGAACCGCGGAAACGGGGCAAATACACCCAAGTCGCATGGTAAATAAGGACCCTCATTGTGTTGAACAATGGTCGATAGCACACGTCTAATAGTGGACAGTAATGAGTGCAAGCGCCGGAAGCTGAAATGTAGCGGTGAGGATATATGCAAGCGATGCGCATCGAATCGCGTTTCTTGTGTATATGCCGTATCTCGGCCAACTGCATACGAGGAAAATAATGCTGAAAACCATCAGCATCAACGAAATCAGTACGAAATATGTTCCCATTTTCTGAACCAAGCAACGCTGTTAATCGAGACTAACTCAAATCCCAGTTCCCCATCGAGGCTGGAATCATTGGAAAGTCGCATGTCATCGATGCAAAGGCAGCTGGATCTTATGTCCAATGAAATCCGAATACTACGGCGAAGATCGAAGCCACCTCAGCAACATTTCCGAACAACAAATAGAGCTCACAAACCTACTGACTCCCGATGGGCGAGCCGAGCTCCAGTTTCGCCTAGCTATGTTGGTCCAACGAGCAGTGAATTCGGTCTGAATGTCCCCAATGATGACTTACCGGACATGGATGAAACGGAAACTTCAGAACTAGTGCAACCGTCTTCCTCAAACAGTCCCTATGTACCGCCAGTGGTGCCAGAAGAGCAAAGAAAGAGAACAGATATCTCACGAAGTAATCCCCTACTATCGCTCGACGAGACCGACGCTCTTCGGCTTGTCGATATTTACGATGAGGCTGTTGGAACGATGTATCCTGTCGTGGACCTCAAAAGTATACGAGAGTACATTGTTGACTACTACAGCCAACACTCGAACGATGCCGCTGGTCACATGTCCCCACCCCAAAGCGGGAATGAGGACTGGTGGTTTTCGGCGCGTGATACAGAAGTCTTGAAACTTGTGCTTGCTTTGGGTCTAATATCGGAATCGCCTGGTCAAAGCGAGCTCGGGAATATACTTGCTGCGAGCGCTGAAGATACCTTTGCCACGACTCGGACGCAGGTACCTGAGGTCGATATGAAAGAGTTGATTATCTTAACATTGGTGGTAAGTTGGCTCCTTTGAAAAAGCATTATATCTTTTCGCTGATTATAGAAAAGTCTTTGTATCATTCTTGTCGAGATGATGATATATTGGCATGGCGTACAATCGGTTTAGCGTCACGAGGTGCCATGCAAATGGGCTTACATAGATGTGATACGTGGCTTCGTACTGGAGGAATTTTCCCCGGTGATCTAGAACGTTCTTGGGCTATAAATCTCTTCTGGTGCATCTATGTCTTTGACAAGGAATTTTCCTTCGAGACAGGCTTGCCATTTGGTATGCGGGACTCTGACATGGATTCAACTCTGCCTCGACCAGTATGTTCATTCAGCGATAAAATAGATGTTACTATGCTGACCATACAATTTCCACTAGGCTGAGCACCACACGTACCTAGACTGTATGATTTCATATTGCCGAGTTGGAGGCAACATATGGGATCTAATGATCGGCTGGGGTAGCACAGCCAAAGCAGTGGCATCCGACAATGAATCCTTTTTGAACTTTCAGATACATCAATGGCAAGAATCCATACCGTCCGAGTTCCGCTTGGATGATCTGCAGGGCGAATGGGCGCCTACTATGAGAGACGCACGTCTGGCAACACCCCGAATCCTCCTACATTTACGCGCAAATCACATGAGAATACTTATTTACAAACAGAACCTTCTGAGCGCTCAGTCAATCAGAAACAATTTTTCAGGCGCGAACGTTGCCGTCGCGAATGCAAAGAACACGATACAAGCACTAAGCAATCCCAGCTATGTCTCGGCGATCTATTCCCAACGGCCGCAACCGTTCGATCGGTTCCTCTTTTCAGCGCTAGCAACACTTTTTCTAGCCATGTTTCATTACCCGGATTACTTTGTAAACGTCTGTCGCGACAGTTTCTCTGAGGCATTGAATACATTGAAACGGTCATCCACTCGAGGGAGACATTCTCGACGACTTCGCAAGGTCATCAAAAATCTCAAAAGACTTGACACTAACCAACCGTCTACTCGGTCCAATGTCCTTGCAACAACAATTGATGCTGATCAAGCAGATGCAATTGATCCTAAAACGGCAGCAAATGTTCAACCCACTGATATCGACCATTCGATTTATTCACTTCCTCCATCGCTAGTCAATGAAACTACACCAGATGACTACAGTGACCTAACCAACTTTTTTGAGTTTGCTGGCGACTTTTTCATGGATCCTCAACTCGGCAATCGTGGCGAGGTTGATCAAACGAATTCTTTGCTGAACGAACAATTACAGAACTCGCTGGATATGTTTCATGTTGAGGATGAGACTTTGACCAGATTGATGATGGGACTGTTATGATGAGGCGCCGTGGGAAGCAGCTGGGTCAGAGGAAGTGAAATGGCTGGACTCAAAACCCATCTTGGGGATTCTGCGAGATGGAGATAGAAGACCTCTGAAACTTACCTTGTCACCTCGAACGATTCTAATACTTCAGTAATATATTCACGATGAAATTCAAGAATACAGCTTCGTAGTCATTTTATCAGATAGGTGCATAGTATATAGAATAGTCAGGCGGCCAAGGCAAACATGCGCTGCATTATACTAGGCATGCACCAAGGTTCAGTGAAACACTTTATCATATTCATTCCACTACCTAATCGTTTCTCGCCATGAATGACCTCCTTTCTGTCTTACTTGTGAATTTACACCAAGTACTAAACGATCACAATTGACTTACTGATGAATCTCTATATGATCCATCAACAATACATACACCAGAACCGATCTAATCTTTTCTATGTTTGCTCTCGTAGTCGGCAAGTAAGCTGATCGCTAATAGAATAGGCCCCAGTTCCTTCATATGGGCTGCATTGAGAGTATCCCATGGACCGAACTGGTGCATCGTCAAGAAAGAAGGGGTAGCTTCTTCACTCGATGGCCGCGCGTTGTTCAAGTGATCGAGATAAGCGTCATCGCATTTAGCAACGTTTACGAATAGAGATATGTGAAGACGCCTACCAGAATTTGAGATTAGTCAATCAGTACCTGAAGAGGATCGGGATGGAAAGCATCACAATAACTTACATCATGCAATTTCGTTGCGTCTTATAGTCATCGCTCTTTATCCAAGCTACCATCTGCGCACTCTCCTGCATCATAATCGCTGACAGCTTCGCGGACCTCATCACGGGCTTGACTTCCACTATGACGCTAGGTTTGCCTCGATGGTCATTCAAATAGCCATCCGTTCTCGCTTCAAATGCAGCATCCCCAAAGGTAGCGATAAACGCCTTTCGATGTAAGGTCCACTTGGAGGAGAAGGAATCAAGATGGATGGTAAGAGCATTCAGGAGCACAATTAGCGCCGTATTCACAATCTGTTCGTCTTTGGTCGGAGGGTACATAATATTCACCAGTTCTCGAGGAACCGGTGTCTCTACTCTATAAGGGGTGGGTTCATCTTCGTCATCGCTCTCCAAATAAGACCAGTTTTCCGGAACATTTGTGCTCTTTGGCGTTGGTGTGCTCAAGTGCGTATTTCTCATTTTCAATTGTACTTGTTGAAACAGTTGTCCGCGAGTCCGCCTAGCAATCGGTGTATCAAACATTGTAGGGGTTGGCGTTCCATCAGTCTTTGTAGCTTCTAGCTGATAGTGGCGGACGATAGCAAAAGTACCCTCCGGAATGCGTTCACCAGCGCCAAAGCTGCTACAATATTTAGACCACGATTGGAGGCCGAGAAGCTCTTTTTGGGCCTCTCTCATCCAGTGCTGAAGTCCCAGAAATTTGATCAGATCCTTTCTACCTCGGTGCTCCTTCCATAGAACCCGGAGGAGCAGAAACTGATCCAGACCAATCTTGGAAGCGGACGCAAGATCAACGGTATGAATTGTACTCTTCTCCAGGCCATGCCGTGCTATCAACGTATGCCATTCACCAGGATTTTCGGGTAATGTATCGGAGTCCACCATTATGAGAGTAGTTTGTACGTATGGCCTATTCAATTGAGAACCGAGGGCCCCTTGAGGATGGAATCTGTAGCAAATGTTGAGCGTTTCATTTCTCTTATACACTACATGCGCGATGCTAAATAACATTTATAGTAAATTGTATGGAGGGTTCCTAAGGCCTGATCGCTGTTTTCTTTGGCGCTTTATACCTCTTAACAGTGGAATCCATAGAGAAAAGCGACAAAGCCAACCTGAATCCTTCATTCTGACCATGGCTTGATGGTGAGATAGATCATATATATCAGAAAGGATGTACTTCATCTATCTGAATACTTAGTTTCGTATGTCTCAAAGAGCTTCTACTATCAATGAGTGATTTTATATCACGTTAATGGGGTTTACAATATTGCTTCTAGATTGTCACCTAGCCCCTGGTGCATATGTCGTACCTCAAAAGATATTGTAAGTAAGTGCATCTTGAGAAATTAGATATATATTTACAATAGTCCTCCGATATTCTTTATCTGTATACATGAATTTTGATAAGACCATTATAAACTGAAATTAGGTACTGTGTTCTAGGCGGCAAGTTAGGTGGAACACCCAAGACGTATATCTCTGGGAGCTACCTTTCATGTCATTCTTCTGACTCTGAGAAACAAAAAAACCCTTGAATAAAGCAGTATATATTACCCCATATAGGTTGCTAGCCAATGACAAGGATTTTTAATAAAATACTAGGACTTGATGTACAAAGTTAGGGTTTGATAATGAGGCTCAAACTAGCCGTGCGAAAGGATGCAGCTTCCCGCGCAATTTGTAGGACAAAGAAGTCGCCCAAGCAACAACCACCCCCCAATAAAACAGTGGTTATTTCTACCATCAATATCGATTGAACTTCGCTTTCTTCTTCTTCTTCTTCTTCTTCTTCTCCATCCCACACCACGCCACACAATAGCCAGTCTCTTGTCTCATTCAGATACCTAACTTAGTTTATCATATTCATCCACCATTTCGCTGAAGTCTCTTTCCGCTGTTTCGCTGATCCAACATGTCTGTCGATCTAGCCAAGCGCTCCGATATGCGCCTGGCTCTGTTCCAACTAGAAGCCATCATCGAGGGGATACATGCTGATGAGTACATTATCAGAGAGGGAATGAATATTGATCTGCAACACATGGTTCTTGACATGGCTTCAGAGCACAAGCCTCATTTTTTCAACGCGTATCCCCACCTCCCCGAGCTGGATGACGAGAACCGCGATGGAAACAACGCAGTCTTGGACGACAACAGCTACACGAGACCCCTCGACCGAGCGTATCAGATCGAAACGACATTGAAGCACTATACTTTCGATACTTTATGGGGCAAATGGGATGAGTACTTGTGGACCATAAAAGAGTGAGTCTCTCACGGCCTGATTTTATTTCTTGACGAAACTCGCATTCTCTAATTCTTAACTCACAGTGTTGGTGACCACAAAACTTACAAGAGTTTGTATCAAATGGCTACAGGAGATTACAATTCTCCCAAGGAGTTCGGCCTCTTCAGGATGACAGAGATTAAATCAAAAGAGCTTCCACATACCAAGGCAGTTGCCTACCACGACCATATTCCATCTCATGAGAAGCATTTTCTCCGTGGAGAGTTGTTGATTAGCATTCGCATGATGCTGAGTCAGTTGAAGAAGAAACGCTACAGGCCACACATGATCGCACCGGTATATATTTCACTTCATTCTCTTTCGACTAATTTTCAACAGGTTACTAATATCACGTCAATCTAGGTTCTACTTTTTTCGATTATTGGGAAGCAAGGACGCGTTCTCGAGTCATATTTTGATGGCAAACACCTCGTACTACGCCGTACAAAAACGTATGATTTTCGCAACGATCCCTCGGCTTTCAGGGATTTTGCGGAATGGTACCTTGGCGATCCAGCTGGTGACACAACGAGTCTCAAGGAAGAATACATGCTACGACTTCACGAATGAGTTTATGAGATGACTATTGGTTTTTGACTTTGTTCTGGTTCTGGGGTATCAAGGCTTGGGGGTACAATGATTTTAGTTTTTGGTTCATCGATGGTTCGGCGCTGATACGTTGCATCTTCTCATACCCACATGTATTTCTATTTCTACATAGCGTCGAGATTTAGAAGTTTCTTTCTTTTTTTTCATTGTCAATACACTTCACGGCTCAAGAGCTAGATTTAGGAAAGTTTATAACACTTCAACTCTATTGCTATCTTCACGCATTTCTTAGTATCCTATGCATTAGTCCCTATTGTCTCCAATATTTGAACGGCCTTGTGATGGTTTTACTCAAGGAAGGGCCCGAAATTAGCCATACTCATGCTAAGGCAGAGGTTGACCCTCGTCTCTGCGGACTAAATGAAATATTAGGCAGCTTAGCCCTTCACAAGCAACCACAAATAGCTGGAAACTGCGCTAGATTATCAATGACAGCAGTTAAAAGTGAATGAGCGTGAAAATAGAATACTGTCGCGTTATCTCCAGTATTCTGAAGGATCAAAACTCTCTCATTCCAACTCTCGACTGTTGCGCAGATTACAATGACTTTAGAGGCCTTGGTATATTCAGCAATAGCCGTACAAGATATTTAAAGCTTCTACACTCATGTGAGATCTTACAATGATTCAATGTTGAGTTTCAAACTACATTTATATTATCTTATATCCAGTCGATCACATACTTCATTATCAAGTATCACCCAGGTAGGAGCTCGATTTCAGTCGAGCCCTCTTATCAGCCCGGCCAGTTACCGAAACACGGCTGATTTTTCGTGATACATGAGTGGACGGTATTTCCCGTGTTGACCTCTGTCAAATTATTGTAGGTCTGACATTACCCTTGTCTCGAAACACCTAGTTTTGTGTTAAGCCCAGATTGATTAGGGCTCAATATTTGCCTAGGCAGTCATAATGTGGGGGATAACCGCGCACATGCCACAAACTGCTGTATGACGAATATAAAATAAGGACAACCCCAGAAGATTTCTTCGGCCTTCAGATGAGATCCGAGATCTGAAATTGCGGGAGATAAAATATCCCCACGAGAGCTATTCTATCTCAAAAGCTTCTCGGGACTCGGAACTCGAGAAATGCTAGTGACCACACCTGTAGTTGGCTCAACAACCTTGTCGGCAAGATGAGAGTAGCTGCATGTGATGGAAGAACATATTCCGATTGAATCTATGTCAGGGCGTGTAGTATGTATTTGAGACTCGAGACTTAAAAGCCTCCGATAAAAAAAGTAGTATCGCACATGGACTAGGGTAGGCAGCAAGAACCTTGCGTATCGTTCGTTAAATTCGTTGGGGCACATCCCAGTTGCTAAAAGCCCTAAGCTGCAAACCCCCAGATAAGCCGAGGCACAATACCCCAAACCCAGGAAAATGTGGATTCAGAAGCCTCACAGTGGACCTACGCTAATCTCTTCACGGCATAGACTGCGAGATTAGCAACATCTGGAGTAAAGGATCAACAGTCTAGCGCCTTCTAATTTGCGTCAGAGCGCATTCTCATTTGCCTGTACAAGAATTGGGAAGGAACTGGTTCGCGATTTAAACATTGGTCTGTTCCGCCACCAGAAAATCGTGATCAACTACGTAGGATTGTGCGGGTGCTCAAATTTTCAAGTCTTGCTGCCGAGGTGTACATGTGATTTAACTATAAGTTCAATGAGGTTATCCTGAAAAATGATGCGATAAATATTGACGTCGCCCTTGCTTGCATTTGAAATAATTTGTAATCACTAATACAATCTTTACCAACCCACGTCAATCTCTCAACATTCAAATTTATTAGCATTGAGAGGAAAGAAGAATACAAAATGAACGGCCACGCAAACGGCCATATCAATGGCTTCGCAAATGGCACCTCTGAAATAATCGATGTTGCCATCATCGGCGCAGGCATCTCCGGCCTCAACGCCGGATACCGCGTCCAAACAAAACTCCCCAATGCCACATACCAAATATTCGAAGGTCGCGGCGACATTGGAGGTACATGGGATCTTTTCAAATATCCCGGCATTCGTTCCGATTCAGATTTCTACACTTTTGGGTTTGAGTGGAATACATGGGCCAAAGATAACCCGATCGTACCGGGCAGTGATATAAAACAGTATTTGCAGGAATCGATTAAGAAGACCGGGATCGATAAGCATATTCGCTTTCATCATCGGTTGGAGGCGATGGAATGGTCGTCTGAGGATCAATATTGGACTCTGACTATCGATGTTCAGGGACAGACCAAACATGTGCGGGCGCGAAATATCATCGTTGGAACTGGGTACTACGATTACAATCAGCCTCTGAGCGCTGAAATACCTGGTCTACAAAACTTCAAGGGACAAGTGATCCATCCACAATTCTGGCCCGAGAATCTCGACTATGCCAATAAGAAGGTGGCTATCATCGGCAGCGGTGCAACGGCAGTCACGCTTGTACCTAATCTATCACCGACAGCAGCACATGTTACCATGATTCAGCGCAGCCCGACATATGTATACCCACTTCCGAATAACACGCGCAGCTGGTTCAGTTTCTTACTTCCTAGTTTCATTCGTCATAAGCTTAGTCGAATGTTTTTCATCTTCTTGCAGCGGTACAGTTATGAGCTATGTCGCGCATACCCACGACAGGCCCGATATTTCCTGTTACGACGCATGCAATCCCTTCTTCGCGGAGCGTTGCCTATCGACCCTCATTTTACACCGCGATATAACCCCTGGGATCAACGACTTTGTCTTGCACCGGATGGCGATTTCTTTACAGCCCTGCGCTCCGGTAAGGCAGACGTCAAAACGGGCACGGTCAAGTCTATGACGGAAAACACCATCATTCTCAACAATGGCGAAGTGATAGAAGCAGACATCCTCATCACCGCGACAGGGTTACGAATCTCCGTCGCAGCCGGAGTACCCATCAAAGTCGATGGCGAGAAGATCGATCTCTCCCAGAAATACCTCTGGAATGGGTGCATGCTGCAAGACGTTCCAAATCTGTGCTATGTCATCGGATACATCAATGCCTCCTGGACACTGGGTGCCGATGCCACTGCACTGCTTTTTGTTCGTATATTGCAATACATGAAACGTCGTAACGCGATTGTTGCTGTTCCTCGAGTCGAGGATCCATCCGCCTTGACTCCAAAACAACTCATCAATATGAGCTCGACGTACTTTGAGAGAGCGCAAAAGGTTATGCCCAAGACAGCGGAGGAGTATCCGTGGCGACCAAAGGGGAGCTATTATGTGGATATTTGGCAGGCGATGTTTGGGCGGGTTGATAAGGGGATTGAGTATATTTCTGCTAAGTGATATGTACCGTTCTGAGGCTATTTAGAGTTGATGGTATTTAATAAAGCTTGTGTTCGAGCTTTTGATATGTGAAGTAGTCTCACGAAATTAGGGCTACAATCCGACTTGTATGGCGTCATTGTAGATAGTAGGTCCGGCAGAAATGTTAGCATATGAACAACGGTACCATGAAAATAAACATAAACAACACCAACTTGGATCATATGAGTATCAAGATGGCACATCGTCTAAATACATCATTGTAACAATAATTACGCTAGAATACGAGTCATATGCACAGTGATGGCGCACTGATACCAAGCTAATACGCGCTCTGTACTTTCACAAGTACCGAGGCACATGATAGCGATTGCGCCTCAACATTTTTGGTCTTACTCATTCGAGTGACGATCTTCCCCTCTCTTTATATTGGTGATAACCTTAGCAATTGGCCTTAAATTGTCCGATATACCCTTACAAATTGTTCAAGAGCGTCCATACTCAACCTGTGGGAGGAAAAATATCAACAACATTTTGGGGTATACTCCGCACATTTAAGGTCCACAGGGTAGTAACAGCCCTGAGAGAGAACCAAAATGGCGTCAACCAAACAAACCATCAAACCAACTCACGACGAATTGAATGCCTACAGTCTGCAAAATGGAAGCTCAGAAAAAACCAAACTCGTGTATAGGCAAAGGTCGAGCATGACACTATCCGAAAGACTTGATTTACCCTTTGCCCTACTTTCAGTGCCGTTTGTAGCGTTCTTTGCTATCCTGACGGGCCCGTTCCGAGCTAGAAAGCAAAGATTGAATCCCCAGCAGACCATTGCAAGATCTATGTTGTTGCATGTTGGGTATTCGATTTTTAGACGGGTTGTGGCGCGATTTTCGCCTTTGCAGGTTCAGTGCGTTCCCCCCTTGCGCTTCCCGTGTTTTACGCATTGAAACTGACTAAAACAGAGCTATTCTGCCGTCTACTGCGACAGAGTATAAAATTTATACTTGGAAAAAATGGATCAAAGGGCAGTCCGTTGAGCTCGGAGATGGTGCCACGGGCCATTGGGTAGGAAACCCCAATGCAAAAAATGTCCTTATCTGGATACACGGTAAGCCAACAAGCACATTACTTCCAATTCAAAGGGAAAGACTAATGAAGAAAAAAAAGGTGGCGGATTTGCCGTCCCCGCAAACAGAGGCTACTTTGCCTTTTTTGACAAATTCCTCAAAGAGATGCGCGCAGCAAACAAGGACATCTCCGTCTTCATGGTTGCATACACGCTCGTCCCCAAGGCAGTCTATCCCATGCAACTGCGTCAATGCACAACTGCACTTCGCTACATTCTCGATAAGACGGAACGCAAAGCCGAGAATGTCTACTTTGGTGGTGACTCTGCGGGTGGTAATCTTGTCCTTGCGGTATTGAGTCATATCGCGCACCCTCATCCTGAAGTTGAGCCTCTCAAGTTATCTGATGGGGAGGAGTTTGGCGGTGCAACGCTTTTGTCACCCTGGACTTCGCTAGAGACTACCTTCCCTCCGCAGGATACTGAGCCATTAGGTGATTTGATTCATCCAGATTGCGCAAAGTCATGGGCTGGGAGCTATTTGGCTGGAAGTGAGAGGGATAATTATACAGATGCGCGACTAGCGCCTATCGACTGGTGGCACAATCTTCCTATCAAGCATGTACTTGTCACGGCTGGGGGTTATGAGTTGCTGTTGCCCTTTATCGAAGATTTTGCGAGTCGGCTGAAGGAAGGTCTTGACGGAGATGAGAGTGATGGTGGAAAAGTTGAGTTCTTTGTGGGTGAGAAGGAGGCGCATGTTGCACCTATGTTTAATTTAATGTTGGGTGATACCGTGGAAACAGAGCAGGGAAAGAAAGTGAAAACTTTCTATAGGGAGGTGATAGAAAGTAATTAGTTGAATATTTGGGATTATCGGATATGATTTTTTCGCCTAGTGATACAACAGGAATGAACCTTAATTCAGTGCACAACACCTCAATGCTGTTCCTTCAGGCTTCCTGTCTCTCTCTTGCGTATAGTCTTCCGTGGTTCCCTTCCTCGATCTCTTCTTTCTTTCATTAATTCTTTTCATACAGGTATCTCTAGAGTACCTACGTACTTGATTTTCCCTGACACGCTGGGGCTTTTCCTCTCCATTTTAGTGCTCACCCCGTCGTCGCTTTTACTTCCCTGTAGAACTGAGCATAACCCTGAGCGCCATGATCTGATCAGTGAGCCTTATGTAAGCTTATGGGTCTGCTTAATGATCTAAGGCTAAGCAGACTGGGTTGCTTATTAACCACAATATATATGCCTTTATAGCGCTGGTACTTCTACTAGATCACCACCAACGACTTCTTCTCCATAGCGAACATATTCACGATGTCAAATCTTCATCCAAACACTTGGTCTCATAATACAATATCTTATCTATCTGCTTTACCTGTTATTGATAGCAGTCATAAATTTACCTGACTATTCTAGCCATTCTCGCTAACAGGTAGTATGAGGAGTACTAAAGAGTAAAAAGCATCTCTGATTATCAAACCCATAGTAATACCCCCTAAACTAAACCCTGAGCTAGATGTTAGTCTCCGGAGATGCCTAGCAAGCCCGGGTTGGAGCATGGATAATATTATAATATAGTAAGCTAAAGACGACTCTTTAGACAGTTCATAGGCCTGTATAGCTAAAGCCTGTGAGCACCCGGAGCAAAGAGGAAAGACGTCTAATATTCAGGCGCCAAGAGCCCGCCACTATGATAAGATAGGACACTAGAAATATTCTTTTAGTATTTAATCGTGCATTAGCCGGCGCAGGATTGCCTGATTTTGTACGGGCAGTTGATCGGGATATGCAGCATCGGGCTATTTCACAGCGCTTCTAAAGGAAGGTACCCCTAGCAACATGCTAGTGCCAGCCTATAATGACATCCTTATAACCGCCATATGAGCGGTCGATCTAGTGGTTATCTCGGTGGAGATTAGTGAGCGATGGCAGCGTGTTAAGGTCCATAAGGTCCCAATCCGGCGCTATATGAACAGTAACCACGGTCTGGAGCTAGCCCGGGAAGAGATCGAGCTGGAAACGTCTTTTAGGCTCAAGCGGGATCCAACCTGGCTTAGGAGCCCTAAAAGGATAAGAGCAGGAGGACAGCGTTTTGTAGTGATAATAGTGACAATAGGCTCCCTAGAGGAAGCCTGGAGACTATTAAAATCAGGCCTTCGATTTGACAGCCACCACTATAAGACAGAGGCCTATAAGGACACTAACCCTGAAAGCGTTTATGTATGGTGCAGCAGAATTAGCCACTCTAGCTATCTAGAATGCAAGCATCGTCCCCTGAGGTGCATTATCTTCATCGGGGACCATGAGGCTCCAAGCTACCAGTATAATATTACAGGCTGCGCTATTAGGCTTGGGAAGTTCTGTAAGCACTACCAGATTAGATACGCTAATTGTGATGAGCCTTACAAAGCTATATCCTCAAGATGCCCTAAGATTAAGCTATCTAACAGGTAAGAGACCACGCATTACAGCATCTTCTCCCGGCGACTCAGATCTTTGGAGTAGTAGTTCTAGATCCTTTATAGCCCCTAGAGTCCAGAGTCCTACGAAGAGTAAGGTTAGGGATGTGTTGCCTGGGATTGTAATAACTACAAAGGAGCAGGTAGCATGGCCACAGAAGGTACCTTGTTGAATAAAATCATATTCTTTCCTTATTGGTTTGATAGTTGACTTTGGCTAGAAAACAAAGCCTCCAAAGGGGCTTAAGGAGTCGAAGTCAAAGACCTCAAAGTCAGGGTCTGGATCAAGCGAAGAGAAGCCCAGCAAAACAAACAAAAAAGAGGAGAAGGTGAGATTATTTGTTCCTTTTATATAGAATTAATCAGTAGTGTCGACTAATCGTTATCCAGATCGATTGACACTCCGACAATGGTCTCTTGTACTCGATGATTCTATGGTCTCCCGGATGAAGAGCGACGCAAACAGGTCAAGGCAAAGGCACTGGGTAACGTACTTTCAGGATACGTGTACCTAGTACCTCGATAAATCTAGATGTAACAAACAAGAAACGGCTCCATATAAATGCCAATGTTGATTCATTCCAGTGATAGAACGCATTACTAGCCTTCCACGATCAAATCAACCAGGTTTTAGGGATTTTCTTTTTTTCAGACTTAGGATGTCATGAAAAAGGGTAGCTAGCATACAGTTGATCTTTAATGTTTATGCATTTGACAAATGGCGCTGTTTTCCATACAAATTTGGAGGATAAGCCAAAGCCCTAATTTAACCCATCTAACGTATGTCACGGGCAAGCGGGCCGCACGGGTAAGTGGTACAGCTTGAATTTTGTATGGTTTTCTATACAAATCGGAACATCCAATATCTTAACAGATTAATATACATACCTATCCACGGCTCCATATTTCCTACAGTTTCAACTTCCCCACGTGATATTCAACAGAATGTGCAATGCTATGCAAAGCCACACGAGTGGCCTTACATCTAGATGGTGTACAGGCAATGGATACGAGTAGAGACAATACAGAGTAGAGACACATATGTGGTGCAACAACCCTTATATAGTTTTCAAACACGCAGGTGCAAATGCACTGTTTGACATGGGTATGCCAGGTAAAAAAGCTCGGTGTAAAGACTCTTAGCAAGTGTTGAGATACACAGTTGTGAAGACACGATTCTACGTGACAAACCAAGTACAACTCAAGACCAGCTCTCCAGATCTTGATTAAACCTTAGGCTTGATATTTGAGACCAAGATCTAAAGTAACCCACACATTCAGATCCACCCAACATTAACAGCCTCCTAAACAACATTACAGTGCTGCGGAAACATGATGTCTGAAATTGCTTCAGGATAAGGGAAAGATGACTGAGGTGATTATTCAACGCTCGCCCAGTTACTGATGAAGAAGAAATGTCCAGTATAACGTCAAGTATAAATAATCCATAGATACCATCTGCAACTCTGCATCTCCCGAGTATCAAACAAAAACCGTCATTACAACACTACAATCAGCTACTTTACTCAATTTCAAAAGAATTTTTTCAAACATCTTCAACTCAAACCCCGATTCAAATTTAAGCTCTTCCAAGTCACCGCTCTCCTCTCCCTTTTGGCCACAACCACCATCGCCACTAGCGGCTTCTCAGCCACCTGTGATGGCTACGATCCCATTGAAGGCGATTTCCTCGATGCCGAGTGTCAGGGTTCGCCAGGCAAGGAAGAGACTTATCTTGACCTGAAAAAATTCGTCGCCAATCTAGGCAATCAACTGGTTGCTCAGGTCAAGTATGTGAAGTTTACTCCGTTCTCAAGATCACAACGAAGTAATATTCTCGCGCAGTGGTAATTTCTGCGCGAGTTGCAAGAACTGTGGACTTGATGATGATGCTGAATTGACCTGCACATGCGGTACTCATACCACTACTATCAATCGTAGTGAGATGCTTCCATAACCCTCCGATGAGAACCTAGGTTTTTTTCTTCGGCAGGCTAACAGATATTATCTCAGACGACGTTGTTGCCAACTACAAAGGACACATTGACTGATAATTATCTTTGTCCTAGCTCGTGAATATGTACACTAGCGCAAGGTGGGGTAGAAGTGGTCAAAGAGGGAATTCAAGGACAAAGATTTCAATTCATCCCTCAGCTTACTTCAGAAAAGCTTCACAATCTCCAGACATGGAACTCGATAATGAAAACACCCCTTGCCTTCGCCTTCCACCACCGCACAACTCCATCACCCTAAATATCTACCGCGCCACCGACGCCCCTGTCCTGATATCTATGCTAAACCACCCAGCTGTGTACATGAACCTCGCCGGGCCACCTTTTCCCTACTTGCAAGAGCATCATGATTCCAAAATCAAAGAACTGGAGGCAGATGTTGCGAGTGTACTAAAATATCTGAGGGAGTCCAAATTTTCAAATGGAAACGCTAAATGGGCGAGTGCAGTCCCCTTTACTGTTATTAGAGAGGTTGATGAGGACACAGGCCAACAGACGGTGCTTGGGGATTTGGTGCTAAGGAGAAGTGATTTCCTCTATATCAATGACGAGAAAGAAAGAGAAAGCATGAAATCTCGCAACGATAATCTGGAAGCAGGCGATTCGGATATAATATGGGAAATTGGGTGTTGGTTCATCTTCATTCTCAACCTTGGAAACCTTCTAACTTTTGCAGTCTCTCTAGTCCCTACAGCACACGGGCGCGGCATTATGACCGCGGTCCTCGACACTCTCACCAAGAAGTGGCTGGTTCCGTATATGAACGTTCATCATATGTGTGGATGTTACCTGGAGCACAATCTTGCTAGTCGGAGGGTATTTGAGAAGTGTGGCTGGACATTTGTCAAGTTTGAGCCTGATCGGATCGAGCTCCCAGAGGCCATGACGGGTATAAAGGGAAAGTATTTTGGAATGGGTGTCATGAAATGGGATAGGAGTTGATCTATCAATTACTTGCCGATATATTCAGATTATGAGCTCTCGTTGCGTTATACATTTCTTCATTCACCGGAAGATCACTTCTCATACAAAGTTATTTGACAAAAGTTTTCAATAGGTTATTCACAATTTTTTTATCCAAGATGTTATCCTCTTCTAAAAAAGTAGCAAAGGGTAGAACTATAGGTCTGGGTATGAAATGTTTGAATCAGTTATATATACATGCAAAACTTCTCACAGACCACGAAAGGGCCATCTTATCAATTCAAAAATGTCACTCTAAATACGGCCCACAGCTCAAAAATTTTACATCTCCATACCCCATTGCATATGGAGGTTCTCGGGGGCTGTTTGCCAAAATATCGGCGCAATGAATTGTATGATGATATGAGAACGTTTCATCGTCACACTGTTTCACCTCACCCCTTCCCTGGGCTTCTAGCGCAAGCGCCTGCATCTTCCATGTGTAGATACAATGACCCCGGTGCTGATACTCGGTCGAATACATATAATTATGTTCTCCCTTTCGCATGACTGACAGTGGTATCCCCCGTGTGCCTTCCGCATCGTAGAAAAATTGAAAATTCCACTCCGCTAAGTATTCTTCTGACAGGCCTTTATTGTAACACTCCTGACGAGTCCAAGCGTTCATCATCACGTCAAAGACGCAACCCAGGGAGCGGGCTTCAGAGGCGTTGATGCCACAGCCTTTCCAAACTTTGTAGAGACCATTTCCAGCAGGAGCGGAAGGACTGGTATTTCGGAAAGCAGCGTACAGAGTGATGATTTGAAAGATAATGATCATCCCGATGGATAGACTCAAGCTGATGATATATAGGTTTTTTTGACGTTTTGTTGTTCCTCGCCGTTGACCGTCCTCTCGGTTTGGAAGAAGGGTATCAAGATCTGAGGGAAGCTTTTCCATAATGAAAGTGAAACCAGGAAGTCAAAAATACGTTTTAACAACCGTGAAGGTTCAGATCAGATATGAGTTATGGTATAGGTAGGAAAAAGCATTTGACACTGTTATGCAATAGCATATACCTAGGTTATAGTCATCGATCAATTTTTTGAAAAAAAGTAGTCACAATGGGCATCCCTGGATCCACGCGTGTATTCTTTCAACCCGAGATCGGATGAGATGCACGAAATGGGCAGTCGTCCTTCGTACGTTTGACAACACGTTATCATCAGAATCTCCCTCTGCTTAACTGACAGAGTATTACAAGCTCAACGAAGTAACCTTAATGTCTATCAATTCGATCCGTTTAGTCGCTGATAACCGCTGTTGCATGACGCTAGAATCTTACTCAGCGTGTCGAAATACGCACGGCCTTTGGTCACTGGAGGGAATGAGAAGCTGACAAGAATGTGTTAAGTGCTATAAAAATCCTACATTAGCTTCGATCTAAGCCATACTAGCGGTATAGACTTGCTATACGAAGTACTCTAACCATATTGAGTAATATAAATTGGACTTTAGTTCATACGAAGTATAGTTTTAGTCCTATGGTGGCGTCTTTATTTTATGATATGTCTTACTTATCTTAACTTAATGAATTTTAAGGGTCTGTCATTAGGTAGTAATCATCGCTGGTATCCGCAATCAGATGCTCCTTCCCACCCGGTTCGTCGAACCGAGGTGGTGTCAGCGGGTCCTTTGTTACTTAAAAGACACTAGAAACAGACGAAAGCACTAACTATTACTGCTATTTAATCATAGAGTCATAATAACGTATTGCTAATACGTCTTGCAAGATAAGTACCATGTTTATTTTCTTCTTTCGGCTGTGATGGGATGTAATAGTGCTACTGCAAGGTCATCATCATACATTGTACCTAATTCCCTCAACGCTAAACTAGAACCTGACCAGAAGCCATGACATATCACTAGGAGGGGGTGTTGCTTTGATATTCGTTGTTGTATTTCCGGGGATGCCCATGTGATGAGCCAAGTAAGAAACAGCGAAAACTGGGCACATTAATTACAGTACAGTATGATAGGGTTCCCGTCTACCCCATCGTTTGCCACGTCAGGTTGTATCTCGCCTCTTGCTGGACCTGGAAGGCTGCCAAAGCTTCGAAATCAATACAGTGATGCTGCCGCCCCCAACCAGAAACACTCGTAGCCACTATGCCAGCTGCGCTCAATGGGCTAGCACCCTCGAGTATGATGTCTGCAGGCCCGCCTCCACATGCAAGAGCCTGTCTTAGGTACTCAAAGCAGTGATCTATGTGGACTGCAAAAACCCCTCCCCCAAAGGAATTTTCAAGCTCTGTAAGGTTTGCACCGGTGACGGCAGTCCACCAGTGTAAACGAATCCATGACTTACGACGAAAATCTCAATTACTATTCTTGATCTAGCAGCAAAAATTTGTAATTGAGGAAAAAACTCACCAAGCAATGCACCTCATGTAGTTTTGATACAATGAAGAATTTTGGCTCGCCCATAACGTCTTTGTGTGGGTGATCAAATTCAGCTAATATTCCGTTCGAAAGACCATATTTCTCCGGCTCATCAACCCAGAGAGCCCCATGACCTATGGCAGACGTTACCAAATATTCATTAGAAGTTGTGCTTGAGGTGCGTCTTACCTGCAAATTGCGAGTTCCAATTTCTTTGCGTTTCTAGAGACATGCCAGACCACCGCTCATCATGGCGAAACGTTTTTGGTCTTAACTTTAGTATTTCAGAAGGAATTGGTCCCACCGATTGCCTTGTAGATATACTCAAGTGCCAATATAGAACCAGAGTAAATGCCCATCCCAAGGCAAGAAAGAGCGTGAACAAATAGCTCGTCAGCCCACGACGAGAGGACCGTAAGGGAAGAACTTCCTCTCCGTCACTAGAGAGTTCTTGATAGGTGATTTTCTTCGTCCTGAATGGGATTTTGAATTGAAACATGTTGGGTACAAACGCTCAAAAACCTTGCGGTAGTGATGGACGGGACAGTTAGATGTTGTATGTAGTGCAATCTTGACGTTTTTATGAAAGATAATGAAAAGATCAGAGAGTACTATAGTACACTCGGCTTGATAACGGAGGCAAAATTCTGGGCACCGATCTGCAAGTCTTATCTAGTCAGAAGTCTCCATTAGCGCTGCCCTAATCCACCTTTCATCCCTCAAATACACATCTACCTCATATTTCAGCCTCCCACTCTCTTTCCTCTGCTCATTAACGCAGACTTGTCCTAATTACTTTTCTCCCACCCGATCAATTACTTTTGCCTAGAATTTGATTTATTTATTCGAACAATGTCAAGTGACTCACAGAATTACCGCCCTTCACACGAGAAGCCTCACGATCTCGAGTCCAGAGAGTCTTCGGACATATTTGAAGACAATGGTCTGCTCGGGAACCGTAATAGTCTTCCAAAGATTAAGAAGAAAACAAATTGGTTCAGTGCGTCAGCATGTGCTATGATTTGCAGCTCCATAATGCTCATCGCTTCGATTGTGATTTGGTACCGAGTTGCCTTGCAGTTGAAGAAGTTTAGTTGTGACGTGCGCGAGGAAGATAATTTCGAACCTGACCGTAAGTACTTGCTCTACAAATTCTATGACGAAGCTATTTTAAGAGAGTAAAGTGAGGTTCTCGAGCCGTGTCACCTTCCAACCTCATCATTTCTATGGTGGACCCCCAACAGATGAGACAAATGAGATGTGGCGAATGTTAGAGCCTCGTGAGTATTTTTATGCTCATTTTCTCGAGACATAGGACTGAAATTATGTTATACAGCTGGTGATGGAATTGTCACTATCCCGAAACAATACACCAAAGACCTCCATCCCTCATTGGAGGACAAGGAAAATCCAAACAATCTCATATACGGTGTTTCCATGTTTCATCAACTTCATTGTCTAGTAAGTCTATCTTCAGCAGCGTTTCAAAACAATTCTGGCCTGATATTTTGTAGAATTTCTTGAGATTGGCATATTTCGACGACGCAATCAAAGATTTGACACCTGAAGAAATACCAATCCACCGCGATCATTGTTTGAATTATATCCGGCAGGCCATCATGTGCAACGGCGACGCGACATTTGAAAGTGTCAACCACCAAGGAGTATTGGATGGAATGGGAGCTACTCATCAGTGCCGAAATTTTGAACTCATTTTCTCTTGGGCATATGAGCATAGGCAGACGAAGAACGGCGCGGGATACAAGCCTGAGGAAATCTTGACTCACTCACCAGCAAAACAGAATAATTATGATATTGATGAGTAAGGGCTATTATGGTACAGACATGTAATTACGCTTTTTCTATCTATGGAAAATACAACTGTAGATATAGATTACATGACATCGTATGAGAATTTCAGATATTTTGAGACACCCTAATGATATTATCAACAAACACCACGAAACAGGTCATCGTCTAAGCAATACACAGCAAGTCCACAACCGACATTCATGATTTGTCTCGAAGGGACCTTCTGGCTGATTACCAATCCTTCTAAAACATGTCACCGTAATTTAAAATGCATGGCTTCCTGATACGGAGTTGTGCATCAAAGACGCATTCTGTACATCTTATCTTTTTCCAATATCTGAGTAAGCTTTTCAGTCATAATTTTTTGTCACTTGATATTTTGAGGGATTTAGATGCAACTCTACTAAACTAGTTTGCTTTCCCATGCTGATAAAGAGCTTGCATAGGCTCAGATCGAAGGAGGAAGATCGCCACCAGACCGAAAGTCTTTTGAAAACAGGCTAATGCACGTTTTATGGCGTATTAAAAAGGCATCTTCTTTCGTGCCCTCGTTTAGCTAATCCTCCGTTGCTGAAGAGGCTGTCGCTCTCTCACAAATGTCGATCCACCATAATGCATGACTAGAATGGGTATATTCTGTGACAAGCGTGGTACTGACATCTTGAAAAATTGAATACATTGAGTTTATTGGTCATTATTTGAACGATACCTAGATTAATGATACTTCTCCGCTTTCATAATTAGAAACTATCTTGTGACCCGGCTGTGTAAGGGTGCATTGGGTCTTGAATTGATACAGAATAGGCAAATGATGACAATATAAAAACATTTACCAGCCAATTGAGGCCCGTTTGTTGTAGTCCCTTTTATAAGGAAATGAATACCTGAATGAAAAAGGCCGTAAGACGGGGTCCTTGCGGTATCTCGGCGAGTTTTTGGTGATGCAAGACCTGGCAATTATTCAAGGGTTCTTTGTGGTCAGCTTCATGTCGAAGGAGCTGACTATCGCGGCAGAAAGTTCCGTACGGCAGGTCTTCTGTATCTCAGTGCACCAATGCATGATAATGACAGATTGATGTATTATTGGCCTAAATCAATATTGACCAAAATCAGCATTGTCATTCGACTTTGTGCTTGAAGAAAACCTTGAAGGGAAGTGGCAGATCCAAAACTTATAAAGTGCGTGACCATCCTCCTGTCAAGATTCTGTTTATCCAACTGAACAGTCTCGCTATCCAGTCCTTTCATATTCCTCTTCACTACCATCAAACAATACACCTTAGCCATTTGAGCTCAAACACTGAATATCGTGAGTTCGATGCCCTTTTAGTGTACTTCTGGAAGTAGCATGTAAGTCTTCTTTTATCTGACGCCTGTTAAGGTCAAAATGAAGTTCTTTGTCGGTCTCGGTCTTGCCATCGCCCTTCCTGCTCTCATCAGCGCTTTGCCCGTTGAACAGCCAAAGGAAGATGCTCCCAACATGTGGGGATTGAAGCGCGGTGTCGATGATACTGATGCTCCTAACATGTGGGGATTGAAGCGTGGTGTTGAGGACACTGACGCTCCCAATATGTGGGGATTGAAGGAGCGTGATACTGAAAGCTCCGATGCTCCTAACATGTGGGGATTAAAGGAGCGCGATACTGAAGAGACTGATGCTCCTAACATGTGGGGACTCTAGAGTCGAGGTTCAGGGTCACAGCCGGCTGCAACAATATGATTCTCTCGATACTGGCAAGAATTGCGTGGGTGAGCGCTATCAGGCGCCGCATTGGCAAATTTCTATATCAGACAATGAATTCGGAAGAGAATACGAGGATGGTTTGGTTATAGGAATAGTCTATCTTTAAACATAATTTCAATAAGTCTAGGTTTTATGATTCGATATTGAAATTCATACACCCCTGCTTTTTATTGGTGATCTCACTCAGTCAAGATAGGCAATGCATGTATACATAGGAGTTTGGCGGCAACGGTTGACGTAAACGCGTATGATCGCAACGTCGGAGAAGGCCCATCCGCGGTCCCTGTGGGGGAGGCAAGTGTCTTTGTATTGTAATGGCACTATGAACCTATTTACATAGGGAGGTGGGTGGGAGAATCAAGTCTTGACTGCATGAGAGATGACGAGCAACTTGCGGAGGCGAGCGTCTAACTCTCGTGAGACAGTTGAAAGAAGAACGAACCCCGCAGTACGCAGTATGATCGTTACGAGAGGCAACTCCAATAAAAAGTATTCCCTAATCCCCCAACCAGGGAGAAACTTAGTCACGTACCATTCTGGTCATATGACATTTGTGGGAACGCGTCCTGGACTTCTAGAACTTCCTTCACGTGTCGCGTTTATGTTACTTTTCAAATGTTAAGTTGTGTAATCTTACCCGCAATATTGCATCTCCATTGAAGGCCTTGAAAATGAGAACCACATTTGGCGCCTTCAGCGGCAAATGTAAATGTAGCTTAGGGGTAGTCGATATCGATAGCAGAATGCAACCACGACAAGCAGAACGCAACAATGACCAGCAGACTAGCGCCTTGGATTACCAGTAGGCAACGATCACTCATCCATGAATGGTTCAAAATTCACCTCGCTATAGCGAATCAATCAAGAAGTGCGGGGCGTTCCGTACGAAACCCTAAATAAGCAATGACCTTGTTGTACAGGGGTAAACAAGTTTTTGACGTAGGCCTGGTGGGGGCAGTGCTCTATCAGCCACTTACACTAAGCTAGCGTTATCATCTCAGGTTCTAAGAAACATCTTCACAGGTTGCCCGCCTTTCTCCAGGTTTCTCCAGGTTTCGTAAGCGGCTAGTGAAGGTCAGGGATACACTGAGCTGGGACTTGCCACCTGCTTGAGGGTTCCGTACATGCATTAGGATGTTACATTTATCAATGAACGTACTAGATACGGAACATGGAGGTGGATAAGTAGACTTGACCATCATCACATCGGACCCCGAGTACGATCAGCGTTTTTGCCCCCAAAATTTCAATACCTGTACCTTGGAACTCGTTTTCCAACATGGACCACTTGCACAGTTGCTTAGTCGGTGATCACCTGCCCAACCTTCAAACACCGTGAAATGGAAGTTGACTCCTGGTTCGACATGGCCGTATTCGGCACATATTCTTGACATTCAAGAAACCAAAATATACAAAGAACAACTCTTGGGGGATATTAAAAGTTTTTTCTTTCTACATCAATAGACCATAGCCGAAAAGTTCGTGCGGGCTCAAAATGGCATCTGGCTTCGAGATGGAGGAAGATAAAGAGTCTTACGCTAGTACAACTGACTCTGTACCTCCGAACAACTCGAGAAACTCTACATTTTGGAAACTATGTGCGACTTTCTTGCTTGCAAGCACACTCAGTCTTGCGACCGCCAACTACTACTCTCTCTTTACACACTCATTCCTTGCTAACTCTCTACCAAACCTTCCTCCCATCGATCAATTCACAGAACCGCAATATACGAACTGCGGGAATAGTCCCTCGGAAGCACGACAACGCGGCTGCTCCTTTGACCTCCTCTCTTTTAGCTGGCAAACGCCAGAATGTTACGACGCCGAAGTGATGACTGCCTTTCTGGCGCATCCCAGTCAACCTTGGGTTTACTACGTGAGCCCTTCAGGCAATGAAACTGTGGCACCCGAGATTGTGGCCCAGGGTGAGACGGTGGCATATGTGAATTGGGAATATCACGTCGTGCATTGCACATATATGTGGATGCAGATGCATAGGGCGTATGCTGAGAGAGGTTTCATTGATTCGCATGTGGACAGTTGGGCGCATMCCCGCCACTGCCAGATGGTGATTTTGGAGAAGAGTATCACGCCAGACACAATTAGTGTGGTTGGAAATCTCAGATATCCTGAGTGCCGGAGAGTCAATGTAGGAATGCCAAAGGACTGGCCGCCTGACCATGAAGCTGCGTTTGCTGCAATGCCGCCTCACGTTTCGAAGTGAAGACTACAGATAAAAGGCTCTTGAGTTTCTAAGCAGTTGTTTAATACTATTGCTATCAGAGGGAATTTCATAACGCAAGGAATATTATCTAGATTCTATAGCAATTTCATAATGTCAGGCCAAGTTGTTCATAGAGAGCACAATCTGTAGGTATCTGCAGCCTCGTTAAGCGCTTTTAACAGTTCACGGGCAAGGCTAGCATCAACGGAGAATAAGACCACCTATTCAAGGGAACATGATAACAGCCTGCAAGATGTGCAGATTCGTTGAATCTAAATTCTTACTCGTTCCTTTTGGGCGTCCGAAGAGTGTCCGAAAACCGGCCGCATACAGTAGAACGACTTCGGTAAATATTCGAAAAGGTTGTATAAACGGAAGAATTTTCGATTGACATAGCTGCAGGGTCAGCGTGAGATTTAGCTTACAGAAATTTACGGAGGTGTTGACTAGTTCAGAGATAACGTTTAATAATTACGGTAGGCGTGTAATGCTAATACTCGTACATACAGCATACCTGGTGGCTAAGCTCGCCTCCCTGGTCCCCCCTCTTTCTCAATCACAGACTTGTAACCTCCGTTCGAACCTTGAAGAATTAAAAATTCAGCTTCTCATAACCCTCAAAGGCGGAAGTCTTCTGTCATAGCATCTTCCTTTACAATGAACTTCCACGACCGACACAAATATGAAAATGTGTCTTCAGATGAAGAATCATCCTCTGAGGCTTCTATCAGACTGCAGAAAATCTTACGACCCACCATCTCCAGAGCCACAATCATTCGGGAATCTATTCTCATTCTATTCGGCCTCGCAATTGGGCTGACCGTGGCCTTTTCCATCAACTACAAAGAAGCCGGTCTTACAGCTGAGTTGGGCCAATGCTGGGTCTATGGAAACAACACACCCATTCCAGCGGACGTTATAGAACGAGTACCAAAAGTCTTCGAACCAGACCCCCGGTACTTTGGAAACTCTGAGCAGATTGATCTTAATTGGCAAACACTAGTTGGTAAGGTGCTAGGGAGGTCCTTCTGGTTTATGCCTACTCACGCCAGCACAATACAGATTCCGACGCAATCTGGATTGGGAATCCAGAAGAATACGGTCTTGGAGAGGGAATGCAGCCTCCAAAGCAGTACCCATTACCGTACACCAACACCTCAGTACTCCCGTCGAACTTTTACGATGTCTCTACTCTACACCAAGTCCACTGTCTAGTATGTACACGTCCACGTGCCATCAAAGATAATAAGGCTTTCTAGATAGAAGCTAACTTTGATTAAATAGAGCAAAATTCGGAGACGATACTGGCAGCTCATGACGGTGGGATATCAGGCGGATGACCCCAACAACGCAGAAATGGAATCTCACGTGGAGCACTGCATTGAATACTTGCGTCTCAGTCTGGCATGTGGAGATTTCCTGGTTGTGGAACCTAATGATTCAGGATGGGGTCTTGAGCGTCAATGTATCAACTATCAGAAGCTGCGAGTTTTCCAAGATAGCCAAGCAGCGTTGTACATAAAGTCGTGGGCGGATTCGGGTTCGAGGCCTATATAGGTATTTGGGACATGATGAGCTTTTCAAAGTGTTGTAGGCATACATCAATGCTGAGACTTCTTGGTTGCAGTGATCTACCAGTTCCATGTCAACATATAGCTAAAACAGTGGAAGAAAGAATAGCTTAGTTCTGTAAGTAGGGTGGGGCGGTCTTGTCTATAATCATCGATGTCGGTATGGCTTKAAGCCTTATACATACATGTTACGGGCTGGTCCCGCCTAATGCTCACTATAGGGGCATATTTGAATAGAAAACATAACATGAAGGAAGGAAAGAGAAAGAAAACAACGAGTCCTTCACGCGCATACAGACTTATATGGTCAAGGGGAATCAGGAGCTTCCGACGGGCTTCTCTTGAGGAATCTGGATTTGCTGGGTTTGCCGAATCAGCTCATAACAGGCAATACAATAGGTAATACAACACAGAACAGCTATTGTGGCTATTCATAAAGGTGTAACTATTAACACGCAAGAGGGAAGCAAATTCTGGCTGAAGTTTCTTCGATTGGCCTAGTCTTTTTAAGCATAGTCTATTTGTTCTGTGGCTGCTAGTTCACCTCGATGCTACATGAATGATGATACAAGCAAAGTCCTGATCACCGTGGGCACAGAATCCTCAGTCTCAACTTCGAAAGAGATCCAAGCATCACCTCAATCAGTCAGTCCAATGACGCTGCTTTTGCTCAGGCCAATCAAGCAGTTGTCTCGGTATATTCAACTTCCATAACGCCCTTCTTCGAGTTCTGCATGCCCTGAACCAAATTATCAAAGTGATCGGACTCGAAATGGCCTTTCTTCGACCACTCCGAGAAAGCCACAATGGACGAGGTCTTGTAGAAGATTGCATCAATTTCTTCGAGACGTCGACCCGTGGTCTCTGGGTAAAAAAAGTAGATGACGGGCACAAAGGAAGCGTTGAACACAGTAAAGATCAGATATCCTTTCCATCCCAAGTCGCCCATGACCGATGGAGTCATCATGACTGTAGCGAAATTCCAGATCCAGTTTGATGAGGTCGTGATAGCGGCACCGCGGGCACGCAAGTGCAGAGGCAATATTTCGGCACTGTATAACCATGGGATAGCGAGGAATCCGATGGCAAAGAAAGTGTAATACAAGAAGAATGCGATGACGCAGACGATGGATGCGCCGTAGGTGCCGGAGCGGATCGTGAGGGACATAGTCAAGAAGCAGCCAAACATACCAAAGGCGCCAATCATGAGCATGTTGCGCTTTCCGAGCTTGCGAATAATGAAAAATGGTAGGAATGAGGACGCCAGGTACCAGAGACCGTTGAACCCGGACAATAAAAGAGAGAGGTTGTGGCTGAGCCCGACGGATGTTTCAAATAGGTAGGAGATGTAGTATCCGATACTGCAGACACCGGACCACATAACCATGAACATGAGCCTGTAAACATAAATTAGATTTACAAATCCAACTGACTGAGATGTCGCAATGATTGAGGATTTGACATACCACCAACCAAGCATAAGACGACGAAAATTCTGTGTCTCAGGTTTGTTCTTCAACAGGTCGAGCCATCGGCTAGCGTTGTTCATCTCCTCAATTTCAATCGCCTGGTTGATCAACTTCAATTCCTTCTGGACTTCCTCGTTCTGGACGTCGGAGGTGCCGTGCATTTTCATTAGGATCGCGACTGCTGACTCGGTATTGTTGTGAAGGAAAAGCCATCTGGGTGATTCCGGCATCAGAGGCACTACAGTCTGATTAGTCTTTGCCCCGACGCTGTCTTCAGGAATTTGAATGCAGCGAGTGAATTGGTTGACTTACCAAAACAGAGAAGAATGACCGCAAAAACCAACTGCGCAGCAACACCGAATCGCCACTGGAAAGAGGTGTTCGTTGTATACGCCAGAGCATAAGACAACCAGTAAGAAATTGAGGCACCACCACAGACCAAACTATACTGCAACGATCCAAAAGCCTCACGTTTCTTGGCCGGTAGAGTCTCGGCTTGCCATACGGGAATGACGGAAGTGTTMAATCCAGTTCCGCAGCCAGCCACAAGTCTTCCAACGATAAACTGAGCTCGAGAGTAGGAGGCAGTTTGAATAACGGCACCAATGATGATGACTACAGTTCCGATCAAGATTGGCTTTTTACGGCCCAGCTTTTCGCTGAATGTCAAGCTGAATATGCAACCGAAGAAGCAGCCAAGGGTGTAGAGACTGGATAGAAGACCTTGCATAGAGGTTGATGGATTTCCCATGGTTTCAATGAAGTTATCGGCAAGTCTGATTGGAGAGTCAGTATGATTTTCAAGGCATTAAATGGAACAGTAAAAAGGAAATTGTTTTTAACTTACAAAACGCCAGACATGAAACCCTGATCGTAGCCATACAGAAGATATGAAATACCACAGGTAATGGTCATCATGATACAGGCAAACTGCCCTTCCATTTTGATCGCCATCTTGTGAACGTTGTTTTTGGAATTGTTGATCTGCTAAATTGGTTCTTGGCAAATCTCTTTGAAGGCTAGTCCAATGACTTCTCTTATAACTCCGCAAATTAAGCCAGACTCTGGGGAATCGACGTGGGAAAGAAAAGGAAGGAAGATCGCTTTTCTATCGTCGCTGTAGCCCGGTTAAGATGTACCGTGAGAGAAATCTCCAAGTTCGAACGCCAAATCTTGCACATGGGTGCCATGAGATCGCAACCTTATATTGGGMAAGCCATAAAACCTACACATGATTGATATCGCCTTTCTCCCCGATAGGTTGAATGGTGAGGTGTGATTGGCCAGTTGAAGGGATCTTCTACTCCATATCCCAAAATGTACCCCAAAATGGAGAAAAATGTGCGTACCCGGTTTTCCCATGGGGATTTGGCTCTAGATGTCGCTATTTAACTGTATCCGGGATTCGGCCGGTGCTAGTTTCCTGCGTACTTCAGGTTTTTTTCGGGTTTCCATCCGCGATATACCAACAGTGTGCTGGGATGTAGGAAACTGTTTGTGCTCAAGGACTGACTCGGGTAACTTTCCAAGCATGGTCAGCCCATCTAGCGAGGCAGGGACTGTGTCATGGAGGCTTAAGCCACTCTGCGCCAAAAACTGTGAAGCCAAAGAGTGGGTGACACTCCCGAGTCTGTATTACCGCATTAGGAAAGTAGCCGATAGACTTGCCGCTCGGCGTTTTAGTCTTTTTCTGTCCCACTAGGCTGTTAGACTGGTGGTATATTGAATGGTTGGCTATGTAAACAGATATGAGATCAAGGTGGTCGATTAAGCTTTGCTTTTAAAAGTCTCATTTAATTTCGCGCCACAATGAAGTTATCAATGATTCGTGCACAAGTAAATGGCTTTCGCTGCCGACGGAATTATACCGAGCTTAATCCGCAAGAAGCCAACTCCACACTATCTATATTTATTCGTGGCCTATTAAACATAAATTGAGATTTATCTTTCTCAAAGATTGCTATTTACATACATTGTGCAATTTACAAGAAGTAGTTTTGCTCGAGGTCAGCAACCAATCCAATCTGAGTGGGAGCCCATCCAAGCTCCTTTCGTGTCTTTTCATTTGAAACAGTGTTGTTGCGGCCGAGTAGAGGGCCAAAGAACCCTAGGGCTTGATTCACCTCCGCCTGTGGCTTGCTTGCAACCGGGATGCTCAATTTCTTGCCAATTGCCGTCATGAAGTCCTTTGAGGGGACATTCTCAGCAGCAGCAATGTAGGTGATTCCGCCAGTGACATTTTTCTCAACTGCAAGGCGCAATAGAACTGCCGCATCTAGTCGGTGAATAGCGGGCCACTGGTTGGAACCATCGTCGACATAATAGCTGCCGCCAGCTTTCTTCGAGAGACCTCCCATCATGGTCATGAATCCCTGGTCCTCTTTCCCGTGCACAGTAGGTGCAAGTCTAACGATGATACCATGAACGCCAATCTCCTTCGATAGTTTCAAAAGCAGAGCCGAAGAATGATTTCGTGCACCAAGATGGCCATCTATTTCAGGCTCGGTGTCCTCCGTCGAAAGCGGGCCTGATGGGAGACCCATTGTGCCACCAACGATAATAAAAGGCTTGCCGACGAGTTCTTCGGCCATTGCTTGAATGCTTGCTCGGTCAACAGCCAGGCTGTGGTCGAATTTCGTGAAGTCGTGAATGAATCCTAAGTGGATGACGGCATCGGCGGCTCTTGCGCCGCTTCGAAGACTCTCGATGTCTTCTAAATCACCCTGATGAGGTTCCGCACCGAGGCTGCGGATTATCTCGGCATTCTTTTCGTTGCGTGCTAATCCGAGGACTGTATGGCCGTTCTGGACGAGTTCTTGAGTGACAGCGCGGCCAATAAAGCCAGCTGCTCCGGTGACGAAAATACGCATTTTTGAGTGTTAGTTGATGTGAGATGGTCGAATATAGTTGGATTGCAAGCTATTGACTATAAGTCTATCGATGATCGTTGTATAATTCTTCTTCGTTCGGAATTAAGATTATTGGATGATGGAGAAAGAAATTTTGTCCCAAGACTGCCTGACCAAACGCCCTTTTATAGTCAACCTCGACTGCATTGACGTGCATCCTAGCGCGATTCGATCCTAGCAAATGCGTTTATCCTGGTCTTTGATAGGTGATGTCCAGAGTAAACCTCTGGATAGCCTCTTGCGGACTTTAAAGTGGGATGTTAGTAAAGCCCGCCCGGTAAATCATCGCCATCCGACCCTCCGCCCTTGCGTATACTACCCCTCGGTTTTAAGGCGGCAATATGTTATACCGCAAATTCATGACGCTATCTATATGATGTATCATAGTATGTTGAGTTATCAATATCACAATGCCTATTATAGCCTTGCCCCGCAATTCATCCCTCGATGATTCATGTTTCAGCGCTACGGTTAACGATGGCGGATTCTTCGTCGCACCTATATCCGGTTGCGGATCGCTATTGAGATGGAATCAGGCAGAAGCTAAGACTTTCATCAAGAAAACGATAGTAAGACTTTTCTATCTAGCGCAAGGTTATTTTCTTCATCAACCAAGCAGAATTACGACCTCGGAGGGTCAAAAAGACGTTGCTAACTCCATGCATAACCCAGTCCATGCCAAGCTGATAAGGTTTCAACGCCTGTGAATAGCCTCTAAACCACCTATGATTAGTGGCGATCTAGATGGAAAAGGTCAAGTACCCATTATCTGCTGGCTTTTAATAAATTTATTCTACGCTACTAATTCTGTACTAAACAAGGCCGTCCTCTATTTCAAGATAATTAGTACTACTCGAGCATAGTATATATCTGCCTATTGAAATTTCATTTCAGTACCTTTTTACAAATCCAAAATGCTCATCGTAACAGTAGAACCGACGGATCTTTAGTCCTCGAACATTCTGCGGCCCTTAGGTGCTTAATTGAAGTCTATGTACACCTCGAAAAGTCAGTCGACTTTTGCTTAATTTACAACCCGTGTGATGACGGCGGCGCGAGAACGTTGCAGGGTCTTGTTGTAGAAACTCGAGATAAGTTACAAGGGTAAGCCAACTTTGTGTTCCGACTTGCAGTCGCCTCGTTTGTACTGACGATGGGTGGATTCGTCCACGGAGTTTTTTTGCTGCCCAGTTCAAATTCTGCAACATGGGATCAAATGAATGTTCAAGCTAAAGTGTCTCTCTTATCTAGCAAGGACCGATGAAACTCGCTATCTATCACTGAGTCTTCCATCTGCAATCGAACGGGGAAGTTGAAATTCAAGGCTTGGTAGATTACATGATGTCGTGATTTCTATTTATGTGATAAAAACGCTGGTATCTTCTGGTTTGTTCTGATTTAAACTGTATAAGGAAAGACTAAATTAATGCAGTTTATCAAATATCAATCTTGAGCTTCAATTTTGCTCCAAAACCCAGTACAATCCTGTCATCTCCCAAGTTCACCGTTCTACCAACGCCAAATTCTTCGACTTTTTGCCATCCGTCACTCGTTTTCCAGGGATTCTGATCAAGAATTAATCATGATCAAACTTAACTCGTCATCATCTTCTTCAGACTTCACTGCTTGCTTGATGTCTTTCTCGATGTCATAGAGATCCTCCGTACCTGACTCGTCAATTTGAGTCGGTTTCTTTGTCCAGACGGCCTCGGGTTCAATGAGGAGCTCTTCATTGTCGAAAGACACTTTATAAATCGATGGCCAAATACTCATCATGACAGTACTACCTTCTTCCTCGTTGTAGTTCAAACTGTTCATCTTTGCTGCAGAATAGACTGTTCCGGGAGGAGTTTGGCGGATAACGTAGTCGGATTCCTGTCGTTCTAGTCTTTTTTTGAAAGCCAGACAGTCCTGAAATATCCGATGCAGTCCGCTATGAATTCTGTCATTTCCGATGTTTTGACTGTAAAAGTTGCTGAACAGAAGATCGATTGTCTGCGAAAGTGAATTGCAGGAGTCATCATGCCGATGCTCCTCGAAGGCAGTTGGATCATCCAAAGCTTTGCTTGTAGCCGAGCGCCAGGTTTCCCAAGTGTAGCTACTACCTATACTTCATATAAGTATTAAGTTCATAGAATCATCACGTAATCCCAAACTAGTGCTTACCAGATCGTCTCAGAGCTTTGCCTATCGCACTTAACAATCGCTCCGAGTGTCCACTAGGACTGCAAGCAAAGAGACAACTGAAAACAGTCTTAAAGATGATTCCTGCAATAGTACCCTGAATATATGCATGCTTTCCATGTATGTCCTGTAATATATCCTCAGGTAGCACGTAAAAGTCCTTCGTCCACTCCAAACTTTGTTTTGTCATATGACTCATGGCTAATTTATCCATGAAAGTGCGCCTTGTCCAAACATCAAGGGCTTGCTGAAGCTTTCGCCATTCTGAAGCACACTGGTCATCATACAATGCCTCGCCGCGCATCTGTAGGGAATTGAGTTTTATCATCATTTCTGAAGTTATTTCCTGATGGCGAGCGGCAGCGGCAGAAGCTTCTTCTTCGGTTTGTGCACGTAGCTCCCTCTCGCGTCGGAGTGCCTCGCCCAGTCGTATCTTATCGTGTGACAAGACTTGGAGATAGTCAATGATTTCACCATAGATCGATACCTGTTTCTTCCGCTGTGGATTGGCCCTTTGTGTATCATGGCTTGAAATGGCAGTCTGGCGCAAATCTGCTGTTTCTGACCGTAATCTTTCAAACCTAGCTACCATCCAGCTTTCTTTGCTGAGAAGTGTGTTGACGTCTTGTCTCAGCGCGCTGTTGTGTTGCGTAAGCACTTCACATTCTTGTCTCAGTGCCTGAAGCTCCTAGAGACAGTCAGGGTTTAGTCTTATTCTGTTGAGTATGGAATGGGCACACCTGTTGCATGGCTTCAAAATGTCGACTCATTGGATGCCAATCTACCAAAATTAGTATCAATTAGAAGTAAATACTCACTCGTTGTGCAGATCTTACCACGCCACATATCGTCTTGTTTCGAGATGATCGGAAAACAAAATCTCCAGTACAGAGGGGTTGGTATCAATCTTTGATTGCAGAGGTATTGGCCTTGAGCAAGGAATTTATGTTGACTGACTATTAGGAGGGTGTTGTAGTTTCTTGGTCACTGGATGAGTTGTCAAGCTTCGAGCTAGAACTGAGACGAAAGGGTTTTTCAAAGGTTTTTAAGACTCACCAAAGTCAGGTGATTCTTTAGAAATCTCTTTGTTTTTGTTGACTTTTTTCATTTGTATCAAAACCGTGCACCTCCTTCAAAGCCCTTCTTGTCACTCTGCTTGCAAATTCAGCTCACTTTTCTCTCCACCCTCCCCCTCTCATATCCAACTCAAATTCTTTTCCATCCTCCTTACATTTTTTCCTACTTCATTCAGGTCATTCCCTTTCTACTTTCCTGTCACAGTGACTACCTCACTGAAGTCCAACCTACAATACTTGCTATGACGTCTTAAAAGTATTACTGGCAAGGTTTTTCTACTCACGGGCTAACCTCAACAGAATATGTCTGCGGAAATGGCAGGAAGAGCCACGAAGAAGTCACTTGTCATAGGCATTGACTTTGGGACAACTTTCACTGGGTTAGTACTCTCCTAGCTTAGCCTCTCAAAATACGAATACCTAACGATCATCTTCCAGTGTTGCTTGGGCAATTGTGGATGACCAGAAGAATGTGCACGTCATCTCCGCCTGGCCGGGTTCTGGCAATAGTGAGTCTGATCGGGCAGATTAGATCCATAGTCGTTCCATAGCTGACGTTACTTTTAGGGACAAGTGTGAAGATACCAACGGTCATGGGTTTTCTGGAAGGCCGATTTCTTTGGGGTTGGCAAGCTCTGTCGCTGGCACCAGAACCAATCCGCGGTGTGAAGCTGCTTCTCGACGAATCGCAAAGCCATCGCTACAGCCCGTCATTGCAAGCCAGCAAATTACTGCGTGTGATGAAGAAAAGTCCCATTGATATTGCATCCGACTACTTGAAGAAAGCCCTTAAGCACACTCATGAAATCCTAGAGCGTCGTTTAGGACCTGCTTTCAAGGAAAAGGATAGGAAATATGTCCTGACTGTACCGGCAGTATGGTCGGACAAGGCAAAAGACAACACCCTTAAAGTTGCCATCGGCGCTGGTATACCAGAGCATCAGCTGGCTTTACTTTCCGAACCGGAAGCCGCTGCGCTTTATACGTTGCAGGCAATACAGCCAAATACGATCAAGGTACGTGTGCGTCTCATCGTACAATAAAATTCAGTGACTGATATTATCCTTGGTACACAGCGAAATGACACATTCGTTATCTGCGATGCTGGAGGCGGAACAGTTGTACGGTTCTCCTATATTAAGAGTTATAATCCTTTCTACTAACTTCAATCTGGTGATAGGATATCATATCATATCGCGTTCGTGACTTGTCTCCTCTGAGCTTGGAAGAAGTTGTTGAGGGAACCGGTGAGTGTGAGATTCCAATCGCACTCATGATATTTATTAAAGTCGTCCTTAAAATAATCAGGTGGTGTGTGCGGATCAATGGTTCTCGATGAATTGTTCGAGCGTTTTCTTGAAAAGCTGGTCGGTTTTGAAGCTTTCGAACTGTTTTCCAACCGCACGCGGGACGACGCTCTCCGATACTGGCAAGACACAATTAAAGTCCAATTCACTGGAACAGAATGCGAGGATGAATTCGATTACATCGGTTGGAGACTTCCTCTCCCTGGAGTCATGGACAACCCGGAGATTGAGTTGGAAGGAGGGTACCTGCAGTTGACCAAGTGAGCGATTCAAGCCCGGACGGAGTGTACACATACTAACAAAGTCGGTCTACTCAGATCTCAAATTCAAGGAATTTTTGATCCTCCTGTGCAAGACGTGCTGAATCTTGTGCATAATCAGGTCAGAAGAATCAAGGTAGCTGGACTTCCCTTGCAGGCGATACGCCTCGTGGGAGGGTTTGGAGGTTGCGAGTACCTTTACCGACGCCTTCGTAGGGCACATCCCAGAATTACCGTGACGCAACCCCCGGATGCGTAAGTTCAATTCAAATTTTACAACTGCTGGCCGCTAAATTCATTCAATAGATGGCAGTCCATAGTATGGTTAGTATCCTATCAGAGTCATCGGAGTACCTTTTCAGATCTAAACGAGTCACAGTGGAGCAGTCCTTCGAGGTCTCGAAGGGAACCAGGTCAATAACCGCCTAGCACGATGCCATTACGGTATATCTACGAATATTCCCTACCGGAAAGGAATTCACAACCGTAGTGAAGCACATTGGTGCAAATTCCAAGAAGAATGGAAGGTTGGCGAGGTCATGAGTTGGTTCATCTCCAAGGTAGAACTTCGGCTTCAATTCCAGATATATATACGTGAGCTAAGAAATCACTCTTTATACTAGGGTGCTTCTATTTCGGAAAATGAGCCCGTTCGGCAGGATTTCTACCGAAGCATACCTTGTGACAACGAGGACTTGTTGATTTTCAAAACTAAGTTATATTTCTCAGTCTCAGAAAATGCTCCCTACAAGTTTTCCAACGGTAAATCGAATCGTGTTATTGTTTCACCTTCTTCTGAGATGTTCTGACATATGTTATTATGAAACCTCAGATGTCAGGAAGCTTTGCGAGTTACGCGTCGATCTTCGAACTGTGCCGAAACAGTTATTCGAAAAACGTACAAATAGCAAAGGTCTATCATACTACCACATTCCTTATTACCTCGCAATCATCCCCACCTCCGGCTATATGTACTTTCAGCTCGAATTCAACGGAACTACATACGGCAAAGTACAGGCCGAGTATTATTGATCTCTGCACGACCTGATGTGGTATGGCTTTTCGGTACGAGGCACGGAGAAGTTGATTGAGATAACACAAGTGTGGATACGAAGGTTGGGCGAGTAAATCGACACAAGGAAGAGCTTTCAAAATTGTCACCAGCTCTCCTAGATTTGCTCTGGTGAGATGTTGCCACGAAACGGAGAATGGAATCCATTTGATCGTCATAATGCACAACACTATCTCCATGCATGGCTTTACTGCTCGTTTTGCTATCATGTTATTTTGTCATGGCTACAACATGCTTCAAAGATTGGAACAAGGGAGAAGGACAGCTAGATAGAAGAATAAGAAGGAAGCAACTTCAAACGATATCCAGAATCGCACTCAAGGATACCCTCATGCCTACTGCTGCAAGTAGGTACCTAATTTCCGTACAGATCATATCGATCATTCAGTACCATTTTCTCGTAGAATCATCTTCTATAGTCTCACACCCTTTTTTGATAACCCAGATTCCTCATGCTTCTTCACGACCACAGCTTCTGACATATCCAGATACCGTTGAGCCTACGAATGCTGTCTACCTCTGTCGATATGTTCAGAAGCATGGACAAACTTTGGTTTCAGATTTCCGGGTTTTTGCTCCAAGGCTATACGCACCGAAAGCCTGAGACTCTAGACTCCATCTATTTATGGATAATACAGATTGTGTCCATCAAGCCCCAAGACGTCCTCGTGTTGGTCTTCACTGGACGACTCCAAGGCCATCTCCAGATCAACTAATCGCTTCATACCAAAAATCTTGCCAGAGTATTGTACACTCCCCAAATGTCCTCAGTCCGAGCTGAGACGGAAGATCTTCAGGTTTTCTCTTCATGCAGCATCGTATCACCTCACGCGTGTGGAACTCTGCCATCGATACAGACGAAAGATGCGATAGAAGCCAAAGTGTCAGTTGCGAACTCGAAGTCGATAACAGCCTGCTCTTCGTGATGACAGCTCGGTTGTTACTGTGTGGTTATGCTGATAGTACTTTTATCAAAGTCGTGGTCATGCTAGTCGTTACAAAGAGGAGGAGTCGTGTAAGTAACCTTCATTGTCCTCTCTGGGTTCGTATCGCAAGTCAGTTCAGCTATTTTATTCCGTTTCTATAGCTACCCCAATATTCATCGCCAGAAAACACGCAAGAAGACACCATACATTCACGAAAGTTCAAATCCCTCAATCACTCCTTCTCCGGCGGTCAGTATCACCAGTACGTACTCCGTACCTGAAATCCTACCACCATCGCGGAGTTAAGCATCGCACCAATCAAACCGCACACAAACCGAATCCCGCACCAAAATCCGACCCAAAATCGACTCAACATTGAGCCAACAATCTCCCTGAACCAATCAGACACACAAGATAACCGTACGTAAGAAGAAACGGGTATCGGGCCGAACGGAGGTCGGCAAGTCAGAAAGCCCTTTTTTACCGACGACGAAAAAAATGCCTCATTACGACTATACTTTTTCCAGAACGTCGTATCGCACAGTGCTATAGTGACCACACAGATCGCGAGGACGCTCGAAAGTTCAAAGTTTCGATGGGGGGAAATAACAGGGATTAGGATCTAGTGTCGTGGATCATATGCGGAGGAAACCAGCGAACAGCCGAACACTCAGCACTGAAGGATCTGACAGGGTTGATCTCGGTCAACAGCCCGCCGTGCCAACCAGGCTGTCAGCGAGCTCAAGCTTCTACATAGTTACGAGCGTGCGTACATGCATGATGCATATGTCGCTAGGCATTTTTTTTCTTTCTTCTTTTTTCTTCGCCGGAAAATTTATCGATCGTGGTATATGTATCTGAGGGATTTTTCGTGAAACCGTACTTGACGTGGTTCCGTATTCAGTATCATACCATCGTACCATCTCCAAGAGTAGAAGGCATACGTACGTACGCACGGAGTTAGTATTCCATGGTGTTCATGTCAAATTGTTAATTGAATGGGACAGGGGACACCGACACACGACATCAGTCCCCACAATTCTAATTAATCGATTTGCCCTGGCCCCCTCGGTGTGCTCGGGTCTCGTACTTGTATCTGATTCGGTGTCGATGGGATCAGCCTCATTGTATTGTGCGTAGCTGGTGTTACGTATCCGCTTTGTGCCGGATTTCCGTGTTCTCATCGCGTGTCGATTTGTTTGACTGCCGGATTCGATCGTGTTGTCAGGTCCAGCGTCAAATTGGAAGATAAGTCTGGTTGGCTACGAAAGATGGCGTTTGGGTTCGTCGTTCGGCATTTTTGATGAGTGATCATGGATCCGTACGGGATGCCGAGGGTTGTTACTCGATGGTCGTAATACCTTCGTTTTGATGACTCTGACGTCAGTGGGACTTTGAATTTAGTATTTCAGCTAAGGGTAGGGTAAAGAGGATTTGAGTAAGGATGAAAGCGTTCGGTTCTTTCGGATGCTGACTGCATGGCGAGAGAGCTCTGGGGCGGTTAGCTTGTCAGTGAATGGTATCGATGATGCGTAGAGAAGTTGCTGCATCGATTCATGAAATATACAATACTATCAAAGTAAATTCAATCATTGAGCTATCCCAGGTCTCATTCAGGAAGCTCGGCAAAACCTAGCTATGTCCTGCACATGCATACCTTCCCACACGACCTTACGACGAAGTGCCCATCTACCCAATCTAGAAGCCAGCCTACCCCATCCCTTCCCACCTATCATATGTGGAATGTCAGAACTATCCAAATCCAATCCTCCCAAAACCCCGCCAAGAAAAATCCCCGATCTTAGCATTCCAGATAACTTGATGGTTTTGCATTCCTGGGGTGGCTGGTTCGTCCCTCCTTTGTGCGAAAACGTGTCTGGGCCCAAAATTCGTGGAGAATTCAGCTCGCCGCAAACGTGGTTCTAGAGTAGGTGTGAATCTGTTTCGTCGGTGGAATGTAGAACGTTTAGATACATCCTGCGATGGTGATACAGCCGCGATGGCACCTATATGTGGTGTTTGTTGTATTCATTGACAATAGATTATTGTGTTTTCCTACGAATATTGACACTGGCAAATCAAGTAGTCATCAGGGCGGTGTCTAACTTTACAATGACTCCAGAGGTTCAGTCCTGAGATCGAAGCCGATATGTTCGGTTCCTGAACCGTATATCACCACGTTTCAAGATTCAACGACATGCAAGCAATTATGTGGACTGTCTATCTAAGTAGCTCTAGTAGGATTTGCGTACGTAGCCTGAATTAATTGGCTTGATGCAGCAATAAATAGAGCATATGTAAGGGTTGAATCAGTTATACATTTATGTATGTTTTACATATGTACATGGATATATAAAAATATACATACACATCCGCCACATGCTGGTATAGGATGAAGACATAAACCCACGAGCGCGTCAACAAGAACAACTTTGACAACCGCCGACAGAGAATATAATTTTATTCCAAGATACACACCAGCTTACTGAGCACTCTGAAGCAATGAAATAGCCTTGTATATACGCGCAGCCAAAGTGCAGGTTTGTCGCGGTTTCCATTTTAGGAAATTTCCCCTCAACGCATGTTGTTAGCCCTAGGTACCCAGGAACCACCGTTTCCCGGTTTGTGCGACATGCACAGGAAGAGCTCAAGACCAAAGGCAGCACAAACAATATGTCTTTCTAATTGAAAATGTAATTACGACAATCTACCGAAGACGAATCCATGACCCCCGCGGAACAACTAGACTCAACTCTCAAGATACGATACGTATCACACAAACCAAAACCCTGGAAATTAAACGTTTCGCATAAATTTCGCCTCATCGCAGAACCGAAATTCAAAAACCCGGCCCAAACCGAAAATAAAAAAGTGGATGGCAAAGAAAGTTGAAAGAAAAAGTGCACGTTTCTTGTCGTTTCAGCCGAACCATGGTTCCTCGTCGACCTCAGTGTTTTCTAGAAGGATTCGAATTTTCGAAAATTATGGTTCAGACTCCAGTTCAAATTAATTAATTAATTAAACCATGACAGTAAATGAATGGCTTCGGTTCCAGCGGCTATCACGGAGTACGTACGTACATACACTTTGCGCTATGGACCTACATAGTATGGTGGTAAAAGTGAATTCACGCAGTACGTAGGTATGCAGGTAGAACGTTGAGAAAATTTTTTTTGTCTATCTAACTAGTATAGTGTTGCATCGCATTGCATCGAGTCTACGTACGTACACCGTACACTGTACAAGTAGTTAAGCCACAAA